GAGACGGTCAACGCCAACGACAACGTCGATCAACTTGAGGTTCCTTTGACAGTGCAGCAGGAAGAAGTTGCCGGTCAAATGTAAGCGCAACACACTCTCTGCGTTCGCCAAATTCACCTTCCGCTCAAAGTGCGCCGGCTGAAGGAGACGAAGTCACCGACAGCAGTGAAAAAAAGTAAGACTCAACGCCCGTATCAACTAGATATTCACAGGGAGTGTGTGATCTAGGACAGAATTCAACACTTGGCTGGTGGATTTGGACCGAAAAAGACCGTGCCGTATCAAGATTGTTGATCAACAAGGGCCGATCGGCAGCAGCGATGGGCAGATACTACGACCAAAGCCCAACCACTATGACACGCGTGACACAGAACAAGATTGCTAAGAACGTGAAGGACACATTGAAGCTAGATACCGAACTCGTTAGCGAAGCAGAATTGGAAGAGCTCATGAAAGAAACCTTGCAGTACGAGATAAAGGTCGATCGACTATTGCGGAGACCGTTTGATGTATTGACTCCTACTTTTAGCGCAAGACTACAGCAGAAGCCACTGAAGAACAGAGCCAAAAGCGTCGTCGCACCTCACAACCAGAAAAGGTCTCCCAAACTCCCGCGCTTGCGCCAAGGCCGAACTTTGGAAAGACAGCATCGCAGAACAAGGGAGCACGTCGCCCTGCTACTCAGTCGCGTCAACCAGTGAAGCCCACTGGAACAACAATGATGGATGTTGAATCTAGTGTCGATGAAAACGACGTCAATATTCAGGCCTCAGAATCACAAGAAGTGGCCACGAAAAGCGCCCCGGCCAAGAAAGCAGCGCCAACTACCAGAAATGCATCGATGGGACGGCGCCTTAGCACAAAGCAAACGAGACTAGCCAAGCATGCCCCCAAAATCACCACGCCGGCTGCCTCATTGTCGGACTCGAGCTCCGACGTTGCTACGGGACCAGAGAAACGAAGACACCACACCTTCAACAGTCGAGACGACCGTTGAAGGCAACTCAGCGGCCAAGGAGTTCCACTCAAGGCCAACGAATTCTACGAGGCAAAGGCCCATAGCGGTGCCAGTCATCAATGCCAGAGGCGAAACGTCCGCTCAAGGGAGAGGAGAAAAGGAAAGTTTGGAAACCTTCCTGCTGAAATTGGACGACACAGGGGAATTCGACAAGTACATGCCACTGTTCCATCACAACGGGATCTTCAAAGTCTCCAACTTGTACGAATTTGGCGCCGATCCGAGAGGTCTTTGGACGAGAGTGGAGCGAGTGTTTTGTGCAGATAGCACACGGTTCACGACATATGAGGGAGAGTTTATGAAGCAGCCGCGATGTAGCCTGTTGACCGAGGGCCTGGCGACTCTTTTCGCGACGTACCCAAGGCAAAAAGAGCTGGTTGGAGGCGAAGTGAAGGAGAGAAGGAAACGAGCCAAGGCAACCTGTGTCCAAGGCAAAGATGTCATTGCAGCTATTCTCGATAAGTGTGAAACCAGTCATGTTGTTTTGTTATAAGAATGTTGTAGCGTTCCCCGACAAAATTGTCAATCCAAACTTCCATTTGCAGACCACATGGAGCTTTCGATGTGCCCCATAACTGAAAACAAGTCCAGGCCGTGGATTGCTGCTGTTGGGAAAGCTTAGCCCATGAGACTCGTCTAGCATAGAATATAGATGGTTGAGGATTTGCGATGTGCATTCTGAGCTTTGCGTATGCATGCCATTCTACTACGCAGTACAATAACTTGAGTATATGCGAGTTGTGCTCATCAGTAGTGGGCAGAGAGAACAAGCCCTCGAAAGCTGGGATCGCACGTTAGTTTTCGAAGTCACGCGCACTGAGCTTCTTCATTTCTGAGGCATTTGTTGCAAAACGGCAAATGGCGCCGATACCAAATCGTGGTACTTGTCTGTATCTGTGCAGCAGGTGAATAAGATGTGCTAAAGGAGCTGAAAAGACGGACCTTGAGGCTAACTCGGCTCCAAGGGATGGGCCATGCAAGTACGCAGTGGTGTAATGACCTTTGACCAACCACTGACAGACAAAAGGTGCGATTGATGATACCCATCAAAAATCAAACGACGGTCGATCCTTCGTCAAGCGCAACGTTGATGATGCTAGTAGGACTAGCATATGCATTTTAGCCAAGAGTTCAAGCAGACAAATCGCAACATACTCTAGGCCCAAGCCGATCAACACCACTAATCGCTGGTCACTCAAGCTCGCGGTGCTTATACCTGTTCAAGCTTCAGCGACATTGTCGGCTTTTTCAAGTAAGCGCGACTGAGTCCGCGGCAACAGCAAATTCCCAGCGACAAGAATGCCCCAAAAAGGGCGGGGAGATAAATTATTACACCAATACGCGCAACTATCGGCACTGAATACAAATCTTGAAAGGTCTTGGCGAAAATGAAACAACTGAACTCACCTCCAACATCGATGGGCAAAACGAAACGATGGTCCTGTGCAGCACTGAAGGCGGGGCCACCTGAAGGACTGTAGAAGGGAAGCAGCGAGGAAAGAAGAGGGGCGATTGAATGGGTTAATCAGCCAAGCTAGCAGACGGTCACACGGCTCTTCGCAGGGAAGCATGTTGCCCAGATCCCCCATGTAGCGTTGCCCAAAACCACTGAGGCGGTCGACTTGCCCCTCAACCGAATGGGTAAGTAAGAGAGGTCATCAAAACAACGCTTGAACTCACAACGACGAAGGAATAGACAGCGAGGACGCTGGGCAGTCGCCCACAAACTGGAAATTGCAACAGACAAAAGGTCGCGGAGAAAAGCTACCCGCGAAGCTGTCTGACAAGGGACAACGGAGAAAGCCGACGGGCACCAGAGGCCTCCAAAAGATTTAGGAGAGGGTGGGCGCTTGCTACATTTTGTGCTCACCAAGACTTTTACCCAGCGTCAGAAAGGAAATGGTCAGCGGAGGATCCCCAAGAAACCAGAGATAATGGCGACGGGGGTTAAATGCCACCCACCGAGCGCCCTGCCTTGCTTACATTCGACCTTGGTACCCTCCGTGTCAACCGGCGTCGCTACCCGACGCAACCAACAGCACGCAGGGAATGCACCGGTAGCCTTTGAATGCGACTTGAGGTTCGCGGAGCCCCAACTCAGACGACGGCAAGGCTATCGTTCCGAGCCCTGGAGGTCTTCGATCTTAGGACGACGCTTCTGTTGTGCGCTCATAGTCAAAAGGCGGATCTGAATGGCCATTTACCGACAAGTGGATTTCCCTCCCCCTCATCTCTCTGCGCGATGCACCGCCAGCATCTCTGGCTAAAGAGAGGAGCAGCGTCTCCACTACGATCGTACGCCTGATAGTGCTTCCACCTGATTTGACGTTTATTTTTGTCCAGAAAAAGAAGAATTCGAAAAATACCTGCAACCATAGGCCATCCCCAACGTCTCCCTTCACTTCGGTGCCTTCTTGAGAAAATTGTAGAGTTAAGTCTTCAAATCGCCAGACGAGTGGCTTTGCTGACCTGCACTAGACACAAAAACCCTCCGAAAACCAAGAGGGTTGCCATAGCCGTAGCAGAGGAGACAACAAGTTCCACTAGAACGAAGACTAGTCACCAGGGCGTACGTCGCGATTTTCAAGAGCAAAAGGCAAGAAGGAGAACTGCCCAAATGCAACGGTGAGTGCTTGCCCGTCTAGACCCTAATAAACGTTACTGTCCTAGTAAATGCAACCTACACCAAGAAAGAACATCGCGCGTATATGCAGCGGTTGAGCGATCAGGCAAGTGAAAAGGGGGCTACGGTTTTTTTTTTCAATTTCAAAACTAATTAACGTCCTTCTTTGAGGTCGCAAAGGCTACTGTGACTTGTGGGAACGAGTGGAGCGTGCGCGGTGGCGGCGAGCCTGGATCTGCGTAACAAGGGCGAGGTACGCAGGAGTGGGGAGACGGGACGCAGAACCCGTGAACGCGGGCTTGCCTCCAACATCACCCACGTCCAAGTGGTGGATAGAAATGTCTTCAGGCGAAAGGAGGGGGGGTATGGCGCTGTAGGATGGGTCGCCGCTCGCGAACATGACGCGAGACTGGCGCACAAGAGAAAAGTAAGCAAATAGAACCCTAAAGTTTGAAATAACAACGCACCGACTTTACGCGTAGAACGTTCTTATGAAGATCGTACTCTTCCGACCGAGTTTCAAGGACAAAAAACTGTAGGAAATCAGGAGGCGCCAACAAGAAAGACAGCAAACGCACCATGGAGGTTGAGAAATTCTGGGCCACAACCCAGGTCGCGGAGGCAAGTAAACCACACGCGATAATCGGACGACGAGCGATAAGTTGGCGAATGACCACTAGGTTATAGCGCATGTTGTTGGTGTAGTGCTGGGATCGAAAGGCGGCGAAATTCAATGATGGGATCACCAGAACCTGGCGACGTGTGTCGGCAGCAACAGGGACGCGGCTTTTAGTCAAGGTTGCCGGGACACGTGACAGCCTGAGTCCGGCGTCGTTCTCCAGCGGAAAAAAAACTATATTATAGTGAACTGCAAGAGCTCTGGGTCCAAGTAGACGCGAGTGCACATGATCAAGGTGCAGGAGATGTTGAAGTTTTAAAATATGTTCCGGAATAGGAAACATTGAGACGTAAGCTACTTAAAATACTCTAAGCAAGGTGTATTTGCTGGCCACCTGGCCAGCGCCTGGTCCTTGCAGTGGACATGAGAAGAAAAGGAACCAGCTGTCGGGAGCGCGAGCAGTAGTTATCTTATGGACAATTATGGCTGTGCCGCGCTAAGTGGCCCATTGACTGGTATTTGACAGCGGTGGCGGGGCGATAGACGCCGATGGTAATTCGAGACGCATGCTGCAATTGTTGTTGAGTGGGTGAACGTGGACGGGTGGACAACAACACCCGACGACGCGTGACCGTGACCCTGATGCAACTCTTCCTCGACCTGAACGGCTGCTTACATCCGCATTTCGTCATTACCACCGTGCCCGATAATGGCCGTATCTGTCTTTACCCCACTCCCTCATGAGCGACTCAGCAAAGAGCAAACAAGCAACAGCACCTGTTCAAGTGCCAGACTTCACGCTGCGCGATTACAGTAGCTTTTTCCTTGCTGGAGCACTTTGTTGCACGTATGACAATCTGACTGACTCGTATTGTTCATTGTTCTCAAAACGGGCCATTGCAGTATAAGTCATGGTGGACTAACGCGTATGCGGCTCTGCTCAACTGCTTGACCACTATCAACATCTTGTTAAGCTGTGGATGTAGTCAAGACACGTATTCAGATCGACTCGGCCTACAAGGGCCTCGGAATTGTCTCTGGAACGCGCTATGTCATTGCCAAGGAAGGACCAGCAGCTCTTTTGACCGGATTTGGACCAACAGCTGTTGGGTATCTTGCTCAGGGTGCGCTCGAAACATACACGTGTACCTGAGACAATCCAACTTGAACACAACAAACAGGTGGTGCCAAGTTTGCGGGTTACGAATTCTGGTAAGATGGTCCCGCTTCAAACAAGTATTCACCGAGGGTCAGGAAGAAGGGCCTTGTTCAATTCGCGGGTGACCAGGAAACTGCGGTCAAGTATCGGACTGCGATATACCTCGGCGCAGCTAGCATTGCCGAGTGGGTGGCGTGTGGCCTACTGGCGTCTTGAATGACCGTTATTAGATTCTTCGCTGACATCCTACTCACCCCATTGGAAGCCACCCGGATCAGACTAGTATCTGAGAAAGGGTATGCCAATGGTCTGGTCAGTGGTTTCACTCGGATGGCCCGCGAGGGTGGTGTCCGCGAACTTTACGCGGGGTTTCTTCCAATTCTATGCAAGTATGTACCCAAAGTTAGGATCTTCACCAAAGTTCATCCACCTCAACAGACAAATCCCATATGCGATAGGGCAATTTACGGTCAACGAATTTTGCCATGAACTCGTCTTCAGGTCCATGTCTGAGGACACGAAACGGAACCTATCAGGAACATCCAAATTTGGCATTGCTCTAGGCAGTGGTATCGTCGCGGGCTTTGCAGCAGCAGTACTGAGTCATGTCAGTAACATCTGTTTGATTATGCTGCTATCAGCTGAGTTGAACTCACAGCCTGCTGACACATTACTGAGTCAAATCAACAAAGGCCATGGGCCCAGCGGCTCGATGATGCATAGACTCTCTGTTCTAGCACGTGAAGCTGGTATAAAAGGTCTATTCGCGGGCCTTGGCCCTCGTATGGTCATGACCGCTGGCCTCGTAAGCAGCCAGTTCCTCATGTATGGGTCAATTAAGCAAGGTACATATGTCTTGCTCAACGTCTGCAACTCTGATTCATGGATTTTAGCATTGGGTGCGCCACCGGGTATCGAGATCCATAAAGACTAGGGACTGGCCTATATTTATCATAGAATTCGAGTGTTCTCGTTCTGCTCATCCGTTCGACCAAGCACCACAGCAAGTTGTGCTTTGACGTTCCCGCCTCCATCACCCTCAAGGTCCAATTGAAGGAAGCGTCTACACACCGCCTCGGCATCCTCCAAATCTAATCGCTCTTCTTCCGACATCTCTTCATCTAGCAACTTGGTGAGTTCATGCGCAGAAAGCAGTCGACTATGCGCGAGATTAGCTTGATGATGGGTTTTCACGTTCCTCTGACCTAACGTGTTCCGCGCGTCGTGTGATCCGTGAAGGCACACCAAATATTTCGGCACATTTTGCAGCATGCGAGTCCCAGGCAAGACCCTCCGCGACGCTGCAAAAATCAAATCCAAGTAAAATCCTGAACGAAAACACGAACCGATATAAGTAAGTTATTTTTTCGCCCCCAATCGAAGATTCTGAGTTGCTCTGATTCGTCGTCGTGCGCTGAAGCGTTGGTCGAATAAGATTTGCCGTCGAAGGAGAGTCGATGGCTTGTCCATCGGAGGCGGTGAACATAACTTGCATGTGTAAGAAGGTGATTGGGACAGAGTCAGGGTCAAGCAGATCGTCGCGGAAGACATCGTGAAAATGGGTTGCGGCTAGAACTTTGGGACAATTTGGTCCGCGGTCGAGAAAATGCTTGAGGACACCACAAAATAAGCCAGCGCCATCTGTTTGAGGAGACAACACCAAGACTTTAGTTGATGCCTTGACACGAGAGGAAGGGTGGACTAGAGAAGATACGAGCCTGTTGGGAGAGTTCCTTTGCCGAATTCATCCAGGAGGATAAGAGAGTTGGCAGTGGCGTTGCGTAGAGCGAGAGAAACTTGATTGAGATCGATCATAAAGGCTGATTGAACTTTGGACACTGATTCTCTGGTCGAGATACGGGTAAAGACTGACAAAGTTAGGAGCACAGAGATACCTAGTTGTTTTAACACACTTTTGTCAACAATACCAAGGGTGGCGGATTCTGCCGGGACGAAACTGGGTTCATTAGTTTCGTCGATGGAAAAGACAGCCCAATTTTACCATCCAATCTAGTACCAACAGTGAGCTTCCTAAAGTGAAAGAGCCAAAACGAGGTACAAACCTGTGCCATATACTGGATCAAAGCAACCTAACAGAGTTTGCTCATTTTTCTTGTAGAAACGAGGCACGAACCTGCTTCAGGTATACGCTCTGCATTGGTGGATTGTTAAATAGTTAGAGGAGGATGACGACAGGACAACCTTTCCACATGCATTCGCACCGGTGCAAAGAACTATGCTGTTCCACTCTTCCGCTTCGTGGGTCGATTCGTCGCCTACCAACACCGAACGATCTCCAGAGCCACCTGCGATATGAGCATCGTTGGGAACGAATGCGTCAACGACCTGCTCCTGGAGAGGATGGCGTCCTTGCTGGATGTCGATGATGTTATCTTCAACTATATTGGGTCGTCTATAGCCAAGTCCTCGCGATGCGCACGCAAAAGACAGTAAACAGTCGAGTTCTGCCATAATATCACAGGCTGCGGCCATGCCATCAAAGTGGACGATAATTTCTTCCAAGAGTTCCTGCACGATTTCAATCTCTCTGTCAACTATGGAGGAGTGAAGGTCGCCGATGTGAAGATCCATGTCTATGCAAGGTCAAACCCATTAACTATCGGCATAAAAAAGAATCACCGTTCATTTCCTTGGACTTGAAATAGACATGGTGTCTGTTAAGATGCCATGAGTGCCTTCAAATCAAGGGAAACAACCAACTCCGAAGAAAACTAGCAGTATAAATGTCGGGCAGATAGTTGGATTAGACATGAGCTCACCTGAAAGGTCCAGCCTTCAATAACCTGAATCCCGTCCGCGTTCCATTCATCTAGCATAGGTATACAGATTAAAAAGCCCAGTTGAGGGAAATAGACGATATTGAGTGATGCTGCGTAGTCCGGGGGAACCGTTTGACAAATCTGTTCAGCAACTTTGGACTGTCGCTATTTCAGCATTTTGTGTTCGTTTGCGGTTATTGTATCTCACCAAGACGGAGTCGATTCCATGGTATATGTGTTTGCGATTATCCAACTCCTCGTCAATGTTGGGCCGGACGCAAACGCGCCCAGAATGAGAAGACTCTTCCCAGTCGATCTAGGCCAATCAAGATGTGCTGAAGAGGGTCCAAAAAAAGAACGCTTACGATCTCATTAATGCGATTCCCCACTTCGCGAAAACTCGCAACATCTAAAGCCGCCACGAGCTGTACTATATCGTTACCTCTTGGCATGAAAGCATTGACGGTACCTTTTTGACGATTTCGACGCCACCCGACAGGTGCAGTTCGGAGAGATTTTCTCGAAGCATGGCAGAGTGGAAGGTGAACTGTGGCGATGAATGGGCGAGAAGGGTGCAACGAGACACATAACGGACCTTAACGAGACCCTGCCAATCCTTCATTTTGGCTTTTCCCGAACGCGTGAGTTCGAGAATCCGTGGGACATTCTTGATGCCTTTGAGGTGGGCTTGCATGGCCGATGCCGCAACCAAATTCTCTGTGGACATGAAGCATTCGACTGCATCATGGCGTGCCTTGATTACAGAAAGGGAAAGGGAAGGTCTAAGAAGCCATGTGCGGAGTAAAGCGCGTCCAAGAGTGGTGTTGGTGCTATTCAGGGTGCCTGAAGTCATATCTTGAGCAACTTGCAACGAGAAGGTGTATGGCATACCAAATAACGATAATCCCTCTTTAGTCTTGTCAGAATGCATCGACCCATGATCCTCGCTCTCGAAGATTTGGAGAGATCTGAGAATGATCAGCAACGAGTTGTAATTGTAGTCACGGCACGTACGACAACGCGTCAGCGTTGATTTGCATATACTGCTCCCTACAAAGCTCTTTCGTTGGTGAGATTCCGATTAATGGCAGCGACTCACAAAGAGATGGCTTCAATTTCACGGACTTGCAGACCTGCGATGCCTTCGTTATCTAAATCATCCACGGCTTTTCGGACAAGATATTCTAGCAGCGCTCCGACAGAGGCAACCTGTGGTCACACTTGAGCTGGATTTTGACGCATACGAGAGAATTTACGCAGAGAGGAGAGGAATCTGCCGTAGTAAAGTTCGACAAGCGAATAGCTGCGTTCCATCGCTTCATTACGGGGTCTCCGCCGGTTTCCGCTTGTCGTCGGCGCATAAAGTCATACGCGTTCCGCCCGCCAGACGTTGACGACAATGTCTCAACATCAGACGACGCTGGTGGGTCGCTATCATCGGAAGGAATCTCGGAAAGCAGCCTAAGAGATAAGATTCGCTCGCGGCCTTTGGAAGGGCTGAACTCTTTCTGGGGTCGTATCTGAAATACACCACCAGAAGCGTCCACTGCAAGAATGTCAGCCCAGGCACCTTGCAGAGTTGTGAGCTCACTATGAGCACGAGCAACGTCCATGAGTTCATCGTCTGAGCGAGAACTGGTAATAACGACGTCAGGATGCACCTGTTCCAGCACTGATGCTGATCTCAGCCACAGTCTGTGAGATAAAAAGAGGCCTACAAGTCGTTGTTAGCTCATAATGCCTCGTTTCCACCGCGTCCTCGAGATAGTAGATGATGCATTTGACTGGGTCGTAATATGCACAAGCAACGCGACCGCGCTGAGCATAGGCTGCAAGGCAGATTTTGTGGTCCAAGGTTTCTTCGCTGTCACTCTCACTCTCAGTATCCGATGCTTCCCATCGCACTTTCTTCTTCTCTATAGATGCATCTGAGTCCGGGGTTGGACTGCGTTTACGCTTCGCCATGTTGGGAAGAGTCAAGGTTATAGTGTCACGTTCGCGTCCCGTCACATATTACATAATGCGTCAAGTGCTACTTCCCAACTTTTAGAATGTCCTTTCCATCATTTCCTGTAACTGCAAGAAGGTCAGAGAACGTTAGTAGAGCGAAGATTTATATATACCGTTCAAAAGCAAGCTAGCTGAATCGAGCATGACTTTGTTTCCGGATGTAGCAAGCAGATTGGCAATCTCTCGTGCTGCCTCCAGTCTGCGGAGTTCAAGGAAACCCTTGTTTTGCCTCATAGCATCCCCAATTAGCTCTGCACTCTTTGCCTCACCCTGCGCTCGCACGATGATTGACTGTCCGAGTTCAAGCATCGATTGAATGAGATAGAAGACCCACAAGTTTTTCTTGACGAGCCTGGTCAACCAAGAATGCGGCACGTAGAGCCGTTTGTTGGGCGACCTTAAGAGCTTAGAACAAAAACTAGCTCGAATGGAGAGAACTAACCTGCTTGGCTTCTACTGCATGGGTGAACTCGGGTGAAAACGCGACATGGGTGATGGAAACATCGTCCAGGACCACATTGAAGCGTAGAGCACGAGTCGTGAGATGCTCACGTACCAGGCGCGAAACCTACACAGGCTTAGTTAGCGAACGGAAATGTCACTTGAGACATAAAACACATTTTCACGCTGAGTGATAAGTTGACTAGCATTGAATTGCGCAACAACGCTTTTTAGAACCTATGTGATATTAGGATGGAGTAATGGAGATACGAAGTAAAACTACCTCGTTGACAATCGACGGTAGCACTCGCTCGTCGTAGTCAAGGCCCAACTCGCGATAAATCGTTGGTAATGCTTGTGGAGAAGGCCGTGCTAGAACACGGCAAGTAATGTTAACCATTTGTAGGTCTGGGGTGGATTTAGCAGTGGAAGCGAGCAAGCCTACGAAACCTTTTGTTCCCGTCAGACTCGCAATACTCCTTGGCTTTGCACGAATGTCGTATATTATAGGTGTTTCGAACCAGGGAATCTGGAAAATATAAGCATTGGGGGATAAACAGATGAACACGAACATTTATGTGGGTGCCTTCGCTATAAACCTGCTCCTTGATTCCATTTAACCTGGTACGTTCAACCTTGCATGCAGACCAAGTAGACTGAGTCCCACCGAGTATACTTGATAGCACGATGACCACCATCGACTGAGTGCGTTCAAGACTATGGCCTCGAAGGAAGGATATGGGAGTGCTTACCATTGAACAAACTAGCGTTGAGAGCAACACCACCTGCTACAGCCGCAATGAGGATCCCAGTAGCGGTAAATACCCCTCGACTAGGACCCCCTCCCTTTCCTCCAGCATTTCGCAGCTGGGCAGCTAGTTTTCGAAGGGCGTCTGGGTCCATATTTGACGCGCGTTTGCCCGGCAAAGGTGAATGTCACAATGTGACAAACAACATCCACTTCAATTCGCTCAACGCCTGGAAATTTGGTCGAAATGCTAGTTGAAAATGCGGACTTGAGCTCTATGGTATGTAAACCTGGGCCCGCCGGATTTTTTTATTTTAAAAACACCTTTAGCTGGGCTGGGTTTCAATTGCTTGCTGGATTGTTGTCTACTCTCCTCAAATTTGGGAGAACTACAGTAAGCTACACTATGGTACTTACTGCACGACGCGCTGATAAATGCTAAGCTCTCCAATCCGGCGAAGGGTTAAGTGTTCTGTTTGTTGTTGTATGGTCAGCCCAAACCGAGGATCGCAATCCTGACAGTCTTATCATTTCCAGGCTCTTAGGAGACATTTGTAACTTGGTGTGCCCACTCAGCCATCTAGCCACCATGTTAAAAATGCGGTTGTCAATTAGCTTGGTGCCTTTCTAGCGAAACTGCTCCCCACAGTTATCATCATTGCAATATATGTGGGTCCATCCCCCTTCGACCCTGCAAATCCTTACGAAAGTCTGTCAGTACACGCTCTGCGACTGTATCCTGATGACACAAATTTACTACTACCGCTGGAAGGCACAACATCGAAAACCGCAAGAAGAAGAAGAGACGCCGCTTCTCCAACAGAGTCTCCCTCCGCCACAAGTTTCCGAGTCCCCGTTACTTTCTGCCCTCCGATACCTTGCAGCCCTTGTTTTCGTCTTCGCGACTGGCATCACAGCTTGGTGGCTGAATCGTAACACAGATAACAGCCATCCGCCTCCCTCTCCCTCGATCGCAATGAAGTGGACGATTCAAATTTTAGGCTGGTCTAGTGCAGTGCTCTACGTTCGTCCGTTTGGAATGGTGGCGTCTTTCCTTTGACTCAAAATACGTCAGCTGGGCTCAAGACTTCCGCAAATTCTCAAGAATTTTCAAACTCGATGTGAAGGACTGGCGCCTGGTTCGCTCTCCGTGTCAATTTCGAGAACAATTGAACATATTTTCGCCAGCTTTGTTTCTCTTCGCCATCGCTGGCAATCTCACATACTCGATGTCAATAATTGCGAAGAGCACTGAGCGGGAATATCTGATCACCAACGCAAGCTGGTTGGCAGGTGGGCGTGTGTTGACGGCTATTGTGATGTTTACTCAAGCGGGGAACCAGGGAGTGCATTGACAGTATTTTTCGATCTGACCGTAAGCACTGTTTTCTTGAAAGCGGAGTGCGTGTGGCTGAAGGGGGCGAAAGGTGTTGGGTCAGATGTGGTATTATCGGTCTCGCCAAAGTACTGGGACTACGTTAACGGATTAGCACATTCACCCGAATTAGAGTAGAAATCGAAGCTGCATGCAGGCAAATAGAAAGCGGTCAGCATTTGTTTTCACTTTGCCTCGTGTCAAAACACGTTTCTTCATCCCACGATCCATCAGCCTTGTCGCCGCCGTAAAAGGGACTGCCATGAAGAACTCGGTACGTCTGCCCGCCTCTGGGTCAGCCTTGCCTTGTCCGACTCCAACGCTACTGGAAAAGGTTTCTTGCTCATCAGGTACGCAAGGCAGTGTGCTCAAACAAACAGAAACCCCCCGATTGAACCAAGTTCCAGCTTCAGCTCCGTTTGCGAGCTCGTTAACCCCATACCGTTCTAGTGGCCACTGCATATTAAAGGCCGCGCGAATAGCCAAGCTCCGAACTTATGTTCTCCTTGCCAAGCGACACTCACCATTGTCGAATACCGGCCCGCCCTCCTCCCGACACCCTTATTCCACGTCTTCGTGATGCCCTCTCTGTTCTCGATGCCCGGATGGCAGCTCTTTCAACACAAAGACGCGACATCGAGTCCCGCCTTGAACAGGCGGTCCGTCTCCAGTCACCTGTGCTCCGCCTCCCAAGTGAACTGCTTTCGTCGATTTTCGTTATTGGGGTACTCGGAAATCCAACGGACGACGATCAAGGCGATGGAGCTGTCATGCTTCCAGCTCTTATGCTCGTCTGGTATGTCGTTGTTGTCCGATATTGCACTCTGCTCATGAAAAAAGTCGGTACTGGTTGCAAGTCGCGTTGGCTACCCCTTGTCTGTGGTCCCAAATCACCGTCAGCCCACTCCATTCGTTGGAACAAGCTCGTCGCAAACTTGCGAGGTCAAGTTCCTGCCCGCTTGACATCAACATCAACTTTGCGCCGCGGACAGACTATTCTTCCAACAACTCTGGCGTCATGGAGCAGGTTGTTCGATCCATGGACATCTTCAGCCCCGCCATTTGGCGGATCAAGTCTCTTAGACTCAGTGTCCCTAATCGGTCTCAAGCTCATGCCGTTTTATTGCGGTGTCAGGCTGATGCGCCACTTCTTGAGGTCTTGTCTGTACGAGTCTTCCATGCCCTCCAGGACGACAGTCATTCTGCTCCGCCTCTTCCCTTATTCAACGGCTCAACACCACGACTTCGCTCGTGTTCATTCACGTCGTTTAATTTCGGCTGGGATATCAGCCTCGTTTCACGCCTCCGTGTGTTGAAGTTGGGAGGCTATTTCAACGCCCATACCCCATCCGCCAATGTCCTTCTTGGTTCGCTTGTTTCTGTTCCCTCCAGAGTCTTTGGTTCAATAAAGTTATTCCTTCAGGCATTCTGCGCGAATGTCCGCAGCTCGAAGAGTTTGCCTTGCGCAATTTCTCTGACGTCGACTGTGCTCCGTGTTTTACACCGACAGACTTTGAGTTTCCGACACTGACCAAAATCGCTCATCTACCAAAGTTGAAGCGGGTGGTCTTCTACTGTGCGGGATTCGCATTGACTCGACAACTCATGGCACAGTTTTCCTTCCCAAACCTCGAGTCGCTTGAGCTCAGCTATCTGGAGAATGTCACCCCTATTCTTCAGTTGTTATACACTCAATCACTCACTTATCTACCATTGCGAAAGCTGCGCATAGAATCTTGCCTCTTCAATGAGCAGAAACTATTAGCCTTGCTTCGCCGCACCTCACTGGTGGAATTGGAGCTGGTTGATGTGGAAGATGCCTCATCGGGGTTACTCCGGGTTCGTATTCATGTCTGCTTTCAACTTGAGACGGTGGCTAACCAACAGGACAGGGTCTATCTTCGTCGCAACCGTGGATTTGTCCCAAGTTGGAATCTCTGACCCTCGATGGATGTACTTCGCTCGATTGGGACTCGTTACGGACATTCGTCGAGTCTCGGCTTCCCGCCAACTCCCCAGTTTACCACCAGCCGCGCGCGATAACGTCTGCATCCGTTGCGGCAGCTGAGCATGCTTTGCGATCACGTTCCCAGTTTCCGGCAGCCCCACGAAATGTCCTGGGGCCGCTACGTTTGCGTTGTATCGACGTCACCCGATGCAGCCAAATCAGTAAGGAAATGGTCCAATGGCTGCGAATGTATGTCGCACAAGTCAAGTGTGAACGGGCCAAAGGAGTTTGGGGCGAGCCCGTGCATTGAGCGCCACAATTTGTCTTATTTCGTGTAACAATTATAGTATATAGTGAGAAGTATCAATGGAAGGGTTGGATTGCATAACTGTTCGTGCTCTCTCTACGTCAGAGAATATAGTTGGCGACAAGGTTGAAAACGAGACGGGTAGGGTACATTGCCACATCCATAGTATCTGACTCCATAGCAAGTTCTAGCAAAGAGCTATTATTGGTGTCCCACGGACCATTGAAATTCGCCGGCAAAGTCTTAGCGTCAACAGCCTGCAGCAGAGTCTGTAGACGAAGCTTTCCCTTTGACTTGAACGCCTCGTCAAGATCGGCAATATCTTGACGAGAAAACCCGACAGCGGTTTGGAAAGCCGGATGGTAGGTGACATCCAATGTACACTTCAGGTTAACAAGATGCCGTTTGGGAGAATCGGGGAAAGGTTCATCAGGACGACGCTTGAGGCAGGGGAACAAAGTGCCATCGTTGAAATCTGAGAAGAGCAAGAGGCCCCCAATTACTTCCCTCTCTGTCGCTGATTCAAGGCCATTGAAAAGGGAGTCAAGAATGGGTCCGCAGTTGCCCAAAGACCAGATCGGTGCATCGAAGTTGCTGATGATGACGAGGAGCGGTGCCATGATTCTGTGATCGCGCAGATACATCTGCAACATGTATTAGTAGCCGACAATGGAGCTTTCACACCTACTCACAGCGAAACAAGTAATCGTCATGTAAGGGATCCCACAACGAACACATTTTGGGGGTGGAAAATGCATGTTTAGTTGATATTGGGCAATCAATGCCATGCACTGCTGGTGGAAGTATGCTTCGAGGTCTGGTATTAGATTGGTGGGATTGTTCATGCTGCCGAGATCGAGATGAAGGATATGATAGCGATGGAGGTTGTGTCGCGACCACTTGCTGGGGGGAGTCGCTGCTCGGAACGGTGCAAAGGGATCAAGTTCCTTATACTTCAAGTCCAGTCGAGCAGCCACCATCGAGATGAAAAAGTCCAGACCCCAAGTGGGTGGTCTTCGAAATAGGACTGGGTATCCTTGATCGACGAGGCGGGCAAATCTATCCAATGAAGCGTCTTTGGCCACCAGCGGAACTCCATCCCCTTCTAATACAGTGAAAAAGTCGTCATGCACATCAGGAAGTCGCTATTCGTGTGAGGACCCCTGTCCAAACCAAAACTATTGCCCACCTCGACAACGTAACTATTACCGCATGCAAACACGTTGCCAACAATACGATTGATTTTGTGTTCTGAGATGTGGAGGGATTGCAGAGACGGGCCAAGTTCGTCCAAGTCAGACATTTGCAGAGCAGAGGGAATCTACACGTGATCTGGGGGCTGATTTGCTCCAAGTTGAATCTCAATGAACATTGTGTTAGGTGGTATCAATGGTTTAGGTCCGGATGCACACCTCGTGTCGCGACTACGATTCGTTCATATACGCCAACAACGCCCTCCGATTGGTCTCCTCCTTCTTCTGACGTCGCGCAAACCCACGATGCCCCCTGCCATGCTTCTGCTTGTCCCGCTTCAGTTGCTCAGACGCTCGAATATGAGCCGCCAAAGCTTTCGCGTTGGGGGTGATGCGCTTTTTCGAGGCCCTGTATGGTCCGGTGGTAACAGCTTTCAAGCCGATTCCGAGGCGGTCGGATTTCAGGACGATACCCAATGGAGTCAGTAATGCCTTGCGCCCCCCATCCGACTCGGTATTCGTCAGATTCTGATCATCTGCGCTTGTGTCCGGTTCCTCATCACCGCTGTCCTCGTCTGACATCGTTAAATCTACGACTTCCCTTGAGGCTCCGTCGTCAACCGGTGGTGATACGCTTGGTTGTATGATCCTGCGCCGCTTCGATTGACGGGCAATGTCAGGGCCCAAAGCCTCCCCTTCGCTCCAACCACTCTGTTGCAGCATTGCAAAACCTTTGTTGCCAGGGCCTATGGCGACAAACACCGGAACTTTATGCGGAGCTTCGTGGGGGAGCGGAGGTGGTTCGCGTTCAAGAATATCCGCGAGGCTGGGATGAGATGTCGGTGAAGCAACAGATGCAGGTTCTGAGTCGATGGCATTCATTATGAACCAGTTATTTCTGGTGCGCCTCTCTGTTACTTGCGGTGGACAAGGATCCTTTGGAGGGAGATGCATTTGAGCTCTCGGTTTGGACTGGGTCTCGGTTCTGGTTGTCAACGCCTTGTACCACCCGCCAATATCCTCCGAAGTGCTCTTCTTGACCTCTGGTGCTGGAATTGACTCGTTGCTGCCAGACGCCGGCACAAATCGTGGGGCTGGCGCCAGTCGACGCTTGAAGGCAAGTTTCGCCTCGATTTCCCAAGCCTCCGCAGAGTCGCTGTACTGCCCCGTTTCGCGTTCAAGTCTTTCGCGGTCTGCAGGGTCGTAGTGCGATGTAATGATATGTGCAGTTGTCGCCATTTCGCTGTAGTCGACAAAGCTGCGAGTGACGTGACTCGGAGTTACACAGCATAGCCTCTTGATCCGCTGATCACTTTGGATCTGCGCCGACAGCAAGGCCGACAGGACGCGTCCACAAAAGCCGCCCGAGATCTCCCGCACTACCAAATGAGGACTGCGGCCGAAGAGATTCGTCACCACTGCAGACCATATTTATAGGAGCATAATGAAGTAGGCTCAGTAAAATGTCCCCTCGACTCCTTTGGTTCTTTCTCGGTGCTGGCGTCGGTGCGTCTCGTTGAGTGAGGACAAAATAACTCCTCACTCCAGTATAGGTGCCTGGTGGGCGACGGAGAAGAAAATGACTGCCGAATGTCGAGTCCAGCGCACCATAGGCGTCACCATCCCATCTTCTTCAGCGCCAGCCCCGGTCAACACCACGTCTTATCCTGCCCCGCCGGTCTATGATTGGGACGCAGAACGCGCCAAAGTCCGCGAGTTCAGCCAAGCAGCTGGCGATACAGTTAGCTCAGGCTGCCTTAATATGATACCAAGCTTATCATTCCAGGTTGCTGAACTATCAGAAGCCACTTTGAACACGATCCTCCAAGCCACTGAAGCCTTGAAAGCGGTAAGTTATCATCTATACTTCCTGTTTGACATTCTCAAGTAGGTTTCAGAAAATGGCAGAACACAGAGCATTGAGAGAAGCGGAACGCAGGATGGAAGAAGAACGCCGCCGGAACCCACACCGTTTGGTTTGAAGAAAACCCATTATCTTAGCGTCACATGAGGCATCTATATAATATGGGAATATCGTACACTACATCTACTCTCCTCTGTACAAACCAAAGCATGTCATTTTTGTTGCCGCATGAGCACATCGTCAGAGGAAACGACTACTTGCAGCCTCCAAACCCCTCGCTAACCGAAGCATCACAATGTTGCTGGTCAGACTCGAGAACTAACCAGAGAATTATCAGCGTTATGTGTCAAAAATTGTGCGCATACGTACTCCATTGCCGAGAAATACCTCTGCTCCCTCCGCTATCCTCATGTCGACCGCCATACCAACTCCGGCCTGTGCTGGATCGAGGGTAATGTCGCCGCTGGCCCAAATCTCCCTCCATCCATCCGTAATCAACTCTGATCTCACACTGTTGACAAACCAACCCCACGCGTTGGTCAAAATATAGACGCGCTGTAATGGCGGCCGCTCAGGGTGCCTTGCAGCATGTTCCGCTCGGATTTCATGGAGGCGTTTGGCGAGCTGCTGAGGCGAGGGAAGACAGTGCTCAAGATAATGAGCCTCGATTTCTTTTGAAGTAGCCGTCCCGTTGGAACCCGGACCAGCGAGTGAGGGAATGACAAACCGATCAGGGAGAGCGGGATGGGTGTTGACACCCATGTAACCAGAGCCCCATTGCGCGAGTCGATGACAATGTCGTTTGTAATCTCCGCGACGAAGATGGACAGCGACGAGTCCAGCCAACACGTGCTTTATGTCTGAGTCGGATGGCGTGGAGGAGAGGGTGAGTGAGCGAAGTGGGGGGTAGAGCGCGGCGGGGTCGGTAGGTCGAAGTACAGCAAAATTACGGGCAACCGCGCTGTGGACAAGTGGCGACCACGCAAATGCCCCAAGAATTGGGGACGCATATAAGCCTGGCAGCAGCGATAGAACCCGTGGGGAGCCAAACAGAAAGCGGTCAAAGACGGGTTGTTCCGTTGAGTCGATCTCAACACAGCGGACTCCCTGCACATCTGACAGTTGCTTCACCCACCACTCAACAAGTGCACTGCCTTCTGCTTCTGTTGGCGCTCCCATTGCTGATACAGTATGGACAACGCTGCGAGGGCAAACTTGCTCGTAGAAAGCTGCACTAACGGCGCGTTTGGGGGCGGCGAGTTCGTTCGGAGGCGGTAAAGCGCCACCAGCCAAGGGACCGACGATGAATGCGTTCAGAGGTATCCGTGTTGAGCGTAAAGCGAAGTCGTAAATGGTGTAGGGAAGGGGAAGGTGGGACCAGGTGTAGTCTTCGAATACGTAGACCCGGTTTGAGCGATGAGCAACATAGCCCATGACAATCCTGCAAAGAATATGATGAGAACGTGAATTGGGATTATATGGAGGGGGTTTGCGCACGCTTCTTGCAGCACGTTATTCAGCCCATGACCCCACAAATGCCCAGGAAACCGAAGGTACAATGGTGGATCTACACCAGACAGAATGCTAACGTTGTGCTGAGGCAAGGCCGCCTCAAACGCTCGTATGTCGGAGTAGGTAGGTGGGACTCCGCTTAATAGCACTCCGAAGACGAGAAGGAAAGGCATGACGATAATTAGAATCGCCAACCGCCTCAGCGTGAACCAGCGTGTGTATGTCGAGTAGGGTCTCCTGCGTCCTCGTGGTCGAGAGTCATGGTGGGCAGAAGATGTCTCTGGAAGAAGCTCATATTCGTCTTGGTGGCCTTGGCCGGGGAGCAAGCGATGTATAACGCGCCATAGGTTCATGAGAGAGCTGCCGCTATATCTTTGTGAGAAGAGCTTCTGAATACAAAACAGTGTTGCAGACCCAGTTTCTTCGTCTGGCGCACTTGACTGCTCGATACCAAGAAAGAAACACAAAAAACTACCGCAGTCGTCGCAGCAGAGCTGTCACGATCACGCCGCTGCCACCGCTGATAGGATGCACGTGCTCGAAGATGTTGCCCTCCACACCCATAGCTGAATGTATCACTAACTAGACATTCCCGGTAACTACCTTGCGGTCATGATTAAACCGTCTTGGAAACAGTTTGCCACCACCTTCCCACATTCTATGCACTTTTCGGGAAACGCTTCGTCTGAGAACCAATCCTATCGGCACTTGGTCTGGAGACTGCATATTCCAGGCATCCCAGACACACCAAAGCACCAAGATTCCAACAACGCCCGCAATAACACTGGTTATCGTCCTCGCCGCGTCGTTGGTGTCGGTGCAAGTCACCAGAACAGCGCCAAAAAATGCAAGCATTGACCATATCGCAAGCGAATAGGGAAGTGCGAATATTACCGCCAATGGCTCAAGTCCAAATCGTTTGCTTGTTCGTCGATGAACAGATGCGGAAATTGCTGCCGCTGTGTCATGAAACTTAGTGCGATTCTGTCGAACAAGAAGGAACCCAATCATGATAGATCCCGCACTCGCAAGGGTCGAAACGTAGCTGAGCGTTTGCACCATGGTGTGATGGCCGCTTGGCGTCAAAGAATCGACACTATCAATAGAGAGAAACGCGACGTTGGCTGCAAGAATCACTGTGTCCTGGAAAAAGATGAATAAAGAATTTGCAGGTTCATGGAGGAAAGTCGTACAATGAGAATAAAATCTTGCCACTGGATGTTCAGTTTGTTGATGAATGGCTGCCACAGGCGGGCAATCACTAGGTCGTCGATGTAAGCTTTCTCGAGAGCTTCGAGATATGGCCCCGGAGCAAAAAATAGTAGCAAAGAAGCCAGTCCAAACAGACGAGAGGGACGAGAGGGTGTTGCATAGACAGACTGGTCTTGATTTAATCGTGCACAAGGAAGGCCGTAGAAATTGAGGAACTTAGTTTGTGCTACAGTGTGATCAACAAATGAATCAAGTCCCAGGCAACAGACATACCGAAAGAGTCCATGATTTTGGCTATCTTAATGCGTCAACACCGCAAAGGGAACCTAACGGAGAGAAACTTGCCATATGATGTTGCAGATCCCAAGCCACCGACTGAAACTGTTAGCAGATAGCAATACTGTTGTGGGATACCCATACTTTGCATATTTTTAGCGACAGCCATCCAATGCCTAAGCTCGTCCACAGATGCAGTAATGGTAGAAGTTGAAGAGACAGTCATGTCTGTTAAACTAAAAGCCAGGAGATCCTTCAGCTGCCGTATGCCTTCCTCGCAGACGGTGAAACCACTGGGGAACATGATGCAATGCTGCCTGTCCAGACATTAGCTCATACCAATGAATTTCCTCATCTCGCACCAATACTGCGACTCCATAGCATGCCCTGTCCTTAAATTAAACCAAATTGAAGCTCTCGGCGCTAGCCAGATTGCGCTCACGGAGATGAGGCTTGGAGATGGGCCCACGGATCTGGTCCCATATCTCCAACTCTTCAGCCTGAAAAGGTTGAATCCAGAACGGGGTTTGATGCGAGTGGTCGATGAAGTAATAAAAACCAGTGCCCGGTTTCTTCTCAAACGGGTCAATGTCGATAACCAGATCAACTAAACGGTCGTTTCGTATCGGCCCTTCGCCCAGTAACGCTGCGTATGGGCCGGGATCAGTTCCCGAGTCGCGAATGACCTCGACTACAAGTTCGACAACACGTTCGATATTTCTCAGGTTCTCTGGTCGCCCGATGTCTGCGTCGGTGAATATGCGCTGAAATCATGTCAGACAGAAGGAACACAAATAAGAAGATCTTTACCCGGTCTTGATGATGAAAATAACGAGCACCCTCAGGATGAAGGATAGCTGTCCAGCCAATTGGGTCAATATGATCACTGGAATAATCACATTCGTCGTTGAACGGAAAATAGTTTTGAATCATACATGGATAGGTCAAACGTTTCTGGTTGAATGCTAAGATGTTGCTCAAGTTCAGTTTTTTCTTGAGGACTGCGTCGTAATATGGGTCAACTTCTCCTACATTAACAGGGACGCACATAGTTTGCCGTAGTCGGTAACGCGCGAACTGCTCTGGCAGAATCGGTGCGATAACCGCAACCGACGAGTCCGGTCTCTGTAATTGGTACGGAGTGCTGACAGTGACCGAGCTGTGCGACGAGTCCGAACGGGACGGAGCACAGTGTACCGTCGAATAACCGGAGGACGAACCAACCAAGTCAGGAGTGTTGCCTCTTTCAGCCTGCACGGATGCCGCCATCGTCACGGGCATCTCAGAACGCGCGACCCATAGTTGATATTTCCCCTTGTTCCCAGCTAGTCCGTCTATTTTCGAACTCGGAGTGCTGATCGACGTCAGACCAACAACAGAGGCGAGTCGCCAGAATTGGCGTCGAAAGAGGACCCATATCCACCGCCAACGACGCAAGATGCTGGCCAGGGAAATGAGAGACATGGCAAGAGGAAGGAATTGCCGCCTAGGCGAGGTAGCTGTGGAGGCTGCGTGTCTGCAGGTGTCATTTAGCGCCGTGAGAAGCGGAGATCGTATAAACAGGTCGCGGTGTCCCGGGATTGGCCGGGGGGTATTTAAGCGTTGGGGTTGGTGCTCAACTTATTCCGGAACGAGTCAGCTCCCATGACGGGACAACATAGCTCAGAAGAGGCATTGAAGCCAGCAGAAACGGCGGAACCAGAGTGAGAACAACGGGTATTGGGAGGGACTGAAAACACTGAACTGGCTGCAGGTTGATCATCGTGGACAACTGGGTCGAGCCAACGTTCGATGATTCCGACCTTCAAGATGTGATCGATGGCCCAAAACGTGGCAAAGGCGACCCAAAGGGCAGCGCGAAGCCGTCCAACAGCGGCGAAACGGTGAAGCCAACCAGTGGAAGATAGTCAAGGTGATGGTTCAAGTTGAGCACTCACTCGTTACTAACAGTCAGAACTATATCTTACATATAAAGAACGGATGCAGAAAGCTGCTACAAAAGTCAATGTAGTACATTTGTTTTACTTATTATCCAAGTGTCCCGTCTATATATTATGTAATGTCTACCACTTGCCAGCAAGTCGTCCAGCACCCCAAACGAACCCACCTCCGCCAACAGGCAGGAGGAGAGTCCAGACTCCAATATCCCAAATAACACGCCTTCGCCACTGTCGCTTCTGCAGAGCATCCTCTTTGCGCTGGAGGAGCTCATCTGCGGCTGATGGCGTTGCGGGTAGTTGAGGAATGACAATGGACAGGGGCTTCTTGAAGAAGTGCGTGGTGATGTGAATTAGAGCTGGAAGGAAAAAGGTAGCCGCACAGGCGCTGGCGAGTAATATGTCACTGAAGACGCGAGCAACGCGTTCAGGAACGAGGGAGACAGATATCACAAGTACAAACAAGAGATACTTGGAGATGGGCAACATCGTTGACCTTTGCAGTCGTTCAGACACCGGCAGCGACGGTGTTGTAACAAGGGTCGACGGAATGGCGAGAAGAAGGGTAAGAGAGTTGGCTAATGCGATGACCGCTTGCAAATCAAATGGTTCCTGCAGCTGTGTAAATCCAGATAAGAGACAATAGTAACCAGAGGAATCCAACGTACAATGACAGCGTTCATACGGGAAGTAAAAAAGACCAGCGGAAGTGTTAAACCGACGGCAACAGCCACCGATAGGGAAGAAAGTGTGCGAAAAGAGCGTGAGACAAGACTCTTCGAGAGTCCAGAGTGGGGGATGCCGGCTTTGAGCGAGGCATACAATGGCAGTGTTGACGACGACGTGAATATGAACGCCGTTGTAGCTAATAAAAGTGTCAAAGGCAGTTTCCAGGTCATTTCAGAAGAGCGTACTGATCCCTTGCCAGAAGGCTCCCATTCTGAGCCAGCCGGGATTTATTTGCAGAGTCCCGTTCGCATGAGAGACGGCGACACAGACGAACCAGGTTAGATATGTGAGAATGGATGCACCAGTTGCGTATACAACACGCTTAGCCGTAAGAGTCTCGACCGATGCAAATGGGAGTAGCGTCAGCACGAAGACAAATGTCAGCGCTGGCTGGGGAGGAAAGGGCAGATCGTCGGGAAGGAGGGGAAGAATGTTATGAACAGATTCTACTCCAAATCAGTCTTTTTTTGTCTGAGAACAGAGACCGAGACATACCACGAAGATATATTCCAGCCAAAATAACTCTCAGCATGCCTGTTCCAGCCCTGACAAGTGCCCTCAGCCACGCTCGTCGTCTTTCCTTGCCTCGGCCTCGTGCGAACGCATCGAGAACAATATCCTCCAAATCCGCTTTGCGCATATATCGGGCGAGCATGTACCATATTTGGCGGGCGAAGGCAGTCAAAACCGCGAAGATGACGAGTGGTGGTATTCCAAATTTGAGTGGAAGCTGCGTGTTGGGGAGTAACATGGCACCCAGCTTGAGGTATGGCGAGAGTAAATATAGGAAGACGAGCGAGGGGCTCATAGCTGGACTCCAGGACCTCCGGATTTCATAATCTGGACTTTCTGGAACTTCATCTTCGTCGTCCGGAAAGTCAAAGGGAGACGATGGCTCGTCAGATTCGTGAACAAGAATGAGCGATGTTGATGAATTGAAGTTGGACATCGTTGGTGAGTCTTCCTCTTCTCCAGACGAACTCGTCGACAGCCGACGAGGTGGGTCCATGGGTGAGTATGTAAATGGGATGAAAGAGAGAGAGTGCTGCGGTTCGGCGTTTGTGACCCGACGCTTGTCAAACTTGAATGATGATCGCCTTTTGTTCTCTTCCCAGTCGTTCACCATGTCTCCTCTGCTGTCCTGTCGTTCCGTCTTCCATTCGAATGCTGAACTTGTTTAGACAGAGAAACTGTGTTTATACCGACGGCATTGCAATTATAAGACATCCATAAAAACTTAACAAAAGCCCCCTCTAATAATGTGACACATTCCAAGAAAACATTTGTTTTGGCCATAAAAGAAAGCTATGCTCCTCAGCGTGCACGACGCTTTTACAGATAGATCCCTCCACGATCATGGTTATGCTACCAACTTGTGCCACTGCTCAACCCCAAATCGCTCAACCGCAAGCTGCTTCACAGGCAGTTCAAGGTCAGAGCTCTCTCGCCCGCATTCCCTACACCAAGGCGAGTCAACCAATCGTCTCGACTAGGCTGTGATGCTGAACAACTGCAGACACTGCGACTGGGATATATGCGCGCCAACCAACCTTTCTCCCGCCTCCCCAAAGAGTACTTCGAATGCTCTCTGCTCAGCTTCGACCCCCCCGACTTCTTTTATGGCTTTCCCTTTCATGTTGTCGAGAACGACGACGATCTGTCTCTCACCACCGCCAAACTTTCCGCTATCCAGGAAAAACTTCCATACAAGGATCTCCGCGACAAGACGAAGTATGCACCAGTCGGGGCAATCGTGCAATACCTTCGTGAATCGATTGAATGCGAATCCATGCGCTACATCGGGACAAGCATGGTCGACTCAGAGGACGACATTTTCCTGCTGTTCTTCTTCCATGCCTCCTATCTAGCGAGCGAACCGTGCCATTCGGAGTGGATGGACGAAGTCGCAGAGATCGCGATCGACCTTTTGAAGGAAATAGGTTGGGAGGATGTCGGGAAGCCAGGATGGTATCTGAGCGTTCACACGAGGGGGATGGACGACTCGACTGATTATAATATCTTTACTGGCCATGGCCGTCGCTAGTCGATGCCACTTCACGGTCGGCCAACTCGCATATCGTGCGCCCCAGCTTCTGCACTGTTTAAATTTCCTCTTTTCCGAACCAGTTAGCTCCCGAATATTTTTCTCCACTTGACCAAATTCCTCACCGGCTTTATCCTCCTATTCAGGTATGAGCAGTCTCCACGTTGTCTGTCATTGCATACAGGCACCCCACACACGGACACGTGTTTCCCAAACCATGTCTCACTCTCAGCTCGCTCAGCTAGCCACTCGACCACAAGCTGCTCAATCGCAAGAGGCCGCCCAGCATCCAACTCCTGAAAGCATTCTAGTTCCTCTTGACCTCCCTTACAACAACGTATGTAAGCCAAAATGAATCGTCTGCCACTGTGCCACTATACTGAACAATTGCAGACGCTGCGATTGGGGTATATGCGCACTAATCAGCCCTTTTCCCAACTCCCCAGAGAGTATTATAAATGCTCTCGCCTGAGCCTCCACCCCCCCGACTTCCTTTACGGCTTTCCCTTGCGTTATGTGGAGGGCGACGAAGACTTAAGCCTAACCACCGCCAAACTAGCCGCCATGCAGGCAAAAATCCCATACGAGGATCTCCGCGACACGAAAAGGTACCGTCCCGTAGCAGCAATCATTCAATATTTTCGTGAATCAATTGACTGCGAATCCATGCTCTACGTCGGTGCAAGCGTGGTGGACACAAAGGACGACACTTTTCTGCTGTTCTATTACCATGGATCTGTTCTGGCAAACGAACCGCGTCATTTGGAGTGGATGGATCAAGTCGCGGAGATCGCAATCGAACTTTACACGGACCTAGGTTGGGAGGATGTTGGGCGGCCAGTGTGGTATTTGAGCACCCGCACCAAAGGGATGCACAACTCGACCGACTATAATATATCTGCAGCTCATGCTGGTCCCTACTAGTGACACAAGTCAACTTTGTAAACCTATAGTGCTTGCTTATACAACGATGCTACGAACTTGCTCCATATAGGATTGACCACCATCCCAAGCACCTTCAGCCAACTCGCGTATCGTGTTTGCCAGTTTCTGTACCGTTTCCTCTATTCCAAACCGCTTCGCTCCTGAGTATTTTCTCCACCGGACCAGATTTCTCAACAACTTTATCCTCCTATTTAGGTATCGTGTTCGGGCAGGAATCGAAGCCGGGTCAAACGGTGCCGCGCCAACACCTGCCGATCGAGCTTTGCTTGTTGAAACCAACTCATCAACCTCAGATATTGCCGTTTGGAATGATTTATAGACTGTTTGGAGCAATACCTGCAGATTTTTCATCAGGAGACAACTCTTCTCGGCAACCTGCTCACCAGGAACTTCGCGTTACCAGGTTCAACGCTAGCTTCCAATTCTTCTACGAGATCGACAACACGTCTGATCTCCGCATCCGAGTACACGTCCAAACTACCGCCCTCTAAAAGTTTGCAAATCCGGGGTATGACAGCGGTAGAAATCATCGACGCGACCAAGTCGCCATCAGGTCCGAGATCTTCTCCGTTTGGTCTTGAGTATGCATATAGCCTGTTGTACCACTCGAAACTATCAAGACTGCGGGGGTCCTGGATAAATGTCAGCCACTAGTCGAAGTGTTCAGCGACCAACCTTGATTATGTCCCATCCAATCATTTCGAGGCGGACCCAGAACTCCCAAACGCTCACCACACCCAAACCCCCCCATGCCCCGACATAGCTTTCTGCATATTGCTCACGCCAGTCAGACCACCGGCCTTTTCCTGGATCGTGAAACTCCTCTGCTCGAACATCAGACAGTATTTTGCCGGTACGTTCAGTGAGTGATGTGATTGCGTTAGAATATGACTGTTTGTCGTCAGCAGCTAGTGAAGCATCGGTTGAGTATCCCTCTTCATCTTCGTTGGGATGGTGACGTCTATGCCGTGCAAGTCGTGCTGCCCGTCGAGAAGCAGGAGTTGGCTTTGGAATAACTCGGCCAAGATCGTCTGTCTCTTCTTCGGCTGGTGGCTGTGTAATCCCAAGGAATGTACATAGATCGTCTTCGTCGTCAGCTTGACGCCGTTGCTTGATCATATCGTGTCGCTCCTTCAAGAGAGAAATGTGTTCGTCTTCAAGTTTTTCCAAGCGAGGATACTAAAATGTAGTGAGAAGTCATTGTTAATCAATATTAGTAAATCATATACCTTTTCGTCTAGAAAAGCGGCCACACCTTCCACCCATTCTCGAAATTCACCAAACCAAGCACGCTTGATTTCAGCCTTCTCCACCATTTGACGCATTTCCTTCTCGCGTTCATCTACTTCCAGCCGCTCTTGAGCAAGGCTCGTCAAGGTCGCAGTATTCGACGCGTGTGATGCGGTCAGTTGTGCGAGTTGCTGTGCTAAGCGGGCAACTGCCGGCGCTAGTGTTGGCAAAGGTGTCGCAGGCGGAACTGGAAAGCATTATGATATGCCGACTGAAAGAAACCCGGACGAGACCTACTTGGTGTAGGCTTATATATTTCCTGCGCTTTCTTCGCTGGAGGTCCAAACGAGGCATGACCAGCGCGACGAATCTGTTCTTGCTCCCATTCCTCCGTTTCTTCATCGACCTCTTCGCTGTACCCGAGTCACGCCGAGTGAAATCACAGGAAAGAAATGAGCTCACGCGTCAGCAATAAGCTCTTTCATCTCATCTCTCCGTTTGCTAGCCTCAAGCTTTCGTGACTTTTTACCCAGTGCTATCCGCTCTTGTGCACTGGTATACTCCGCAAACTCTGATCAAGCACACTTGGTACAGATAGCAGAAAATGCAAGCGGCCACTTACCGTCATCGCCCTCCCCGAGTTCATCCTCTTCTCTGACCAATCGGCTCTCTGGATGTGGGCCTTGGTCTTCGTCTGACCGTTTGACGACAGACAACGAGATGAAGTCATCTTGAGAAGGCACGCCTGTCTTGCGTAATAAGCCGCGTCGCTCCTTGGCCTGCTTGATGGATGACTCGGAATGGATGTAGACTGCTGGGTCTGTAGAGCGTCAGTAGTGCATCCAATGACAAGGTCAATATTTGACCGTCTTGCATAGATATGTCTGCGGACATATCGACGTCCATGGACATGTCCGCATCGTAGCCATCCGTAGGAATGACGGGCTCTGGCCGCGAAGAAGGGGTGTTGGCTTTGAGTTCATTCAGGTAGGCCTGGTCGTATGTGGGACCGCGATTGGAAGATGCTTCGCCACTCTTTGCTAACCTGTTATGGGTCAAATCCGGCTTGTATGGAAAGGAGTGAATACTATACGCGGGATGTGTGCCCAAGGTCAAGCGCTGGCTGAGATTTGACTTTTTTACCTTGAACACATCACTACTGCTCCCCTCCTGCCCCGGGCCCCCCAACATTAGCATCTGTACTGAGCAGCAAGTAAAACTCAAACCTCGTCAGAGTCACCACCGAAGCTAAGACGGGCCTTTGGCCGAGAAGCGCGTTTGGCCTTGGTTTTGAGACGAGTAGCTAGAGTGCTTGGTGACTCATTCGCAGTGGTATCGTTGTCGTTGATTGTCGTCTCTGTCTCTGGAGAAGAGGCGCGTACTCGTGCAGCCGGCTTCGATCGTCGTTTGAAGAGCAAAGGTTGGTCGGACATGAACGCGTCCAACAAAAGGTAAATCTCATGTCACGTGCTCTCAGGCAGAAAAGACCCACATCTATAAAACGCCCATGATTACAGGCCCCCACGATTACAGACCGACAACGTCAACGACATCTCCATCTTCAAGTTCATAATTCCCAATAGCCTCATCGTTACCAACTCTATCACCATCTATTTCCAGTTTGGGCTCCTTCGCTGGTTCGGCGCCTTTCTTTCCTTTCCCTCTCTTGCGGGGACCCTTGGAGGTGCTAGTTCCTGCGATAACCGCAGGATAATTGTCTGCTATCCCCGCCTTCTTCAGGAATGCTTGCACGATAGTGCCGCATTTAGTGGTGGAGCGGACATTCAAGCTGATATCCTTGTTCGTTGTAAGGGCAGATCGAAGAATGAGCTTGAAGCTGTCGCCGTGGTTATTTTCGTTGGCTCCTTCGCCTCCGCCCTGATGTTCGGCTGCACTGGCTTCATCATGGTCGGAATCCGAGTCAGGTTGTGTGTCGACTTCAATGATTGATGAATCGGTGTCCGACACAACGAGTACACCATCTTCCTCCTCGACAACGGCTGGTTTGCGCTTTACTGGGGAGGCAATGATTGGATTGGTTGTCGAATGAGAACGGATGTAGTCCCAAGTTCCCTGCTCGCAAGCCTCTGGCAGAGATGATTAGTTAAGTATATCAATTTGTCTAAAGAGTTGGGCGAACCGAGTTCAGCGTCATCCCAGAGACCAAGAGAGGCGGGGGAAGCCGACGGGAAAATGCGTGTATGGTTGTGGCTCAAAACAAGATTGGCAAGAAGAATCTTGGCTTCATCTGCGGCCTCATCCATGACCCTGTGGAAATTATCCGTCTATGCATCAGTCAGTACAGTCAAAGCGAGAAATGAATATAAACTCGCACGCGATGGATTTTCCAAATGATAGGTTCTTTCCATGTTGGAGGTCGGGTGTCCTTTGGATGCTGCTTCCAGCTAATCGTCAACTCTATCGTTTCCCTGGACCCCTCAGCTTCTGAAGATTCCTCTCGACCAGATCTTGTCTGTGCAGCGCGCAAGATGCTTTGGATTTCTGGTGCATACTCGATAGAGTTGTTTGCTTCAATAGGGGGTGGCGTTGGTGATCGTGACTGTCGCTCTGAGCCACCACCCAAGGCTTGTCTTGACCAACTTCAGAAACAGATAGCTTATGGGAGAATGAGCCTACCGAACAATGGCTCTAGCATCACGCAGCTGTTGCTCAGGAATAGCAGGAGGTGGTGTCAAGGAACGTGATCGACTTCGTCTTTGTTTGCCCTTCTTCTTTTGCTTTGAAGGTGTATCCAAGATTTCAATATCCGATTCGGAGTTTGTTGAGGGCTCGTTGGAGAGCACTCTGCGGATTAGGCTCAGTGAAAACGCGCCAAGTCGCGTTGGGCAATAGCACAAACCTTCGCATTTCTGCGTGAGCTGCTTGTCGTGTCTTTGTTTTGGACTGCTTCTTTGGACGAGGAGAGTCACTATCATCTTCGGTATCCGAGCGTGGTGTCTTCTTTCTCGACGCGTCTTTGCGTTGGTAAGTCAAATTTGAACGGTTTCAAGTGAGCCTAAACAGCTTACTATCGAGTGCTTCAAATTTCTGCCACGTTGTTGTATCGCGACTCTTGTTGCGAATGAACATGGAATCATCGTCGATTGGCGCATTAGAAGCTGAGGCAGTTTGCGCAACTTTGGCACGAGGAACGGGACGTGGTCGCGGTCGGGGTCGGGGTACAGCCGAAGACATCTTCCGTGACAGAATCACTGTCACGCGTTGAGGGCCGTGCGAAAAATTAAGTCAAATAAAAATACACAATAGGGTAAATACACTAAAAAAATCTACACTCGCAGCTCGACGCGATCCTCTATAAGCTTAGCAACTGTAGGCCCATGTACCGGAATGTAGTCCTCTTGGAAGCCCTCAGGATAATTTACATCGGGCTTTCCTTCTCCAGCTCCTTCTGTGCGATATCTAGGAGAAATGATAAGAATTCAAGGACAGAGGATTGTGGAGGTCTTACTTATCATCCCAGATAGCAAAGTGTTTCATCCCTACGCTGATTTCAGCGGGACTGATGCAGTCGAGGCAACGCAACTCACCAAGAGCCCGAGTGGTCCACTGATAGTCGTGCGCAAACCCTCCAGGGTAAAATATTTCAATAACGGTAGAAATGCGGGTAGGCGGCATCATGACCAGATGAGTTAGACCATTACCATGCACACCGAGTAATATCTGGAGAACATTGAATTTTGTCACTGCAGTCGCTGTATCAACGAACCGTCGTTCGCGCAGCAAGCTGCAGCTGTTGGTCTCTAGTGAGCTTTTCTGCCTCGACGATATTGAGTTCCCAAGATGGCCCCTTGCGCTTGACGAGCTCCTCCAGCGAATGGACAAGTCCCTCGTGCGCTTTGGGAGTCAGTTTGCGACGCTTGACACCCTGGCGGCTGATATAAGTGATGACGATTTTGGACGGCATCGCTAGTTTGGGGTCACCCTCGCGGATGTCGCTATCAAGTGAGACTTGTTCGGTATTTTCAAAAGCATCCACCTCTGCACCGGCAAAACGCAAAGCGGCGGCTCGCAAAGGCTCCCACCAGCCCCCAACACGAATTCCAGCAAGTTGATTTTTGTTGTGCATAGCCTCATAGGCTTCAGCGGCGATGCGTTGTGTCTGGCTGCCGCAAAGTTGTCCTCTGAACGAGGCACTGCGATCAGTCAGAAGGAGAAGTGGGAAATGCCATGCCCGTTCTCCCGTGGAGGTAATACGAACACGATCCGCCCAACCCTCCTCTTCTTCGATTGACGCGCTAGGAAAGGCTGCGCGCATAAAATAGCGATTGAATCCCGGAGAATCGCGCCAACCATCAGCATTCGCGCGGGCGAATATAATGCGATTGATGGGAGGCGGGGGGGAGGGAAAGGCCCCAATGAGTAATCACGCTCTGTATCGTTTGAAGGCGCTGTGAATGCCCCATGCCAGATGGCTTGGGTACCAAATATCAATTCCCTGCTGAGACTCAGACCAAACAACAAAGTCCAAGCAAACGGCATACGCAACGAGGTGGTAATAGTGCCTGAGGAATTGGGTAGGTTCGTTCACGAGTACCTGAGCACTATATTAGCGTCGCCGAAGGTAGCTACAAAGTCTTACCGTATTTCCGTCCACGGAGGACACCCGATTCCTTCTCCCATGGCGCACATCCGCGCCCCATTTCCGCCCCGCCTCCACGGGCGTGATGAAAGACATGCTCCATTGGGATGGTTCGCGAGCTTTGATATTTTCATCTTCGGCCAACGACTCTAACGGTGTACTAATCATCATGCGAATTTCCGGAAATTCGGATGGCTGGTCGGTGACAACGTAGAACGTGTCATTTGACATGAAAATATCTCGGAACACTATGATCAAGCAAGTGAGAGAAGGTAGAAATGAGTTGAGTCGACGCACCGGTCCATCCTGGAGCATGTGCGACTAGAGTTGTGGGTGGAAGGTCAGGCACAAAATCTAAAGGACTGTCGCTACTGGGTCCAGCTGAGGGCTGGGAGACGATAGTGGCTGTAGTTGTAGCCAACGCAGTGGTTGTCGTGACTTGTATTAGGGTGGTGGTTGTCCCTTTGGTGTGGAAGACAATCTTTTCTGGCGGTGGAGGGTCTGGAGGGAAGTTGTCGCGGTTGGATTGTTCGATGAGTATTTCTTGGGGCGCGGAGTCATGCGAAAAGAGCAGGGAGAGAATGTGCATGCATGAAGCGCCCAATAGCAAGAGAAACACTTCTCTGCGTGTTAACGAGTGACGGAGAGCCATAGAGTCAATGGCGGAGGGTATGCGGGAGAGACGATATATGAGGCCAAAAGTGGCCGTCAAAGCGGGTGGAGGTGATTGCACGGGATACCTACCACAGAAATAGGTTGTAAAAGGGCATGAAGCAAAGCTCTGGGAAGGGAATAACAGCAGACACGGCCAACAACTCGACAATCACTCATCATGCCGATGAAGTGTTCTCCGTCTTTCCTGTCACTATGTTAAAGCGTCAAAGGAGCCTTTGCTTGCAAGAAAATTTTAAAAAGATTCCCCGATGCGGATTTAATGTTACAGTATACGCATTCATGGCAAGCGGCCGTTCAGAGCGTCGATGGACTGGAAGATCAGTTGAACGTTCAGCGTTGAATGACTTGTCACGAATTGATCGCTTGTCACTTCCGGACCGTCTCTGAAGGGTGGATTCTATGCTCACAAAGAACTCTGACTTCCTGGCCGGTCCGCCAGACGGACGTCGCGCCCCCATCGCGTCAGCTGATGAACCGTGAAGCTTCAAGTGAACTACTGCAGTGCCCTTGTCTATCTACAGTCATGGTTCGCTTTTGTCGCTACACTGCTATAGTAGGCCCCGGGAAGCTCCACCAAAGGGTGCTTCAAAAAATTTCCGAATTTTGGCCTCAAAAACCCAATTTTTTGGGCCCCAAAAACCCATTTTTGAAGAAGGATCGTGACATGTAACTGCGTGACACCTGCCAAAAATGGTAATTTTTACAGGTATCAAAAAGTGTCTTGCGGCGGTTTTACCTTGAAACTAACACTCTTTGCGGTGATTCACCTCTCAAAAAAAGGCATCTGTTACTCGGTGAGACGCTGGTGCACAGGCCAGTCTAAAACTTTCCTGCGAACCTCCCCAAGGCCTGAAAAACCCATATCTTGAAGAAGGTTTTCAGAATTTTCATCTCAAAAACCCATTTTTTGGACAAGGAAATCGCGATTTTTGGGCCTCAAAAACCCAAATTTTTGAATCACCATTTGGTGGAGCTTCCCGGGGCCTGCTATAGTTCTACTTGGCGCACTCAGCACGACTGCAACTACTGTCGGATCGAGTGTGTTTCGTTGGGATGCAATCGAATATGTATATGCCTTCGGCGACTCGTATACCTTTGTCCAAGGAACTCATGGATTCCCCAACTTTAGGTAGATCTTGCTTTACCTGCTACGACCAGCTGACACCAACAGTTTTGTTGGCGACTCGGGTGGCTACACTACACAAGAAGCGCTGACGAGTACAATCATTCCCAAAAACGTTTGATCATTGGTTTGCATAAGATATCTCTGACTTTCTCTATCCACAGACAAGTTCTGAGGGCTCCAACTGGGTCATTCGTCTCCTCTGCATTTTTCTAGTCTAACCAATTAAACTGCTCCAGATCGAATATCTAACGGGCTGCTTCGAAGGCTCGCCATTTGGTTGTACGAAACATTTGTGGAATTTTGCGTTCGCTGGTGCGGATATCACTGCTGCTCTGTTTGCTCTTTTCAACACCCTCAGCGTCCACGAGAAGCTCAAGTTCTCTAGACTCCCGCTACACCACAATTTCACGACCTCTCTTGTTGAGCAAGTTAACCAATGGACGAAATTCGCTTCCCGTGCCATCCCTCATCCTCGTCACAAGACTCTGACCGTCTGGTGGATTGGCATAAACGACACTGGCGACACCTTCAAGAACGCTTCGGTAAGCCTCTGTCCGACAATTGCCTCGACTCACGAACGCAGATCACCAACTTTCCTGCTTTCTGGGAGACTGAAATGGTGGCATACTTTGATGCGGTGGTAAGCTTTTATATTTCAACCTTTGCCCTGATTTCAACCGCATGTTTCTAGCAACTAGCGCAAACCAACGGACTTGATACACACCTTTTCATCAATGTTCCTGCGGAAGAACGCAATCCAAGTTTCGTTGGCAGCTCCAATGCCGCCAAGTTCAAGCAGAACATCGACCAATTCAACACAGTGCTTGCGGAACACGTTCAAAGGTTCAAAAACACCAACCCAGGTACACAGACTTTATCCTCTGGCGCATTTGGCTTGATCTTTCTAGACGCTGTCGTCATGACCTTCGACTCGAACGCACTTTTCAACTCAATCCTTGACAGTCCTACCGAGTTTGGGTTTACCAACACTACTGGATTTTACACATGCGCCGACCCAACGGGATTTTTTTGGTATAGTGAGTGCAGAACTGCACTCGCGTTTGTCTTAAGAATGATGAATCAGATTCTGGACACCCGACCCAAGCTGTTCACAAGCTTATAGCTCAAGCTATCGAGGCAGAATTACGCAATCCAACATTCATAGGGACATCAACTACTGAGTTTATGTACAAAGAAACAATAAAATACGACGAATGAGTGTAGGTGTACGTTCCAAAAGACGAGACAGAGGCAATAAAAAAGGCAAGACAATTTACAATTATCTCCCGAAGGAAATTATCTTGAATGCAATGTCCTTAGAAGAAAAGGTATGTTGTGATGAAGACACCGAGAGCAATGATAACGACAACTTGAAGGGGTACGCCCTCTTGGATGGGTGCTTCTTCCAGAACAGCCACATCAACGGCAGTAGCGTCTGACAGTTTCCTTGTCCTTCGTCTGAGCTCTGCAGGGGGTTGCGAAGTAGTCAATAATCCTCGCAAACGCTCTATCTCAGCTTGAGCCTCAATGTATTTGCTTGCGTAATCCTCTGATGGCGGTGATGGGCTTGGTTTGGCAGCCGGTGTCGGCACTGATGGCGTGCGGACGGGTGCAGGGGGAATGGGAGTAGAAACGGGTGCCGGTTGGACGGCCGGCTGGGAAACCCTGACCGGAATAATGACTTCTGGCTCTGGAGGGGTGATGACAACTCCAGGCGCTTTAAATGGAGGCTCCTCGTGTAGTTCTTCTTGGGCCACGCTGAAATCGCCAGGAGGAGTCGATGGCCGCGCGGCGATGACGGAGTCTTGCGTAGTATCGCCATTGACAGGTAGACGTTGGCGAACCGTCGCATAAGCCTATGCACAAGTGAATTGAGCGAGCATACTCGAGCAGGAGAGAGATAACAAACCGATTCCTGACGAGAAGGATCGTGCAATTGCTGTAGATTATCAACAAAGACAGTTGAAATGAAGCCAACACAACGCACCGAGTCCGCAGCTGTCATTGAGGAGCTCAAGTTGGCATGTGGTTCCTCGTCCTCCTCGACCAATGTCTGACCCTCTGGCGGGAGATACGTCACCCGCAACTTCTGCTGGTGGACCTTTCCTTCCTCGTTAATATCGGATCCACTCCACTTGAAGCATAACTCAGTACAATAATTTGAACTGCAGCAAGATATACGCACAATGTCCTGAACAGACATGGCTTCCTTGTCGGGAGATATGAGCGTGCTCTGGATGAGAAATTTGTCTTTGCATTTTGCGCCAGTTGGTGGCTCGTCCTTGAGCGGTTGTAGCATGACTGTAGACGACTATTAAACGTGGGGACGCGCAATGGCTGATGACGCACCCGAAACATCCACACTCTGGCCAGGCTCAACTCGTCCGGTATTAGGGCGCACACAGTAAAGCTAGTAGTTGTCGTCAAGAAACGGGTCTCGGCAAGCAAGAGCGCGCGCCGAACCTTAGGAGCAGTGGTTTTGACCTTGAATGCAACTGGCTGGCTATTGTGATTGGATATTGTTAGGGATCGTTTGACGAGTGTTGTGAGAGGTCCTGAGGAAATGAGAGAAGAACGGGGCCAGGGAATATTGCGCACTATGGAAACCGAGGGCATGGTTGGGGGTCAGTGAAACAGACATGATGTTTTTGGTGGAGGTCGGGAACTTGAAAGGGACGCGTGTCACAACGTCACAACGATCTGCTAACAATCGAAGACTTGTGGTCGTAGAAAAGAGTCTATACAGTGTGGATTATACTAGTTGTAGTCTAAATGTGGGTAAACTATGCGTGGTCTCGTTTCGAAAGAACCTGTAGTTGCACGTATTCAAAATAATCTCCCCGTCTTGCTAATAATTGGTCATGAGTTCCGGATTCAGATACTCGTCTAAAAGAGGTCAGAAAATGAGATGAAACAGGACAATTCACAAACCCTTCTTTGATGAAGTAGCTGAAGCGAAATGTCAGGCAGGAAATTGAAAGAGAGGCTAGCAACACGTACATCCGGTCCGCATTTTGAATGGTCGACAACCGATGCGCAATGGCAATAGTTGTTCTACCTTTGGCTGCTTGGTCGAGGGCGGCCTGTACGACTTTTTCTGAGTTGGAGTCGAGCGCAGAGGTCGCCTCATCCAACAAGAGTACTTTAGGATTCCTCAACAAGGCACGCGCGATAGCGATACGCTCTGAGAAAACGTAAGCAACAACCTTCTGTACAACATAAATGAAAACAGACGCTTCTGTCCGCCCGATAGTTGACTTCCCTTGCCTCCGACTTCAGTGTCAAAGCCACTAACAGCAAGTCAGAGCTGTGGTGAAAAAAGTAGATACGTGACTTACTCTGGGAGTGACTGAATGAATTCGAGAATGTTCGCGTCGCGGCAAGCACTCTCCAACTCTTCCTGGGTGATATCTTCCTTGATGGCGCCGAGTAAGATATTGAATCGTATTGTTCCAGCGTAGAGTGTGGGTTCTTGAGAAACAAGAGCGATCTGTTTCCGGTACTCTTGAATATTCAGTTCGGTAACGAGTTCACCGTCCAACTACGCATGTAAGCGTCAATTTTCAAGCAGATTTGAAGACGCACGAATATTTCCCCAGCGAGAGGATCGTAGAAACGCTCGATCAGTTGGATTCTAGATGCCATTTAGTTGGCGAGTAAGTAACGATGGGAGAGAGACCTACACAGTGCTCTTGCCGCAACCACTAGCGCCGACTAATGCGATATATGTCCCAGGCTGAACCTCAATAGACAACTCGCGGAGAACACGGACGGCAGGGCGGGTAGGATAACGGAAATGGATGCCTTCGAGACGGAGATGGCCTTTCGCCACACTCGGGTCGACTTTCTTCCCGGCTGACGATTCAGCATCAATTTCAGGAACAGCGTCCAAAAGTCGAATGATATCTGAGGCAGCACCCTTGGCAGACGACATGTCGGGAACGAAGGAGAAGACATTTCCGGCCTGGATCGCGGAGAATGTAGAACACTACGTATAGAGGTTTAGACGATTTGCAAATCAGATTGTTGGGCTGGCTCTTACCATAAGACCGACGAAAAATTGGAAGGTAGAAGCTTCGCGCCGGGAAACCAGCACTGCACCGTACCAGAATACGAGTGCAATAACGAAGAAGATCATACTTTGCGACAGCGAGTAGAGAAGATTACTCCAAATGGCGGTGCGATTTGACTCGCGCAGCGGCTCTTCTAAACTCTGGCTGTACAAGTCGCAACAGTCATCTTCACGCGTCAAAGAAGCCACAGTGCGGATAGCTGCTGCGGCTTCACAAGCAAGTTGCGCAGAGGCCTCATGGGCCTTCTTGTTTTTCTGGTCTTTCAAGACGACAACACGCTAGAGACCATGAGAAGTCTATTCATTCCAGCGGGATGCGCTTACGAGACGAATATAGCCAGCGGAAACAAGGAATGGTGTACATGCTTGAGAAAGTCAGCGCAAGCATTCCACATCGAAGTTAACGACATACCGAGACCGACAAGACCGAGTTGCCAAATGATCGCCAGACCAATGATAGCGCCGGCCAGAAGTGTGGCGAAACTTTGCACGATACTAGACCAAACATCAGTGATGGTGCATGTCGAAAACAAAGTCACGAACGCGCCGAGCGTCACTCCAGCCAATCCGTTAACTTTTTGGGGATTATCGCTGAGAGAAGAGGTCAGACCGCCTGCACTGTTCTCGTCTTTATCGAAGAACTCGACTATTTTATATGGTAAGTATCAGTATTCCATAGGTTGGTGAGAAAGCGTACTATCTTGTCGGAGGATGGCTTTGAAGCTGAGTTGACGAAGTCGCATTGTTAGAGTAGCTGCGGCAGAGGAGAACAAGTAGTTCTGGAATCCGATACAAAATGTAGAGAGGATGGCGATGATGAAGAACCAAAGGGCATTGCGGTCGCCTGCGTGTCGACGAGCATGACCCTCCAATTCGAAACCATTGATACCCTTCGCTGAATAAAATGTTCATGGTCAATTTAGTTAATCGAACAAGTCAACGCACCATACACAATCCCGAAAGCCGGGAATACGCCGCCAGTTCCAATAGCGCAAACCGAGCCCAAGAAGTAGCTCCGCCACCCTTCCCGATACATACGCCCAACCCGCTTGAACAGATAGAACAAACTGTAATCTTGCTCCTTGTCATGCTCTTTTTGATTTTGGAGACGCTTCTCGATAAGATCGCTAGCAAGGGAATGTTGACCGGTGTTTTTGCGACCGAGTGGGATTTCTTCTCGCGCAGCCTTCTCCAACTCCGCTGCTGCTTGAGCCGTAGCCTCCGCTTCATCGTCCTGAGATTCAGCACCCTCGCGGTCTTGAACTTCACGAAGTTTCTGTGCATGAACGAGCCTTGCATAAGCCCCGTTCTCGTCTGAAAGGAGTTCATCGTGGGTACCCTTTTCAAGGACCAATCCGTCGCCCATTACAAAGATCATATCTGCGTCCTTGATGGTAGACAGACGATGGGCAATAGTGATTGTCGTGCGGCCTGCTGCAGCCTTATCGAGGGCGTCTTGAACAATGCCTTCGGACTGAGTATCAAGTGCACTAGTAGCCTCGTCGAGAAGCAAGATGCGAGGATCGGAGACAATGGCCCGAGCAATAGCAACACGCTGTTTCTGACCGCCACTGAGAAGGAATCCACGTTCACCGACCATGGTATCATAGCCGTTGGGCAATTTGGAGATGAACCCATCAGCGTTGGCTTTGATGCAAGCTTCTTTGATGAGGGCGAATTTTTCTTCCTCCGAAGCGTGTTCGTATTTCGTATTGATGAGGCCGTGGGCGACGTTGCCTTTGATAGTTGTGGCAAAGAGTGTGGGCTCCTGAGAGACGAGGCCAATTTGCGATCGCAACCACTTCAGGTTGAGATCTTTAACGTTGACACCATCCAGAGTCACAACGCCACTTGTTGGATCATAAAATCGTTCAACCAGCGACACAATTGTCGACTTGCCAGATCCTGAAGCGCCAACCAATGCACAAGTTTTACCGGCTGGGAACGACAAGGAAAGACCTTTCACGACTGTGACGGTGGGACGCGACGGGTAGCTGAAGAAAACGTTGTCGACGACAATCTCGCCGTCGACATTATCAGGCTTCAAGCCGTCTGGGTTGGCGGAATCGATATCAGGAACGCGGTCAATGGTGGAAAAGAGTTTGGCAGCAGCTCCTCGACCGTGGTTGATGGCTATTCATTGTTAGTGCGAACGGAGGTTCACAGCCAAGTCAGCGTACCTTGCATTTCTGGTGCCAGAAGAGCCAAGCTGAAAGATCCAATCAAGATGGCCATAAAAACGTTAATGACCGCTCCTGGAGAGGCATGGCCTGAGTTAATGAGTGTGGTTCCAAAGCTAAATGCTAAAACAGTTCAGAAAGCAACGAAACATGTACCCAGTAAGCTCACCTAGGGCGTATGCACTATATATAATGAAGAAGAAAACAGAAAGTCCTGCACCATGCCATACGGCTGCCTTGAGATCCGAGGTCTCGGACTGAGCGATGTGACGATCATAGAGACTGATACTACTATCAGATAGGCAACATGGAGAAGACTTGAAACAAACCCGGAGAGCGTCTTTTGACTCCCAAACGCCTGAGCTGTGCGGATGGTGGAAATCACCTCCTCTGCCATACTGCCGCTGTCGGCTACATGCTTTAAAGACAGCCTGGTAAAAATCAACGGGGGACCACATGGAAAGAATTGTGAAACGACATACTGCATATACTTTGAGATCGCTTTGTTCATAACCCCTCCAGTGACAGCGATAGCGGGTAAAATCGAGCTCATGGCTAGGGCAAGCCTCCAGTTGCGGATGTAAGCCACGACGAATCCAGTTACAAAGGCAGCCAGGAAATTGACAACCAATGCAACTTTCTCGGATATTCCTTGTTGAACGAGATCTACGAGATCGTGAGCTTATTATTACGGGATGGATTGAATAGGCCGACGTGTGTCCGTTTGAATGCGAGTTGCGACTTCACCAGCGCCAACCTTGTCGAAGAAAGCAATGTCTTGTCTCAGAACGGCTTTGAGGTAACGTTCGCGTATCCGCTTGGCGTTGACTTCAGCAGTGTACACCCAGAGGTACATGTAAATGTAGGTGCAAACGAACATTCCCACGCCGATAATAACCAAATAAGTTGCGAGTTTGCTAGCTTCATGTCTGAAGGCTCTTGCAGCCCCTGGAAGCGCAGCCTGGGCTGTGGCAGCGGTGTTGGAGTCGGGATTGTTAAGGTTCATGATGACGACGCCGAAATGAACGAATTGGTTGACGAGATTTCCGAACAAACTGGAGGATTGAGCGTGTTGGAATAGAGAAAGAAGGCCGGGAAACGCACATTGTCATGAGCGGTTGAGAGGCACCCGCAGCGGCGGCAGCGACAAGGCCAATAGCATCTAGGAAAAGTTCTAATGGAGTGGAAAACCGAAATAGTTGGGTGAAGGAAACGGGAGGCACAGCTGGCTCTGCAGGAGGGACATCAGTTGTCGCGGTCGTTTCTGAATCTGTATCGGAGGCCTTTTCCACGTCCTTGGGTTTCCTAGACCAGAAGCTCCGTTTTGGACTGGCTTTGGCCTTTTCGTCGACAGAATCAGTCGAGGACATGGTGAGGGAACAACGAAGATAGCCTGTGCACGCGCATGGTACTTTTAAAGTGATCGAAGGCGCAGCCGCACGTAGTCACTGATGACTCATCCAAGCCGAAGGCAGAACGGCACTTGCGGGCCGGAGAGTTCGTGACAGCGGAGGCAAAAATAGATTACCCACCATGCACATTTCAGATATGTAGCTACAGAAGCTGTTTGTTTACTAGTTTTCGCCCAGCATTCGGGAAAATGTTCCCAGATGCTCAAGGAGTAACCGCAGAACCGAGAGAAAATCATTGGCTGATCCTGCTGGATAGGAACATATCGAAAGTTGACGTCCCCTGATGGCCGCACTGCCGCGGCCCAGCCCATCTTTGGAGGTACCGACTGGGTACCGACGTTCACTGTTTGACTCAGTCTGACGATTCTTAATCTTGGCTTGCAGCGTTAATCCGTCTCCGATGGATCAATATTCTCGAGGTAATGCAAGGTTCGAAATTAGAGGAAGGAATCACAGATTGCGAGATGAATCTAGACTAGGTAGTTTAAGCAGCATAGGAGAAGCTTGCTGTCGGAAGAAAGAATTGCGAGTGGGACCAAGGATACATCGCTCATAGTATCAAAAGTTAACCAAAACCAGGCAATGAGTGTCGGTTCAGTCGCTACCGGTACCACGCCTGTAGGTGTCGCTGATCCAAAGCGAGTATACCTAGCGAAACTGGTCCCCAAACTGGTCCGACGATGTCGATAAGTAGAGGGAACGGAAGGAGCTGCAAAACGGGCCGATCAAAAATTCATTTTGGGATTTGGCACAAAAAATGAATGGTACGGAACTGATGGCACTCGTCACAACTCTAGAAATCTCGCTCATCTCGTTGCTCTGGAAGCAGGCTCTACACTCCGTTCTCTAATTTGTGCGCTGTGTGCCGCCTCAATCTGATTCTTTTATTAAACTTTTTCAGAAGCCGCCTATCTTTGTCATGTCCTGGAAGCTGGGAAGGAGCAAGAAGTCGTCTGTGGTCAATCTTCGTGCAGAGAATGACGCCAGCGCAAGTCCTCGCTCCACCACGCCAACTCCGGCCAATAGCAAACCCAGTCCCCGTTCTGGTTTGCTTGGAAAGTCTTTCGCCATTCTGCAATTTGTTCCCACTTCTAATTTGCCCACAGCTATCAGAGTAGCGTGGGCTGAGGGACTCGCAGTGCCTGATGGTGGTGCTTTGCCTCCCGCTGTTCAAGCGGCTCTCGACTCTCAGCAGGCCAAAGTGGCTGCTGCCGTTTCTCCGTCGAGCGTCACCCAGCAACGTCTTGCCAACAAATCGCGAGGCAACAGGTCTCTAATGCACCCATTCATGTTCTTCCCGCGGCGCTGATCAATTCAATAGAGATTCCGTTCAACGTGCCCAATGCTGGTGGCTTCCGTACCTTGTCATGGAGTACGAGGTCAATCAAGTTCTCATCACACCGCTCGGTGGCGAAATCGACAAACCCATATTCATGTATCAGGTTCACTTGTTAGTCCAAGTTTGCTCGGTGTTCCGTTCCGGCTGACCAACTTTATCTAGCGATGTTTCCCGAAACTCTGAAATATCAATGCAATGCTATTTGCGTGCTGAGGAACCGAAACGAGGAGAGGGTGCTGACGATCTGGGGAATGACGTTTTCATGGGCGGCATCAAGGTAATGTCGATGTCAATCCCAAGTTACCATCGCCTTCCAACTTTTTACTCAGTTCATTCCCAATTTCGACGACGGCGGCCAACAGGATCAGTGGTACGACCTCGTCGGAGGTCCGGGCAAAATCCAGATTGGCGTCTCCTACCAGCCGATGACTCAGTCCTTGTCCATCGAAGACTTTGAATTAATCACTGTCATTGGAAAGGGCAGCTTTGGCAAGGTCATGCAAGTCCGCAAACGCGACACTTCCCGTATCTATGCGCTCAAGACCATCCGCAAGATGCACATTGGTTTGCGGATAGCCACTTGTAGTATCGTATACTAATTCTACACCAGTTAACCGCAATGAAATCACGCATACACTTGCAGAGCGCCTGGTTCTTGCCCAAGTCAACAGCCCATTCATCGTACCTCTCAAATTTGGTTTCCAGTCAGAGCAAAAGCTCTACCTCGTACTTGCGTGGGTTTGCGTCTGTCAGTCCTAAACCATGGTGTGATATTTGGCTAGCTTTGTCAATGGAGGAGAGCTTTTCCATCATCTCCAACGAGAGCAGCGATTCAACGAGGAACGTGCGCGGTATGCCAGTATTGTCTTATCCGTTTCATGTTTATAATGCCTTCTAGCTTCTACAGCGCAGAACTACTCCTCGCACTCGAGCATCTGCATGAGCTCGATGTTGTCTATCGGTTCGTAGTTTCGGCCCTTGTTATGCGACCGTACTAATAACACGATCAGGGATCTGAAGCCCGAAAACATCCTTCTCGATTTCACTGGCCATATAGCTCTGTGTGATTTCGGCCTTTGCAAGCTGAATATGAAGGCGGACGACAAGACCAACACATTCTGTGGAACTCCAGAATATCTCGCTCCCGAAATCTTGAATGGCCATGGCTACAGTAGGTCCTCGCATTGATTGGAATTTCTGTTGATATTGCTCTGTAGACAAGGCAATCGATTGGTGGACATTAGGTGTCCTCCTTTATGAGATGCTCGCGGGTTTGCCTCCCTTTTATGATGGTAAGACTTCGGGTTGAGATGATATACTTTATGCACGCTCTCATAACCTTTCTCAGAGGTGACGGATCGCATGTATGAGAAGATTTTGAACGATCCCCTCGTCTTCCCACCCGAAATCGGTCCAGAGGCTCGGAGTATTCTTACCCAGCTCCTTGACCGCGACCCCACGCAACGGTTGGGCGTTAATGGCGCATCCGAGATCAAGAAGCATCCATTCTTTGCAAGCATGGACTTCAAACTTCTTAGCCAGAAGAAGCTCCAGCCCCCATTCAAGCCGAACGTTACTAGCCCAGTGGTATGGCGACTGACCAGTCTCATTGTATCATGGCTAACTCCAGGAATAGGATGTGTCTAACTTTGACACTGTGTTCACGGTTGAACCACCAGTCGACAGTGTAGTCGAAAACTCGAATCTTTCGGAGACTGTGCAAGCACAGTTTTCGGGTTTCTCCTACTATGGAGCAAACATTCCTGTTGGTTCTGTGCAATCGTAAACGGTTGCCATCTTCCTCTCAACTCAGCCCCAACTCTCATTTGCACATATGCATACTGTACCCTCTCACGCATTCATTTTAATCCCCTCCGCCCAGCGATTCCCGCTAGTCCTACGCTCGTTTAATGTGGCTATAGATCTATAATACTCTGTCGTTTTGCTTTCGTTATTATTCCCCGGATCTCTCACTCACATACACACAGTATATATATCAAGGAATTTGCATCTGTTCTTTTATCATCTGACCGTTGAGTTTAAACATGTTTGGTGGACTGGGTCTAAAGCCGGTGACAATGCTGATATAGCAATGACAATATTCTGGAGCACGGTCCACTTCGTAGTGTAATGGTACCACACTGTCACTCCTAGACAGCGACGCAGGTTCGAGTCCTGTCGGAGTGGGCCTTCTTACTTTTTTTTTATTTCTCCCATGTGTTCCCTGATCGGCTAGACTGCCTCGCCTGTTCTGAGTCTAGGGTTCTATGTCAAACCTGCAGATAAAAGGCCAGAGATTGTGCATCCTTATCGACACTAGCAACGGCCATGCGTGTTTGCCGCCAGGGAACCAGTTTGTCTCACTGCTTGCATGGTCAAACCACACATAACGAAGAGTGCAGGAACATCTGAAGCAGACGGCTTCGTGAAGCTGTCTAGTCGAGTTGTAGCCACAGACGCGGGACGGTGGAAGATGGATGTGTTCAATGTAAGTGCTGAGTATATCTACATTTTGAGTTCCTAATGCCCACCAACGATTAGCCTGAGACTCGCCAACAGGTCAGCCTTCCAATCCAGGTGAAGATCGGGAATGGGTACGTCGATGAAAGCACATGTATGCCACTTCCCAACACCTTCTTCAAACGCAGCCCAGATCAAGCTCATCAGCCATTTTGGACGAGGTAAGCAAGAAAACTTGGATTGCAGGAGTCGCCAACACAGAGGACGTTCAGACAAGGGAATTTCACGGTCTTTCCGTGTCATCATACCCATTATGGGCCACCCACTGCGAGACCGCCAATGATGTAGTAAGCTCATGTCGTCGATCGACAGTCGTTCACTAAGACGAATTTCGCAGCGTATGGATCAAAGTGGGGAACCCGGGAGTTCCAGTGTATTATCGCTTGTCGCGCGAATAGTCCGCTAGACTCGATTACGAGCAAACAATATATGCAGTTTTCCAGAGAGGTCCTGATGATGTGTTCGGAAGCAAAACGAAGATACAGTTTGAGCCAATTTTGTGTGATGACCGATCAAAAGACGCGACTCGCTTACAAACTCGGGTTCAACTTGAACTCCAACACCCATGGACTACTCACACAATTCGAAACAAAACAACCGTAGCCGCTGGCTCACCATCGTCGCCGGCGTTGCAGCGGTCCTTCTTATCCTCAACATATTTTTGCGCGACAGTCGTTCCCACCCAGAAATCACCAAGGTCGCGCTACCCATCTCCCTCTTCGCTTCCCTACGTTGGCCGACCATGTCCACTTCTGCAGGCGGTTGCTGTTCTCAAAGGAGACTCTCAAGTAACCGGCACCGTTACATTCCAGCAGACCTCAAGTGGGGTCACAATTTCTGGTGAACTACGCAACCTCGACCCCCTTGCATTGCGAGGCTTTCACATCCAGTGAGTCGCCCATTAGATATAGAATCATCCACTGATTCAAATATTCTGCTAGTCAGTCTGGAGATCTTTCTGGCGGCTGTCTATCGGCTGGGCCACACTTCAATCCGTTTGGCAAAACCCATGGCGCTCCTTCAGATTTCCAGCGCCACGTCGGTGACCTAGGTGCTCACACGCCTCTCAAATTCCGCTGTTGCAGGACACTGAGGCTCAACAGGTAACATAAAATCCGACGAGTTTGGAGTGGCAACGTTCTCCATCGAAGACACTCTTATTGCCCTCAACGGACCGCTCAGTGTTCTTGGGTCAGTGATTCGCTCGACGAAAACCATATCCCGTAGTAACTTGACCAGTCGAGCGGTTGTCATCCACGCAGGTACGGATGATCTGGGACGCGGCGACAACGAGGAGAGTTTGAAAACAGGTAATGCTGGTGCACGCGCTGCATGTGGTGTTATTGTGAGTGTTTTTTTTTGTTTATTTCCATTTCATGATAGTTATGGAAACTCTCCAGGGAATATCCAGTGAAGCGTGACAGACTTGTAATACGAACCCTACAAACACTTTTTGGACGTCATCAGCAAAGCTTGAATGAACACAGAAACCGAACGCGGTACCTGGTAATAATAAGGCGGTGAGACAGCATTACATGTGCTTCCAGTCGCGCAGGCTGTGGGTCCAGTGTATCCAGTGCCCTACCGTCGCATTAACCTTTTTTCATACTCGAAAGGAAACATGCGTACTCCACACTGTCCGTACTTCGTTTGTGTCGCTTGTGGAGCGCTGCTTGTGCTAGAACTTGAAGCGATGGACGAACTAGATGACTTGACGGTGCTGCTTGCTGACGACGATCGACTAGAACTAGCGCTTGCGCTTGAAGATGAACTTGCCCCGCCGCCGCCAGTGCCAACAGATGTGGTGATCGGAGCCTGCTCGATATAAACTCCGCTGAAGTACCAGTCTTCCAGAAATTGAGTCTCAATCAGTTCGAAAGCTCGCCACTCACCCTCTGGAGTGCCACCGTTGACGAGCCGAAGAACGCCAAGATGCCTAAGTTGTTGAGATGTGTTAGAGGCTGAGGAAACAGAGCACTTACCAGTCCGCAGAATTGGTGGACGTAGACGCAGCGATGTTCTGAACTACTTTGACCAAAGGATTCGAACCAGTGGATGCCCACAATCCGACCGTGGAGGCAGTAAACTAGCAGTTGTGTCAGCAAAGGGTCACAGAAAGGTGGGCCTTGAATTACATCGATGTCATAGGCAAAGTTAAACCAGACTCCAGGCGTGAATAGCGTGTCCCAGTGGCCGACACCTCCAACCTTGAAAGTGATGATCAGGCTGCGTGGCATGAAACGCGGTCATATGACGAACCATCCACGTGAGGTGTGTCCCGTTGTTCACGCCATATTTCAACTAATTCCCGTCGATTTGCGCGATTTTTAGCGTGGCAGAATCATACCTCTGTAAAATGACTCTCGAAGAAGCAGACCTTCAAGCATTTTTAGCGATGGAAATCCGACTCATCAAGGTTGCAGTTTACCTGGTGCTCAAGGGTTGACTAATAGCAGATGCTATGGTAAGCATAGCATGAAAGGACCGAAAAACCACTTACATCTGGAAGGTTTGTGCTTGGATGGGATATACTGAAATGATACAATCTAGTCCCATGAGGAGTGTTCTGTGTTGGAAGAGCATAAGACACACAGGTTTCCCGCTCCTAGGTTTGCCGTTGTCTGTATTGCATCCTTTAGTCTTCATCGTTCCCCCATTGAAAAATAACATTACCTGAGGAATCAATTCTGTCCTCTCGAATTGCGAGTTCCAAGTAGAGGTGGTGTCAATTGTGACGCGAAGGCCCCGGGTTTCGTTGGTAGTGGCGGGATTCTTGAAGGAAGGGTCCACCGCAAGATAGTGGCTCGTGTTCTGTGAGCCGTGGATATACCACTGATATGCGCCGACTTGATTTGCCCATGACCCTATACCACAGGATAAATGAACTAGGCATGTTCTCTTTCAATCGTGGGTCTCACAGTTGTCGAAGCTGCTGGCTGTTGGGTAGGCGTTGAAACTGCCTGACCAGAGAGTCGTCCCAGCCTTGCAAGAGGCAACAAACAGACCGAGAGCAGTAGCGATGCGAGTCATTTTCGCGAGTAACGGCCTTATCTGCTCAGAGTCTTACTAGTATATAGGCAGGGGATTAACATCGGCTCTCGACCTCATAAACTTCGGTGTTTCGGGAAATAACCTCAATCAAGCTTCCAACGACGAATTACTTTGCGATTGTTCCGAGGGTATCAAATCATAACAATAAAAAAAAATGCAAAGCAAGTTATGGCGAATTTGGAGGTCCAGGTGCAGTCGCAGTCGCATCCAGATTTGAAGATCGCTGACCCTTGAACATCCACGAAGTGAACCATGATCTTGGTTGTGTCGCTCTCTCTGCGTGCAAGGCCTCCTCTTCCAACCTATCCACCAAAGCAACTTCCTCCTCTGCCATGACCTCATGAGTGATTGCCACTTGCGCACTGACGTTAGTTCCTCGTCTTAGCTGAGGCACAACAGACAATCGGGATGTGGAAGAATGGGTTAAGACGAAGTCGGCTTGTGCATGAGCATCAGGACGAATGCCCATTTCCCAATCGGCAGATTGAACGCGATCAAGGTTACTGGGAGGCGTCAACGTCGATAGAAACGAAGCCGCACGCTCGCGGGGCCTTCCGTCTGAAACCGACCGAGAAGATATTCTGGGGGCCAGGCTTGGTCGCCTTGGCATTGAACCCATACTGACTTTTCTCCCGAAATTCGAACCACGCCTCCTCCGCATAGTGTCCGAAGGCTCAACATCTTCCTTCGCTCGTGCTCGCTTGGCGATGATCAAAGGCAAGTCAATTTCTTCACTGCCGTCGAGCTCTTGCGGTGATTCAACAATCGGTTGCTCCTCGGGTGGAGTGGAGACGCTGGAGACTTCGGACATTTGCCGCTGACGTGGGACAGTGTCTTGAGTTCCCTGCCACACACCCAGACGGCCCACAGATGTATCCACAGAGAGTGCAACTTTGAGATCGACTGTGTCCTCCAGGTTCAATTTGCCGAACGGATCACGCGGAAGCCACAGGAAATTACTGATGGGTCTGGCGTAGTATGGGTTCTCGTATGGCAGGTCTGCGGTGTTGTCGTCGTCCCATATGGGTGGAGGGGGATGCGGTACAACAGCCCCATCACCACCCTCCGAGATGATGGGTTCCTTGGAATCAGGATGGGGTCCAGTGTTCGAGACATGACGGGCATGAATCAGTCGTTCGTTTTCGTGACGATTAGCAGCCTCGACAGTCGAAGCATCAAAGTGCATCGACCCGAGTCTGGAAAAAGATTGATTGCGAGGACCGAAGGGATTAGGTCGGTGTTGGTCCTTTCGATGGGGCCTCACTGTGGCGTATGAGGTTAGCTTGGCCCATCCTGGCATGCGCCACGAGAAGAAAGCGTTGGCGTTGGCATTGGCCAGCTGTTGATCTGCCGCAGCGCGATCTTCATTGTCATCGGAATCATGGGCTTGTTGTTCATTGTCTTGTTCTGGCTGCATCGAATTTGGAACCAAAACCTGAGCCTCGTAAATATCATCATGTTCGAATTTTGCGCGGATGATTCGTGTCATTCTATGCTTATGCTTAGAGAACAAAACTGGGCTAAGGAAAACTTACATCAGTTTCGTGACGGCCGTAAAAACTAGGAGGAAGGCAGCGAGACCTAGGTTCACACTCTTTTTAAGCACAATCATGTATACCATGAACACGGCTTGCGAAAAGATGAGACCGTCCAGTGAGTATCGGACCATACGGATAAGTAGTGTTTGCCCGTTCCCCTCGTAGTTCTTGGCGTATATGTGGATAAGCTCGAAGAGGTTAGATGGCCCGCTGACGTCCAGTCCACTCTAGCGCACCTGATTTTTTACAACACCTGGAAACAGCACGTTAATAAGAGCCCCTTGAAAACAAGATTGATGGTTCTCACCAGCCTCGATGAAGAAATAAAAGGCTCCAAACGGAATGACAAAGGGATTGAGCACCATGAAAAGAAGCAAGACGTGGATAACAAGAAGATGTGTTGGCAGCCAATCTATGAAATATTAGTTTCCAAACTCGGAAATTTGTGAATAATTGTTACAGTAAAAGTTGAACGTCCTTGGCCGTATACCAACTGCTCGTTTGCGTCTAAGTTGAACTAAGTGGAGAGTACAAACTTCTGGAAGATTTCTTACGGAGTCACTTGTCGTCGAGTAGTCGGGTAGACGATAAGAGGGAGCTAATAATCACTCAGATAGGTGTCCGGTGATGATAATGAGCATTGCGCTTACACCCACTTGGAGGGATAGTCAATGAACTGAATAATGAGGAGAGAGTCAAGGACGTACACAGCGCGAGTTCAAATCCTCCATGCATACCAACAGTGAAGATAACTGGACGTTTGATTAGAAAGGCTTTAGGAGAGCGAGAATCTTACGCCATCCAACGTAGAATGGGCCAGCAGTGGGAAAACTGTCTGTGACAATCTGCAGGATATTCACATTGGACGTCTGGTTTGCTTTGAAAGAGTCAAGGACTGATTGCAGGGCGACAGTCCCGACACAGAAAAAGACCAAGACATTGACAACAAGGAATTTGTAATAGCGGGTCAAGATCAAATCATGAAGGGCAGAAAGGGTCGTGATCGTGTGTGCTTTCTTGGCGATGAGTAAAAGAATTGGAGGGATGGATAGGGCGAGCAGGGCGACAAGTAAAGTGGGGAGGAATGACTGGATCACATCTTCCTCCCACTGGTGTTTGTCGAGATAGCTTTTCTAACAAGCTGCGTGAGCAACTTGCCTTCACGTGAAAATACCATAAACTTACGAGAGCTGGCCAAAACGAACTGATGTTTTGGATGGAAACGAGACCGACCAGTAATGAAACTGGGAAGAGCCAAAAGACCGTGAATCCCCTACTTATATTGAAACCAAGTAAGGACAAAGAGAAGAAAACTTGCCAGACACCCAAATTTACCACCCAATCCTTGACGAACTACGACAGAATAAGCTGTGTCATTTGCGATGAACGTCAACGTACTTCTCCGTTATAAGATGACTTCATGATCCTCGTCCAATCGAGGTCACTGTATTGAGGTGCCATTGTTACCAGACAGGTTAACGGATTGTTGGGGTGAACAGCTAGATACTTGCAAGCCCTGCGCGCATCAGCAGGATCGACAAAAGTCACGAAAGCGGTTGAAACGGGGTCGTAGTCAGTTATAGATTTGGCGCGATTTTCCGTGATGAACGAGGAGATGAGGTTGAATTTGGCAGTGTAGTAGTCGATTGAAGGAACAATCTTGCCACGAAACAACAACGAGAGATGGACCAAGGGTTGGTATGCATCGAGGGAGCCACGAGGTAAGCTCAACAATGCATCCCAAATTGTAGCGTGCCGCTGCGACTTGGTGGGGGAAATTGGAGGATATGTTGGGCTATCACTCTCTCCATGAGAGTCCTGCGAGCCCTCGGCGGGAGCCTTTCTTGGATCTTGACTGACACGAGGCCGAAGACCAAATTCTTCGACAAAGGGCCCGACGACTTCAATGAGTTTGGAGATACGGTCTTCCTCACTTATCGTTCCGTTTTGGCCTGGGAGTCCATGTTCCGGATCCGCCCCTTTATGCTTGATCTTGGGAGGACGTGAAGGGGGTTTGTGGGCATCACGTCTGTCCATTGCATGAGCAACAGCGAGCACAGTCTTTTTGGCAAGTTTGATATGTGCGGTCTCTAGTCGACGAGCAAACTCTTCACGTCGTTCAAGAAGTGATGCTAGTTCAGTCATCTTCCTGCAGATAACGACCCGCTCGATCTCTGGGGCGTCCTTAGTCGATTCTCCGCCGTCGCTTGCTTCTGGCGTACGATGAGTGGCGGCAAGGGGGATTGGAGGGATAGGAAGCTTTTTGACGCGATTGAACAGGAACGCAACAGACTTGTTGATGAAACCTGGTTGTGTAGCGGCAGGCAGCCCCATTGAGGGTTTCTCTACTTTGCGTGAAAGGTAGTACGCAAAGTACTCCTTCAAGGTCTTCTCGTCGCGTAAGGCCGGTGGGACGTTGGCTACCATGACTGTTCGTAATCGTAAGCCAAAATTCGGATGATTCGAGTCCAATTTTGGCATTTCTGCAAAACCAAATTGTGGGTGTGGGTGAGGGTAATATCCAGGTTCTGCTGGATCGTAAGCAGCCATTCGTTTCGCAGCGATGGCAATCTTGTCGGCGCGCAAACGGAAGGCGCCGAGGCATATCCAGATGAGGATTATAATCCACGAAAAGGTAATCCAAAAGAGTAGGCAAATGTGAATCCAGAGCAATGAGAGTCCTTCGTGCGTGGCGACGAGGGAAGTTATGGAGGCTCGTGTCATTGACTTCTTGGAGATTGAGTTGTCAGAGAACTCGACGTGAATGGGGAACAAGATGGGGAAAGTCGTGAGTGTGTGGAGTAGGACGAAGAAAACTAACGCCCCATGTCAATTGAAGCGCAAGGGCAAAACGATGAGGACGTACAACAGCCTCTAAGCCAGCGAACATAGAGTGTCGCGTCAACGCCTCTGAGCTCATTCATCTTGTCGGCCGGGAAAAATACGACCTGCTTCACCCAAGATAGCGGCCAGCCCTTGGGTGACGGAGGCGATGGATACCTACCAAACGAGAGTTAGGCCGGGGCGAACTTACATGGAAAGCTGTTGTCTTGACCTTGCCCATGATCTTCCTTGATATAGGCTTGCTTTATGTGTTAGTATGTTGTGCGGCAGATTCGACGATAACGCACTATCCAAATTCCCAAGATTCGCGACTACCCAAAGACTTTGGGTCGTAGTTTGTCCCCCTTCGGGCCCGTTTCATTAGCTCTTGCCCAGTAACGCATACGAAAGTTATCCCCAGTGCAATAACAGACTGGTTAATGAGGCCACTGTTGGGGTGGCGTTAGAAGGTCGTGCGTAGGAGTTGAGTCCGGACCTGTAGTTCTTGGAGAAGGGTCTTGTTTGAATGTCCCCCATAATAATGTTCGAATGACGGCGAGTGGTGGTCTACGGTGAGGAGCTAGGCAGAGCTCCAGGGCATGAACGGACTCCTCGAGAAAGCCGGAAGGAGGGAGCTTCTCGATCGTTCGTCACACTTTCGACGTGATGCTAGTGTCGGCTGCTGCAAAATTAGAACAGCAGACTATAGTCTCCACGAAAAAGCCTTGTAAATTGGACATGACGGTGGAAGAGTAGAATTTAACGAGGTACAAATGGGTCTATCAATTGCATCGCCAATGTCTATTTTGTCTTCATGATGCGCAGTTTGTTCGGTCGGTAGATGTAATTCTCGCTGTAATTCTTCGGTGGGATCTTCTTCACAGTCGGTGCTTGCCTGTCTAAGTGTTAGTAAGCGCGAAACAAAGGCATTCGAAAGACCTACACATAGTAGTCCCATCCTGACCAGTCGAAATTTGTTGAGGAACAACAAACGAGCAGTATTACCATGACTGACCTTGTTTCTTCGCAAAGTGGATGGCATCTTCTTGCGACTTGAATGTCATTCGAGTACCCTGCATATAATCAGCGCTGGAACGTGCATGAGTGACCTATAAGAAATCTCTGCTAAATGAGGATTCACGAGCTAGCATAACCCATAAGCGGGTTCTCCCAGCGAGCGCCCCCTTGGAGAATGTCGAAGTCAATTCTCCAGCGTTCACCCTTCGCTCCACCACTCTGCATGGTATTTCGTGTCGGTTGATAAACGCGAACTACACGGTGACGAAGTTGCGCTGCCAGGACTAAGCGGCTGAGATATTCGTCGGGCTACATCAGACTCACAAAGGTGCGCCGCTAACAACTTCTGCGGTGAAGACACCAGGGCTTAATGAAGGAACGACATCTGACGATTTCGTGGCATCCACTGGGGGCGAGGACGAAGGAATAGATTCCGAGGCCAAGCCGCGGCTTATAAAAGAAGGTGCAATGCGCCGAGTTATAGTCGCCGCTGGTTGGTACGAGCGGGACAGCATCAAGTGGTGAGAAGGTTTTGCCAAACACATGAAGACAACGCCATCCTGAAAAGGCAATTTCCAACATCGAAAGCACTGAGTAGGTGTACATACAACATGATCGTGGTATGAATACAAGATTGCGGAATAAGATATATGTCCGTAAATAAAGGGTCTGTGGTGGTTAAAACTCAAGGAAGTTACTAAACATCGAACCCGATTGTTCTGACAACAGGTTGCAAACTAATTGCTGGCTGTTCATCCCCAGGCGGCTTTGTCGGTCCCTCGTCTGCATCGAGTAGCTCAGCTTCTTCGTCTTCACTCTCAGAAGACCTTCGTGGCCTCCCTAGCGGACCAAACATGCTTGCCCGGTTAGTTTCTTTGGCGGGCTTGAACGAGGGATGGGCTTTGAGGACTTTGGAAGCTTCTGAGAGCGCGCGTACAACATCTTCATCAAGTTCAATGGAGTTGAAGAGATCCATGATGTATCGTCGAACAGGGAGCCGATAACGCTGTGTAGAAACTGTGTGGAGTGCGCGGAAAAACATGACTGGGGATGCGAATATAGATTTGAATTCGGCCCGAGACTTCATCCTATTGACGGTTTTAAAGGAGAGAAAAATTGGAGTAAACGACAGACCTCGCAAGAGAACGAGAAGCTGCGTTAGCGATGACAGTGTTCGCCAAATTGTGGATCGCAGTGATGACGTCGAGTTCGGTTTGTGACGTTGGAGGAATCAGCCTTGACTCGGCCTTGTCGATAGCTGTTTGCGTCCAAGGTGGTAGCTATTAAAAGTCAGACAGTTTATGTGCAGAATGATGAATAAACGAACAGAGATGAACATGTCCAAGTCAACCGGAATGCACAACCCAGTCGGGGCTCCTAGGGGAGAGAGAGTTGCCTCCCAGCCATAATCATCGAGTATCTCAGTTCCCTGGGAAGTTGAGGATATGAGGCCGAGGACGTAGAAGCAGGTGCTAGATGAGTTGTAAACAACTGTCTTGCCGACATGAGTGCAGCATACCCTCGAACAGACGGAATAGGCGAATTCTGCGCAATATCTAATAAGGTTGGGATTATCTCCTCCTCTTCCAGGAACGGCAGACCGCCTTCGGTGGCACCGATATTGCCCACGGCCCAAAGTATACTCTTCAGTTTGAGAATCATCTCACCGTCTTCGCTTTCGTTGCTATGCAGACGAATAAATTCCGCGAACTCCGCGAAGTGTCCTTTCTCGTGCAAGACTTGACACCCGAGATCGGTTTTAGACATTTCACCATAAAAATGAGGTGGGACAGTGCCTTCAAAAGCACTGCGACAGATTAGAAATGACTGAGAACCTGATAATCACGTACTCGTCGTGTTCAAGAGCAGAACCTGAACTAGTGAACACTTTGGCCAAGAACACTTCGACCTGGACAACGTAGTATATATTTCGCTCCTAGGTAGAATAAGTTAATTGTCCTTCTAGTTTGACAAACGAAACGAACGTGGAACCAGGTATCCATCTCTCGACTGATGTAGCCGACGTCGTACAAATATCGAAAGCCAACTGGTGTAGAAACAAACCTTGAAGGATACCTTAGTAGGAGCAAAAATCCAACTCATAAAAACATACTTGAGCAGGAGAGGATGTCCTATTTCTCCTAGGTGATCCAAGGTCGGCTGCATCTCAACCACTAGTTGAAGGATGTCTTTGGACTCGCAAACATCTCGAAGATACGCCACAGCGAGTTCACACACTTCAGAGTCAGGGTCATAGAGTTGTGTGAGTAGCAATCTCAGCGTCCATGCGTTAGCAGGAGAGGAACGAATGAGACCCCCTAGATGGCGAGTGGCGTATTGACGGATATGCTACAAAGATGAGGGAGAACACGTGCGAGAGGGATTGAACTACTGACAGGATAAACAGAAGTGAGGGTTTTGGAGAGAATAATTCGAGAATGGCCATCGCTGATGGGATTGAGCAGGGTCACGTTGCGCTTTCAATGCACATACATCGTGTAGTCCAGGTTCTCAACAATATTCTTGACCAGGTCTTCGCGTTCTTTGAGTTCACAGATATGATAAAATGCTGTGAATATCGCGAATTTCTGCAGGAGTCTGCCCAGAGTTCTCAGCGAAACAGCCACATTTAGTTGGCACTCACTCGATCCCCTCTTTCGTTTTGCTTAATGTTCCTAACATGACGAAGTATCCATAGGTAAGAAAGCCAGACACGCGTCTTTTCGAAAGGATAAACTCCGACTCGGGGACTGCGTTATGCTAGCAAAAATTAGTAGTCTTTACTGAAGCTTTGGGTATAACACACCGGATCAAGCTGCGCAAAACTCTTCTTGATCTGACTAAGGAACAAGTCCTCCGTCGATAGATACCTCACTCCATCGGGACTCGATGTAAGGGTAGTCATTAGAGAACAACCCAGGCGCACCCAACGTTGGTTGACCTGGAGTTTGTTTAAAGACGCAAGGTTTCTTTGGGGATATGCTGACCTTGGTTCTGGGCAAGTCACAAAATCTCGTCCCGCTCCCAAAAGGATGGAAGAATGCCAACAATCTCCGGATGAACCGTGAAACTTTTATGGCCTCCTCTAGTCGCTTTGGATTCAACAGTGGGCCCTCAATAAGCTCTTGCAGCAGTTCAAACTTCCAAACCGTATGATCCTTCGTGAGCATAACCTGTCAAGCCCTCTATCTAGTCTTTCGATGAATAGACGGAGGTAGACAGACCTGTGTTTCGAGCAACGATGTCTGGAAGCTCTTATCGTCCATCTGCATGCTTAGTTTAAGTTTGACTTGTTCCATCTGTCGCTGGCCACGACGGATAGCGTCTTCCCCCGAGTTAGCTCTGCAATGGGTTCAACGAACAGACATAGTAACACGCGAGAATGACCTCGGTCGCGATCCTTTTACGGTTCCAGGTTCTAATCTTGCCTGATTGCGATTGAAAGAGTCTATTGCAGACAATGCTGTTGTGCCAACTATCCGATTTTCATCGTGACCGTAGTCAGACGCCATGGAAAATATGCGAGGAATACTCTGAAATATGCTGAATGGTTATCCTCCAGGTTATAACTCAATGAACTAACCTGGATCTGCGCCGCTAATGATAATGGAAGGACCCTGTTTGCCATCTGAAGTATCTCCGCCATCAAAAGCGTCGCCTTGCGGGAGAGAGTGCTTCCCGATGTCGATTCCTGCATCATACCAGTTAATGCCTAGCCAAAGCTCAGATTGTGATAACGGCAACTCGAAACAACAAACGAACATCGAGTATTCCGGCATTCGTGAAGACCAGAACCAAGAGGGCTATGTATTGGTCTGTAAGCTTCAAAGTTTGCTGAGGGCGCTCCGACGGCTCCAACTGTGTCCGTCGGTCACGAATGTCTCCGGGGCCACGGGTTTTGCGATACACTATATTCAATCTAAAAACAAGAAAAACGGCAAATGCAAGGGCTTACTGGTAAGTCTACGCCCATCAAGAAACGTCTGGTACCAGTCTGGAGTCTTGATGTTGAGGAGATCAAAGAACATATCGAGAATGATTTCCTTTGATCAAGAGTTAGCGAAAGCAACTGGTTGATCAAGACCATACTCGAGTGTCCAAGGATGGTATTCTCAGCGTGTCGACTAGCGACCGGATTGCTCGCATGTTGTCCATACAGAAGTACATAAGACCTTTACTCGCCATAAAATATAACGCAAGGTCCAAACAGTCAAAGAAACGCACCGCTCCATGACCGTAACATAAGTTGAATAATTTTAGTGCAGCCCCGCATTCGATCTTCGTGATCTGGACCTTTACCATACGCGTCTGTAACGGCAGAAAAAGCCATCTGGAAAGTATTGAACTGTGTGTCAAAGCCGCCCAGTTGAAGAGAAAGACCTCAAGATCAGCTCCCACTTGGAGATAGGCTCGCGTCCGAGGGGAGTCAATGATATGGAGAAATGCCGAAGCCAAAATTGGAGCAATTTCGAGCGGACCTTCGCCTAATGCATGAAGAAGAAAACGCATCCCGCCAGTCCGAGCCACGAGATTGGTGTCGATGACCACTAGCTTGTATTAATGATTGCTATAGGGGAGGTTGCAAATAGACTTACAGATTTCGGCCAGGGTTTGAATGCATATAAGGCGAAACGGGTCTTCGGCGTGTTCGGCAACCGCCACAAGCGCTCGCATCACAGCAGCAGAAAGTGGAACAAGACCTGGCCCAGCGCTCTGAGACTCATCGCGTACAGTTCCGACCTCCACAATGGTGCGAATGAGTTTGATGGCCTGCTCTCGTTCCAAGGCATGTTTGCTGTCGCGAGTCAAAGATCTGGATTACTTTGGTGAGACTTTGGGCACTAAAATATCTTCTTTGACGCACTTGATGATGTACCAGTCGAATGTCTGTTCCCCGATACGTTTAACCAGATTAACGTCCACAAGTGCGTGCCGGATAAGGCGATACGCAGCTGCACGGCACTTTTCTGAGGCTCTGTCGGAGAGAGCGGGCATCACTCTGCAGGTTGTGAGCCAAGGGTTTCAACATATGAAGTAGCACACACGAACCCCTGCATTACTTCAGAAAGATTCCATTCGTAAGGTATCCTATGGTGTCTTTGGAGAATGGACACTAGACGAGTCATCAACTCGATCCTTTGGCGGTCTATTTCTGCGCCGTTTGTAGCTGAACTTCCATTCGCCCCGGGCGAAGTCGGTCCTCCCCGAGCCAAGGCAGCTAGAGTTTTAACACAGCCTGAAGCCGCATTACGCAGATCTTCTCCACCTATAGAGTTGAATTAAGCCGGAATGAGTAAGTTTGGGGACATACTACGGTCGTCGGAATCGTCTTTTGAGGGCCTATTTGTTTGGCCGGCTAGAAACCTCCTACGTGTTGAGCCGGAAACCGGTGCGACCTTGGGTTTAGACTCTGGGAGTCGTGAGACGCGTCTTCCATAACATTTGGTCACCACGAACGCTGATCTATGCGCCGCTCGATAGACTGAATCTTGTTTTCGGCCATATCGAGTTCAGACATAACTTGCTCTCTTAGTCCATCCTAAACGCGTTGTCAGCTTCCTTTCGGGAAATGATCCAAACGCACTGCCAAGTCGCGCATGTTCAGAAGATTTTGCGCGCCCTCCTTTATACGATTCTGAACAACGAGCATCTCATTGAGAGCGTCGATCTAGGGATTGTTAGGATACTGTTTAACACAAGTATATAGGCTGCATGCAGACCTGCTCCGCTGGTGTCTTTTCGTCGAGTTCAACGAATTCATTGTTTTCAGCCGGGGTGTTGTTCGTTAATGTGTAAGACGAGGAACTCCCTGCCGATGGAACGTAGGATGGCATGTTAGCGCATGAGAGTAGTTTGGCAAGCTAGATTACGCGAAACCTGATGGCTTGGATTTGAGACATCGGCAATCATGTCGGCAGGATGGTCACACAGCTGCACAGAACGTTGATTGAAGTGATTGACCTTTCCACCTTTTCCTCAAGACCATGGGTGCGTCGTTGATGCTATTATCTCTCATTCTAATGGACTCTCCCAGTTCGCTACGCCGCCGCCGCCGTTGCTACGAACCCAAACACGAGTAATGAGCCGTACAACCCACCACTTTCAGATTTCTCACCAACTCTCTAGCCGCCCGCGCTCGGGGTGAATACCTGCGCACCCATTTCAAGAATATGCGCGAGGTTGCTGCGGCACTTACTGGTGCGCCTTGATGACCCACTGAGCATATTTTATCTGACTGTCAGGTTCCAGGTTTGAAGCTCCAAAAAGCATACACCTACCTCTCGGACGTCAAAGATCACAAACAAGTCATTCCCTTTAGACGATTCGCTGGTGGTGTTGGGCGGGCTAGCCAGGCAAAGCAGTTCAAGGCTACCCAGGGTGCGTCCGTGCATGCCATCGTAATCTCTGGGTTCCCAACTCTCCATAGGTCGCTGGCCCGAAAAATCGGTCAAGTTTGTCACCCGTCTGCTGAAGAATGCCGAATCGAACGCCGACGCCAAAAACATCGAGCTGGAAGACCTCGTTATCAAATCCATTGTTGTACAACAGGCTCCTGTGCGTCATTTTTCTTCGATTCACTTGAGCATTTCTTAATTACTGCAGAAAACCCGCCGCCGGACGTACCGTGCCCATGGTCGCATTAACCCTTACCAGGGTCACCCATGCCATGTCGAAATCATCCTGGCTGCTGGCGATGTCGAGGTCGAGAAGGCTACAGACAAAGTAGCGACCTCTTTCTCCGGCCTGAACCGCCGTCAAGTCGCCCGGAAGCGTATTGAGGCTGCCCGGGAGTAGAGTATATGTCTATATCGTCAAACAGATTTATGCTCTATGCTACATACAGTCATCAACTATGGAGATGCGTTCGCAGTTTTTTTGGACCAAAGTCCAAGACGAGTGAACACCGAGTCTGCCAACGATTTTTTGCGCTTGATTATCGGAGGCGCAGGGGCAGTCGTCGTCGTTTCGAGAGCAGAGTAAAGAGTGAGCTTGCCGTCAACCGATTCCTCAGCTCTTTGGAACCACAACAGATCATTGTCGATACGAAGGTCATCGGGAGGCGCTGGTTCGAGTTCTTCGGAGCGTTCAATGTAGTCGCTATAAGGATAGAGCGATGTTTGCTCGTTGAGGCGTGTTATCAGTAGCCTCACGAAGGTGGTGTCTTTTTCAATGTTATATGGCACAAAACACGACTCGAGGACTATAAAAAAATCAGAGTGAGCTGAACGAAGCCATTAAACGACATACACTGGATGATGTTGCTCAATTCATTGACGGCAGCAATGTTAATGAAGGGTACGCGGTGGGGTTGGGGAATGATCAATCCACCCAAATCGCAGATCGACAGAACATCTTCCTTTAAAATGACTGGAAGTCAAATCAAACGGGGTACAAGGTTTTCAATATAGCACGCACGGAAAACTGGGATTGTGGGCAAATGGTATGCAGCAATCGCCTCACGATAAGCAGCAAACTTGTCTTCCGGGCTGAATAAATTACTCAGTTTGCGGAATGTCTCCTTGCTGGCAGCACTAATGTCCTAGAGGATAACATGTAAATAAAGAAGGCTATGAACAAGATGCACTTGCCAATATAGTGCGCCAGAGACGCTTGATGGGGTAGAAGACCAGGGCCCCGTATATAGCAAAGGCAGCCGAAAAGTTGCGCAGCTCGACACAAAACTAAGCCTAGTTCAGTGGTAACCCGGTATGGTGGGAGAGACGAACCATAGCCACATCTATCCAAAATTCCATATACTTGACACGATCCGCCCGCTCCTCCTCTATCAGGATACCTTCTGCAATCCAATGCAAAAACAGCGGTTCAAAATTCTCCATGTCGCCTGGGTCTCGGTTTACCTCTCCAGGATATAGCCACTGTTCAAGAATGTCTTCAGGTTGGATTTCGCAGTAGTAATTGCTGGCAAGACATGTGATCTGTGCCGCGAACCATTCCTGGCCCACGGGGTTCATGAGTGTAGGGATTTGGAAAATATAATCTTCCTCGGGAGTGAGGACCGGTACGAATTGTCTTAAGACAACGGGGGGTGCGTGGTACTCTTGCGCAGCTGCGCGAGCGTGTTGAAGTCGAGTGGACATTTTCCCTGCACTGTCGCGGCTGATAGCTCGACGAAACGCCCTCCTCGCCGCCTTGGCAATAGGCTCTGGAATGCCGGCGCTTGAAAAGCCTTTGATGAAGGGGCGCAAGCGTTCCACAACGCACCCATCATTATCTTGCCGCCAATAGTTATTAAGCCATAAGATGATAAGATTGGCGATCGAAGTCCGGGCGTGGAGTATATGTTGGTCCCAGACACGTTGTTGACTCGGGGTAAAGGTGGTACCTAAGGGATATTCATCGTCCCACCGCTCTTCGAAAAATCTCATCAAGCTAGGTGGTGTGCAAAATAAGCGGAAGGATAGAAACAGCGTTTGCGCCATTTGGTGAAAATCAGAGGATTGGCGAGAAGTAAGGAGCAGGATAATAGCGGGGACAGAGGCCGCTTGAACATGACCATGACGATCAAGGCGAACGGAAACATCTGGCATCGGCATTGAGACTCGTTCAGCTGGTTGTTCTGGGTCTGTGCAGTCGAAAAGACGAGATTGGCGGAAGGTGAATGACATGTCCTCGATAGGTTGAGGAGAATCAGTTATCGGTGTGGCCGACAATGATTGGATGTCGGAAGTGGAGGAAGAGATAATCGGAAGAAGCCGTTTGACGAACGCAAATTTTTTCTTTCTGGGTGCGGCAGCTATGAGGGGAGGAGAAGGATCTTCATCTTCAGACTCGCTGGGAAAGTCTTCAGCTGCGGATGCATCGTTGCCACCGGTATCTTTGCCACTTTCATCTTTTTCACTTGCCTCTTTGTGAATTTCATCATCCTTTGCACCTGTCTCCTTGCCACCTTCATCATTGCCAGCCTCGTCAACAGTAGTGGGAAGTTCTGGAAGGGGTTTGGAAGCGGGGGTCGTGCCGTCCGCTGAGGCCATTGTCTGTTCCAGTTCCGCCGCCTCCTTGTGGAGGAAGAACAAGTTGTCCAGGATGCTCTCAGCGATACGAACAACCTCGCTGAGATCTCCAACAGCAAGAGGCTTGGCTGTAGAAATCCGCGCCATATGGTCACGGAGCTTCTTGTTGCGAGTGACGACTGCTCGGTCAAAAGCCATCGGTACCATAGCGTGTTTGAGAAGGAAGTTGCCATTGTGGATGGTTTTGAGGATAGAGTAAACCATCTTTCGAAATATAGGAACGATGGCACCAAGTTGCTCGAGGTCTTCCTCTCGGACACTATAGGTCCGAAGTAGTCGCATTGGAGTCCGAAGTGATGGGTACAATTCTTCGGCGGGTGAAAGATCGAAAGTTGGGGGAAATGACTGGGTGGCATTGCAGATAGAGGGAGACAACGGCGCTTCGGCAAGGTCACTATGGACACTTTCGTTCTCGTCGTTGTCATCGAGTCCGAGTTTCCGTTGGAGTCTTCGAAGTCGATTGGTGTCGTTGTTGGGAGGAGTAGTAGTAGTAGGGGTAGACATTGTCGCTGGAGAGAGGGGGCGATGGTAGCAGCATATTTATACCAGTGTGCTTGGACCGACAAAGCGTCATGAACGGTTCTGGCAATCTGCAACACCTGGGCCAAGGCAGCGGCTGCCGCGTGATGATGATGAAGTCACATCACTAAGCGGCTCAGTCTTTCCTCACCACGACCTCCAGTGCGAAGCCATGGCTGGTGTGTCAAGGTGAGTAACTAATCGTCCTTCATTAGCTGGGTGCTCATCTTCGCGCCAGAGATCCGGAGCATAGGTTGCGCGTTACTCGTAAGTAGGCTTCCCCACGCTATTGCTTCGGACAACCCTCCGTCTACTATCTTGGGCGATGGGCATGAGCCCTCTTAATCAAGTTGGAGGATATATTGGAAGTTGGAGGGCACCAATAGCCGGAGCGCACTGCCGATTTTGGTTGCCAATCACCCTTGGCTTCACGCGCGCAGCAAACAACGCTATTTGCTTTCTAACACTGACCATTCTACAGTCTATTCGGCGCATGGCCTCGTCAAACGTGATCTTTTGGGACTCCCAGACCCATTCGCAGTCTTGACCTGCGATGGTGAACAGACCAACAACACCGCCATCGTCCGAAAAACATTATCTCCTGCTTGGAATGAGCATTTCGACATCGTCGCCCGTGAATCGTCCATGATTGCCATCGAGATATTCGACCATAGAAAATTCAAGAAACCCAATCAAGGATTTCTCGGTGTAATAAACATCCCTGCAACCGACGCCATTACTGCCGCTAATTCACAAACTGGTGAGCCTTATTCTATGTCCAGCATTTCATGGCGCTGACCTGGACAGAATTCATCACCAGGTCTGCCTATTCAAATCTGTTAACTTAATGCTCATATATGATTCAAGGGATCTGACCATGTCGAGCAACAATTTACCGGTCTATGGCAAGATAATCTTTGGCTTTTCCTACACCAACCAACCCCCTCCTTCGACCGCGCCTGCCAGCTCAGAAGCGTCTTCGTCAACAATTGCCAGTTCAAGTTACGCTTCTCGACCAGCATCTACCACCCCAAGCATTCCTTCCAGCACATCTTCATATGTCCCCCAGTCCAACGTTGATCGCAGCAGATCGTTGAATCCTGTGCCTAGCCTACGTCCATCGCCTAGTCAAGTTGCTTTGGGGTCTTCACCCTCACAAAGCCAGTTCTCCTCCCGGCCTACCTCTGTCCAGTCAACCAGCACCCAAAGTCGACTTTTAGATGATGATATGGGTGCCCCCCTACCTCCTGGATGGGAGCGTCGTATAGATGGTCAAAGCCGCACATATTACGTCGACCATAACACCCGCACAACAACATGGCATCGGCCGCAGCTTCAACAAACTGTCGCTACTCCTCGAGTTCCCGCACCCCAAATCGGATCAGTTCCCGCCCGTACTCCGAGCGCGGTTGCTGCCACGGCGCCTCCGCCCCCTGCGACAAGCAACTACGCCGATGTTCCATTACCGATGGGGTGGGAGGAGCGACGTACCCCAGAGGGTGTGTGCTTTTGTTTGATTTGTTATCATTCCCTTGTACTGATTTATTTGCCAGGCCGTCCTTACTTCGTTGACCACTCAACACGGAGTACTACTTGGGTCGACCCTCGACGAGGTCAACAACCTGCAGCGCCTCCTGCCACGGTCAACAATCCTAATCTTGGCCCCCTCCCGTCTGGATGGGAAATGCGACTCACATCAACAGCAAGAGTATATTTTGTTGATCATAATACAAAGACCACCACATGGGACGACCCACGTATTCCCACTGCGCTCGACGACAGCGCACCCCAGTACAAGAGAGACTATCGTCGCAAGGTTGTTTACTTCAGGAGTCAACCCAAGATGCGTGTATTGAATGGAAAATGCGAGATCAAAGTCCGCCGAGCCCACATTCTGGAAGACAGTTATGGGTCGGTGATGGCTTTGACTTCAGAAGACCTCAAACGACGGCTAATGGTCAGCTTTGACGGCGAAGATGGTTTGGACTACGGCGGTGTAGGCAGGTATGTGGGATCATTCCGCCTCCGATGACAGTCAAATAATGTGTTGTATCAGGGAATGGTTTTTCCTTCTCAGTCACGAGATATTCAATCCCAGTTACGGACTATTCGAATACTCAGCACATGACAACTACACCCTCCAAATCAACCCAGCGTCAGGCATTAATCCTGACCATCTAAGCTACTTCAAGTTCATTGGACGTTGCTTGGGCCTTGCTATCTTCCACCGACGATTCCTCGACGCATACTTTGTTCCAAGCTTTTACAAGATGATTCTTGGCAGACCAATGCTCCTGGGAGACTTGGAGGCTATAGATGCAGATCTGCATCGATCTTTGAACTGGATGCTGTGCGTGGAGCGTCTCTTTTCTGTGTCTGACCGCTGACCGACTGACCAGGGATAATGATATCACCGATGTTCTCGATGAGACATTTTCCACAACCGAAGAGCGTTTCGGCGAACACGTGACCATCGAGCTCAAACCAGGCGGTGAAGATATGCCAGTAACAGAAGACAACAAGAAGGAATACGTCGACGCGGTTGTTTCGTATCGTATTGCCCGCAGAGTCAAGGCTCAATTCGATGCTTTCATGGAAGGACTGTTGGAGCTTGTTCCAACAGAGCTCATCAACGTATTTGACGAACGCGAACTCGAGCTGCTAATTGGGGGCATGTCTGAAATTGACATGGACGACTGGACCAAATTCACTGATTACCGCGGATACGAGAAGAGCGACAAGGTCATCGAGTGGTTCTGGCAATGTGTTCGATCATGGCCAAGCGAACGCAAGTCGCGTCTACTGCAATTCACAACAGGTACATCGCGGGTACCTGTCAACGGATTCAAAGATTTGCAAGGCTCGGATGGGTCAGCGAAAACTACATACTCTTATTTGACTACTGACCATTCACTACTTAGGCCTCGAAGGTTTACGATCGAACGAAGTGGTGATCCTCATGGTTTGCCTCGAAGCCACACTTGTTTCAATCGTCTCGACCTTCCTCCCTACGAAGATTATGAAAGTCTCGAGACCAAATTAATCTTTGCCATCGAGTCAGTTGTTCTTGTTCTATGTCTCCCATGCCTCTCACAGATCTTTCACAGGGAGACAGAAGGCTTCGGTCAGGAATGAGACCAAACCAAGGTACAAGGTTGGAAGTAGAATGGTTATTGATGTCGACTTGCATTTTTTGTATTCATCTATGCTCTACGCTATGTTAGTTTCTAGTGTGCATTCCGTGGACTACATTCTGCCAGTTATAACGCTGCTATCTCACCCAGTAGATTCACGTCATCACATGATAAGATTTTCAATCTCAGTTTTGATCTGATTGATCGATTGACATCATCATCATTTAGCGATAAGATCATCTCGGATCCATAAATTCATGACGGAAATTGGCACTGAAGGCCTGGTATTCAAAAAAAAAGTTGACCATTACAAAAATGCTAAAGTAGAACCATCAAGTCCATTTCACTGTCCGTTATCTTCAATCAACTGCTTAGTACGAGTAGTACGATGCGGCTTGGGAAGCCTGGTATGCGCTGTTGACGCTCGAGTACGAGGTCTGGTCGTTCCAGTTGCTGGTGGGCACGTAATAGTTGGAGCCGATGTCCGATCCGGTAAAGTTGAAGTCGTAGTTGGAGAGGCTTCCATCGGAGTTGTAGATAGAGTTGTAGTACGAGGCGATATGGCCGTCGTAGCCAACATGGCGACCAGAGGAACGGGTCAGGTCATGGCTGTACCCTCCAAGGGAAGCGTAGTATTGTTGGAAGACAATCGACTGGCTCTCAACTTCGCAAAGCTGCTCGGTGATGATTTTCTTGGCCATCTCCTGCAAGACCGCGAGGCGTTGTTGGACGATAACGACTTGCTCGGAGTGGCAGACGAGCTCAGGCTCGTCCTGGCGCACAACAACTGGCGAGAAGTGCTTGTAGTGCGCGAAGTCTGATCGTGATGGTATTGATTAGCGTCATCTGACTGTGGATGTGGTGACATACCATCAGAGCCGTAGAAGTTATCGAATCCTTGGAGGGAGCTGATGCCGCCCCAGTTGTCGAATGAGATTTCACCACGAGCAGCTGTTGTATGGTCAGACGATGTTTTATTGCATGCACATGAATGGCGCTTCCCGAGTGTACGCTTAGCGGCCAGAGGGCCGGCCATAGCACCAGTGGCAAGAGCAAAGGCAACGAAAGAAGTAGCGATTGTGGAGAACATGGTTCTGAAAATGTTCGTGGAGGAGATGTGTGTTCTGGGGTCGATGTCAGTGATAACCCGTTTCAATGATCATATACTTTACCTGCTTTCAAGAGAGTAAGGCCAACCCAAAGAATACGAACGAAAGGTGTAAAGATTGTAAACCGGGCAACCTGGCCGAACAAAGGTGAAGAAGAGAACAAAGTGCAATGGTAGAAGGTATTGGGTCCCCAGCTTTTATACGGCTTCGCAAGGTGAATGATTAGTTACCATCGAGCTGGGACAGAATGAAGGATGGCGATAGCGAATGGGACGCCTGACGTTTAGGCGTACGTCGCGCCAAGTCGAAGACTCACAGCCCATGGATGTCAGGTAAAATTAGCGCGTTTATTTTGGTATCCTTGTACTTGCTTGAGGATGTGCACTAGGAGTAGACTCGGAAAGAACACAATCTTCAAGCCAATGGCAAGTTCTTCGATATTCTCGGAGATTATCCAAAGAGGCGGCCCTTATGATGGGCCACTCGCAACCGTGATGCTGAAATCGAAGACGCGGCCTGAGCTTGTACCCTTGCTGCACCTGTCGAGCTCGGAAGGCGGCTTGCAGTACAGCGAATGAAAATAACCTTAGTTGCATTGAGTTGAGTACACATAGTACTAAGATTGTCTGGATCAGCGATGGACACCACATTTGAGTAGAAAAGCTTCACCCTGCAAGGTCCAAACACTGTGATTCGTAGCTAATTTTGCTTCAGATGCCATTGAGGACTTGGCAGATGTTGGGTATAGACCGTTTGGATCAAGTCGTATGTCACGTCAGTTCATGGACAGAGCTCCAGTTCGTCGCGACGGATGAGGTGGTTCTCATCACTAATCAGCGCCCGACTTGAAGGTACCTCGGTCAAACATGAATCCGCATGCGCTATGTGCACTGCGTGCTCGGCATTTCATTGTGATTTGGGCGGTTGCAAAGGTTGGTCATCGATATGATCGACAGTGGGAGGCGGTCAAGTTTTATCAATCGCAGGAAGTGTCAGGTCCCGACATTTGACTCAATGAAATCAAGAAAGTAACGCCGCGAGTCCGGGGATGTCGACAAACCAGTGACCACTGACCAGTCCATAGCTAGCTTGTCTGATTGGAATGCGACCAGTCGGAGAAAACGTTCGGGTTGGATGATCTTATATTTTTCCCGTACTGAGAATGAGCAGAGTGCAGCTACATACTTGAGTACTTGTGTTGGCGATGGTTGAGGTTGAACGTTGAACTGTGGTGCGTGCACGTGACAGGCTCCATGATGTCAGGAACTGCCACTTTCACTTTTGTTCGAGTTCTCTCAAGACAATGTTCAATATTCTGATCAGGCTAAGATTCGCCATGCTGAATCGACGGACAACGTCAAATCAGTCTGGGCTGGTTGGTCGGACGCTCCCCTGAGCAATCATGGTATGTGTGGCCCCTCCGAATTAACAAAACCAGCAATACCCACACGGTTTAGGCATGAATGTAGGTTATAATCCTATCTCTGAATTGCTCTTCAGCTGCAATTTTCCAGCAAGCTCGAGCACTGGTAACGTCTTTAAGCATGACAACATTCAATGCTATACTGGCGTCGCCTCTCAAACGAGCACATATGACCGCTCTGGAACTAGAAAAGTGTCAAACAACATCGCAGCCACTCCTTATATCCCCGCTGTTGAAAGAAAGACACTTCGGTGTTGCCGAGGGCAAGCCATCTTTTTGGAAGCGGGACTTGAATCGTTCTCTGGATGACCATGTCAGTGATGGGATATATCCAAGCCTGAACGGTAGGAATGAGAGGTTCCCTGAGGGAGAAAGCCTGGATGATGTACGCAATCGAGCAATCCAGGCTTGGGAAAATATGCTACTGAACTATGTTCATGAGGCTTGCGAGAACCACACGCATCTGCATATCGCTGTTGTGAGCCATGGACTTTTTATCAGAGAAGCACTCCAAGCACTCACTCGGTACGACAATGCTTTGGATTTGACGACAATAAACGGCCAGTGGCTTCGAAATACGGGATGGGCCCGAGTCGTTCTCCAGGTAAAGGTGGGCTATCTCACCGATGAAATTTTTCACAACTCGAAATATCCTTCTTCCCAGGGCAATGTGGACCAGCAGGAGTGGGCAAAACACTTGCAAGTCGAATTAACGCATTTCAACGAGTGCGCGCATCTGAATACAATGGTATGTCTATGCTTATCTGCTTGCCAGTGTCCGACTGTTGTAGAAACGACAAAGGGGCATTGGCAGTACCGCCTACGATAGCAGACAGAAAGATATTCGCAACTTTTTCACGAATCGAAAGCCTAATGAGCAATGATTATATATATTGTGCTAGGACAAGACCCTTTCGCACCTTTAGCCTGACCCATAAGGGAGTAAAAGTTTCCGCAACTTGTGTGTCTGAGCCGGCGTGCTGGACATGTAGCATTAACTCGCTTGAATTGAGTCCCAAGACAGCGACGCACCTGTAAGCAGTGTTTCCGAGTCGGTTGAGACGAGCAGGCGACTTTGACGTATTCAAGTGGGCTCTACCAGCTTGACCCTGGAGGTGAAGTGAGGTCAAAATCGCGAAAAACTGACGAAAGACGGACGCGCTTGAATGACTTGAGACCTGGTGCTGACCTCCATCGCTTCTTCGCTCCCTGATGGGATTTCATTTTGTAACCAGCCTCAAGAACTGATGTGGTAGAGAACGTTCGACTACATCGGACTTGGGACCAAACTGTCGAGAGCAAAGAGGAAGAGAACAACATTGATTGAACTTTGTCACGGCCGACTTTGTCACTTTGTACATCCATCTTCAGCGGCCAGCATGAGCGAGCCGACACCCCAGGATGACGCTGAACGTGTAATACTAATTTCTATGTTACCTTGCAGCGTGATTAACTAACAAGGAAAGATTCGTCTCAAACGGCTCGCTAAACTGCAGAATGCCACTCCCTCTACATCCCAAACACCGCCAGCACCTGCTACACCTCCCCAACAACCCCCACCCCAACCGAAGCGCACTCTACCGGTATTCAAGCCTACTCTCCCTCCAGCCGCGACTTCGCCTGTTCTACCGGCGAAGAAAAAGGCCCCAGCAATCGTTCCCTTAGATGTGGATGTGTGGGAACACGAAACAATCGGTCGCGTCTTCAATGTAACCTTAGATGTCGGTATCCGCTTTTCATCTAGTCCCATTAAACCCAATATTTCCAGAGTAAAGTTGCACAGGATTCTGGCTACGAGATCGTATGGCTCAAGCCTTTGGCTATTGAACTCGAAACGGAAAACTCTAGTGCGCAACTATGCGTGATATTTCCAATCCCACTGATCCACCAAGTAGCCCCGTTACGGTTGACCACTGATATCATTGACCGGCTACTTATTGCGCGACTTGAAATGGATCCTGGCAACATGAGGTGTGCGCAATCTTGACCCAGAAAGGCATATGGTTGACCGTTCTAGTGATGATCTTGATTTCCTCCCAGTCCTTGCATCTCTTCCGGCTCAGCAAACTATTTTTGAATATTTAGTCGGCTGTTGGAAACGATCCAATGCCTCACGATCTGCTCTCATGAAAAAGGTAAAAAATATACTACACATGTTCAACATTCATTTGACTCTGCGACAGACGTATGCGCCTCTTGATCTTCAAAACGCTCTTCGTCGGCTAGATAAAATCCATGAACTGATCATCAGCTACACCGGGCTTACTCTTCAGGAGCCAGAAATGTTCCCTCAGCCTTCAGGGTGTGTTATACGACGCGTCTATTTGCTGAATTAAGCTAACTGTTTCAGTCGACTGTTGGGCCCTCCGGAGTTGGTCACACCACTTTTGTCGCTCTCTGCTCTTTCGGCGCCGCTGATGAGCTCGTCATCATCGTCTCCCAACTCCCTTGCTCCTTCAGATATCGGTGGATTTCTCCAAGACCTTGCTCGTAGATTTGAACCAGACAACGAAATCGATGGCATCCTGGGACCTGTCGTGACACAATTGTTGTTCCACGAGTCATTGTCTCGTCCAGAAGGTTTGCTAGGTGGCGACTCCGGTTGGCGAGGCGTCATAGGCGGACTCGATGCTCTCGTCTCAGTAAAATCGATCGCTTCCATGATTACGAGACTCGAAGATTGGAATCCCCCCAACGCCACGGCAGCAACCATCGAACATATCTCTTTGATGGGCCCTCTCTGCCGATTAGGAGTTTTTGGGCGCGAATGGGTCCGTGTCACGTTCTTTTATCTCTCTGCGTGAGCCTCATTGCGATGCAGCCCAGTGTTGCGCAGGCGTACTTCACAGATCCTGAAAAAAGGTCACGGGACGACGTTAACTCATCTTTTGCAAGTCTACGTGGGTCCATGAAGAGTCTGCAGGTGAATTTTTAATCAATAACTGCCTGCTATCACTTAATGAACCCTAGTCTGCGCTCTTCCGAATCTTCAACATCATTGTTCGTGCATCGACTGAATCACGTGAAGCTGTCCTAGATTATTTTGCACGGGTGATCTCTTTAAACGTCAAGCGTGCCGGTATGCAAGTACGCACTCGTCACATCTGTGGAGAAGAATTTTAATGTCAGATAGGTGGAACCCGATTCAGTGGCCACGGATAGTTTTGTGGTCAACATGCAAAGCGTGTTGTTGTGCTTTGCAGAAAACTTCATCGACGCCAGATACGAAAAGGTTTTCAGCTCCTCCCTATCACTGTATCACTCTAAATCTACCATAGATGGATCGAATTGACCCCCTCTTTTATGCCCGCTCGCCTCGTATTGACCTCAAGGAGGAAACGAGAATCAAGGCGACTAGTGAGGAAGCTGCTGCGTGGGCAGAAGCTCAACAAGACACTACTGGTATTTCTTGTTGTTTTCCAAGTAGTTTTCTGACTTGGCGGGCCAGCTGCCGCGCCAAACTTCGTTTCCAACATCTTCTACCTAACTATCGCTATGAGCCACTATGGCATTCTTCATACGATCAGCACGTACAACGACTTCGGCAAGCACCTTGAAGAACTCCAACGGCATCTGGATATGATCAATGCGGACACATCATGGCAAGGGGTATATTCGTTGGCGATATCCGCCGAGCAACTTCCTCAACTGTTGTCAGACACCTTTCCAAGCTCAAGGAGAAGCGGCTGTTACCCGAGTCAAAGTAGGGAAACAACGGAAATTTTGAACGATATATTGATTGGTCATCCAGACCGAAATCGCTAAGATTCGCATGCAGCAACTTTCCTATGAAGCACAGCTGTTGGATCCTGAGCTCGTCTTCCGCTCTATCACATTCACCAATTTTCTCTCTACGTGGTTGATCCGACAGGCTGAACCTAACCAGAGGCATCCCAACCCTCCTGTGCAGTGCGTTTTGCTATGTTTACTCGAGCCGTGAATTAAAATGAATTGTCAGACTGCCGCTTCCGCAAGAAGTTCCGATGGCATTCCGTGTTCTCCCCGAGTACATTGTGGAAGATATCGTGGACTATCTGCACTTTGTTGTACAGTTGGTCCACTCGTTGTGTCATTTTAACTATTGTTTTCAAACATTTACAGATATTCTCCAGACAAGTTCGAGCTTTCGGGCAAGATTGAACTGATGACATTCGTGCTTACTTTCCTCAACTCGACCTGGTACATCAAGAACCCATTCCTGAAGTCCAAGATCAATGATGTAAGCGTTCAGTAACCCATTACTTATTTTGTCTTGAATTTGGTTAGGTCCTGTTCTTTAGCATCTGGAACTATGGTCGTGAGCGACACGGACTGTTGGGAGGCTTATTGAACACGAACGAGATGGCTTTGAAACATCTCATGCCAGCCTTGACGCATTTTTACATTGGTCTGTGGCCACACACACCCATCCTGACACTCTATTTATGAACATCAGAGGTTGAGCAAACAGGAGCGAGCTCGCAGTTCTATGATAAATTCAGTGCGTCCGCCTTTCCCCCCCGATACTCATTCCTGATGGTCTCGCAGGTGCTCGGTTTGTGGCAATCTGTTTTTTCAGCCCTTTTGATTTACAGTTTCTATTTTTAGACGAAACATTTCGTACATCTTAAAAGTTGTATGGGACAATCCAACGCATAGAGCTGCCCTCAATGCAGAAGCGGCACAGTGAGCTCCCTTATTCGCTCGCTACTGCACAAATGCTGAACCAAGTGTAGGAATGTCGACAAATTTGTCAAGTTTGTCAACCTCATGATCAACGACGTGACCTACCTGATGGACGAGTCGCTTTCGGACCTGGCCCAAATCCATACCATCCAACGCGAAAGGGACGATGGTGCAACGTGGAATGCTCAGCCGCAACAGCAACGCCGAGAGAGGGAGAATACCCTTCGCACTCTGGAGCGCCATGCATCTGGGTATATTAGTCTTGGCCGGTCGACGGTTGAGTTGCTCAAGGTATTCACTTCGGAGACGAAAGGTCCCTTTATGATGCCTGAAATCGTCAACCGCCTTGCGGCCATGCTGGATTATAACTTGCAGGCGCTCGTTGGACCTAAATACGGCGACCTAGCGGTCCGCGACAAGGAGAAACTCAAGTTTGATCCTCGCGCACTTTTGAGCGATATTATCCAGGTCTTCTTGAATCTGAGTGACAGAGAAGAGTTTGTTGATGCCGTTGCCTCGGATGGACGCAGTTACAGCGCCGAGCTGTTTGAACAAGCTGCGACTATTGCCGTTCGGAGATCCCTGAAAACGGAAGGGGAGATCGCGCAATTGAGGGCATTTATAGCAAGGGTTGAAGAACGCAAAGCGACAATGGAGGCGGAAGAAGACTTTGACGACATTCCAGAGGAATTCCAAGGTTTGTCTTGCTACTTTTTTGCAGGTTTGCTTTATCTCCTCTGTAGACCCATTGATGTACCACCTCATGCGTGATCCTGTCCTCCTACCAACCTCGCGGACTATCATCGACCGTTCCACCATCAAGTCGCATCTATTGTCAGACTCTAAAGATCCTTTCAATCGCCAACCACTCAGTATAGATCAAATCATTCCTGGTTTGTTTCTTTTTTGGGTCACTTGTGAATGTAACTCACAGTCGAACAGAGCCAGAACTGAAAGCCCGCATAGATGCGTGGGTGGCCGAGCAAAGGAAGAAGAAACAGACAGAAGCAACTTCCAATGTCATGGACACGACCTAGTGGAGGTCTTGTAGCATATCTCTGACACAAATGTATTTACTTTTTCGCTTTCCGTTTCCCTCGTCCTCCCCCTCCTCCCCGTGGTCGACCTGGCCGGCGTCCTGTTGGTGCCTTCTTTCTTGGTGCAGTCGATTCTGTCAAAGTACATAAGCTGTGAGCAGTAGATCTAGGCAAACGGAGACATACCTGGAGAGGCATCACGCATTTCGGTGTCCTCGTCGCCGCCATATTCTGTCCCACCCTCCGTGACGGTTGCGCTGTCTCGAGGAACTGGTGAACCAATAACTTCATCGCCACTCTCCTGGGTCAAAGCGCTGCTATCACTGTCGCCACCAACCAGCCCCGCCAAATCAAGCTTGCTCTTTCCGCGTTTCCTTGGCCTTCCGCGTTTTGGCGGGGCTGACACCACCGGCTGTGGCGAAGGACTAGGGGAAACGGGAGAGGGCGTGTTTCGCATTCGCCGCTCAGCAATGATTTCTTCCACTCGAGAGTCATACGGGATGGTGTACTCTTCGAGTGAATATCCAATGTTTTCGGACAGTGCAGCTCGTTGGCGGGCCTCGAAGTTGGCGTTCTCAGTGTCCTACTTTGGTTCTCAGAAATGTAACAAAAATAAGACGCGGTACACACAATGGCCTCGAGTGCATCCATATCGTAGAGGTCGTGGAGCTTCGTCCAGATAGACTCAATGCTGACGGGGTGGCCCGTGTCTTTGAGAATTCCGTTGCGGATATTCAGGACATGGAAATGCCGATGCATTCCAATAGGCCGACAACGCATCATCGCTCGGAAGAACGCGATTTCACCCTCCACCGTCGCAAGGAATGACTCTGTGGGTTGTGATCATGGCAGTCCTCGGGCAGAGCTGACAAAGTACCGTCTGAAATATCTTCGCTCATGTAACGCAGGAGGAGGGAAGGACGAAGATTAGGCTAGAAGGATCATCGGGATTACGTCACGTCAATATTACGCGTCCTGGTCAAAGCTTTTATAACTTCACTCTCACTTTCCTTTCTACCACCACTACCCCACAACCACTATGGACCACGACGACCAGATGCTCTCCGTCGGCAAGCAATGCGGTCACCAGAGCTGCATGCTGGTCGACTTTCTTCCCTTCCAGTGTTTACATTGCCAGACTTCGTTCTGCCAAGAGCACTTCAAGGTTGCCGCCCACAATTGCCCCAAGTACGATGCGGCAAAGTACAACCGAGTGTCACCAAACTGCCCTCTTTGCAACACCGTCGTCTCTGTCCGGGCTGGACAGGACGCCAACGAGGCCGTAGAGACTCACTTCCTGACCGACTGCTCAGTCATGACTGGCAAAGTGCGGGCCAAAGCCCCAGTCTGTGCCCGTGCCAGATGTGGCAAGACTCTTTTTGCTCCAATCCGTTGCACGGTGCGTCTTCCCTCTCCTCTAATTTATCTGCTTGTCAACTCATAGCTACTACTAGAAATGCAACCAACAATTTTGCCCCGCCCATCGTTTCCCCGCAGACCATACCTGTGCCCCAGTATTGACTGCGTCGAAACAAGGGGGCCTGACCGCTGGCAGTCGTCTTCTCGATCTCAACACCAAGGCGTCGGCCCTGAACTCGAAGGCGTCAGCTGCGGGCGCCAAGACTGTTGGAGCAATCAAGGCTGCTGCATCTGCGGCCCAAACTAGTGTTGCGCGCCAAGCAGGCCCGTCTACTACCAGCAGCAGTAGCAATAAGAAGCCCATCCCCGTGCCAGCGGTTTTTTCAAAGACAGACCGGTATGTGTTTTCACTGCTATTCTATGGTGATATTCAATCATAACGCCGTAGTGCTCTTCTCCCTCCTCCTACCAAATTCGAAATTCAATCGTCTCCGGAACCTGTCATACGACCACTCGCCAAATCTTCATTTGTACCACCACCCATTTTCGCATCCGCTTGAACGACAACCACAACGCTGTATCGAACTAAACTGTATCGACCATCTAACACTATTATAATATTCTATAGACGAGCCAAATCAGAGCGAGAGAGTCGGAGGAAGGCTATGCAGGAACGGGCAAAGAAAGGGTTGTTGAGCGAGGAGGAGAAACTAATCCTTGCCACAGAGGAAGCCGAACACGCAAAGAAGCAGGGCGAGGACGACAAATGCGTGGTCATGTAATACATTTTTTTTATTGGGCTGTCTATGGATTCGTGTTTGCTACTTCCCGACTGTGGCCCCTTTAGGCCGACACTTTGCCCACAATCTTGCCATTAGAGATTTTTGAGGACTGGATGATACGGATGGCTTCGTGTGCAGCCTGTGGACTTGTCAGCGGAGAAAATTTCAAGGTAAATTGTCAGCCAGACCTTTATTCCGCTTCCAATCATTCCTCCAAACCTATTCATCGCATCAGCAAGCCGATTTCAGGACAAAAGTAAGCAGCAGCTACGTTGGCCCCATTCTGTTCGACCCATCTTGTTCGGCAAGCTCCATTCCAGCCATAACCAGACCAGGGACCACTTCTCGTGTCCGGTTCACAATGGCTGGTTCAGACACGTTCATGTCAAGCTAGATCATGACTCAGCAAAGTGATTTGGGAATCAGCAATCCACTTACACCTCGCATATTACCAAGCTCCTTGCTCAGTCCCATACTCACAAGTCTCTTGGCTGAGAAGGCGCCCATTGGACCGTCGTGTCCGGTTGCAGTGATCACAACGGGGGCAGTGATTGTGTTGGGGTCCATACACGACTGAGTGTCGTGGTTGAGGGCCACTAAACAGACCCGATTGACACTTGAGAGCAAATGGAAGGCGACCGACTTACCCAGGGTCCAGTTTGTCACAACACCGGCGACGCGTTGCGTGCCTTCGTAGTCGGTGGTGGTGATAAGATCCTCAACGGCGGTCGCATTGAAGAGAACGACGTTCGGGAAGGCGAGCACGCGCGAGAGCAGAGTCGATGTGAACAGTGCAGCGTGCTTTACCACCACGAAGTTGCCTTCATCCTCGTATGGGACACCTATCTCGCGAAGGAAAGCGTCGGCTGGTTTGCGAATGACCTAGAGCACTTTGAACAACATCTGACGTAGACATGTTATTACTGACCATGGAGCTCATGAGTTGGCCGCCTAGCCAGGCACCACCACCAGGAGCGACGTTTGCCTCGATGCTGATTCACACGTCAGAAGCAAACGGAGGCCAGAATAAAACAAACGTGCATTGTAATTTTGAGGTCAGGCTGGCGAGATGCGAGACTATAAGCACAAGAAAGTCCTGCACTTCCGGCTCCAACGATGACGACGTCAGAAACCGCTCGGTCCATCATGTTGGTGAAGTATCTGACATTCTAGCATTCAGAGAGTGCTTTGGAGACCTAGAGAAACAGCCGACCTTTTAATCATAGCGCGAGACACCTCGGCCTCCTGAATGGGGGCGAAGCGATAGGCACCAGTATAGTCCTCAACGGCAGGGTTTTTCTTGCCGTTGATGTGTATGGTTTTAGTCGCCACAGGTTCTTCCATAGTGAGAGACATGGTGGGCTATCTGATAGTTGGGGAGACTATGGATACTCTTTTATAGGCCCAGGCCAAGCGCTCTCACACTGAGCCCGGGGAAATTCGGAGCGAAGGAGCAGATTATAGCTCGATCGTCATTCGTGCGTCGATGGTGTTCGGACGTTATTCCTCCAAAAGCGGTAGAAAAAGTGGTTCCCGGGCCTCTCCGGCCCGATCCAAAAATACGTTTAGGTAGCCGGACGAGCTAGATGTGAATGGCCTGTGGGGGTATACATGTGCAAGGAGAGAAAGAAGAGATGCTGACATGAGCGTTACGCCAAAAGGGAAATGCTGACTCACCGTTTCTTACATTGCCACCGCTTTGTTCTTCAGACGACGAGTATGGTACTCAGCATATACGACTCTTTCCGCTCATCGCTACTCCAGCAAGGATGCAGTCCCAAAACTTTATGACCGGCGACCCACTGTCGTTGGAACGTATTCGAGGTGTCCTCATCCGTCTAGAAGACACAATCATCTTTTCCCTCATCGAGCGTGCCCAATTCGCCCAAAATCCGCGTATTTATCTTCGCGGCGCATTTTCTGAGCTGAAGGACTCTGGGTTTGATGGCAGCTGGCTGGAATGGTTCTTGAAGGAGATTGAAACCTTCCATGGTCAGTACTAATAGGCTCGAGTTGAACGATAAGAAGAAGCTCATCCTCTACAAAATATTAGCGAAAGCGAGGCGATACACAAGGCAAGTAACTGCCCACTTGTCGCTTTGTTTCCTTATCTTATCAATTCTAGCCCAGACGAGTACCCATTCACACCGCTTGAAGATCTCCCGCCGCCATTCCTCCAGCCGCTTAAGTTCCCTGACATCCTCCATCCCAACACTGTCAACGCAAACCCTTCCATCCAATCATTCTATGTTCGCACGATCGTACCCCGTATTACACGGCGCGCAACCGCCGTCTTGGCCGCGTCCAAGCGTGCCAAAGGCATAACGGGCGACGAGGAATACGAGGACGACGGGAACTACGGGAGTGCAGCCACGATTGACGTTGAAGCTCTTCAAGCAATAAGTAAACGCGTCCATTATGGTTGGTTAGCTCTTTTGGAAGACCAACGTTAGTGAATTAACGCGCCATGTAGGAAAATTTGTCTCGGAATCAAAGTTTCAAGACAACCCGAGTGCGTTCATACCGCACATATTGACGCCAAATCGTCCAGCTCTTGAAGCGTTGATTACCAAACCAGAGGTCGAACGCAAACTCCTCGTTAGATTAAGAAAGAAAGCAGCGACATATGCTCAAGACTTTGGTCCCGATGGCGATTTCAAACGGGATGCAGAGGGAAATGTCGAAGCCATCAAGATTGACGTCGACGGCGTTGTCGATCTCTACGAGAGCTTCATCATACCGCTGACCAAGGAGGTCGAAGTGGATTATTTGCTTCAACGATTGAAAGGATTATCCGACAAGGAAATCGACAAACTAATGCAGAAGACTGCAACTACATAACGATGGTGGGAAAGCTATAAAAATAAGGAATGTGCGAGGTATCATCGGCGTATGCGTAGTGAAATGAAGGCCATCCAACCGTCCCGAGACAAAGTATAACTGTACACTTGAAAAAAAGGGGAAAGATCACAGTCCCAGCTCTGGATGAGAGTAAGTCCACTACGGCTTTCTCAAGAATGGAAACGCGCACCTTCCAGAAGACGCTGGCGTTCTTCCTCCGTGATGTTTGCCGTAGCGCGGCGTGCGAGCAGTTTTTCAGTTCTGTACTTTTCGTACAAAACTTCCTTGGTATGATTTTTCAGGACCTTTGACATTTGAATATGTGCAAGAGTGAGCAGAGAGAGAGACATACTTTGAGATGAGTAGATAAAACAGCTGTTCGCAGAGCAGCATAGTCACAATGGGCAGGCTAGGAACGCTTAGCAATAGGCAAGGTCAGGGAGAAACGCATACGTCGAGAACATCGACAGTCCCCCATCTGAATTTTCGAAGAAAAACACCTCTGAGGGTGTCTGGAGGGCCTTCAAGGTATGCAAGTCCCCGATTGCTCACGACCGAACCAGGCGTCGGGGGGATAACATCTTCCATTGAAGGAGCATGGCCATCCTCCGACTGTTGGAGAGGAGAAGACGGCGCAGTGCTCATGGCGCCAGATATACGCTGCGAGCCATGTTTTCCACTTTCTGGCGCAATTAGTGCAAATGGCATATCGGTTTCCAGATCGGGTTTGGCAACGATATGGGCAGAGAATCGCACGTTAGCCAAGCTCTCCTCGTCGGGAGAAATCGGACGGCGCTCATCGTCAGCCGCGACCGACAGGTCCCGACGAGAGCGTGAACGGGAAAGACCCCTATTTCGGGGTTTTAATTTGATAACGGGACGAGACTGCCGTTCTTCGCCGTCGTCCTCATCGCTGCCCACTGTTTCAGGGTGGCCATTGCCATTGCCATTTACTTGGCCATTCCGCTCGGTAGCGAAACGGGTTTTACGCCTGGGTGTTTCAGCAGTATCCACAATTTTTGCGGGACTGAAAACACCAAAGTCCAAACCAGCTTCAGACAAGCCGGCGCGGACTACAAAGCAAGTTAGAATAGAAAAGGATATCGTTGTTCAGCAATCTCACTAGCTTGTTTAACGGCCACAAGTTTCTCATCCGTGAGAGAATCAGCCCGTGCAACAACAGGAAGGACATTCACCCGTGCTGCAAGGCGGCGAAGGACGCGAATATCTGATGGTGCCATTGTTAGTGGGCCTTCAGTTTCGTCGTCCGAGTCGTCTTCCTCAGCAAAGCCATTGGCCGATTCAGGGGGGTCACGCATTGATACTGTAGTCTCTGAACGAGTTTTAGTCGGCATCGAGGACTGGGCCCGTCTTGCAGCATTTGTCATGACCGACGAAGGGTCAATCAAGTAAATGCACCTGGAAGCACACATGTCAGAATACTATTTTGAGAGCCACAAGTCAATCACAGATGAATATGTTGATCGCCTTTGCTTTTGCGAATGACTTTGGATTCCTGGGTGGTGCGATAAGTTGGAGACATGCATTGAAGAGCAGTGGCCAACCTCGCTCATGGTGTCCGCGTATTGCGCGTCAATATATTTGATTATACTATTAACTTGGCGCTCAAGTTTCAATTCGCGACCCTCAATAAAGTCCAAGCCCGGTGTATCGATGACCTGGTCAAAGTGTTGGAGAAAATGCCGTCTGGTGAGGTCGCTCTACATACCGAGAACAGAACTCGATCAAACCGGGACTCGCATATCTCAATGACCGCCGTTTCAATTGCGGTAGTGCTCTTTGGGGAACCTCGCAAGAATCGTTGCATTGCGGCGCGTTGGTCTGGAGTTGCTGTGGGCGAAATATCGGCAGTTTCTACCAGAAGGCGGAGGAGGGAGGTTTTGCCAGTCCGTCTTGCGCCAACAACCTACGACAAAGCCTTATACCCACATACTCTGACACGAACAAAGACACACCATTAGGTTGAAGGTTGGAGATACCCTGGCGCGGCGTTGACTGTATCGAGGGGCTACTGTGCTTTTGCGAGCGTCATTCCGAGTGTCGAAAACCGGTGTTGCTCCAGTCGAATATAAAGAGCTGATAGGTCCATTGCTGAGATTACCTGGTGAAGGTCGAAATGGTTTGTGGAAGGGAATGGCTGCGGTTGAATCCGGACCCTGCAGAGAGGCTTTGGCCGCACCTTGCCCTGTGGGTTCTGGAGGAGCCGCTTGACGAATGGCATCAACGTCGACAAGGTTTTCAGGCCACTGTAGACCACTGGCGCTGAACGTTGGAAGAGAGGGTGAAGTCCGGATGCGGGGTTGCTCTTCCGCCCGGGATGATTTACGTCGAAAAGAAGAAAACATGGATGGAGAGGAGGTATTGTAAAGAGTGGAGGAGAGGGTCTCAAGCGGGCACGTGATCAAAATTTACATATTTTTTTTGTACACCCAAAACCCGTAAAAGAACAAGACAAGGTATCTACTGCGCCCTGGCGCTAGGGTATCTCCAGTGAGCTTGTTTTAATTTTCTTGGGGGGGCTCGGACGACCAGCGTCCGAGTGCTCTAATGATCGCTTCAAATCCAGTTCCATCATATCCTGCTCATAGTTAGCGCTAGACGGTGCCGGGAGTGGTCTCGTCGAAGCCGGAGAAATTGATCTCATGGACTCCTTTGATGTCGACGGCTTCCGTGGAGTTTTGCGTTGACCATTGCTATTTGGGTCGTGGACATAGTTGCAAGGTAGCATCCGTCGCACACAACTGGAGCTAAACGAGACCAACCATGATTAGCGCCTAACAAAAGTCAAGGTTAATTTACCATTGAGGTGTTGCCCCATCACACTTAGTTTTCCGAGCTTCGTTTGTCTCGTTAGCCTTTCAGACAAGCGAAATGAATGGACCCACCTCGGCAAAAATTACACGCGACGACCTTGGGCCCTGTCGTCGATGGTAGACGAGTACTTTTGCCCGGTACCGTGGCTGACCGCTTCCGTTGCTGCTGCTCAGAAGCCTGTCTGAGAGGCTGTAGAGAGGGTGCTGACATCGGGCCAGGTGTCGTGGGTGAAGGCTCTGGTAGCGAAAGCGTTGCAATCGCAGGGAGCTCATTCTCTACAAACAACTTACGTTGTTCTCCGGACCCAGATGAAGAGTACGCCGTTATCGGTGGGAGTTCGTCGCGGCGATCACCCAGAAGTGATATAGCAGGTGAGGTCTCGAAATTTGAGCCCCTTCTTGACGAAATTTCAGGTGAAAGGGACGGATCAGGCGACCGGTCGTCGGCGCTCTCACTGTCGCTCTCCTCGCCTTTGACTACTCGAGCTGCGCCGCCGCCACCACGTCGTTTGTTTTGTGGCATGTAGTCGCATGGATTATTTCGTTTTAAGCATTGAGCACATGACGGGCTTATAGAAGCGGTTTGTTAAAGGTAGGCAGCTTTTGGGAGATGAACATACCGGCCGCCATCGCATTTGAGTTTTCTAGCTACAAGATGTTATCAGCCTTCTGGTGGGTACGCGGTAACCAAGGGATATACAGCGACAAAAATTGCAGGCAACGGTGATTTTTTTGCTACGTGGTTTGACGGTGCCTGTTGCTTGACTGTTCAGCGAACCAAAAAAGAAGTGACGGGCGTGAGATGACCAACCAGAGGAGGAGGCTTTGGCTGGGTAGGCCGAGGTCGAGGGCTCCAGCCGAGCAGATTGAACGTCCGGGGTGAGTGCAATCTCCCGATGAGCAGTAGAGTGCGTCGAGCCGCGGTGGGGAACGGCGCTGCGTGGAGCCGTATCGATTGCCAGAATCGGTCTGGGTCCAAGAGACAGCGGAGTTGACGGCGGTGCAAGGGCTTGTGAGTGAGAGGCAGGTCTAGCGTTGGCGCGATGAGGAAGACATTCAATCCGAAATTTATCGAATAAGTATTCTCTGGTATACTTTTGGAGAGTCTGGGGAGTGTGAGTAAGATGACGGGAAGCATAAGTCATCTTGGAATACCTTCATGTGATGGAATATGGCAGTGCGGAGAGAGACAAAGTCGCTGTGTGCAGGATCCAAGGCGTCAACGGTACCCCATCGGTAGGACCGAATGAATTTTCCAAGGAGATTTCTTTTCGAAGGAGGGGGGAGGGGGGAAGGAGTGTACTGGAGCAATAGCTCATGGCGGGAGAGCGGCGTTCTCTGAACACCGTCACTATGGGAGTAAATGTCGGGGGAAAGGAGTGCATAGGGCAGCCGAAGCAATGATGCCGACGAAGCAGGGGAGGCGGGAGGCGAATTTGAGGCATCCTCGTATGAATCAACGTCGAAAATCCCGAAACCAATACCATGGTCGGCAAGATCTCTACGAATAGCACGCTTGACACTTGCTAGACGCTCGTTTGACAAGGAATCTGCCCGTGCAATGACGGGAAGCACATTCACTCGAGCAGAAAGCCGTCGAATAGTACTGATTTCCGCCAATGGGAGGGTAGGTCGGCTTAAGAGAGGGTTGACTGGAAGATCCAACAGTCCCGTATCTTGATCCGGTTGCGCAAAGCTGTTCCCTCGAGCACGAGTTGTTGCAGGGGCGGGGAGTGAAGGAGGAAGTATATGGTCTGGGTCAAGAAAGTAAACGCATCTGTAGAAATTGTGAGCTGGAAAGAGAATATGCAGACGACAGCCTCTTACAGATGAACATATCTGTCGCCGCTCTGCGCAACCGAATCCTATGACGCGTAAGAAAAAGAGCGAGCAACAGAGAAATAACACGCACATCTTCTCCACCTTCTGCTAATCTGGACTCTATAAAATGTAATGTGTCGGCTACAACGCGTTCCGAGCCAATGTTGTCACTGAAATCGAGGGAAGGTGTATCAACAACAGTGAGCGCTAATGCGTCGGAGCCGTCCACATTAATGTCAATTGAGGCGGTACGAAGGGACGAAGTATGGCTATTGCAGCCTTGAATGAAACGAGCGACGGATTGTAGCTGCTCCTTTGATGCTGCTTGAGAAATCTCGCTTGTGTCGATTAAGAGACGAAGGAATGAGCTTTTCCCTGTGCGATGTTAGGCGCCTCAACAACGTGGAGAGGAACGAATACCGACCTCCTCGACAGCCAGCTACGAGCAGGGTGAGCTCTCCGCGACTAGGCCCTGGTTGACATGAGCAGGGGCTAGAAGAAGGCATCGGAGTTGTTTCTTACCCGCCGCGAGTTGACTGCCAAAGCGCGTTTCACGAACCTCACGGCCGCTGGGCAGCATAGCTGTCGACGCCAGATGGGCAAAGGCGCGCTGTGGTGAACGTTGCCTGCACCGTTTCGAAGCAAGTGATGTCGGGGTCGTAATCCAAGAACCGACCTCTTTTCCGTTCCGACATCCATCAATCAACGGCAGTAAAATTAGCAAAGAACCTAAGGGGTCTACAAAAGCTATTACAGATAATTATTCTCTGTACATTATACTCGATAGCGGCGGAAATAAAAAAATCGTGCGAGCTGTAGCCAGCGGCCGCAGTGCGGCCGGCGACAAACTGTACGTAAAAAGTCACTGACAGGGCGCTTTTCTCACTGTTGAGAGTCATCGTCTGAGTAGTCTTCGTCATATCGACCAGGCGGCGACTCGTATCGACCAGAAGAAGAAGACGGCTGCTGGAATTGCCCGGTGGACGCCCGTGACCGAAGATTGGGGACATAATCTTCAAACTCTTGTGTGGTTCTCGAGCTGGAAGGTTCACCCTGTGCTGTTTTGCTGCCTCTGGCTGCTCGCTTTTTGGGACGAGTGCCCTTCGCTGCTTTTCCTGGCCCTCGACGCTTGGGTGCATCGCGGTAAAAGCAAGCGTGGTTGCGCTGATTGCAATTTGAACAGATGGGTTTTGCTCCATCGCACCTCAACTTTCGGCCTACGACAAAATTCAGGGGTTGCATGCAAAGGCTGGGAAATACCTGTTACCTCTACAGAAGTCGCAGGCAACCAAAATTTTCTTGGGCATTCGAGCATTTTGGTCGGTGTCGTCTTCAGGCTGCTTACGTTTCGCACTGGCGTATGAGCTCTCGCTACCTTCTCCACGATGATCGGAAGAGACTGGAGAGTGCGATTGCAAAGTACTATGGATAGGAGGTAGGCCTTCGCCCTCTCCTGGTCGCGGTCCATAGCTTGGCCATTCGTGACTGGGAGGAGGAAGGTATAGCGGCGGCAATGCTACTCTACCTTGGGAGCCTTCTGCAAAAGGAATATCCGTCTGCGGCCGAGGTGTGAAGCCAGGATCTCTGAAGCGATCGTATGTGGTGGCTATAACAGAATTTTGTGAACGAGAGTACAGGAAATACAAATCGGACTTACGAGGGCCAGCAGCATAACCACTTGGTTCAGAAACTCGACGATAAATTGGCTGAGGTAATGGATATGCAGGACCAGCGGGATATGACGATGGGCCAGCTTCTCCTTCTCTCCAATGAACTTGTGGCGGCGCAATAGGCGGTAGATTCGGCAAACTATGTGCACCAGGATATATGGAGGGAGCTTGTAGTCGCGAGCTTGGATGCGACATCGGAACATTTCCTCTATACGACGATGGGCCTGCAACGGCGCTGCTCTGATGCTCAGGTGCTCCTGATTCATACGCAGGAAATGGGCGATGAGAGTCGGTCAGGTGTGGGGAGGGAGCGATTGGTCGCAACGGGTATGCTGATTTGCGCGAGCTGTCGAGAATATCGACGTCTTCCTGAGAGCTGGTGGTTGGTGAGCGTTGAGGCTCCTGTGGTCTGTCGTAGAGGTGTGGAATCAGGCTGGGCGGCAGTGAGCTCTCTTTGGCCATCCTAAGCAACCGGCAGGCGAAGACGACGACGGGGCGCGTAAAGAGCGACGTTGGTCGTAGGAAAAGCGAGTGTATGGGTGAAAAGGAGACCCGAAGGAATGAAGAGCCCATCCAACTCGACGATTTGTCTGAAATAAGATGGAATGGAGCACTCGATCGGAACCTGCTACGGGAGAGCGATTGCGACCGCGGGTCTCATAGGATTACTTCCGCGCAGACGGGCCCAAAAGCAGAGCAGTCGGAGGAGGTGAGTTGAAAAATGACGGACATAAGAACTCAACAAGACCAAGTGTTTGCCGCGCGAATCACACTCTCTCTGGACGATCTTTTTTTTTCTCTGCGCGCGAACCAACGAAAAAACTCCAGTTTTTTTCTACTCAGCACGGTACATTTGCTCTTCTTGCCTCCAGCTCTCGAAACACGATCGGTTTAGGGGAGCATGAGCTATGCTCGGCAGTCCCTGAAATAGTCTGCTGAACCATATTGGCAACATGGGCCCAGAACAACGGTAGTTGATGTCAACTCTAAATCTTCCCCGTTTTTTTGGCCTCGATACCAGTATTACCACGATAAGATCTTTCTCGAGGGAATTCTGTCGAGGCCGAACATCATCCCATATGAGGCAATGCATGATACACAGGTACCAAGTCCCGCCCGCAAAGTAGACACATGTTCGTAGATTTTCAAATGCAACCAGCTTACAAAAAAAACTCTAAACACTTTGAGTCGCATCACAAGAACCCATAAAAGGAAATATGATGCAAGTCACTGGCGTCACACGACATGCTTGTCTCCAGAACATCAACGCGCGGCGCGTTCAGACGCTCCTTCTCGACCACATCTTCAAAATGTACGGAAGCACCCGTCATGAATCGCTACAGTCGCGTCATCACCCAGCCTAAGGACCAAGGCGCGAGCCAGGTGTGTCCATCACTAATTTCAGGCTCCCCATTCGTTGAGGGGTTTTCCAGGCCATGTTATACGCGACGGATGGTATTAAAACCGACGATGACTTCAATAAAGCTATGGTCGGAGTCGCCAGCATATGGTGTGTCTAGTCTACGGCTCACTCATAACGCGCGTTTTATAAAAAATTTAGGTATGAAGGGAATCCGTGAGTCATACATATTTATAGCGTGTCTTCCTTTGATTTGACGCGCTTTAGCTGCAACAAGCATCTTTTAGGGCTGGGACATGAAGTTCGCAACTCCCTCTACGAGAACAATCTTATTGGGTATCAGTTTGGGGTGGTGGGCGTCAGCGACGGGATTAGCATGGGCACTCGCGGAATGTCCTATTCCCTGCAGTCCCGCGATCTCATCGCAGACCAAGTAGAAACTGCTGCGGGCGGACACCATCTGGATGGAATGGTAGTCGTCCCGGGTTGCGACAAGAACATGCCTGGCGTCTTAATGGCTCGTTCGTCCTTTCACAATCCAATTTTCATGAGCCTAATCATTCTCTAAGTTGGTCGCTTGAATAGACCCGGGCTTATGGTCTATGGTGGAACAATTCGACCTGGCTCTTGCGAAGGAGCACCACAACTCGATATCGTTTCCGCCTTCCAATCTTATGGCAAATATCTTGCGGCAGGCAAAAACTGCCGCCGCCGAGAAAGAGCGATATGACACAAATCGACATGCCTGCCCAGGTCCGGGTGCTTGTGGAGGCGTAAGCACTCATATTCTTGTTTTAATGTGCTTGACGCATTTTCCAGATGTACACAGCCAACACTATGGCCAGTGCAGCGGAGGCATTGGGAATGACGCTTCCCGGCTCCTCTTCGTTCCCTGCAGAGTCCAAGGAGAAGGCAGAAGAATGTGCGGCGATTGGTCCTGCGATGCACAATCTCCTTGTTAAAAATATCCTGCCTCGGGATATAATGACGCGGGCAGCGTTTGAGAATGCAATGGTAACCATATGGTTCCTTTTCATTCAACTCTGATGTTAGCCAGGTCCTAACTATGATCCTTGGCGGATCGACCAACGCTGTGTTACACCTCATCGCTGTTGCACACTCCGTTGGTGTCGAACTTTCCATCGACGACTTCCAAAATGTTTCCGACCGCACTCCACTTCTCGCGGATCTCAAGCCCAGTGGACAATACGTGATGGAGCATGTCTTTAAGATTGGTGGTATTCCGAGTAAGTGCTAAATATCATCTCCACCAGCTAACTGACTGCACAAGAAATTCTCGCATTCCTGCTCAAAAACAATTTAATTGATGGAAATACGCTTACGGTAACCGGAAAAACACTTGGAGAGAATCTCGAGGCCTGGACCCACAAATATGGCGAATTGGATTTTAATACTCAGGACGTCATCCGACCGATCGGCCAGGCCATTAAGGAAACTGGCCACATCCGGTATCTTTAACGTCCCCAAGGAAATTCCTCGACTTACCTTCTCCAGCATACTCAAGGGCAACCTAGCCCCCGGCGGTGCTGTGGCCAAAATCACGGGCAAAGAAGGCCTTGGATTCACTGGTAGAGCACGCGCATTCGACACAGAAGCCGACTTCTTCGATGCTGTCGAGGCTGGTTCCATCAAAAAGGGCGAAAAAACGGTTGTTGTTCTGCGGTATCTCGGTCCGAAGGGTGGGCCAGGTGAGTCGCACGATCTTCTCATCCCCAACTAATTCTGACTTTGTTCATAGGAATGCCCGAAATGCTCAAGCCTACAAGCTTGATTATGGGCGCAGGCCTTGGGCATGACGTTGCCTGTATTACGGATGGACGTTTCAGCGGCGGTTCCCATGGATTCTGCATTGGTCATGTCGTGCCGGAAGCTCAAGTTGGAGGGCCTATTGCACTCGTTCGTGATGGAGATGTCATCTCAGTGGATGCTATCGCCAACACCATCCAACTCCATGTACCTGACAACGAGCTGGCAGATCGCCGCGCTCAATGGGTAGCTCCTCCTCTCAAGGCGACGCAGGGCACATTATTCAAATACATAAAAAACGTCACCGATGCAAGTCGGGGCTGCATCACAGACGCATAGGTCAATTCAAGAGCAATAAAAGTACATATAAACGGAATTAATTGGCACCATGGCTACTTGCCTTTCTTCATTGCTCGTTTTTTCTCCGCTTTGGGCATTTTGTGCTTCCGACGCTCCTTTGCCTCTGCTTTGACCGCCTTCTTCCGCTCCTATTAGAGTTGAGCCAAATGTTGTAGGCTCATATAAGATTCAAACCTTCTTTTCATCACGATCTTCATGTCGATGTCCTCGTGGCCGCCGCGCCTCAAATCCATCTCCAGTGTCTTCAGCAGCTCCTTCGCTCTCATCATCATCATCATCATCATCGAATTCGGTATCGGCTTCCTCTATGACTTCGACGTTGCTTGCCTTCAAGTCATCCCGCGGTACAAGACCCAAAGCGTCAGCATATACAAGTCCTCTGTTCTCTCCGCGGGCAACAGCAGCAGCATCGCGTTCTGGATCAAATACTTCGTTCAGAGAACGGGTAATGTGTGATCTGAAGAAGACTGCGTCTTCTTGCGAGGCGTCTTGGTCGGGAGTTAATGATTCATCGAGTTGCGGAGGTGATTCTGAAAGCCATCGTCGCAAGATGAATGTCGCGTGCCGTGCATCAGAGGCATTGGACTTGACTGGTGGCAGATCAGAATCGCCCAAGTCGGCCACTAGTTCTTGAACATCGTCCAATGACTCGGTCCCATCCAGCTCAGGCAATACCTCTCGAGTGACAAACTCAAAAGACCGCCGTAGTCCTAGACACTTGACTCCTCTTCTGGAGAAGAAATCTTCCACGTTTTTTAGATCGTTGCGCAGAAAGTCGAATGCTGAAGGGTGATCGTGTTCGACACTTTGGGAGACGTCGATGATATATAGGTGGTGGTCGTGAAAGAGCACATTATACTCTGAAAGGTCGGCGTGCACGAGACGGCACCGATGGAACAGGGTGCGGACTGTGATCAACATTTCCTCGTAAAGCATCGCTGTCTGTTCTTCGGGAATGACGGCGTCTTTAAGTCGGGGAGACGCCCACCCTTCTTGATCACCAAGGAACGACATGACAAGGACATTCTCTCGAACTTCTAATGGTTCTGGTGCGCGTAGCCCAGCTGCACGAAGTCGCTTGAGATTACGCATTTCTTTTTCGGCCCAGACTCTGACCATTTTACGGGGATTGTGGCGCGAATAACCACGACGGAATCGGTGCTCGCCAGAGACATACTTGTCGCGATCTTTGAAGACAAGAATAGAGGTTTTGTAGATCTTGAGAGCGAGATGTGATTGCGTAGGCGTAAGTGCGTGGTAGACATTAGCCTCTTTTCCAGTGCTGACGCATCCATTGACTTCGTCTATCAACCCCCGGCCCACCATTTTGAGTAAAATAACTCGTGTGCGTGGGTCAAGGACTTGTTCTGTTGTCGCACGATCCGCCTTGTCCTTCATATTTGCATGAGCACTGGGGCCTTTGCGGTTGACTCCGACGCCAACAGAGTATGGCACATCGATTTTGGAGATCTTGGATGAAAATTTCGCGAGAGCGGCAAGTTGATCTGTTGTCCGTTCCCTAGATGCTGTTGTTTTTGCATTAACCGCCGGGTGGTTAATCGCAGGAACTGGTGCAACAGAGGTGTTCTTATTCAAAGCTGACGATGATCCCAGTGCAGTCCCAGCGCGAACGGCAACATGTTGTCGTAGTCGGTTGAATTGTTTGGTAAAATCTATCTGAGGCAGTCGAGGAGGTATCCAAAAACAAGAACATCTGACTAACCTCCCTCGGCGCGCTCCCAGTCTTCGTCTTCTACGCGGTTATCTGAGTAGCTGTCTTGTGAATCCCAGTCCGATGCCTCCTCGGAAGAATGCGGAGGGCTCCAGTCCGATGCAGGAGAATCGATGATCGTCGTCATTTCACAACCTTGTCACACACCCTGCTCACCAAATACGTCCATGTCTCTGCGTCAACGGATTCCCTTCCAAGCTCCAGACGACGACGATAATAATGGCCAACCACAAGTCTTAGATGAGACCGAACAAGAGGAGGCAAATTCTTCAATTACCACGCCCTCAAGCAACTCATAAACACGTTTTTCAAGCTCATCGAAAACTTACGGAAAGAGAATAGCCAGACGTCTGCTCGAACAATTGTCATGCTCCATGGCGTCCTCGGCTTCTCTTCACTACTGTATGCTCGCCAACTTGACTTGAATTCGGCTCTTACAATGGCACATCGCAGGCAACTCACCTATCTCCTCAAGCCCTCCAATTCGAGCCCACTTTTCGAATTTTTCCCTCCCACATCAACCACGTCTCTTGAATCGATTCCTGCACCAACATCATTCTCTCTCCTGGCGCTGTTGTTACACGCGAATCTTTTATTACATCTCCATCCCACTTTCCTGCACAATGCGTTCCCGCCTATCCCATTGTCTTATTCAACAAGCTATGCCCTAGCTTGTGTTGCTCCAACTCTCGCGTTGTTTCTTGGTCGAGCATGGCAAACGACCCTTTGGAGCTCTTTCCCTGCGTTGGTAATTGGTTTGGTGCATTCTGTCCATAGCACTTTGAAGGAAGGAGACCAAGCTCTGGCAGAGCTAGAAGCCTTAAAGTATAGAGCAGCCGGCCCATAGAACTAGATGTATACACCCTTTCCCTGAGGAAGATATGAATCTTCCGTGACCGTGATCAACGGGACTTCGTGAATGACTGCCACCTACGCCGCTCAACCAAGGCCAACTTTCTTCGATCCCATTGCCAGTGCCAGCTCCGACACAGGGTCGTTTTCTCTCTCTCCATCAGCCTCATTTCTTTCGGACTCTGAATTTACCGTTTTCGCGGGCGAAACCGAGACCAGTTCATTCGAGTGGACAGATTCGGACACAAACAACTCTGAACCAGCTGTAGTTGGCGTTGATCAAACTACCACCCCGCAGATTTCATCACTTCGACTCACTTTTCTGTCTTTCTTTGCCGCAATTCTCCGTGTCGACAGCGAAACTATTCGTTTGCTCCAATCAGAGCCCACAGATAATTCGCCGCTGTTTCCTGGTCCCCATCTCAACCAAGAGACCGACTCGACCCCAACCGACGCGCCACATGGCCTCTACAAACTACTCGAAAACTATTTGCTTAGCGACTGATTCCGAGTCATCGAGGATGGATTCCTGCATACAAGTAATTACTGCTGCGCTAGCTCGGCAACCTGTTTTACGTCGATTATCATCGCCAAAACGCAGGCAGTTTGCGTTTGATCTGGCTTTCATCGCGCTGGGTTGTCGGTATGTTTTTGCAAGCCACACAAATTCATATCAGGCTGATTGGTATTCAGAACTGCTTGGCTTGTTGACGTTGTTACTGTCGTCAATCAGGAGCAGGTCTTTGAGGAGTTGTTGAGCAGTCTGCGCGCGGTATTTGATCAAGCCTGAGCGCTGCCACATAAACCGGTGTTCTAAGCTACTTCATAGGTATCAGCAGAGTTTACGCGTATAAAACACATCTTCGAGTCGACCTCGTCCCAATCGTTCTTCGTTAATCTCGACCAACTCGAGATGCAGAATCTAAAAGATATTCGGTTCATTTTCCTTGGAGAAACACCACAACGTGTCGCAGAGCCACCTGTCGATGTTCAGTCTGCCTTGCTACATCTAAAAGCAACATCTTCTTTTCCGGGTGACTTGGGCCCTCTTACTAGCATTCCGTTGGCTGCACTTTTACTGGGCTATCCTGTCGCATACATCGTCGCTGACACGACTTCTGTTTTCCTGTCACATACTCCATTGGATGTCTACTTATGCTCCATCTCTTCTCCAAAGTGGGCCGATCCGCATACCATGATCAAGTTCTCTTGCCCCGCTGGGCTTTCCGAACAGCTTTCGCCGTTGCAGGTCACTGCGCAGCTCAAAAACCGCTTTCAACAACGCATTACGGATCTGGGTCTAGAACTCTCTGTCTTGCACCACGTCGAGACATTGGACAGAGTCGCCTTATGACGCTATTTGGCTATGCGCTTCCCGAGAAACTGCGAGAACCAACCTCATGCGAGTCCTACTAATACGGGCACGTGATCGCATGACCGAAAGAAGGTTGCTGACTACAGGCAAAGGTATATAAGGACCTGACTGGATTCTGGCAACCCATTATCAAGCAACCGCCTGTGCTCCCTTCTTTACACTACCATCCATTCATCCATGTCGAAACCAATAGAAATCCAGTCCGTCAAACAATGGAACGAGATCATTGAGGCCGCAAACGATAAAACTCTAGTTGTCGACTTCCACGCCACCTGGTGCGGTCCCTGCAAGGTCAGCTATTTTAAATCATCAACGAGAAACACCTGGCTGAGATTTTGCCTAGGTTATTGCCCCACAGTTCAGCCAACTAGCTGAACAAAACCCTAATGTGCAATTCCTGCGAGTTGATGTAGATGAGCACGCAGCCATTGCGGAATTCTTGTACGAGTTGCATTGCTGGGGACCACCATTACTGACTTTTTTTACCCATAGTCAAGTTAGAGCTATGCCAACATTCTACGCGATAAAGAATCGTGAGGTAGTGGGCTGGGCAAGTTCATTACCTTCGAGTTTGGACCTCTTCTCACATAAGTACAGCTTCGCGGCGCAGATCCGAAGGGGCTTGCCAACCTAGTCAAGGAACATGGTGCAACGCCAGCACCTGAATCTCAAATAGAGGAGTCTGCGCCGTCATCCAATCTGTAAATAGAATCAAACTCAGCATTCTTTGTATTCGTACCAATTCATTCACCTTTCATGTCTTGTAACAGTGTGCCTCTCGTGGTCTGCTTTGAGTCCGGTGTATCTCGCGGTTCGTCACATCACGAGTCGTGACCACTACCCTTGTTCCAAGCCACAACATGCATCCTTCTGGAGAAATGTATTGTTCCCTCTCAGCCAGAGGCAGAGAAACGTCCTGACGTGGATGAGAGGCCGACGTCCGGCCCGCCATCGAAGCGCATGAACCAGCTGACCTTCGGCAAATGTTGAGCATAAAAATCCGACGAAGGGCCGTCCAACTTGCAGCAATGAAGCCTCTATTCTTGCTGCTAGCAAGTGCCCTTGCCGCTACCGCTCAAAATACTACCTGGCCGGTTCACAGCACGGGGCTTTCAGATATTGTCCAATGGGACCATTACTCTCTCCTCGTCAATGGCCGTCGGACTTTCCTTTGGTCAGGGGAAATACACTACTGTGAGTCCACTTTTTTCTTTTTCGCACCACTAGCTCATTGAAGGCAACCAGGGCGCATTCCTGTACCCGCCCTATGGCGTGACATCCTCGAAAAGATAAAAGCTGCTGGATTCAACGGAATCTCAGTTTACGCGTCAGTGTCCTCCTACTGCAGCCTGAGCCCAAATTGAAAAACACAGTCATTGGGCATTCCATGCACCCAACAACCATACTCTGGATTTCGAAACGGGTGCTCATAACTTCGGTCCTATTCTCGATATAGCGAAGGAAATTGGTCTCTATGTCACCATGCGGGGCGGGCCATATGTTAAGTATGAATTTAAGCTGCCGAAGTGTGTCTTTTCTAAAAGTGTTCGGTAGCGCCGAGACTACTGCTGGCGGATTCGCACTCTGGACGGTTACCGGTGCTTATGGCGCCCTGCGGAACGACGATCCTCGTTACACGGCTGCTTGGACGCCATTCATGGACAAAATCAACGAGATAACGAACCAGCACCAAATTACGAACGGAGGGTCCATACTTCTTACCCAAATTGAAAACGAAATATGCTGTCAACGCAATTCAAACGGCAGTCTTAATCTTCCCATTGTCAATTACATGGTCGTATGTCCTTTCCACGTTCCTAAGCCAGCAAGCTTAGCGATCACAGGATCTGCAAGAGAATGTACGAGAAAATGGAGTTAAAATTCCGATAATTGTCAACGCTCCGAACATGAACAGTTAGTCTCTACCAATTTGACCGTCCTCGCTACTCAAATATACCAGCACGTTCTTGGTCCACGGATTACATGCCTGGACCGGGAGAGCAAGACATATATGGTAGTCCTTCATCTTTATATCACAGGACCAACTAAGCAATATATGTTCCAGGTCTTGATAGTTATCCGCAATGTTGGTCTTGCAATCTCGCTGAATGCACTGGTGGATTTGGCAGCACTGCTTATGCTGACCATTTCAATCTTGTTTCACCAACACAACCATCCTTTTTGCCCGAATTCCAAGGCGGGAGCTACCGACCTTGGGGAACAGATGCGTGCCCCGGAAACATTGGGCCCAATTTCGTGAGCATGTACTACAGACACTTGGCTGCAGAGAGAGCCACGATGGTGAACCTCTACATGCTGTGAGTGCCGCAATACAACAGAAGAAGCGTATCTCTAATGTTTGTGGCAGTTATGGTGGCACCAACTGGGGCGGGCTTTCCACGAACTTGATCGCCACTAGCTACGACTATTCTGCACCGATCGAAGAGAGCCGTTTAATTGGAGACAAATACTACGAGACTAAACTTATTGGACTGTTCTTCCGTGCCGCAAAGGATTTGGTCATGACAGACCGCACGCCCTTCTCCACCTCATTCACAAATAACAACCTCGTTGGCGCAACCGTTCTGCGTAATCCAGAGACACAGGCCGGCTTTTACATCGTCCGCCAGAGCAATATGCAAGCCACGACAACTGTGGATTTTACGCTCAACGTACAAACAAAGTCGACCGGAAACATCACTGTACCCAGCTTTAACAATCACAGTATCCGGTTGGTCGGCGTTCAATCCAGGATTGTAACGACAGATTTTCACTTTGGCGGCAATACGCTAGTATATTCGACTGCTGAGGTCCTCTCGCATTCTGTTGTTGACGGCAAAAGCGTCCTTGCACTATGGCTTCCCGACGGGGAGTTTGGGGAATTTTCCATCCTCGGTGGCTCCAAAAAACGACAAGTCGTATCCGGTACTGGAGGGGGCTTCCACCAAGTTGGGAATAACTTGGTGTTGTCATATCACCAACAGACAACCCAGTCTGTTCTGCAATTTGACAACTTCCAAGTCATCCTTCTCCCTCGGTCACTTGCGTATACATTTTGGGCCCCCACGTTAAGCAACGATCCTATTGTCGAGCCAGAGTCTGTTGTTTTCGTAACGGGCCCCTATCTCGTCCGGTCTTTAGTATTTTCTGGGTCGCAGGCGTTGATTACTGGAGATTCGACTGCTGCGACGACCCTCGAGGTGTTTGCGCCAGCAAACATAACCACAATTGTGTGGAATGGCAAATCCCTCCGAACACAACGCAGCTCATATGGCACACTCAAAGCGAGTATTGCTCAGCCGGGTCTGGATGTTGCCACCCTTCAAAAGTCTTTGGAGTTCACTGGTTGGAAGCATTCCGATGCGCTACCTGAAGCAAATGCGGCGTATGACGATTCGAATTGGGTTGTTGCTGACCATACAACCACTCCAAACCCAACAAAGCCGTCCACACTCCCGGTCCTTTATGCAGACGATTATGGTGAATCTCTTGTCTCCGAGGTCGTATTGTCTTATGCTGTTTAGGCTTTCATACCGGTGTCCAAATTTTCCGAGGCAGATTCCAAGGCCAAGCATCGGCCGCCAAAATTAATGCTCAAGGAGGAACGGCCTCAGGCTGGTCAGCATGGTTAAATTCGGATTATATCGGAAGCTTCCCGGGCAATGTTAGCACTGCATCCGGGTCGCTAACGATCTCCTTTGAAAATGCCACACTTTTTGAGGACCGGGAAAATGTGCTGACTGTAGTCTTGGACCATTCTGGCCACGATCAACGAGCCGATGCGCTCCATCCTCGAGGAATACTCAGTGCGGCACTTGTATCGACCACAAATACCACTTTCAGCAAGTGGACTCTTGCCGGCAATGCGGGAGGGGAAAGCAATATCGATCCTGTCCGCGGAAATATAGCGGAAGGCGGGCTCCATGCTGAACGACTCGGGTGGCATTTACCTGGTTTCGATGACTCGAAGTGGGCGGCGCGATCTCCTGAAGAGGGAATAACTAATGGAACCATTGCTTTCTTCCGGACCACGGCAACCTTGGCGGTTCCCGAGGGCTACGATGTCGCCTTGCAGTTCATTTTGAGCTCGCCACCGGGCAGCATACTGCGTGCTCGACTTTACATTAATGGGTAGGAAAGCTGTAGCGCTTCCCAGACTCGCCTAACTTTATCTATAGGTACCAATACGGGAGATATGTACCGCAAATCGGCAACCAAGTGGCATTCCCTGTGCCGCCCGGCATCCTGAACCTTCGAGGTACCAACACAATCGGATTGAGTTTATGGTCGCAAACAGCGGCCGGAGCCAAGGTGAACGTGGAATGGGACGTTTTGGGAGTCGCAGAGAGCTCTTTTGATCCGGGATTCGATGCGGCAGAGCTGCAGCCTGGGTGGACGGAGGGACGTTTAGCGTTTGCGTGAGATAGTGGTCGGGCACGGGATCAATATTGAGGCTGTCCCATCAGATGGGGTAACAGCTTCCTACACCATGCTGTATTTAAAGACCAAGCCAAGAACAGATTTTTTTACCCTCTTCCCATGTTCGTCCCTTTCTTGACCAAGCGAAGCAAGCTCTCGAAGCGTCGCGGCGGCGGAAAGAGTGGTGGTGGTAGTAGCGGTGGTGGCGGGAAAAGTTCTGGCGGTACCTCAAGTTCTAGCGGCGGCGGAGGCCGTTCATCTTCGATATCGACTGGAGGGACAACAAAGTGTGTCATGAACATCTTCTCAGTCTTATCGCGCTTAGACAACGCGTTCAAGGTCAGCCTCTGCATATGGAGCTGGTGGCGGAAAGTCCATTACGATTCCTGCTGGTCAATCGTTTGCGGGCCGTTCAGCAGGTGGGGGTACGAGAGACCAGGTATATGGCACAGCGACCTATGGAAGTGGCTATCCTGGTGTAGCGGGGCGGGGAGTGGCTGGTCGCGGATTCCCCTTCTTCTTCTGGCCGCTTTCGTTCGGAGGTGTGGGCGGGCTTGGGACTGCGGCATATCTGCATTCAAACTCGGAGGTGAGCACTCCTTTTACACCCATTTCAGGACCTCACACACTACACTCCAGTATGGCCGGTCTGACAACGCAAGTCGACCCGGAGGGCGGATGATGACTGCAGCCTTCCAGTCGAGCGGTGCAAGCGCAACCGTCTTCAGAATATTGGCCGATAACGCGACCGTCGTCGAGCTCATTTCCGATATCACCGCGAATTGCTCTTCGTCGCTGAGCAGCTCAAGTGCTACCTCCGCAGCGCCCTACAACGACTCATCCTCTCTGCCGCCACAACCTGAACAGGCTAGTTCGCTTCTAAACACCTTCGGAAACAAACATATTAACCTTCCGCAGGTCATTCAATACTATCGCGCCAGCAGTATCGCTCTATCCCTCGACGGATATAATAATACGGCCGATTTCGAAGCGGAGGGTACTCCCAACACTCCACTCCCATCCGGAATAGACAACACACTTCTGACCTGCCTAAACCAAACGATAGGTGCGGCCGCGCCTCTTATTGGCAGCGGAGGCCAGCTGGTACCCAATACTTCTGGGTTATTAGGCCTTGTTGCTCTGTTTTGGCTGGGTTCCACCTTCATGTAGCGCTTTTTGTACTTATGATTTTATGTAACGGTAGACACGAATTGTAAGAACGCTACCTATTCGATAGTTACAGAGATGATTTTAATATCCTCATATGGCTTGTTCCCATTATTGGTTTTGACGTTCTCAATGTTGTGGATGACCTCGAATCCCGCCAACACACGCCCAAAGATGGTGTGTTTGTTGTCTAACCACGGTGTCGCGGTCGTCGTAATGAAGAACTGGCTGCCATTGGTACCTGGACCGGCGTTAGCCATGCTAACGGTGTAGGGTCTGAAACAGTCAGGTCGTGCCGCATAAAAATACGAAATATGGCATACCGATCATGGCGAAGGTCAGGCGAGAATTCGTCTTCGAACTCGCGACCCCAAATGGATGTCCCGCCTGTCCCGTCGCCCAGGGGGTCTCCCGTCTGGATCATGAATTTGGGGATTACTCGGTGGAAAATGATCCCCTCGAAGAAAGAACTACGCGCATGACCAACAAAGTTCTCGACGGCTTTGGGTGCTTGTTGGGGGAAGAAACGGATATGTATGTCGCCCATGGTTGTGTGGATGGTTCCTGCATCGGCGACTGGTGAAGGGCCACTCGGAGCGGCTGCGGCAGAAGTGGCTACATTCTGTTCTTCACGAGTCGGTCGCTCGTTGAACACGTCGCGATCGCCAGCTGGTCCATCGCTGTCATCATATGCATCAAGACACGGCGTTGTCAAGTTGAGAAAAGTGCATACCCAGGTTCAGAACGCGTGAACATATAGAATCGCGACCGTTTGTAGCCTGTACAGAACAGCGTTGGGTCTCTCTCCCCCTTGTTGGCCAAGATGGGATTGGCAGAGGCGGCCATGGCGATGGTCGTGATCCCCTTCTTTGCGGGGGCTCCTTGATACAGAGAAAGATTTAGCCAGCGAACGGGCTCGTCCTTGCCCAGCAAGCGCACGACGCGGTTTGTGACCGTGTTTACGACTAATAAATTAGATGAACGGCCAGAACATTCGCCGACTGAGCAGCGCACCTTTTATACCGAGTAGTGATGGGTACAAAATAAATGCACCACTTTCATCCCAAACAGCGTTGCTCCAACGAGCAGGCACCCGACCATCTGATCCCGGCAGCTCCAGCTCTCGTTCAAGGGCGAGTCGCCTCCCAAACTCCATATCTTCGACCTTGTACAACGCGGTGCCAGCTTGCTGCATCTCTTGGATTGCTTGCAGTGATTCATCATATTTGCGCGTCAGTTTGCCTCCCAGAAATGAGAATACGCGAATTTGTCGGTCAGGGAGTGAAAAGGTCACGAAGGAGGAGGAATCCGGCGAAAGCGTAATGCAAGTCGGTATAGATTTGGCCTATTAAATTGAGAAACATGGGCAGTCGTTGTGTGGATTCACGCACTTTTTTGAATTCGAAGAGATCCGTCTCACTCCGATATGACCACAAACCTGCGAGGTTCTTGGGTGGTTCGAACGGCTCTGTGGGCTTCCAGTACTCAAGAAAGCCAGACTCGTCGGCAGACAACACCGTGTCGTATCTGTCGCTGTACTGAACATTTGCGGGTTCAATCCAATCTTGACCAGACCACATTTGAACTCACCGACATGACATGAACGGGTGCGCGGTGAAGATTCATATTGCTCTCGAGTGGTTTGTCATCACCACGCCCATCGTAGATATGAATAGCACCAGATGCAGAGTCGGAACTGAGCCAATCGTATTTGTTCAGAAAAAAGGACAAGCATAAGGTCGTCGACACTCACACTGCAAGCAAGCCTTGAACTTGACCACGACGATGGACCCAACAGCAAGCTAGCGGCGTATACCCCAACTTGATGATGTTGATCATGTCTGTGAAGACCTGAGCTGAATTACACAAAGTTCGAACACACACATACCAAAGTTAACAACATCGAACACTTTCGCGGTGCCATCTTCAGAAACGGTCGCGAAGAGTTGCCCATCTGCACTACAGGATACCGCAGTTATTGGTGTTAAGTGGGCCCGATAGTGCTTGACGAATTCGATGCCTTCGTCTTGCTTCTTCCAAAGCTTCAAGTGACCGTCAATGGACGTGGTGACGATAAAGTCGGTCCTACATCAGATGAGATTGACGAGACACGAGGCCCTTAGACATACCTTGTGACCACGCAGAAGTTTATGACATCGCGATGCATGAAGCTCTTGTAATATTGGTCTGGAGAAAAACAGGCTCAGTTGGGGGAATTGAAGACTCGAAACGACTTACCGGCATCTGGAAGGTGATCGAGGTACAGTTTTTCATGCGGGAGCACTATAAACGATATGAATAACTATGAATCTGTGCACCTTGAGGCCAGACAAAAAGATGCAGTCGACCACGAACCTTTTCGTTTCTTTTTAATCGTCTCTCCGGCGGGTAACGGCATGGGACCCTGTTCATCGTCTGAGTCGTCGTCTACGGGCATGTCTCCATCCCGCGCGCGTTTGCCCAAGACAGACGCGTCCTCCTGCTCGTCACTCATGGTGGTGGTCAACCTGCGAGGATCAGTGATCCATGATGGATGATGGATGATAAACAACCTTGAACACAACCGTCATGCGTCCCGACGTCAAGCTCACGGACCGAGCCACGGTCCGTCTGGTATTCGAAGCTGAAGGGCTTACCACAAGACCACGATGTTACATTATTTCTTGCTCGCGGTCTCGGTTTTTGCCGTCTTTATTTCCGCCCACATCCACCCTCCAACCCGCACTCACTTGCAATACATTACCGCAGTAAATCGGACGCAACCCATCAAACTGCTGGCCTCACCTGCTTGTGGAGCCCTCACTTCATCGCATTTCACTGAAGTCAACACCGGTGTAAAGTTGAATGCGACCAAAACCATCGTTGCTTTTGGGGACTCCTGGACATCAAATGGTTCCAACGGTGAGTGAACAGAGGTCAAGACAAGTGACCATGCCTGACAGGACAATCCAGGAACGATTCCGTTTGCACCGATGGTATTTCCCCCCAATCCTTCTGCTGGTGCTCGATTCGGAAATAATTTCCGCGCTCGGGCAAGCAATAGCTACGTTTGGGTGGAAAACCTGGCAAATACACTGGGAGCAAAACTCATTGACTACGCTGTTGGCGGCGCTGTCGTCGACCTCTCAGCCTGGAACTCGACGAACAAGGGCGTGACTTTCACCTCGGACAACCTGCTACGTGTGGATTTCATTGAACAAACGAATTTGTTCCTCCAGCAAGGTCGTTTTCTAAGTAACCTCGATCCTGATACGACTCTATACACGTGTGTATCTCTTCCTCGCGGTTTAGTCACTTAGGTTTCTCCCAGTATCCATTTTGGTGAGTCTTCTCGAACGCTGTAGAGGCTCGTGAGTGAGCTGCTGGCTAGGAATCAAGTACGTGTTCTATGCGAGTATTGAAAAAGACTCCTATCTTCCAGTCTCCAGTGACTTCAACCAATTCTCGATTGCAGATGGCGATTGGAATATTGCTGCCAACACATTCGTGCGTTGACATATACTAGTATATTTCTCTGGTACTTGGTTTTTACAAAGTTTCTAGTTGCGGCAAATCGGGATCCTACAGCAAAACGGAGCAAGAAACTTCCTTGTTCACTGGGTAAGCTTGTCTTGTTGCTGTTCTCTCTCTCATCTGAATGAATCTAGCTATATACTTCGAACAACGTTACAAATGCATTCCAGGACGTCGTTCATCATGGCCTCAAGGCCGCTCATGCAGAGAACGGCACCAACTTCGTTACTGTGAATTTTAACAAGCTCTATAGCGCCATTCTCAATGAACCAGAAGTTTGGGGATACAACAACAACGTAAATCTCTTTATACGGTTGTTGACAGATCGTTGAATTTTCTACAGACCTGGTGTGCCCCGTTAAACTTCCCCTTGAAAAATACGAGAATTAACCTCGTTTGTAGTCTTGTCAGCCAAAACTTCACGACCTTCGGGTGTGATGACCCCGATCACAGCATCTTCTACATTCGTATGCCATCTTATCTATTCTGCTGACTGATTCGTTGATCGAGTTAGCGAACCATCCCTCGGGAACAACGCATGAAATTATGAGCCAGTACACAATACTCACTGCAGAAACATGTATCTAGTTACTTGCTTACTCTATGAACATGTGTCAAATGTTCGTGACTCTTCTTGACTTGAACGACTACCTCGATCTTACAACTCATGGACGCCGCACCTGTTATGCCCACAAATGCTCTTGGAACAGCGCCGCGCAATCGCAAGAATCCTGCCAAACCCAAGGGGGACAACAAACAGCCCTCTCAGTCGTCTGCTCCTGCTAAAGGCTCTGGTTCAACCAAACTTCGGGGACTTCCAAAGGACTCGCCTGAGGTCCGAATGTCGAAAACCCTCTCGTGGCTGCTCCGTCACGGCGCGCAGAGTGAAGGTCTTCCAATGCGTCCCGATGGGTTCGTCAAGGTCACAGATCTCGTGCGTAGTGCGATTCAATCGAACATACGTGTTCACGGCCTCAGCTCGCAAACCCGCGGGTTGTACCGCTAGACCATGCTCAACTACAGGAGATGGTCAAGGCGGATGCGAAGCAACGGTTTGCGCTGATCGAAGAGGAGAGCGTATGGTGGATTAGAGCAAATCAAGGACACTCCATGAAGGTCGCGCTTTTGTCCTTCCCATGGCGCGTCCACTGAGGCTCTTATTCAGGCTGTCAAGGAACTCGAACTAAAGCCGATTCTCTCTATTTCTGATATTCCGACCAAAATTGCTGTACACGGCACAACGAACGCAGCTTGGGATTTGATAGGTACGATGCCTTCAATCTATCGATGACAGTACACTTATCGTGCGTAGCTGCACAAGGCCTTTCCAAGATGAAGAGGAACCACATCCACCTCGCGCAAGGCATTGCCAACGAGAATGTCGTCAGCGGTCAATAGTGTTCTGCTGCTGTCCGCGTCATTATATTAATTTGTTCATTTGTAGGAATGCGCAAGTCCTCTCAAATCCTCATATTCGTGGATATAGAGCGTGCATTGGTGGATGGAATCAAGTTTTCCCTCTCAGATAATGGGGTGATATTGACAGAAGGAGACGAGAGAGGAATTCTACCTACGAAATATTTCACGCGAGTAGAAACAGCTAAGCGGATACCTATACCCGGCTGGGAGGGTGTTGCGCTGGAGCCGACTACGACTAGGTAGATTTTTCTTGCCACTTGGAATCGCGAGCATGTGACGCGGTGTTGTCACGTATGGCTCCTCCCCCGTTGACGGCGAAGAAAGCCTACGCGACTCCTTCCGCGTCTCCAAACCCTACAGCCTCATCGCGCGCCAGATTGGGCCGTCCGCCACTGAAAAAGGCCCGCCATGCTTCTTCTAATTCACGGCCATCATCGTCGTCAACGCCTGACGCCGCCGACTTTCATCGTGAACGAGAGTTGTCAAAGCAGCGTTTCTGGGACGTGGTCGACCAGCTCCCAAGCAAATATACGATGTCTATCCATGAAGACGACCTGGTTGATTTTGCAACGCTGGAAATCATTGAGGATCGCGGTGTGAGCCGTGCGAAGTTGGGTGGCGAGGTGGAAGAAAGTGATGATCAGGTCGAGGAGAGCACTGTCACGGACGAAGAAGATGAAGTCGACGAGTTGGATTTGCTTGCAAGTGCGGAAACGTCATTGCGGCCATCGGAATCTAGCGATGACGAAGAGGTGGATGAACTTTTGGCAGAGTTCCTCGAGGCTGAGCGTCTGAGAAAAGAGGAATGCGGGGAAGACGGCGAAGAAGAAGAATTCGAGCCTCCGCAACCACCACCACCACTGCCGCCGCCACGTCCTTCAGTCATTCTCGATGACGAATCAGACGATGAGCTGGACAGATGGGATGTCATCGACGAGTCCAACATCGTTCACCGCGTCTTGCCACCAGACAAACTACCGCAAGAAGATGCCGAATCATCGCGTTCGCCCACTCCCACTCCCATTCAGCTTGCCACGCCTCCAAAATCGCAGACACCCTCAGATCCTGGTCATACTCTGCCGTTAAGCAGCAAAAAATCCCTATCCGAACCCTCCAGCGGAAGCCAAAAACAGCCTCCGTCTCCAGCAAGACCCGCTGTTTCTACTACACCCAAGCGTTCGTCACATCCCAAGGTCGATTTCAAAAATTTGCCGGCCCGCGAAAACAGTATTCCTATCAGAGAGTTGGCATCGTCTTCCAGTAAATCATCACTAGCCAACAGCTTGAAAGGCAAAGACAAAGCTTCCTCTTTGGACTCTGATGCTGAACAGCACATCCCGGTTCGTACCTTGTCTGTGCCCAGGTCTGAACGGCCGGCCAAAGTGGACTGCAAAGGAAAAGGCAAAGTAATTGAAGTGGATGATGATGATGAGGAGGAGGAGGAGGATATACCTTCTTCTTCTATAAACGCATCTGTTGTGTCTCCACCTCGCAGGGTGCGACAATCGCAAAGGAGATATACTCCACCTCCCTCTGACTTGGTGGAAGGCCCTTCTAGGCAAACAGAACACAGGACCAGAAAGCGGAAACGATACTCATCGTCGTCCGACGAATATGGTATACTTGTTCAGCTCATCTGGACAGCGGAGAAATTGACAACGATACAGAAATCGAGTCCTCCCCGATCAAGGCGAACCGAAGGCATTCATCGACTCGGACAGAACAGGAAACCATACCTGATTCCGATGATGAGCTTCAAACACCACGCACACCTTCGGGACGGCGACGTTCTGTTCCTGCAGGGATGCCTCCTTACTACCCTTCATTGCCATACAATGGCGGATTTCCGCCCCCAGGGCATGATCCGCGAGCCATGCAATTCTTCACCCACATTATGGCTCAAGCCTTCTACGCGTGGTCAGCAATGCCTCCCCCGTCACGACATCCGCATTCAGCGGAAGATTATGGTCATGAAGAATGGCCCGACTTATACCCATCGACTCCCCGCCATTCGCATACTAATCCACAGTTACCCAGGTCAGGTGCAACTCTGCCCCCATCTTCTCCCTCCCCCCCATCTTCGTCTCCTGTGAGACCAGCATTGGTTTCTCGCAGCCGATCTCGTGGCCGCCGAGTTAGCTTCAATCTTGATGCGACTGAAGGAACCGGCCAACGGACTGGTGGGCGCTCTCACGTTGATGACGATGATGCGAGTCCAGCGAGGTCTTCATCTGTCAAACGCTCGTCTACCCGGCGCTCCGAAAAATTATCGGATGAAGAAGAAAGTTCTCACCACCAACGAGGACGAGGGCCGAATCGTGCGCAAACACCTGGTCCATCGCTGAGTAAATTAAAGCAACGACCTTGAGTGTAAGACTATATTTGTACTATTTCTTGGTTCCAAAGTAACAGCCCTGTATTGATCTACTGTAACATTGTCGTCCTATGATGAGAGTCCTAATCTCAGCGAGGGATTTTAACGGGATCTCACGGGCCGTGTGCATCTGTCACGATAGCACAGCCTCCCGAATCCCAAAAGGCAACTTGTGACAGACTCGGAACAATGCCAATCGCGTCTTCGCTCGATACTATTCACTCGCTATTTCAACAACGGGAATGGGCGCCAGAACTCGCCGTGCATTAAGCAACCCTCGAGACTATCTTTCGCCACCGATGCCAAGTCTGGATTACTTACGTGACGCGTCTGCATTGTTCAAAAGCCCCACAATGGCCCGAGCATCCTCATTCTTCTTCTTCCTAGCTAACTTTTATTCTCTCTTCTCTCTCTTTCTCTCTTCATTTTTCAAGGCAGCGCCTTTGCGTTCACTGGTGACCTACGATGCGCTATTATACACTTCTCCCTTGCCTTGCGCTTGCTCGCGCCGCCACCATTCCTTTACGAGCGCGTCAGGACGCTGGAAACCAGAAGATGGTTGTTGCCCACTTCATGGTGGGGAACACATTTCCTTACACACCACAAGGTCGGTTGGCTCATAAATCAATGGTCAAAGCCTGACCATCGCAGATTGGGCGGACGATATCAAACTTGCCTCCAACTCGGGTCTTGATGGATTCGCGTTGAATGTTGGCCCCGACGACTTCCAGCGAACACAGACGAAGGCTGCGTAGGTCCCAACCGCTCCCACCCCGGAGGCAATTAATCTTCTCTGTAGTTTCCAAGCCGCACAAGATTCTGGACCCACGTTCAAGTTGTTCTTTTCCCTTGATATGTCGTATGTTGATCCAGCTCACTATCTCTACGGCGCAATATCTCAGATATATACAGGGTGCTCCCTTGCCAGACTGCTGATGATGGCGCATCGCTTCGTCAGCGGGTTCTTGACTTTGCAACACATCCTAACCACTTGCAATTCAACGGCAAGGCTTTCGTGTCGACGTTTGCCGGAGAGTCTTGCACGTTTGGTCAAGGAAGCCCTGCCGCTGGATGGGCCGCTCAATTTGCAGCTCATCCCGATCTAAAGGGAAAAATTGTGAGTACCGATAAAGGTTTGCTATCATCTTACTCATTGTATGAACAGCATTTTGTCCCGTCATTCTTCATTGACCCCGCGACCTTCAACAAATTCGCGGGTACAATGGATGGTGCTTTCGGCTTCAACTCAGGCTGGCCAATACAGGTCACCAACGATTTCGCGAAGGGAGTCACCTCTAACTTCGCCCCTACTGGTGATGATGGTGCCAATGCGCTTAACAAATTCATTGGTGCGACGGACACCGATACGCAACAAATCCAGAGCCTCGCAAGCTTTGCTCCTGCTGGACAACGCTTGACATACATGGCCGCGGTGTCCCCTTGGTTTTTCACTCACTTCGGCGCCAACTCGTTCAACAAGAACTTTATTTTCCTTGCTGACCAGCATTTGTTTGCGCGCCGGTGGCAAAACCTCATCAAGTTACGGGACCAAGTCGATCTTGTCGAAATTGTTACGTGGAACGACTACGGCGAATCGCACTACATTGGCCCTATCAAGGTTGGTTATATTATGTTGAGAGTGGACTGTGTGTGACGGATTCTCTAGGGAGCTCTTCCGCCGGGCAGTGAAGTCTGGACAAATGGCTTCCCCCACGAAGGTTTGAGTTTCTTCGCTCGACTCTGACCTCTATATTCACGGCAATCTTAGCAATTCTCGGCTTAACCAAACACTTCGCCACGCAGTTCAAGAGTGGTCAAGAGCCTGCAATTGATCAAGACCAAATCTTCATGTGGTCTCGTCCCCATCCGACGAATGCTCAGGCTCCCGACCCAGTTGGCCCGCCAACAACCTTCCAGCTAACACAAGATGTTGCATGGGCTGTTGTCCTTGCCACCGCTCCTGGTTCGGTGACTCTCTCCACGGACCAGGCCAACACCAAGCAGTTCGATGTGAAAGCAGGTGTCAACCTTCTCTCTGTCCCGATCGTCCCGGGGGGTACCCTCAATGCACAGTTGAACCGTGGCGGGCAAACAGTTGTCAACCTCGCAACGCCGGGCAAAGACTTCACGTTTGATGGCGCACCTAAGACGTTCAATTATAACATCTACGTTGCCAAGGCGCCTTTTTCATGAACCAGGGATTATCTAACTTATAAAAGAGCTGTATCATAGTGTTGTATCCCGTCTACCTTATCGCAATCTTATCATCTTGATCATGCTGATCACGTTTTGCGCAGTAAAAACCGAGCGCGTCACTGGCGCCTCAACGCTTGCACTCACACATCGACTTGCCTTGAGAGCGTCCTTGAACCAATGAACCCTACATTCAGGACTCCTCACCGTGAAACTTGATGGACCTCACACGACATGATGTCACTGGACAAATTGCCTTCCTCAGTCTTTGCTGTCGTTATTTCACATTGTGTAACTCTCGCGCCTCTCTGCGCTCATGGTCTCCACGAATCTAACCCTCATCGTGGATGACCATGATGCTCGCATTGTATACCACTGTCCTTCGACGAAGGAAATAGTCAGGGGCTCATACTTTCGGAACACTTGGACAACACCAGGCAGTTTGTCGTGCGGTCTGGAATATGGGTGGTTCAGTTTCCAGTTTAACGGTCTGACGTTTGCTCTTTCTTTCATGCACAACTCAAGCACGATCTTCTTCAGGTACTGGAGTTCGGATTGCGACTTTGGATTCTCAGATAAACGATCAATACTCGGTCAAGATTGACAATGGGTCGTTTGTTGGCCAGAGGGGGAACGGGTTTTTCGAATCGAATGTTCTTGAAGACGGACCGCATACTGTCATATACTCGTCTGGCAACCTCAGTGTGTATCCTGCGTTCGACTACATCACCATCAGCGCCGGGCCGTCGACACAACTCTTTGGTGAATCCATCATCGTCGACGATGGCCAGGTGGCCAATTTTTCGGGGAAATGGAACGCGGAGCCGGCAGCAGCGCAGCAGAATCTGCTCGGTCAATCGCTCAATGTGTACCAGAACACGACCCGTTGGACCAATGCAACGGGCGACGCATTCTCGTTCGACTTTGAGGGTCGGTCACTGTCCGATTGTCTTCCGCCTGCCTGAGCTTACCTTCCCCTTCAGGGACCTCCATCGGCGTCTACGGGATAATACCAGAAACGAACATGGCACCGGGCAACTCGACAATTGCGTGTTCTGTCGACGGTGTGGTGAATTCTTCATCGTTGCCCAAGGGAACCCTCTCGCCTCACCCAATGGTTCAACTATGTCAGGCCGATGTGCCCGCCGGCCGACACAACTTCATGCTGAATTTCACGCACGTGGTGCCATCCCATTCCTATGGGTTCGACTTCATTGTGTATAACAGCTCAGTCCATACCTCCCCTCCTCCGGGCGCGGCCCTCCAGCAATCCCCACAATCTCACTCTCACTCAAAAACTCATAACATTGGCGTGATCGTTGGCTCCACGCTCGGTGCTCTCGCAGCTCTCACACTCTTTTGCGTCTTGGTCTTGTTCGTGTATCGCAGGAGGAAGACGCCACAGTCCAAGTGGACAGCGTCCAAAGCAGACTCGTAGCGTCTCACACTATACCAGGGTGCAGTTGTAAACCGCTGTATTCATTATTTGGAAACCTATGTACAATCAAAGTCCGTGGAATGCTCAGAAGATTGGTATATAGTCCTGCATCCGGTCGCGAGCATTTTGAGAGATGCATTCCGCCAGCCACGTGATGTTGCGGATTTCCTGTTCCTTCAGCTTCATGTAGCTGTAGAAGACGCCATATTGGAATTGTTGCAAGAAGGCCTGCTTGTTAAGATGCACCTCCGTCGTGAAAAACCGGTCTTCGAGCTGCGCGGCTGCAGACGAATCACCATCGTCGCCGCCCGACGAGGTCGAGTCGGAGAAGAAGGACCGATATTCAGAGATGTTTTCGCATACCAGCCGGACCTGCTCCATGTCGTCTGCTTTCGCGAGTTGGTTGTTGCCTTCCGGGAAGAGACGACCGATAGCAGGGAAGAGCTTCGCCCGTTGGTCTTTGGTTAGCTCTGTGTTGAACGAGTTGATGGTGATATTGACTGTGCGGCGGTCGGCCTCAAAATCGAGGATCTTGTGCATGACGTCGGCGGTGGGAGAGCCGAGGGAAGTGCAGTAATGGTAAAAGTCCTCGAGGTAGGCTTTATAGACTGTGTTACGGATGATCTCGATGTTGAGGTCGTCTAAGTCCGACGCCGAAAGACAGTCACGGAAATAAGGAGCTGAATCGTTGCATTAGTCGGGAAGGGGCTGGCGGTGGTCTACACACCTAACGGCGTCTCTACCAAGACACTCTGGTAAAGCTCCTCGACGTTAGTTGCAACACATAAAGCGGGCATGGTGTCGAAAACACCCAAAGGGTGGCATCGTTCCAGAAGTTCATGTGTATCCCGCTCGTGTAGTGTCCCAGTAATCAGCAGGACAATATTGTCAATCATGTATGCGTAGCTGTTGCGCTAGTGAGCTTGAGCGTATAGAGGTAGGAGCCACTATACGTGATATAGTCGAGGAATTTGCTGAGGGGCTCTGTTGCATTGGTGCGGATATAGTTGAATTGGTTAACGAGAATCTGGGTCGCTTTCTCTGCGATGGTGGAGGTGGAGATCGGGAGGGGCTCGTTCGCAAGAAAGTTGCCGTAGTCGGTTGCCGAAAGCTGAGTCCGGAAGTCTAGAGTTGTTGGGTTACGGTTTGTCGCTATAAGCATCGAAGAGACATGCCTTCGAGGGTTTCGCATTGGCAGAGGTTGGCGTAGTGACTCTGGGTCAGGATTCCCGCCTTATAGCCTCGAAGTATCGCTTCCAGAAAGCCCCCATCGACCTAATACCGTTGGAAGAGTAGAAGAAAGGATGGCATTGTGACTTACATTGAACAGCAATGCCTCCATCGCAGTCGAGAGCTTGACGCGAGTAGCCACGTGAGCACTTAGCGATCAATTTGCGCTTGCTCTGTTCAACGATGGTTCGCACATGAATGTTCATTCAAATGCGCTCTCGCAGCAAATTAGAGCAATTCTCTCTCAGGCTTACATTCAATGTAAATTGTCCTTCAAAAGCGGTATGACGCGATTGCGATGTGAATGGCGCGAATGCCATACATATAAACCAGCCTCTTCCGCTCTCACTCAGTTCGAGCTCGCACAATGTCGGTTGAAGAGAAGAATCAGTCGTTATCAGAGTCTCAAGTTGCTCTCGAATCTATCGACGCGCCTGGCGACGATGCATTGGTCAGAAAGGTGGATCTGCGGTATTTTTTCCTGCTCTCTATTGTCCAGTGCCGAAGATGACCTGACGGCATTAGTCTGATTCCCATCCTTACTCTTCTATATCTGCTCAGCTTCCTGGACCGCACCAATATCGGCAATGCAAAGTTTGTTGTATTATAACTGACTGGAATAAAAAATTCTAATGAGTGCCGATAGGATTCTGGGCCTAACGACTGTGAAGCTGCTTACTGACGAAACAAGCGTAATGGACTCACTCTTTCTCCTCTAGGACTTGCATGTTGCGGCTCCCGTCAGCTCTCAACCTTTGGTCCTTTTACCATACTCATCGTCACCAGTCCTACAATACGGCACTTGCACTTTATTTTGTTGCCTACGTTCTGTTTGAAGTCCCGGCGAATGTACGTAGGCTCCGTCTCAATTTGCTGCTACTCTCTGACTATCTCAAGATCGTGTTCGCTCGATCTGATATTTTGAACCTTTTGACACCGTTCACAGATTGAAGCGTTTTGACCCTCAAATTTGGCTTCCTACCTTGACGTTGGTCTGGGGAATAGTGAGTATCTGCCAAGGGCTGGTCAAGAATCAGGCAGGGCTCTTTGGAATCCGATTTTGTAGGTCCTTTGCCTTACCCTGGTCGCCAAGCTCTTTCTTGAATATAATTCTAGTGCTTGGAGTCACAGAAGCTGGTCTGTCGAAATCCCTCCTCAAATTGCAAAGCTGAGATTTTTTAGGACTGTTCCCTGGCGTTATATATGTCTTCTCAGTCTATTATCGTCGGTAAATGGCTCATTCTGCATTCCAACAGCATTTAATCGTCTTTAGGCGGGAGCGTAGTATGCGCGTTAGTATTTTCTTCGGAGGAGCAGCATTAGCTGGTGCATTTGGTGGTGGATAACTTCTGTCTCTCTCTCTCCGGCTTTTTACGACGAGTCTAGGAATCTTGGCATTTGCTATCGGAAAGATGGAGGGTGTTGGGGGCCGGAAAGGCTGGGAATGGTAGGTAGCTTCGCAAAATGACCCTCGTCGAGCTGAATTTTTTTAGGATCTTCATTATAGAAGGGGTGCGCAAGGCTTTTCGGTGTTGGTACTCACTACTAACGCATAGTAGGTCATAACTGTGGCCGTTTCGTTGTTCGTTCTTCTTCTGCGTCCCGTGTTACAACTGAAGAGTGATAGATTGGCGTATTTTATCGTCCCTACTTGGTCCCATCGCGCAACATTTGTATGAATTCGTGGTATAATCTATTTTGCACTCTAATCGCCACCAGCTTACCGAGGAAGAACGTGCTCGCCTACTTGCTCGTCTCAAAACCGACTCCGATGCGTCCCGCGAAGAAAAATTTGAATGGTCCTTCGTTGCGCAAGCATTCAAGGATCATCTTGTTTGGGGATATGCATTGTTGTTCCATGGGTTTGCGTTTGTCTTATACTCTTTGAGCCTGTTCTTAGTCCGTTGTTTGACTAATTTCATTTCATCCAAAAACTCACACTTTTTGTAGCCTTCCATCATTGCTGGTCTTGGTTTCGCCAGTTGGGAAGCCCAACTGTTAGTTCAATTGGTTTAGCACAACAACAACAGTGTATTGACTTTCTCAAGCATGACGGTTCCTCCGAACGCCCTGGCCAGCTTATCAATATGGGCTACTGTCTGGGCTTCCTCGCGTGTGAATCTTCGGGCACCGTTCATCATCGGTGCTGCCTTGGTTGCGATTATTGGTACGACTCTGGTGCCCACTCACAATGGTTTCTTGACTTATATAAAGGCTATATTGTTGTTTTAACTGGACCGACTCCTGGCGCGCAATATGTCGGAGTTCACTTTGCAGCTGCGGGAGTGTATACTGGAAATGCGTTGCTTCTGAGGTTGGATGGTTTCGCAGGTATCTCACAAATCTGACGCGCCTTCTTCTTCAGCTGGCCTGGTGAAAATGTGTCTGGGCAGACCAAGCGTGCGGTTGCGGTTGCCATGCAGATTACAATTGGAGATATTGGCGCTATCGCGGGGTAGGAAGTTCAAGACTTCGTCGCCTTGTTTCTAATGCCCCCCATTAGGGTTCTGGTATATCGACCAGATTTGTCAGCTCATCGCTTTAGAAAACCGCATATTATCGCTATCGGTTTGTTGTTCTCAACTCGTACTTGCATTTTTATTTCTATTTTGCAGGTTATTTACTGTTTGCAATTCTGGTAGCCGCCTATTTGTTCACTTGGATGTCTCGTGAAAACAAACGGCGTGATGCGTTGGATGAAAAAGAAGAGTCAGAGGAAGAGGCGACTAAACTTGGAGACCGAAGCGTAAAATACCGATATGTTGTTTGATGTTATTTGGTCACCTTGGGTTTGGACCACCGTCGTGGACGTGAGTAATGTCTGCGACGCGTGGCGAATCTCAACCAGCATATGGCCGTCGTCGCTCCAATACTATCCAGTCCATTCGCCCTGTCCCGCCTGCCCCACCTCTGGTCGTTGGCGACACTCAGGTTTTGAATTCATGGGTTCACGATTTAACAACCTCAAGAGGGATCACATTCAACCATGCTGCTTGGCCTGGTGTGCGAGAAGGAGACATGCTCAGCGCCGTTAGCGCTCATGGAGGGTCTGAACCTTTCCTTTTCTTCGTCCCAAAGGATGAAGGCTCGTCTCGCTCCCAGGTATCTATCATCTGGCACTTCCGCAACACTTTACTCAACTCGCCATCTAGATTTCCATCCCCAAACCCATAGCTGACACCTTCAAGCTGAAAAACAACACAGAGGTGTTGGTTACCAAAGTGCTTGTTTAGTTGGCTTGGACATATTCAAGCTGACTCTGGGGTTTAACAAGGTCGACCCTACCATTCACGCGGCGGACTACGTGGAAATGATTTTTCAAGACCAGTATCTCGGTCGCAGTGACATGTGGAGGCTAGGAGAGTACCTTGTGGACCAGTGTGTCTATGTGAACCAAGATGTCGCGTTCATTGGCGGGATCGCTGCAAAAATCCACGCTATATATATCGGTGGCAAGAAAGTCTCCGCTGCTTGCGTAACGACTGCGACTAAAACCATCTTCCGCTCGCTCTCCGCCAAGGTTACTATCTTCATCCAAGTCTGCCGGGAATTGTGGGAGTTCGCTGGCGATGGGGAGCGCTACAACGAGAAGATTGTCCATTCCTTCCTTCCAGCCTTGTTTGCAAAGTGGCGAGAGGCTAACACCAACCACACCGTGACCATTGTCCTCATCTCGCGTGTGTACTATGACGAAACAGAAATCACCTATGCGGCCGGTCCCTTGCAATGTGATGAGGGTGGATGCTGGTACAAAGACTTTTACAAGGTTATAACAGGTTCGTATGAGTAGCATACTTGCGTGGTCATTCTCAATGTTCTCCACAGATCTCGAGGTCATTCATGAATGGAAGCCAACACTTGTTAGCTTGAAGACGAGTTTCTGGGATTTTCAACGCGACATCCTGCTGACACATCACTATCATCGTGCATCCCAAGATGGATCGACTGGGGTCGCTCCAGAACAAGTCCGTCTTGTTGGGCGCTTATCTTATGCCCATGATGGACCATTACTCGAAGCACTAAACATGGCCCTCACACCAACGGAAACCCACTACATCGATCGTTCTTTGTCACTTACTGGCGCTGCCACCATCGTCATTACCCCGGGAACCGGTTATTATCGTGTTTCAAAGCGGCTTTTACGCCTAACTACGACACGGATGCTTGATCAGGGCTTTGGGTTGGATCTCATCTGTCTTGCAAAGGTCTTGTACCTACGGTCTCTTCACCGCTGTCACTCAAATTCAATAGCATCCCCTGCACCAAAGTCCGATATTCAGTTTCCGCGGACCAGAAGTTGGCCCATCAGAGCGGAACAAGGATGGCACAGGTGCAACTGGTCGCGCCGCTGATCCGTTATGGGGCGGTGATGATGAAATCACTGAGTCGACCCACAACATACGAGAGTATTGGTGGGAACCATTTTGGGTGTTTGTGTCTTTCTGGGACCAGCAGATGGACTTGCCATTCCGCAAGGATAGGTTCGTTGCGCTTTCATTGACGATCATAATTTCGACCAACAATTAAACAGGTTCATTGCTCGAGCAAAAATGCACGAGATACAGATGCTAGGTCTGCTGGAGCACGACGTTGTTTCGGGAATAGAAGTCCCATTCCTACCGCTGTCGAATACCACAACAGGCAGCCCACTCTGGGATGGTGATAGCCCTCCCGCCATAACCAAGCCAGAAGCGGACCAGTTTGACCTCAACATTTTCGCACTCAAACCTGAATCCAAGGCTTTGACTGCCCCTTCTTTGTATCGCGATCCGTGGTTTTCAGTGACACCAGGGTCTACTCAGCGCATTGCGGAGAAACGAATGCCACATAGGAGCACAAGACTTGGGACAGGAGGAATCACAGAAGTGAGCCCGAAAACCGTCCATCGCGAACTACCTCCCGAAAAGTCCGTTGATGGAACATCGGTTGTTTCTGCTGTTGCCCCCAGCGGTGGCCTTAGCAAGTCTCCGTCCCAATCATCTCTGCGGTCTATCCGGTCAAGTCAGTCATCAACCTCGATAAAAGCCATCAAGCGTACGGGATCAGTTGCTTCCAAGTTAGCACCATCATGGCTATTCAATCCATTCCGAAGCACGCCGAGTGAGCCCCAAACAAGCTCCGTCTCAGCATCAGCATCCGCCTCTATCTCTGGAATTATCTCGTTTTCGTCTTCTGTGACCCTGGTTTCAAGTCCTGCAGCGACGATATCAAGAGCTCCCGTGCCAATCAGAGCTAGCCACGACCAGTCTAAGTCCCAATCGGGAGGACGCACACTTGAGGATGATTCCCTAACACCGCATCGGACTTCATTTACCCGGAAATCACCCTTGAACACGCCCCCTCGCGATGAAGCCAGCTTCGGAAAACGGCGGAGTGTCTTGGTTCCATTATCTACTTCGTCATCATTTCCCTCTTCCTCAACCGTACCAACAAATCCTTCACGTTTAGAATCTAACGTGACATACACCCAATCTACTCTCGCCAGACGCTGGGAGCATATATTTCCTGAACCATTGTTCAAACACGACATTAAATGGTCATCTATCGTCACTCCCGCGTGCCTCCCGCTGACTGTTTCCTATTTTCCGAGTGCTCATGAGTTAGAAACCTCGTACGACATGTTTTCCTACGACTTTGTTCTGGATCCAGCAGAAATGCATTCCTTCATGGTCAAGCGAACACAACAACCCAAAAAAGGAGCAGCAACTGAAGCCATGCGTCGTGAGTGGGCTTTGGTAGTGATGCGTGGTATGGCTGCGGTTCGGCTTGCACAAGGCTTTCAGTTCATACTTCGGGACCCGAGCAAGTCAAACACAAGTGGATTGGAGAGTCATGGTCATAGCAGCAACCCATTGCGACGCGGGAAATCATTTGTGGAGGACGAAAAGCCTAGACCGAAAGGAGCTGCCGATGTTCTCCGAAGCGCTCTTGACTCACCGGTATACTTGTGCATGTCGAACGAAATTCATCGAATTGCCTACGCCTCACAAGACGAGACCATCCAGGTCAGGAGGTATGTCCGTCGGATGCCACAGACTCGTCCATTCTCATACGAGTGCCTTATTTGGCCGAAATTGGGTGGTGGCTACACGGAACAGAAGACCGTTTTCAACTCTCACGGGTTAGAAAACTATGGATGGAACAGGTGTGTTTTCTATATCAAGTCTTGGTTGGTGAAAAATTGAAGATTATAGCCTTGATATGCTGATTATAGGATATGGCCATCAGTTCAATGAGTCTCTCCGGTACTGGCGGACGCGTTTCGTAGTCATCCCTACGTTCGACCCTCCATCGACAGACCTCGGGCCATCCGACGAACAACTGAATGAAGAGGAAACCCGTATTCTCGGTATCGAGAAGCTTGCTGAACAGTTCACCAAATTGCGATGGCAGTCCCCTGACGAAGAACCTGCACCAAACGTCAGGTTCCTTTTGACCACCCTGAATCCCGCGGTTTCTGTGCTCGACGAAGCACTTATGGAGCAACTTGACCAAATCCATACAGCTGGTCCTCTGAAAAAGAACATGAAAAGCGAGAAGGAAATTTCGGAAATGTCGCTAGCCGCAGTTGCCAAAGCTATGCGTTCAGATGGCGGGGTGCCAATCAAACATTATGTTTGTTGATGTTCTTTGCGATAGTTGAGTCACTGAAATCCGCCAGGTTTGGCACAAAACTCAATATCCTAACTCTTTTACTGGCCATGACGTTGTTTCGTGGCTCGTTCGCGAGTTCAGAGATATCTCGTCACGGGCACAAGCAACAGAATGGGGCATCAAACTAGAAGAGCAGGGCTTGTTCGAGCATTGTAGAGGCAACCACAACTTCCTAGATGGGTGAGCAATAAGAGTCAGAGATCGAGTTAATCTGATCCCCTGCAACAGACAGTATTTTTACCGATTCAAAGGCGAGTATGCTGTCCCGGTTACTCCTCGTGGGTGGTTTGGGTCGCGTAGATTGATCGGAAGCATCGATCCTCGAGCTTCTGGGACTGTACCCCCAACACCATCAGCCAACTCGCGCAATTTCAGTCCTCGTCAAAATAAACGACGTCTAATTCTGAGTCAGAGTATGGTCATCGACATTGACCCCAACAAGGTTTTACGTTCCCCTTTTGCGCTACTGTGGGTGTTGATATGTTTTTTAGCGAAGCGACCAAGCAGAAAGTGTCATTTTACATCACGACCTCATACATAATCCTGGGACCGTGTTCCATTTCGAGCTGCAGTGGATTGGTACAACAGCCCGCTGCATTGAGGATCAGCTGCGTCAATGGAGTCGTACCATCGAACGTTATGGACTGAAGCTTGTGGAAGCTTATGTGACGCAAATCAGTGATATTCGCGAAAGGAATGCTTTCCAGTCGTGTTTCCCTCTCCGACTCGCTGTTGCACCGCCTGTTGTGCCTGATCTGGAAAAACGAGTGCCATTGGGGACCCACACAGACCAGTATTTCGAATACGCGCTCCTTCGTCGGTTTGACTTCATTGTGGATATCGAGGCTGCCAAGCTTTATCCGCCTCAAGTCGACGTTGTTTACTCCTACCGCCGTTCGCCTTTCGACTACTCACAGTTCGTGCATCGTTCTGGCGTCGCCTTCGTACAAGTCCTTGGCGGGGAAAGGGGGTTCCTATTCCTTACGAATCGCCTTATGGCTCCTGGTCGGATGGGGACAACGTCTAAAAGCAAAGAACACCAACCGGCAGCGGCAGCAGATAACATCCGTGTCGCTCTACAAAACTTCTGTTCTGATGAGCAGGGTCTGCGGGCATTCTACGAGGAGGAGATGGCATTACTGGGCCCGATACCCGAAGAACCGCCACCGCTATCTATCTAGAGAATGAGATATTTATAAGTTACAATTTGCCAAGCACTCGAGGTGCACGAGCGTCTTGAGCATTTTCCTTCCTGGCCCACGCCATCATGCCATCAACCAGACGGTCAATATCATCACGAGTATTGCCCGCATGAAGACAGACTCGAACACGATCTTTTCCCTTTGGCACCGTCGGCCAAGTAATGGGGCGTGCGTTCATTCCGAGATCGAGTAGGTAGGCTGAAAGAGGGCGGGGGGCGTGTTGTCATAATGGGAATAATGGGCGATGGGACGGGGTTGAGGTGGATGTCTGCCGGAAGTGCAAGAATGTGGAGGGGAATGTCGCGTAATTGGGGAGTCAAACTGCTGATAAGATATCGTGACAAATCTAACAAATTTTTCGACAACTGGGTGGGTCACGTCAGCGCATCGCAATGGATTGGTTGCTTTGGACTTGCCTTGTGTGCGGTCCCGTCAACTAGCATGTCGAAAGAACTGTCTGCGGCTATGATATTGGCATGGCTGAGAGATGTAGTGTAGATTAGTGAACGGGCGTAGTTGAGTAGATAGTCGCGAATTAGTGGATTTGTTAGCAAAACGGCTGCGCGATCTGATGAGGTTCCACCAAAAAGTAAAAGAAAAACCGGAACATACCCCCCGTCGCAGCGAGAGCTTTTCCGAACGTGTGGAGCCGTGCCAAGACTTTATCCTCCAAACCGAGCTGAGCAACACGACCTCGGCCCTGTGGCCCGTATATACCAGTCGCGTGCGCTTCATCGACGACGAGGAATCCATTTGCTTGGGGGAAATAATCTTCGAGTGTTTGCACGATCTCGGTAAGGGGGGCGAAGGTGCCATCCATGCTGTAAAGACTCTCGACTGCGACAAACAGACTGCTCTGGCCGGTTTGGAGTTCCGGCCGCTCAGAAATCAGTTTTTTGAGTAAGGAGCGGAGTTGCGGGAGGGAGTTGTGTTCGAATGAATAGTGAGCGCCACGGGCGCGGGAGGCCCTGATGCCGTCGTGGACGGAGGCGTGGATGTACTCGTCATAAACGACGACGTCGCCTATTTGGGGAACACAGGAAAAGAACCCAACATTTGCATCGAAGCCTGAGTTGAAGAGTATAGCGGCGGGGGAGGCGAAGAATTGGGCAAGACGCGCTTCGAGGTCACTATGCGCCTCTCCGTTCACAAGAAGCCGCGACCCTCCGGAGCCAAGGACATCGGGTGATGATTGTAGCTTTTGGACAAAGTTTTTTCGTAGGATGGGTGAGGTGGCCAGGGAGAGGTAGTCGTTGGAGCTGAAATCGACCAGATTGGCGCGGAGAGAAGAGGACAAACTGGTCGGTTCTGGGAGTCTGCGTCTGATTCCCCTCTCCTCGCGCGATTGGAGAGCAGCAAGCAGATGGGCCTCCAAACTGCTTTGTGGGATCGCGGTTTTGGTCATCCTTAGGTGGTTTAACGAAGGCTTCGCCCTTGCCGAGTTAAGTTGTGAGAGAGCCAAGCCCTGGATCCGAGTTAGTTGCTTCTCTCCTCGCATATAGGAGAATGTTGGGGGGATGTGGCGCGTCAAAGACAAACATACACCGACTGACAACGCGTGTCTTTATTACACTGGGGGCAGAACGCAAGTTATGGGGCAGAGGACCCATTTTAGTCGGCGATCAAACGCGCTCTTGCTCTTGACTGTCATGGTTCGCTTCAAGGTACATACGACATACTCAATCGCAATTATCTTAGACACTTCAAGAACAGATGGCTGCTGGTCGAGTTCATCGCTGTCGTTGACTCCTCAACAACTGCTACTGCTCCCGCACTTGACGGCCAGAAGATATTTGCTGCTCTTCGGCAGAGCGTGTTAACAAACTTTGGGGACGTGGGTTGGGGCTCAGTGGGGCTGTCGCTGTCAGGTTTGCAGCTGTCTCCCTCTCAAAGGAGCTGGAGCTCACTTCTCTAGTCAAGTATTATTCCCCCATGACCAACATTTGTATCATCCGCGTCGGCCGGGAGCCCCATAAGATTGCGTGGGCTGCAGTCACATTGCTCACTGCCATCGAAGGTCGTCGCTACATTCCAAATGTTCTTCACCTCTCCGGTATGTTTCCCACCGTTTCTGAGAGAATGTAGCTTAACTCCGGACTAGGAACTATAAAACACACACAGCTAGCGGCGATAACGCACAACAGAGAAATAGTTGCACGCTTTCGAGCGCAAGCCAAGACAGCCAGTAGGCGATATGTTCTTAATTACATAGATCCCGCTGACTGGCTCACTTCCAGGCGCATATCAAGACTCTTATGACGCAAAACTAGAAACTATCAATGCAGAAATCCAAGCACTCCAGGATTGAGCACTCCAGGATTGATTTTGCCGGTTTTACCCAGGCTCGACCTCCGTTGTTGTGGTTGATGGGTCAGTGCGAGCCTGTCCAGCACACGACGATTACGAACTATATTTGGTTGTAGCTATACTTGCAGGACGACGCGTATGTCGATTCAGATTCGAGTAATCTAGCTGTGACATGGAGTGACCTTTACTTTCTGACACGCGTCCACAATGGCAACGAGTCTTGCTGAGCAAATGCAGATTCCCCAGCAGCCGATGGCAACACCACCTACTCCAATCGAGATTGCTCGGGCGCTTATGCAACGTAAAGACGAGATCGACAGCCATCTTCAATTCCACGCGACCCAACTCGCAGACGAGGGGGTTACCATGGACAGCCCGTTGGTCGATGCTGAGGGTTTTCCAAGACCCGATGTCGATATTTATCGTGTGCATAGTTCTCAATAAATTCCAATGTCGACTGGCACCTACATTGGTCTTAGGTCAGGAACTCGCGCAAGAGTATCATCGAGCTGAGAAACGACCGCAATTTGGTTATGGAGCAACTCGCAAACGTTCTCCAGCTCGTGTACGATCCTTCTGTCACACAGCCAAACCCCCCGGTTACTGGCATCGTAGTCCGGCACGGAAAGCCTTTCGCCAAAGTCGATGGGGTGAGCCCAGGGAGTCCAGCAGCAGAAGCGGTGCGTGCTATAAATCTTCATAGATAGATAGTCATAGTCGCTTACGATGTTCAGGGTTTGCTGCGTGAAGACCTCATTTTCCAGTTCGATAACTTGACACAAAGCTCGTTCAGGACATCGTCCCTGCGTGCGCTAGTTGATGTCGTGAACGACAACGAGAATGTGCGCCACCGTGATTGTCATTCACTGTTATCTTGCTCAAGCCAGCTAGAAATCCATACTGTTAAGGGTGCTGCGACAAGGGGAGGGTATGACATTAACTCTGGTTCCCAAACGTTGGAGTGGTCGAGGGTTACTTGGGTGCGTTCGCTGTAATAGCCATCGGCCCGACCATTAACTTGAAGCATCTAGTTGCCATATTGTTCCGTATTCACCTCCGTGATGCCTGTTTGCGCTATTGTTAATGCTATGAACGTGTTCAACGCACGGGCGTCCCCTAATCCGAGTGGTCGGCTTGGTAGGCTCGTTCGCTGGTCATATCACGCTCAGATAGGCACCCTCTGACTCGGCATTGCGCTTCTCGGACGTGTAAATCCCACAGGAGGAAGGCGGCCTTATTGAGCTAAGACACGATCGGTGTCACGCATGTGGAGATAGATGAGGTATTTAGTCGCGTTACTTATCGCTCGACCCTCCAACAAACCACCACCACTAACCAGAACTCGTCTTGTGCCGCTGACCCTGCTTTGTCATGTCTCCTTCGACCACCACCCCCCTCGCAGCTCCTGTTGCTGCTTCGACTCCTGTTGTTGCAGATAAGGATGCTCGTTCGGTGGTGACTGTGTCAGCCGCGCCCAGTGTCAAAGACCAACGGGCCTACGAGCATGACCGTCAGCGGGTGAAGAAGGCCGCAGACTTGGTCAAGATGAGGGCCCTCAAGGGGCAACGCGGCTGGGCAGCGTTAGCAAAGGGCGACACGTATACCTCTTCGCGCAAGAACGCATTCCAACCTGGCTCTGAGAAGACCAAATTACTCAGGCCAGAGGAAGTCGACCTGCTGGAGGACGAGCCAGTCTACCATGCCGCCAAAGTCGCGTCATTCGGCGGGATAACACCGGACCCAACACAGCCCATCCAGTTGAAACTGGGTGACCTGATGACAACATTCCGCAAGCCTCGCAAGGCCACAGGTACGCCCATTTACCCGGCGCAAGGCACTGCTTTCTGACTTGCCAAAGCGAGCGATTTTGTCGTCATCCCTCCTCGTTCGGTCATCCCTCTTGATGATATGATGCCCCGTGACCTTATCGTTGAAGAACCTTGGGAGCATATTTATGGCGTCGATGATGAGTCTGGTGCAAATACCACGACCAAGGCGCCGTCGTACGCTCAAGTCCTAATGAACATCAAATAAGTTATCCAGACCAACATTCATTGCAGCATATATTGTAACAAACACACCTTATTGACCGGACTCATTGACACCCTAGACTGTAAATATACTTGAATCTGTTGTAACAACACATACCCCGTCAGTAGACTTGCCTTATGCCGAATATATGATTATGCCTATGAACGTGCTCAAACCCTCGATTGGGAAGGGGTGCAAATAAATTAGATTCCAGGGTTATTATGACATAAGGCCTTCAGGTATAGAGAATATGGGAAGGGGATGGGCCTGCAACGCGTCAGCGACAAATTAGAAATCGAACTGACTCTTACCTCGGTGTTGAACACGTATTCTAGAAGAAACGCGTCAGCTAGAGATGGCAACGCTTCAACAAGAATACGTACTGTCCAGAGGAAGCACGCTTTCATCAGAAAATATAAGATAAAGATACTTGAGCGTTTCGCTCTGTTCGCTGTCGTTAGTCTAGTTCCAAGTTGATCAAACGAGGGACAAACAAGCATGAACGTCTCCATCTTATCTTCCTTGCGCGACGGTATTTCATCAACGTTGATGATGCTGGCGTACCCGCCAGTTTCGACACGACAGTGCGTCTCGATGGCGGAGAAAATGCGCCAGGCCCAGTTGCGATATTTCTCGTCCCCGGTGAGACGATACGCAATGAACAGGGATTCGATGGTTTCGGGGCTGCAAAGTAGTGAGATATGCTTAGTCAACTTACGAGAAAAGTATACCGAAGGATGTAACGTGCATCATACGGAGGCAGCTCATCGGGTCGTTGACTGTAACGTGAGTTTGCGCGTTATTATGAAGATGAAGGTAGGTCGTACTGGGCTCCTTTAATATACCAATCACTTGGGAACCGCGCATCATGGCCCATACCGTCACTAAAGTCATATCAATACTGCGCTGCAAAGGGCAAGACAGCACCCATACCTTGCAATACGGAAGTGGGCAATTTCTGGGGCAAGACCACTGTAATCCTCTATTAGTCGAATCAATAAACAAATCGAGGAAACTAACGTGGCAGTATCGTGCGTGTCCATGCATGTTTTGACGAGACTTGTTCCGGTTTTCCAGTCTCGTTTGCCCTGCTCGGACAGCTCATGTTGTCGAGGCGGAATGGAAACCGGATGTACTAGCGCGCCGGTGGTGGTGGCACCCAGCATCAGAGAGCCTCCTAGGAAACAAACGAGGTGATCCTATGGTTGAATGAGGATGGAATTGATTTAGCAAATTGCCAAGTCCTGGTACCTGTTTGGGCGTTAAACGCCAGGAGCTAGACTTGTTTAGTAGAGTTTGAGCATTGAACAAGAAACATACATGTCGCCCTTTCCGTTCTGCTCAGGTATGAGTTCGGACGTATAGACCATATTGGAAGAGACGCTCCTCTTGATGAGGGTCTTGTGGATAGCAGTCATTGCATTGTCGTACATCTATGTGATAATTCCAGTAACCACAGGGAGAAACGAATGGGTTGTACCTCTCGATAAAAGTTTTCCGTATTGTTCTATAGCTAGGTAAGACCTCGTCACTGTTTGAATTGAAGTACTTGCAGTTTGGATATATTGCTTCCTGCAAAACGATCAGACCAGTGGAAACGATTCAAGGTTAGCGCGACTGACAATAAATATTCATAATAAGAGTCCGCACGAGATCCAAGTCGCACAGCAGACAGCGCAAATTCACCGGTGTGCCAGCTATTGGCCAGAGTAAGCATCCAATGCGGGGCGAGGGCGAGGAGAAAGAAACTTGCTTGAGGAAGATAGAAGCCAAACCATGCGGCATGAGATTCTTGCGCATTGTATGCATTACCTGCGGAACAGTTCAGCCGGTATTTAGAGGCGCATTTTACACTAACAGCTTCGACTTTTTCCCAGTAGATTGGGTTGCGGGTGAGCAGGGTGAGGTAGCGGAATTCCAGTTGTAGTGTTGCAATCTCTGCTGAGCTCACGAACTCTGGGAATCCTGGGTCAATCATTCCTTCCCTACGCGCCAAATTAATGTTGGTCAATGGGTAGCCTTCGGGAGTGTTAAATGCTGGCAGGATACGCTCCGCAAGGTCAACGGCCTTCTTCAAGTAAAGCGTATCATTCCCAGCAAGATGGTAGGCAGAAAGCAGGCCACCAAGGACCCGGATTGTAGTCTGATCAAGTTCAACATAATCTCGGAGCAGAAGACGGGATCATACCTCAAACGTATTAAACGACGCGTCTCGGTCGAAGGTCATTTTAGTGGCAACCCATCCACGCGCACGTGTGTATTCCTCGTCGAGCCCCATCAGCAGCATCGTGTCGAGTGAATCCACCACGGTATAACCGATCCCACCAGCAGAAGTCAGGTTGGTGCCTTCTCGGCTTATAGGATGGTACTCGTCCGCTCCCATAGCATCCCGTTCTATAGAACGTTAGTTTGGGCATCGTAAAGAGGCGAGGCCCACCATACGCCAGCCAGGCGTGCTAATGAGATTATGTTAGGTGTAGAGTACAGACGGCAGAGAGCAAAATACCTGGAAGGCTTGGACGACCGCATCCCTTTTCGGAATGTCTGCGACAATTTCCGTACGCACAGTCCCAGGGAACATGCGAGTCATTTCATTATCATCGTAGCCCATAAAGGCTTGGAATGCGTCGTGAAATACTTTGGGAGCCTTGAAACGGTGAGGTAAACGGTCTATTGCTGCAAAGTGTAGGCCTACAATAAAGTAAAGACTACAGTATGATCAGTCAACGTATATTCCACGAAGATTTGGGACTTGCATCGCAACACAGAATAGGATGGGCGGTATAATAATTTTAATGAACAAGCTGGCTTCGAAATCAGCTTTGGACTGGTGTTCAGGCCGGTATGTTGGCGGCTCTGGCGCAACGCTCTTCGGCTTCTTGCGTTGCCGAAGTTGCGAGCTCATTTTTGTGGTGGCCAACTAGCTTGAGGGGGAGGTGTAAAAGTCTAAGTGCAGTGCGGGGTCACAATGATGCGATCTTTTGATTCCGATCATTTCGTACGACAATTTCGCTTTCTGCCCAACGCGTTCAACTACTCATCTCTGGTGCTCATCTTGGACTGCTTGCAGCAATAATAACTTGAGACTGGCAACGGGAATGGCTGCTTGTATGCGATTCACTGCAAGGGTGTGGAAATCATTCCTAGAGAATAAAGGTCGGCTGTCCTAGTGTGCATATGGGTCTTTACGCATATGTAAAAAGGCCACGACGCGCAATGCTTTCCGAACTTGAAGCTCATCTCAGCAAAACCCGGCGTAGTTACAGCGTCTCTTCAAGTGGAACCGTACAATGGTGTGTTGGGACAGCTTTGTTTATCTCTCTATCGACGGTGTTCAGTGCCAATTTTAGTAAATCGGGTTGGGGTATGATATGAACAACTGAGTAGCTGGCGGCAACCTCCTAAATTTGGTTTAGACAGGTCAGCTCTGTGTCCCGTCTTCATCCTGTCGCTTAATGCTTGATAGTTCATGGTGGGCTCATATTGTCTCTGACCGACACTCTCGGATCGCTTGCTGTTGCTACCAAGGGTCAATACATGGTTATTATCCCTTATCATACGAGGAAATTTGACGAATGCTCACGTAGACTGGTGTATCGACTGACATTGGGTATTATTGCGCGTTCTGAAGGGATTCTCTCTCTCATTCCACATTCAAGGACATCCTTTGTTCGCCCCGCAGGTCGCCCTGGCGACATACTTCACATGAAGTCTGAGCTCATTGGAATGGTGTGCATGATGTTTGTCGTTCTCTTGAGCTTACTGTTGAAAGGGTAAATCACTGGCCTATTCTCGGACTGAATTCACCAACTCTGACGGACTCCTACTTGCCTATGGATGTCAGTCGACTTGGAGTCCCCTCGATATTCGCTGACTATGGGATAGATCATACAAAATACGTCGGCAAATCATCTTCTCATCCAGTAAGTGATGTTGTTATAGAATAAGGTAGAATATAACATTTTCAAGAAAAACGTAGTTTTGTCAGAGGATGGAGAGACATTACTGGAGGGCGCAGATGTTGATTAGTAGAGTTCATAGATTTACTTAGTGATCCTTCGTGTCATCAACGACCGTTTGGTTTACACCACCACAATGGAGGAGTTGTCCGCCCTCCCGCCCGACACTCCCCGCAAATCGCCCATTCGAGTGCGGACAATCTCCGTCAACTCGATGCGCTCCATGCGGTCTGTCGCCCCTCCATTCACCCGTTTACCGTAAAGCAGTCCCGGTCTACCTTGTCCAACTGGCCCTGATATTCTTGGCTAGGACAGAACATGAACGACCTGAAATACTCGGAAGGCCGCCCATACTAGCGCCGACGCCACGACAACCGCCCAACAGGCATCTGCTAGAACACAGTGCCCAGCAATGGGTGCAATCCTTGGGCTCTGCAAGCTCATCACGTCCGGTTTCCCCCATCTCTCCGACACAACGATTTAATTCTCTTGCGGAAAGGGTTCACCATGTCAAGATTCCGACGCAGCTTAGCTCAAGCGTCATTGCAGAAGAACGGGAACGGGAGCCAGAACATGCGATGGGAAGGCGGTGGGTGAGGTGGATGCACAAACGCGGTGTGAAGGGCTGGGTTGTTCCTTGTTTGCTCCTTGCTTCAACGCTCCTTAAATTGTGCGTCGGACTGGGTTCATACTCTGGTGAGTTGGTTTTTTGTCGACGCGTTTTCGTTGCTTGACGCGATCACTCTAGGACTCTCAACCCCTCCGATGTTTGGCGACTACGAAGCTCAGCGGCATTGGATGGAACTCACGACACACCTGCCTTTTCAACGTTGGTACACCTACGACTTGCAATACTGGGGTCTCGACTATCCTCCGCTAACAGCCTATATATCTTGGTTTTGTGGCCTTGTGTGCGTCACCCTGTCAAGTTGACCTATGATTTCCTGAAGCTTTACAGTGCACACAGAATAAATCCAACATGGGTCGCGTTGGACCATTCGCGAGGCATTGAAACTGAAGCAAGTAAAGTGTTTATGCGTTCGACAGTCGTGTTCTTCGACGCGTTGGTCTATGTTCCGGCACTATTCTTCTTCACAAGAACCTGGCAAGCCACCCGAACGAAACGATCTCAGGTATTGTCGTCGGACTTGGCTGGTTCTTCCATCTTATATCAGCGTAATAGAATTTGGCTCTCCTCACGCTACTATTCCAACCTGCGTCGCTCATCATCGATTTTGGTCACTTTCAATATAACTCCGTGATGCTTGGTAGGCCAATGCCATTTTGGGTGAAGCTGAAAAATAATTGTTGTAGGCTTTACTTTACTGGCTCTGAACGCATTCGCTTACGAATTGGATATGCTGGGTGCTGTTTTTTTCGTGCTCAGCCTCGGCTTCAAGCAGATGGCCTTGTATTATGCACCAGCGGTCGGCGGATACTTGTTAGCAAAGTGTCTGTACCTTGGTTCTGCCAATGGGTAACAGGTTTTCTACTCCCCAAATTATTTATTGATCTTACTCGTAGCGGCAAACTTTTTCTCCAATTGGCGTTGGTCACCTCACTGTCATTTATCGTGCTCTTTCTTCCATTCCTTCCGCCTTTTGCGCCGCTTTCTACCATCCTGGATCCCATCACCCGCATCTTTCCCTTCGCTCGAGGTCTTTTCGAAGACAAAGTTGCCAATTTTTGGTGTGCATCGAATGTTGTCTTCAAATGGAAAAATTGGGCATCGCGATCGCTCCTCATCAAACTATCAACAGCTCTAACTGTGCTTGGATTCCTTCCGAATGTGGTGATAGCACTGCGGGTGGCCTGGCAAACGCGTCTAACCGGCAGCCAAAAGCCTTCCATACACACACCTATCCTCCCACTCTTTCCTTATATGTTGCTTAGCTCTTCAATGTCCTTCTTTCTCTTCTCGTTCCAGGTACACGAGAAAACCATTCTGGTTCCCCTCCTTCCCATAACGCTACTTCTGTCTAACGCGTCCCTCGACTCTACGGTCTTTGGGTGGGGAGTATTGGCTAATAATATCGCCGTATTCAGGTTCGTCCTCTGTATTCCTTGGGCCCATATCGTTAATGTTTGTAGCATGTGGCCACTGCTAAAACGTGACGGACTCGGGGTTCAATATCTTGCGTTGCTGGCCTTGTGGAATCGTTTACTTGGTTATAATCCGCTTCGGCTATCGCCACGTTCTTTCATCCAAGTCCTCTCGCTCTCTGTTTACACTGCTGCAATTTCCTTGCACATTTTGGAGCTCTTGATCCCTCCACCAGCGCGTTATCCGGATCTCTTTCCTGTACTGAATGTACTGATTAGCACACCTGTCTTCGGCCTGGTATGGCTATGGAGCATCAAGTGTGGTGTAGAGGCTAGTTGGGCCTTGGACACGCTCGGTAGTCGACCGAGTCGGACCTCTGTGGTGGTCACTGAAGATGCATCTGTTCCAAGAAGGCCTTCGAGTATCGGCGCTGCACAGGGAAGAAAGAGGGCACCTTTTACATTGGACGAAAAGTAGAATTCAGTTATTAACATAATTTATTACCCTCTAAGTACGGTACTGAGATCCCAACTTGAATGCAGCAATGCTCAGCTTAAGCTTTGACGTCACATGCTAGAAATGATGTTCAGGAAGCGATCACGTGCATATTAGTTGACTTTCCCCACTCATGTCTTCAACAACCACTTCAAAGCGCTCCTCGGGCTTCACCCCTGCGCGAGCGACACGCTCTACGACTACCACCGAACGCGATCTTTCCTCACGACTTGCCAGGACACCTGCCCCGATCAACACGATCCTCCCGCCAACGACCAAGAAATACAAGGCCCCGCTCTCCACTGAAGCGCGAGCTCGCAAAGGGTCTACTCTTCCCTCTGTACCCGGTAGCCCAAGCAAATCTCGACCCGCTTCAAGGGCGGGCTCGAGGCTGGGTGGCGAAAGCGATGGGTTGGCACCACTGTTCCCTCCACCGAAGGACGTCGAAGATTCGTTGGTTGACTTCGAGACTGTCGGCGTGGACCTGACCGGAGATGCCGAGGCTGTTGCGCCACTCGAGCAGGTTGCAGTGGATAAGGTCATGGTGTCGGTTCGGTAAGCGGGTCGTTCAATTAACGTTAGAGAATGCTCAGTTTATTTGCAGGGTCCGTCCTAAGACGAATAGCCATTCACATTCGGCGTGGTCCGTTCCAGATGACAACACAATCCATCCATCCAGCGCTGCCTCACCCACACCGCCAACTGCTTCACAGAAATTCACCTTCGACAAAGTCCACACTGCACATTCTACCTCTGCCCTGTATGCTAGCTCTGCCAGACCACAAGTCCACGCCTTCATGGGAGGCTACAACGCTGTTGTATTCGCTTATGGACAAACTGCCTCTGGAAAAACATATACCCTTTCTGGAACCCCAGAAGAACCCGGAATCATACCTCGTGCATTACGCGACATTTTTGCCTTCATCCGCGCGACACCTGAACGAGAGTACTTGCTCCGCTGCAGCTACCTCGAAATCTACAATGAGACTATTTATGACCTACTCGCGCCGGCCGCGGGCGCTGGACAAGCAAAAGGCGTGGAGATTCAAGGTGGTGGAGGCGGAGAGGTGGTTTTGAGTGGGCTGAGGGAGGAGGTTGTCACCAGTCTCGCCAATGTACGAGAGGTATTGAGGCGCGGCGAGGGCAACCGTCGGACTGCTAGCACCGATTGGAACGAACGAAGTAGTCGGAGCCATTCCGTCTTTCGGATTGTCTGCGAAAGTAGAGAACGAGGCGAACGTGGCGAAGACCGCTCTTCGACACCGACTACTAATGGAAGACATACGCCTGGGCTTAGTGGGCGTCAAACTCCGGGTCCTCGTCTTCAAGCGAAGGGCGGTAGAAGTGTACAAAGCTCAGTACTAGTAAGTTGCCCATCTTTTTTTCGTTGGGTGGTCACAGTCCTTGAACCCTGTTTAGAGCTTGATTGATCTTGCTGGGTCTGAAAGAGCGACTTCGGACAAGGAGCGGACCAGGGAGGGTAGGTATATCAACACCAGTCTACTTACACTTGGAACCGTTATTTCGACGCTGGCTGAGAATGCTGCGAAGGGAAAGAGGTGCGTTACGATGGACATATCAAACCGCCGGTTGACAAAAACATAGCGATCATGTCCCCTACCGCAACTCGAAACTCACGCGAATGCTTCAACCTTCACTATCAGGCAATGCTAGGATAAGCGTAGTTTGCACCGTCAATCCCGATTTGAGTGCTGTTACTGAGAGTATGAGTACTCTTCAATTTGCTCGTCGCATCAAGGGTGTCCATGTTCGTCTTCTCTTCGCCCTTGTTTTTCCTTGAGGTTTTGCTGATGTTTTCCAAAGCTGAATGCCCAGAAGAAGGAGATTGTGGATACGGACGCGCTGATCGAGAGGTACAGGAAGGAGATAGAAGACCTCAAACGGCGTCTCGCTGAACGCGAGGAGGAGGCTTCCAGGGAAGCACCAACTCTACGAACTCGACGCTTGTCTGCTCGCGAGGTTGGTTATATTCTGTCAGATGGGATTGCAAGATCTCAATATCATACAGCAAATCGACGAGTCAAAGGCAATGACAGACCTAAACGCCCGCATTAAACAACTCACCAAACTTATACTCACCAGTCAAACTGTTGGAAACGGAGACGACTCGAGGCCAGCTAGTCCGGTCAAGATTGACTTCGATGCTTCCCCGTATCAGGTATATATTCATATGGACGAAAGTTGACAGTAACTGACGCAGCCGTATTAGTTGCAAGAAGAGCTCCTCGCCGCGAAACTGCAGCTTGAATCACAGTCTCATCAAATCCTTTCCCTGGAAGCAACTTTGCTAGCCCGTCCAGACGAAACAGCTACGACTGTGTCGGAAGAAGATTCGGAGAAGGACAAATTGATTGCTGAACAAGCCCGTACGATTCGCGAGTTGGAGAATACTGTACGCGAGAATGCCAATGCGGGTCCAACCAAAGAACAAATGGAGGCGGAATGGGAGGAAAAGCTGGAAGTCCAAATAAAGCTTGTGAAGGAGAAGGAAGCCTGGGCCGCAGAGTTAGTGCGCCAGCTCGAGAAAGAACGCAGGGTAAGTTTTATCATCGGGATCTTTTTTTTGCTGACTGAAAATAGATCCGAATCCAACTGGAAGAAGAGAGGAAGGCATTGGCAGCATTCGTCAGCAAGTTCGATTCGCTCGGTATGGGTCTCCTTTCTGCAGCATCTTCTCCAGTCAAGCCAAGCCCTGGCGGAGCGGCTGCGACGTTTTCCAGTCGTAAAGAGAGTCGGCAGCAACCACAGATCACGCCAGACACTTCACCAATTCGGATGTCGCTCGACTTGGCCATGACGAGCAAGATGCATCCGAGCTTACTGGAGCAAATGCCTGAGGAGGATTGGAACGATGTTAGCTTTGAAGCTGAATCGTGGAGTCGGGGCAACACCCTCAGCCGTGTGTTGGGTGTGAGCTCCAAAGAGAATAGGCCGCTTATGTAGCTCTATGCCGAGTGATGAGATGATCTGTGCCGTGTATTATGTAACGATCTGGATGCTTGTCGCGTGCTGCGTAAGGCGCGTTACACATTTCTTTCTTGCTCCAACTACCACCATGCTTTCCACCATCTCGCGCCATCCCCATAGAACTCCCGTCACCCTAATTCTCCGTTCTTTAACGACTGAACATCATATCCCAACACCCGACGTCCCTCCCCCACTGCCGAACAAAGCGAGCCCTCCAAGACATAGGAGTCGGCTCTACCCTGCTCCTCGACCGGCTGGACATTCATTGCAACACCCATCACTGCCAAATTTGCCAGCTAGTTTTGGGAGGAACCAACTGTTGCCGGTGTCGAATTCAACAAGAGCATTGTTGGAGTCGATTGTCGACGAGTTTGACGCGCCGATCCGCTATGCATTCGCGTACGGCTCTGGCGTGTTTGAGCAAGACGGCTACCCGAAAGGCTCTGACGCGCCAATGCTTGACTTTATGTTTGCGGTGACGCACCCAGCGCATTTCCACTCCATCAATATGCAACAACATCCCAACCACTATACGCTTTCCGCCAGAGTTTTTGGCTCGTCATATGTATCCAAAGTACAGGAGGTCGGGCCTGGGGTGTGGTTCAACGCCTATATACCCATCGCTGGTGTGGTGAGTTACGCCCACTTTGCAAAATTGACAAGAAGCTGATGATTGGATTAGACAATCAAGTACGGAGTGACGACAGTGGACAATCTCTGCTCCGATCTGCTCAATTGGAAGAGCTTGTATCTGGCTGGGCGGATGCACAAGCCGCTCAGAATTATCAAGGATGACGCTCGAGTTCGGCTTACTCAACAAGTCAACCTCACTTCGGCTGTCCGTGCGGCATTATTGACACTTCCTGCCGAGTTCTCCGAGACACAGTTGTTTGAGCGTATCGCTGGCATAAGTTATCTCGGGGACCCACGAATGCTCCTTCCAGCCGAGAATCGTAACAAAATTGCGAATATCGTGCGGAAACAAGGACCACAATTCAAGGAACTATATCATCGACTTGTGGTCGGGCTTCCTGGGGTTCATTGGCCAATGCAATTGGAGACCATCCAGCAAGACACAACACCCCATGCTCGAGCTGCCCACCTCCGCAAGCTACCATCGAACTTGCTCGCGGGCGTCAGAAGTAGCTTTGACCGTTCTGGCAATGTCCCAGTTTACGAGGCGGACGAGAGTGCTTACTGGATACGGCTCGCTGGCGACGACAAGTTACCTGCCATCCTTGGACAAGAGCTCAAGGGTATCGTCAGGTCACCTTCGACTGTACAAACGTTGAAGGGTATCGTGAGTGCGGGTGTTGGGAAGAGTGCGCGGTATGGGCTGGCCAAGATGAGCAAGTGGTGGCAAGGAAGTAAGGAGAAGAAGGAATAAACGGATACTTGTACACCTTATAATCTCAAGAGAACTGTACTAGAGGAGCAAAGAGCCGTCAAGGCCCTCGTGTCTGTCATGGAAACGAGCCGTCACGTTTAGATCTGCCCTTTGATCCTCAACAATCTTGTCAACTTTTGCTCGTGTACCTTCCCCTCCGACTCTGTTTATTCTCTCTGCTCGTCGACCGACTCGAAACTCTTTACTCTCTCTTTGCTGTGTTTATAACTATTATGTCGAGCTCTCCGCCCCTTTCGCCAGAGACGTATGGGGATGAGCAGCCACCAACGACAAACGCCAACGCTACCACGATGACGGTGGCCATGATCAAGACCCATGCGCTGGAACACCGGTTTAGTATCGAAAAGAGGATACAGGAAGCCAGCTTTGAGGTTCGTGGCCGTTTCTCTGGATGTCTCGAAACCTGAAACCAACCAACCAACCACCCTTGTAGATTGTCAAAGAGCGACAGATGGAGTTTGACGTCGATACAGACCCGGATACGATGTACGAGCTGTTTGGGGAGGACGCAGATGCAATGGGAGAGTGAGTGGCTGTCTGTCTGTTGAATTGTCAGCTAACCGAGCGCTGTTCAGAGGACCAACATGGGTCTACGTCCTTGAAAGGCGTCGGGCGGTTGAAGTTTGGAACACTCTTATGGGCGACCGAGACCCAGCTGTGGCGAAAAAAGAGTCCCCCAATTCGCTGCGGGCCTTGTATGGTGTTGATTCGGTCCATAACGCGGTTATGGGCTCGGTCGATCTGGAGACTGCTGAGATGCAAATTGCGTCGCTGTTCGCCTCCTCGCCTGTCTTTCCGCTGTCCGATTTGCCGGACACAGGATATGGCTCTATGCGCTCGGTGTCGTCGTCGGTGTTGGAGGGGCTTCGTCAGCAGACAGACGAGGGTTATGCTGCCTCGAATGCGAGTACGACAACCCGAGGAAATGGGAAGCTCTTGTTCAAGGCCAGAGCGCTCCCGTCAACCCATGACAAGCCAGACATTGTTCCTCGTATGAGTAGAGCGGCAGCTCTACGTGCTGGCCTCATTGTCGCTGAAGTCGACAAGGTTACGCCGACCGTGGCCCGTGCGCCCCTCACCAAAGATCAGCTGGCAAAGACATTTGCGAATGTCCCTGGCCATAAGCGAGCAGAGAGCATCGCTGTCGCCAGTACTGCTGCCCCAACCATAGCTCCACGGATGACGAGGGCCGCAGCCCTTAGGCTGGGCCTCCCACCACCAGCCCCAGTCAAGAAAGCTACCAATGGGAATGGTGCTGGAGCCGCAACATTTGATGGAGTTCCCGGCCACAAGCGTCGAGAAACTATCACTGTTGCGTCCATTCAGGCTCCAACAGTTGCGCCGCGTTTAAACAAGAGTGCGGCATTGCGAGCGACAAAAGACGCTGCTCCGCCATCGTCGTTCCAGTGTAAGTCTAGTCCGTACTTCTCGTCACAGCAGTTAGACTAATTAAACATGCTCGCAGTCAGAGGAGCGACGACACCCAAGCTTCCGGGTCTTTCGCGAAGCAACTCTGTCAACTCTTTCTCGTCGACCCCAAAACCACCTTCCCGTCCAGCCTCGGCAGCTGGTACTAGCAGCAATTCGGTTACCAAACCTGTTGCTCGACCACGACCATCGAGCGTCTCTGTACGACCCAGCGCGCCTCGTCCCTCCATTGCTCCCGCCAAACCAGCGCCCAGCAACACGCTTAGTAATGGAGAAGCTCCAGTTCGGCCGAAACCACGTCCGAGCAGTGTTTCTGCTCCGACAATCGCCCCGAGGACTAACCGCAGTGCTGCTTTACGTGCCGCCAAACAAGAGGCAGAGGCAGCCGCTGCGGCCAGGAAGAATCCTCGCTCAGTCGCACGGCCCGTGGCGACATTTTGAGAAGAATTTTGTTTTCTTATGTTTTGACGAAGGGATGCTATCACTGGTTGGATTGCTTGCTTGAATTTATGGCTCTTTATCTTTCTCAGTACATATATGTCTCTCTACTACGACTCTCCTTCAACCTGTATACTTAGATACCGTCAAACAAGTTAGTGACGACCACACAATTGTACCCAATCTAACAGGGACGTCTGCCAAACAGGAACACATTTGTTTTTTGTCGTAAATGAGTGTTTACATTTTGTACAAACGACTGTGTACGTTTGAATGTCCTTGTTTATTGGCCAGGTCGAGGGCTAACTGCGGGACGCGGTCCCGTTGTCTTGATTGGGGCAAATGCCTTGTTGGGGACGAATTTACCCGAGCCATATGAGTCGAGCGCAGGTGGGGCCTTGAGCGGATGGCACTCGGTGTTGAACACAACTATGGTTCAAGTTCATTAGCAGATGTAACAGAGGCTAAGATGAAACCCTTACAGTCATCCAAAGAGATATGGGATGGGTCATCGAATGTCAGGTAGAGGTACTTGAGTACCTCTGCGAACCAGAACGACTCGGTTATGTCAATAAAGCCGCCATTGGCCGAATTGACGTTGTTAAGCGAGGCAAAGCCAGCGATATTGGAGCCCGTGAGGAACTTGTTGAACGACGCGATCGCAGCTTTCGCGCGGTCGAGGTACTTGGTGTCGCCCGTTACACGCCAGGCATGGAAGTTGGATTCCAGGACTAGTCAAGTGTCAATGGTATTCAGTTTCTGAGTTACAATCGTACCTTCTGGTCGTTGGATGTAGTCGGCTCCAGTGATGTAGTACCCGTGTTGGTTGAAGAAAGCCTGCTGGGAGGGTGTAATCGCGCTGCCGCCAGTGAAGTTGCCATCCGTTCCGATGAAAGCAAAGGTTTCTGGGCCGATTCCAGTCGCTGTACTGGCATAAGTGTTCTGCGAGTACAATGAGCAATATGTTTAGTTGATAAGAATGCGAATATGATACCCAGCATCCATCATTTAGTTCAAGAGCAATATCGATGATGGTTTGGTTGTTGAGAAGTTTACCACCTAGGCGGATAGTAAGTAGACAGTTATACAAAATTATAATTCAAAACTGACCAAGAAGCCAGTTGCCCGCGTAGAAGCAAGCCAAATGTCTGTGGTGTAGGTGTCAGTCGATCATACGAAGCTGCAAACTCGAAAGATACGAACGATCCAACGTGGCGGATGCGTCCATTGTCATCACGGTCAGCGAGGAACGACCAGTTCCCTACAGTAGATTTCTGTGTGAATTTTCTCAGCTTGGGATGCGTTGGTGAGAGGGAAATGGTCACCTTGAGCAAGTTCTTGATCGAGGAATCGACAGCGGTCTGTCAGGTCTTCTCAATCATGTGTTCGGTAATTTTTTCACTGCCTACCGCCCAGGTATCCGCGAAAACGTGATCGTCTGTGTTGGTAAGACGAGCGAACTTGATTAGGTATTCGAAGTACGAGTCGCTTCCTCCGCCCCAGGTCTGTGAGTGAATCAGCGTTGGGCTTGTCCGTCATGTTATGGTACACACAATGTATGAATCGCCGAAATGACCGTTCTCAGGGTGGATCACTTGGGGCGCTAGGCCGGGCAGAGGAGTTCCTTGTTGCGTAATTATGCGGGCAGACCCGACGCCGAGCTTCGAATAGGTGTCGTTACCACTGAGTTCCGACAGTCTGTGCCATTCCAAGCTCAATGTGCCTAAGAACTTCGTTGGCCGTTGGCAAAAATAAGCAGAATATGACTGTACCGGCTTCAGCAATATTTGTCTTTGAACCCGCCGGCGGTCAATCAGAAACCTCAATTTCAAGTCAGAAAAACGTACAGTGTCAACGTTGGGCACGCCGGTAGCGATGGTCATGTGGCCATACGGGATGGGGTTGCTCTGTTAAGTAGATAAGGTGGAACTGCGAGGCCTGAACCAGGGTTTATCACTTACGCCAACCCAGGCATTGGAAAGCTGGTCCGCGACCTCCTTCGCTTTCTGCAGCAGAATAGGGTGCTGTCCGTCGCTGAGTTCATAGGCGGAAATAAGACCCCCCAGCCAGCGAATGGTAGTCTCGAAAACGCTGCATAATTACTTGAGCATATCCAATCAAGTCAATTGACGGCAGCATTTACCTGACAGTTCCAGCAGCGGGTGATTTGGAGAAGTCCACTGTGGACGTGAAATTTAGAGCGTCATTGAACCGATCCTGCCAGCAAAGCGGGGTGTGAAAATAGGGCAAAGGATGGCGAGCGGACAAATTACGGTCAAACCCATGACGAGCTGGAAGGAGTGGGCGTGTGAGCAAAAATACACAAGGCGGACTTGCGACCGAAACAAACCATAGTTGGGAGAGCATCTACAATGGTTGCACCCCAGCCACCGAGGTCGTCGTTGCCCTGCTTGGCGATAGGGTCAAGCTCGTCGTGCCCGAACGCGAATTGTCTAGAAGATTGGACAGTAAACACCATAGTTCGAATTGCTAACACTAAATGCACAAACCGATAAGCATCCCAGGATTTGGTGAAGATAAGCTCTGCGGCATCCCGTTGGTCGCCATAAGCTGGAGGTACCACCAAGCCTGGAAGCTGGACGGTTACGCCAGCCAAAGCAGCTGAAGAAAGCCCCAGGACAGTAGCCAGCGCACGACGACTCATGGCAGTTTGTAGGACGGACGTTGACCATCGTTGGAGTCTTTATAAGATCCGCCAGGACAGGTAGAACTTCTCGTTCGTAAAGCTTTGATCCATGCTGGTCAGAAGCAAGTTGAATGTACGCATCATGAGAAATTTGGTGATCTCCTCATTCCACCTCCTCAGGAAATTTCTATCCCGGTCCCAAAGAATCACCAGAGCATGAGGACAATAAACTCGAACTCTAACACGTGAGGCAACTGCACACATGGCGCTGCTCTGGTGAGATTAAAATAATACAACGTACATCCAAAAATATAAATGTCTATATATCTCCAAACAACCTTTTTCTGTGGGGAATGCTTTGAGAAAGTTGCCCCAGGACAGGACGAAAATACGCACAATCTGACGGGGGCATCGCTGAAAACGCTGGAGCCGCCGAGCATCTCCCGAGTCCACACGTCTCGTAGGAACCAGCCGACATGGCCGACGGCACAACCCATCAAGTCTCCGGCAGCGGCTTTCCAAGTGCCGTTGAGGATCCAAGAGAATGCAACGAGCGCTACTGGGAGGTACGGCGCAGTGATCGTTATAAGGCCGAAGAGAGAAATGGGCGTTGATGGGTGTCGGCGTGACCAAAGATATATTGGAACGAATGCGAGCGACGAAGACAGGAATGGGAGGTTAAAGAGCGGTGAAAGTGCCTAGAATAATGAAAGGTGAACACGTGGAGAACATTCGTCCACCTTGACGCACCAGGAGCATGACGGAAGACAGAAGTAGAAGCCAGAAGTAATCTGCTTTGCGGTTTGGGAAAGACGACTCTTCGAGCATGCGGCTGTATCGCATAAAGAAGAAGAGATGGAACACAAAGTCTAGCGAGATTGGCCCAAAGTAGAAGAATGTCGTCCCCGCCCGCCAGACCTGCCCATTAAGGAAGCTCTTGGCGCTGAAGTATAGCTGCAGCGGTGTCACCACCTGCGTTTGCTGCACACGGTAAGCCAGAATCATCGAAAGAGTTGGAGAGATGCTGACCACTGCCAGGCTAGTCAATATTGACAACAAGAGCCATGATCGCGTGATAGGTGGGATTTGCTGCACCCAAGCTTCGACACCGACAGGCATGGTTGTCGTTACTACTCACGGTGAACGCAAGACGGATAGTGAGGGAGGATGAGAGCGCCGAGGTCACGCGATGATGACGGTTCTGGGTGACGTGTTCACCTTAGTCAGCGATAAGATTCATCAACATATCAATCTCTACCAACGGCCCATCATCGTCACCCTCCTTCCCTAAGACGCATAATATACTCTTTGCCTCATCCAGGTAAGCCTTACTCTCAGCCTTTCTAGCCTTTTCTGTTGGAGTATCCATCGGATGCGTGACAACACTATTCCAGCTAGTTTTCGCCATCTCTAGCAGATGTAATCCTGTCCCAAGTATGAGCATAGATATGTACTTTGGTAGGATAGCACGAACCAATCTGGGGATAGTTTGGTGGGTAAATGAGACGATAAAGCGCCAGCAAAGCATTGCCGGAGTTGATCGCAGAGGTGTAATCTCCATCATGCGAGGAATTGCGAAACATTGTCGAAAGATGGGTAATGAAGACTTCATGAAAGACAGGTAGTAGGTCTTTTTCGATGGTAGGGGCATTAGTATAGAGGGAAAGGCCATCCACCGAAGTTCTTCTGTGGAACTCTTGCAACTTCTTGGACAGCGCCTCTCGTTCATTCTCGGAGGTGGGAGGTTCCGGGATTTTTCCTACTTCTGCAAAGAAATTACACGAGACGCAGTCGCATTGAAATCCATAGCTGAGGTTAAAAATTTGTTGGCGCGATTGTAGTAACGCGGGGTCCAGGTAAGTTAAGCAAACCTGAAAGAGTCTTCTCCTTCAGCATCATCGGGAGATACCGGCAAGTTTTGCGCACCTCTTCTGCCCGTATTATGTCTCTGAGAGCGACGACCTGCATGAGGGGCCGTTCTCCCTTGCATAAGATATACTTGGCCGCTGCATTAGGCAGACAAGAATGATTGAAGTATGAGCTGGCTAATGGGAAGACTCCATGTCCAAACGTAACCAAGTGGGAATGCAACACAAAATTGTTGTTGCCAAATCGCGCGTGAATGTTCCTTATGTCTGGGGCAGATAAGTGCGCTGAAGGGTGGATGGTAGGGAGCAAAGAAGGTTCTGTCGGCCCAGGAAGCAGCGACAACACGCTCTCCAACGCGTTTGTAGAGTCCCAATCCGCGTCTAATTGAGCGATAGTATGCGAAAGTAGCATTGCGTCCAGTTTCTCATGTTCTTGCAGCATCTGGAATGCGATCGAGGACGTATATTTTCTGATCCGCCTACCAATCAACCTCAAACGATCGACTAGTGTGAGAGCCCTCACTTGCAGATGCGTTTATGAGCGGGCCATTGCAGGACTTGACATGTCGCATCACAGTAGTAGTATTCTGCACAGTTGCTGCATTTGAGAAGTTTGGTCGCTAAGATGTGGCAATAGTCACATCGTCGGCCTTTTTCGTGAGGGAGGAGGGTTGTGGACAGAGAGTAGCACGATAGTATGTTGGATCCCGCAGGGATGTTGGATTTTGCAATGGCACGGGAGCGACAAGGCTCAGCGCAAGTTTCGATTTGGACGCAAGATTCAGCCATTTAGTGTGACGGTAACAAACCGGTTGATTGGGTGTCGACTTCGACTTTACTCGACAGGTTCATTCGCTTCGACGAGATCACAGACAGCGACTGGCACTCATGGAAGCTACAGTAACTCTATGCTTATTAAACCACCATGACGAAGGCAGGAAGACATGGATTTGGACTACGCATAATACATCAAATCGTTCTTCTTCTTGCTTTGAACTAAACATCAGAGTTTGGTCAGCAACACATCTCCCAAATAAGATTAGTCCTGACCTTCAGCGACACCACTCAAAAAGTGTTCATGACCAAGTTTCGTAGCGCCCTCTCGCAATGCAATCATGCCAGCTTCTACACAGACAGCCTTGAGTTGGGCACCATTGAACTCGTCCGTACTCCTCGCCAATTCTTCGTAGTTCACGTCAGGGGATACTGACATTTTCCGGGAATGAATCTCAAGTATACGAGCCCGAGCAGTTTCGTTGGGCAATGGGAATTCAATTTTCCGGTCGAGTCGTCCAGATCGAAGGAGGGCGGGGTCAAGAATGTCGATTCGATTTGTGGCAGCGATAACTTTGATTCGCTCATCACTACTGAACCCGTCCAGCTGGTTGAGGAGTTCCAACATTGTTCGTTGTACCTCTCTGTCGCCACTCTTTTCGGAATCAAATCGCTTTGTGCCAATCGCATCCAACTCGTCGATGAAGATAATGGCAGGCGCTTTCTCTTTAGCAAGAGCGAACGCGTCTCGGACGAGTTTAGCGCCGTCACCGATGAACATTTGGACCAGGGAAGGACCAGCAAGCTTCAGGTAGCACGCTTTGGTCTGCGCTGCACAGGCACGCGCTAAGAGTGTCTTGCCCGTGCCTGAGGGAAATAATTAGATGGGCGCAAAGGAGGACAGACGTAGCGTACCTGGGGGTCCATACATCAAGCAGCCCTTGGGTGGACGGATGCCCAGCGTCTTGAATTTCTCCGCTTGCTCCATAGGAAGAACAATAGCTTCAACAAGCTCCTCAATTTGCTTCTCCAGTCCTCCAATGTCTGTATACGTCTCCGTTGGGCGCTCGTCAACTTCCATCGCTTTGACACGGGAGTCAAATTCAGCGGGCAAAGTGTCAAGAACCAGGTATGAGTCTTTGTTCACGCCAACAAGGTCTGAAGGCTTTAAGTTCTCGGATGGAACGAGACCGATTAAAGGAAGAAAGACGGTTTGCCGTGTCGAGGTCTTGATGACTGCACATTTTCCCTTGCGCATGGAGTCAAGGTCTTGGTTTGCCCCATCCTCTTCGGCTTCTGGGTCAACATCGAGAATCTACTCGGCGTTAAAACATGCAACTTTGAGTTTCGCTGTAGACCGCACCTCCACGATATTTGCAACAAGATAAGGAAGCACTTTGTTTTGTTTGACCTTCTCCCCGTTGTCTCTAATCTTCTCCTTCATGACGCCTTGCTCGTGCTGCAGCCGAGCAGTTTCTGAACGCATCACCTAGGTAGAGGTATACCTCAGTAATAGTCGCACCCAATTTCAAGAGGCGCACCTTCATATCATTCTCAATTAAGCGTATCCTCGTCAGAACTTCGTCTGTGCTTAGAGCCATGACGTCCTCTGGAATGTCATCCCAGGTCTCTTCTGCGGGCTGGTCTGGAGTCGTGTCCATAGGAGTCTCTTCCGGCTGGGCTGCGGGAGTAGGCGCAGACTCCGCTTGTTTCTCAGGATTGGTGGGTGGGTCATTGGGAGGCGGGATGGCGGACATGGTTGAGGGTAAAGTAGTACGCGCGTACGCGTCTGATTACGAAAGCATCACGGTCACACAGTCACATTTCACTTTCGTCTTTCTTCGCGCGAGGTCGCAAGTAACAACGCGATGTATTACGTGGACAACAGCGACTCTTATAGGAAATGCGAGTGTACACGTTACACTCTGCGCCGTGATTTGATTAGGTATGTAGCTCGATTAATAAACAGGCGTCCTTGGCCATACCAATGTGAATTAGTTTAATTTAGGTCTTTCAAATGAGGCGCCAGGCTCGAGACTGGAGTGGTCATTGAACAAAAGTGTCGCATCGTGATGTTATCTTATCAGGTCATTTACAGTAATCGTAGTAGTGCGATATATTATGTACATAGCGGCACGGGAAACAAGAACAACTCTCACAAAACTCACGCACGCGCACTTCTCCAGGCACTCTGCATCGCAATCCGTCGGGCCTGCCGACTCTATCAGCACGCAAAAAAAAAAGTGTTCAAGAAACAACATACCTGATCCAATGTAATCGAATCTTCTCTCAACTCGACTTTTTGCCTCCCGTTATCATCATCGTCGTCATCGTCGTCAAACCCTCCCCGACCAGCATTCCGGATGCCTCCAAACGCGGCCTTACCACCCGCGAGCGAGAACGGGGTCGACGCAACAGCAGTGCCAAACACACTTGCATTGGCAGGCGCCCCAAATGCAGCAAAGTCAGTCACCACTTTTCGCGGCGGAGACCCGGTGCTGGAAAGCTTAGGAGATGCAGTCGGCGTTTTGGTGGGCGAGCGGGGTGGTGTGGCTGGTGCAAACGGATATGACGAATAGCTGGATCCAGAATGCGAGCTGCGCGCTGTCTGCGATCGCGACTCGAGGTACTTGTCTGTGAACCGCGTGCCACTAACCTAGACATGACATCAACCTAGCAAAACGGAAAACACAACCAAGTTGATCAAGCTCATACCCGTTTGAGATGTGGTCTGGCGTCCTGCAGTGACGCAGCTTGAGTATAGACCTCCACATTATGGCGCGACTCTTCCGAATCTTTGTAGATGCTTTCTATAACAACCTTCTTCGTGCTTTCGTTGCGGAGTAACAGCTTTTCGTGCAGTTCGCGAGCCACCTCGTCCACACTTTCATTGTTGCCAAGAATCCGTGCTGCAACCGCGTGCCCGACTTCGCGTACTAGACGCTCCATATCCAGATTTTCGAGCACACTGCCAACAATTGCATGGGCAAGAAGGTCAGCGGTGGTGAGCGGCAGCATCAGCCCCGATGTGATATTAGTTATTGCTCGATAGAAGTCGGTCGCGTACTGGAAAAAAATAAGAAAAGTGGGGTGGTGAACAGGAGGGCACTGACCGAATACCCGCTGAGGGCGGGTTCACATGCCACAAAAAACTGCATTTTAGGTTAACGAACAGGATTAAAAGCAGTGGTTTCTGGCCCACCAAAGTGATGCCACGACTAGCCATAACCCGCGCCAGTTGCAGGGGATCATTGTTATCGGGTGAACCATCGTCGAAACCTGCTCAACTGATCAGATTTGGACTCGTGCTCGATGAAGGGGAAACGCACCATCACCATACTCTCCAATCCCGTGTGGCGGCGCATCAGCGATGAGGACAACCATTTTGCTTGCTTCAGGCCTCCAGTCCATATTGAGGGCCTCAAACATGGCGGCTGTGACCGCTTCTGGCCCATCTCCACCTCCCGATGCATATAGCGTCGAGAGATCTTTCTGGACCTTGGCAATGTCAGAAGAGAAGCCAAAGTTTTTGGTCACATAAGTATGATCCTGAGGCGGATGGTCGCGGAAAGCGACGAGGCCCACTCTCAGATCTTCCCGGCTCTGAAGTTTGCCTGACTCATATATCGCACCCGAAATCTGCTCGATGTTTTTCGTTGCGGAGGAAATGTAGGACCCCTGGCTGCCTGTACAGTCCTGAATGAACACCAAATCGCTGCAGGCCATCAGGGAATTGCCATAAACTGATACATCGAATCGACTCACAGCATCTTCCTCCCATCGTCCATGCCAGCCATCTGACCGCTGTAAGACTGCTGAATCTGCTCGCCGTTGCTCTGCATCTGGGGAACGTTAGAGGAACTGTCGAAATCCATGTCTTCGTCCATGATGACTCGTTGTGGTTTATGCTATAGTCGTCGTAAACTAATGTGGGGCACCGAGATCGACTTGAGTGTGTGTTGGAGGAATTCCTTCAAGGACGGGGGCGCGTACGTTTCTCGGAACTCGAAGTGACTTGGTTGTGCTAAGGGAAAGAGGTCGCGTCCAAATGCGGCATGCAGCACGTTCTGATGTAATTGTGTGCTCAATGCCTCATGTTGTTGTGCTTCTACTGCCCGACAGCCCGCGACAACCAGCTCATTAGACTATGTAGATTAATTCCAGCCAAGCCACCACCCATCCTCGTCGTCCGGTAGAACATTATCGCAGCAGCAGTGCACCCACCCAAAGCGGCGGCGATGGCCATATAGGTTCGCAACCGAGCCGCAGCACGAATTGCCCGATCAGCGCCACCAGGGATCGCCGTATTTCTGCTGTCAAATCAGTTCGAGGAGGTCATTCAACATCGTCCAACTCACGGATTCATAGCGATTCTGCATATCTCATGAAAGACATCCGCAGTTTGACCAGTCTTGATGCTGACGGCCACAGGCATTTGCAAACCTAGTCGTCGACAGTAAACATCTGGTTGCACTTCATGTCTCTGCAGGGCCTCAGTTACCTGAAGTGAATTGCCAGTGTCGCACCTGCTGAGCTAGATCGAGGTCTGACTTGGTAGCGACAAACAGCGTCGGTATATGGTCAAGAACGTATTGTTGCTGGTGGCAGATCAGAAACTTTGGGTGTAAAATGGCTTCCAAACACACCCGAAGGTTGCTGATGTATGAGAAAGAATTGGTGTCGCTCGAATCGTGTACATAGACGATCACATCCGCTAGGTCCGTCTTCTTGGAGTTTCGTAGCGTCTCTTGCTCGTACTTGGAGCCAAATTCTTGTAACTTTGGGGCGTTCATAGCCGACAGATCATGCAAATAAAACGACCCACGATAAGATACTTTTCCGAACCTTCAATGGCGACTGAGTTGACAACGCTGAGCATCTTGCTAGTAGGCTCATAAATAGATGTAGATGGCTTCCCCGCAAACGCTTTGAGGAGTGATGTCTTGCCAGAACCGGCGGCGCCACACACATAACACAGAAACACATTGCGGGTCACCTTTCCTTTTCGTCTGTCCGTCTTTCGCGGTCGAGTGACCTGTAAAGCTCCGGTTCGTGGCTCTCCAGGATATCCAAGGTAACCGAGATAAGCGAGGGTGGTTTTGTGTTCAAGGAGTGTTGTCATACTAACCAGAAAACTTAGAAGCCGCCCAAACATAAACAGATGAAAATAACTGACCTCCACTGCGCGAGCCAGCCTTGCAATGTTACAGCACCTGAATCGTCGGATGACGTCGTATCGGGAAATTTCTGAGTTGACCACGGGTTTCCAGGAGATGTGCTAAACACTTGCTCTAGTTCGACTGTCTTCAGTGCACCATCTTGATCCTTCAAATTTTTATAGTGTCAATATATTGCAAAGCTTCTGGAACATTACCTTGTCAAACGTTTCGAAAAGATCGGTGAAGAACTGATAGCCCAATGGACTGAGTTCCACGGAGCAGTCTGGCGCGACATCGAATCTGACCACATTAGCAAAATTTTCAATAACAGACTCGAGAGCTCACTTGGGGGATAAGAAACTTTCTGTCAATCGCAAGTCTTCCGCATACCCGAACTTTCGTAAAACAGTCCATGTAGTTTCGAGACGACCTCGTTGAATAAAAGTGGTGTGCAGATACAGGAAACCAATTTCTGTGAGGCCGTTGTCTCGGACACCACCGATAGTGTTGTTTTGAACGATTTGTCGGATTCCCTCCAACTCTTGAGCTTGTAGCGGCGCGTCAAAGCATTTTCGCTGTGGGATACATAAGCAGGGTCTTCTTCGTGAGGAGGTAGTCAAGACACGCCTGAAATTCATTGAGCTCCGCTGCGTCCAAAATTCCATCCTTATTTGTGTCGCATAACTTGAATATCCTTCGAAGGGCATTCATGCAGGCAGGTTTCAGAACCTACAATATGTTAGTTGAATAAAAGGGTAAATAATGCCTGACATGGTCCCTAGAGTCATATAAAGGCGCAGTTGGATGGAGAACAGCCTTCTGGGCGAAATAGAATACTTCCGATACGTTGAGTGGTGTTTTGGCTGAACATTCTATGCAGGTTTCCACTTCCTGAGACAGGTATGAGAGGAAACGCTGTTGAGGAAGAGATTGTGTAGAAACCTTAAACTCCCCCATTATAGGCATAATCTCCTCCTCTAAGGCCTCATTGGTAGCATCATCACCTCGTAAATCTATTTTGTTTCCCACCAATATGACTGGAACCTGTTTTGTGCTTAGACGAAGCAGCAGAATGCGGAAGCGTGCTTACGTTCACGCCCAGTTGCCTGATGTGGGGTAGCCAATAGGTTGGAATTCGATCGAAAGAGTTGGGGTTATCGATAGAATAGACGACGCAGATGACATGGGCTTTACGCAGTTCACTCTCAAGATGAGCCCGGTCTTCCGGACCAGCTATTGTCATGCTGCTAAGTTATGGGGGTATCCTGACGCGTTTACGCACCACCGGAGTCGACAATGTAGGTGGTTACATTTTCTGGTGTCACTTCTGGGGGTATCGTGACTTCTGGAATCCTATGTTGCACCTAAGGAGCGTTAGCCGCCAGTCGAGTGGTGAGAGACAACAAACATGGGCAACGTAGGATTCCTTGATCAGAGACGTGACGATGGTGCTCTTCCCTACACCCTCTGACGACGGATTAGACCTTGAATGAAGCCGTGGCAGGTCGCACACCGTCACCAACGAGTAAGATGCGGACATCGCGCCGCATTCAAGAATTGAGGAAACAACGCGACTTGCACAAGCCGGAGAAGGATCAAATTAGGCCCGGGTGTCACCGTCGTCACGGCTTGATGACTACTACGCGTCGCCGCGGCCGTCGAAGTTTTTAAACTCGACCTCCATGTCAATTTCTTCAAAAAGGACAAGGTCATCAAGCAGCCCTACCACTTACTCATTCAAGAAACACCGGCCATCTTCTGACAGTATTGACGAAGTTATTGACCTGACGGACCGCTCATTTTCGGAACTCGCCAATTCGGTGGTTGAGGACACCGTGTTTGAAGAAGACCTTGAACTCAACGAGACAGCTCTTGATGCGAATGAGCTGCCCGTCCGACGTCTGGATGCGTTTTCCATCTATGACCGCCGCTCGCAAGAGCTGGCCAATGCGATGGAGGTCCTTCTACCCAAAACCGGTCGCTTTGTGGCTAGTGGTCTAGTCAGCGTTCACTACGACGAAGAGGACTCGGACGACGAAGACGAAGGAGACCCTGATGATAGTCCATTCGTAGAGACCCTCGAAATTGAAGGTTTCGACATTCACCATTGTTATGATGTCAAAGAGCGCGAATTTGACGAGTGAGTGAAGTGCTTGCTGTGGCCACGGAAGCTTAAAACCCCATTCCAGCAAGATATATATCCGTACATCGCGGGCCTGGTACATTCTCAAGGAGCCGACCACAGCATATCGGCATCTATTCACCCCATTATGGGTTTGCCAACAACTTACCCACCTGGTCATTACCGCATCGCCCAAAACCACACTCTCAGATTTTCGTCAACAACTCTCTCCACCGTTGTATGATTGGCAACTCAAGACAACTGCGTTTGTCCGTCATATTCAACTTGCAAGAATCCTCCTTCGCATCTAACTCCAACAGCTTCATTACCTTGAAGGCATTGCACTCACTTTCGACATCTCACAACGGTCACAAGATTTGGTTGGCAAGATATTGAAAACTCCTGGAACCAATGCAACACTCGACATTCATGCTGATAATATAACACGAAACACAGTGACTACGCCAAGGGTGGCTCGGGCGATCCTCCCCCACCTCAATGTCCAAATGACCATTCTTGGACAGTCCCTAGAGCCTGAAGAGGATATCGAAGAAATGGATCCAGTGCCGGAACACGTACTCCCGGAGTTGATAGAGCTGGATTCCCCGATAGGACATGGTAAATACGCGTCTGCGCGGATCGATGGGGTTGAATATACCGTAAGGATTCTAATTCTCTCAAGCTTAAGCAACCGCTAATACTCGAATAGACCGGAGATATAGTCAGTGTAACACCTGGTGAAGATGACGATTCCGAACGAGCAGAAAGCGCAAAGGCTTTCCAACAATACTGTTCAAACCAGTATGCTAAGAGGGCATGGTCAGATCGTGTTCACATTCATTTTGGTTCCAACGCTCACTGTAGGAGCTATTAGGTTCTGTCAGATCGAATTCTTCTATGAGAATATAGGGACGAACGAGATAATGGCTCATTGTGTATGGCTTGAACACGGTATCCTTCTTTGTTGCAGCCATATAACTCAATTAATTTCTCTGGAACAGGTAGCCGAACCATGTTGCAGCAAGTGACCCATCAACAAGAGCTTTTCTTGCTCCATGAATGTGCCGATATCCATGCATCCAGTTTTCTTCGAAAATGTGACCTCAAGCGCCTCCACGCCCGAGATATTGAACCAACGGAAAGCAAGGACAAGTATTCCCAATCTTATTTTACCAGGTGCGAGCCTCGATAATTAAATAATCTTCTTGACAGCAATGATATAGGTTCATGTGGGACGGCGAAGAATACAGCTTCACGGCGATTCCCGACCATGATGAGGTCACACGCTTACGAGCGGCTGATTCATCGTCTCCCTGCATGATATGTGGCCTGCGAGACCTGGAGATTTTACGAGAAACCGTGAAGCCGGTTGAGGATGACTCGACTGGATTCTCGTACTTCGGTGTTAACTACCACGTCGGGGATTTTGTTTACGTCCGGCCCCAGGTTGGAACCGAGAGACAGTTGACCATTGGCCAGATCAAGGGTATCGACTTCGAACCTATGGACCCTGCAGCGACGGGGCAGGTTTCATGTACGATCCGGTATTATGACCGTTATAAAACCAATGAGGAAGGTAGTCTTCGCTACGATGAGGTGTGTTCGTCTCCAAATTTTTGAGTTGACCATGAACTAACTTGAATTCACAACGACCAGCATCGGCTGTGTCGTACCCGTTATAAAAACAACATCTCAGAGAACGACCTGGATGGTCTGGCCTATGTCCGATATATCCGAGAGTCCGATTCTGCTGCAATAAATGCTTGGATCACTGTCGGCGGGAGTCCCGATCGCTTTTATACTTCAATGCGGGAAGTGAAGACCACCGATGGTGACTATCGTCGGGAAAGCATGGACGAGGACGACTTCAATGATTCGCAATGTCAGACTTGCCTCCAGGACCATATCGCGGAGTCAGAGCACTATTTTCTCAGAGAATCGCCGCTCGCGCTCCTGGATCTTTTCGCTGGCGCCGGTGGCTTGTCCACTGGGATGGCACAGACCCGTTTCTTCGAAAAACGCTGGGCGATCGAGCATTCCTTGTGCGCGGTCAAAACTTACAAGTACTATCTCATCTTGCGGTGATTTCGCTGTCTGTTGATGCGAGTTTTAGGGAAAACCATCCGGATTCGACTGTAATTCATCAAGATGTTAACGATGCCCTTCGACATTTTGTTGCCAGTCATGAGGCGGGGCACGCAACTCCTGCTCCTGTTCGCCTTTCTGACGGTACAACCCTGCCTGCCGGACATGCGAGCCTGCCGCGTCGAGGACAAGTCGACATCATTGTTGGCGGGCCGCCCTGCCAGTCATTCAGTGGAGCTAATCGCTTGAAGGTGAGTATTTGTTTAAGGACAGCAGGAACTTTATCATGATTGGCAGAAAGTGGACGATGCACGGTCCACCCTACCATATACAATGCTCGGATTTGTCGAGGTGTTCGAACCGAGCTACGTTGTTATCGAAAATGTTCCTGGCTTCCTGCAGCACAAGACTGTGACCCGCGAAGGCGAGGAGATCAAAATGTCGGCCTTGAAGCTTACTGTGCGCGGGCTATTATGCCTAAACTACCAAGTGCGTCGTTCGCTGTCCTACACAACAAAACTCATGCACAAGTAGGTCAGCTTCAAGGTTCTCCAAGCAGGTGACTATGGAAGCGGTCAAGACAGACACCGCGTCATCATACTTGCCGCCCGGTCCGGCACTCTGATGCCATCATTCCCACCGCCGACGCATGCATTTCTAAAGCCGGCGCAGAAACGGAAGATGATCGTGCGCAAGAGTGACCATCTGTTGCCGCCAACGCGGCCGAGTGGATTTGTCGAGAAAACGACCTACGCCGCGCATCCTCCGGTGACCGTTCGCCAAACGATTGGCGATTTGGTGAGGCATATAGCTTGACTGGGAATGTTTGCCGCTAACTTGTGCATGATTAGCCCGCATTTGATTGGTCCGGGTTCATCACTTGTCTGGGAGCCGTTGCTGAATGTGTTACAGGACCAACCCCCACCAACTGGTCCCAGAGACGTCTCGGGATCGGCAAAATCGGAAAACACGGGAGGAGAAGGGGATCTTGCAGCTGCCCGTTATCAGGGACCCGGTTGGATATGTGGATGGGACATGCATTGAAGCGCCGGTGACACGCACGCAGGCGATGCTCCGTGGGCCCGCAGACTTTGTCGACCACTATCATGTCACCGAAAGCTTCAGCGACCGGGTGGTGGAGCTGACCACCATGGTCCCGTTGAAGGCATGGGCGAACCATCGATGTAACCACAATTTTGTCATGCGCAGACTTATGGCTCATTAACCTGACCAGATATAGAACCAAAGCATATTTTACCCGCCCGAATGCGGCAGAACAATAAAGGTACACTGCATATATCCGCGATGTATTCTCTAATGCCAGTGTAGAGACTTACTTTGGCCGGCTCGACGCGGATTCGGTCTTCAAGACGGCCTTGACCTCGCCGAAGCCATACACGAGCAAGGCCCATTTTCTGCACCCGACGGTGAGCTTGAGGATGGTACTTTTTCTGCGGGGGTTTATATGACTACAGCAAAAACGAACGCTGACTCTCCGCGAATTCGCCCGATCGCAAGGCTTTCCCGACGAATACAGGTTTCTCTCGACGAAGGCGACACCGTCCCGCCGACTGCAAGAGGTATTCTTCCCGGCAGTACGCGCCAGTACACTATTCTGACTTGCTGCAGTATTTCAAGATGGTGGGCAACGCGGTGCCGCTCCCACTAGCGACCGCGCTGGGACGGAGTATCGGCGCTGTATTAATGCAGCAGCACAAAAGCGATCGGAGCCAAGCATATGACGAGGAGCTCTAATTCGGTCGGTGGTGCACTGATTGTTTGGTGTGCTGAAATGGATATAATCGTAGTTGCGAGTACTAGATTGGCAGAACAGAAAGGTCGTTAATCCGGCATTTGCTGTTATATTTTTTTTTTCATAAAGTGTTTAAATCGGGCAAGTAGTGGTTATCTTAGCTTATCTAAGTGGCGTTTGAGCGCTTTCGTTCCAACCACATCCCGAATGGAGAAATACGTGCGCATTGGCGAAACGCTGCAATCGTGTCGGCTCTTTGGACAGCACGAGTTCATCACACACGAGCGCCTGAGCCCAGCGACTGACTGTGTCCGCCTACTGGACGCGCGCGTCGAAGCTGAGTTCGGCGCTGAGATGGCTCGGTTGTGGAATTGTCCTGATGGCGAGGAGTGGACAACGGAGTGCGCGTGGAATTTTGAGCTACTCAACAACAGCCTGGAACGCCTGCGGGATGTGGACACCTTTATTGTTGTTCCAGAGCACAAGACCCTGGTCGCGATACGCGCGAGTTTTTGCAGACACAAGGGAATGGGAGAGGTGAGACGAGTTATTTGACTGTGTGTGTTTCCTTTCCTTATCTGAAACAACAATATCATTCATTTGCAGGCGTTCCCCGTGGGCGTGCACTACCCCTACCGAGTCATCCTCCTCGATGAGAACCTCCAAAATGCCGGGAACCACCTCATATACTATCCGCGCGTCGCCAGCACCACCGAAACCAACACAGACGGCAGTCCAGTCGTCGCGGCGTGAGTGGGTCGCATCAGCGGTGAGCCAAATCTCTGACGCACCCACAGCACCGGGCCGGTCGTGCTTTCATGGGCCACGTGTAATGACGCGCACACGTGGCCCGCGTTCCGTTCGCACGTGCACCCGCTCTTCGCCGCGTTCGGCGCCGCGCTGGTCTTGGCGCGCTGCGGAGGCTTAGCGGCGGTTGCAAGCGTGGCGATGGACGCGGAGTATGCGGATTCTCTCGCGGAGCTCGAGGAGGTCTTCGGCGTGTGGGCAGCCGCAGTCGGCTTTGCCCGGCTCGCGCCACTTCTGCGGGATAAGCCGGTCTTGGGCCTGCAGCTGACGTGATGATTTCGGTATTGACAGAGTTGGCGGAGAGTTTGGGAGATGCCGCATATCATGTTTGTGCCCTTAAGGCCTCCAGTTGCTGCCTCTTCCTGTCAAGCTTGTTCTTCAAACATTATGTCACGCTTTCGTCACATACAGTGACGCTTTTGTTCAATGACTTCCACGAGGGAGCTTGCAAGCCTGGTTTCGCACTGCCAGTCCTCAACGGAGAAACAGACGATATTGGGGTACCATGAGAGCTCTCCGGAAAGGGTGCGCATTACTTAACATCAGGCCGACCATACAGTACTCACCTTGCGCACAGGAAAGTTGATAACAACTCCAACGAATGCTCACCCTGAACCGTATCAGGAACTGAAGATCGTCTGGGCTTACCGCTGGACTCTGGATGAGCTATTCGATGTGGGGCCATCGCCAGCGGATATTGCTGTCATTAAAAAATACGTGGCGCACAATGCCCCACTGCGGGATGCCTCGGAGCGAAAGAACATGCTCGAGCTGCTGAAGCAGCGCGACTACGAGTACCGAATGGCCCCATTCCCGGAGTTGGCGCCCTACCATCCCGACTGCCCGCTACCCAAAGATATTTACCAGGGAGAAGAGCTGATTCGCGGGGACTGGGCTGAGAATGCGTTGCCTCTCATCTCGGTCCGGGCGGCGTTGCATCCGGCATTTGCGATCATCCACGCAGACTTTTTCTCAATTTGGGCGACGCCTCCGATGAAGGCATGTCTCAACGTTAACCGCGAAATGACCAACATAGGATACTCCCTATGGGACCTTCGCTCATCCAGTCCGCCGACTCTGGAGGAATACAGGGCTGCGAATTATTGACGTTGTGTAACTGAGGTTGCAACGTGAAAGCGGCCATCACCGGCCATCATAGTAGTGACACTTTTGTTCAATGACTACCACGATCGAACTCGCGAGCCTGGCGCCGCGCTTGAAGACTCCTCATACAAGGCAACACATATTTGGCCTTCGCGCGGCTGGGAATTCCTCATCTTGTCTCGTAGGCCTCGAAGATCATCTGGTGTCTGGGTCTACCGTTGGACAAGACACTGGATTGTTTGACTCGGGCAACTCGCTGACGCGTGAGTGTACAAATTTGTGATCGTCGTCTTCTTACCAAGGCAATACTTAGTCAACCCTGAGCTGGCGGCTGCATTTAGTGTGGGACTGTGGACACTTTTCCCATCGCGCGCAGATATCGATGTCATCGACGAATGTGTGTGCTACACAACGCTCCGCTAAGCGACGCATCGAAGCGGAAGAGCATCCTTGACATGCTTAAGAAGCCCTTCTACGAGTATAAGATGGTGCCGTGTCCGGGAGCCTCGCAAACAAGACACTGCCCGACGATCTGTATCTAGGGGACAAGTTGGTCCGCGAACGGTGGGACACGGACCCCTTGCCGTTGATCACGGTCCGGGCGGCGCTGCATCCGGCATTCGCCTTCTTCCATGCGGATCAGTTTACATCCTGGGCGGCACAGGCGGTGGAGGACGTGGTATTCGATGACCTGCTCCGCATTGGGGATGCGCACTCGACGCTGCGTGCTTACAGTTGAAGAGCATGCACACTGTAGAGGGGGTGAAAATGGCGGGAAAGGCCAAGAAGGAAGATGTCAGCATAGCCGCATAAGCAGCCGGCTGGACACGTCACCCACATAGCCGTGTGAGTCACCAGAGCCGAGTGAGTCAGCAAGAGTGAGTCATCTGGGTGCTAGGCAACGCGGCGCCGAGTGACTAGGCAACGCGGCGCCGAGTGACTCAGTGGCTTGTCCGCAGCAACGGCTGAGGTATATAAAGGGCCCCCATGTAGTAGGTAGACCAGTGAATCCCCCCCTTCGGGTTCCCTCCCCTTTCGCGCCGCTTTGGGCCAGGGTTAACGGAAGCCGTCAACGACTAAGCGAGTACTGTATACGATCACGATCACGGCCCCGCGGGGTATTGTATTGAAGAACACCTGTCAACGTCGTCGCCGCTGTCGCCGTCGCCGTCAACGTCAACGTCGTCGGTCCGAGAGTGAATAGGTGCCCTTGAGTTGTTACCCCGTTCCCACGCTAGAACTGCTGCGCGGTTCATCGAGTTCTTGCCTATACACCCCTCCCCTTTCGTCGTCGGGTCTGGTACCCTTGAACCCACCTGCTTAGTCATCTCCGTGATCACGTGACCACACCGACTCTGTTTATGAGAAACAACTTGGCATAACCTTGGTTAGACTGTGACTATGCTCAGACGCATCTTGCCAAATATGGAACGTCGCCCTCACCTGATGGAGCGACCCATATCTGGAACATTATTGCTATATATGGCATATTGTTTGATGCTCTTGATGCTGGCTTCAGTGCTATCAGCAACGACAATAACAAAAACAATAAATAACATATCAACAACAACAAATATATTCGATGTGACGGTGACTGTGACTACTACCCTTTTGGGAAGTTGCTTTGGTTTTGGTTTTGGTTTCGTATTGGGTTGGTGTTTAGAGGGAGTTGGTCTTTCCTCTTATGATATGGTGAGCAGGTCTTACATGTCTACACCCACACCCACACCCACACCCACATCCACATCCACACCCACACCCACATCCACATCCACATCCACATCACCCACATCATCACTATCATCATTGACATCATCACCACTTACATCATCATCACTCTCTATCTATCTATGGTTCCCACTCAGCTTTGTCATCTTCCTCTTCTTCTTATGGGTTGCAGCATGCATATACTTTGCATGGAGCCCTGACCTCACTCAGTTTGATTTAGTTGTTTGTGTTGTTTGTGGAGTTTCCACTTTCATCATAGCTTCTATTTCATGCGTTTCATCTGGAGCCCACCGCGAGGGGCTCATCCACAAGAAGAAAGACAATGACAAGCTGGAGTTGGGACCACCACACCTTGTACCATGTGACTCTGCTGGCAGGGTCACCCACAATAACAACATTGCTGTCATCAATGCTGGCCATGATCAGCAACCCTTACCTATGGTCAACTTTCCATTGATGGGCAATCAGATGGAAGATAATATGCAGGGCAACATGCAGGGCAACATGCAGGGCAATATGGCCTCTGTGTTTATGGCTGGAAACTCACAGATACCTCGTCTGAAACAAGGGCAACCCTACTCTGGATCTAATGCAGCAGTTCCAGTACCAGCTTCTTCAGCTGTAGCTCCCTTTCGGATTCCAAGGTCATGGGAGGACCAATGCCCAAAGTTTACCAGTGATTTGATTGATGATCTGGTGGATTTTCTTGACAATATGGTCAGCATTTTCGAACTTGGCAGCATCAAGGATAAGCAGAAGAAGAAGGAGCTTCTGACAAGTTATCTGCCTACCAGGAAAAGGTTATTCTGGAGAGGACTTAGGACATATGGGGCTGCCTATTCATATGCTGCATTTATTGCAGAGATTCATTCCCTCTATCCAGAGTTGAAGGCAAGAGAAGTTGGAACATTGCATGGTCTGGAGGAACTATGTGCAGAGCATCAAGGACTTGAACTTGATAAAGAAGGACCCCTTATCAGGTTTGGAAGACAGTTTATGGTTCTGGTGGAGAAGCTCCAACAGGAACCTTCAATCTTGACAAATAGGGAAGCATGCAAGTATTACTTGGGAACATTTGACCATAGATCAGCAAAAGAATTGCAACAGGCAGTGCTGGATAGGAAGATAGGACAAATTGTTCTGGAAGAGCATGGTCTACAAACTTCAACAAACCAGAGACGTCGTGAAGACACTATTGCATTATCTGAATTGGTGAAGACAGCTGAAAGGCTTGCTGCAATGGGCACCATATCTATGAAGGATAATGATTCAGAGGAGCTCAAGGCAGAAACTAGCCAAGATATTGATGAAGCTCCATCAGAACATGAGGACCAGAAAAGGAACCAAGTGACCAGGCTAGACCAAGTCAGGAATCCAGAAAAGTTCACAGATCAGTCTAGAGTGGAATGGAGTTCAGGAAAACTGGTGGTGCAAGGACCAGGGTCACAAATGCCACAACTAGAACATGTGACAAACCATCCAAGGCTACCTATAGCTAGGTCAAGAGAAGCTTGGAGGACACCACTACCACAGCAGGCAAAGCCAGTTCAGCAGCTGAAAAAGATGTCTGTTTTTGCACAGGATGTAGATACTACAAGACATTTGACTGAACAGCTAGATGATTTACATGCAGACTTGCATGAGCAGTCTAGGCTTCTCCAAGAAGGACTTTATTCTGTGCTAGCAGATATGGACTCTAACAAGACCTCAAGGATGAAAATGGAGCATACACCAAGTCAAATGGAGGACAATATCAATCAGACACTGGGATATCTTGAGGACTCCCACTCTTACCTCAGAGATAAAGTTGATGGTATGAAGGAGGTCATGGATAGAATCCAAGAAGTCCAGAAATATGAAGGCACTGCACTCCAAAGTTTACAAGACCAGGTTAAGCAACAGATGTTGCATTTAGATCAGATGGAATCTAGTCTTGAAGGACTAGTCAACTCAACTAAACAACTGGAGTACTCAACTAGAGATGACATCAGTGATGCATTTGGAAAACTCCAGAATAACTTGAACTCACTACAGGCCCAATCATCAGAGCAGTTCAGCAGAAGCCAGGATACTATTGGCCAGATTGAAGACAAGATAGGACAGCTGGTACCAGATGATGGCGCTATGGTCCAAAGGGCATGGTTGATGAATTTTTACCGTGATCAATGGAATAGGGGCTTCCAGGGCAATGATCAATCAACATCAGGCCAGAAATTTGTTCCTTTATTGACCAAGAAGCAACGGCAAGCTATGGAGCGAGCAGATAAACAGATTCTAGATGCACAAAACTCTGGGAAGAAGATAAAGAAGACCCGGCGGGGAATAAGAAAGAAAAAGTCCAAGGGAGCCATGACACTTGTGGAAATGATTGACTCTACTCTGGAAAATTTGAATTTGGGGTTGAGTTGAAGAGTGGTCAAGAGAAATGAAATGCCACAATCCAAGAAACTGGGCCCTAATCACAGAGATGTGGCACAACATTGTTCTTGGAGGAGAAGCCAGATAAATATTGGAAGAAGAGAGGATTTTCTGATCTGGAAAATATGCAACATTGGCGCTGAGTGAGGACACTCAGGATTTTTCAATGGGGGAGATGAAGAGCATGCACACTGTAGAGGGGGTGAAAATGGCGGGAAAGGCCAAGAAGGAAGATGTCAGCATAGCCGCATAAGCAGCCGGCTGGACACGTCACCCACATAGCCGTGTGAGTCACCAGAGCCGAGTGAGTCAGCAAGAGTGAGTCATCTGGGTGCTAGGCAACGCGGCGCCGAGTGACTAGGCAACGCGGCGCCGAGTGACTCAGTGGCTTGTCCGCAGCAACGGCTGAGGTATATAAAGGGCCCCCATGTAGTAGGTAGACCAGTGAATCCCCCCTTCGGGTTCCCTCCCCTTCGCGCCGCTTTGGGCCAGGGTTAACGGAAGCCGTCAACGACTAAGCGAGTACTGTATACGATCACGATCACGGCCCCGCGGGGTATTGTATTGAAGAACACCTGTCAACGTCGTCGCCGCTGTCGCCGTCGCCGTCAACGTCAACGTCGTCGGTCCGAGAGTGAATAGGTGCCCTTGAGTTGTTACCCCCGTTCCCACGCTAGAACTGCTGCGCGGTTCATCGAGTTCTTGCCTATACACCCTCCCCTTTCGTCGTCGGGTCTGGTACCCTTGAACCCACCTGCTTAGTCATCTCCGTGATCACGTGACCACACCGACTCTGTTTATGAGAAACAACTTGGCATAACCTTGGTTAGACTGTGACTATGCTCAGACGCATCTTGCCAAATATGGAACGTCGCCCTCACCTGATGGAGCGACCCATATCTGGAACATTATTGCTATATATGGCATATTGTTTGATGCTCTTGATGCTGGCTTCAGTGCTATCAGCAACGACAATAACAAAAACAATAAATAACATATCAACAACAACAAATATATTCGATGTGACGGTGACTGTGACTACTACCCTTTTGGGAAGTTGCTTTGGTTTTGGTTTTGGTTTCGTATTGGGTTGGTGTTTAGAGGGAGTTGGTCTTTCCTCTTATGATATGGTGAGCAGGTCTTACATGTCTACACCCACACCCACACCCACACCCACATCCACATCCACACCCACACCCACATCCACATCCACATCCACATCACCCACATCATCACTATCATCATTGACATCATCACCACTTACATCATCATCACTCTCTATCTATCTATGGTTCCCACTCAGCTTTGTCATCTTCCTCTTCTTCTTATGGGTTGCAGCATGCATATACTTTGCATGGAGCCCTGACCTCACTCAGTTTGATTTAGTTGTTTGTGTTGTTTGTGGAGTTTCCACTTTCATCATAGCTTCTATTTCATGCGTTTCACAGTCCACCTCTTTCAGAGTAGAGGACAAGAATTTATTTCAAGCACTAGAGTTGAGCCACAAGGACTGGGCTGATAATGCTGGTGCTCTGCCAGTGCCGCTCATCTCTGTCCATGCGCCGCTGCATCCGGCGTTCGCTATCCTTCACGCAATCAATGTCATTTGCTGGGTGTCAAATACGACCAAAATTCTGTCGTCAAAGATGTAATCCGCATCCTACTCTCAAGGTGTAATATTTGCAAATTACAGACTCGGACATAATTCGCCATTGGATCACGGCTTTTCTGAGACAGAGCTCGGGAAACAAATGATGCTCTTCCCATTATGGCCAACAGAAGCGGGAGTTAACCATGTAGGATGGCATGGTTCATAAATAAAGACGGAGAAACGGTTAAAACGCGAAATGCATTCAACACATATATATAGTATCACAATTTGGTCAGGGCCACACTGGCCGGTTGCTTTACAACTTGAGTGTCCAGCCCTGGGTCGTGCTGCGCGTGTAGCAAGGGTTCAGCTAGAGCAGTAGCTTCAGTACAACGCCCACAGTTCGGGGAGGAGTCAAACTCACGACGAGGGCCGCCCCGTTCTGCGTGCTAGCGAGGTCGAGGCAGCTGTTGGTGTTGCCCCAGCGGAAGTGGGAGTACTTGTCGAAGGTCCAGAGCTGGTTGTCGTTCTCGCTGACGCGCCCGGGCCAGCAGGGCCCGATCTGGACCGCCTGCCCCTCCTCGTCCAGACTGTCTTTGACCTCGAGGCACTGTCGTCGCCGCGTCAACAACCCGCGAATTAGAAAACAGCGGGCTGTAATCGCACCTGGTCGCCGAAGATCCTGATCTGCTGCGCGCCGTTGGGCTTGCCGGACTCGAGGGGGATGGCCCAGTCGTAGCTGGCGGCGTCGCCGCCGGGTAGGCAGTTCTGCAGGGTCACGGGGGCCGCCTCGCGGTTCTCTTTGACGGCGACGCATGCGACTCGTTTCGCGTCGAAGACTACGGCGTCAGTTTAGGGCCCCCGAACCCAGATGATATGTAGGTGAATACGCACTGCTGGGGTCCGCGCTCTGGATCTGGATCGCAGACACGGCGACAGCGAGGGCCAAGAACTTGAGGAGCGTCTGGGTAAGCATTGCGGGGGGACTACACTGGCGGGCTTCACGCACACACTCGAGGCTTTATAGCGCGCCCGTACGCGTCACATGCCACACACAGAGGCTTTGCGCTCTCCGATCCGATTCCTTTCCTAATGCAGCTCCACCCCCACGTTGCGCGTTGCTTATCGTCGACGGCGGTGACGCGTGCAAAGAAAAGGGCCAGCCTGTGGCCAGTGGGCAGCAGCAGGAGCGCTTATTTTCTTCAGCAGAATCCATTGACACAACTGCGGGAGGACTTACACTGTCGCCCGGCGGACGCTGCACTGCTAGGAATCCCGTCCTGGCCAAACTTCGTCATTTATAATCCCCCGTTTCACCTCCCCCCGCGCCTGGCAACCGCAGCTCTGTCCAGGCGCCGTACGTACTGCTACGCACGCGATCTGCATGTTCGTTGGCTCGAGTGCCTGGCGGCCCTGGCCTATACGCAACGGTCTAGCACGGTCGGGCTCTGTCGGGCCCCGATGCAGGTGTTTCCGCGGGGACGTCGGGCAAGCGAGGCGGGTCGCCCAGAGTGGAAGAAAGAGTTAAACCAGGACGTTGTGGCGCATTCGCTACCGTGACCGCCACTGCACGTGGGGAGCAACAACGCGCAGCACGTGGCCGCATCCCGCTACTTCCATAGATGGCAAAATAATCGTTCATCGAGGATCACAGGCGGTCGTGTGAGGCCACAGCGTTATACGAAGCTCGTTATCAGCGCACATCACGCATACTCCAGCGAGATCACCTCTGCGAGCCATGTCGGAGCCGGCCTCGATAGTAATGGATCCGTTTTTTTTCTTCTTTTGATAAGATACGAGGCCTATAAACGACAGTCCCTTTTAAAGCTGGCACCAAAGTATTAGCTATACTACTACCCGTCGCTACTTTTTCGCCTCTTCTTCTTCTCCGGGTCCTGTCTCCGTTTTGCCTCGTCGTCTCCCTCCTCCTCGCGTTTCCGCTTTTTCTTTGTTTTCTTCGTGCTGTCCGCTGCCCCGCCACCCAGAGTGATACCCTCCGCATCGCGTCTCCGCTTCTTTGTCTTCTCTTTTTTCTCTGTCGTCGGCGGGGCCACATCCAAGTTCGTGCTGTCCGCTGCCCCGCCACCCAGAGTGATACCCTCCTCGTCGCGTCTCCGCTTCTTTATTTTCTTCTCCTTTTTCTCTAAATCTGGGGCCCCATCCACATCGCGCCCCCGTTTCCGCTTCTTCTCTTTTTCTTCCCTAGCCAGTCGTTTCTGCGCCTTGGCCTCCCGCTTCGCCCTCCTCCTCGCCGCCTTCTCCTCCGCCTCCACATCCGTATGTTGCGTCCCCTCCTCCTCACCAACCACACTCTCGGTGTCCGGCCCCAGCACCGGCCCCCTGAAAAAGCGCGCATACAGGCCCTTCCGTGCCGCCGCGCGCTTCGCCGTCACCAGCAGGCTGAAGCGCTGCTGGCTTGCGTCGTCTGGGGGATCCGGGGTGGTGGCCCCGGAGTCGCTGGATAGGGAGATGGCGGGCCGCCGGTTGGAGAGGATGCCCGTCGCGGTGCGGTGGAGCGCTGGCCGTGCAGCGGTATTATCCTGTCATACATCTCAGAAAGAAAGAAGAGAGAGAGAGAGTAACGACATACACCCTCCTCGTCATCGCTCTCCGCGAGTGCGATCGTGATCGCCTTCGCCGCCGCCGAGAACAAACTACACAGCCAGCGTTCAACACCCCGAGAGAGAGAGGGAGAAATAAAGACACACTGGTCCCAGAACGGAAACGCCTCGTCGCGGTCCTTGCCCACGCCCGCCAGCGTGCGCTTCTGCGGGATCGCCAGCGGGCGCGCGAGGGCGCCGTGCCTGAGGGCGGACCCCGCGCCCGCCCAGCCCTGCGCGACGAGGTACTGGTGTGTGTCAAGGGGCATTGATGCCATCAGATAATATAATAAAAACAAAAACTACGTAAGTAAGTACTGAATTAAGCTACCAGCGGATCTGTAGACGTGTAGACGGCGCGGGGGGGTTTATGGTGAGTATGCGGCGGGCGGGGGGGCTGTCTGGGGCGATGTCGCGGACGGCGTTGGCGAGGGCGGCCCAGAAGCGGAGCTCGGAGGGGGAGCGGGCCTCGCGGATCTGGAACGGCTCGCGGTTGCGGTACAGCAGCACCCGCGTCTCGCCCAGTTTGGCGAAATACTCCGCCACCGCCACCACGCTCGCCGCGCTCTCCCGCTGGTCGATCCGCAGGCCACACACCCCCCAGCGCGGGGCACGCCGCCAGAATAGTCGTCACTGCATCGCCCATCCGCGCGATTTCCTGGGTCGACAATGTCCTCGCGCCAAAGGTGAAGTCGAGCGAGAGGTGGGTGAGCGCGGGGAGCGCACCGGGGGGCCACGGCCAGGCGCACCACTCCTCCCACACGTTCACGACCGTGAGGTGCGTGACCTGGCTGAAGAAGGGGAGGTCCAGCCTCGGGTCGGGCGCGGTGAGCACCCCGTGCCACGACGACAGGTGTTTCGGGCGGAGGGCGCCCATGAACGCCGCGAGGGGCCCCGGCGGGCGGCGGAGGGGCGCGGCGCCGAGGGCGGGCCGCGTCGGCAGGAACCACGACGTGATGCTCTCGATCAGCCCGCACGCACCCACAACGGCGACCAGGTCCGCTGGCCGGATGTCGTACAGGATGCACAGCGACTTGACGTGCTTGGCGTACTTGTCCGTCGCCGTCACCGTCCGCAGGAAGTTGTCCGTCGTCCTTTGCAATCTTAACCGGACCGTGTTATAGAGTATACGCTCAATCCTGTAGACGGTTTAAAACACTCCCACCCAGGAATAGCACAGAATAACACACCACCGCTGCGCAGTCTTGTTCACCAGACACAGCTGGAGCGCGGCACGGCGGTCCGCGCGCGCCGCCGTCTCGAATATAACCCGGAGCACGTCCTGCACCAGCCGCAGCTGCATCTCTCTGGGGGGGAAGGGAAAGCGAAGGGCAGAGGCAAGCCCGAAAACGAGGGTCTCCTTTTTGCACCCCCCCACATGTCCGCGGACGCCCTCCTGCTGCCTTGTCTCGGCCCCATCCGGCCCCATCAGGGGCGCAATCACGCGACCCACGCCCCCGCCCAGCTGCAGCAACGAGTTCTTGTCTCGCGCCCGTCCGCGGAGGCGCAATTTCCAACGGCGCGTGCGAGACCTCAGACATTGACAACACCACCGCCCACAACAGCGACAACAACAACACGGGCAATGGCATTTGTCCGCTGCTCCACACCACCGTGATTCTGATCTCCGCCAATCCCTGTGATGGCGCAATCTGATTCGCCCGTCGCAGCGGCCCGCGATATCGATTGCCGAGCCTCGCTGCACGTCCGCTCCTCGGAGGTCCTGCTCCTGCTCGTCCCCTCAGCTGCTCCACTATCGATCGCCTATTCGCGGGAAGTATCGTAATCCTGTCCTGCCCTATCCGGGTAAAGGTAACCCTGAGATCGCGCATTCGTCCTCGTCGCCGCCCAGGCCCTGCCCCTTGTAACTTGTCCAGCTACTTACATGAAATTTGTTGCCTTTACTTTACTTACCGCGCACGTGCGCTTACCTAATGTTCCCAATCCGTACACCCCTTGTTTGCGTGCGATATGTTGGCACCTAAGGCCTTCGCGACCTTGTACTGCGAATACGGACAAGCTGGGTGCTTGTACTCCGTCGCGAGGGCGGTCTTCCAGATGGACGGTTCTTCGAACAAAGCGGCAGGCCTTGTACTGGGGGGCGTATAAGACTGGTTGGGTGTAGTGGGCACCCCAGGAGAACCCTCCGATGTCCCGCCTGTTCACCGTGTCGCCCGCCGAACACGCCCGCGCCGCCGCGCACCACGCCGAGGCCCAGCGCCGCCTCGCGCTCCCGCCCGTCTGCAGCCCGCCCCCCGCCTGGGTATCTTCTCCTTCTCCCCCGTGACGTGACGCGTTTGCTTGCCTGGTTAACAGATACGTCCGCGCGCACTTCCACGCGCACCTCCACACCGTCCACGACCGCGCGCCGCCCGCCCTCGCCGCGGACGTGCCCCTCACCCGCGGCGGCGGGCTCGACTTGAGGGAGGTCAAGAGGAGGTGGGGGCTCGACAGCGTGCTCGTGCGTGGCTCCCTTGTTCTTGGCCGAACGCTGACGGTGCCAGCCCGTGGACCCGCTCCGATGGACGCCCGTGTACCCGACGAAAGAGGATTATCTGTCGCCCGTGGCGGTTAGAGTGCTCAGCGAGGGCCAGGGATGCATCATGTTTATCGGTGCGCTCATAACAGCGCTCTACTGCCCGCTGACGTAACGCCAGAACCGAGCGTGTCGCACCAGACACGTATGCAGCGCCACACGCGGCTTGTCGTCATCGAGATATTCTCTCTACTTTACGCCATCCTCGCCCGACTTATCGGCGCGCTCGCGGAGTGCCTCGGGGACACGCCGCTGCCCGCGCTCGCCCGCCGCCTCCGCGCACGTGCCCGCCGCGCGAAAGAAGACCATTACGACGGCGAGTGGAACTGGACGTGGGCCGACACGCAGGACTTTGCGATACTGTTTATGTGGCTCGCGCTCGCGCTCGCGTGGACGCAGGGCTACGTCCAGCTGGCGCCGCGCGAAAGGGCGCGGAAGTGGGTCCGCACGGGGTCGTTTGCGCTTTCGTGATTTGTCTTTTTTTTTTCTTTTTCTCTCAATTGCTGTGAATGTATATGTGTACCACCACCCACTACCTATGCCTACTATGCTGTATGCCCTTATGCCGAATATGCACCCCACTTTTTCTCTGCTTCTTATACTCTTTCTGGACCGGGCCCGGCTCGCACGCGACTGATCCGGACCGTGGGCCGGCACGCGATTTGGCCCCGATCGCATTGGCCAGCCCCATCTCTCTTCCCAACCACCACCACCATGACTCTGATGCGGCAGCAGATGGAGGAGTACGTGTTCGCGCTGCAATCGCGCATCGTCGCGGGGCTCGAGGCGCTCGACCCGGGCTGCCCGCACAAGTTCGTGCACGACGCCTGGACGCGGTCCCAGGGGGGCTCCGGCAAGTCGTGTGTCTTCGCCGTGCCCCCCGACAGTGAAGAGGGCCCCGAGGCTGTGCTGGAGAAGGCGGGGGTGAACGTGAGCGTGATCCACGGGGTGCTCCCGCCCGCGGCGGTCGCGCAGATGTCCGCCAACCACGCCGCGCTGCCTGCCGTCCCCAAGGACAGCCCCGGCCTCCCCTTCTTCGTCGCGGGCATCAGCTTGGTCATCCACCCGCGCAGCCCGCACGCGCCGACGGTGCACGCCAACTACCGCTACTTCGAGGTGACCGACGACGCCGGGGCGGTGCTCGCGTGGTGGTTCGGCGGGGGGTCCGATTTGACGCCGAGCTACCTCTATGAAGAAGATGCGGTGCATTTCCACAAAACGATCAAGGGCGTGTGTGACCGATATAGCAGTGCGCTGTACCCGGCGCTCAAGGCGTGGTGCGACGAGTACTTTTACATCCCGCACCGCGGCGAGGCGCGCGGCGTCGGCGGCATCTTCTTCGACGACCTCAAGCACAGCCCGCACCCCCGCATCCCCGGCGACGACTTATCTAAGCGGCCGGCCACCCCAGAGGCGATATTCGCGCTCGTGACCGCGCTCGGCGACGCCTTCCTCCCGTCGTACCTCCCCATCTTGGCCAGGCGCATGCACACGCCGCACACCCCGCTGCAGCGCCGCTGGCAGCTCGTGCGCCGCGGCCGCTACGTCGAGTTCAACCTCGTCGTCGACCGCGGGACCAAGTTTGGGCTCACGGCCCCCGGCGCGCGGATAGAGAGCATACTCATGACGCTCCCCGAGACGGTCCGGTGGGAGTACATGACGGACATGGGCGGCGAGGGCACGGAGGAGGGGCGCATTATGGCGGTGGTGACGGGAAAGCCAAGGGAGTGGGTGTAGGAGAAAGTGGATATTAGAAAGAAGAATGTAGTCAATGTTCAGTACAACAGATTGTCCAAAAAGAGATCGTCCAAGAAATCGTCCTTATCGTCCCTCTAATGCTTCGTCCCATTATACACAACGCTGTTCATCGCGAGCGCCAGACGGAGCCCGAGGGCGCCCTCGCCCGTCGCATACTCCTCCATCACGAGCAGCACAAACTTCCTGTTCTCCCCGCTCGCGCCCGCGCCGAACCCGCCGGGGCTCTTCGCAAAGTCGGGCATCGTCAGCGTCGCCGGCGGCGGGTTCGGCGGCGCGGGGTTGCCCGGGTAGTTCGCCTCCGCGAAGCGCCCCAGGAACACGCCCTCCGCAAAGTCGGGCGACTGCGAGAAGGACGCGGGCGGCGAGGTGAAGAGGTAGACGGTGTACTAAATTCACGCCATCAGGGTAGGGAAAGGAAGGGGATAGCTGGAGACACACGTTGTAGCTCGACACGCCGTAGTCCGCCATGGTGGTGTACTCGAACGGGAACGCCGCGCCGGGCGCGATCACCGCCCCGTTCGCCGGCTGCACGATTTGGCCCTTCGTCTGCTGCCGGGCATTGGGGGCGGGGGTCGCCACAGCGCAGACGGCGAGGGCGAGGGCAGTGAGGGTGAGTGTGGAGAGACGCATGTATGATGGAGTTCTTTTTTTAGCTGACACAAGCAATAGATGGCCGTCTTATATACGCCCCAAAAGGCTCAAAGGCGCCATTGGCTACCAAACACTCCAAAGGGCCATACAGATGCGGACGCCCCTTACTCAATGCGCATTGGCCGCAGAAGAAAGGAAGAATCAATGGGGCGATTCATTCTCGACACTTCCTCCGTGACGTCGAAGCAAGAGACCCGTGTTCCAGGGCCGCCCCGCATTGGCTGGACGGCCACCAGAGGCCGCGACGCTGAACGGCCCTCGGCAGGTCGCACCGGGTCCGAATCCGGATGCGAAGGACGGAGGGAAAGGGACGCGGTCACGTGTGTATGATCCTATGCGCGTGCCGTCGCCTACATGAGATACTACATGGTTTATACTCAGTAGCGCGAACACAGACATAGATTCTAGAATTCAAAAAGATTCCCTCGACGCAGACGGGCAACAAAGGGATGATGAGATGCGGGACTGATTACGTCCCGCTGGAGGGAGTGTCGCGAAACGAGAGGCTTTCTGGAACACCATCGCCACGACGACCAGCCCACACTGGTTGGACACCGGCATTCGTGCGAGTCGCGACGGAACCGCCCCCTTTACTAATACCTGCAGTTGCACATTCAACTATTCCTCGATACGTTATATCCCAAACCACACAGTTTATCCTCCTAGCGCCTAGCCTTGAAATTAAGACAAAGACCTGTTTCCGATTTCGCTGCGCGGTATCCAGAAGCAACTTGAGGCAACGGGCACCCGGACGTGGCGTTAGAAACTCGGAATCCATATATAGTGGAGCCAGCGGAAGCTGCCGCTGCTGCTGAATCTTGATTGGAAACAGGATGGAGGGCGATGACATCATGAATCGAATATCTCGTCGAGGTCGTTGGGGTGATTCTAGTAAGTAAATGGTTAATGTGGGTCAGGAACTTCGCGGAGTTTGACACTTGCCTCGCAAGCTCTCCTCCACAATAAACATCCTTCGAATGGCACCATCTTGTCGCGCGGCTACAGCATCTTGAGGATGCTATCCGCTCGAGGCGTTGTACGCCATGAATGACAACCAGTTGGCCAACGATACGCAGCGCCAAACGCGAAGCCACGTCCAAACATATCAGTAATTCGCCAACTCGTACTCCTCCAGCGTCGGGCGGGCTCGACGAGCGGACGCACGACTGCGCGAATCCGATGGCGACCACGTCCTTGACCAAACGGCTCTGTATCTCATTCGACACCCAGTACATCACGTTGTCCGCATGGAGGCTCGCGAACGCGGGGTGCAGCGCCGCCCGGACCGCGATGGGCGGCAGAGCGCTGCCGTCGTCGGCCCAGTCCGCGCGGATCAGCTCGGCCCCGCGGTAGATGTCGGTCGGCAGCGTGTGGTTAGGGCAGTGCGGCAGCAGCGTGGGACACGGGACCATCCTGTACTCGTAGTCCGGCTTCTTCAGCAGCTCGAGGATGTTTTTCCGCGCCGAGGCGTCCCGCAGTGAAGAATTGTGCGCCGCGCATTCGTCGATGACGGCGGTGTCTTCTGGTGACGGGAAGAGCGTCCACAGTCTCGCGCTGAATGCAGCCGCCAGCTCGCGGTCCACTGTGTTGGATAAATAAACAAGAGTCTCGGTTAGAGAAAATGCTAACGCACGCGTCATAGAGTTGCCAGAGTCGAACAGCTCCTCCAGCGTCTTGTCCAGCGGCAGGCCCATGCACCAGATAATCTGCAGGGCCTAACTTGAGGTGAGCATTCGTTCGTCGCGCTGCTGTCAACTGGAGACATACCTTCTCTGGAGAGTTTTCATGGTACCCCAGGATAGTTTCCTTCGCCGCCGTCGAGGACGAATGCGCCGTCAGGCTCGCGAGTTCGATCGTGGTGGTCATTGAACAAAAGTGTCACGCCGTGATGCTCCGAAACTCAGTTTTAGTAATCTTATCTTTATCGTGCCAGAGATAACTGGCGCAGACACCTTCCGCCAGTGCGCATGAGTGTTTGAAACAGAATGCGATGTCTGGTTCTCCTTCGTGGAATCTTTTCCTGCGCGAAGTCCAAAGCACTCGATAAGGGTCGGAGAACCAATTGAGACCAATTGATGTCAACCAAAGCAAGTGGAAGAATAGGGAAGAATACCAGTGAGAAACATGGATTGAATCTACTAGTACTACTATGTACTAATTTCTCCAGATGCCACTTGATTCCCACCCTTATATCACAACAAGTCGGCAGAAACCAGAAGCCCACTGACATGGCAGGCCTGCACAATCTAGTGCAACCTGACCCCATAGGGAGTATTAGGGACATGGACCCATCTGCCTTGATGATTGGATTGATCATAGCACTATCTATCTTGTTCCTCCAATATCACTTAGCAGAGACATACTGTACTATTTTGATCAACTGTCTGGGGGGTATAATATGTAACGCAAGGTGTCTGGGTTACTATAAAAGGAAATTCCGGCATCAGCCAAAACGAAAAAATTACCTTTTTAGGGCTGTTTTTGATGGCAATCCAGCTGCAAACACGAGGCCACAGGTGTCTATGCCACAACTGTGTATAACATATAACATAGACACCTAATTAAAATAGTACAGTACTATAAGATTTTATTTAATTCAAACGGCTCCCAGGGCCATAATACATTGATGTCTAGAAACATTTATATAATGTTCTTCATTTGGTAATTTGGCACAAATTCAGCATCTATTAGACAATGCAAGTGGCTCTTCATCACCTCTAAGTTTCAAGCACTTTCAGTTGACCATGTTTAGTCTCAAGAAAGATTTCAAAGTTTAGCCATTTCCTTGCCAATATACTTTCTAGTATGCTCCTCCATTATGTGGACAGCATCAACACTAGCACTTGGGGATTTATTTGTTAGGAAGAAACATCATCTAAAAGAATAAAAATAAAATATAAGGGTCACAACATTGATATTGTTGGTTAAGAAGGCACATTTTTGCTTTTTCCAGTTATAAACTGCTTCTGGCTACCAAGCTGTCATTTCCAGCTAATTGCAAGATAATAGGCCACACTTTTCCAGGCCAGAAGCAGTCGACAACTGGAAAAAAAGCGAAAAAATTGCCATCTCAACCAATAATATCAATGTTGTAACCAGAATGTTTTATTTTCATCCTTTTAGATGGTATCCCGTCCTAACAAATGCACCCCTAAGTGCTAGTGTCAATGTGACCCACCTAATGGAGGAGCATACTGAAAAGCATATTGGCAAGGAAACAGCCAAACTGTGACATCCTCCATAAAAGCAAACATAGTCAACTGAAAGTGCATGGAACTTGGAGGTGATGGAGAGCCACCTGCATTGTTTAATTGATGCTGGATGTTTTATCATTGCACACTAAATGGAATACTAAGTATTGTGTTAGCATGACTTTGAATCCATTTGGTTTCATATACAAACCAGACAGCTTCCCACCATTCCAACTGGCTGTACATGCTTCAGAATCGGCTTGAAGCTGTTCAAGACAGGCGTACCACAGACTTCAACAGCAATATGGGCACTTAGTTCCACTGTCTCAAAACTGGGACTGGTGTTGGATTTAGAAATGAGATTTGGGTGTGGAGATATTTCAATCTTGATCCAGTTCTAGGTTGAGCATTTAGAAATCCAACAGATATCAGACTCCCACAATTGCCTTGCCGTTCCTCCGCAACTGCTTTGTCAGACACTTGGAGTCGCACTTGGGAGTAAGACGAGGAGGACTTTCCACAAAGGCATGCACGATCCCAGCAGTTCTGCATGTCAATGTAGATGAGCGGGACTCAAACCAAGATCGAAGATCAAAACACACCGGTCCATCCTCAGGAAAAGTTTCTGCAGCTCGGGGTTCTTTGCGGAAAGGCGTCCTTTCTGCGCAGCCTCCGGCACGGATATTAGAATTTTTGGAAACGTGGTCCGCGCTGTTGTCGCGATGCTTGGGGTCAGCACAGAGCGACCAAAGTGGACGAGAAAACGGACCATCAGGCTGTTGACCGTCATGAGAAGTCCATGCAGCGTGGCCGCTATACATTGGGCATCGCCAGGGGATGTTGCAAGTGCGACACACAGAGCTCCTGCGCGGGGAAGCCTGCCGCCGTGGTCATCGGCGTCGGGAGACCGTCTGGCCGAAAGCTGTAAACCAGCGCCAGCGTGAGATTAATGAGGTTTAGGCGCCATTAGCTTGTGTCCCAGAATAAACACTGTCCAGAGGGTGTCTCTGTCTAGGCTCCAGCCAAGGATATCATGTTGCTGGTATCATTCGAGTCGGAGCTTTCTGGTCCAGACGAACAAATTGGTTTCGCCCAATCGATATCGATGCACGTGGCGTTACTAACCAGGCTGTAACTCGGAGATGTATAGCACCAACTCAAGTCAGTTTGCTAAAAGAAAAACTGATAAACCAGTTCGTGAATAAATATTCACCCAACGAGAAAAGTAGCCGAAGTTAAGTATCTACAAATGCACAAAACAACTTCAAGTGGCTCAAATATCTAGTCTGAGTCTTCACCAGCATCTTCCCCACTCTCATCGCTGTCCACTTCTGAGTCCACTTCTGAGTCCCCTTCCCCCCTTCCTCCCGATCCCGATCCAGCGTGCGCAGAGACGGGCGTCTCATCCCGTATTTCTTGTTCGTCGCCCGGCATGCTGGGGCTGGGAATCAGGAAGTTGTGATGGATGCCCTCCATGAACTCCCGGAGGATGTCCATCTCCCATTCTTTCTTAGCTTCGGTTGAATTCAGCCGCGCGCGGTCGAAATCAGCGATGCAGGCCTCGCCCGCGGCGTTGATCATGAGGTTCGCGGCGCGGATGTCGTGATGTCGGACTCCCGCACGATGCACGTTTTGGAGGATCTCAGTAAATCGATCGCTGAAGCACCAGGATCAGACGGAAACTCGGCGGAAAAGAAAATGGTTTTGCATACCGCTGTGCTGGCGTAACCGGCGTCTGCGACGTGTCTTTGTCTGGACGCAGCTCCCATAGATCTTGTCCACAGTGGTTCATCACAAGCGCAAGCGCGCCCCCCTCGAGGTCCTCAAATAGGCCATATACCTGCGGGACACCTGTGACCCCGTGTTCTGCGAGTTGCTGGTAGACGTCGTATTCATGCCGCATGCGCCGCTGTGGGTGCTTTTCAAATGCCATCTTGACGATAAGATCTTCTTGGATGCGTGTCTCTCCGTCTTTTGTTGTCAACCGCCCTTTTGCTCCATAGACCGTGCCGGTTCCGCCTCTGCCGAGCTGCCCTGTGAGGATGACTTCGAAACATTCATGAAGCCGATAAGACCGCTTGATTTGCGGAGAGTATCCTGGTTTTCGGTGGGTTTTGTGCACGAGGCACGGTGTTGTTCGAAGAAACGAAGCTGGGGAAGGGGAATGATAGTTGTCATACTGCAAGTGCAGCAGCATCATGTCGCATTGACTCGCAAGCTCCATCATCGGGCACTATCATGGAAATTAGCCATATAGCGAGTACACCAATGATTAATCACCTCCACGGATTTCTCCGGATCGCGCTTCGAGCGCTTGTTTGGCAGCGACGATGCGGCGACATTGTCGTTATGAGGGCGTTTGCGACTGCTTCGCCGCGGTTCCGTGGGCGCGCTGGCAGCCTTAGCACGAGCAATGGCGTCAAAAACCTGTGCGAGGTATAAGCCCACATGGAGCTTGGCATAACCAGGCTCTGCGCACTTGGTGGTGTCGTAGAGTTCCGAGATATACAGTGTCTGGGTCCCTCTATGGCGGACAGCAAGCCGCTCATGATTACCGCAGTTGAAAACTATCATCGTGGCATCATTCTCCACTGCTTTAGCCCATGCCTAAAATTCGATGAGCCTTAGCCCTTCGAAGCAAGTTGCATACTCACCAGTTGGACAAGTGATTCGCTGGTCAGAGGCACTGGGGCATAAGCAGTCGTTTCTGGTCGTCGTCGGGCGGACGGGATCACCACCTTTTCCGCTCTCCCCTTAGTCGCTTTCGACGCGGCAATTGTGGTAGCGCGAAGCGTCCTTGTATGGCCCTAGGAGATTCAGCATGAAATATATGAAAACAAGATGCACTCACAGAGTCCGAATTGTTCCTGCCAGGAAAAGACGGAAGTGTCCATGGTGTGGACGTCGCATCAGGGGGGACCGTGACCGATTTTAATGACGAAGTTGAGTTGGGATAAGCAGTTCGACAAAGTTCGTAGTCGAAGCTGCCCCGCGCGGCTAGTTGATCCATGCCAAGTAACAGTTTCTTCGACTTGCGAGTGAGCGAAAGAAAGACCCATGTCCCAATCTTTGGCGCGTACGCCAAAACCCGCTCCAAATCTGTGCGCAAACCGGGGTCCATGAGCTCCAAATGCGCACGGCGATAGAGCTCCAGCCCGCTGTCCGGATTACCCAGGAAAAACAAATGACCGCCATCGTCGATGCCAGCGGACGCCTTGTGGAGCTCGACCCGCCGGCCCCATTGCACGCTGAGGCCCCAATCACGCGTTTTCGGGATCAAGACCTTGGTTACGATCCTGCCACATATTTCAGCAGAGCTCCGTTCATAACCATCCGCTATTCCCTCTGGTTCAAGGTCTATGGCTGTTGCCTTCATATGATACCCCAACGCGCGGCTCGGGTACAAACCGCACGGGCCGAGCATGGCATCTAGGTTTTCCTGAGCTAGCTTCGACAGGTCATTGACTAGCGAGTCCATGGGCACCACCGAGCGCAATAGTAACTTGCTATCCAGATGTTTGGTGTATCTCCAGTGGCGAGGTTGGACGGGAAGTGGTGGTGCGGTCTTCCACCGCCGGAGACGCGCTGGATTCCATTCGAGCACGCCCTCCACGTCCTTGCGCAGCTCAGCTGTGGGGATGTCTTCGAGTCCGTCGTCCTCGATTGAACTTGAACTTGAACTTGACCACGAAGAAAGCATGCTTGATAGTATATTCTGCATCTAGATAGCCGTTGCGCCGCAACGTGAAAATCTGTCTGAACAGGTTGGTTTTGAGCAGAGATGAATGAGCGTGACGCACCTTTGTGTGTCCACTGTACTTATTGTGCCCGAAAAGGTCGGATTCTGGGATCCGGACAAATTTGACCATAATCCGGACAAAAAGCCTTGTCAATGATGCAGAGTCCGGACAAAAACATACGCGCAATGGAACTCGTCGTTCGTGCTCGAAGTTGAAGCCGAACAAGTGTCAAGACCAAGTACAAACCTGAGCATTGTGTGTTGTTTCCCGAGTCAGACTGTGAAAAATCAGCCTATGAGGGGGTGGATGCCTGATGTAACAGCCTGAGTGTGTGCCTACTCATCAAAAACGTCTAAGTCGATGTAGAGACAACGACGCCGCCTGTGCCCGGGCAAAACATGTCTATAATCATCCATACCGCATCTTTATAGCTGCAGCGCTGCAGCTTGGAAATCTGGCTTGTCCACGCGAACAGGTTGCAATTGGTTTCGCACAGAAATGGACGAGCGTGGTGTTCGCTTATCCGTGACGTCACTAGCCACGGTCACGATGAGACGGTCGGTTGGTCGGTCGGTTGCCCGGCAGGCGCGGCAAGCCAGAAAAGATCAAAGGACCATCAGGCAACGTCAGAGAGTCACCAATAATCAGTATCAGACCCGGGATTTCCCCGATGGGTTGATTCGAGTAAAAATTGCCATGTTTGGATGTGATTTGAGGTTATAACACTCGGCACGTCATTTAAATTGTTGTGGTGACAACCAGACTATTTTAGAAGATCCTGAGTCCAATTTTCTTTTGCCGCTGTCTGTGACACTGTGGTTACGCTGACATGGAAATTATGACCACTTGATGACCCTTTGATCTTTTCTGGCTTGCCGCGCCTGCCGGGCAACCGACCGACCAACCGACCGTCTCATCGTGACCGTGGCTACTGTTTGTATGCACAGGAATAAGCAAGCAGACTTGGATTTGCTTTTCTGTCTAAATTGTCCCGGGAATGCAATGGTTATCACTGCAGCTAGTGGACAGTGAAGAGCCGCGCCAAGAGCGCCGAAAGCGCCAGCGGCGCCAGGTTTGCGCTGGCACCAAACTGCGGAGGGCCGCCGGAGGGCCCGGGGTGGGGCGGCGCAGGCCCCGGAACGGCCATCGCCGCCCGTCCCGTTTTGGACACCCGGAACCGAGCAAGATCGTGTTCAAGCACGCGTTGTTACGCTCCAAACTTGATTGAATGGTTAGTAGTTGGTACATGAATCATCCTATATTATCTCTCCTCTTTTTCCTTCTTTTTCCTTAGTTTTGTTGCCCCGTCTCCACAGACACACGACATGGGCCTGATTCTCAGAGTCAGGGAACACCACACCACTACCACGTGGGCGACTGTTCAGAGGGGAAAGTGTATTCTTCTTCTCCTTCTTCATTTTAGGTCTCAGCAGCTAAAAAAAAAGGTGATTCTGATTGACTGTCTATGTATCTACTTCATTTTAGGTCTCGGCAGCTAAAAAAAAAGGGTGATTCTGATTGACTGATAAGTAGTCTCTTGAACATTCCGAAGAATAATGTTCATCTTAACGGTCTCCCGAGCCTAGCAGAGATCAGTCTGCGACTAGCCAAAAAGAAGAGGAATACGGCATAGACCGCCAACGCCTTGTCTAGCTTTGCGTTGATGCTCGCAAATCGCGCGCCGTCTGGGGCAGCGTAAAACCACGAGGTATATTTGCGGCGTTGGGAGAGATCATCAAGAAGCAATACAGCTTCTTCGACAGCACTGCAAGGTGTATATCAGTATTCTATTTGAAAGATTCTGAGCTCTGAAATTATACCCGTGAAGGACTTGAAGCGCGTCGGCTGGCGGCTCTCCAGAAACAGCTTGTTCCAGTAGACTTTTTGAAACATTTTCTGCATGCTGGGCGAGCGCGACGGCGGCGTCCTTATTCGCCTTGGCAATCTAGATATTATTGAGCATGGGATATGTATCAAATATGGATGCACGCTAACTTGTGCTTTGTCGAGGATGAGTGCGACGAGATTCGGGATTGGCTTGAAGGCGTTCAAGACTGGCACATCGCAGACTGCAACAGCGATCTGGGTACTGAGTTTTGCTGCCTCAAATATGGTACCGGTGTTGGATTTCGCAGTGGGATTTGATGTTGCAATCTTCATCTAGCTTTGAGTTGAGCGCGAAATGATCCAAAAAATATCGGGCACCCACGATTGCTTTGCAGTTCTTCTGCAACTGCTTCGTCAGACGCTTAGAGTCCCAGATACGCTTAGGAGTAAAGTGTGGAGGGATTTCCACGAAAGCGTGCATAAGCCCAACAGTCCTGCATGGAGTTAAGCCGAACTCAAACCAATATCGAAAATGAAGACACACCGGTCCATGCTCAGGAAAAGTTTCTGCAGCTCTGAATTCCTTGCGGGAAGGCGTCCTTTCTGCGCAGCCTCCAGGACGGGTATTAGAATTTTGGAAATGCGGTTCGCGAAGGAAACGCCGTTGTCGCGATGTGCCTGAACTGGGTCAACGGAGAGCAACCAGGATGCACGAGAAAACGGATCTTCAAGCCGTTAACCGTTGTGAAGAATCCATGCAACATGGCCGCTGTACATTGGGCATCGCCTGAGGATGCCGCGAGCGCGACACAAAGCTCTTGCGCGGGAAAGGTCGCCGTGGTCATTGTGGTGGAGAAGGATATAACCGGAGAGACTGTCTGACCGGAAGCTGTGAGCCAGCACTAGCGCAACGAGGCTTGGGCGTCATTAAATTTTGTCCTAGAATAACCTCGTCAACGGTGCCGGTGTCTGACGAGCGTCTGTGTCTAAGCGCCAGCCAAGGCCCATGTCGCTCAGCTTGCGGCCCAAATGGATTTGCTAGTATCATTCGGGTCGGAGGAAGTTTCTGGTCCTGGCCAAGTCCTGGCGGCCAAGTAACAAGTTGGTCGCAATGAATGAACGTGACGTTACGGGCTGTGACATAACTCGCCGACGGCGTCGTATCCACATCGAGTTCCATTGCGCCGCCTGCGTCTAGGTGTATTAGCACAAACCAGTTTGCTAAAACAAACTGACAAAACAGTTCGTGAATAAATATCCCCCCAACAAGAAAGTATCCAAAGGAATCTACAACTACACGAAACGATTCGCTCAAATATCTAGTCTTCACCAGCATCTTCCCCACTCTCATCGCTGTCCACTTCTGAGTCCCCTTCCCCTCCTCCACTGCCCGATCCATATCCAGCGTGCGCAGAGACGGGCGTCTCATCCCGGTATTCTTGTCCGTCGCCCAGCATGATGGGGCTGGGAATCAGGAAGTTGTGATGGATGCCCTCCATGAGCTCCTGGAGGATGTCCATCTCCCATTCCTTCTTGGCTTCAGTTGAATTCAGCCGCGCGCGATCGAAGTCGGCGATGCAGGCCTCGCCCGCGGCGTTGATCATGAGGTTTGCGGCGCGAATATCGTGATGACGGACTCCAGCGCGATGGACGTTTTGGAGGATCTCGGTAAATCGATCGCTGAAACACTAGGATCAGACGGAAACTCAGAAAAGAAAATGGTTTTGCATACCGTTGTGCCTGCGTAACCGATATCTGCGACGTGTCTTTGTCCGGACACAATTGCCATAGGTTCTGGCCACAATTGTTCATCACAAGGGCAAGCGCGCCCCCCCTCGAGGTCCTCAAATAGGCCATATACCTGCGGGACACCTGTGACCCCGTGTTCTGCGAGTTGCTGGTAGACGTCGTATTCATGGCGCATTCGTCGCTGTGGGTGCTTTTCGAATGTCATCTTGACGATAAGATCTTCCTGGATGTGTGTCTTGCCGTCTTTCGTTGTTAACCGCCCTTTTGCTCCATAGACTGTTCCGGTTCCGCCTCTGCCGAGCTGGCCTGTGAGGATGACTTCGAAACATTCATGAAGTCGATAAGACCGTTTGATTCGCGGAGAATATCCCGGTTTTCGATTAGTTTTGTGCACGAGGCACGGTGTCGTTCGAAGAAACGAAGCTGGGGCAGGGGAGTAATATTTGTCATACTGCAAGTGCAGCAGCATCATGTCGCATTGACTCGCAAGCTCCATCATCGGGCCCTATCATGGAAATTAGCCATATAGCGAGTACACCAATGATTAATCACCTCCACGGATTTCTCCGGATCACGCTTCAAGCGCTTGTTTGGCAGCGATAATGAGGCGACATTGTCGTTATGAGGGCGTTTGCGACTACTTCGCCGCAGTTCCGCGGGCGCGCTGGCCGCCTTAGCGCGAGCGATGGCGTCGAAAACCTGTGCGAGGTATAAGCCCACATGGAGCTTGGCATAACCAGGATCTTCGCATTTGGTGATGTCGTAGAGTTCCGAGATGTAAAGTGTCTGGGTCCCTCTGTGGCGGACAGCAAGCCGCTCATGATTACCGCAGTTGAAAACTATCATTGTGGCATCATTGGCCACTGCTTTGGCCCATGCCTAAAATTCGATCAGCTTTTGTCTTTTGAAGCAAGTTGGACACTCACCATTTGGACGAGTGATTCGGTGGTCAGAGGCACTGGGGCATAAGCAGTCGTTTCTGGTCTCCGTCGGGCGGACGGGATCACCACCTTTGCCGCTCTCCTCTTAGTCGCTTTCGACGCGGCAATTGTGGTAGCGCGAAGCGTCCTTGCATGGCCCTAGGAAATTGAGCATGAAATATATGAAAAAAAAAGATACACTCACAGAGTTCGGATTGTTCCTGCTAGGAAAAGACGGAAGTGTCCATGGTGTGGACATCGCATCGGGAGGGACCGTGACCGATTTCGATGACGAAGTTGAGTTGGGATAAACAGTCCGACAAAGCTCATAGTCGAAGCTGTCCCGCGCGGCGAGTTGATCCATGCCAAGTAACAGTTTCTTCGACTTTCGGGTGAGTGAAAGAAAGACCCAAGTCCCAATCTTTGGAGTGCATGACAAAACTCGCTCCAAATCTTTGAGCAAATTGGGATCCATGAGCTGCAAATGCTCATCGTGGAAGAGCTTCAGCTTGCCGTCCTCATCGCGCAGGAAAAACAAATGACCGTCGTCGTCGATGCCGGCGGAAGTCTTGTGGAGCTCAACCCGCCGGCCCCATTGCACGCTGCGCCCCCAATCACCCGTTTGCGGAATCAAGACCTTGGTTGCGATCCTGCCACAAATTTGGGCGGAGCTCCGTGCATAGCCATTCGCTATTCCCTCTGGTCCGAGGTCTATGCCAGCGGCTGTTCTCTTCATATGATACCCCAACGCGCGGCTTGGGTACAAACCGCACGAGCCGAGCGTGGCGTCTAGGTTTTCCTGCGCTAGCTTCGCCAGGTCGCTGACAAGCGAGTCCATGGGTACCACCGAGCGCAGCAGCAGTTTACTGTCCAAATGTTTGGTGTATCTCCAATGGAGGGGTTGGATGGGAAGTGGTGGCGCGGTCTTCCGCGGCTGGAGACGCACTGGATTCCATTTCAGCACGCCCTCCACGTTCCTACGAAGTTCAGCTGTGGGGATGTCCTGTAGTGTGTCGTCCGTGCTTGAAGATGAAGCCGAACAAGTGTCAAGATCAACTGTAAACCTGAGCATTGTGTGTGGTTTCCCGCGTCAGACTGTAAAAAATTAGTCTATGAGAGCAATATGAGAGGGTGAGAGAGAGGGTGAGAGGGTGGTTGGTAACAGTGTTGTTGTTGTTGTTGTATTGGAGTGTGTGTGTGCCTACTCATCAGTCGATGTAGAGACAACGACGCCACCTGTGCCCAGGAAAATCATGTCTATAGTCATCCATACCGCATCTTTATAGCTGCTGAACTGCAGAAATCTGGCTTGTCCACACGAACAGGTTGCAATTGGTTTCGCACAGAGATGGATCAGCGTGACGTCACTGTTTGGATGTCCACCACAGACGTCGCCGACGGCGCGATGGAGGTCGACGCCGCGCCGCCAGGGCCGCATTACGCGGCTGCGCTGAGCCTGAGCGGGCACACGATGGCGCTGTCATCACTGAAATTCAGCCCCGACGGGTCCATGCTCGCCTCGTCAGGTGCGCCCCCCAAAACCCACCCCCTGCAGCAGACGAGTAATGGGGGCCCAAGGCAGGCGCGGACAAGCTGATCAAGCTGTGGGACGCGGAGAGCGGGGCGGTGATGCGCACCCTCACCGGGCACACGGAGGGCATCTCGGACATCGCGTGGTCCGGCGACAGCGAGTACCTCGCGTCCGCGTCGGACGACAAGACGATCAGGATCTGGGACGTGCAGGTGGTGCGTTGTTGTGTGTTGTTTATTCTGGTGGCTGATAGCGGACAGGGCACGGAGCTCAAGACGCTGCTCGGCCACACCAACTTTGTGTTCTGCCTCAACTACAGCCCGCACTCGAACCTGCTCGTGTCCGGCGGCTTTGACGAGACCGTGCGCGTCTGGGATGTCGCGAAAGGTGTGTATTGGTGTACAATTTTATTATGTCCTGGCTAATATGGTCCAGCGCGTTCGCTTAAGGTGCTCCCCGCCCATTCCGACCCCGTAACCTCTGTCAGCTTCAACCACGATGGGACCCTGATCGTTTCGTGCGCCATGGACGGTCTAATGCGCGTTTAACTCTTCTTTACGTTGTTCTCCAACTTATCAGCCGCAGACGAATCTGGGACGCCGACTCCGGCCAATGTCTGAAAACACTCGTCGACGACGACAACCCGATATGGTCGGTCCACCCCCATCGCAAATCTCCGAATTTAATTCATTTTTTTTTAGCTCGCACGTGCGCTTTACGCCCAACTCCAAGTTCCTCCTCGCGTCCACGCAGGACTCGACGATCCGCCTGTGGAACTACCAGACATCGCGCTGCGTCAAAACCTACACCGGCCACACAAACCGCACGTATTGCATCCCCGCGTGCTTCACCAATACCGCGGGCAGCAAATACGTGGTCAGCGGGAGCGAAGATGCAAAGCTGTATATCTGGGACCTGCAGACGCGCCAGGTTGTCCAGTGCTTGGAGGGGCATAAAGGTGATGAACCATTTGTCTGTTTCGGGCTGGATGTTTACTATTGGTATAGATGTTGTGCTTGCCATTGCTGTAAGTAACTTTCCCCATCGCAAGCACAAAACTAACCACTGTCAGACACATCCTACAAAAGCCATCATTGCTTCAGCGTCGATGGAAAAAGACCCCACGATCCGGATATGGCGCGACGAGTCAGACCCGAGCATGCAGTAAATAATATGTACACAATATAATGCTAGAGTGGTGTTTCCCCTGCCCTCGGAAGCCCCAGTTCAGGGAAGAACATGTCCAGCATCTCAAACGCGCCCGGCCCGAGACGCGCCATCGCGATCTGCGGCGCGTCCCGCCAAAACGCAGTCCATGTCTCCTCGTCGGGGACGACCCTTTCCACCAGCTCGCCCGGAAGCACCACGTGACGCGCCGCGAGCGTGTCCACGAGGAAGAGCACATCCGCGAGGTCCCCCCCCGCGCTTGCCCTCGCCCTGCGCGCCGCGCTCCGCGAACGTGCGGATCTTGCTCACCAGCAGCAGCCGCGCGTCGGCACACGTGATCCGCCGCACGTCATGTGCGTACCCCTTGTGCAGGGCCCATGGCTCGATACTGGTGTTGTTGGTAGCCAAAAGAAGAAAAAATAAATTCCCAAAAAGGAAAGAGAAAAAAAGAGAAAAAGAGAGCTTACCTAGGGATTGCATATGTCCTACCATACATCTCAGATCTGCTATACAATAATGAAAATTTGCTGTTCCAAATGTCTATAATTTTTTTCTGGCGCCTGCGGCGCTTGAACCCGCCACCTGAGATACTGTCGGCTAAATTTCCTTTTTAGTATTTTCTCTCCGGGTGTGAGCATTCACCGGCCCCGGTTCTCGTGACTGATCCAGATACTGGATCCAAAAAAGGTTTATTTTTGTTACTGATTGTCAGTGTCACATCACGGCAAGCCTGCCGTGATGTGTTCCCAGTGATTGTCAACTTACACAAACAAATGGACAACTCACCTATATTGTCTATACATATATGTTAACCAGTAGAAGTAGCAATACACACCTAAAATTGGAGTGTCTTCACCCTTTCCATATTTCCAGCTATAATTAACACCAGTATAGGATCAAAGAAATAAATTCACCTTTTCCCAAGTTTTATTTCCTTGTGGATCAGTCCATAAACTTTTCTACCTTGTATATGCACAAATAATAGCAGTAATATCCAATGAATTATTCCTGCATAAATCTGCATTTTTATCTGGAGAACCCAGCTCATGAACTGTAATTTTCGATGAAACTCTTAAATTACTTGATAATTATAGCATGAAAAAATGCCAAACTTGGAGCATTTTAAGGTATCATGCATATCTTACCACCTATAAATTTTCAGCTGAATCCATTATCTTTTCAGTGCACAGTAGCACAATGGAGATTTTGTATCACATGGATGACCCAAATAGGTAATATGATGACTAATTTCCAGTATCCACAGTATCTACCAGCAACACCAGTATCTAGCCGGGCCCATAAGACGTTGGCCTGTCGGATCGCGACGTCGATGCGCACCCCGGGCCGGGCCGGAACGCTCGCACGGAGCCGCAGCGGCCGCTTGGCGTCGGCCGTGAGCGTGATGTCGGCGTGCTGGAGCCGGGTGTGGAGGGCGGACAGCTTGTAGCGCGGCGGGAGCGCGAGGTTGAAGTCGAGGTCCTGGGCGATGGATAAGATATTATTTGGAAGAGATGAATGACTTGGAAGCACCGTGGTTTCGCGGCGGCTGCCGAGGAGGGCGACGGCCGCGCCGCCGACGAGCAGCGACTGGATACGCTCGTGGCGTAATGCGTCCTGGAAGCGCAGCGCAGCGCTGTAGAGGTGCGGTTGCAGCATCGGGCTCGGAGTCATCTCAGGAGTAAATCTAGAGTAGATTGGGGCAATTGATGATTGATTGAGTGATTTTGTCATAAAGTGGGACGTCTGCGGGTGTGATTACCGCCTACTGATAACGAAGTATCTAATCTTCTAGGTGCTGAGCCCCAAACAACAAAACAAAAACTACTCGTACTCTGAAATCTAATGAGTCATGATCAAGCCTACAGATGCCCGCCCTTATGCCTCTCACAGAAGGCGAGCAGCGCATGATATTAATTATGTCTGTGGTGCCCTACATCACGCACGCGTAGTACATGTGGTGGTCCATTCCGAGACAGGCCCGAGTTCATGGCTCGCGGCAGTAGGCGGCAGTGTGTACACGTACTATGCATCAAGTCACGCGTCACGGCAGTACTTGAGTTGAAAACAACCATGACCCTGTTGTTCGATGAGTACCACGATCGAACTCGCGAACCTGACGCCACGCTCGTCGTCCTCGACGACGGCAAAGGAAACTCTCCTGGGGTATCATGAAAACTACCCGGTGAGGGTACGTCTCCAGTTGACAGCAGCGCGCCGAATGCTCACTCTGCACCGTATCAGGCCCTGAAGATTATTTGGTGCCTGGGCCTGCCGCTGGACAAGACGGTCGATGAAATGTTGAATAACTCTTTAACACGTGAGTTAGCCCTTTTCAAACGAAACATCTATCTGCTCACACATGCAAACCCACAGTGGACCGCGAACTAGCAGCTGCGTACAGGGTGGGGCTGTGGACGCTCTGGCCATCACCAGCGGATATTGCTGTCATCAAAGAATGCGTGGCGGACAATGTTGAGCTGCGGGACGCCTCACAGCGGAAGAACATCCTCGAGCTGCTGAAGAAGCCGGACTACGAGTACCGAATGGTCCCATTGCCGGAGGCGGCGCCATACCATCCCAACGAGCCGTTACCCAAAGATCTTTACCAGGGAGAAGAGCTGATCCGCGGGGACTGGGCTGAGAATGCTTCTCCTCAGGACCCCCGAAAGTCTGGGCTGATGTTTGATGGGTGGTCCGGACATTTTTTGGGCGGATTTGGGCAGAAACCTTGTATGTTGTCCGGACATTGGAGGGCCAGGTCTGCGAACACTTTGAGCAGGGGTCCGGACATGCATTTGGCCCCCCCCTGCTCAAGGGTGGGCACCAAATCATTGCATCATTGTGCTGGAGACGAAACCAGCAGCAATTACTGGGTAGCACTTTTGCATGGAATCTGCGCTCAATTAGGCGGTGTTGTGCCTGATTCGGAGATTTCGCCCATAAATGTCGCAGCAGCCGGGTTCGGTCCGGCTCGGCGGCGGTCCGGCTCGGCGGCGCCCCGGCCCGGAAGGACTTTGCATGGAGTCCGGACATTTTTTGACCCTCTCGAGCCAATTTGTTCGGACATTTTTTACCCAAATTTGGGTGTTTTAAAATCAAAGTTCACAACAGACTTTCGGGGGTCCTTTCTCCTCTCATCTCGGTCCGGGCGGCGTTGCATCCGGCATTTGCGATCATCCACGCTGACTTAAACTCGGTTTGGGCGACGCCTGCGATGAAGCCATGTCTCAACGTTAACCGCGAAATGACCAACATATTATTAACTCTATGGGACCTTCGCGCATCCAATCTGGAAGAATACAAAGCTGCCAATTACAGCAGAGATGATGATTAGAAAACGGCCAGAGGCAGGGGGACAAATCTAGAGCAGATTAGGGCTATTGGTTTCGTCGAAAAGTGGGACCGTCCACTGATACTAAACCCGTAATCTACTTCTAATCAAGTGAGAGCTGCCCCAAACGCGTCAAATAAATGCCCGCCTCTCATGTCTGCTCCCTCGACGCGCCGGTCGCGCGTCTTCTTTACACGACGCGGTGCCCTCAGGCTGCATCACGCACGCGTAGTACATGCGGTGGTCTTTCCGGAGACAGTGCCTTCATGGCTCGCGGCCCAGCCAATGTTGGGAAAGAAGCTGCAACTAGCTGTCTGGTTGTTGTTGTTGTTACACGTGTATGTGAACCCGATGGAATCGAAGTCATATACTTATGTGTGGTGTGTGGGTGCACGCCCATATGCGTCCAGTGATGACGCGTCCAGTCACGCGTCACGGCGGTACTTAGGTTGGAAGCGGGCGGCCATGTTCATGACCCTGTTGTTCAATGAGTACCACGATCCAACTCGCGAGCCTGACGCCCCACTCGTCGTCCGCAACGACACAGGAAAGTATCCTGGGGGACGATGAAACTTCTCCCGACAAGGTCTGTTCTTCAGGTGCTAACGACTCCGGGTCCAACGAATGCTCACCTTGCGCGTCAGGAACTGCAGACCGTCTGGTGTCTGGGCTTGCCGCTGGACAAGACTCTGGACGAGCTATTCGATGTGGGCAACTCTATGACACGTGAGCTGGCCTTTTCCAAACCAAGCATCTATTTGCTCACACACACAAAAAGCGGCAGTGGACCACGAACTAGCAGCTGCGTACAGCGCGGGGCTGTGGACGCTCTGCCCATCGCCAGCGGATGTTGCTGTCATTAACGAATGCGTGGCGTACAATGCCCCACTGCGGGACGCCTCGCAGCGGAAGAACATCCTCGACCTGCTGAAACAGCGCGACTACGAGTACCGAATGGTCCCACTCCCGGAGTTGGCGCCCTTCCGTCCCAACTGCCCGTTGCCCAAAGACATCTACCAGGGAGAAGAGCTGATCCGCAAGGACTGGGCTGTGGATGCTTTGCCTCTGATCTCAGTCCGGGCGGCGGTGCATCCGGCATTTGCGATCATCCACGCAGACTGCTGGTTACACTGGGCGGCGCCTCCAATTCAGACATGTCTCGACGACGAAGTGACCGACTTAATATACTCACAATGGAACGTTCGCACCTCCAGTCCGCCTACTCTGGAAGAATACGAGGCTGCAAATGACGACGATGATTAGACAACACAAATCTAGAGTGTGATTACCGTCCACCGATAACCCGTAATCTACTTCTGTTAATCCAGTGGGAGCTGGGCCCGCAACCACGCGCCAAACGCGTCAAATAAATGCCCGCCCTTATGCTTCTCACAGAAGGCAAGCAGCGCGCGATATGTCTGCTCCCTCGACGCACCGGTCGCCTGCAGAAGTTTTACCAGATCGACGGGACACAAAAACGGTGGCTGGCGTGCGTCTTCCTTCAGCGACGCGGTGCCCTGCATCACACACGCGTAATAGACACAGTGGTCTATCCCGAGACAGTGTCCGAGTTCGTGGCTTGCGGTCCGGCAGGCCCGGCCCAGCCAAAGCGCCGCAAGGGCCTCCTTCGTTGGGTGCTCCAGAGACGGCAGGGTGCTGTGGGCGGCGACGGCCGCGTGTAATGGTCCACTTGCAGAGGAATTGACATTCTTCTTTTTCTTCTTTTTTAGTGGTTGGTCCTCCGCGCAACAGCGCTCAATGTAGCTGGCGCAATGTGACGCCGGCCAGGCATGCGTCCGGGGCACATTCTGTCGTTTATCCAACGCAGGGTGGTACCTATTAGCACTTGGTGTAAGAATTGTAAGGAAACAAACATTTGCACAACCTAGCAGTTGAAATCACCGCGACGCGACTCCCGCCATACGCCCGCCCACACGCAAAGTCGTCCTCCGGGCTCTCGTAGATATCCCACGGCACCAGCAGCAGCAGCGCAAACGCGTCATCGGGCAATATACTGATCGCCGTGTCGAGCAGGTCGTCCAGGTTCAGCTGCCGGGCAAACACGCCGTCCTTCGCCGCCCGCGTCCGGATCCGCACACATTCCCCCGCCTTCGTCCGCAGCCCCACAAACCGCGGCGCTTTCGACTTGCTGTCCCACGCCGTCAGCCGCAGCGTACTCGCGGGCAGCACCTCCACCGCCATCCCATGGTAGAACGCGCGGAGGTACTCCCCAACATCCTCCACATTCGGCGGCACGATGTCGGCATGCACGTGACTCCACGCCTCGGCGAACGCAACGCCCTTGTCCACAGTCGGCGGTGGCACAACATACAGCGTCCGCCGCCCCGGCTCCACCGCGTTCCGGTCTTCGTCATCCAGCCACTCTTGCAGCGACTGCGCAGGATAGTCGGGGTCCTCCGCCAGATCGTCCCCAGGCAGAACCAGCGGCGCACAGAAAGTGCTTGCAGGTGGCAAAACGTCAAGCGAAGCAGCAGCCTTCCGAGTCTTTTCACTCGGTCTCGAGTACTCAGTTTGGTCCACAAACGGAGAACACTCGAAACTAAGTATTTTGTGAGTGCACTCCATGACCGTTGCAGACAAGATGGGAAAGTCACATGAGAATAATTTATTTCAGTGCTGGCAGAATGTAACGAAGTACTCTACTTGACAAAACAAATTCAATTCGTTTGTGCTCCAACCGCCTGTGATAGTTTTTTTAGCTTCTTGCAAATTACTCTGCAGAAATCTTACCAAACGCTTCAGATGCTCCATGAACACCTGCAGGCTCACATCGTCCGTGAAAATCGCTTGGCCCGCGCCGCCTTGTGGTGTGCCATACATGTTGTTCGTCATGTGTGTCGTCGAAGGGTTCAATTTTGAAAGCAGGAACCGAGCTTGACTGCCCCCCTGGTCGCAGACAATATACCGAGGAATCGGGAAACGATCCGCCAAAAGGTCCTGGAGACAGATGAGATACTCCCACTCACGCAAGACGAATTCTTACTTGGGCATCCGCAACGGGCTGTTCAAGCAGCTCCTTGAAATTGTCATAACCTTCCTGATCTTGGTACCCCTGCTTGCGCCATTGAGCAACAAGCTCGCCGTGGAAGATCAAGATATGGAAGAAGGTATCGAGAAGAAGGATAACATCGTGCTTGATGGACACACTGTCGAGGAGGACGGGCTGCGACGGTGTGTCAAACGTGTAGGACATTAGCGTGGGTTGAATCATAATGAGGGAGTTGTTAACATCCTCCTCGTTCAAAATGTGCCTACACACCAACTCGTCAGTTATGAAGACTGAAATGAATCAAAACACACCTATAGAATGCAGATTCGTCAGGACTGTTATTGAAGACTTGCAGGAATTGACTCCTCCGAAGATGGAACATGAATTGAGGGTAAATGCTGAAGTTGTCCGACAATCTGAAGCTCGTAGGGTCTTCTTTGCGGTAGTCGGCAAACTTCTGACATAACCGAATCAACATGCGATCCAACCACCGCAGAACATCAGGAGAATCGTCAATCTCGGCCTTGAACACAGCAATACGGGCCATGAGAACTGCAGCGGCCTCTTGGTCGAATGAGGCTGCAATGCTTGGGGAACCGGCTTCCGCAAAGTTGCGCGCAATTGTAGTGACACGCAAGCGCTGGAAGCCCGACGAATGCTGATAGTGTGTGAGGAATTGAATCAGGCCTCGGGAGCCTTGCTGCAGTGGTTGACCAGCAGGAGTGACCACCTCGAAATATACGGCGGTGGAAGTGCGGGGGTTGATGACGTTAATCTTCCAGGCCGACGTTTGTCCAATACCGATTTCGGTCTCGCCAACGCATGGTGATTTCTTGCCAGCCGAGATAGCATGTCCAATGAGACCAGAAACCTTCAATTCTTTGGTCGTCTTGATAATCATTAGCCAACGACTCTAATTTAAAGCGAAGGGCACAAACCTGGACATCAAACGAGGCATTGAAACCGACGTGAAGGTGACCATGCTCGTCCTTGTTAAACAACCGCAAAAAGCTTTGCTTGAAGATGGACGTGGCAAACGAGTCCGACAAAACGATGGCACCATTGGTGGAGTTGGGAAGAGACTTCATTTCAAGCAGTCCAACCTGGTCGAGACATCCAGCGAAAAGATCAACGGCATGTCCGTTGTTTGAAGCTCGCTTAGCGAGGCCTTCGTAGAACTGTTGTTGTTATATGTTTAATTTTGGTTGCAAATATTGCAAGATTTTGACTCACTTTGGTCGCCCGTTTGTAGTGCTTGGCAGCATCACGGTCAATATCGTGATGGGAGCGAATAGGTTCCTTCAGCTCGTTGCTGACGACTTGACCAGGGCCTTCCGTGGCCGGACCTCCAGCAAAGAGCATGATACGTGCACCAGTGTTGGGGTAGGTGGTCTAGGTTGACGACTCAGTGAAATCATAGAGAAAAAGTCTTTTTCATAAGTACCTCAAGAAGCCCAATCGCAACGCCCAATGCCACACCAGTGCAACGAAGAGGTCGTTTGTCATTGGCAACGGGCCAGGGGTCGCGCGCCAAACCTTCCAAGATACCCGTGAGCTGGAACTCGCACTGGGAAACAGGTAGAATAAATCGAGAGGCGCCGAATGACTGCTGGGGCATTGGCTGTCCGGGGCGAGGGGCAGCACGAGAAGAAGGGGTCAGCCCAAGCATGTCCTGAATCTGCTTGGGCTGATACTCTTTCCCGCCACGGAAAACGTAAGACTTGTTGCACTCTGCATAGCCAATCTCGTGAACTTGTGTCTGCACGAATGTTATTTGTTGTGATACGCTGCAACACGCTACGCACCATTGTCCCATATGTGATAAGCCCAACGAGAGCGTAGGGCGGCAAAAGACTCAGGCTGACGACGAGGGCGTCACGGAGAGCTTTTAGGTCTTCTTCATCGAGGCAAGTGTCAACTACGAAAAGGAAGACGGGAGGAACGGTTGCTGGCCGGGCGAGGGTGTATTCGATGGTTGTGTATTTGGGCAAAAGTTCTGCGGGAAGGTTGGAGCCAGATATATCTTTGTAATGAGGCGGAAAGGCGTTGCGGGAGAGACAAAAGGGACAGATCCAAAGCTTTCCCCGGAGGTCAATCTGGCTGGAGTGACACGTCAGTTTTTTTGTTAAATGACAACGAAGAGATAAGTTGCGCACCAGTAAGGATTGAGAATGGCGCGACAAGGAGGCTTGCAGGCCACTGGCTCGTATGTAACCGGGGGAAGGTCCTCTCGCTGTTTTAAGGGCGTGTATAACGCAGCAATTGGCACGACAGTTCGAGTCGCTTCTATACGCGACGAGGGCCAAACATTCCACGATAATCGCACTCCTTCAGAGGAAGGTCAGATGTTTGGGACGCGTCTAGTATCACCGAGCCATACCGTCGCGTTCCTCGACGTCCTCGAAATCAAGCATGGGTAGGTATCGCAAGAGGTTGTGCGTTATGTAAGCGGTAGGTCACGCTTTTACCGCCAGTGCCACGACCAAGCCACGACCTGCCACGACTCTTGTTTTTTACTCTGCTTGACTCTGCTTCCAAACTGTGTATACATCTAATGCTATCTTATAGTCCTTCAAATGCTGATGCTAATACCTCTTTTTGTTGGACGGAATACAGCTTTCCGATACCTGGCGCGGGGACTGCACTTTCACTCCTTCCACGATAGAACACTTGGCGTCCACCCAATACGCTCTCGACTCGAGAAGCAACGTGAATATATGCGCCTTGATTTCTTGGTTCCTCCTGTAGCCAAAAGAATTCTTGGGCTTGAGGGTATTGCTCAACAACAGCACGGAGCTCCACGAAAGGGAACGGTGCCAGCTCTTCAATGCGAATGAGCGCGACCTTATCTTCAAGCGAACGGGCTTGTCGCTCCTTTAAGAGTTCGTAGTAGATCTTGCCGGTCATCAGGATGACTCTCTTTGCAGAAGCTGAGTTCGGGGCTGCATCTTTGAGAACCGGTTGGAATGAAGTGCCCTGTTCCAGGTCGCGTAGGGATGATGAAGCAGCCTACCATTCTTGATCAGCAACCAGTATCTTGGTATAGAGCGAACGTACAGAGAGACGAAGCAACGCCTTGGGACCAGCAACAATAAGCGGCTTTCTGAAATTCCGCTTCATCTGTCGACGCAACAGATGGAAATACTGTGCTGGGGTAGTCGGGAAGACAACATGCATGTTAATGTCATGTGATGGATTGGCTTCGTCAAAAATGAAACGGTCATTGGTGAGCTATGTTGCGTAAGCCTCTTTTTATGCTTTGAGAGTGAGTGATACCTGAAGCATGCGCTCTATTCTGGACGACGAGTGCTCCGGACCAGCGCCATCTAATCCGTGAGGCAGTAAGAGGACAATGCCACTTTGCTTTAGCCACTTGGCTAGAGAGACAAGTTAGCTCAATCGCTTGAACCTCGATTGTACCCACTTTCTGAGGAAGAGATGAAAGTGTCGATAATGATCTGGGCACCGTTAAAAAAGTCTCCGAACTATCATCGGATACAGTTAGTGGTCCGCCATGAACAGAAAAAATGACCAACTTGCGCCTCCCAGATCGGAAGGAGATTTGGCCGCTCCCAACTTGCGCCATATTCGAACTACTTTGTGAGTGAAAATTATTCAAGATACGACTTGACTTACCCCAAGCACGGCCATCTCACTTAACGAGCCTGTAAGGTAGAATAAATCAACGAATTTGGCTCTAACGCGAGCAATCTTACTGTTTGCCAACTCGAGTTTGCCGGACGATCCCAGTGTTTCATTAAGAGGAACGATGACACCTTCCGTCTTCTGGTTGACAAGCATGGCATGTCGTTGGCTGGAGAAAATAAGCAAGTACCCCTCAAATGGTGGATGTATGATCGTTACCTAAACGTGCCTCGACCCACATCTTGACCTGAGATTCTGATATCGTGGCCCTCAAGCATGAGAGATCCGAACGCAAGGGCCTGTCGGTGGTAAGCAATAGTACCCAGCAAATTCATTGAAATATTTGCCTCTGCAGTAGACCAGTCCAATCCAACACCAGACTCGATACTTGTCAAACGATTCTTTACATGCCTTTGAAGCTTGGAGTGTATCTCCTGCAGTGCAATTCAGCAGTGATGTACAGATTTCTCCATGCGACTTACGAAGTTCTCCGGCATATGTACACTCGCTTTACCAACGGACTTCAAAATGTGCTCTTGGACACCAGTGTCAGGATTCTTCTCTGCCGCAGCGCTCGCCGGCCACACCATACCACTCCATTGCTTTTGCAACATCGCAGCAGTGGGTGTATATGACGGGACGCGCGCCAAAGCCTCATCAAGTTGAGCCTTGTAAGTATTCCGCACAGATGCGATTTTGATTGGATCAAGGACACCTTCTGCCTGAAGAGCGAATTTAGCAACTACCCACATAGAGTGTGGGCTGGGGCGAACCATCAACCGCTCTTCATAGAGCTGAGGCACAGATCTTCGTGAGCTAATCTTCTCGTACATCAAAGGGCTGGTCAGATTGGGCAAGTCGAGTTCATTATGTCTGTTCAGAATGAGAGGTTGCTTGATAAACCATCAAGATTTTACCCCCTGTGAACGTTGGTAAATATGAGTTAATGGTTAAATTCAGCCTCTTACCATCTTCTGTAGACAAGTAAATCCACAATGATATCCTGGAAAACGCTCAGTGAGGGTCAATTGTGGTCTACTTGACGAGCCTTTCTGAAGTACTCTCGATACTGGAAAGCGAGTTGCATTGCCCGAACGACATCTTATGGAGCATATCAATGGAATTTTCTTGGGAATAATAAACGCGTCGACATACCTTCTGGATGATCGCCGTTACAATGTAAAACAGGTGCACTAGTCATTTTGCCCACATCAGAGCAATACAACGAGGATCTTGCGCCAGTGGCCGGTGTAGTATACCCAATGCTGGAACATTGATCAGCGTGGAAATGAAAACTATGGACGAATCACATACTTGTTGCTAACTCGATCATCAGCCATGAATCAGCAACGAAGGGAGGCCCGAAACTCACTCGACCACAATGTGAACACTTCCCCCACTGGTGAAGTGAGGAAGATTACCTGTGAAGAAAATGTAATCACAGTAGGAAAGAGCAAACTCAAGCATACTCATTCCAAGAGCTTCCATTACAACTCCTTGACCAGAAAAGCTAGCATCGCCATGTAATTGAACACACATTACTTTGTCCCCGAGAGAACAGTCATCCGGCGACGTTTTCAGTAACGAGTACTGCTTGGCGCGTGTTTTTCCCATCGCGACAGGGTTAATTGCTTCCAGATGCGAAGGGTTGGGCAATAGGGAGACCTGGATCGGGTTCAGAGCGCCATCGTATTGAAGATTCGGAGAGGCGGCTATGGAAGTGTGTGTGAGTCGGGGACTATTTGGACATGAACATACCAAGATGACTGAGAACATCGCCCTCCGCACCAAGATCTTCTGGCACCTCGGCTCCGCCTTTGATTTTGTGAAATAGAGCCGTTGCAGAATATTGAAGGAGGTCAGTGAGAAAGTTCAATCTCCCTCTGTGCGGCATCCCAATGATAATTGACGATAATCCAGCTATAAAATAGATGAATATTAAAAGACACACTTCTTGGCTAACAATTTTTTACCTTGTGCGGCAACTGAAAAGAGAGAATCAAGGGCCGGCAGCATAGATTCACCACCTTCTAATCCATACTAGTGGCAATTGAGCTTAAGCTTGGCGACGGAAACCGCACCCTGGCTTACCCGTTTCAGGTTGGGAAACTTGAGTTGAAGGAAGTTGTCAAATACTTCGCTTCTAGCAAGGAGTCCATGTATTCGTTCCTTGGCCTCAAGTGGGAGAGGAGTTTGGGTAGACGCAAGATGTTTGGATTCCAAGGCATGTGCGAACCACAACCGTTCTGTCTTGTTGGACGAGTGCATAAATTCGTAGGCAATGGGGCCAGTGTATATGTCGCGAAGGTGTTCTGTGACCTGACCCAGCGTCCACCATTCTTCGACATCCTCACGATGCGTAATGCCGACAGGACTGGTCCAGACAATTCCGTTAACGTTGTACTTCTTAGTGTCGTCCAATAAACCATATCTTCGAGGGTCAAGTGCAGCGACTTCTTCTCGTTGGATAAGATCCAATGGGTCAATACGAGCTGCACGATGTCCATGAGTCCTAATGGAGTCGACATAACGAAGGAGAGCTGCATTCTCCGCTCTTTGAAGCAGCGTTAGACCGTGTTTCAATGTGAGCAGTGAAACTTGCCTGTTCTTTAGCTGTGCTGGAGTATCTAAAGCAGACAGTTAGTGGAAAACGCGTCAGAGGAGTCCTAAATTCATACAGTCTGGAAATTCAAACTCTCGTGGTTTGCGGTAGCCAAAGGATTCGTCGTGGTAGAGCCGGCGACCCAATTTTGCTACTACATGCCGAAGCTTCGACAGCTCCTTGCGAGGAAAAATGCGCCGCAAGGCTTGTTGTCGTCGCATGGGGCGATTCAGACAAAGTGCAAGCTCCGGACATTGGCAAGTCACGCAAGTCTGGGGTAGGAGTGATGGTGGTTGTCAGCAAGATTGCGCAATTGAAAGTGGCAGTGCAGTCGCTGCCGACTCTGCCAAACCTCTTTGACTCTTTGCCACGACTTATAAGACAAGAACCACCCATGTCGAGCACTATATGATTCTCAACCTTCCTAATGATGTTCTCATTCTTCTCCTTCGCCAACTTTCGGTCCCCGACTTGAATGCTGTGTGCCAAACTTGCCAGTTCCTGCATGCCCTCGTACGCCTTTGTTTATGCTGCGGTTTACCCCTCTTCTTAACCCTCCAGAGGTCGAAGAGTACGGATGGAGTGGATATCTGCGGCTTAACCCGCGACCCTCCAAGAGTTTGGTTAAACACCGACAAATGTGGTCTGCAAAGGCTGCCGCCATCCATGATTTCCTATCCGATAATTCGTGGTCGCGTGCCCAGTTCGTTGCCCGTCCTCTCTCAGACTCGTGGCCGGCAAAACAGCAGCCAGCAATAGCCCTTGATTCAGAGCGACTTGTTGTAGCAACGCACAATACACTTTACACTTACTCTTTCCCTCAAGGAACCTCCCCGTCAATCTCGTTGGAGGGTTCATGCAATCTGAGGAACCCAGAAGATAACAACAACTATGTTACGGCTCTAGATATGCTACCGAATGGCTCAATATGCGTCGCCTTCTACGACGGCACTTGTGAATATATCCGAATACTCGCCAATTCCACTAACTCCACGCTAAATATCGAACGATCTCCCCTGCCTTCGCATTTTCGCGACAACAAGGACTTTGTAGAGAGCCTTTCCACTTCAAGCAGCAGGATCCTCTCTCTTTCCTCGAAAGGTCGGGTTGTGTTGACAGACACAACCGCGCTTTCGACATCTCTCGAGTTGAATGCCCGGAGCTGGACATGTCACATGTGTCTCGAATCATCGTCGCCCTTCGCTGCCTTTGGAATGTCTTCTTCGAAACCCTTGGTCGTTCATTCAATTTCTGACACTGAACTGTCGCCTCAGCCTACAGCGATTTTGTCACTGTCCGGCAGCAAAGCTCCCATCAGCACGTTAAATGCGGTCTACGCCATTACTCGTGGACCCCCTTGCTCGTGGGGCGGATCGCCTCAAATCACTGTGGCGGGATGGTACAACGGCATAGTCTCCGTCCACGACCTCCGCTCCTCTTCAAGAGACAATTCTTCCGGCCCTCCGCACCTTAAACCTGTCCTCACTCTCTCCAACTCATGGTCAGATGACCCAATCTACTCCGTCGCCTGTGGAGGAGGTGGCGGCAACCATGTTGCAGCTGGTGCAGCTCGTCACAGTCTGGTCTCATTATGGGATGTTCGAAATCCAAATGGCGGCTTCAATGTCCACGCGCCCCTCAACGATCGCTCGCCAGTATATGCTCTCCTCATGGAAAGCTCGAGACTTTACGGCGCTACCGAAAGCAGACCTTTCGTTCTCGATTTTGTCAGTCTATTGCCCTACTTTTTTTGTTCTACTTTTGTTGATCGTCAGTAGGGTCCCGGTGTTACAGAGGCGTCGTATCCTCGGCTGTCAACTCAACCCCTTCGAAATCACTCATCCATTGGCTTTTATGTCACGAGCTACCCGCATCGCTGAGTAATAAGTGCTATTTTGTGTACAGATGTACTTCCGGTGTCCGCGATGTAGTGATACAAGCTTAAACAACAGTAGATGCAGGACAAATGACAAAGAGACCCGGAATGAATGATATATGGTAGGTAGTATGTGCATGCAAAGCGAAGAAATAATAGATATAATGCACTGGAAGTCGGTCATGATGGTGTGCTGGTTGACGATCTAGACGTCCAGCTGAAGAGCTGTCGCATGTCGGTACCAGGCGCGCTATCGGCAGCTTGTCGCGGCTCAATAAGCAGACTAAAAAGTAGTGGTCAGTTTCTGATAAAAAGATGCTCCGCTAGCCTTGCCTACCTTCGTCGATACAAATCCTGCAAATCACCGTTATGTTTCGATAACTCAAAAGCACCTTTCAGGTATTCTTGTACTTCAGAGATGCATTTGAGCGGATATGGAACCTGGAATCGTTGCATATCTACAGCCTTGTCAGCATGCAGTTCAACTCAACTCTGTCTCGAATACCTTGAACAATTCTAGCCAGCTTATGATACTTGTTAAAGTTGATCAACTTCCGTTCAGGATTCATGGGAGACGCCCGATGCGAAGGGTTTCCTTCTCGACAAAAAGTGACATCCGTCAAGTAAAGTCCTGCCGAGCAATCAACACCAACAAGAGAGAGGAGACGAGTGTCACAAACCGAGGAAGGGAACCGCCGGTGGTGCTGTGTTACGCAGTTTATCTCTGTACTCGCGATAATTCCTTGAATGATCCGCAAGCCGCCTCAGAACGTCCAGTTGGGATTTGTTCTTTTGCGGCAATCCCTTGACGGATATTAGGGCAAATAAACAGAGATTGGATGACGAACCAGCCATGTCTGATGCAACCGAGAGATCGTGGACGAATCCAACGCAGCCAGGATAGCGCGAGAAGTGCTGAAATTGTTGAGGGAAGTGCAACGCTACCCGTTCGATGAGATTGTGCCCAAAAATCAAAGTGAAAAAAACCCACATCAGCGACCTTGATGAAAAATTTAATCAATACTGTCCTCTTCTTCGTGTCAGGTTCCCTCAGAATACTCTCCGCAACCCACCCCGTGATGGCCGTACTCAACGATGAGACGGCACGCACGTTTACAGGCGATTTCGCCCCTTCTTGCCCAGTTTCCAGAACTTCCTCCGGCTGGATAGCACAGTACAGCGTGCACTCCATAATGGTCATCTGCCTTGCCAATTCTAGAGGATCGAAGTCGGTGATTGTGATAGCGACAAAATTCCTGGAACGCAGATTGGCAAAAAGGCTTTTGGTCATAACAGGACGAGGAATTTCGGCCACGGGAAGCGTTGCAGGCGGTGGATTAATCGACATGCCAGGATCTCGAGTCCGCTCGCTCTTTGGGCTAAGAATTGAGTCGGCAGTTTGCCGTCGAAGCTCGAGCAGTTCGAGTATTCTCTCAGCGGGCTTGGGGAACAACGAAGCGAGCCCATCAAGAGTGAACAACGCGAGCCGTTCGAGAGCTGGGTCGTCTACACCTGACCGCCAGTATATCTCCACCCACGTTTTTATCATGTTTGCAACTCGCAAACGGACCGGAACGCCTTTCTTTTGTTGCCAGAGCTGGAGGTCTTCATGAGAGATTCCGTGGGGAGGAAGGAGATTGTAGCGCTGAATGATTGTGTCCACCAATTCAAGCGGCGTCGAGAACAGTCTGAACGTAAGGAAGAAAACCGCAGAAAAGGCACCATCCAGCCGACTTTCATGCGGTGTCATCTTTTCCACCAATACTGCCATTGTTGCCCCAACGATATACCCCTCGGTGTTGTATGCGACCTCTTCCAGCTGGTAGTCATGAGACGACATCCATGCAACAGGGTGTTGTTGAGGAGGTTCAAGCGGCACAGAAGGTAGATCACCATGCAAAATCTTATCTTCTAACAGCCTTTCTTCCATAGCATGAGCTCGACTACCTTCCCATGTTGTCCCATCGTCCGTGTTGGCGAACGAGGTCGGAGACGGAAGATCGCGCTCAACCACCTCCTTACCGACATGAAGGTAGGGTAACGAGCTGTCCGGAGAAGTGACACCGGTATCTTGAGACTGCAGAGAGGAAGATTGAGACAATCCGCTACTCTCTGAACCCGAGTCCGGAATATGCGGTAACACAACGATGGGTTGGTGCGCAGTTAAATCATCAGCATCTTGCCCCGCAGCGTCAAGTGACTGATAGTTGTGATTCAATGCACCCATGCTGGTCGATCTCGTAAGGACCTTTGGTGCAAACTTGCTTGGCGTGAAACTGATACGATCCTGGACGCTGGGTAGCTGCAGAACGAAAGGTCGTTCGCCCATGGACCGGTTCAAACACATCTTAACGGCGGCGACACAATCCGCACCGGCCTTGAGCGCGTCTGTCGCAGAGCGTAACAAAGTTTGCTTCTCTTCCTCCTCTGACATAGTAGGCATCGAGTTGGTGCCTAGCAGTTGGACTGACTCCACCAGATTACTCGTAACATTGTAGAGCCCGTCTTTTGCTGACCGAAGATGGCCAAGTTTGTTTACAGGCACATCTCGATGCTGGAGAACTGCTTCCACAATGGTAAGAAGCTTGCAAACCATTTCCACAATCTCCCGGACGAGCTCATGCATGTGACCTGTAGTGGATGCATGTGAAGAGCGTGAATGAGAATGGGCGTGGCCAATGAAGGCGGCGATAGTACTGAGATATTGATCGTGTGTTGACCGAAGTGCCTCCATAACTTGTGCAGTCGTTGAAGGACCGACTGGAAAAGACGGACGGGAAGGAGGAGATTCGAGTGAGGAATATGATGACGTGGAGGAGGTGCTGCTGATGGATAGTCCCCCAGCTTTATGCTTTATCAGACGTTGCTTCAAAAGATACTGTTCTTGCTTCGTCTTGATAGGAATGTTGATGTTGGTTGGTAAGAGAGGAACTGCAGCTTCTGAGTCGGTGTCGACCGAAGCCCGGGAAATCGAGCGCCGTAGATCTACCATGCTCCTTGCGCGGAGAGCAGAACCTTGGTTGGCCAGAAGACTCTTTCGAGGTGTGGTGAAGCGTGGAAAAGAGCCCTGGTCGTACGAAACGGTGGCTTCTAATGGGTCGGGATTACTCCACGAAGCGGCTTCTGTGTCGGTAGACGCAACAGAGCTAATTGACTGCCGTCTTTCTGGCAGTTCGACTCCACATTGCACTGCTACTGCAAGAAACCTCCTAACGCTGGCGAAGACCTGCCCGCCAAGACGCACCATAGCATCTATTTGAGTCTCCTGACTAGCTTCGTCCAGTGTATCATCAGACGCTTTCTTCGATTGCGCAACCAGAGATGCGAGAACGGTCAATATCCTCCTTCGCTCTTGAGCTAGAGCAGGGAATCGAAGCAGGATCGGCGCGTCACGAACAAGTGTGTCGGTAGTCGAAAGAATTGATCGAACACAAGAAATTATGCAAGCGGTGGATGGCTGGAAATGGGAAACGCGATTGGACCTGACGGCGTTCTGGAGGAGGGAGAGGCCATGTAGTAGAGGCACCATTATGGGGGGACAATATGAATCAATATCAGGGCCCAAGGCTTCAGACAACGATGGATGTCGCGTGTGCTGTGAGAATTCTCTGGTACTTGTCCATGATGAAACAGAGCTAGCGGAGAGAGAATGGGCGTGTCCTTTTGCGTGCGACTATAATGAATGACGATTAGCGAGGTTATGGACACAGTCGAAAACGCACCAGTGAAGCACTCTCTCCCGAAAGCGCAGTAACATCGACGTTGACATAATTGCTGGGAAACCAACCTCTCCTCCCCTCCAGCTCACCGTCCCACCAGCCACTCGCATCTCGGTTGAGCACATGAATGACTTGTCCTGCCCGAAATGAGAGGCAAGTCGCGTTTTGGCCCTGAGGGTTGTAGTCGTGCATGGCTAGGACATAGTCCACGGGCCCAATTCGCACGGTATCGTCATATGCAGGACTGGTTGGCCGGGAGGTGGACGCCAGTTGCAGTGAAGAGGTCGAAGCAGAAGCGGAAGGGTTAGTCGATGCGGAATTGGGAGACAGTATTGAGATGGATGAGGTTGACGATGCGTTCGAGAGACTCCGTGTTCGAGCACTGGAAACGGAGAGCATGTTGGTGGGACTTGTGTCGATGTAAAGGCGAGACATGGCTCTAATTTGCAATGTTAGACGCGTGGTTTGGAGGGTGCATAGACATACCAATGTTAAGTTAGGTCGTGACGGAGCTGGCAGGGGTCGTTCGAGGGGAGAAAAGGAATAAGAGATACCGCTCAAGCGCAAAGGCGAGCTGCCGACCAGCAGAAGAGTGCCAAATGCAAAGTCTATCTAAAGGCTGATCGTCGTTGGATTTCAACCGCCGCTCACTCAAATAAGGAAATTGTCTCTTCACAAACCACCACCCACAAAAATTTTACCACCTTGTCTGATTATCGCTGCCTTACATCCTCATCGCCTGCTCACAGTGTAAGACTTGGTTCTTCCCCTGCTTCCATCATTCTTGTGGCACAATGTTTCCTGAGCGAGGGTACAAATGGAATAAGTATCATCCTCCTACATGCGCAGACCAACTCTTCGGTTTCACTGAAAATGTCGCCGCCAACGGCAAAGCCGCTCTGCCAGCTGCACGTCTGTGATGTCAGAATGGCAAAATCTCTACTCCATATCAAGTTTGAAGTTTTCTTCGGTCTACATGTCCGTGTCCTATCCAAGAACTCGGTCAACGCTGATGACTTCTACATACTTGAAGTTTCGGCCTAGGGTAGGACTTCAGCAGAGCTCAAACACCGTGACTCTCAGCTTTCTATTTCAGTTGGGCAAATTTAATAGCAAGATCGCCCAGCTCTTTCGCCCTCTTCCGATTCTTCTATCAAGAGTCTGACATTCCCATAAACGATGCCTTCAGAATCTCAGCCACAATTTCTGTCATCCTGATAACCGCCTCTTCTTCCTGGACGCGTCCGATTAACTGCAGTCCGACAGGACACCCCGGAAATTTGTCTGCCTCGTCTTTCCAATCGGACACCAGATTAGGGTCGGTCGAGACCTTCAAAAAGAATAAACGCACAGATACCATATATATGTTCATCTTCGTGATTGTAGAATTCGTGTGGTGGCTGAATGTCATCCAGAGTGGGGTCGACAGAGTTTACCGGGAAAACAGAGCAGGTGAGATCAAGTGCGCTGCACAAAGTTGTGTAGAAAGAGTCTCTAGAATGATGGTATTATATAACGTCCAACAACTTGGCCCCCAAGTACATACGTGTTAGCGCCATGCGGAACCGCTGTATATGCGACGGCAGGGCAAATAATTGCATCGACAGGTCGTCCAGTTGTTGTCCGCATAACGGTTGCTTCCCAGTGATCCAGGTGGGATTTCCTAAGTTCGCGTTTTTCTTTGTGTAGTTGCCAAAGCTATATGAGGTCTTTGAGATCTCATGTGATATGTGAATGACTCTAGACTGGCCTCCCAAGCGCTGCGATGATGAGGTCTCCCAACCAGCTTTTTAACCAGAGGCTCCTCAAGGATGGGGATGCTGGATTTAGGCACCTCCAGGTCGGTAACATGTTCCGAAAGCTGCATTGTTTGAATAAGCGGTTCAGCGCCTTCGCATTCTGCTAGGTAGTCGTGTCCACCATCGGCAGCGAATATTGTTTCCTACCTCGAGTCAAGTTTATCTGATATTTAAAGATGTTTCCGTACTGCGTTTTTGTATATTTCGAGATGGCGGTGATTCTCCCAGTCGATGACTAATGCGTTGAGACGTTTTTACTTACTCAGATGTGGTATACTAACCTTGATGTCCGGCTGCCTCGAGCGCACGTTTAACCGTTCGCATTGCTCGATGAAGTGGCGGATGAGGCTTGACTACACCTAATAAGATGTCAGGACAGCATCTTCCCAGTTAAGAGAGAGACAATAACCATTGTCCCACATTATTGCAAAGCACAATCTCCCACCACCTCCATGATATTCGAGTTGATACTCACTCTCGCTCCAAGGCTTTCTCAGTACTAAAGGATCACGGCGCCATGGTTCTGTCCCCAAAATGGCCTTCGTGAAGATTTTGACACCAGACATCGAGTTTGCCATGGGCCCGAGAACAGAATTAATTGACTCTTGCCCTTCTAGTGCGTTCACAGCACCATAGTAGGGAAGTCGCGCGTAAGACGGACGGAGGGTATAAAGACCGCAGAAAGCACTGGGTATTCGGAGGGAGCTGTACCTCCATTTCAGCTTGACGTAGTAATCAAGATGAAACCAGACCGACCCACTAATATCGGTACCTACCCCGAGGGGGCTGCCTTTCATCGCTAATAGAGCGCCTTCTCCGCCGGAAGAGCCACCGGGAGTAAACGAAGTATTGTAGGGATTCAATGTACGACCGAAAACGTGATTGTGTGTTTCTCCTTCGAGAGTGTGTCAGTATTATGGATGAGGATGGAGGGCCAATACCATGCATCAGGGTCTGAGGAACATTGGTCCGCACAAAAGGAACCGCGCCGCATTCGTACAACAGTTGCACAAGCACACAGTCAGAGGTTGCAACTCGTCCAATCCATTTGGCGTAGCCTGTCGATAAAAGGTTGAGATGCATAACTGGATGGCAGCTGATAAACCACACCCATTATAGTTTCGAGTCCCTCCATACTGAATTGGTCTGCGTTATTGGTAGTGTGAGGGTGAGATAAAACGGATCTCACCAATGACGCACCCTTCAAAGATATAGGGAGCCCGTGTAAAGGCCCCAAAACTGTCCCCGTCCGCGCAAGATGATCATCCACTTCTTTAGCCCGGGCAAGTGCTCGCTCCACGAATATTTCCGTGAGGCAGTTGGTTAATTGCTGTGCGATGACCGCTCGCTTATAGAATGCGGTTGTGACTTGAACAGAGGACCAAAGTCCCAGACGAAGGTTCTCCAGCAGTGTAGCGATGTCGACTGTCTCCGTGATTTCAAGTTCTAGTTGGGACAACAAGCCGCATTGTCGAGGAATGGCCATGACATTCAGTTGTTCTTTGGGAAGGGGTTTCAAGATCCATTCAGACGGTATGGAGTCCAGCTGAGCCTGTTTGCGATGATCACATTTCTCTTGCCAGTTATGTGGAAGGAGCGACGTGGTAAGAGACGATGGTGGTGGAGGCATTGCTGACAACGGCAGTTGTTGTGCCGTTTTAAAATCAATCCAAACCTGCTCCTATGCTTGATGACCACCTTTTGCGCTGACGAGTTGCAGCAAGCGCTTACCGAAGAGTCCGACTCCATCGAATCTTTCTGTCTTACGTCCTTCGAGTCGCTCCGCGCTGTGGCTTCGGTGACATTGCTTGAGGGTCGAACAATATCCGTTGCTTTGACCACCAGTGGTTATTCGGCAGGTCTACGACCTTCTCCAGTTAAGCTCGCATTGACTCTCCCGTAGATCGAAGATGGGGCAGGCCCAACCTTTGAGAGCATCGACCAATTGTTACGGTCTGTAAGCGACATGTATGAACGTCGAAAGCAGGAGGCATTGATGGCAGCTTTAACGAGGTTATCGGCTTGGTGCGTTCTCCAATAATTCTAAGAGTCTTATTGACATCCGATTTCAGATCTACGTGCTACTTACTCTTCTCTAAAACTACCAGTCCGTTCTCGTCGCGCTAATGCTTCGTTGTACATGTCCCTGGTGAAAACAAAATCCGGCTCTCCTCGAACCCTGGCAATCATCCCAGCAATCCACTCTCGCTCCTCCTCATTGCGAATGCAGTTAGCCCACCACCGATCCATACTGGCAGAGAGACGTGGTACATTGAGTTGCTTGCATTCACTCTGCTCCCACAACACATGCAACAGAAAACCCGCATTTAGTCGCTCATATCCAAACTCCGAAAGACATTTTAGGATGCGCGAGATTCGGAGGTAGTTGTGAGACGAATCTAAACAGATTTGAGCGCAATGGAGATTTTGGGTCGGCAGCACTCACAGACAAGATTTTCATATCGTGGCTCATAGTTGCGAGGTGGCAGAGACCGATTTACTGCGCCAGTCTCTTCCGAAACCAGCTGCATACCATAGAAGTCGAGCATCAGCTTATATGAAGTCAAGAGACGTTTCATCGCGTCTGGGTCGTTCTTTATTCCTGCGATTTCGTGTGGTTGCAACGGTTGAGACTCATAATTCATGCCATGTTCGCGAATGGGGAAGCTGAGCACGCAGTTGAGGCGCGAACAAGGTGTTTGAAGGTGACTCACAGCCATTGAATGAACCCGTGTTTTCTCTCTAGTTTATTGTAGTCGCCTAGCCAGCTACTCTGAGTCAGCTTAGAAAAGGGCTGTGGATTGTCAAGAGCACTTCTCATGTAGCTCCTCTATGAGCAAATCGTCGGGTTGGCAGCGATGCGTGTTCTTGTAGAAGCCAAGATTTGCGGATTGCCGACTATTGTCGCTACCATTTGGGTAGCCACGAAGAAATTCAAGAACATCGCTCGGGACAGACATTGCAGTGGATGTTGAGATGTGTGATCGTGACTGGACGCCAAAAACGCGCTTTAGTAGTGTATGCATTGGTTGGATGAGACTTTCAACTTTCACAGGGGAGAATGATGTAGTTATTTACGGAAGATACGAGTAGATAGAGGACTTTCTCAAGTGTAACTAGCCTACAGACTTGCAAGTTCGTGTACAGAACTAGAAACAATAGGAAGTTGCATGATCAGCTCAAGATCATTTCGTGGTGTTCTGTTGCTTTGAAGTGTTAGTGTCATTGGATGAACAGTACAGAATACTCACTTGGCTCCTTACCATGGGCCTCCTTTGTTGGACCCAGATAGGCTGGGAAGTAAGTGAGACAAGAAATAGAGGCCAAGCTGGGTACTAGATTCATCGATCTGGCATATTCGTGGAGGTGCTAGTCATTGGGGCGAGAGCGAATTTTGACACAGTCCCTAGTGGGTGACAAGACAAGAGTTTGAGACGCTTGGAATATAATCTTGAGCCCCGGCTTCTACATCCCTGGCAGTTTAAGTAGTTGGAGTTGAGTGAACAAGTAGTTCTATCAGTGTGACACCGTGACCGAGGCTCAACAACGGGCCGAACAACCGACAACCACGAGGTGGTTGTCTAAATCCTCCCAGCGTCTCCGGTGGTGTGGGGCCACTCGTCAACCCACCACCACCACGGTGTCATGCACATCCACCTATCCATTGTCTTTCTGCTCTCAGCAGCCCTCACCTCGACGGCATATCAGATTGTGGATGACTTTTCTGGCATCGGATTCTTCGACGAAGGAAATTGGGATTTTTATGGCACTCTAAACCCTTTCGTCACTTCCTCCCTTCTAACCTCAGAGGACAGGCCACTATGATAATCTTACGCTGGGTTATTATGTTTCTTGGTCAAAATTTTGTCTCATTGCTTCAAGGTGATGTAATTTGGTTAAACGAAGTGGACGCGTACACTCAGCAACTGGCGTACGTCAACGCCGCTGGAAATGTTATTTTACGCGTCGACGACTTTACCAACGTCCCTTTCAACCAAAAGCGAAACTCGGTGGGCCTACTTGTGGGCTTGGTTCGACAACTGAATTCCAACAACAGGTACGCATTACGACGCGAAGGTCCTATGAGCTCGGTTCTCTTTGGATCATTGATGCTGTTCATCTTCCTTATGGATGCTCGGTGAGTGTTCATCGCGACGGTTGATTCCGATATCTTACAGACGAAGGTTTGGCCAAGCATATGGACGGTATGTTTCTTTTCCTCTTCCAACGCCCTGTTTTTCAACAAATGATTAGCTTGGGCCTGATTGGCCGAACGGAGGAGAGATAGAGTGAGCCCATTAAACTTTCAGTCGATGTGCATACTAAACCAGGCCTCTAGTATTGTTGAAGGTACGACAAAAAGGCAACCTAATCCATCTCTCTGACCAACTGGAGGCATCAACTTGATGCTCGATAATCAATATGCTCTGCACACAACGGCTGGCTGCTTCCACACAACCCCCAGCAGCCAAACAGGCGTTTCATCTGTGAATGACTGCTCCAATCCTGCAGGGTGTCTAGTGGGTGAAAACGCTCCCAACAGCTATCAAAGCGGGTTTGCGGCTGCAGGCGGAGGAGTTTGGGCCGCCCAATTCGATTATACGGGGTACGTATCGATTTGGTGATATCCGCGTCTTATTAACCTACTCCAGGATATTGTGCGTGACCTCTCCGTTGCCTATGTGGTAGTTATCTCAGTATTATTTTAGCATATGGTTCTGGAGTGTCAGCTGCGCTGGGCTTACAGCTACAATAATTGACTGTTTTTAGCGTCCAAATGTTCCGGCCTCCATCCTTCAATCGACGGCTACCTCCTCGATGGATCTTTCGGACTGGGGTCCCCCTTCTGCAAGCTATGTGAACAAAACATGTAAGATAGAAGACTTCTTCGGGCCTCAAAAACTTGTAATCGGTGTGTTTAGAGTACTCCGCCCATTCAGTTCCTTACTACGTCGTCAGATATAACGTTGTGCGGCCAATGGTTTGTTTCCAGGAATGCCTGTGTGGCCTACAAGCTGAAAGCCACCTGCCAGGGCTGGTATCCCCGCCGATTACCTCGAAACATGTGCTGCAAAGGGGCCAACGGGTATTTGTGTATGTAGTGACGTTTTTCACCCATGCCTCGATGACGCTGCTCTAGTACAATGATAACGTGGTTGGCTCTGGAGCCAACTTTGATCAGGCATACTTCGAGCTGAAACACGTGCGCGCGTATACCACCGCTGGACCTGGCCCCTCGGCCGCTGTTGCTGCTCTTGGGAGTCATTCGGGCTCATATAATCCACACATGAATCTGTGGTGGGCAACTATACTGGCTCATATTTCTCTGGGAATTATCTTGGTCCTTCTTCGATGACCATTCACGAACACTGATGTTTATTCACGAACGATGGCTTCTGGCTCAGCATGATATTGATAACGCCTAGACCCTACATACCCTAGTTTGGCTCTCGTAGTCGTTGTATTCCTGGATGTTGTTACTTAGATGTGATGCAAGATTATCTCGAACATGTGACCAACGAGCTGTCATCTCCACTCATGTCCTCTAACACAAGCACACCACAATGGCATGCGGCCTTTCCAACGCCAACTTTGTCTGCAGAATCGATATCACCCTCTCAACTGGCAGACATCTTGCTGGATCCGAAGAGTCAAGTTCTCCGAGACTATGTCGTCGTTGATGTGCGCAGGACCGTGACCGATTTCGAGGTAGTTATCGAACCCCGACATGTAGGTCTCAACGGAGAGTTGAAGCGCCAAGTAGGAGTTCGCCATTCCTGGGTGTCTTAATCTCCCTGCGCACTCGTTCTATCAGACCCTGCCGACAATCGTCAAGCTTCTCGAGCCGGTTCCGCTGGTCGTATTTCATTGTAATAGCTGCAAAGAAGGTGGACGAGGATGGCGCACCGCTGGGTGGTATCGTGATGCTGTCACAGCTGGGAGCTCCAGCAAAGCAGTTATTTTGGATGGTGGAATTAAAGGTGCTTAGTCATTTTATAGGTGCGGGTGCATAAAATGACTTGTGAACGCTACGATAGGCTGGATCGAACAATTTGGACATGATGAAAGGTTGTGCAAGCGTATCTAATCGTAATCCCTTGAGATCAATTGCCATCATCGGCGCCTTATCCGAATCATGATGCATCAACATTTGCGGCACTAAGAAGTTCTTAATCTCCGCACACAAGTCGAGAAACGTTTCTGGAGTCGCGCGGTGCTAGAAGCCCTTGTGACCTGTATGGGTCATGCCCTTTCTGTGGCCCGCACGATGGATCAACTGGGAGATATGTGTACTTATGGGTTTCGCTAGCCAGGATCGTGCGTCCACTTGACCAACGTTCCGCACCGCAATTCTATGCCGAAGACCCCCCTCGACGTGGTTGCTAAAGGAAGAATATCACTGCTTTTTTGAGGTCTTCCCTGTCAATTGGTCGCTTCGCAACTTCGACTCGGATCGTACAAGTCGATTTATCTTCGGGGTCAGACTACTTAGTGCCTTAAAGACATGGATAACTACTAGTAGCTCCATTGTGATTGAACCTCCTTGGAGGCTACATATAACTGGCGGGACAATCGTCGGTAAGCGTTCGAGAAAAACCAAGACCGAAGATTCAGCGTCCAAGACTGTCTTGACACTGTCGCATTAATGTCGACATTTCCGAGGGATGCCATAGAAGTTTTTGCATGTAGCTTGGATCAGTCGCCGAACGAAGATTCCGTGCACGGAGGAACTTATACAACCCAAGAAGCATTGAACCCCAGAGGCGCAATTTTGTCACCACGTCAGATATTTCTAGTCTGTGTCCTGCCGGCGAAGACTTTCTTTCTAAATCACTTCGAGGAAACATTCATCCTCACCTCTACTCTGCCAGCGTTGTTTCGAGCTCCCGAAGACCGACGATACAGCCTAAGCCAAATGCGCTAACGCGACTTTCATCTTGTCCGCGGCAGGCATAGCGGACCGGTGATGCCGGTTGACAGCGGTGAACTGGGTTTATCGGGAGGCATGTTCATGGTGTCGCGCGATGTCGGACACACTATTCTTCTTGCCGGCGCCATTTGTCTTCCATCGGTCATCCTTCCGAGTTCTCTCGCCGAGCCGACGACCTTCTTCACCACCCCCTCTCAGGCGAATCGTCGGGAGCTGGCATCACTCGAACCCTGTGGGCATGGAATTAATTTCGGCGACAAACGGCGACGACCATACAGGTTATGAATAAGGTTCAACTTGGTGGGGGGTTGAACAAAGAGATTGCCTCTTTGTGAACTAGCACGGACGATGTCATTTAAAAACGCTACCAGTCGTATGAAGGAAGGTGTTATTAACTGCAGGGACTCAAAGGCACTTACATATGGGAGTAATATCATGATATTAGTGGAGATTATCCTGCAACTTGGATGCACCCCCTTGGGCACGATGAATGGCATTTCAACAGGTTGAAACCGCGGGGATTGTCGAAACTGTTGTCCCGAAAAAAGATTATCTCCCGAGAAATCAAGTGACCCCAGCTGACCCCAGACGGGTGTCGAGTACGCATCAACATACCTCAGGGTCCCGTAATCAGCAGAAATCAATGAGAATATTGAGTAGATCACTCAACTTGCTCGCAACACCATGGAGGCTGAGCAGATTTTGATGCCAGCACAATACTGTGAATACGGCCATGTACTGACAGTTGCCCAACTGCAACCAGGAATATCCGTGTTTCCCGTAGCGCGTGCGTGACGCTCGCCGCAGAATAATGTTTTCGAAACCCAGCCGTTGCGTAGTCATCTGACTCATCATGACGAGGTGGCGCTCGGCGCAGTTGTGCTCGCGCCCGCTGAGAAACAAGTGAACTGCCATGTGGAAGTGTGTGGGGTAAGGCGGGGTCCGTTCTTGCGTAAGCGCCGATGTCACAGCCCGGGCCATGGATAAGTACTAAGATAGGTGTAGCAGGTCCAGACTCGAAGGGCAACAGAGCTATTACCAAATCATCCAACAACTAGATTGTAAAGTCAGAGTCCCTCATACACATTCGAAAAAAAACGATGTTTTCCCACCGGAAAAGGGATCTTCCCAATTGAAGTTCAACAGCGGAAACCTTGCTCGGTCCATCGCGGTGATGGTTGTGCATAGCTACACAAAACTTTGAGGCATAGGTGAATTGAATGCTGATCCGCAAGACGGCGACCAGCTTCAACGATGTGGCTCAAACGACGCATCCGGCAGTAACGGTGTTGAGCAAAGAACGGGAGCAAGAATAGAACTCGGTCGGCGAGTGGGCGTCCATCTACAGCAAGGGATGATCGCGCTGCCGACGGCATTGAGAACGCAAAGTCCGAGACCAGCGCGACCTAAGTTTGGGAACACTCGGGGGTTGCCGTTCAACTTGCCAGTGAAGGTGTGCTTGAAATATCGCCGACTCCAGATGAAGCCTCAAAAGTGACACTTGCTGGCTCCTATGAACATATACGAGCTGACACTTCGAAAGGCATTATCGTGAACGATAAACCATCAGCTTTCTATGCCATTGACCGCGGAGAAAAAGTCACTTTGAACTGCCCTCGTCCACTCACTAATCATGACAGCGCAGGAAAAACAAACACCAAGCCGAGAAGATGAGAAGGAATGCTGAGAAGACCTCGGCATGAGTGCCCTTAGATGCCCTTTTCCCTGCAGATTAGAGAGCCAAGGCAGAAGCCTGTAAAATTATCACCGCAACCAGAAATCTTGGCCATGGTAGTGTTGAGGATGATTGAGATGCGAGCGGAGACAACAGCTGAGAACAGCTTCCAGAGAGCAATGAGTCCCTTGCTGTCGGTGATCCACTCAAGTCCCGCTAAGAAGAGCTCTTGGAGAAGGAAGTATTGATTTTCTGCGAGCTTGCCGGCGACGGACTCGGACACGGTAAGGATTGATTCTCCAGGTCGGTAGGTTACTTTGAGCCTGACGGTTTGCCGCATTGAAGTGACCCGTGAAGTCTTCCATGGGGTGCCCCACGCTCATTTTGACCCCGGACTCGGATTAGATGTGTAGAAATAGACCCGGACATCAAGCGGACTCGGCCAGTGGCTTTACTTTTTAGTCCACAGCTCCCTGTGATCGCGAACTAGTGCACCAGGAAGAGACATAGACCTGGAATAAACATAGATTGTATGAGTGAAACGCGGGCACGGCGTTGGCGGTTGCAAGTCATTTCAAAGTGCAGATCAGCGTTATGGTCACGTCGAGTCACAAAATATCTTTCTATCAACGCAGACCAACTTTCCAACTCGACAGACGGATTGCCCTGCTCCTTGCTCTGGTCTGCTGCCAAGCAGGACTCTCTATGAGTGGTCGGATGTTTGTTGACTGGCCCCACCACCCGCTCACTGCCATGCGGGGTTTGGCATCTCAATTATCTTGGTCAAGGCGTCCACAATTAACTTGAGAGGGCTATTCTGCGGGCTGACCGCTACACGGCTATACAGGTAATAAGCGGGGCACTGGTTCCCCACACGGGAAGACCGTGTAACTCCGTTCTCGGGCAGGGAAAATCCTTCTTCGGGCGATGCGGCGGTTGGCTCGACAATCGAGAGCCGATTGGTGGCCTTTTACCCAGCCAAGCACTGCGAAACACATCAGACGACGATTACATGCGTTTTGAAGGGGGTCAACTGCTTCAGTCAGTTACTGCTAAACTACGAATTAGATCCGACTTGAGCTCAACTCTCGGGATCAGAGGGACGCCGCAACACCATGCCTTTACCTGACACCGATCCTTGGCTGCCTATTTTGGCAAAGGTACAGACATAGAGGTCAGCACAGCTTGGTTTCTCCGAATATCATTCACTTCGAGCGTTAACGTCCGTTGCAGGCGGGTGATTCTTTATCTGTTTTCAACTTTCGAACGCCTACTGGCAGATGGTATATGCTTATTTGGGAACAAATGCTAGTACCAACATAGCAAAGATGAATATTACAGTGAATATCCTTTCATCTCACAGAAACCAGATTGACTCCACCATACAATTTACTGAGATCATCAGCTGAGACGGGACCACTTGCATAAATCGCCGCTCCGAATTCATTTTCTGTCCAGCTTTTGCCTTTCCAATAACCTTTAGGTGCCATCCTGTGACCATTCACAGAGGCTGACCACAGGTACCGTGAACAGGAACGAAGGAACGACGTGTACTTCGTCGGCCGATTCACTACTAGTGAGACAGCAAGGCTCAGTAAGTAAATCCGCGTCATCCATTACTCCAGTTTGTGAACTCGTTGAGGGGGCTTCATCGTACTCAGTCACTGCGTCATACTTGTGGCGCCATCGTGGTGCTCGTGACCGTGTTAGCGAGCGACAACGCGTCACGGTTGTGTTATGTTTGCTTGTTTGGTTCTTCACAAGATGCACAAAAGAAGCCTGGCCTCAGCGTCGTCCACCGAGCCTTCAACACGTTCAAACAAAGCGGCAAGCGAAGAGAACAAGACATTTTCTTGCCATCCTAAAGACAACTTCAAGTACAAGGTCTAACCGATGCCATCTCGTTATTGTCTCCCACCCTTCCCCGCTCCCCATACTGACAAGCCGAAGACCCCCACGGCTTCAGCATCGACCCTATTGCTCGCTTTATCTCCAACTTGCAAGGCTAGCGCGCATGCAGCGCTTTGTTCGCGTTGTTTTTGAAAGCGGAAACTAACGTGAAAGCGACCAGTGAATCAGTCATAGGTAAAGCTGCTCGGCTCAACGCATCGTGATGATAAATTGATCGGACTCCTCTACTTGCTGTTCAGGGTCGCGGGGAAGCATGTGTGGGTACGCGTAAGCCACTAATTTGGTGCGCTTGCAAATATTCGACTGGTTACGCGTCCTGTGGCGGGAGGTGGCTAAAAAAGGCCAAGAGGACACGCCAGGGAGGCATGGGCGGGCAATGTGTTGATGAAATTGATTGCACGAGTTGACCTTGCACCCAGATTGTCTAGATAGCTTAGCAGCTAATCGGATATTTGAGCATGCTTTCGCGGAAGGAAAAGATCGTGGTTGGTTGTGGGTTCAGAAATTAATTCCTACGGTTTGATGTTATCGTCGTTGCGAAAAATCGCCATCGACGACTACCCAATGTGAATGCTGGCATTCGAAAACTTCGGATGATGGTTTTCGGAGGCGGGGGCCCAAAAAGGAAGCAAGGGGGGTCCCATCACCGGATGTAAGATTACCGCGGAGACTCCGGAGAGAGATTTGTGTGACGTGACGAGATCGAGATTCAGGTGGCAAACGGGCAATCACGCGCTGCGTCTTTATAAAGGATGACCCGAAACGGTCGTTGATTCTGCCGCCCACTACCAGTTCCCTCTATGCAGGACCAACACCTTGCTCTGCCCGACTATTGCGTCGGTTGCAATCGCCAATTCGTCCCTCGACGAGTCATAGTGCCTATCGAGCTCCCTCCTCCCACTCCCGATTGTGCGTATCCTCACCACAGTCTTTGTTGAAGAGCTAATTTTTTTCAACCAGCTCGCCACAAGGGCTCTCGAGGACTTGTCCACGGAACCGGCAGAGTACGCGTCAATGGAACGATAAAGCCAGCTCCACCCGTCAAGACGCGTGTTGAGATTGACCAAAGTGACGCCCCACTGTATTGCTCCCCGGAATGCGAACAAAGAGACCTCGAGTTCTCATCTGGCTGCAGCGAGAGTACCGACAGCGACGACTATGTCGTTATGCCTAGCAACAACACCAAGTCCGCCAGCGCCAAGCCGGCCGCCCGTAACTTGAGCACACCTAACACTCGGTCGATGGACCATCTACAAACACTCTACTCAATGCCCCCCCTCCCCCCGCCAACCACCGAAACCTATGACGAGCTTGCTCCTCTAACCACCAAAGGCGCCCCCAAACCACTCGAGTTCGTCTCCGGTGTTATGATGGCAAATCGTCGAATCGAAGCTGCTCTCCCACAGCCCCGTAAGCCGGGTGAGCCGGCAGGTCCCGTAACTCCTGTCCCTGGCTGGACGGACGGCTCTCAAGCGTGGCGGGCGTCGACTTACTCCTTTGCTGCCCCTCCTCGCAAGCTGTCGGACATAGCCGACCCCAATCATGCTGCCTATGGTTCAATCATTGCGACCCCTCACCGCTCTGCGAGTGGGGGTGTCGTTGCAAACGTGGAGTCTTCGTCCCCAACAGCAACTAGCTATTCCTCCACTTCCTCTCGCAACTCAGATATGCTATCGTCATTCGAGGACTCATTTGCACGTCGTTCGTCTTCCCGAATCTCCCTCTACTCCCCGAGCACCTCTCCAGCGTCTTCTATCTCTTGCAGTCCACCTCGTAAACAGGTCTCTGACATGCTTCTTGTCCCGGATGTTTTACGCCAGCGCGCTGGTTCGGCGCCATCGTCGTCCTCTCTGGACTCCTTGCCACAAGAACATGGACCTCGACGACACTCGGCTGGAGCTTTGCCGCCTCATAGTTTCCCTGGAGCACGTGCTCGTATGCGCAGTCCACTTGCCGTCCAGAACACTCTGGAAGACGACAATCTTCGCTGCACATCCCAGGTTGCAACATCTATGCCCTCCCACCGTCAACAGAAGACCCAGCGACCTCTAATAGAGAGTATGTCGTCCCATCATTGTGTTCTTCTTTGTTTCTGACTTGGCTCTCAGCTCGCTCCTGGTCGTACGATAATGTGCGGACATATCCCGTGATGCCTCTCCCGACTATCAAGGAGACTCGCATAGTCAATGGTATCCCCACTGTCGTTGAAGTAGCCCGCACGCAAAAGCGGCTATTTACCTTCGCAGACACTGTTCTCAGCCCATCTCGTTCGGTTTCGGAGTTGTCCATATAGGCGCATCGCATACTTGACGATCTCATGACTTGACGACCTCCGATAACCCTTTGCACGAGATACCACCATTGCATTGCACTCTACATCGAATCAGCATCACCACGCACACAAAAAAGCTCGTAGGAGCGACGACAGAACCAATAATCTCTCTGGGTTTCTTTCGGTGTATTTCTTTCTTGATGGACGTTGCCTGAAGGCTTCTCTGTATAAACTTAGTAAAAAAAGCATTACCCTAGTACGATACGATACGACCTAGCTAGCTTACGAACAGCTCAAACGAACAATTTGTACTTTTAGTTCCAACGAGAATTTTTGGCCCTAATTCGCTTAACCGGTTCAGTCTTGCCGTCGTTTGAAAATCCCGCATTTGCTTCCGTTTGTGCACGGAGTTTCGATATTCATGTGTTTATGGCTTTTGCAATTAGATGACGCAGGCCGAGCTCAGCGTAACAGCGTTGCAGTGCTTGTTATTTTGTTGAAAATTCAGCAGACTGGAAGGAAAAGACACATGCCACGACTAGCCCTCGCGCACGAATTATCTGGATCGTTGGTGGCCTCTCAATATTAGGGGAAGGCTTGTCATCGATCGACTGGTGAGTCGGGGATGCGGTCCGACGCATGTTGACTCGAAGCGCGTCAAGAGGATGAGTTTGGCGCAAATGGCACGCGTCTTTTGTTCAGGTTGGGTTGGTGGGTCCAAGTGTTGATGAGCAGTTGTTATTTTGTTTGTCTGATCGATTCTTGCCATCAACGTAACCAAAATGAGCCGTTGAATATTATCCCTAGGTTTGTTGGCAACCCTTGAACCAGAAGACCTCAAAAATTGAACTTCTCAGTGACTTCTCGATAGGCGCTGCTGATCTTGATCGACGGCGGGATTTCGTCTCGATGAACCGCGCCGAAAAGCAACAAATAATCACTTACTCGACGCTGAAAGCACAAGCAGGAGCACAAGGAGCGTTGACCGAAAGAGCAATCGGTCAGCCACCCTGTTTTCGGCCTTGAACCTCCCCGTCGCCGCTGATTGCAGGCAAATGAAAAGTCGTGTTATCAATCGTCAAATCGATATCATCGCTTCCACATGCAACCGAGAGATAACGCCCAGCCGGACCGCGCTGACCTAAAATGAAAAACACGGAGATTTGGACCTACTTTGGTAAATGTGCTTGGCCAGGCATGGGTTTTTGCCCTGGCCCGCCGTCGAGAGCGGCGCAGCGCGGTGCCCCCGAACTTTCACCGCTAACTCTCGTGATCCGGGCCGTGATATCCCGGCCACGGTGAGCCGCAGCGTTACGTTCGCCTTTGACCCATGGAGGTCACATACGCGACGCTTAGCCGACCCTACCCCTCTCCCACTAGCCAACCACAAGTCCTCGGTCAGTCACGCTGCGGGGGTATATCTCGTAACCCACTGTTGGGAACATCTTTCCGTGCAGCCGTCATCAACCAACTGCTCGTCCGCCACGACACACAGATCCACTTGTTGTTCCCTGAACATCACTCGTTGTTCCGCATTTTGAAGATGACCGATTGGTGCAACGAATAAAAAAAAGAAACGAGGCGGGCCAATATTAATGAAGCATTGATGTATCGGGCATTCGATATTGTTGCTTATAGTAAGATTGACCGGCTGCTTTGTTTCCTTGCCACAGGGGACAGACACACACCGGCGAGATGAGTTGAACCAAAGTTACCGGATGGCGTAGTGCTGTTGAGAAAACGTGGCGTCGTCCCCCTCACATGACCCCACAGCCTAGACGCACACAGTGTGGAGTGTATTGACATCTTCGTTCGGCGCCAATGGAAAGCAGTGCTGTTGCGGGGAAGAGACAACTCGTAAAGGCAACCCATCTGGTTCTATGCGCCAAAATATCGTGTATGAGGGCGCCTTGGATGGCTGTTGACAAGCAGATAAGCCTCGCAGTTGAACCGTATGGCATCGATGATGAACGTTTGAGGACCAATAGTAGCCAGAAATCTTCTCAAGGCCGTGCCGGAGAGGAATCAACCAATTCCCTGCCGTGTTGGACGAGCATTCAATCGAGCCTTGAACCTATCAGCAACTCGATTCCGGTTGTCCACGGACTGAGCCCAAATTTAAAACTGAATTGAGGCGACGTTAACCGCGGTATGTAGTGTCAGGACTCGCACTGTGAGCATGGCATGTCATGGGTTGCAGTTGACCACTCAGAGTTGACCGAAACTCGATTAGTGCCGCAAGTATCCCAGGCCGAGGAGTCAACAAACAGCGGCCGGGCATGAGAAATACGGGAGCAGATTTGAGTTTAATTTTCATTCGATCCGGTGTCGGATTGCACTGCAGACAGAGGCTAGTTGGCACGTCTGCATCATGGTTGTATCATGGGAACGATGACTTGAGTTGCAGAGAACAACTAGCTGCCAAAAGGACGTCACTGAGCATGACTAGAGGTTGCAACCTTATTGGCGGGAGGATTGCACCCAGTTGACAAGCGGACGTTGGATGGCAATAGTGCAGAAAACAGAACACAGGCGTAGGCGTTGCAGGCAGTATCGTGGATCAAGCAAATCAACAAATAATAGGAACGTACACGCTCGCTCAGGCCAGGAACAGAGTTTGACGGCCTTTGGCTGCTCAGAAAATGCCATCCAGTTCATCACAGAAGAAACTCAAACGAGCAATAGAAGCGCAGGGTCTGCTGGAACCGAAGCATACACGGAGATGATGTCGAGAATCTGAGTGGTTGAAAGCTTGCATCTCCACGTCACCAGTCTGGGTGAAGTGGAAATTTGGACTGCCTAACTGGCAGATGAACTTCGGGTTCCCCGCCCTCAGGCTAGCGACACTCCCAGATACACATCCCTTGAACAAGGAAATGCGAAGGAACAGACCGGCGGACAGGAAGAAAGATCGGAGCACGATATCGGAGATGATCGAGTACCTCCCGAGACCCGCGAAGGAGTTCGAAGCAATACAGGCAGTGAGGAGGGTGGCGACGAAGGACGTAACGGTGAGTACAAGCATAGCGGGGAACAAAGAAGCGGCGATAGAGGAGGAGCTGAGGGACGAAGCGAGATGGAAGATATACACCGACGGGTCAGGGATAGACGGAGAAATCGGGGCCTCGGCGGTGATGTACAGGGACAACAGACTGGTGGGGACCATGAGGGCGAGACTGGGGACAATGCAACAGCACACAGTATACGAGGGGGAGGCGGTAGGGAGCGGCATGGCGCTGGAGCTGTTACGGAAGCAGAGAAGGGTGGAGGGAAAAGTGACGATCGCGGTGGACAGCCAAGCGGCGATAAAAGCAGTCAACTCATCGAAATCCACACCGTCGAGCTGGTTGTGGGACGATTGGCACGAGAAGTTTTCAAAACTTACTAGCGTTCACACTGACATGGAACTAACCATCCGTTGGACTCCAGGACACGTCGGAATACCGGGCAACGAGCGGGCAGACGAGGAGGCGAAGAAAGCGGCAGCGGGCGACACAACTAAGCTGGAAGAGCTACCAAGAGAATACCACCCCGAGATTCCGATCAGCAAATCGGCGGCGAAACAAATGCTGGAGGCAAAGCGGAAAGCCAGGGTCGCGGACAAGTGGAGAAAGTCGAAGCGATATCAGCAAACGATGCAGTACGATGCGAAACTAGTGAAGGGCTCGTACCTCAAGCTATACACGAGCGTCCCGAAATCTTACGCAGTCTTACTTATGCAACTGAGGACGGGACATTGCACGCTCGCGAAACACATGCACCGGATCACCAAGGCGGATTCACCAATCTGCCCATGCTGCAGGCAGGCGGACGAAACAGTCGCACACTACCTATTGCATTGCAGCGCACACGAAGAGGCGAGAAGAAGGCTATACGAAGAAGGAGGAAGGGACACGAGAGTGATAAAAAAGCTGCTGGGAGCCGGTAAGTTGCTAGAGCCGCTGATGTGGTTCATATATAGGACGGGGAGATTTCGAGCGGTGCACCGACACCTCAGGAAGCCACTAGACCAGAATGGGACATATGGGGACGACCTACTCGACCTAATATCGAAGCTACGGACAGACGGGATGGAAGAAAAGGACGACCTGCCGACACTGGCGAAGGAAGCGAGGCCATTTGGATGAAGAAGAGGAGAACGACGAGGGCGAAGGAGGACCACCGACACGCGAAGCAAACACGCTCTCACATTAACAATCTATAATCACTACAGGACACTAATTACACCCACCTTCACGCCGCCGCCCCGAGCACACCGGCTGAAAGGGCAAGATACCGAGGCAAAACACAAGAGAGCAGGAGTAGGAAAGGGTCTAGAGAGCGCATGGTGATGGCTACCGTACATCGTTTGTAGAGGCCAAATAACGGGAATAAAAAATAAAAATAAAAAAAAACTTCGGGTTCCACTCGTCGCCGTTGAAGGGGTCTATGTCGGCGGATGGGGAACTGCATTTAAGATGATGCCATTCAAGAGCAAGAGAGTCACACTGACTGGTAAGTGACCGAGAGTCAGGAGGAGTCAGGAAGATTTGTTCCATATCCGTACACACACATGTAGTCCTACTATTTGTAACGGCTTATAATTCGTATATATTGATTATTTTATCGACGCGCTTTGGACTTGTGGATCTCACGAAGTAGAGCTTCATGTTGTTCGTCCCGTTGCGAAGAAAGTTCTACAGGACCAAGTTAAGAAAATGGGGGCTGCTCATGAGAGCTCACCCTGGAATCTTCCTCGTATTCGTTCCATGTGTTCTGCATGTGATGTTCTCAGCAAGTCTAGGATGGTCTGTGTGTCGACATTGGCTGGAATATGAAGTCATGAGCATATTGATGAATACAATACGCTTACTTGTCTTCTGCTCCTCTTGGCGCTGGTCTCGCATGACACCGATTCGTTCGAGTACTTGTCTAATATCTGCTTCAAGAACCATTCGGTCTTCTCTACCCTTGTGTTGGGTGATTTGACGCTCTTGCTCATGATGGGCTCTCTCTGTACAAGAAATGACTTGTTCCTGGAGCAAAACTTTGAGTCCTATGAGCTGGTCAAGAGCACTAGGGTCATCGCTCATCACGGCGAATAGAAAGTTTGATTGAGCCACATGTTGATGCAGAGAGTGTGTTGGTGAACGTTGACGCTGAACCACGAAGAAAATATATTCGATTCTCAACCATAGAAGGGATTTGAGGTGTGCGTATTCTGCAGCTGAGAGCAAAGGGGTGTGCAGAGTCGAAACTTGGTGGTGGTTTGTGACAGAGTTATCCTCTCGTGTTCATGCTCTCCCGCTTTCCCTCACGGTGACGACACAACTTAGTGCACCTATTCGGCTTTGGGTCCGACGTTTGGGGACTTAGAAAAACCACGATGGATGTTGTCAAGGCCGTGGAGACTTACGTCTCCAAGCTAGTATCGACGCCAAACGCTATGAAAGTCCTCCTTCTCGACTCGCACACTGTTCGTGGGTTTCACTACCTACCTATGACATTTGTTTATTCAATAACTAGACCCCGATTGTGTCACTTGCTTCAACACAATCCACGCTTTTGTCGCATCAAGTATACCTCACCGACCGAATCGACAATAAGAAACGCGACCGCATGCCGCACATGAAATGTGTCTGTTTTCTTCAGAGCAACGATGAAAGTCTCGAGTCCCTGCAGGCCGAGCTACGCGAGCCCAAGTATGGGGAATATTACCTCTGTCAGTGGGTGAATCTATACCCTTCCGTGTCGCATCGACCCACCAACCAACTCAACTACTCAACAGACTTTAGCAACATCCTCACTAAAACCGTCATCGAGCGTTTGGCAGAAGTTGACGAATACGAAGTTGTTCGGGAAGTTCAAGTGTGGCGCAGTTTCATCGTTTCTATTCCATTACTGAATATTGTTAGGAATATTTTGCAGATTACTCCCCTCTCCTCCCTGCACTATTTTCTCTGAACCACGCGCCGACAGCAACTAAACCGCTGTATGGGTCCACATTCAACTCTTGGGACCACTCGGCACTCGAGCGTTCAGTTCAGGGTATATCTGCTGTGTTATTAAGTTTGAAGAAGAAACCTATCATCCGTTACGAAAGGATGAGTGGAATGGCCAAGAAACTTGCGGTCGAAATTCACGTCCGTGACCCACTTTTACACCCTGATAATTTCCTTACGCCACATCTAGCATCGAATACAAGCCGAATCGACTCTTTTCGACTTCCGATTAACGCAAGTGCCGCCACTGTTGCTCATTCTAGACCGAAGGAACGATCCAGTAACGCCGCTGCTTTCGCAATGGACATATCAAGCTATGGTTCACGAGCTGTTGGGCATCCAAAATGGCCGAGTGGATCTTAGCATGGTCCCTGATATCAGGCCTGAACTGAAGGCACGTTCTTGCACGCACATTTATCCCATTTATGCGACGAACTTGAGCAGGAAATTACCCTAACGCCGTCTACGGACCCCTTCTTCCAGTCACACTTTCTCGACACCTTCGGCGATCTCGGGACCTCGTTGAAAGACTATGTGCAAACGTATCAATCGCGCTCTCTTGCTCAGGCGCCATCTTCAATCAACTCTATTTCTGACATGAAGCGTTTTGTGGAAGAATACCCTGAGTTTCGTAAGCTCGGCGGTAATGTGAGCAAGCACGTTGCTCTAGTCGGTGAACTTAGTCGCTTGGTGGATCGAGACAAGTTGCTGGAAGTAGGTGAGGTCGAGCAAGGTTTGGCAACGAGTGCCGGAGCGGAATTGAGAGTTGGTGTTGCTGTTTTCAATATCATGGCCCTCGCTCAACCACCTTGCAGACCGTTCAAGCTTCAATTTCGAATCCAAGCATTCCACCGTGGGGTAAACTGCGACTTGTGATATTGTATGCATTGCGGTATCAGAAGACACAGACGAACAACATTGCTTCGCTCATTAACCTTTTGCTATCGAATGGCATCTCTCGAGAGGATGCGAGAGTAAGTTGATTTGCTTTTGGGTAAGGCAGCACATCTTATACGTTTGCAGTTGGTTTACGTTTTCCTTAACATCGCCGGCGCAGACCAACGACAAGATGATTTGTTCTCGACCGAATCACTATTTGCGAAGGGCCGATCGGCTTTGAAGGGGCTCAAGGTACAACTTACGCTACCTGACATTCTCAATCACGAAAAAAAAAACAGGGTGTGGAGAATGTTTATACACAACATCGACCACATTTATCACAGACTCTCGAAAACTTGTTCAAGGGCAGATTAAAGGACACCAGTTATCCTTTCCTAGAATCTCCTGGTCCTAATGCGTCGCTACAAAGGTTTGGGAGTGCAATGTGCAATTGTTTAGTGCTGATCATACTTAGACCACAGGATGTGATCATTTTCATGATTGGGGGAACAACCTACGAGGAAGCTCGAGCTGTGGCTTTATTCAACCAAGACCCTGTCTCCGCTTCTAACGGTGGCATTCCCAGTGGGAGTGGGACTCGATTGTTACTCGGCGGAACTTGCGTCCATAATTCTTCTTCCTATCTTGAAATGGTCAGATCTGCAGCGACCCAGTTCTCGCCAGCGGTATACGATCCGCCACCAGAGTCAGCAACAACCGCTCCAACGTTGAACTTGAATCTTGGAGGTGTGAATGTCAGTCTAGGAGGGTCAACAACAGGAGTGTACAGGACAGCGGGAGACCCGATCGTTGGGGTACAGACGGAAGGGATACGAGACGGCGTGAAAAATCTAATTGGTAAAGTGGGTAACACCTTAGCTAGCATACCGCGGTAGATTTTCGTATAAATTATTTCGTTTGGTGCCAAAAATGGAGAATGTCTGGCAGGTGAGAGAGGACACGTATGTGATCTGCGTTTGGCGCGTGCCAGCTTCGCTGTAACTTGTTTTCTGCTTTCGCTTTCCCCCTCTCGACGCGGTCTCTCCTCCCCCCTCTTCTCACTCGCGGCTTGCACTCCGCCAGGTCGACCAATGGCAAAAGGATTTCTGGCTGGTCTCAAAGGCGTAGATGCCTTTGGAAAAGTTAGTGCTCCGGTCGTCTTTTGGTCCGAAGCCGCTCATGCTCACGACTTCAGACTACGGAAGATGTGAAAGTTAAGACCCGCACGGGTGCCTTTTGTGAGTCGTCTGGGCCGTTTTTTCTTCTTCGCAATGGCTCATGACGATTACCAGTAACGATACTCTCTGCCGCCATCATATTGGCATTCACCACTATGGAGTTCTTCGACTACCGACGGGTTACTATCGATACCTCCATTGTCGTCGACAAGAGCAGAGGCGAGAAACTCACTGTGAAGATGAACGTCACCTTCCCGAGGGTGCCATGTTACCGTAGGTTGTCGGCACCCCCGACCCTTCAAGTTTACCTGAGCCTTGTTATAGTCCTCAGCTTAGATGTCATGGACATCAGCGGCGAGACCCAGCGCGACATTTCACACAACATCCAGAAGCAGCGTCTGCAGTCTGACGGTCAACGTGTCCCAAACGCTATATCTTCGGAACTGGGTAACGAACTCGATGCCCACAACGCGGCTAGAGAACCTGGCTATTGTGGCTCATGCTACGGTGGTTTGGAGCCTGAGGGTGGCTGTTGCCAGACTTGTGAGGACGTCCGACAGTCCTATGTCAATCGCGGCTGGAGTTTCTCGAACCCCGATGCTATTGAGCAGGTGGGTTTACATTTTTTTCTCTTTTTCTCAAAGTAATCTATTGGCAGTGTTTGCAAGAAGGCTGGTCAGACAAGTTAAAGGAGCAATCAAACGAAGGCTGCAACATCGCTGGTCGTGTCAGGGTTAACAAAGTCATCGGCAACATCCACCTCTCTCCTGGACGTTCGTTCCAAACCAACTCGCGCAACATCTACGAGCTGGTGCCGTACCTTCGCGACGACGGCAACCGCCATGACTTTTCACATACGATTCATCATCTCTCATTTGAAGGCGACGACGAATACGATATCTACAAAGCCAAAGCCGGCCATCAAATGAGAGATCGAATGGGGATTGCTAACAATCCGCTGGACGGAGCAATGGCTCGCGTTAGTCCACTTGGTTTTCTGTTTGCAGATTTAATCTTAATTCTCCCAATAGACGTCCAAATCGCAATACATGTTCCAGTACTTCCTCAAAGTTGTCTCGACTCAGTTCCGCACTTTGGAGGGCAAAATCGTAGGCCCTTGAGCAGTCAGCAGGAATGAGACTAATTCTTGTTCAGGTCAACACTCACCAATACAGCTCGACCCAGTTTGAACGAGACCTTCGAGATGGTGGTCAGGGCGACACTCCTCAGGGCGTGCACATTCAACATGGCGTCAGTGGTGTCCCCGGAGCGTTCTTCAACTTCGAAATTTCCCCCATACTCGTCGTTCACTCAGAGACACGGCAATCCTTTGCCCACTTTGTCACATCGTATGTTCCTCTGTCGTTCTGGTATCCGCATGGGCTGACCCAATAATGCTCAGGACGTGTGCTATTATCGGAGGAGTTTTGACTGTCGCTTCACTTGTAGACAGCATTCTTTTTGCCACAGGACGAGCGCTCAAAAAGGGTGGCTCGTCAAATGGGAAGCTGATGTAGGTAGGAGGGTATGTATGAGAGCGTGTGCCAAAAATATTATCTATCTGAGCAGTCAAGTTGTGTTCCAAAAGAAAATACAAGTACAAGTACACTGTAGGGCATCAGAATGACGTGTAGTTGAGATGTAAGATAGACTGACAGCAAATAAGATAAGTTATTGAGACCGTAGCACCGTCGCAGCACTATTTGCGCTTCACTGGTGCTTTTGAACGCCCCGTGTCAGGCATTACACGGCGCCGTTTAGTTGGAGAGGCTTCAGTTGATTGCGGAGCATTCCCATTTAGTCGCTTTTGTCGAGATGAGGTTTGAGTTAACGGGACTCCGCCATAAACATCCAGATTCCTCATCGTCGATGCATTCTGACCCAGTCAGGGGTATGTAGAAATGGGAGAGTAAGCAGACGCACCATTATCAACTCGTCCTCTCCACTTTCGTCGTCTTCATCGTGTCCGCTTTGGTAATCTTCTTCGTCTGCCACCATCAACCCACTTCGACGACGCTTTACAATCCGGACAGAATCGTGCTCCAGCTCGTCCTCCTCTTCTTCTTCGACCTGCTGGTAGCTCATGTCAATATCCTCTTCATCGTCCTCTTCTTTCACGTGTACAACTGCTTGAACACGTCGAATCAGAATCTGGCGCGGGGCCTGGCCAGTCGCCGGCTTTGACGGCCGACTGGCTGATGTCTTGTGGCTTGACACAGTCTCCGCTTGTTTTCCTTTGGCTTTGGCTGATAGGATTGGAGTTTGAGGTTTGGTTCGACTAGCTTGAGGGGAGCCAGAGTCACTTGGACTAGGAGGACCAGCAAGCGGGGGCACAGTCTGTGTTTCGCGCTTTGGCGGTGATTCCGTGAGAGCAGAGCGGGATAGCTGATATTCAGAAATGAGCAAAGAAAAATGAGGACGATGTTTTTTGCGCACAGTGACCAGTTCTGTTGCCAGTCCGCACCGTTCTTGCTCCACCCTGTTGTAATGCTCTTGCCAGTTTTTCGCTTGCCCTTGCCAATGCGTGACCTCTCTTCGTAGGGTGTCAATCTAAGTTTCGGATAAGATAAGGAATGGGATTCATGTGTTGATATTCGTACCGAAGCCTCCATCTTCAAGCTCGACTCTGCCGTCGACAGCTTTAGCTTAGAAAACTGTGGAAACAGACGTGAAGAGACATTGATGAGGTTAGGATGTAGTTTGACGAACCTCGGCTTCGCGGCGGGATGCTGCAATTTCAGCATTGTGGGCGGTTTTGAGTGCATCGTCGCGTTCTCTTTTAACTTGGTCCAACTCGTCGCGCATCCGTGCAATCTCATTTTGGGCTGCTTCTTCGATCTCCGTTTCCTATTGGCCGGAGACTCAGATATGGGGCACAAAGAAGATGAGTAGGTGGCATACGGCACTTCTGACTGTTCGTTGGACGAGCGAGAGGATCTCAGAGAGCGAGTTCTTGGTGTCTGTGCTGAGGTACATCGCCGTCGTAACGCGAGAGTGATCGTGATCGTCACACCGCGTCACGGTATGGGGTTTGGACGATGACACCAAGATCCGGCTCTTGAACGCAAACCTTTTCCTTTTTTTCCAACCACCTCTCCGTACAGGAAAACCATGCTGTTGCTTCGTGGCTTGCGCCTCCGGCCACAACCAATTTTCAATCTTCACGCGCGTTACGCGTCGCGGAAAGTGTTGCGGACGTTCAAGCTTGCAGATATTGGAGAAGGTATCACTGAATGCGAGGTTATTCGGTGGTCTGTCGAGCCAGAAGCAAAGATCGCTTCGTTTGACCCCTTGTGCGAGGTGCAGAGCGACAAGGCAAGTGTGGAGATCACGAGCCCGTTCGATGGAATAGTCAAGCAATTGTTGGTCGAGGAGGGCAAGGTGGCCAAGGTGGGACAAGGGCTATGCTTGATTGAGGTCGAGGAAGAAGAGACTGCAGAAGAGACTGGACGGAAAGATGAGGTCAAACCAGAACAGCCTGCATCACAGCCAGAGAAGTCGACTCCTTCACCGCCGCCGCCACAAACAACAACCACAACGCGTCAGCCCCACCCGCTTGACCCTTCATTCATCCCAAAGCTTGATTCGACAAACGATGTGCTTGCAGCGCCGTCTGTACGACACTACGCCCGTTCACAAGGTGTCAATTTGGCGGAACTTGCTCCAGGAAGCGGCAAAGGCGGCCGAGTGGAGAAACAAGATGTTGATATGTTCATTCAAGGGGGAGGAATTGCTGCTGCTGCCGCTACTGCCTCTGCACCTGTCGCTACAAGCGATGGAAAGGATGTAGTTGTAGAACTGGGCCGAACAAGGGCCGCAATGTGGAGAGCAATGGTGAAGGTATATAATTTTAAATATCCGCCCACTGTCTGTTCATTCATCTCCAGAGTCTCGAAGTACCGCATTTTGGCTACTCAACAACTCTCGACATTACTGACCTCCACGCTCTACTTCCTCTACTAAACCAACACATCCCCGCCCAACATCGACCACCTAGCAACTCAACCCCAGCTTTTAATCCGGCACATGCACTCGGCGAAGGCGTTGGACTGCAAACTGTGCCCGCTGTTCCACCGACTGGGCAGTACACTCGACTAACCTATCTCCCATTCCTGCTTAAAACTCTGGCAACAACCATGATGGACTGGCCACTCCTTCGTGCCACCATAACAGCAACGACTGCCAAACCATCTCTGACGATACGCCCCCATGCAGACATTGCTCTTGCCCTCGCCACCCCAACCGGGTTATACACCCCAGTCCTTCGTGCGACTGAGACCCACAACATCTATACCATTGCATCAGATGTCACCCATCTTGCTGCCCTTGGTCGACGAGTTCCGTCGGGCCTGACTGCCGCTCATCTCGGCGGCGGGGGCACCATCAGCGTCAGCAATGTTGGTGCTGCCGGTCATGGGACTGGGGCAATGCCCGTTCTTGTTCCCGGAGGCGGAGTTGCGATTGTCGCAATAGGTAGAGCGGAGTGGATTTGGGATGTGTCAGACAAGTATTGGCAAGCTGGTGGTGCCAGACGATTAAAGTTGCCAGTTTCATGGAGTGCGGACCATCGTGTCGTGGAAGGAGCTGAGTTGGCTGCATTTGTGGAGGCATGGAGGGCATGGGTTGAGAATCCAGGACGCTTAATTGCGGCGGGTGTATAAAACACGCTGTAGATCAGAGAAAACAATGTAGTTTATTTTTCAGTTCCGAGTTGGCCACGGCGAACTATATTTGTTACCACGTGCACTTCTTCTTTCTTCTATTCCACTTCCTCGACAACCCTTCATGCCACTTGTTCCGTCTTCTCCTCGCTCTCGGTCGCGACAACCATTCACCCAGCGACCCAGCTTTGTGGACGCGGTCTTTTTACGGACGACCGCTTCACGTATTCTGCTGCGACGTGGCCCTCTCGGGTTTACTCGAGGCCATTTTTAACTCGTCCGCTGAATCTCCAGGAGAGCTGCCTATCGCAATGTCGAAGTTGACCCGTCATGTGCTGTTTTCCTATAAAATATGGGTCGTTTTGTGGGCAGACAATTGTCAACCATGAAGGCCCTCTTTGCGCTAATTGCTGCTGCTCTTCCCCTCGTCTCTGCCTCAGGGTCGGTTTTCTCTGTAAGCTTCAGTGCAACTTCCATTAATATTCTGGGGCTAACCAAACTATTCCCAGGCAGTCTCGGTGAACGGTGTCGACCAAGGACACGCTGTCGGCGTCCGGGTCCCCACCGCCAACACGGTAACGCCCACTCTCCATTCCCCCGTTCCCCTCCTAATAAAAGCGCGGCCAGGCAGTCACCAACGTCAACTCGGCCGACCTCACGTGCAACAAGAACTTCATTCAGCCCGTGTCGCAGGCGGTCATCAGCGTGCCCGCCGGGTCGCAAGTGACTGCACAGTTCCACAAAACGGCTGCCGGGTATCTCGGCCCGGACCCTTCGGAGCCGCTCGACCCCACGAATAAAGGGCCTGTGGTTGCTTGGCTGTACGTCTTTGTTTAAACAAAAAAACTTCATGTTGAACATGGGAAAGCGCGTCGGTCCCATCCGCAACCCAAACCAATGTTTCAGGTGAGCCAGAACGCAAGCCTCCTTTGAAATGTAGTTCCAACGGGTCTGAACATAGGTCTAAAATGGTTTAAAATCTGGCAAAGCGGACTGTAAGCGTGAAGGTTTTGCTTTCCGTCTGAAATACTCAACACACCACAGCAACTCTGAGACCGGCCAGTGGGCATCTGACGCACTCTACGTCAACAAAGGCAATGTCACCTTCCCCGTACCGAGTTGTCTTCCCAACGGAGACTACCTCCTGCGTGTCGAATACATCGGTAAGCTGGTTAATGAGTTATCGAGCCGCATACAGATAATCTTTTGCAGGCCTGGAATATGCTACATCCTATCCTGGTGCCCAGTTCTTCGTTCGTGGCGGATTTCACACTTCCGCCTCTAAACTTAACTGTTTGCAGATGAGCTGCGCTCAAATCCACATCAGCGGTTCCGACGGGACTAATGCTAGCCCCTCGACCGTCAGCATCCCAGGAGCATATGCACCGTCCGATATGGTCCTCGACTCGCTCGTGGGGATCGACAGCTACACGATCCCTGGTGAGTGTCTTGCACCCCCCCCTTTGCGAATTCTTTTGATTTCTTGTAGGACCGGACGTGTTCACTTGCTAGGGGCATTTGGAGTAAAAATCTTGTTTGGTGAATATATACTGTTCGAGGATTGATTCTGGCGTGGCGGAGAACCGAACTTGCTGAGCTGTCAAGAAAATATTCAGCCAACTTGGTTTGCGAGTTGAAGTTTGTCATTTTGTCGCTAGAGCGGAAGTGAACGCCCTTATAAGAGGGATTGCACTCGCATCAAGATCTGCAATGGTTCAGTTGCTTGCGTTCCTCAGGCGCCACCAGCACCTTTCATTTGAAGAGTTCGACGAGATGTGGTAAGACCTTCTGCAGGAGAGTTTGAGTTTCTTGAGACTATCTTGCAGGACGAACCATGCAACGCTCGTAAATAAACATCTTAAAGCTGTACAGGACGGCTCGGTCAAGTACAAGCAGGTTCGTTTTCGAGTTATATTTTCGCACATTTCTGAACCAAGTGTTTGTAGTTCCATGTCGACCCGAAGGTCAATGCCGAGCTGCGTGCGCTGGGGCGTCCAGTCCTGGATCACGACGGTATGGTTCTGTGGGAAGCGGCAACCTTGGCAGAAATTTTCGAGTGCATCGCTTCCCCAGAATGTCTTGAGGTGTGTGAACTAGCTGGTGGTGGGCTTTATATTCCGTATGCTGACGTTCACAGTTCCTTCGACCAGACGATGCGCGGTTCTTGGCGGAGGAGAGGGTAGAGCTGGTAGCTGGGCAGTTCATGTAATTGTTGAAGTTGCGAGTGATGGCATCACTATCGTCCTTGTCTTTGGCCAACAACGTTAACAACAACATGCTGGTGGTTGTGGTTGCTACGGCTATTGTCCCTGAGAGGGATATAAACCGCGACGAGCGTGTATCTCTCACCAAACGCGATGTCCTTGTCAACCCTCCCGACTGAACTCGTCGCCCTAATTGCCACTTATCTCTATGTTGGGGAGTCTATCACTTTCCATCTTCCCGCGGGCCAACACAAGTCGAACATCGTCGCATTCTCGCAGGTATCTGCTTTATTGAGGGCGGTGGCGTTTTCTCTGCGGCACCCATGGACGAACTACACCCTCATCCTCTCCGCAAATAAGTCGACAAGGGCACAGTATGCCTGGGCCGAACGCCGTTTTGCAATATGGAAAGCGCTAGCGCGTGGGCAACCTATTCGTTTGCAAATCATCCAGGAAGAGACACACTACGGTGTGGGGCATCTTGTCAGATTCCTCGGCAAACACTCCCACTCTCTTTCCTCGCTCGTGCTCGACATCCCTGACGAGACGTTTGTCTCGATAGCTAAACACACATCCTTCCCATTCCCATCCCTCACTACCTTACTCATGACCCTCCACCTCAAGAAGAATGGCGAACAAACGCTTCTCCCGCAGGATCGTCGCTCGCGCTTCTTCGCTAAGATGCCTCAATTACAGATTCTGCAGCTGGGTTATAGCCACGACGACTGGCACCCACTAGCGACATTATCTCCGCAATTCTACGAATGGGACCTGCCTCTCTCGCACTTAACCGTCTTTTGCATGCCCCTCATCTGGCTAGAGCTCCCCGAATTCCTCCTGGTCCTCCGATCTGCCCCGAATCTGCACACTTGCACCGCCCTCGTCGACGCTCCGCCAGTGTACGGCCACGTAGACGACGCCCCGTTCATACTAGACAATCTCAAAGCGTTGGCGCTGACGTTTCGCATGACACATCCGACTGTGTGGACTTATTTCTCTGCGCCTGCGTTGCAGGTGTTGGATATCACGCTCATTACTGGCCTGAATGATGACGATCACGAGGAGACCCATGCAATCGCGCCAGCGGATGTGGATAAGTTTTATTCGGAGCAGCCGCATGCTACGGGGACAATCGTCACAGTGTACAGGGTGGTGGAGTACGCGTATGATGAGGAGACGAATGCATAGACAGGTACATTCTTAAACAAAAAATCACAACTAGATCAAATAGGCTGGACGGAGGACAGTGAGATCTAGTGAGATAGAATCAAGTTTAGAGTTCCAGTTATTATGGAACTGGGACTGCGAGAGTACTTATAATAAAAGAGTGGTCGGATGTATTTGTCAATGGCTTACTACTATAAAAGGGCAATTCAAAGGATTGGCTGTGGAACAGTGCTTGAATGTACTTATTTGGCTTTCCGATAAAATTACTATAGAGGGACAATTGAGAAGAGAAACATTGCTATATAAGGTGAAATGGAGGCAGATTGCAAACTCGGTCAATTTAGGGAGTCGGATTGGCAACCGCTGTGTGCGAGATCAATTCGGCGTCGAATCAAAAAAAAATACACTAATCGTGATTGATGTGGTGGGCTGCGGTTTTTTCTGGTCAAGATTTATTGTAGCAACAAGTTGCCCAACCTCAGCGGCCGATTTGCGAAGAAGCGCCTTCGTTTCGACTGCTTCTTTGGCCTGTACCGAGATTGGGTTCGCAAGCATGAAAGGAGGAAAATACGTACTGTGTAGACATCCAATGCTTTTGCCAACTTCGCGTTCGCGGTAGCAAATCGCACGGAGTCTGACGCCGCCGAAAACCATGCAGCGAGCTGGCCTCGTGCCGAGAGATCCTGGATTAGCGATGTGGCTTCTTGGAGAGAACTGCAGAAAATAATTCAGTAGTTTTATTGGTATGCGTCCAGGCGGCATACTCTTGGAGGATATTAGTCGACTCTGAACCTTCCCCCGCCAGAAGAGCTTGTTTAAGCACATTAGCTTTGACATTCTCGGCATGTTGGGCCAGCATGATGGCAGCTTCTTGATTCGTTTTCGCCACCTAACAATGTTTCAAGGACGGGAAAGGCCAGGTTGTAGATCCATACGATTGCTCTATTGTTGAACAGCTCAACTACATTCGCAATCGGCTTGAACACGCTCAGAATCGGCGCATCGCAAACCGCAACAGCGATTTGTGCCCCGAATACGACAGCTTCGAGAATGGTCTTCGCTTTAGCGGTCGGAAGAGGTGGTTTGTGTGTTGTTTGCTTCAGCTTCTTACTGGTTAGCACCAAAGAGCGACCAAAAATGCCCAACACGCACGATTGCTTTACAGGTCTGTCTGAGTTGCAGCTCCAGACGCCTTGAGTCACGAGAGCGTCTGAACATAAATCGCGGAGGATCTTCGACCAGGCGACGCATAAGAAGGACGGTCCTGTTTTCAGCAATAAGCAATCATGCAGATCAGGACTGCTAAACAGCATACCGCCTCATATCTTGGAAATAATTCTGTAGCTCTGCATTTCCAGACGGAAGCCCTCCCTTTTGCGCTATCTCTAAGACAGGCACTAAAACCGCAGAGGCCGATGTAACAAGGGAGACAGCGCTTTTGCGATGGATCTAAACTTTCAGTAATGGATTCAAGGAGGTATAAAAAGACTAACAGTCGAGTTCTCGACTACCAGAAACAGTTCGCCCATGGCGATAGCGACATCTTGGACATCGCTTGGGGCTGCTGCAAGCTCGAGACATAGCTGCTGCGCTCGGGCAGTCGTCTGGGAAGTGGAGACCATTGACAACTGAGAGCAAGGTCGCAAGCCTGTTTCTGCCGCTGTCCCAACGGGAAAGCTGTGGAGGTCTTATGACCAGACAAACCACTGAGGTGGCTTCTGCGGCGTCTAATGGTCAAACACGACAGCCCATGAGGCAGGTTGGTAAGCCGGGCGCAATTGAATGCGTGGTTGGGAAATGTTCGAACGACGACATGCACGCACCCTGACAACTGAGAAGAAAACGGGAGGATTTTTTTAAATTTTAATGAAGGTAATAATGGTTGAAAAAATGGTGACCTTTATTGATTAGAAAAAAAGGTTTAAATAATGTCCACTAGATAGGAAGGAAATCTGACCAGAAAAATGTTTCTCAGATTGTAGGAGAAAAAGGGTGCATATGTGGGAAAAATGGAAGATATCTGGGCATAAGAGGCTTTTTTGTATAACAATGTTGATTCTTTTTTTCTGATAAGATTGCTGTTCTACTTATTGGGTCTTTTTAAATCCATTTTCCCCAACAAATAAAGGTGTCCCTTTTTGGGGTCATTATTACCTTAATTAAAATTTAAAAAAATCCTCCAGTTTTGTTCCCATTCCTCGGGGTGACGTTCAGGTTCAGGTGAAGAGGTTGCACGATCACGTGAGTAACCACGACAGATGAATTTCGCGTTAAAAAGTGTGAATTCAGTCACAAAGAAAGCCTTCCTATCGGCGACTATCCTAAAATTAGTCCACTCAGCTGATTTAATTGTCTTTGTGGCATCCGCGCTATTTAGTGCGCGTTCGACAATGAGCACTATCGCGAGCAACAATCGGAAGACCTTAGGAGCTCTGAACCTTGAATCCCAGTGGCAGGCCAAAATAGTATTGGTACAAGGTTTGAACATTTGGCATCACACATAATCATACATATAGTACGCGGGCACACGCAACACAATCATGACACAGATTGCAGTAGTTGGATTGAGGAAGAAAAGAAACGCTGCTTGCACGTGGTAAGGAGGGCTCTTGTTCCAGTGTGTTGTTTTTGGATCCACAACAGCAACAAGCTGAGAGACTTGTTGAGTGGTCTTGCGGAGAAGAGCTGTTGCCTCCACAATCTCCTTGGTCTGCAGCATTTGTCAAGCCATATCCAAAAAGATGGAAGAGCACTAACCGCGTAGACCGCCAATGCATCCTTGAGTCGCGCATTAACATTTTCGAGGCGGATCGAGTCCGACGTCGCCGAAAGCCAGGCATCGTATTTACGCTGCAGCGAAAACTCGCGGAGGAGCAATGCAGCCTCTTGAACCGAGCTGAGATATTACACTATGAGTGGAGGATGGAGAACTCGAGCTTGAAGACCTACGTTTCGAGGGATTGAACAACACTGTCTGATTTCGCACCTTTCGCGACAGCGGGTTTCAGGACATTGTTTGTGATGTCGTCCAACTGTCGTGCAAGTGCAACAGCAGCTTCTTTGTTCGCCTCGATTGCCTAAAAAGTTCGGATTCTAGGGTTATCAAAGGTTGGGATATAAAGACATACCATCACTTTGCCATTGACCAGCCCGACAACATTTGCAACAGGCTTGAACATGTTCAGAATGGGGGCATCGCAGACAGCAACAGCAATTTGCGCGCTCAAGTTCACGGCCTCGAGGATGCTGGCTTTAGAGCTGGGAATGGAGCTGTAAGGTTGGGATAACTTCATCTGTCAATTCCGTTCCAGTCTTGGAAGAACGAAGCACACACAATTTTTTTGCAGTTCTTCTTGACTTGCTGCTGCAGGAGCTTTGCGTCGCGAGCGCGCTTCAAGATGAATTTTGGAGGATCTTCAACGAAGCAACGCATGAGCTGAATAGTCCTGGTCACCGGTATAAGCCCCAACACAGGTGAAGACCGTGACGAGGAAAAGCATACTGCATCAAATCTTGAACGGGTTCCTGCAGCTCTGCGCTTCCGGCTGCAGGCCCGCCCTCTTTCGCCGTTTCCAAAACGGGCAGGAGAGCCTTGGACGCGGACATAACAAGTGCTATAGCACTTTTGCGATGCACCTACAAACTCGATCAGCACAGGATATAGTTAGAGGTAAAGAAAACACGAGCTGTTAAGTTGTCGACTACCAGAAACAGTTCTCCTATCGCAGCTGCAATATTTCGGAAGTCGCCCGGGGCTGCTGCAAGCTCGAGACAAAGGCACTGCGCCTGAGTGGTCGTCTGGATGGCGGAGGCCATCGACACCTGGAAGCAAGTTCGCAAACCCGTTGTGCTGTGGAGGTCTCATGACGATCATCCACGACATCCCATGAGGCGAGTTGGTAAGCCAGGAGCAATTGAATGTGTGATTGGGAAACGACTTCGTGCTGTTGAGGCTGAGGTCGAAGGAACGCACGGTCACGTGGACACGCCTGTGTGTGTCCAAAACACTGTGATACGTATAGTCGGGCAAGAGAGATATTTCGCGCGGATAATCCCTCCTGTATTTTGTGTCTCGTTCGCGAATAAGCTGCACCATTCAGCCTAGCTCATGCGATTTCGTCCTGTCGTGTGCCCGATCATCTAGGCGAAGACCAAGTTGTAGGAAGCGGCTGCAGGGAGTAGTGTCTCGCTACCGGAGAGCGTCTCTTCCTAGCGTCATCAGTCTGATCAGACAATGTTCCCAGTATCCCTGCTTCCAGGGCCTAATAGAGCCGGGCAATAATGTTGTTCTGGTACGGTAGCGTGAATCAAGAGCAACTTGTGTGAATTTCATCCTCAACCGTCTTGCTTACCATAAGACAAGAAGGCTGGAGAAGAGAGGATAAAAGTCATCATCAAACATAGTGAACTAGAGGCAGCGAGGACGCTGAGATTGGCGCCGGGCCGGTGTAGAGCCACATCATCCATTCAGTTACATAATGATAAAGTTAGCTGTGTACAACTTAGCCTCCGATCATCGACAGAAATGAGCCGGGACACTTGGGCTGTCGTTCTGCAAAGCACCGCCTTCGTCTCCACTGTCTCCCTTGCCTACAATTTCGCTTTCAGTTGGCCACAAAAAAGAGGTGAACACGGAATTACCGTGTAAACCGCCAGCGCCTTGTCCAACTTGGCGCTAACGCTCGCGAACCGCGCTGAATCGGAGGTCGCTGAGAGCCACGCAGTGTATTTACCGCGTCGATCGTCTAGAAGTGTTGCGGCGTCTTGGAGAGCGCTGCAAGATTTTCAGCACGCAAGGAAGTGGTTGACCACGTTTCAATAATGTACCTTTGAAGCGCTTCAAGCGCAGGCTCTGATCCTCCTGCCAAAACAGCATGTTTCAGCACACTGGTCGTTACATTCTCTGCGTGTTGTGTGAGCGCGGTAGCGGCTTCTCGGTTTGCTTTGACCGCCTGGAGAGGTATTGAATTTGAGAAACTTTTGGCATGAATTAAAGAGCACATACCATTGCTCTGTTGCTGATGAGGGCGACGACATTCGCAATCGGCTTGAAGGCATTCAACACCGGCGCATCGCACACCGCAGCAGCAACCTGCGCGCTCAGGCCCACAACTTCGAGGACGGTTTTGGTCTTGGCGTTGGCGGGAGTAGGAGATTGCGAGTGCTTCAACTGCTTTTTCATTTAATAACGAGGCGAATGAGGATCCAACGCTACGCACGACTGCTTTGCAGCTCTTCTTGAGTTTCTGCTTCAGCTGGAAGGACTCCAGAGGGCGTTTCAGAAAGCCTGGATGCTGCTCAATAAAGCTTCGCATCCGCCCGAGAGTTCTACTCAAATTGAGAGACGCTACGAGTAAGAGAGGAAGAACCAACGTCGTGATGTCCTTGAGAAGACGCTTAAGAGCCGGGTCCTCAACTGAAAGGTCCCCATCGTGTGCTTTCTGCAGAATTGGTGCAAGGATTTCGACCGCCAACGTAGCCATTGATACCGCGCGTTTCCGCCGCGACTATGTCGCTTGAGACGATGTAAAAAGGCAGGAAAGTCATGCTCACTTGGGCGTTCTCAACCGCAATACACAGTTCTACTAGCGCAATCGCAGCACGCTGGGCATGTCCCAGGGTCGCATCTGTCGCACACGCCACACACAGTTCTTGCGCTCGGGAGAGGGCCATTGTGGGGGAGGGAGCAGGTTGAAGGAAGCTGCTGCGTACGGCTGTAGTCACGGTTGTGTCGCCACAGACGCATAGCTGTGAACCACCGTCTTCCAGAGTCATCGCTCAAAATAACTCTCCCGGGCCAGCATCGAATAAGAAGACAATAGATGGTCTACATAGCGCGCCGGAGCGGTATTCGGAGCGACGCACGAGTGAGATGGGCGCCATCGATGTCGGGTGCAAGGAATCACCTTGCTTTGCAAGGTCCCTCCCCGGTCTATATTCGCCACATCATGATGTGTTGATGGGTCTGCAGCCAAACAACACCAAACTCGACCCGAACCAAAAACCCCCAAACCTCCGTAGTTTCCTCGGGGAATCTCTTCACTGCCACTGATTTGTCACCGGACTTTTGTCATCCTTATGATTCTGATGGTGAATGACAGTATCTTGAAAAACTCCTAGAAAACTATGAGATATACACTTGTACATAGCCTTATATATCAGGAGTTCATATGAAAATAATTCTAATTATACTTTTTCAGTCTGTTGTCCCAATTGGGAAGGAATCAGTGAGATCAATTTTGATGATCTGTTGTCTTGGCTTAGTCTGGATTAGGTTAAAACAGAAGTTATCTGATGGATTCGATGATATCATAGTTCTTCTATGCTTGCACTTCATCCTTGATAACATTTTTGGAAAAATTGTCAGGGGATGAGGGTCCAGGTGCCTAGTTGATACCAAAGCCGGGGGAACAGCCCCATGGCCAACTACTTAAGTACAGGGCTATCTGCGCACGGACCAGTCACGTGATCAGTCACAGCTGTCACATCACATGCTCCCCTTACAAAAATATGCAAAGTCCTGAGAATCCTTTATTCTATATGATGGAACTACTGCAATAATAATAATCAATTCAAATGGTATTTTAAGTATAATATTCAATACAAAAAATTAGAATTAAAATTATTTTATGATTGGGAAGTTTTTGGCATTATATCCACCCAGAAATATCATAAATTACTACTTTAGGCATAGGAATATAAATAAAATGACATGATATATGAGAAAATTTGGATAATATTGGCAGTGTGACATGTGACATGTAAACTGAATGAAATACTACTATCATATTTTATTCAATTTGTTAGGGCCTGAAGGCTATAATATGCCTAAGAAACCTGGCAATTGGTAAGGCTATCACATTAGGCAATTTTGGCGCCTCCAGTACCAGAATAGAGGAAAATTGCCTCATTTGGATGTCTTTGACCAAAATATGAGCGGATGAGTGTGATCAATGAAAAAATTAACAGATTGATGTGCATGTCCACTTGTTGTTTCATATTAGAATGAACAGTCTACTCAGGCTGTGGTAGGTGTCACTTGTTAGGCTTTGGATCGGGCCTGACACATCTGAAGTCAGTGTTAGGTTCGAATCAGGTCATTTCAGGCCTGATAAGTTGGTGATGCCTCCTTGCACAGTGAGAAATGGTACAATAGATGATCTCAGTGATAGAGTACAGTTGTACACTATCACACCTTATATATGCATGCCTGCTGAGGGAGTGATTGGACACCCTTGGCCTCTTCTGCTCCTCCTTGTCCCTGTTCCTGGTTGCAGAGGGGACGATCATACATCTCTTACAGGCTAGGCGCTACTCCTAGCCTCCTAGCACTCCTCCCCAATCCCCTTGTACTGCAAGTTGGGCTTGACATCAGCCTAACATATTGTTCTCAGTCACGTGCTTCCCATCTATGCATTCCTCCCTACTAGAGTGCCTGTTCCCCGTTGTTACGTGCTGTGTGTTGTTGGCCCTTGGTAGCTTGACACTAGTGCCAGAGCGGACGGGCCAGGTCTTATCTGTGACATCACTCAGCTTATGTTTTATTGTTACACACTCCCTCTTTATTGCTCAACTTTCATGTTTCCCTTAACTGTAGTATTTCAATCAAGTGTCTGTGTTACATGTTACACAGCAAAAAAAAACCCCCTTGACAAAAAATCACTAAAATTAAAATCAAAACTTTCAGCCTTTTCAGGCACAAAAAAATTAAAAATTGGCAGACAGTTGACACTTTCCAATTGTTACTTTGAGTGCAAGGGTATTGTGGCAATTTACTTAGGCCACTAGGAATTGTCAAAAAATTCTCCATTCTATTATTTTTTTTGTGCTAGAGAGCCTCAGTGCTAGGGCTAAACAAACAAATGGAAAAACAATATGACACAAGTTTGTTTATGATTAAAAGCTGCACAATAGCTAAAGAAAGGACCAAAGCAAGGGAGGCCCAAAGCAAGGTCCAAGTTGGCAAGGCCGGCACCTAGTTCAAGATCACGTGTTAGTTTAATCACAACATCACAACACCGCAGCCGCAGGGTGCTACCAGCAGATACTATGTACTATGTAGCTAATGAGTGAGTGATATGTACATTGGCATCCACATCGATGGCGAGAGCGCTAATAATTAGCTATGTACGCATAGCCGAAACTGGAAGCATTGACACCGGCTGTTGGCGCTGTCAATATCTAAAAAAAAAACTTGCGCGTGTCGCGTCGTACAACAGCACCAAGCTGTGAGACTTGATCACTCGTTCTGCGAAGAAGGATTTTGACTTCCACAGCCTCCCGTGCCTGTGTTCCCGTCAACTGACCACAAAAAAAAAAGAGGGAAGAACACGATGTACCGTGTAAACCGCCAGCGCCTTGTCCAGCTTGGCGTTGACGCTCGCGAACCGCGCCGAATCGGAGGTCGCTGAAAACCATGCGGTATATTTACTGTGTTGAGTGTCTAGAAGTGTTGCGGTGTCTTGGAGAGCACTGCAAGATTTTCAGCATGTAAGGAAACGGTCAAGTACGTTCAATGTACCTTTGGAGCGCTTCAAGCTCAGCCTCCGATCCTCCCGCTAAAACAGCGTATTTCAAAACACTAGTGGTTACATTTTCCGCGTGTTGTGCAAGCGCGGCGGCGGCCTCCCGGTTCGCCTTGACCGCCTGCAGAGGTTTTGAATTCGAGAAACTTCTGCAATAAGTTAAAGAGCACATACCATTGCTCTGTTGCTGATTAGGGCGACGACGTTCGCGATCGGCTTGAAAGCATTCAGCACCGGCGCATCGCAGACCGCAACCGCAATCTGCGCGCTCAGGTCCACAACTTTGAGGATGGTACTGCTCTTCGTGGAGTTATGAGATTTCGAGAGCCTCAACTGCTGGCCATTTAGCCGTTCCAATGGATCAATAGGACGGCACGTACGACTGCTTTGCAGCTTTTTTTCAGTTGCTGCCTCAGCTGGAAGGTCTCCAGAGGGTTCAGAAAGCCTGGATGCTGCTCAACAAAACTGCGCATCCGCCCGAGTGTTCTACTTAAATTGAGAGACGCTACGAGTGAGAAGCGAAAACGCACGTTGTGATCTCTTCGAGGAGATGCTTAAAAACTGTGTCCTCTACTTTAAGCTCTCCATCGTGTGCTTTCTGCAAAATCGGGGCCAAGAGTTCGACCGCTACCGTGGCCATAGAAATGGCGCGTTTCCGCCGAGACTAGGTGGCTTAAGATAATGTAACAAAGGCAGGAAAGTCATCCTCACCTGGGCGGTCTCAACCGCGATGCATAGTTCTACCAGCGCAATTGCAGCATGTTGCGCGTGGCCCAGGGTCGCATCCGTCGCACACGCCACACAGAGCTCTTGCGTGCGGGAGAGGGCCATGGGGGTGCAAAGTAGGGAGGGGTTTGGGGAAAGCTGGCTGCTGCTGCGTAAGGCTGTAGACAAGGGTGTGTCGCCACGAGGCGCATAGCTGTAGAGCCCCGGAGTCAATAGCTCTCCCGGACCAGCGTCTAACAAGGAGACAAGAGATGGCTCTTATTGCGCGCCATAGAGCGAAGCAAGAGTGGATCTCTCAGCGATCGTCGGAGATCGAGAGCAAGGGATCTTCGAAGATCACATGTTAGGTTAGTACGAGCGCAACGTTTTTGCGTTCCTCTCTCTTGTAGACCTCAGATAGAGCTAGAATAATTTTATGTATAAACCCGAAAGCGAATGAATGCACAACAACAACGACAATAAACAATCCTACACGACGGGTGCGCCCTCCTCCGTCTCGCCCTCCGCGTCCTCCTCCTCCTCCTCGTCCCCGTCCTCCCCGCCGTCGCCCTCCTCCTCCTGCGCGACCTCCTCGAGCTGCGCCGCCAACAACGCAAGCTGGGCCTGCAACTCCGCCCTTGACGGGTCCACCACGCCCCTCCCAGTCCCTTCCGTCCCCGCCGCGAAGTTGATCCCCTGCAGCATGCTCTGCGCCGCGGCGAACACGTGCTCGCTCGCGGGGGGCACGTGCGGGCGCGCAGGCGGCACCGCGCTCGGGGGCGCCCACCGCAGCGGGGCGGCGCCGTTCGCCGGCGGACGCGGGCCGAGGGCGGACGGCGCGGGGAGCGCGGGCCGCGGCGGGACGGGGATGAACGGCTGCAGCGGGCGCGGCTGGCCGCCGGGGAAGGCGTACCCGCCCGGCGCGGGCGCGGGGATGAGCGGCGCGGCGGCGCTCTGTGTCTGTGGCCGGCGGGTCGCTCGTCGTGTAGATGACTACAGCGGGTTAGACTTGGACACCAAAGAAAAGACTGGGTGCCCACATTCCCGCCCTCCCAATGCGGGTTCAGCCGATACTTCCCGCTTGTGCTCTTCTCGAAGCGGCCGCGGCGGTACGCCTTCTGCAGCGCCTGACTGGCCGACGGGCGGAAGTTGGACTGCACGGGATAGCGCGTGGCCATCCAGTTAAACAGGTCCTTTGGGGCGAGGCCCTCGGGGTCGTTGACGGCGGTGAGCCCCTCGACGATCATGTCCTCGTAGCTGGGGAGGTCGCCGTCGTCCGCGGCACTTGTTGGATCGGGGGCATGCGGGGTGGTGAAGAACGGGGGCGCGCCAGGGTAGGCGTAAGGCGGCTGGGGATAGACGCCTGGTGGGGGCGGGTAGGAGTACGGGTAGGCATAGCCCGGGTAGTGCTGGTAGGGGTACCCATACGGCTGCAGCGGTGCAGAAGACGGGCCTGCTATCGGTGCCGGCGGCGTCGGTGTCGTCGTCGCTACTGCTGCTGTCGTCGTCGTCACCGCCGTCGTCGACAGCGACGGGGGCACATCCTCCACCTTCGGCGTCTTCCGCAGCGCGCTCCGGAAGTCCGCGGGCCAGATATTGCGCTTCAGCGCCATCGGGACGTGCACATCCAGTCGCAGACATATATCGATGACCTGCTCGGTGGGGAGGCTCGCGAGGTACTCGCGTTTGAGGGCATGGTCTGTTTTTTTATTTGGTGAGTGGGGGCAGCAGAGGGGAGGGAGGCAACACACCTTCAGGTGGGGCATTCTGCACAATGTGGCCCAACGTGCCTCCGCCTCCGGCTTCGACCATCTGTACAGTTTCGAGGCGTAACAGCTACCTAGTAGCTCCACGTGATCACTCGTGAATAAAATTTTTTACGGTACATACACAAGTCCCGACAGTAAGAAAGCTCTATGGAGTCCATTACAACGACTTGTAAGCAGGCGGCGGCTCTGGGTACACCGCCTGCAGCCTTGCTTCAAGCGCCTCGATGCGGCGCCACCGCGTTGCATCGATGTCGGTCGTACTAGTTACCTCCGTCATGGTGCTCGTTGGCGGCGGTGGGGCGGGTATACTATAAGGCAAAACTGGTGGTTGTGGCTGACGGGTGCGTCTGCGCCTCCATAACCAAAAGCCGAATAACAATGCGAGGAGGACGACGACCCCGGCAACGGCGCTGCCTGCGATGACGGGGGCTGCTGGGTGTGGATGTGGTGTCAGAGACGGGGACGGGGAGGGAGAATGAGAGGGAGATGGTGTCGGGGGTAGATCGGAGAAGATGTATACAGAGGCAGCAGCGGGTGTGGATGATGCTGATGATAAAGGCGATGGCAGTAATACCGACACAGCGCTCGAGGTGGACTGTGGTTGGGTGCTGCTGGGCAGCGATGTGGGGAGTGGCGGAGCACTTGAATGGGTCGGCGGAGGTGGGAGCGTCGTTCCAGCCGGCGTAGTGCCCCCCACATCCTCAAACCTATTCCAGCCATTCAGCAACCTTATCACCGACAGCCGAGTTACGTACGTGTAAATCGCATAGTCGAAGACGAGGTACAAATCCGTATCTGCCTGTGTGGCCACAACAAGGGTATGGGGCGCATTCTGCAACCCGGTGAGCCGGAAGACGAGCTGGTTATACAACAGCTCCTGGACGGTGGTGGGCACGTGGCTGAACGACCCGTGCTGCACGCCGTCGACGGTGAACGCCGCCTCTGTCTCCGTCGTCACACCCGGTCCCTGGTAGTTGGCCAGCACGAAGTACACGTAAATCGCCGTCCCTTCCCAGGAAAATAAATACTTTTTATAAACAGTCAGAGGCACACACACCTGTAAAGTCCATGGTTATGTTCATGACCCCCATCGTCGTGCGATACGTCATGGCGCTATACGTCCCCTCGAAGACCTGCCCGACGTCCGGCTGGATAGCGCACCCAGTGCAGCTGGGCCCCTGCCACGGCCCCGGCGGGTAGTACACCGGCTTCGCCCCCGTCACGCTGTCCCCGTTCGTGTCGTCGATCGTCCGGTTCTGCAGCGCCGCCAGCGCTAGACTCGCGCCACCACCGAGCCACAAGAGCGCCCGCATGCCGGGCTGGGAGGGAGTGGAGAACTTGAAAGCAATGGGGCACTAAGCAGGGCTGTTCGCCGCCGGAGCGCGGCAAGCCCCTCCATCGAGATGCGTTTCCGCGTTGATCAAGTCATGGGCTAAAACAAGCAGTGGGTGTTATGTAATCCAACTCAAGTTAGTGCAACATTCGGTAAACGCTTTCTGCTAAGTGAAGCCTATGATCTTTCTGTGCTGTTGCTCACCATTGTGCAGCTAGCAACACGTGATCGTGAATTTCTAGCCCCGCCCGCGAAAAGTCACAGAATCGCTCATGGACGACCAATAGCCGTAGTGGGACAACAATTTAAGTCTTCCGCCTAAGAGCTGAGTGGAACAGATAGTTTCGAACCTAGTGGCTTCGACAGTTCAATACGGAAGTAACGGAAGACCCCATGTTTTCATCCCTCTCGACTTGTTCCGTGGCTGCAGGTCGGGCTGACCCCAGGCTGCTCGATCATTCAAGGTTCTCGTTGCTGGTGTGAAGCGTGCGCTCATAAATCAGTTTGCACATCTGTCTTGTGGCTCGCAAGGTTTGTCTTTTCAGGCAATCGCAAGCGTGTCTTGAAATCCGGGTTGTAGAACAGCGGTGGCGCCCCTCTGTGTTGGTAGAGACGCGTTAATTTGGGGGAAGGACGAGTGTTGTTGTTAGTCAAGGTGCGCTACCTGTCTGGTCTGGGTATCCAAACTGTTGCTTATTACGGATCCACTGCCCACAGTGTCTTGGCAATGTGTGAGTCGCTGGGACTCAGAGGAGTGAGTTGGTTGACGTCGTTGGTTGGCATAAAGAAGCACGACGGATGGTTCCAAGAATAACTCCTGTTTAGACATACACACAACATACACATCGGAGCTTTGCGGTGCTTGTTGTCCAGAGCTACCCAGAGCGGAGTTAGTGGCCAGAAGGGCAGAGTCACTAAGGCCCGCAAGTTGCCTAACTGCGCCATGCCGTCGGAGTAGCGCAATACGAAAGCAGCCGGTTCACGGTAAGGGCAAATTGATTATTGAGGGTGTATCGATCTTTCGTTCGGGTGAAAGCGGTTGTGGGGAACGGGCAGGCTCCTAAACCAACCCTCGTTGCAGAGCGCAATCCGAGAGCGTGATTCAGGCTAAATATGTATCAATTTAGTATAAAATCAGAAATGTGACATGATGTTACGAAGAGTTTTGGCAGAGCGGCCCCAAACTCTTCATCACACTTGTCACACTTCGGACATTTCGGTTATCAATATCATCGGATTTCGGACGTATCTACGCTACTCGGATTCCGCTCTGCAACGACGGGTGGTTTAGGAGCCTGGGGAACGGGTAATCACGAGGTGAGCCGGTATAATATTAACCGGTCCAGCTAAATTTTGTCTCTTGCTCTTGACCAGCTCATTGCCTCACTGGCATGCTCAGGCTGTCAGCCCGCCTCCCTCGTCGCTCCTTCATTATGCCTTCTGCCCGCAAGAACTCTACCACTCCCGAAGTTGCACCCAAAGGCTACGCCATTGACCCATCCGCTGGCCCAATGCTCCGTTTCCAAGCATCCCTCCCCAAACTTCCTATTCCCGCTCTCGAATCAACCGCGCAAAAATACCTTGACTCTGCCAAGCCCCACTTAACCCCAGTCGAGTTTTCTCAAACCGAAGCCGCCGTTCATGCCTTCTTGGGTTCTCCGTTGGCTGCAGAGTTGCAGAAACGGCTGGAGGCAAGGGCTGCTGAGCCCGGGAGAGGGAACTGGTTGAGCGACTGGTGGAATGACGTGGCGTATATGGGCTATCGCGATCCCGTGGTCGTATTCGTCTCGTATTTCTACGTCCACGTCAATGACCGCCTTCGCACCAAGCAAGCACAGAGAGCAGCGGCGCTCATCAAGGCAATGCTACCGTTCAGACAGATGGTAGAATCAAAGGAGCTCGAGCCGGAGAAGGTCAAAGGAGCCCCGCTTTGCATGTCCTCTTATAAATGGCTGTGAGTCGAACAGTCAATTTCTACTGCTTCATAAGCAAGCTGACCCTTATTCGCAGCTTCCATTCATGTCGATACCCCGTTAAACCTTCAGATACCGCACACAAATTCGACCCTGCAACCCATAACCACATCGTATTTGTTCGCAAAAATAAATTCTTCCAGGTCCCCTTAGCCCATCCTTCCGGAAAAGAACTCTCAGCTGCCGAGCTCGAATCGTGCGTCCCTCTAAGTGCATTTATCCCCTCGTTCAACGTCATGTAGACAAATTGAACGGGTTATTGAACTCGCTGGCTCTGAGTTGGCGCCGCCCGTTGGTGCCTTGACGTCTGACAATCGGGATAATTGGACAGATGCCCGTGCTGCGCTGCTTGCTGCCTCTCCGGTCAACGCCGCCAGTCTAGAAGCCATCGAAAGCGCTATGATCATTGTCGCTTTGGATGACACAAGCCCAGTTACTCGGGAGGAGATCTCAAAAGCTTGCTGGGTTGGGGATGGCCGCAACCGATTCTATGACAAGCACCAGCGTGCGTGTTTAACTTGTTGAGGGGAGCACAGCTAACTTGCTGCAGTTATCGTCTTCGAAAATGGTCGTTCGGGCTTCCTCGGCGAACACTCGTGCATGGATGGCACACCTACTTTACGCATGAACGAGTTTGTTCTCGCCACACTTGCAACTGGGAAAGCCGATCTTGGTACACCGACTGGCGAGACCCTGCCTACCCCCACTCTTCTCCCCTTCGAGCTTACGTCCTCGACGTTGTCCCTTATCGACGGCGCAACGCAACGATTCGATGACTTGGTGGGCGAGCACGAGCTTCATGTTCTGCAATACACTGGATACGGCAAAACCTTGGTGGCCAAGACGTTCAAAGCCTCCCCTGATGCTTGGGCCCAACTGGTCAAACAACTGGCTTTTGGTCGCATGTTCGGCCGTCCAGGGGTCACTTACGAAAGCGCTCAGACCAGAAAATTCCAGCTCGGTCGCACAGAGGTCATCCGTGCAGCTAGCAATGAGAGCAAGGCTTGGGTCGACGCGATGCTCGATGTCAACGAAACTGACGAAAATCGTGTCTCACTCATGCGCGAGGCGATCCGCCGTCATGGAGAATATGCCACATGGGCTGCAGATGGGCAGGGTGTGGACCGCCATCTCTTTGGGCTGAAGCGGATGCTGCGGCCCGATGAGCCGGTTCCCGAGATATACCAAGACGCGGCGTTTTCGCGTACGAATCATTGGGAGCTTAGCACGTCCCAGCTCTCCTCGCCGTTCTTCGACGGCTGGGGCTATGGCGAGGTCGTGCCTGATGGCTATGGCTTGAGCTATGCGATTGGGGAGCGCTATATTCGCTGGACGATTACGAGTAAGAGGGGAGATGCCGCGAGATTGAGGTATTATTTGGAAGAGGCTGCGACGGAGGCGAGGGAAGTGATGGAGAGGGTTATTGCGAAGGAGCAGAAGGAGGCTGCTGCTAAGGGCAAGTTGTAGATTTTGGTTAGAACTGCACGATGAGTTAATTTATGCGACTTGTTATTGACTTGTCAGAGCGTAACAAATTGGAAGCAAAAAATCTTTATATGGGCATAGAAATACGCGATTCGTTCTCGTCGCATGAGGCGTGAGCTGAAGAGTTGAGTGAGCATGTGACCGCGTCTCAGTCAGCCTCTCATGTCCATCGATCTCACTCTTGACCGGATACAACGCCTTTCTCAAAAGCTGCCGGCCTACACTCGACCAACGTGTCATATAGCGGGTACAAATGGTAAAGGCAGCGTAGCAGCTCTGGTGTCATCCATCTTCGCCACTTGCGTCAAGGTTGGACGCTTCAACAGCCCTCATCTAATCTCGGTTCACGATTCCATTACAATAAACGACGAGACCGTGAGACTCGATGCGTATGAAGCCGCAAGAGCGGAAGTTGAACGACTAAACGAAGAAAATGAAACGAGCCTCAGCAGTTTCGAAATACTTACGCTGACTGCGCTGCTCGTCTTCGAGCGAGCGGCGGTGGATGTGGTTGTTCTGGAGGTCGGCATGGGTGGACGGCTCGATGCGACGAATATCATCCCCGACGAGTCTGTCCTTGTCTCAGCGCTAACTGCTGTTGATCTCGACCACCAAGCATTCCTTGGAACTACGGTTTCTGCCATTGCTGCTGAGAAGTCAGCCATTGCTCGGAGTGGGAAACCGTTTGTTCTGGGGACCCAAACACATGAGGAAGTGGAGAATGTCGTGGCCAATGCGGTCACAAACACTGGAGCTATCATGCTTTACGCCCTTCCAGTCTTCACCAGAGACTGGGACACAAACATCGACGGGCCGGAATGGGCTTCATTCTCGCTTTCTGCGCACGTCTCTCCACCACCTACCCCCGTTCGATTCCTAATGCCATGCTTTGACCACCCCGTTCATGCCCTACTTCCGCTCTATGGCGAACATCAGATCGATAATTTGGCCTTGGCCGTATCTGTGGTGTCCGCTGCACTCACGAGCTCCGAGTTCATTTCGCTTCGCCCGCGCTTCACCGACAAGTCGATAGCAGACGGCATAAAGAACACTCGCTGGCCAGGTCGCCTTTCTTTCCATTCTATCACTACTTCGACCCCACTCTTGGTACTTGCGGATGGGGCACATAATCCCGCTTCAGCAATGTCACTCGGTGCTTATCTTAACGAACTGCTTGCACCTCTTCCAAAGCCAATTTCGCTCACATTCATACTTGGTCTCTCCTATGCACCGCACAAGTCCCCAACGGACACTCTGCGACCATTATTTTCCCTGCCCAATGTCAAGTTTAATGTAGCATTGGTGCAATTCTCTTCACCGGAGGGTATGCCATGGGTACGCGTGGTTCCACCTGTTGAGCTCGAGGAAGCAGTCAAGACACTGGAACCTACGTCGAAAACCTGGGTCGCCACGGAAAGATCACAGTTGAAAGAGGCAATCAACTGGGCAGCTTCATGTCAGGAAAATACGCCTTCAGGACTCGTCGTCGTGGCAGGCAGTCTATATCTCATAGCCGACTTTTATCGCTTATTGGCAGAGCAGCAGATGCGCCTTGATTGAATTGGATCATTCTTGATATCGAATAGCAGACCTTTAAATTTGTACTTGTAAATGTAATGCAAGCCTTGCAGAGAGCACTGGACCATGCGGTAAGTGGTGGTGGGAAGAGCTGAGGGGCACACGCGTTACGCACCCAGGTCACGCGCGGTTACATCGCTTCGACCTCGACCCTTGCCTCCTCCTCCTCAGCGCTCAGCCACGATGACTGCGCTGTTCAAGGACGACCGAAAAGCCGTTCACGCGCTTCATGATCCCCCACTCTCCAACCGAGACGCGTCAGGGCACGTCGTCTATCTATTGCTCGAAACACACTCATCTAGAGTCCCAGAACTGCTGGTACATGGTCGCAGCAACCCACTCGAATTCAGAAGCCTGCGAATCCAAAGGTATGTCTGCAATGTGTGCGCTACGAGAGTGATCATGTTCAATAGCCCATCCGCACTACCAATCCCTTGTCTGGGCGCCTGGGCGACAACCTGCACGGTCCGAAGGTACCGCAGCCCAGGAAGAGTGGCAACCCTGTAGCGACGACTACTTTTACCAATTATGCTTCCTCACACCCGCCTGCAAAGAAACCACGACTGAGCGGACCAGATGGCCGCAAGAAAGCAACGCCTTCTACCCTAAACAGTGGGCAACACTCGTGGAATTATGTCGTAGGATACTGATGCAAAATTAGTACGACACCGAAAGAGCACTTCTAGCGATCCCACAATCTTGGGTTCGGCTCATGAAGGAGGCGATGAACATCGGTCCCATTACTGGGGGGACACACCACATACTATAGAAGACGGAGCTGCGACGAAAGACTTGCGAGAGCGGCTGTCCGCTCGTCCGCCACTGGCCCCAGAAAAGAATTCCATGCAGCAGCCTGTTGATCTAACCTACTCAGACGACGACGACATAGAAGAGGCCTCGTCGTCGCCTGATAAATCCAAGGATCATTTTCACAAGGGAACGGTCCAAGCCAGGATACAGCAATTTGAGGGCAGGACACCCTTGCAACTGGAGACCCACAACTCACAGCCCAAACGAAAGAAAGTCGACCAATCGTCTCCAAACACTCACCCGATGCTGAACCTGGCCGAAGTACGCAGGCCTGCAGGCGTGAAAAACGCAATGAAGCCCAAGGTGCGTTGACCAAACTCATATTTTAGCCGTGATGTCCTTATCAACGTGCGTAGAGCGGACGGACCATCGATATTGCTCTGTCCAAAACTGCTCCTGTGAAGATCCCTGCCCCTCCTCAGTACAAGCAGAGACCCTTCCTTCCTATCACATCTTGGTACATGGGTGGCCAACTATTCCATGCGCCATACCATTTGAGCTGGGAGGGAACAAAATTAACCTTCAAATCATCCGACCGACCTACGCCATCCGCTGTAGGACACAGAGAAGACATTGCTATGTCCTCCGACGCGAGGACACTGCAGGTAGTGTTCTATGTCAATATTTGTGTCCAGTCTTTGTGATTATAAGCTAGTACATGGAACCCGACGACAACTCCGAGAAAATCTTCGTCTTAGAGCTCTACCCGCCGCTGCATAATAGTCGCAAGCGCATTGGTACCACGATTCCCTCAGAATTTTTTGTTCAAGGTTCGAGGAGAATCGTCAGGTTTGGCTCATTTTCTGACTATCTATAGGCGATGGACGCAGCAAGGGTACAATCACCGTCAATCTGGGCAAGGCCCCGCGGGCAGAGTACGAAGCATTCATTGCATGGATAAAGCCTTTGGTTCAGGACAAAAGCGTTCTGCGGTAATTTTTCTTGTTCCTCTGAATGTCCACTGTCCAGATGCTGAATTTATGTAAGCAGTGTCGCCGGTGATAACGCCTGGAAGGCAGCAGTTAATTCCGGAGAAGTTCTCAAGACGAAAAAGGCGAAGGGCGAAGCATCGTCGCGCAGTGTCAAGTCCACTGCAACGTCAGTGCAGGAGGAATCTGATGACGAATTGGCAATATGGGATAACGACACTACGGCAGGGAAGCCCTCAAAACATCCAGGACAAAAGCAGAAATTAAGGCAACACCCTTCTATCATCGATCTGGACCCCGACTCTGCTCCACGGACGAGTCGCTCCACTGCTACTCGGAGTCGTAGCCAATCTGAAGCTCTCTCAGAACCACGTCCGCAACGAAGATCCACAAGACAGTCTGAGTCTAACGCACAGTCGGCACCCGACCCCAATACAGACGAAGTGTATGCCAACATCTATGTTTTTGCAAGCTGGCTGATATGTAACCTGTTTAGCATTCTTGTTTATCCTCCCGGTCAAACTGGAGCTGTTAACATCACAAATGGCGACATGGAACGTCTTCGACCCAACGAATTCCTCAATGACACTCTCATCGAGTTCGGTCTAAAGTACACATCTTGTTTTTGCTTGACGTAGTGCTAAACATGCGCCCAGACTCTGGTTGCACCAACTTGAAAAAGAGAATGCAGAATTAGCACAGCAGATTCACGTTTTCAGCTCTTTTTTCTACAAGAAATTGAACAAGCGAAAGTACGTCCTCAGATCAAATATGTTTCCATCTCATCATTGTCTCCGTAGCTTTCAAGAAAGTTACGCCAGTGTTGCCAAATGGACCTCCAAGTTCGATCTCTTCGACAAGAAATACATCATTGTTCCCATCAATGAAAAGTGCGTTTTATAAGCCATCGAACACTTCATTTCTGACTGTTTACAGCCTTCATTGGTATCTTGCCATTATTTATCATCCAGAACATGTGTTAAAGCCAGAACTGCCACCTCCACCGTCCACTAAAGCATCACCTTCGACCCGTAGCAGAACACGCAACCAAACTGAAAAGTCGCCTGAGGCAGATGCTCCAGTTCCTTCAAGTCCACGGCCACCAGATTCAAAAGCGACGACACTGTCTGGGAAGTCTTCGCCGACAGAAAATAGGCCTTGCACACCTATTTCTCCCAGTAGTAATCAGACCGAAGCGGAAATTGCGGCAAATCTAACGACTTGCTCGATTGAGGATGACGCTGAAATGGACCCATCAGACGCAGCTGACACCATGTCTGAGCCAAACTCGTTGTTTGATAGCCCAGAAGAGCCTATGGAGGTGGATGGAATTCCTTCCGTAGTGATGGAAGTGGACGACCTCGACACCTCGATCGACCCCATCAACATGGCCGCAGCAGACCCGACTCCTGCGCCGCCAACTAACATTCCTAAACCTTCCGCTTCTCAATTCTATTCCTCCAAAGGCAAGCGGAAAGCGACATCTCCACCGCCACCGACATCTCCGCGTGTTGAGGTCCGGTTGAACTCGCCAGTTGATGATGAGGCTCCAGATGACGAACCAGAAGTTGTCGTTGGAGATCAACCTCGGTTCGTTTTTTGTCTGCAAGTAAGAAAATTCCTGATGTTCCATCAGTACCTATATCTTTACTTTGGACTCACTGGGAACGAAGCATCCAAGAGTGGGAAATATCCTGGGCAGTTATCTACGACAAGAGGCGTTGGTGAAGAAGAATATACCAGAGGAAGGCTCGAGCAAAGCGGCATACAAACATGCACTGGTTCGTTGATTTCACTTACTGTGGTCATCACTGCTTATTGAACGTGTTGTAGGTCCCCCACCAACCCAACTTTTGTGATTGTGGACTCTACCTTATTCACCTTGCCCAGACTTTCTTTTCCGACCCTGACAAATATGCCAACCTAATGCTCGTGCGTGTTGGTCTGTTACCTATTTCATCGCTCTCATTCCAGTCAAAGACTAGGAAGGGTTCGTATGCTGCGGCGGACCGACACGCCGACTGGAAAATGGAAGGGACCAAAGACATGCGTGAAAGCTTGAAGTCGAAGATTGAGGAACTCTCGGTGGAATGGAAGAGAGAACGCGCGGCCAAGGAGTTGGAGAAGAAGCAACAGGACGCGGAAGTCGTTGCTGATTCTTCTGACGACGACATCGACATTGTGGAAACGGTGCCGGCGATGAAATCGAAGCAGAAATCACCAAGGAAGAAACTGGATCGTATGCGGGGCTGACACTTTACATGATGACTTTTCTTGTCGCATTTTCGCATTCATTCTGTACCACACACACTCACATCCATTAACTACACACTAGATAATGTACACCTACTAACGCATAACTTAGTATACGCAGATTGACTACAACCTTTTTTGGTAACAGCTTGTTTGTCCCCAAACTACGAACATGGATTGGGTAAATCAACCACGCTCAACTCTACGGAGACGGCCGCCGCAAGCATCCTCGTGAACCTGCCTGACCACAAAACGCGGCTGGGCAGCAAGGATGGCAAGCGGGATTGATCTTCCACGAGCGTAACAGGTCCAGTGCGTGAAGAGCGCCCGGGACCTTGACTATGCTTGTGGTGTCGCAAGTTTAGAACAGAATGACTTGAAAATGATCTATTGTTAGTCCTCTACAACGTGGTAGATACTCCATTACGGTCTTGGAACAGCGTTCGACGATGGAAAAGCCCGGTCGTTGAGAGGTGTTGGGGGAGCAAAGGAGAAAAAACTGTTGATGTCACGGTCACGTTTATTTGATGATCCTCCCTTCACTCTCCCACTTCCTGGCGGCGCTGTAAACGACTTCTACAACCCTCCCTCCTTGCTCGACGCGCCATCCGACTCCATAATGCCGACTCCCCAAGAAGAAGAAGAGTTCATGAAGAGTCTGCTGCTCGACCTTGAACGAGACAGCTCTTTCTGGACTGCCACCCTGACTCCGGACCCCTCGCCAGTGAAACCCACGTCTGCCACCACTTTCACCCTCTCTGCTGCATCCTCACCGTGTTCGACGCGTCTCCCTCCGACCACCCCCACCAAACCGGCGAAACCCCTTGCACAGACAGTCGCGGTTGAGGACGTGGATATGAGTGCCTTGCTCGACGGCGCGGAAGATTGGGACTGGTCAGAGCCACTGCTTTCTCCCGTAAAGCCGAAACCGAAGGCGAAACGAAAACCGGTACGTTTTGTTGGTTTCGTGAACTTTTTTTGGCTTACTTGTTCGTTAGATAGACACGCCAATTTATCTCCCACCGCCATTTATACGATGCGTCGTAGAGTCCGTCGCAGTACCTGAGGTCTCCCGCGGGAAAATGCAAAAGGTTGGCACGTTTTCATTTGTGTTGAAAAGTTGATCATCGGGCTCTTCAGGACCTGAGCGTTCGTCTCGATGGACCGGACGTAAAGTATTGCGTCACGTTGCAAGACGAATGGGCGCGCACTGACGTTCGTGTTGGTTCGTGTTCACGAAACTCTGATACAACCACCACTCATTTTATTCATTTTAGGCGATATTATTAACATTGTTGGATCTTCGCCTCTATCTACCGCCATTTCAATCACATCTTCCCAAAACTTTCTTATCCTTCATCCCGACCTTCTCTTGACGCCAACGACATTGGCCAATTCAATAGAATGCCGTCGTAAACAAATGATATCCAGTCTCGTGCGCTCTACCTCGGATACCTCACCAGCACTCGTGTGGGGGAACATTTTGCATGAAGTTATGCAATCGTGCATGGCTGTCGAATACTGGGACGAGCGGTGGATTGAAGCCAAAGTCGAAGAAATAATTCGAGAGCATATTTCCGACATAGCCAAAATTAATCTGAGCGTAGAAGACGCACGACGAGAAATTAATCTGCGGGCTCGGGGTCTCAAGGCGTTCTCCGAAAAATATCTGGCTGATTCACCCAAAGTAAGTTGGGTACTGTCGCTCCTTGGGAAACTTGAAGCTAAATGTTCAAAGCCAGAAGCCATTCTAACCAATACACGCAGTGGACCGGCTGAGGTCTCCGCACTCGCTGTCTCTCAGCTACTCGATATTGAAGAAGACATTTGGTCGCCCATGTGGGGCCTCAAAGGCAAAATCGACGCGACAGTCCTTGCTATTATATCCGATTCGGCTGCCGCAAAAACAGTTCTATCTAGTGGACCCAAACCCTTCGAAATCAAGACCGGTCGTCCGGTAGCTAGCTTAGAGCATCGCGCGCAAACGATGCTGTATACTTTGCTTACCCAGGAGCGTTACGGAGCAGAAGTAACATCAGGTTTACTTTTCTACACTCAAAGCGAAGAAGTTGTGAGAGTACCGGCGACGAGAAACGACATCAAGGGTCTCATTGGGATTCGCAATGAAATTGCGGGGTACATGATGCGCCGAACCAAGGCCAATGGATCAAGATTCACGTCTGAGCCAGAACCTTTTCTGCCACCAACGATTGATGACGAACGAATATGCAAGCGATGTTACAACATCGATGCGTGTATGCTGTATCGCAAGGTAGAATTCGGTCCATTGCTTAATTCTTTGTGCTCATGCCTTGCAGGCGGTAGAGAATGTTGAAGATACCCGGTCTCCGATCTCCGATATCTATCAACTGAAGACCAGTCACATTACCTCTGAGCAGGCCGAGTTCTTCAAGCAATGGGAAGCCCTTTTATCGCTCGAAGAACAGGATTTATTGAGGTTTCGAAAGGAACTCTGGACCATGGGTGCTGCTCAGCGGGAAGCAAAAGGCAGATGTTTTAGCTCGATGGCTCTCGACACGACATTTTCACCACCCAAATACATGGCAAAGACGCATAAGATCCATCAGTTCACATATCGGTTTGTTCGAAACTCTGAAGCGACATCCCTCTTGAACAAACATATTGGTGTTGGGGAACCCATCACTGTGTCGGTCGAGCCTAACATGTATGCGCTCTCTCGAGGGTTCATTCTGGAGCTAGAGCCCTTATCTGTGGTGATTGGAGTGGACCGCGAGCTTTCGTTGGATAACATCAATATGCGGCTGGCCCGGTTCCGGCCTTCTGGTGCTTCGATTGGGAGTCCCGTGTTTCGAATCGACAAAGACGAAATGTTCGGTGGGATGGGACGCATGCGGGATAATCTTGCGCACCTCTTTTATGTAGACGGAGACCAGCGCCGCCTGGAACTCATCGTGAACCTCCGGCCGCCTGTGTTCGTCGATCCATCAACAGCCATTCCTGCACATTTGACAACACATATCGACTCTCTGAACTCGAATCAACAAGACGCTATCCATAAGGTCCTCAGGGCCGAGGACTACTCCTTGATATTGGGAATGCCGGGTACCGGCAAGACGACAGTGATTGCATCATTGATCAAAATCATGGTCGGGATGGGTAAAACGGTCCTGTTGACGTCCTATACGCATTCTGCGGTCGATAATATACTCCTAAAGCTGAAGGGAAAGGTTGATTTTGACATCTTGCGGCTCGGCAATGTCGATAAGGTTTGTCTTATGGAGAAATAAGTTTTTCAACAGCTTATTAGAAACAGGTCCATCCAGATGCACGAGAATTCACTCTGGAAGCGCGACGAACGCCAACTACCGTCGAGCAACTAGAGCACCAGATTTTGTCTCCGCCTGTTGTAGCAACGACTTGTCTCTCGGTTGACCAGTACGTGTGTGGCGATGAGTGGAATATATACTGACGCGATTATAGTGCCTTGTTTTCGCGTCGGAAGTTTGACTACTGCATTGTGGACGAGGCATCGCAAATCACGCTCCCAACGTGTCTGGGACCGCTTCGCTTCGCGCAAACATTCGTGCTCGTCGGCGACCACCATCAACTCCCTCCATTGGTGCGGAACAAAGACGCTCGCAAAGGTGGTCTGGACGTGTCGCTCTTCCGACGGCTTTCAACTGCCCATCCTGACGCGGTCGCCGATATGTCCCATCAGTACCGCATGAACGAGGATATCATGACGCTTTCGAATCGCTTGATATACAACAACAAGCTGCGATGTGGGTCGGACGAGGTCGCCCGGCAGAGTTTGGTTCTTCCCGATCGGACCTTCATGGACGGGCTGCACAAAGGGACTATGTGTCATTCAAAGGGATGCTGGTTGGATTGCCTTATGGCCGAGAGGTGATTTCTTCCGTACTGAAGATTAGCAAGCTCACGCGTTCCAGCTGTAAAGCAGTTTTTGTCGACACCGATGCCCTTCCTGCTCGCGACTCGAAAGTGGGCGACTTGGTCCAGAACGAGGTCGAGGCAGCGCTGGTAAGCCAGATCACAGAGACGCTTCTCCGCAGTGGGGTTTCTGTCGAGCAGATCGGCATTCTTTCGCTGTATCGCCAACAGTTAAAGCTCTTGAACCACCTTCTGCAGCACCGCAAAGGCCTCGAGCTGCTCACTGCCGACCGGAGTCAGGGCCGAGACAAGGACTGCATTATTATCTCGCTGGTGCGGTCGAATTTGGATGGCAATGTGAGCTTGTTTCCCGTTCCGAGTTGGTTTTTCGCGTTCTTATCTGGGTCAGGTCGGCGATCTAATCAAGGACTGGCGTCGGATGAATGTCTCATTTACGCGGGCGCGGTCAAAGCTGATCATCGTTGGGTCGCGCAAGACGCTACAGGCAGCACCGCTGCTGAAGGACTTTTTCGAGCTGATGGATAGCCGTGGGTGGATATTGGCGCTGCCGCCGCAAGCGGACACGCTTCATCCGTGTTTTGCGGGTGTGCCGAGTGGAGGAGAGAAACGCCGGGCGGAGGAGCCGGCCAAGGAGAATGCCGTGGAGCGGCCGGTGAAGAAGATCAAGACGAAGGAGGAGGGTATCTTGCGTGGACGGCCGATTTTGCGGGACTTGGTGAATGAGAGCATCATGTAGCCTACTTACAATAATTTGTATTTCTTGTAGATTTTAGAAAGAATATCTCGACCTGTGTAAATCTCTGAGTATCTATTCAAGTATTACCTCGAGCAGGTCTAAGGTAAGCAGAGACGCCCGCAGCTCAAATAAGTCGAAGTATGGCGTTGCAGCCATCAAAATCTTACTCGATTACATAAACCTCACAACTTGCTTTAAACCATGATTAAAGCGGAAACGCATCTCGATGAGCTGTTGCTGCAGGCTGCCGGGATCCAAATCATCGTGAAGAAGCATTGAGCAACGATGTGCTTGTGTTTTGCTTCTGCCTGGCATGCGGGTGGTCCATTTCCTCTCCGCCTGGCTTGTCACTAAGATTCTGGCGGCGAGCACGAATCGGACTATCGACGACACCAATGGCGACAGCATGACGGGCGCGATTCCCGTATACCAGCCGAACGAGAGCGGCGTCTGGGCGGGCCCTAGTTGTGTAGGGTGTGCGATAGTGCCCGACACTAGTCTGGCGCACGACGGGACATGGAGCGCGGCTACGTACAACGCGGGTCTGGGGATCATGAACATCTCGATGGATTTTACTGGTGAGCAGGGGATAAGCCAACTCCTGTTCACTTATTGTGCTAGGAACCGCGGTTTACGTCTTCTTCATCCTCGCCAACTTCCAGGACGAGGGGATCACGACGACAACCAAGGCCAGCTTCAGCGTAGACGGCGTCCAGCGGGGGACGTTTGACCACGTGCCCTCGGACAGCTTTGAGCTGCAGTATGACCAGCTCGTGTTTGCGGAAACGGGCCTGGCGAATACTCCACATAGGCTTGTTGTCTGGACCGTGGCGGATACGGATATTTATGTGAATTTTGATTATGCGCTTTACACGTACGTTCATGACTTGGGGAGAGCCTGCCACTGTTTGCTGATTCTGGGTAGATTTGAGGATGTAGAGCAGAACCCTCCGACTACAACGACTGCTCAGCTTCCCCCGACTCATCCAATTGCAAGTACGCCCTCTACATCTATGCCAATGGCTAGCAGCACGAAATCACACTTCAGCTCTGCGTCGGTATTACTACCATCGCCTTTCTCAGCATCAACAACGCCAGCCTCAACATCCATTCTGTCCTCTTCACCGAGCTCATCCCCATCTACCTCCATGTCCCCGCACTTGACACCACGTCCACATCCACATCCAGCAATCTCTATCATTGTTGGTAGTATCATTGGCCTTGTCGTGCTCCTAGTGACTGCTTGTGGTTTGTGGTTCTTGTGGAGACGCAAGCGATCCGTCAGAAGCCAGAGCACACTCAAGTTATAGCTTTTCAGAAGCTCAGTATACCGGAACAACCGCCCAGCAGCAGGACGGAAGATGAGAATGATGCCACTGATGCGCAACGGTGGCGTCGCATCGTGGCCCTTGAAGTACGACTCGAGATACTACCCGAGGAGCCGCCGCCGCCTTACTGTGAGAGGAGGTCTTAACAAGAGAATTCGATGCCAGTCATTTCCATTTTACATCCCCAAAATTACGGTATTACCACATGGCTCAACACAGACAATCGTAAACTTAGTAGATGCGCATCCATGAACATGGACTCGTTTCTGTAGGGCTTGCGTTGTCCACGGTCCTTTATGTCTTCACAAAGAATTATTATTTCAGTCGAAGCAGATTTTATCATCGATCTGTTTCTGAACATAAACCTCGAATCTTGGCTCGTCTTGGAGACGTTTTGGTCGAAATGATTATATTCGATGAATATTTTACCAAATGCGGAAATTACATGGTACATTAAAACAGGGGATATCAAAAAAAAACGGACCTACATACGTACTATCAGTGGTCTAAAAAAAGAGTGCCAATCGCAGTCGATGCGTTCATAGCTTGTTAAGCTTGTGCTGTGTTCTAATCTCCTCTATAGCCGCAGTAAGTCGCGAAAGGTCAGCAGTCGATTCGCGAAGAAGAACTTTTGTTTCAACTGCCTCTCGAGCCTCGACCAAACAAAGGTTTACAAGCCACGGCGCGTGCCGATGGTTCGCCGTTCGGTGTTCTTCGAACAACACAGCAAAGCTTCAAACTAGCGATATATTTGGTAGTCTTCGACTCTTGGCATTCCCATCGGTTCACATCTGCCGCCTGTCATTAAAAAAAAAAAAGCTAGGCGTGGCGTGCTGTGCTTCGAAGTGAATGCGATCTACAATAGTAACAAGCCGGGAGAGCTGTGCTGTCGTCCTGCGGACCACCGTCTTCGTCTCCACAGCCTCCCACGCCTAGTAAATATTTGCCTTCAATTCGCCAGGTGAAGAGGACATTACCATGTAAACCGCCAGTGCCTTGTCCAGCTTTGCGCTGACGCTCGCGAGCCGCGCGGAATCTGAGTTTGCCGACAACCATTTACCACGTCCGTCGGAGAAACCGTCGAGAAGAAATGCGGCGTCTTGGAGAGCACTGTAAGTTATCAATTCAGTCTGCAAGTGTGAAAGAAAGTTGGACACAGACCTCTGAAGAACTTCCCGTGCTCCTTCCGATCCTCCCGCCAGAGCAGTATGCTTCAAAACATTGGTTGTCACATTTTCTGCGTGTTGTGCAAGCGCGGCAGCGGCTTCTTGATTCGACTTGACCGTCTAGGACTGTTAAGCTATAAGATATTGGGAAAGAAAATGTTTACCGTGGCTCTATCACTGAAGAGAGCAACCATATTCGCGATCGGCTTGAACGCATTTAACACTGGTGCATCGCACACCGCAACCGCAACCTGCGCGCTCAGGCCCACAGCTTCGATGATGGTACTGCTCTTGGTGGAATTATGAGATTTCGAGAGCCTCATCTACTTGCCATTTAGCCGAGCCAACGGAGGAATCGAATAGCACGTACGACCGCTTTGTAGCGCTTCTTCAGCTGCTGCCTCAGCTGGAGGGACTCCAGAAAGCCTTTCAGAAAGTTTGGATGCTGCTCGACAAGACAGCGCATCCGCCCGAGAGTTCTGCTCAGATTGAGAGACATTACGAGTGAGCAGCGAACACGCACGTCATGATGTCCTCAAGAACATGCCGCACGACAGGGTCGCCCAGCGGAAGCTCCCCATCACGTGCTTTCTGCAAAATCGGCGCAATGAGTTGGACCGCCAACTTAGCCATCGAGATTGCGGGTTTCCGTCGAGACTAGGTCGCTTAGAACGAGTCAAAAGCGCAATAAAATTATGCTTACTTGTGTGTTCTCGACCGCTACGCATAGTTCCACCATCGCAATCGCTGTATGTTGCGCGTGGCCCAGGGTTGCATTCGTCGCACACGCTACACAGAGTTCTTGCGCCCGAGCGAGGGTCATTAGGGTGGGGGTGGGGGGGTTGTGAGCTGCGGTAGTGTCGCAACTGGTGCATAGCTGTAAAGCATCGTCTTCCCAAAATAGCTGTTGCGCTCGGGAAGTGGCCATTTGTGCAAAGCGGCTGAATAGAGCTGTAGAGTCCTGCTACCAACTCATAATAGCTGTAGATTGTCTCAGTTAGGACATCCCGAGGCTGTCGTTGTGTCCAGAGGTACAAGTCTTTGGCCAACGGGTGGAGGTTGGTGGAGGAATGATCACGTGCTAGTCGGAACACTGTGGCAGTGTTTTCCGCTGCCTGAGCACAACCTTCAAGTTTTCCATCTTCAAAACGAATACAGTGTACACAATACAGAAAAGGGTCCAATGCAGACATGCCACGCTGCGGCCAACTTGAACTCCTTTCAAAGTTGGCATGGAGCCATCATAGGCTGCGCTAATTCTAAGCCGCTAACCGGACGCCGTCTTCGTACTCTGTCTTTCTGGGTGCTTCAAGTTGTGCTCGGCGCTGGGAACCCGACTCGAGGACGCGGGTGATCGGCGATGGCGCATCCGGCTCATGCCTTACAGCAAAGTCCAGCCAACTATCTGGCAAGCCATGAGATTGCGTCTTCACCACTTGAACGTATACGTACAACGAAAAAATTGGGCGTGCAAGTCTCAAATAACTATATCATCCAAGTTGTACTGATGCAAACAAGCTTGCATTCTCTCTCTGAAGAAGACGTACTCGGACGGAATCAAATTCACCCGCAAACGATCATTACTATCTACCCAGTGTCTTCGTAAGCTGTTACCAAGTAAAGTGTCGACCGCAAGGCCGTTCTATCGCCACAATCATGAACACCCAACTAGACCAACAAGGTATTCCCCATCGCCATTTGCAACTTTCAAGGGACTAGGGAGACACATTCAGTTCTAGGATAAAAGATAAGATAAGTAATGTCTGTGATCAAAGTCAGGTCAATAATCAGATAAAAATTGGCAAGAACTGGTGATTGCGATACGCGTACGCATCCATAGGTAGCTGTCAAATGCAAGCTTTGCCTTACTTGAGTTGTCAACAACGCGACGCATGTTGGTATCGTTGTCATGTGATCGCGAGGACAGGAAGAATTTTGGATTTTCCGCGCCGAGACGACATTATTGGTAAAGAGACGAGAACGAAGATATGGTGCATTACAAGTACTGAGAAGCTAGCCAAGGATTTTCGAAACACGGGAGAAGTATCCGTCCATGAAAAACAATCCACCCCCCAACCACCAAAAAATGTGCTGAATTTAGAACCAGGCCATATAGCTTGTCTCAGCGAGTTCTGCAGTGAGAGAGCCATGTTCAAAGTCAAATGAGTCGTTGGCTGCGATGCGAGGCTCCGAGGGTACAAATGGCGTTGGTTGAGCCATCGCAAATGGCACACCACCCGTTGCTACCCTTTCCTTGTCGCTCCCTTCTAGCAGCCCTTGACCTGGAGGAACAGGCACTATGATATTGTTGCCATAATTTGGCAACGTTCCAGCAGGATGAAGATGACCTCGCTCATCTTGAAGTCGATAACGCTCGTCAATTCCAACGCCCATGCTTGAGAAACGATAGACATCTGGTAGCCACGAGTAAGAAGTAGGATCTTTGAATGCTGGAGGTTGGGGGGTCGGGACACGAGGAGGTGTAAACGTCATCTCATCGGCATATTGTGCAAGCGTAGAATGAGCATACTGGAAGGCCGGAGGCAGAGCAGCACCAGAGGACGATGATGAAACGGGTGTGACAGTTGTGTCCTCATGCCAATGAGCGCAGGCGCGACGGGCTTTCTCCGTTAGCTTCTCCATTATAGGCTGTCACACAACCTCAAATTAGTTTGAGGTAGAGTAAAAGCGGAAAAAACGCACTAATGATTTAGCGCTGAATGGCAATAACGTCGCAACACGACGGAAAAGGCGGCAAATCCGATCAAGGTCTTGTACTGCATACGGCGCAAGCGATGTAGCTGGCGCACGGGAAACGAATATCGACAATGTCACCTAAAGTGGTTAGGTTGTTCGGATTCGTCACGATGAAAGAGCTCTTACCGTAGCTGAAAATGCGTTGAACCAAAAGTGGAGGAACCGCGTACTAAGATGTGGCTCGTGGTCAAACAAATTCTCGATCGTCGCTATCAACGATGCAGCGCCGATGTAGGTTGCAAGGACTGACGGAGCATGAGGGTGATGAAGGTCGGTGAACTGTCCACTGAGTGTTTCTTGAAAGAAGCGACGGTGAAGCTGAAGAAGAGCTGCAAAGTATGAAGCTAAGTGACCACGTAAGTAGCTGGGATGATTAACGAACCTATATCGCGTCCAGACGCCACTAGAGCGCGCTGCATAACAAGGAAACGTGTTGTTGCGCCAGTGTCATTTAGCACTTGTGGCGCTGGGAAGTCACGAGCGAGTGCATCGAGCTTCAGGACCTCTTTGTAATTCACAGGCGATACCGAGGCAACAACCTCCAGGATGGAAGAAAGGCACTTGACAAAGAACGAATTTTTCCACTCATGGTCTAAAAATGAGTTCGTCATATCGCTCGGCATCTTTGGAAACAAAAAAATCTTACAAAGAACTTCGTCCTTCAAAACATGTGTGTGTTCCGTGTATGTGGGCAGTTTGGTGTCGACATGATGGAGAGACAGCGAGGGTGGACGGCCTAATGACAAACTCTGGATGCCCATGAGACAGACGAAGAACACGAGAGAAACGAGCAGACCATCCGACAGTCCATGTTAAGCAGTTCCTACATTTGTTATTTAGTCTTGGCCTATTGCAGCAAGAAAAACCCACCCAAAATATGGCCCTTCGGCGCTCACTCTCTTCAGGTATCATTTTCAACCGCGATCCTTCGCGATCTAACAATCCCTGTGAGGAATGCACGGGAACACAAAGGTACTTACGGAGTCCAAGCTATCGTTGTGGTTAAAAGAGCAAAAAGGGAAAGAAGGTGCTCACCCCTTGTGCCAGTTTAGCGACAAATCCCATAAGATTCCAGGCATATCCCACAGCTTTGCGGTTGTCCGAAAAAACTAAATGATACCAAATCATGAAGAAAAGGGCATGAAGCTCGTCGAAATCGGGTTCTTCCCTGAGTCAAGCTTAGGACACATCCAGGAAAGGAAAAGGTACCAACATCAACGGTATTTCGCAAACTGCGGCGCGAGCGAGGTGGTGGTAGGCTTCGCCATGCAAAGAGCCCAATGGTCGCGAGAGATCGACGAGGGAGCCGATGGAGAGGACCATCAGCAAGAGAGCGAGACGCCGGGGGGATAATTCGGCAATAGGTGTGGTATATACGCTATGAATTAGCAGATCAATAAATGTTTGAGAAGGGTCGAGGTTGTATCTAAGGGAGTTTGGTCAGTGAGGCTGCAATATGAAACAAGGTTTAGCACGCACTGCCAGAGGGCATTTCGCCGCGCTTCCTCGGCCAATGCCTGTGCATCTGCTTTGGGTGGTAGGGCATCGCGTATCCGCTGGCGAATTTTCAGGTCGACAGACCAAGGGAAAGGGAAAGTGACTGAGAGCTGGAGTATGTCTGGAGGTACAACAGGAGCGGTAGCCGCGTCTTGAGTGGGTGGACTCCCGTTATTTTGCGGTACATAAAGCTCCTGAGAGGTCTTTATGCGACGGAGATCGGGGGCCAAAAGTGGATGTTCGGCTTGCACGGATTCGAGTCCATCTTCTAATTGACGAACACGGTCACTGAGCTGGGTGATTTTTTCGTGTAGCTGCAAATTTGCCAAGGTCAGAAACTGATGAGGTATTAGAACTCGGAGTTACCTGCTCGGTGTTGGCGAGAATGAAGCGTGATCCCCGACCACTTTGGAGGGCGCCTTGTTTGATTCGTTTTAGATGTTGTACGGCATGTAAGATGGAGTGTACCCTCTGGACAGATTTCGGCACAGCCGCGTTTGCAGCAGCTCTGGCAAGACTGTTAGGCGAGGAAATTGTCAGGCGTCCCACAAACCTGGCAAGGAAATACGCGATCACACTCAAGACGCGTCGGCTTCTTCGTTCAATCGAGTTATGTCAACACGTACTTTCAGTTTCAGTCTGGAGAAATATTAACAGATGGAGAGTGTTCGGACACACAATCTTGCCTTCGACACTCCTTGCACGATAACCGACGATTCTTCTCCTTGTCAGAGGTAGGAGGAGGAGGCAAAGGGTCAGCTGGGCGAGGTCGCTTCGCCGGACGGTCATCAATGTTGTCGGCCGGCGGTGGGAAATTGAGGGCACTGCCCAACATGGTGGTTGGAAGGAAAGGGCTTCAGGTACACTTCATTCGAAACTGCTAGTAAGATATCCGAGCTACACGGACGCCGGCGTGACACTCGTTCCGTGAGACTCGGCTCCCTCACAACAAACCCAACAGAAATCTAGATACCCCTCGTCTTCCCAGTGTCAAATAGCGATGCGAGCTTGTCGTAGACGCTTTTCAAGGCTTCAGTGTTGTAATAATTATAACACCGGAGCTGGTGTGTGCTTTTTCGCGTTTTTTTGATTTCTTAAACCCCTGGTAAATGTCATTTCGATGAGCCTGCATGCCTTCTTGTGAAAGAGGATACCGTCGAGACAAGGGCATGAGCATTGAGCAAGAACCTTACCGAGATAAAAACGGAATCAATGATCGCTGACATAATCAACTTCGTCGTCTCTCCCTCTCTCGTCGCCTCGGCGCGCCAAATGGCGCGAATACGAGAAGTATGGCAACCCAACCTAGATGCAGAAATGCGTCTTATTCGAGACCTCATCGAAGACTTTCCGTACGTCTCAATGGTTCTGATTTCTGGTTGCCACTCTTCTTCAATCTCACTCTTACCTTGCAGGATACAGAATTTCCTGGTGTTGTGGCCAGACCAATGGGCAACTTCAAGACGTCCTCCGACTATCACTACCAAACAATGCGATGCAATGTCGACCTACTCAAGATCATCCAAGTAGGCCTAACGCTTGCGGATGAGAATGGCAATTTCCCTCAAGAGGCGTCGACTTGGCAGTTCAATTTCCGCTTCAGCATCAAGTGCGTAATACTGTAGACCATCTCCGAAGCAGGCTGAACAACTCGCCAGTGAAGACATGTATGCACCAGACTCAATAGAGTTGCTGCAAAAGTCGGGCATTGACTTCCAACGACACGAGGAACTCGGCATTACGCCAAACGAGTTTGCAGAGTTTGTCATAACCTCTGGTCTTGTTTTGACCGACGACACCAAATGGATATCGTTTCACAGGCGCGCTATTTGCTGTTAATGATCACCTTTTTAACTCATCGCTTGTTTAGTGGCTACGACTTTGGCTACTTTGTCAAACTCCTCACTGCCATTTCTCTTCCCACCACCGAAGACGACTTCTTCGACCTTCTCTCCATATGGTTCCCAACTGTGTACGACCTCAAGTACATGATGCGAGCAACCAATAATCTAAAGGGCGGACTCCAAAACTTGGCAGACGACCTCGGAGTGCGCTTTCTTCCGGGATAGCAGTTCATGCCAATCTTACTTGAAATACAGGTCCTAAGGATCGGCCCGTCGCATCAAGCCGGCTCAGATTCCCTTCTTACTGCGTCCACCTTCTTCAAAATGCGTGAAATCTATTTCAACGACACCATTGACCACACTGAGTATTCGGGCAAGCTATACGGCCTTGGTCAGACGGTGAATATCACCAATGGGTTAGGATATGGTGATTCAACGCGGAGTGGGGCGGCCACAATCGCAGAGCGAGAGGACAGGAGTTTAGCGAGAGATCGAGAAACGCACAACCAGACTCCAGGACCGGCAACAGCGCATAATGGTGTGCCAATGCTGTCAAATGGACCGTTACAAACACCGTCATCTTATCAGGTTATGGGTGGCGCTCCATTTCTACGGCCAACGCTAGTTGCACCACGATAGGAGTATTTGTTGTCGTTAATTATCGCTTTCGATTGTATTTGCCTTTTCGGACTCTTGTGTGTATTAAAATCCAAACTCAAGCCATCTGGACCTATCAAACGGTCAGTTCAGTTATCAACCAATAAGATAAGATAAGATATTGAGGACCCACGCACATAGTTACTTGGAAAGATACCTTTATTCCCCGCCGAATTGACGCCTATGCAACAACTTGAACATCGATCCGCATGGAATAAAACATTCGAACCTTCCCACCATCCATCCCCGTAATTCTTCCCGCCCTCCGGGCCGGTTGTCAACTCCAAAAGCTCCCCTTCAGATAAACCAATCTCGTCACTCCCTTGTGCGGCATACGTATAGATCGCCCGCACTGTGTTATAGGTCGGCATATCATTCACTCCATCGCCGACAGCCACGCACCATACTCGCCAGAACCTTCTCCCGATGCAGTTGGCCCCACCACGGTCTCAGAGTAGTCAATGTAGGAAGCAGGGACAAGTCCTGTATTCCGCCCATCGGACACCTTGACCCACCCCGAGCCATCATCTGGTTCGATAACATGCACTGTTGCACCCTCTGACAACAAATTTCTATTATTGGTGGCCATCGTTGGATGCGATAACTTACCGCTGACTGCCAATTCAAATTCTGACGTTGGCGCAAAGTCAAAGAGGACGCGACCAGATTGGTAGGTCTCCTCGTAGGCCTCCGAATCTTGCGCGACGGACTGTGCGAATGCGGACGGCGTAGGGGCTACAGAGGCCGCTGCAGAATACCGCGCATACGTAACCAACGCCTTCTGTCTTCAAAGACGGACTCACTCTGTGGTGCAATCTTAGAAACCGTTGAACCAGTTGATTTGTGACTATGCATAGAAGGATGTTGACAATCGGCAGGAACCTGCAGAGGATGATAAATCAATTCGAGAGCCTCTAGTCTTGTTCCAACCACCTTGAGTTCACATTTCGTATGGACAGACAGCCCACATGTGCGACACGTCTTCCCCTGCTTGGCAAGACCCCATATCGACGACTACTGCACGTTTAATCTGGAATTGATCCGAACAAGGCCTCAGACGAGCCTTGCAGTATCCACACTGAGTTGGAATGGAGAACGATGAGCTCTTGAATGAATGCGGGTGTTGATCACCCTCATCACCTGCAGAAAGATTTCAGGCCGGGACTTCAGGTGCACGAGCGTACTGACCCCCAATCGCCTCCGATATTACAGTAATTTCCGTATTGAGGACAAGGTCTGATGTCGTGTAGGCCATAACTTGATGATTGGTATCAAGATAATTCTGTACAGGTTAAGAACTTTGAGGGGAGAGCATTGTCTGACTGACCTCAGAGATATCATCACTATTGCCTAGAGAATGGTCTACATCGTATGCCGTGAACAGCGCAAGTAACTGGTCTTGATCGCGTCCTGTTTGATGTTGAGCCAATAGATTATATGGGGGGAGATCGAGAGGAAATAGAATGTTGTCGGAAGGCAATGGGATGTCACGTACGCTTGGCTTCCAATACTGGGGTAAGTTCCTTCAGTTTCATTCGCGCTCGGTTCAATTTGTTCTGTAGGAAGACCTTTGGCGCTGGTTCGACGCTGATTGCGTCCTTCATACTTGTTTCAGACCCGCCGACGTTAAAGAAAATGGAGCAACTTACTGTATCGTAGTGGACCGCACATGGCTCGAACATCCAATCAGCCGGAATCGCGAAGGGGCGTAGATTATGTTCGATAAATATGTCTTGATCCTTCGCGGGATCGACCTCGCCAAGCGCTTTCTCGACGTTGGCGAGGCGCCCCTTCACCACTTCTAAATGACCTATCTCGATGGCTTGCGCGTGACCCAGAATCTGGCAAAATCGCTTGGTAAGTCGTCCTAGGAGAATTTCTGCATAGCGTGAGGAGAAAAAGAAGCCGGATGATGCGGAAGAGCACACGGAATTGCTGAAAACGGTCAGAGATTAGACGCGGAAGATTTCTGCACCCACATCTTCTAATGCGGGTAGGTCGTCATTGTAGAATTTGGTTTTGACGCGGTTGGCGATGGCCGTCGAGATTAGATACACACTACCGAAATTCAACGTGGACATCAAGCCGAAGAGAAGACCTGCTTTTTACTGTTCAACATGTCTGCACGCTGTTGTTCCACTTGTCGGGCTGCTCGGTCTGCGTGCCGGTCGTCGTTGGCGCGGACCTCGACGAGAGTTCAGCCACCATATGCTTAATAAGATACGAGAAGATGACCTGCTTCTGGTGTATGGACTCGACCTCAGTGCACTCATCGTCGTACTAGGATAGGGTTGATGTCATCAGGGAAAGACGAGCAAATTACCTTTTGCTTCGCCTGATAGTCAGGTGAGACGACGAGGGCAGGATGGAAGTTAGCTTGACCTTGAGGCGGTCTGCATACAGACGATCTCTCTCCGTTAATAACCGCTGAAAGAAATTCGTTTCCTTGTTTGGTCTCAGAGAGAGCAAGTAATCGAAGTGCAACCAAACGTCGCGTACCTTCTTCTTCAATTCCTCGTTCTTGCGTTCAACAGCCTTGAGGACATCGACGACTTGGGTAGTAAGTGCGTCAGCAAGATTTACATGATCCTGGGCAACCCCAGACATCGAAGAAATAATTTCATTGAAGGCGGCATTAAAGGTACTGTGGGACTGTGAGTCTGATTGAGTGGTGGGATGGAGCGATGTACTTCTGAGCGAGCGTGGCCTCCGTCGCCGGTTTCGTAGGCTCATCTCCTACAACAAATGCAGCGACAAGCTTAGCTCTCTTCTCAGTTGCCCGTTTAGTCAAAGCTTGTAGCTTTGCAGCATATTCACGTTCTGCTGCAACTCTGTCTCGATAAATCTCTCGGACCTATTGAACAAAGCACTCTCGAGGGACGATTCGGTGAATGTGACAGGGTTACTTACCTCGAGGAGGAGATGAAGATGTCCATCGAAGAGCGACGATATACACTCGACTTGGTCCTAGCATCACCCGTTGTAAGCACCGACAGCTGTTCGGACGCTGGGAATTACTGGCAACGCTTGGCCGAACGATTGACTACCCATCTCGGCTTAGACGGTCAAAGTGAGACCCAAGTGCGTTACGTCACGCGTTCAATGTATTCCAGCTTGCACCCTCGTCGCGAACGCAACACGCCTCGAAGGATTAAAATAGAGAGAAAAACATGCGGACAAAGCAAGTATTTTCCATGAGGGGTGCCTTAAACATACGGGCCTTTAAAAAAGTTACCGAGGAGTCCATGGTCAACTAGAAGGGAGCAGCATTATTAACTAGTGCCATAAAGAAGTGCTGCCTTGGAGGTCGGAACCAATGGGGAACCCGACGAAGACCAACTGATTCAGAGAAAATTCGGGGGGAAGACGCACAAACGGACCTCCGGCCTTTCCTTCAATTGCTCTTCCAATGACTCAAGAATAAAAGATGCCGTCCGAGGTCTGCTGTAAACACAAAAAGTTGAAGCGACAACAAGGCGATTCGATTTTTTGACGTGCAACGCGTGAACCTGGAGGCTGCAGAGTTGCCCATCACGGAGTCACGCCTGCGCGTTTTCTAAATCTGTACTACCACCATTCCAGCGGTACCCGCGGCTTCTCCAGCTCCAGACCCTTCATACTAGGAAACTGGGCCTGCCAATCCTTCCCCTCACTCATCTCATTGCGGTCTCGTCGCTGAAACAGCCTGAAAGCGACGTTCACGTCGGGAGCGACAGTCGTCGTCATGCAGTGTCAAAAACTTTAGGGTTTCGTTCTTTGTCACTTGGGATGCCGATAATTCTCCAAATCCATGTGCACCTTCGAAAAAAATGGTTGCATAAGCAACGCGTTTCTAGCCATATAAAAGGCGCCTTGAGCAATACTCCCTCCCCCCAGGATCTGACACGCCACCCTCATGCTCCCCTCTACCATCTCGCTCCTCCTTCTCCTCGCTTGCCTCTTGCAACTCGTTCTCGCTGTTCCAGTTGACATTGACATCGAGAAACGCGTCACCCATGTCGGCAGGGTTTGTCTCCCGCCTCTATTTACGCCCAGCATTGACGCGTTTATAGGGTACCTGGTATCACCCAAGCGACGATCAAGGCAACTGCGGTTATTGGGATAAGGACTCCTCCCCCGTTGTAGCGATCTCATTACAACGGTATAATGAAAATAATGGTGCCAATTGCAACCAGGTTTGTGGTGCGGTATGCTTTCTACTGCCCGATCTGAATTTCTTTAGTGGATCGAAATCACGAACCAGGCAAATGGCAAGGTTGCGTACGGCAAGACCCGCGACAGCTGCGTCTCCTGCGATACTTCCTCGTTAGGTTCGCACTCACCAACCCATCCATTATGAGCGTTAACCTTTTTTGAAGACATGTCGCCATCCCTCTTCGAAAAACTGGCAAGCCTCTCAACGGGTGAAATTAAGATATCATGGCATTTCATGAACCCCTCCTGGAGCCCATAGACTTAGAATGCTCACCCCAGTTTCATGCTTTTTGCTCTGGGTTTTACTGTTTAGACGACTTATTACTTAGATGATGACGAAGGTGAAGTAACGGAAAGTTTGTACCTCTTTGTATTCCTACGTTATCATGTTTACTTTACGCGGATGTAGCGACTCTGGCTAGTCGCCACAAATATACGATTTATTTCCATGTGAGCCTGGGACTTTCGCCGGATTTCTCATCGCGCTCACCTGATTTGACGAACGGTTCCGAGATCACACCTTATAAGACTTGTAACGCGTATTCATGGACACTCGTCGCGCCATGTTCCTCTCTCACTTTGCACCCCTTCTTGTCTTCACGCTCGGAATTCGGGCGCAGGACACGTCTATCGCAACTGTGGAGAAGGCTTTCCTCAACGCGCATGTGGGCTGGATTTGAAATGAATGGTTTGCTATGAACCAGCACTAAACACAAGACCAGATTCCTGCGGACCTCAGCGTTGCCTTCAAGCCACACGCTTTGCTAGAGGTCTCACTTCCTCAGGCCACCGGCCCGCCCATCGTCCTACATGCAGGCATCCAAGTTCCCCGAAACGGTTAGTTCCTTCCAATGAAACGCATCGTTCGCACTCCAGCCCCTTCTCTTTCACATCGACTGACGACACCGAAACTCACGATCCAGACACCGCGGGACCTCCAACCTTCCATGTTGACGGAGATGTGGGAAAAGGACCGTTCGTCGTCGCCGCAGTCGACCCTGACGCTCCAACACCGCAAACACCAACTTCTGCCCAGATCCGTCATTTCCTTGGAGGTAATTTTGTCAACGAGGGAGGGCTTCTCGTCAATAAAACTCCTGCTATTTCCGAGTTTCGCCAGCCTACGCCTCCTGCTGGAAGTGATGCGCATCGCTATGTCTTCCTGGTCTTCCGCCAATCCAGCGGCTTCGCCACTCAGACATTTGTGAACGCAACAACGCCAGTCTCGTTGTTCAATATTAGCTTGTTTGCGGAGGAGGTGCGTGCGTTAAAGATTGATATGTAACACCCGTTTACCAGAATCCAGGTTAAACTTGGTAGCCCGATCGCTGGTACTTTCATGCTAGTTGCTCCCGCCACTTGAGAAGGAGATGGCAGCCTAAAATCGAGACGGACAATATTGGTACTTGTCAATACGTAGTACCCGGTCAATGCTAGTATCGGTTCTGATGTTCTGAGTGGAGTTGTTCAGCCATCGTTGACGAACTCAGTGGTTGATCCTAGATTGATGGATTATCACGTGCATCTTGACTCGATTAGATTTCAGCTTGCACGAAACCATGACAATAACACACATTGTAGGGGACCTTTTTGCAGCGCCTACTGGTTCTATCCTCGTCCATGCATGCAATACAAGAGGGTCATGGGGGGCTGGCATCGCGGCAGCGTTCAAACAACGCTTTCCTGATGCGTTTGCGGAATATCAGGTCAGGAATCATCATGTACAGCGCTCTGTGTTCACGAGAAATGCCAGGCTGCCTGCAAAAAAGACGGCCCAGCGCTTCTAGGGAGCTGCTTGCTGATTCGTGGAGTGGAATACGATGTTGCGTGTTTGTTTACATCCAAGTGAGCTTGTGCAGTCTCCAAGAAAGAGTTGTCTGAATACGGCACAGAGATTACGGGAAACGAGTGGATTCGCCAGACCAGATCATTGCGGCCACGCAGAGTGCGGTGGCTCATTTGATTGTCCAGAACAAGGACCCAAAGAAAGCACTGCATGCTTGGTACGTTATCAGCGACCGTTGACTCCAAATCTCACCATCGTCCAGTCGCTTCAACTCGGGCAAGTTTGGAGTCGCTTGGGATAGAACGGCAGATGTGTTAAATGGGCTCGAGGTGGATATTGCGGTGTATGCTCCAGATTCACAACCGTCGTAGACACGTTATGGAGTGGCACAATGGGCAAAATTATGATGCGATCAAAAAGTTCTTTGGTTTGCCTCATCCAAGCACAAGGTCTTTATTGTTCGTGTTACAATAAAATAGCCACGCCATGGTGAAGTTCCGCCTTTCACGACCCAGCACCCCCGTCGCCGGCCGACCATGTCTTGGAACGCCGCGCCTCCCACTTACGATGCCCCAACGACCCGTCTTCAACCTTACCTTGAACTCCCTCATTTACTCTCCCTCACTTGGCTAGCCTATCCTATCCTCTCCCTTGTTTTTGTTGCATTCCGACTTTCCCTCTCCCTATCCAGCTCACAAGATGCCGTCGTCAGCGCGAAGGCGGACTTTGTGGCCAGCTGTAAAGCAGCAGAGAAGGCTGCAACAGCTGCGGCCAGTATGCCTCGTTATATGGCGTTAGCTACGAACGAACGCATCGCCAACGCTGTCAACGACTCCATGAATGCCGCTCGAGCTACCCTCATCCTCGCCCTTACAATCATGGAGGTCGTCATCAACTTCATTATTGACCTTTATCGGTCCACTTTCCTTTGTACGGCCCGCTTCCTCTCTATATTGGATCTTGACTAAATTGCCATCCAGGCTTCCTCGAACTTGTAATCAGAGGTGGTTTGGCCATTCTTATTGGCGCAGTACAAGAGGTGTGTTGACGCAACTTGATCAGTGTCATCGACTAAACGACGCTATAGTTGAATGCTGTTGTTCAAGCAGCCGCCGGAGGGCTGCGCACAGTCATACAAGACTCTTTTGGTGCAGCTAACAGCGCGTTGCAGGATGTCGCCAAGGTCGCAAGCAAAATCGGGATCAGCATTCCAACCTTGAGCGTCCCAGACCTCTCATCGCTGCAAAACGTCACCCTTCCCCAGTCTTTCACCGACTCGCTCACTTCGCTTAACAACAGTCTGCCAACTTTTCAAGAGCTGAAAAAGGTCGTTGAAGAACTGTATGTCTAATGCCCCTGCCAGGCCATGATACTGATTCTAGACAGTGTCGACACACCTTTCGAGTTATTGAAGAAAGACATCAATGAGACATTCTCTGGTCTCTCTTTCAACTCCTCCGTCCTTGCGGTCCCTCAACAAAACACGTTGGAATTCTGCACGGACCTCGACACTTCATTCATTGACGATTTGGGACGGGATCTGGCTAAAATGACCAAAATCGGCATCATTATTATCATCGCCGCCATCCTCCTCCTCATTGCGCTGAATTGTCTCCTCGAATGGTACAAGTGGCGTTGCCAGCAACGTCATCTCGAGTATACTCGCCAAGCATGGGCAACAGACCCTACTATCTACCACCAGCATGCTGTTGGAGCGCCAACCGTCACCCTCAGTGACCACAACCTCCTCATGCTGGAGGCCGACGGATCTCACCCTCTGCTGACCCGCATTGCCAACAACATTTCGGCCAAACTGCGACTCTCCACCAATAATCACATTCGTTTTCGGTGGTCGTTGCATTACATTTTCCATCCTCCTGCTCTGGCCTGTTTCCTGATTGGGTTCTTCGGCTTACTCTCAGTCGAACTTCAACTTCTTGCGATGGGTCCCCTTGTGGCCAAATACTCAAACCAAGCTGCAAGCACGACGGCAGATTTCAGTAACACGATTGCCACTAGTATCAACGCGAGCATGTATAACCAGAGTGCTACATATGCGGCTTCCGTCAACGGTCACGTTGATTCCATCCAGAACTCGGTCAACCAGGGCTTGTTCGGATGGGTCAATACAACGACAACGACTCTCAATACAACCATCGAGAATTTCTACGAGGACGTACAAAATGCTGTCGAGGTTGTGTTCAAAAACACGATCTTGGACGCCCCAATTCAAGAGTTCATCAAGTGCCTTATTGGAACCAAAGTTGACGCGATCGAGAACGCGCTGACTTTCCTCCACGACAACCTGCACATTGATATCCCTCGAGTCAACGACAGTGTTTTGGTCCTTTCTCCCGCGTCAGTCAACGAGGCTACTCAGCCAATTGCAGCCGCAGCTCTTGGAAGTGGCGATGGCAAGGATGATGGTGGTTTGGTTGGTCGTTTGGTGAATGGCTATGCTGCTAGCTTGCGCAAGGAGCGCATCATGTTCGGCATCTTCATGATGTTGTGGGGCTTGGTTGTGTTGATGGCATTGGCCATTGTCCTGTGGGACTGTTATGGTCGGCGCCGCCAGCGTTTACCTGCTGCCTTCTCCAATCCAGAACACCCATCGACCTCGTTTCCCCCTCTCGCAGAAAGCAAAGAAGGATCCGGTTTCAGACCTTTCGCCCTTGTGAGGTCTGCGGCGCACTCGGACCAAGGTAGTTTCTTCGAGAAACCGAAATCAACTCGCTCGAATTTGAGCACGAAGGAGATCAGCAAACCCATGAAGCTTCTTGGTCGTCGAGAACGCGAAGTTTACCTCGGTGATCAAACGACAAGGAGCTCTCTGTCTCTGCAATCTCAAGTCGAGTCGCGGCCAACTGGATGGTTTGGCCGTGTCGCTGGTGTGTTCAGCAAGAAGCAGGAGGTGCCCACTATTGAGCCCTATCCCGCCTTTGCTCCGAACAGAAATTCCGATGCTGTACCCTCCCGGCCTACCCTCACGATAACCACCAATGATCAAGCTAGTCGTGTCGACTCCGCGCCCGCGCCCGAAGCTCCCACGCGCTCCCGATGGTCGGTTTCCCCCCAAAATACTGCCGTACCTTGGGGCCGAGCAAGCATTTGGGGGAAAAGTCCCACATCCAATGTCAATCCAAACCCCACTGGCTTATCACCACTTGCTATGCCCTTGCACTCAGGTTTCGAAGCTCCTGGCAACAATGTCGCTAGAATGGTCCTTCCTTCGCAGCCGCCACACCACCCTGTTTCTGTACCATCGGCGGACCCATTTGACGACACCAATTCCTCTCCCTCTGACGGTCCTGTTACCCGTCTTTTGACAACGACCAACGCTCGTCGGTCGTCACCAGTTGACCCTTTTGTTACACCCTTCGATGACGAACATCGTGTCACTATATCTCATGTTAATGCCCGCAAGAGCATTCCAACCAACCCTTTTGCTACTCCGACCGCGTTTTAGGCAGCGCCTCTAGCGGTTCAACGAATTTGACACGGCATACACGGACTGCAATGAATCCTAATTAGCACCTAATCCACACAGCGTTGTACTTGTAATGTCCATTCTGTATTTTTACCCTGTCGATGTAGATATAATCTGAGGAAGTCGTCGATCTTGCTCGAACTTGCGATCTTTCATGAAGCGAAGGGTTTCTTCAGCACTAGTAAAAGCGTCAAGCCCAGCTCATGTAACAGCATGAAAGAGACACACGAAGCAAGTCCACGAAAACCTAGTGTCCGCGCTGCCATTCGCCGAGCATACCGCACAATTCTGGACGAAGAGGGTGTCTTTTTGCTCGTTGTGGTGGAGGGAGAAGATTCGCTTTGCGTGGATTTCTCTTGGGCGTCGCGAACCATCGTTCTTATCTGCATCCCTCTCCAGCCAAGTGTTTCTGCGTTCGTTTGCGTAACGTAGTTGTCAATGCCGCCTTTCTGGAGGGACATGTCAGCAGGGGGCGCGACAGTACCACGCAAGGAAGCGACCTTTTTTATCGTTTTCAGTGCCGCCGTCGTGACTTTGACCTGCACGTAGTCCTGCAGCGTCTCGGAGAAGAAGCGCTTCCGCTGGACGTTGGGAAGCCAGGTGCGCCGGGTCTTGTGGAGGGAGAAGGGGACATTGTTTCCGTACTGCTTGATTTTGTTCTGGAATAGACCGAGTTGGGCGCGTTTTAGTGGTTGAGACACGGTCGACATTGGTTGCAAAGAAACTTGTCGGTGATCGGTGTCACAACATTACCTTGACCAGAACAAGCCAGAACACCGATGTCTAGTGCGATTCAACTCTACCACCACAGACAGACAAACCCCGGACGACTTCAAGTCAGCAACACTCTCATGCGAAACCAATTTTCATTCAAAACTTGTTACATAATACATTGTGCGAGAGCAAATCGTGCGTGTTGGTTACAGCAAATCCGTGGGGGTGTCCGTTAGTGAATCCTGATGTTTTGAGCCGCCCCCGTTCAAACACTCAGCATGTTTTGGATGAGGACGGCCATGGCCATGGCCAGCACGAGCTGGCGGATCGTGACTGGGTTAGTGCTGCCCATGCTGGTGGAGGGTGCAGGCGATGACATGCTGGGAGGCGAGGACAGCGCAGCAGAGCTGCGAGAAGCTATCGATATAGAGTTCGATGCCAGACTCGCCGTCGTCCCGGATGCGGAGATGGACAAGTCCGACACAGAAGCGATGGGTGGAGTAGGAGTGTTTACTCGGGTGGTTGTGCTTGTTTGGATTGGTGGAGGCGTAGATGTCTTTCCTGATGCAGAGGCTGAAGAGCTCGAGGGAGAAGAGCTTCCCTTGATGGTGAATTCTGGGCTTCGGTTGCCTGTTTGCAACGTTGGACGCGTTATGTTTTCAGCCAGTCAGACGCACCAGAGTCGCCAAACAGGACGATAATGTAGTTGGATCGAGTCACCACATTTGGAACCGTAATTTGCACCTTCTCGTCAGTGAGATTGAAGCCTTGCGCCAAGATCACGGCTACACATGACGCTCAGCCTCACGGGAACCGTGCAAAAGACAGAACGCCAGCACATACATAGATTCTCGCTCTCAGACGTAAGGAAACCCAGCTGGAGCTTGCCGGGAACGCCTGCAGCATACCTTAGTTGAGCCGACGCCAATTCAACAACTTGAACACACCTTCTGGAATTCCCGTCGCATTCCTAAGAGAGAGCAATTGTAAGCAATACCTCTATGCATTATCATCGAATACTTGCCAGGTCACCGTCTCAACGCTGCCAGCTGTCCAGGCCGTCGTTTCGTTCGGGATGAGGATGGGGGGGTTGAATACCGTTCTTCGATTCAGGGGGATTGCCAGAGCGACAGACAGAAAGAAAAAGAGGCATAAAGACATAAGGCGGGCCATGGAAGAGACGTGGGGCAAGAGCAAGCCAGCGAGCCCCAGCTCCGAAGCATCGCTTAAAAGGTGAGAGATAGATCGACTTCGGCATCAGACATTTGACCAACTCAGACTGTTCAATGATAAGCAAACTCGGTCTGAGCCTTGCGTCTAACCGACTCTCAGTCTGAGTCTACAGTAAGTAAGTACAGTATTATTGGGCCTTGAACGTACAGTATTACACTAAAATACACGGAGCGGTAGATTCAGATGTCCTATAGGCGCGCAAAAGTTCAGTAGAAGTAATAGTCGTAATGTGATCGTTGTCGATGCTAAGTAGGAAGAAGACTTCATTCAAGAATGGTGAACATTTCGCCTGTATTTCCACTGTCTCCAAAAACTGGGGGACAATATCAGGACAGCGGAGGGGTGTGTGAGAGAAGCAACGCACCGAGAATTTGGTAGTCATGGCCGCTTTTGACTTTTGGAACGACAATTTCATGGCGAGAGACATTGATAGGAAAGCCCTGGGCCAAAGGATGGGCTGAGGAAGGGCGAGTGAGTGATAAGACAATATCATTAATCGTGGGCATACTCAGGTCGACCATGACATGACTTTTGACGAGCACGACCCTACCCACGTCGTTTGTGATGTGGGCTGGTGCATCGGACATGTCCCAGGTGACATTGTGCCGCTCTCCAACGCGCCATACGGTACCAGAACGAGGATAGGTTACTGGTGGCGAGAAAACGTCGCGTTGAGGAAGCGCCGGTGCGGCCGTGGAGACAGTGATCAAGAGAGTAAGAAAGACGGTGGCTAATGAGTTCATGCTTGAGTAGTTGCCAGAGATAGTGTCGTCGCTGGGGCTTTATAGTCGTCCAAGAGGTCAATAGTTAACCCTTGCTTCTTCGGGAGCTCCTTGACGCGAAGTTGCTATCTGTTGCATTTGCTCCGAGCTTGAAGGCTCTTTTGGCAGTTCAAACTCTTCTCTTGGAGTGCGGTATTACCACGAGGTAGTCGTTTGCATAATGCGGCTCACGTCCGTTCGTGGGTGTTGTCAGTAACCTTGTCAAGCTCAGGCCCCACGAGCACAACCCTGAAAGTAAGTGCCATCGAATTTGTGGACTGCGTATTTTTGCCGTTTGTGGATGTCTTTTCTCGGTGACATTTGAGCCGAGTCGGAAATCTGTCTACCGGAGGCGCCTCCGCTATCCAGCGGCACCGTCAACGGTCAATACTAGTGCCGGCGAGATACTGTAAGGCAGAGGTGGATCCATCTGAGAGTTGCGGTCAAAGGGTGGTTTTATCTTGATTGCCGTCCCGATTTCCCAATTTCGGAGGTCACGCTATTTGGTTTTATTTGGCCATTGCGCGTTGAGTCACAGCAGTCACAGCTCTCACCCTCGCGTGGCGTCACCATCACTGTCACACTTTCTTCAGCGCGACGACCACTATAGTGTGTGCTCACTTGTGTTTTCTGACACTACAGACTCAATACACCTCCTACAGCCAAATGGGCGGCGAACCCACCTCACTACCAACTCCCCCAAGCACTGGTCACCGCGCCAAAGAAAACCGTGCTCCGAGGTGGCATGTTAACTGGTCCCCCCAGAACCAATACCGCACATTCACCAATGACGACCTCCTTACCACCAGCGCGTCGAAGAGCACACCCTCTAAATCAATCCTAAAAAAACCTACCGAACTCCTCCTTCCCCTCATCGACGCGTCCCAGCGAGAGTCCACTCCTGAACCGTCTCGTCCCGAAACCGACCCAAACTACCTTTCGTCAGCAGTGCAAACGCTCGCCGACTCCGACGCGAGTCTCGACGACCTAATTCGAGCATATTCTGTCCTCACTGCCCGGCTTCGTGCCCACATCACCTTCAACTCGGACACCAAATGCGCACTTCTTTCGCCTCTCCGAAAGCATCGCACCGCGGTTACTGAGGCCATTATCCGTGACTTGGCGCGTTGCGCAGTGGACCCAGATACAATGGAGATGTCCGCTGAGGACATTGAAGAGGAAGAGCATATCAAGGAGCAACGGCAACCATTGCATTTACCCTCGCCCAAGAGCAGCCCGAAGAAGAAGAGGGGAACAACAGCCAAGAAGGCCAGATACGGCAGAGACCTTTGCACAACATGTCACTCTGCCTTGAAGCTTCTCGCCGTCGTGTTCACCCTCCCTGCCGTGTTCAATATCTTCAACAGTGCACCATTTCTCATTTCCATTTTTTCACGAACTGACGCGGTGTTTCAGACGCCGAGTTGAGTGCTATTCTTACGGAAGTTTTGGGCATCCCTCTCGCCGACCAACTCCCCACACCAAACTCGCGCAAGACGTATGCGCTTTCCATTTGGTTGTTGCAAACCCAACGACTTCCTCCCTCTGTCTTGGACGGCGCAGCTGATCGGATCGCACATGCAATAGGACGAGGAATTGACGGTGAACTAGGCAAAGAGGGAAAGAAGGGATCAGCTAGTGACGGTTTGAAGGTGATATCTTTTGTGCTTAACTTACTTAAATGGCGCTTACTGTGAGCATAGGCCATCCATGACCTCTGTGTTTATCAGCCAGCGATATTTGTGCCGAAATTCGAGCCGTTACTGCCATCCATGCTGACCAACCTTCTCGCTTCCACCCTTTCCCTTCGGACTCAAGCCTGCCATGCACTTGGAGGTTTCGCTCGTGGCCTTACCACACTACCGGTCTCCTCTCTCCAATCCCGCATCTCCGCCGCCGTTGTGGCACACTTAACAGCACCTCCTCCGCCGTCAAAGTCCCCCACCAAGTCCAATGAAGCGGCAATTGTACGGACTTTGCGTATAACGCTTGCTGCTACGGAGGTCCAAAACGTAGCTCAAGGTCCTGTCTGGGCACTGACAACGATTGCGGCTCTACTTGTTCTAGCGAACTCTGAAGCTTACGCTCATGATGGTGCACGCAAAGTTTTCTGCGCATTGCTTCCGCTTGCAGTCAAGCACAAGAAGAGTTCTATCCGGACTCTTGCTTGTACCGTTTGGCGATGCGCTACATGGGCCTATTGCCAACCTCTTTTGCCTGAAAGTGACGATTTCGAGCCTGAAAATAAAGGAGGGCGAAGGAAGCTTGCGAAGATTGAAGAAAGCCGCATGGAGCTTTGGACGAGACTCCTCCAGGGTATGGTAGACATGGGTGTCGGCATTTCGACCATTGCTGCTTTGCTTGCCGAAACTGAACACGACATGGAAGAAAATATCGGCCTTGCTGCTGGCATTTTGAAGTCCATGACGATCCCTGGCAAGAATAATCACCTCCCAGACGCAATTGACATTCTTGCTCGGATGGTGTCATACGAAGCACGCGAAATGCCTTGGTCTTGGGATAAACTCCTTCCTCGGGGTTTACTTTCGGCTTCGCCAGGGTTGTTGACGGCAGAGTACACCTCTCTTGAAGCACCAGTTCGAACGGTGCTCGCTCAATGTCCCGCTGTCGATGATGTTCGTCCGCTGGACCGCGAGGAGCTTGCGCAAAGCGGCACATTTGACAAACTCTTGGGTGTGTGGAAAGAGTGTATCGCGTGCATCGGTCTGCGAGACGATGAACCGGTTCTGGTCTGTCCCTCGAATGTTATGTCATGCACGGTAACTAATTGTTTCCCAGCCCAACATTGTCCACATCTGGCATCAGCTATTGAAGATACACATTTCGGCTGCAAAAGGTTCCGTTATTTTGGGAAAACTCGTTCTTCTTTGTAACCTATTTTCCAGAGAAGGACGATTCGGACACAAATGATTGCGCTGTCTTTGCGGTTGAAGCACTTGTGGAAATCTTGGACGACCACAACATCGACCTCACCATGAAGCATCGACAAGTCCCCTGCACCGATGGTCCAGAGCCTAAAAACGACATGTCAAATGCTGCATTGAAGATTAGACTCTTGCGCGCGTTGTGGGGAGCTACTCGTCAAGCGTTTGGTGCATCGCAACTCGCGGGAGCCGCAGAAAAGCTACTCTTCACTCTAATGCAGGGCGAGGATGAGTTTACTGATTGCGGAGATGTGTCGCGGACCGAGTGGGCCACATTCTGTGCTGAAGTTTCGATTGTTTGCGATCCGGACGTCATACTTCAGTTTTGGAAGTATGACGGGGCGGACAACAGCAAATGGGAGTGGACTCGGGAGATTCGGAGGACTGTTTGGCGATGCTTCGCCACGCTATGGAAGGAAGACAAGGATGGAACTTGGCCAGCTATCAATTATTTACTGGCGGTCCCGTTCAGGTTTGCGTTTTGCTTCCTTGTGGATGAGAAACTAACTAACTTGCAATTCTAGCACTCAACAAGATTGTGACCTGGAAGGAGCAGACTTGGATCTCTGGGAAGCGCTACTTGAACGGGGCATCGACAAAGCGCTTGATTATGGATTCGATGTCATTGCGGTTCTTGATCACGCAGCGTCGACCCTGGCCAGAGATCGCAGTCCAACTGCAAGCGGTGCTGCCCGTGTCGCAGATGTCTTGTTGTCGCGTCTTATTCGTGATGATGAGTTCAGGGAACTGCCCGACTCGCTTTTCGAATTGGTTAACGACATCCTTAAGTCGTGCTATCCACCCGAAAGACGTATCCGGCAACAAACACTTTGGACGATTCGAACGGTTAGCCGTACGATCGAGTTTTGCCCGATTGAATATGTTGTGGACATGCTCCGTTCACTTCAAGGTGGTTTGTGCATGTGGCTGTCGGATGAGCAGCAGGCCCTCAGTAACGAAGATTATGTCTACGACGTAGGTTCTTGCTTCGAGCAGGTGACACTCTGTTCTAATGGTCCTTTAGATGGTCAACATTTATGAGGTGTTCCTCTTGAAAATCAGGACACTTCCCAGAGAACTCGATGTACTTGCTTCAACTGCAACTATCTTTGTTGCTCCCTTCACTGGGAGGGAGAAGCACGCAACAGGTGTTGGCGCCGCCTTCCTCGACTTCTGGAAGGAGACGTATGCTTCAGATTTTCCAGAGCCAGACCAATGGCCAGAGGAAATCGAGGAGTGTCTGGCGGCTGTTGGGCTTACGTCCCGTCCCGCTACTCCAGCTCGTTCTGTTTCACCGACCCCTGCCACACCCTCGTCCAGATTTTCCGATATTTCTACACCCCCTCGTCCTCGCAAGCTCCCTTCTACTATCCACGATTCACCCGAATCACCTGTCCGCGTGTCTTATTCTCTCAGTTCTCCTTCAACACCCAAACGTACACCACTTCGCAGCGTTCCTGGCTCTCAGACCTCCCCACACAAACGCCGACGACTCGACCAAGGCGACAAGGAGAACGAGTCGCCTGTCTTTGTTGCCTCGTTCATGGATCGTTTGAGCTCTAAAAAATCGATGCCGTCTGGTGGTGAAGACCGCTCTCATAAACGGAGAAGACTGTTGGATGGTAGTGTTGAGCCCGTGGGGATTTTGATGACGCCTCGTTCTCTCTTTGGTAACGAAGATGAAGAAGAAGAGCGGGTGGTGGCGGCGAGCCTGGTTCGGCAAGAGCAAGGCCAAGACCTGCAGTCAAGCTCGCGAAGCAATAAACGCAAGAGAGCGGTCATGGAAGTCGTCATTGTGCCTCCAAAATCGTCATCTTCGACTTATAATCGGGCAAGGCAAAATAATTTGGACGTGGAGGTCCGTTCTACGGCTAAGGTTGTGCGGAGAGGCCCCTCCTTCTCCAGGAAACGGAGTCGAGAGGACTTCGATGATTCCTCTTCGGACGATCCATTCAGTGGTGCGTTATACTATGCAAGTCTTGTCGAGGATAGTAGGGCTGACTAATAAGCAGATAATCCTCACACAAAATCTTCATCAGACGACGACCCGTACCTTGGTCAAGTAACACCTTCCCATGTCGTTTCGCCCGTGATTCGGCGGAAAAGACAGGACGATCCACCGAGTAGCGACGACTCGGTGTCCTCTGGAAGCCCAGTCAAGGGTATGGTCGCCCGTCGTCTGCAGCGTGTGGGGTCTAATGGGCGTGTCGGGGTTTGCTAAGTCAGTGTATTGTTATTTTTGTAATATTTTCTTTGTTCGTTTTGCTGTTCTCGTTCTTGTATCGCCTAGCATAGATAACATAGTCATAGCAATGTGCCTCGGGAGTCGGGAGTCAACTGCGGGAGCAACTATCAAGCCGCTATAGGGTGTCGATTCTAACGGACAGTTACGGACTTTCCTTTGCGAAGGTTTAGGTTGTGGTACGGTATGCGAGGTGAAGGAGAGTATGTGGTCTTCATGGCTTTGAGTGTTGTAAAAGAATCTTCGGGGATGTCGGACATATCCGCATTGAGAGAGATACCGTTGATGGCGATTGCATCAATCGTCATTTCAAAAAAGGCGTTCACGATCCAATGCGACAGAGCAACATCTACTCTTGTTTCCTCTTCCCATGTCTGACCAGCTCCTCGACACCCCCGCGAAACACCCATGGTCCTTCTCTGGCCTTCTGGACTCGGCGTGGAATCGGATTTCCGAAGCAGCACTTAAAACTGGGTGGACGCCAGTTGCTCGAATCTCGGAGGCTGCAGTGGTCGCGTACGTGCTCTTTTCATTGAATAATCGCGTCGAAACTTGCTCTCCATAGGTTAATGCAAAATATGGACCGTGGCAGTCTGCGAGTGCTAACCTACTCGCACATATATTCTTTCCCCGCCTCTGGAAGCGAACAAGATGATACTGAGACCAAAGCCGAGTTAAGGGTGCTTAACGACGCGTTCTGGATACGGCTTGCAATGATGGGTGACCTTGGGTTTGCCGAAGCGTACATGTATTCAGACGTCGAGTGCAACGATCTGGTGTCGTTGTTCAACGCAAGCCGACGCGTCTTTTCCCAACATATCATCAACTGACGGGACACAGATCTTCCTGGCCAATAGAAAACGACTTTCAAACCTCGACTCGAAAGCGTCCTACCTCTTCACTCTGCCTCAAAAGCTGACATCATATCGTTTTCTCAACACAATTGGCAACTCACGATCTAACATATCAGGTGAGTAACTTTTTTGAGATGACGCACTTGTAATGAAGACATCACATAGCCCACTACGACATCAGCAATGAAATGTTTGCAGGTCCGTTTTTAATACCGCAAAGACGCTTCGACGCTTACCACTACTTAGGCTTCCTTTCCCCAGATATGACATGTGCGTTGAATTTTTCGTCAGACTTCAATCTCAGTCCTATTTGTAGACTCGTGTGCAATATTTGACGACTTGGACGGCGACATGAAAGACGGTGTAGAGCAAAGCGAATGGAGTGGCGGCCAGGGACTTTTGCGATTGGGATCGAAATCCACAGCCACGGCTACACCTACACTTTCTGAACCGTCGACGGACGAGTTGTACGAAGCACAAATCCGTAAACTCAGCCATATCATCAAGAAAGCCAAAATCGAGCCAGGAAACCGAGTCCTTGAGATCGGTTCGGTATGCTACTGAGGCAAAGTCATGCGACTTCTGATCGGTACCCACAGGGATGGGGCTCAATGGCCATTCTTATTGCTCAAACCGTACAAGACACGACAATCGACACTCTGACGCTTTCCGTGCAGCAGCAAACACTGGCGCGTGAAAGGATTGCTGCGGCGGGACTCACTGACCGTATCAATGTGCACTTGATGGACTATCGCAACATGCCCGCCGACTGGCATGGCGCCTTCGACCGGGTTATCAGCATCGAGATGATTGAAGCCGTCGGTCAGGAATTTCTAGTCAAGTACTGGGAAGTAGTCGACTGGGCATTAAAATTGGAGGGAGGAATCGGTTGTGTACAAGTCATAACAATTCCTGAAGCTCGTCAGTGTCGTTCTACCGTGCTCGGCTTGAATATTGATCATTGTCCATAGGTTTTGATCGCTACATTCGTGAAATCGACTTCATTCGGAAATGGGTATGTTCTCGTTCCTCTACGTGCGATTCCTAGAAGATTAATCTACTCTCCAGAGTATGCTTTCGTTTTCAAATGCAGTTCTCTTGCCTAATCCGCATGACCAGTTTTCCCTGGCGGGTTCCTTCCAACACTCACTCTGCTTCTACAATCCATGAAAGATGGATCTTTCGGGCGTCTTACTGTGGACGGTGTTTCTAACATCGGTCCCCACTAGTGAGATCCCTCTAGCCATCAGCCATTTGATGACTCTGATCTTCAATCAAAATCAGCGCACGTACTCTGCGTGAATGGCGCCGACGTTTCCTCTACGCCTTCGACAGCACTATTGTGCCTGCGCTCAGAAGAGAGTATCCCGATGTCATGAATGGCCCTCGGGGCAAGCAAGAAATCGAAGTGTTCAAACGCAAATGGATATATTACTAGTGCGTGGGCCGCTTTCTGCGTGAACGGAGGACTGACAGAGGGTTCAGTTGCTATTGTGAAGTGGGGTTCACCTCCCGCACACTAGCAGGTTCGTCATGATTGTTTTCTTTTTCACCTGTTCGCTTACTCCAGCTCGTTTCAAGATCACATCATTACTTTTACCCGCGAAGGGTCTACTGACTATGGGTGCACAGTTTTTGAGTGAACAAAACGCGCAGTTTTAAACTTATTTATGTATTTGTAGCCACTTATAGATTATTTAGATTTTAGAGGACCTCATTAACCTAAACACTAGTGATACAGCATGGGTGTAGTAAAGCTACATATTAGGACCGAGTACAACTTACTCTCAACGCCTCTTCTTTCTAGTTTTCTTCACCTTCTTCTGCGCGGTCTCCAACCGCTCATTAACAGCAGCACCAATCTGATTTACCCATCGATTGTAAACTAGTAGCTCGTCCACGCCTGTCTGAGAGTGTGCCCCGACAACAGCTTCGTAGGCTCGCTCGAGGGCATCGTCTACACCGCTTGTCTGGTTGCGGCGAAGGGGAGGCGGGTCGTGTGGGGTATGCGGCGTAGGTTCCGTAGCGCTTCGCTGAGGCCGCCTTTCAACAGTGTCAGCTATCACTGCAGAATAGTCTGAGTCAATGAAAACGGTGCCTATGTGGCGACTCACCCTCCGATGGTTGACGGGCCTCAAAACTGACTTCATCGGCCAGAGACTCCTGGACTAAGCGCACATCCGACATCGATAAGCTAGCCTCCCAGCTCCCGTAATCCTCCTCTTCTTCCTTCACGACAGGTGTCGATGCTGGTCGGGAACGAAAAGAAGGCGCAGGTGTCGGCAGGGAGTTCTCCATCTGCCACTGCTGCGACCTCCTCAACTCCGCATAAGTCGGAACCTCCACGCAATCGATGAAGAATCGTGGTGACTCGTTATTAGCCCTACTCGCCATTTGCTGTGACGCGGCAGGTTCACTTCGTGCATGTGGGGAGAGCCTCAAGTATTGTCTTCGACTTGTGGGTTCTGAGAATGATTCCCCCGCAACTCTTGAAGGTCCAGCAATAATAGGATCAGGTGAATGCACGAGCTTGCGGCGCTTTGTGGGAGATACGATAGCTGGGCAATGTTCATCAACTCAAAATAAAATGAATAAGAGATACTGACAAGGAGTAGCAAGTGGGCGTTTCCTTCGCCAAGGGCTCGCCCGCTGTGATGAAGAGACAGACATTTCCCCAAATGAGGAGACCGGGCTCCGGGGTCGTGATGGCTTTCCGACACGCAGACCAGATGGTTGTATTAGGATATCATGGTTGTCATAGAGGCTGAGTGGTTTCGCAGCGGAAGCAGCAGGATAATAAAAGTTGGTACGAAGTCGTGGAGGCGTAGGAGTACGGACTGGGCTCGTCGGTGGTGGGGAGGATTGCATGTGAGGAGGGGACGAAACTGGAGGGGACACCCATCGAGCGTTGGACGAATTTACAAGTTGCTCTTCTGATGGTACTGGCCGAACAGTCTCCTTATCGTCGTCTTCGCTCTCTGCACTGGGCTGGATCCTAACTAACCCAATCGTATCGTTGACCGCAGGATGGTGCGATGCATCAGCAAAGTAATCCTGTGATTCTACAGGAAGTCTCGTTTGTGACTCCACGAGAAAAGGTTGCTGGGAGTCGAATGCAATTTGATCCTCCTTGTACAGTTGTTAGATTCTGCTCTATTACTCCGAAACTAGACTCACCATTTGTGAATGGGGTTCCAACGAAAGCCCTCTAGCAAGACTGCCCCCAAACACGTCAGTAAATGCCTTGAGACATGTCTTCAAGCCTGAGGGATAGCCTGCTATGAGATCATCGCGTCCATGATATGTTGCAGCCCAAAATTTCTCGAATCCATCGGGATCGGCTAATGTCTCCAGTAAAGGAGATATTAGACGAAGAGTATCAAGGGTCGGATCCACTTTTGCGAGCTCATTGAGTGGATTGGTGAAGAAAGCATTAACCTGAGAGGTATAAGATATACAAAAGAACGCAAGTGCTCGGAACACACCACTTGGCTTTGAGCTGAGTCATCTAGAATTTGGTCTTCGTCTCTCAGCCATCGGCACATGGGTTGAATGAGATTGGAAACCAACGGAACCAACAGATTAACCGGACAAGACGTGAAGAAGTCTCGGACAAGACGGATAAGCTGAAGGGCGCTTGATGTCACAGAGCGTGAAGAATAGAGGGTATCAAGTAGATGGACGACAATGTTCAGAATATCGATCGGAAGTTCAGTCCGCTCTTCAAAGTCGAAGAATGAGATGAGGGTGGCAAATTGGTTGAGCGAGGGAAGGAATCTAGAACAAATCTCAATTTCGAAGTCTTTGGGTCAAATAAACGGATACCACCTTCGCCAGTCACCGACCTGCAAGATAACATGCTCGACAACGGTAGAAACTTGAACACCGGGGCTGACTGTGACTGCAGTCCGAAGAAGTGTTTCCCATTGATCGTCTTGCTCTTTCGACAACGACCAGACCCTGCAAGCGATCAGTAACGTCAAAGGGACAACCAGATACACAAACCCAAGCGGGGCGCTAAGCAGATGAGCCAGGTCCTGCCAGTCAACACTACTACTTCCCTGTCCCGCCGATGCCACTGAGGCCGACCAAAGCTGCTGCTGGATTCCTGTTGGCATCGTTTGATCATCAACCGCTGTGATGATATCACTGATGTTAGGGTTGCCGACGGCCATCAAAGCGGAGCACATTTGAGCCCATTCCGATTTGACCTCCGCGTCCGTCAAGGTGAATCGATGTTTGACAATCGCACCAAGCACCGTCTGCGAAGCCCATGCAAGTCGGTTAACTTCGAAGGCGTTACACAACCCACGCCACATCTTGCTGAGGAGCTGAAGACATGCAACCTCAGTGATCGGATCTGCAGGTAAATCGTCGAGGAAAGACTGCATCAGCGCAGTGAACTTCGCGTTTCCAGAGAAGCCTTCGGTTGGAGTAAAATGCATGTGACCCTGCGTTATTTCGGTGGGCATTAGTAGGAGGGTTTGCCAACCATGTAGAATCAAATTTTCCGTATACTCAGTGAGTGAAAGGTGAGGAGGGCTCAGTTTTACATCATCCAGCTGGTGAGTCATGAGCAACAAGACTGCCCTTCGCCACATATTGGCAAGATCATCCCAATGAGCAAGCACCTCTTCCTCGGCAAGTTGACGAATGTGGAGAATATCGCATCGAGGTATTAATCGGGTTAATTCGATCACCTTTCGCCGACTTGGATGGAGCAGAGTGCCATCAAATAATGCGGGCGAAAGAAGGGAGAAGGACGGAAGAGCACATCCTGGAGGAACATATAGCAATCTTGTGACCACCGCAATACCTGTCGCCTGCATTTTTTGTTCCCCACTGGTGAGCATATCCTCCACAATCTCCAAAACCTTTGGAACGGAATCTGAGCTGTTCGCTTTGGATTCAGCTCCAAGGAGCGTAGAGATGAACGCGAAAGGGATATCACTTCGAATCTCCTGTTTGACGAGCTTGAAAGCCGCTTCCCTCGTATCAGAAACAGGAAGATGAGAGAACACCCATATGAGGCATTTCCACACGTGAGGGTGAAGGCCGATGACGATGTTTTGCTTGTGGCTCAGTACGGCGCGGAGAGATTCGCACGTCAATTTGAGGATTGCCGGGTTGGAAAAAAACGATTCTTTCAGGATGACAACAACGCAAGCCAAAAGTTGCACAACCCAAAACGGACTGATGGCAGGATGTGATGGGTTGCTGGTGGCCAGCCCCTGATTGATTAGGTTTTGAAGCTGAGCTTGGATTCTCATATTAGGGCCTCTTGATGATTGCATGGTGAGGAAGTCCACAAGGGATTTGTTGAGGACTGTCTGTGATCGACTCGATGTGCGAGTGTCTAGTGTCGCGAGTGCAAATCGACCCAAAGCATTTACAGCCTGCAGACGAACGTTCAGTCCATCGACAACAAGCTTCTCCAAGATGGGAATAAAGAGGCTGGATAGCGAACCCAAGAAAGTGACAGGGTCTTGCTGCAATAACTTGGAGCACGCCTATGTCTAATATTAAACCGAGGCCTGAACGAAAGAGATATCAAAACCTTGATCACTTCTGCTTTGGGTATTTCTTTCCTTGCTTGACCGTCGAAGCTCAATGGGTTGTCGAATGCTCGCTTCAAAAATGATGCGAGTGGTTGGTTGAGAGGATTGAGCACCACTGGTGGCAGATTCTGAGCTGATATTGTCCAAACAATGAACGTCCAAGTGCGAATAGCCGTAGAATTAGGAAGGGCTAATGACGTGCCCAGAATGATCAGTTCCTCCAATATAGAGCGCAGGTCATCCGCTGCAATGAAGTCAAGTCATTTGTCGTGAAATGCGAAAGATACCCACTTGAGAATAAGGAGAAAAGTGGCACGAAAGCGAAAATCTCAGACACAAAACGAAGGACATGTTGTTCAAGTTCTGCATTGTCACGTAGGAGACGGAGCTCGTCAGCGTCCTTCTGGAGAGAAGTCTCGAGAGGACTCCACGACGCATACGAGGAATCGAATGGTTGCTCCCGAGAACGTTTCAGATCTCGTTTGAGTGCGAAACTGAGTTGGGATGAGCACTCCTTGAGTGGAAGCAAGGCGGGAGGGTTGAGATTGGGTAGATCAAGGAGAGGCCGTATTTGTGTCCTGATTCTGTTTGAAAGAGTGCTGTATGCTTCAATGAGGTCGTGCACTGATATGTGGTCGCCTTCAAGCCCTCCATACGCGAGGATGGTCGTGATAGGTGAGATAAAGTACACCGTCGAAGTTAATGGACCATCATATGGATCAGAGGACAGGTCGTTCGGGTGTGGCATAAAGGCGGAGGGAATAGTGGTTGTCAGATGGATGGGTTGCAGTGGTTGAGACGGGAGTTTAAACTGAGGTCGAGGTTTGTGCGACTCAGAAGGCTGTAGCTTGACCGGATGGTTTTCCTTCTGAACAATCGCCTTCATGACGCTTGCTGCTCAACAGCGTCATGCATCGGGCCAGTCGCGGGCCCGGGGGAATGGATGGTATTGGCTGGACCCACACTATATTGAAGCTTTATTCCGATATTAAATAACGAAAGTCGCGAGGATTTAGGCACGCACAACGTTGTTGGGCTCTCGAAAGGAACAAATCGTTCCTGCAGCTCGTTTTATAAACGAGAATCTGGGCTTTGAGTAAGATGGAGTCAGAGTAAGATGGAAACAGAAGGTCTGACAAGGAGATGGATGTGCTATGCACACTGAGCAGGTGTCAGCCGGAGGTCGGCGTTGACTCTGCGTAACTCGAAGCTCGAGGTCCAATGCAAAGCGGATAGTTGTCATGTGACCACGCGACCCTCAATCCCTGACGCCGGTCACTTTGCCCTGACTCGTCAAAACACGGTTGTTCACACACACCGTTCGACGCACAACAAATCAACCTCACTCGAGCAGTTCTGACTTGTCCAGAACCTCAACTTAAGCCACAACACCAACCGCACCAGCCTTTAATTAGGCAGCCTTAGCCTTTGCTCCCGCAATGCCCAATAGACTCTTGAATATCGAAGCTCTCAATGTCTTCTTCCGCACCTTCCACGTCAAGCTCTCGAGCTCTAATGTGCGGCTGAAGTAACTTTTGTACATGACTCTTCAACAGTTTCTCGTCTTACGTCGAACATGTCATTACGGGCGTCAAACTCCTTCACTAGCTTCACTAGTTATCTTGGTTGTGTTTGCATACGCTTCAGAACTTGAACCAACGAGCTGCTAGACACTCGTCGCCACCAAAAGCAGAATTACATCTCCCATTATTGTTGTCTTTTGGTCGGTCCTCGGGCATGCTGGATTGGATGTTGTCGAAGGGACTCGATGCCGCAAGCTAGCATTTACCTGAAATGTCAATTACGCACTTGAAACGACCTAAGAAGCAGGCTGCACATTTTGTGATTGGGCTCGACGACGTCTGAGCTAAAAGTTCCAGTGTCGAGTACATAAGCCGCAAAATTCAGTCCATCTTGTCTTCATCCCACCACCATCTCGCCAGCCATGATGCTCTTCACCACCCTCCTTTCTCTCTTCGTTACTTCCACACTCTGCGCTCCGACGCTTGGCCCACAAGAGCTCATTGTCATCGACCCCGAAATCACCTCGCCGAAATCGGGCGACATTTGGAAGGCGGGTACTACTCAGCTCGTCACATGGAGTATGCTTCATATCCGCTACTCTTACCTCGCCTTGAACGCTGGCTAGAAACAGACAGCATTCCACCTGGCTCTGCGAACACCACTGGCCTGCTTCTCCTTGGTCATCCATCCACAATACACCAAGATGGTAAAGACTACCCGAGCGAGAACCTCGATATTAGTGCGTTCTCCTTTACTCGCTGTGCCTTGATTTACCGTTACAACAGAGCACCCTCTCGCCTCTGGGTTTTATCTGACTGATGGCAATGTGACTGTCGTGGTCCCCAATTGGATACGCCCACGAACCAACTACATGGTCGTCTTGTTTGGCGACTCGTCAGTCCTTCCCAATATTTCCCTTATTGAATCTCACTCACTCTTAGCGGAAATACGTCCCCACTCTTCACCATCACCCATGGTTCCCAGACACACACCACCTAATACATGCGACGAGTGTCGCGAGATACCCTCGCTTTGTCTAACCACATACTGTACTATCTTCCGGACAGCTCGTAATGATAGAGTCGAAGCCTCTGGTCCATTTTGATTAGTAGATGTAATTCATACAAGAAAATGCTTTAGAACGCGATTGACGATTCAGAGCTTTACGCCTTTTTTGCCTTTGCTACGGCCTGAGACTCACGCAGGCTCTTGGCGATTTCGCCATACGAATGTACCATGAGACCGATGGGGATGACAACCCAGCTGCACGATTTCAACGACAAATTATAAGGAGAAGGGGAGGACACACATGACATTAAGGAACTGGGAGAAATTGAGTTCGTGTTTAACGTTTAGTGGTGTCAGAAGCAGAAGAGACGCACGAAGAGGTAGACCCAAAGGAATAGTGCGTTCGAAGTATCCAGGTTGGGCGACCCACTAACCCACTCTGGACAGAATGTCATCCACCCGCCGTACAGCTCCGCGGTGGAGAGCACGACGATCCAATAATGGCGCGCAGGGTCGTCAGAGACGAGCTGCTTGAGAATATAAAAGCACATTGGGCCAGCGCCAAGAACAGTCAATATTTCTAGCGAGACGACAGTAGGGTCCGCGGTCCCCCAACGAAAGTCAGCGGCCGCATATTCGCGCCCTTAGAAGTGGGGAAAATCGATACGTATTTTGAGTCTGGGAGAGATGACGCACACATGTCCGCTAGCGGCCCAACACTCGAGTTGACTGTACGACCAAAGGTGGAAAGATAAAGGAAAGACCCTGAGTAAAAGATGAAGGCTTTGCATGGTGGTCAAAAAGATGGACTCGGACGAACCTTCAAATGTAAAATGGGTCATTCCATCGAATGCGAGCCAGATAAAGGTGAATCGGTTGATCCATGGCGCGTTCTTGGGGAGAAGAGCATTGGCAGCGACCGACGCAATGATATACAGAGACAGCACCCCCGCTAGCGAGACTGCGCTGGTCACTGTGAACACATCGTGAGTGCTGGACATGATGGTGGAGGCTAAAAGCGAAAATCGTGCGACTTTTTTATATTACTCGCTATGATCACCTCCACTCTAAGGCTCAGCGAGCGTTGCGCCGTTCATACGTTTAAAAATGGTGAAAAGGAGACCCTAGCACAAGGAACATGATTCTTGACGCGTTCCAGTCAGACACGCATGTCGAATAACAAGATCACATGAGCGCGTTATAGTATATCCGCTATTGTCCAACCCACTCATCCAGCCATTGGAATACCTGTTTGTGCCATTCCAAACTATTTTCGTGACCAAGTATCCAGTGGCTCTCGTCAGGAAATACCAAGAGACGGCTTGGCACGCCTCGCCTAGAGAAAGGAAAGTATGCAGTCAGAGGAAGTTTTGAAGCACCATCAAAGGACAATGCACTGACTGTTGTAATACTTGAAAGGCTGCGATGCTTTGTGATTCCGCCACTCGGTAGTCTTTACTTCCATGGATAATGAGCATCGGCGTCGACCACTTGCTCGCGAATCGTACTGGGTTGTTTCTACGATGAACAGCCGCGCCATGAACACTCCAAGGAACACCACCGAAGTCGTGGTTGAACTGTATTGCGATTCACGTCAAGGTCGCCTTCCCATCCATTGCCTAGATACTCACCAGAATCGGTACATCGGAGGTCAGACTATTAGGTTAAAAGTCAAACAATGACAACATCCCCATGCAGTCAGACAACTCACGCACTCGAAGTCGTATCAAAAATACCATCATGGCACACCAGGGCTTTGAATTTGAATCCGTATTCAGGATGTCCCTGCAACCAGTTCATGGCAAAGCCGCCCCAGCTCGCTCCCAATGCGACTGCACGCTCAGGATCAATCTGATACAAGTTGATCAGACGGCAAGTAATGATCGAGACCCACCTCGGGATATTTCAGGAGAACGTGGTCAAAGCCCGCCTTCATATCAACGAAAGGCTTTCCGCCCCAATCATTTACGATACTATCGGTGAACTCTTTCAATGATGGTCAGCGAAAAGAAAAAAAAAGACGAATGAGGAGGGGCCAACCAGCTCCAAAGCCAATGCTTCCAGTTGGATTCATCCAGATGGAAAAATATCCGTGTTCGGACATCACTGCAACATTCGTCAGTAATAACTCTCGACGGCTCGCCTGAATAGTTACTATTTGGACTCCAATGGATGGACCACTTTTCGGACCAGGAGCCGGACGGCCCTGGATAAGGTAAATGAAGAGGTTGCGAACCAAAGAACACCAACCTCCGTGGACAACCATTGCGACTGGCCACTGGCGTCTCTCATTTGCGCCAGTTTTCCACCCACGTGGTTTAAATATCCAACCATGAACATCCCTGTTTAACGCGCCTTTGAACCAAAACTCCTCGCCACCATCAAGACTTTTCTCTGCCAGAGCATCTTTGGTGATATGCGTGATTTGTTGAATCTCTCCAGTGAACCGAGGTGATGCCGAAGACTTCAAGGCCATCTCAAGTGTATCCAAGCCAGTCAGAAGGAAAACCTCGTTAGGGGAGATGAAGGATGATCTAGAGAACAAGATGCGCCCATCGGAAAGCGGTTGAATGCCTGAAACGACACCCGAGTGGGTTAAATTCACAGGATGTGCGGTCGATGAGATGGACAAGGCAAATATTTTGACCCTTGCGTGCTCTTCTCCCGTGATATAAAGTGCCTTTCCATCCAGAGAGAACTAGAATCATAAGAACTTGTACGTAAGGAGAATGAGGATAGAAATGCATACCTTGATTGTCTCCGGCTGTAAATCCCAGTCGCCTCCAAGCTCCAGACGGGTTTTCTTCTCCGTGTCATACACGATAATCGTGGATCTAACAAATCAATCAGCGCGACCACTTTGAGTGAGGGGAATCAAGACCTTCCAAAGTTACCATTTTCGTCTTCTGTTTCCATCCATGCAACTTGGGGATTCTTGGCGTTTATTGTCGGGTTACTGTCATAATGGTTTCCATCAGACAACTGTACACTGTGTCCGGGAGACGATAGATGCAGCATATAGACCTAGGTAACTTGGTGAGGCGGATATGGATGAGGTGATCATGAGCGACTCACGTTTGCCTGGTGTTGTAACGAGTTCGAGTTGACTGGCCCACTCGAATATACGACGCGATTATCCAAAAAGTGGAATCCCTCGGGGACCTGACGAAGTCAAGCCCGCCCCAGACGAGTGGAGTGGTAACATACGTGTCCAGTGCCTTCGAGTAGATTATCGAATTTGTCGCCCAGTGCCCACTTGCCCTGTGGCCCACGAACTAGCGCCACACTGAAAAGAGAGGGTGATTTTGGCCCCGTCCTGAGAAATATTTACCTAGGAAATCATAGAAAGGGGGGAAATCATACCAAGAGTCCCAGTAGCGGATATCGGCATCGTTGTAAACCAGCGCCGTGGTTCCACGGTTAGCCCATTTACGATCATTGTCCCTCGTCGCGGAGAGATTCCCGTCTGGAAACACAAGGTCGGAGAAAACGAGGGTGTCATCGGAATACTGGAAATTTGAGGCTGTCGCAGTTGGAAAGGTGCCAATATAAACGGGGGAGTCCACAAATGAGGAGTTGACGTTGAGACTATGAAGCTCCAAAACACCATCCTTGCCCACTAGAGTATGCGCTACCGTCCGATCGTCGAGCCAGAATATTTGACCACTGAGCTGAGTGGTGTCAGAAACCCTGAGAAGAACAAAGAAGAGCTGACCTCAGCTTGCACAAATTCTTGCGGCAGGTCCAGAGAGGCGAAAAAGACAGATTTAACATTCCTACGTGGTGGGTAAATGCGTCGTCTTCGCAGAACACATGCCATACATACCGTTTAGCTTCGAATGAGAATTTGGTGGATTCCACAAAAAGCAAATCTCCTGCGTGATTAGCGACCCCAACCCCAGGACGGGCCAGCTCGATAAAGTCTCGTGGAGTAAAGTGAGCAGACTTTTCAAGTCCAGAACTGCTGCTCGGACGGAGCACACTTTGCGCTGTTAATCCCCAGCCAAAGGGAAATCGCATGGGAGGAACTAGTCAAGTGTCGGTGCCGAGATTGTCCATGTTCAGTTGGAAAATCAGATCTTCGCAGTTGACTGCTCATTTTATCGTCTTTGCCGCTGTGTACGGTTTTTTTTTTTTTTTTTTTTTTTTTTGTGGCACGTTTGGGATAGTAGCACGTAAGGGCGAATTAACGCTTCCCCGTATCTCCGCGTTTATCTCTTTCGAGATTCCGCATCGCATCCGGGCCGACCTATGTCGGTCACTCGCTACCCGTGGTTTGGCGGCCTTGGGATTTAAACCAAGCCTGATTTTGGTCCACTCGAGGAAATGCTCCATAGCACTGGCGTGTGTACACGCCTTGTGTGGGGCTTCGGCCTTGCTAGTTCAGGCAGCGCTGCAACTTCTGCCTTGCGGCTTCATCAGTCACAGCTTGCCATCATCACCAGCTCATCCGATACCCACTAAAACCCCGATAGTCGTCGACGTCCAGTTCGACGGCAGTTGGTCCTCGTCCCTCAGTGTTTTGCCCCAGGTGGCCTGTACAACCGAGCGGCGAATGGCCTTCTTGCCCCACTTTTTCTTATCGGTGAGTGCACGATCTATCTCTATCCTGTTGTTGATTGTTTTGCGCCAGCGGTTCCTGATCTCTTCAAGCGACGCCTCTGGTTTATCTCCTATGACGCGTTCGCATCTAAGCTTCCAAATGAGATATGCTGACTCTGATATTAGTACTCGGTATAGTCGCTCTTCGCCACTACTCTTTCCCTGACTCGCGCCGGGTGCACCAGAGGCCATTATCTGGCCGATTGTGGGTTTAATTTCGTTGCCTGTTTTCTTTTCCCATGTGTTGCTCACCAATTTCCAGATCTCTTCCTGTCCCTGACATTCGCATTTTGTCAGAATATGCTCCATGGATTCGGTGAGTCCGCATTTCCTGCAATCTACCCAGTCTGTGTACTGTGGGATGTCCTTCCAGTGGTTGCCCACTTTGAAGCCTCCATGCAGCAGTTTCCACATGAAGATTCGGATTATGCGTGACACATCTTTGTGTCTCGTCGCTTTCCAGATTGTTTTCTCGGTAGCGGTCGTGTCCTCTCGCGACTCAATCGCGTTTTGTGCTTTGGACATGTTGTCCCTTGTGGCCCGTCTATTGAGGGCTTCCTCGTAGTCCGGTTTCGCCATATTTATTTGTCTGATTATTTTGTAGGCCGTCGACTGTTTGATCGCCTGTAGTTTGGCCCCGGGGAGGACTAAGTCTGGTCTCAAATCCATACGAATTTCGTCTTCGGGGGTTTGTGTTGCACCAAGGCCAGCCAGTTCGTCGGCCCCTTCGTTCCCTTCGTTGCCAGCGTGGCCTTTGACCCATTGGAAGGTCGTCTCCGCCCTGCGTTCTCTGATCCTCGACACCGTTGCGCGCGCCAGCTCACCATTTTCCACGAGGAAGAATCCGACATCTTCCCAGTTCTGTAGGTTCTTCGTGAGGCCGTCGATTGTGTACCTTGAGTCACTGATTATGTGCAGTGGGCGGTCGATGGGGCACATTTCTGCGGCTTCTTTTACTGCCGCCAGCTCTCCAACCTGGTTGGATGGCGAGAGGTGGGCGGGGATTCTCAGTGACCTGTTCCTAGGGTCATTTTCCCCAAAGAAGATGCCGGCTCCAGCCTGCACCTGGGGGGTTCCGTTTTTAAGTGCTGACCCATCTGTGTAGACTGTGACGGCTGGGCCGCTTGCGGGTAGCGGTGAAGTGTCCGGGGCCGCTTTTGCTTTATTTCGCGCTCCATTTCTGAAGACGCGGAATGTGTCGGCTATGGACCCTCGTGTGGTGACTTTCCGGTTGAATGGGACAATATTCTCATCGAGTGCGACCGGTGTGTCTTCAAGGAGTTCCTCCATCGTCTCCGGCTGGGCCAATCTGGGGTCCCATTTGTCTTGGATGGTATGTAGCATGTCTCTCGCCTTCTCGTAGCACTTATTCGGGTGCTTACATTTAGACGCCACCCTCGTTATTTGGCACGATGTACATTTACAGTCGACTCGTGACGTATGTCTTCGTGTTTGCATTTTGTTCGCCAGTTCTTCCGCGTCTCGGACTGACTTGACTTTGTGGTTCTTGTGTAGGCATTCGATTGTTGCCTTTGGGTAGCGGAAGACCCTCCAGTCATCCTCGCTGGACTTGATGTGGTGCCATATTGGCATACTGCGTTGTATGTTTCGGGACACAGCTATTGCCTCGATGCCGACATCGTGGTCTTTTCCTGCCTTGATCAGGCGTGCGAGGTCGTTTCCGACTTTGGCCGATGATACTTTGGGCTCCCAGTGTTGTAGGTACGGGCTGGTGCGTGTTTCCATACTTCCATATTTTTGGTCGTCAGATTTATTCCTTATCAGTATTTGGTCTGTGACGTATGCCCATGAGGGTCTGTCGGGGCCGAAATTTAGGTATCTCTGGAGCCACGTTATGGTTATGGCTTCGTTCCGGGCCCGGATGTCAAGGAGGCCTCTGCCGCCAATTTCTTTCGGTGCGTACACTGTTTCCTTGTTTATCGTCACGCTCTTTTTACCTGCCCATAGGAAGTTGCGTATCCTGCGCTCGATTCGGTTCTCCACCTCCTTGGGCATGCCTTGCACTGTGGTAAGGTATTGTGTCATACCTCCCACCACCATTTGAACAATGAGCCTGCGTCCCTCCATTGTAGGGTTACTCAGTTCCCAATGCGCCAGAGCGCCGTCAATTTTTTCAAGGGTTCTTGCCCATGTGTCTGCATCTTCGACGTTGTTCCCTACCCAGGCTCCAAGGGTGCGAACTGGTTCTCCGTCCATTGCGATTTTGATGTTGTCAGCCACTTTGGTGCCGTCTAGTCCGTTAATGCATCTCGACTCAACGACTGCCTCACGGTGCTGTTGTCTCCCGACAGGGATGATTTCCGTCTTGCTAACATTAAATTTAGCCCCCGCTGCAATGCACCATTCATCTAGAATTTTCCATAATTCACCCCAGTCGTCTTCCTTGTCGAGGTACACCATTGTGTCGTCGGCGAAGAGGGAGGTGATAATTCTTTCCACTCTACCTTCGATTTTGATCCCTTTCAGGTGGGAGGATCGTAGTGCTTCTGCGAGTGGTTCTATGGCCAGGTCGAACAGAAGGCATGAGAGTGGGTCCCCTTGCCGCACTCCCCGCGTCACCTTGAAGGGGTGCTCACTCCGCTCTCCGTTGATCATGACATATGTTTTCGCGTTGCTGTACAGTGCCCGTACGGTTTTAATAAATTGCTCTGGTATTCCAAATTTCTGCAGAGTCCGCCATAGGTAGTCATGTTCTATTTTGTCATAAGCTTTCTCTTGGTCGAGTGCGACTATTACCCCGTCGTGTTCTGACACTTCAGCGTATTCGATTAATCTTTTCGTCAACCATACTTGGTCCCGAATTTGCCGTTTTGGGACAAAGCCTGCTTGGTCGGTGTGTATAAGAGATGGGGCTTCTTGCGCGAGTTTAATGGTGAGAGCTTTCGTGAATATTTTGTAGTCGGTGTTTAGGAGGGAGATTGGACGATAGTTCGCAATATCAGATTTGTCATTTTTCTTGTACAGTGGGCACATCCAGCTCTCCGAGAAGTCTGTGTTCTCCGCCATACCATGCTCCTCGATGTCGTTGAAGACCGTTTGCATTGCGGTAATCACGTCAAATTCTGCTACTCTCTCTTCCTCCGCCGCTTTCTCCTTTGCTGACTCGTATCGATCGTTCAGTGTTTTCCAAAGCTCAAAAGGTATGCCGTCTAGGCCAGGTGCTTTGAAGTTGGCTGACATTTTCAGTGCGTTCAGTACTTCGTCCCGGGTGACTTTGCCCCCAAGGCGTGTTTGTTGGTCTTGAGACGTGGTCGCTTTTACCCGGTTTAGCACTGTGTCAATCTTGGTCTCCCGTTCTTCTGGTGGGACGTCGTTTCGCTCGTTCTGCAGTTTGTTATGGTAATCACGGGCCATGGATGCCATTTTTCTCGAGTTAGTCTCGTATCTTGGTTGTTCGTTCGAGCCGACGTTCTTTTGCAGGCGTGGGATGATATCCTTTGGCTTCGCAGGCCTGTTTAGTTTGGACCAGTATCTTCCAACGAGCTCTGCATGTACGACATGCTGCATCTTGACGGTTTGTCTGTTGGATTTAAATCTGGTTCGTTGCAGTTGCACAAGCTTCTCGGTCATCACTGCCGCCGAGAGGGTTTTTTCTTCGTCAGTCATGTTTGCGTCTTTGACTATCATATCCAGTTTTTTCTCCAGATCTTTGATTTCTTTCGTCATCTTGGGGGTTACTATTTTGGCTCGTTCCCTTGCTTTGTGTGTGATATCGTCCTTGAACTCTTTCCAGAGTATTTGTGGGTTGTTGGAGGGGCTGCGCATTTCTGGGTGGGACTTCAGTAGGCCGAGACTATCTTCGAGGAGTTTGCCACGCTCTGAGGTATATTTTTTGAATGTTTTCTCGCTCGTTATGTGTTCGGGGAGTGTCCATCGGCCGCTACCCATCGTTGGCGAGTCCACGGTTGTTATTCGGAAGCTGATTAGCTTATGGTCTGTCCGGATGCCTGGTGTTTTGAAGGTCCATTCGAACGTATCGTCTGCAATGCTTGCGCGGACATAGAATCTGTCGATTCGCGATTCCGCTCCACCTTGGTCTTCGGACTGGGCATATGTATATTTCAGCGTCGTCGGGTGTGTCTCCCTCCAGTAGTCCACCAGGCCGAGTGCAGTTTTCAGTCGGTCGAGGGCATCCACGCAGATGACAGGGTCACTGTGTGCGGGGAGGCGGTCAATTGCCGACTCAACCATATTTATGTCGCCCCCCATTATGTCCGGGCGTCTCACGTGTGGGTTGTTCGCAAACCATTGGTTGATTGTGTCCCAGAATTCAGCGTTCTCAGTCGGGTCGTTTGGCGCGTAGACGCCGAGAATGGAGAGTTTTGAGCCGTCTCCGTGTTTCATCTCTAGGAGTAGGGCCCGGCCAGCGACTATTTCACGCTTGTTTATTTCTTTAGCATTCACAAGGAATTTGTTAAGGACAAAAGCGACGCCTTTCGCATTTGGCGATCTTTCGTCACGTGAGAACTCGAGTCTCATTCGTCTTCCAAACAGGCGGTCAATGCGCTGTTTTCGTTCGTCGCTCAGATGTGATTCGCAGACGATGAGGACTCCAATCTTTTCCTCTCGCATCATCTGCCATACCTCTGGCCATTTGCTGTCTTCGTGGCTTGGGTTAACATGCCCATTGCCTCTTATGTTTAGCGAAGCAACCATTGTCGACGCCTTGGTGTTCTTTTTCCCTAGTCTGCTATCGCTGGTGTCAGGACCCGGGAAGACTCTCTGTGTGTTCACTCGCGGTGCTTGCGCGGTTTCGTTTTGGATAGCAGGTGCATCTGCTTGTGAATTCTCCACATCTCCTTGTGTGGGCGGCCTTTCTACTAGCCGTGGGACTTCGTACTGAGTTCCTGGTGCATCTTGCACCGTAGCATCGTCTGCGATGCCCCCCTGCTCCCTGTACTGCGGGCAGAGTTGCGACTGGGATCACTCCCGCGGTGTCGCCTACATGCACGTACTGTGCGTCTCCGGTGTCATCCCTGGCAACTGACTCGTTGCCTGGCCGGGGAACCTCGTACTGGGTTCCTGGTGCGTACTGCACCATAACAGCATCCTCTCGGATGCCCCCTGCTCCCGGTACTGTGGGCAGAGTCGCAGTTGGTTGACCTTCATCGGTGTTAAGGGGATGGTCATCGGTTGGGCCATCCCAGTTCACCTCTGGTTGACCCGCCGCTGTTTCCCCTCCAATGTGGCTCCCATCATTGGGTGTTGGCAAGCCGGTGGCGGAGCTCGCCGACCCTCCGAGAGCCGCAAGTCGTGTGCCGGGTTGCATTCTGGTATGTCCTGTGGTTGTGTTAGATGGTGTTGAATTTGTGGTAGCAAAGAAAAAGGCACGCCGCGGGCCGCCATGGCCCGACGTTAGCGCCTACCGTTCGGGGTTGACATTGGGCTTCCGTTGCATAAATCGGGTATGCAGCTTCCGCCCGCCGTCATGCCAGGACTGCTGGCCAGCGGACCCCGGCCTAAATAGGCCCCGCTGTTGCGGCGTTGGTACTCATGCCCCCTTCACAACCCATTTCTGAATTGTCAAGGGTGCATTTTCCCAACGCGGTCCCCTCCCCTGTTTCCTGTCCCAGTTTTACACTGGTCAGTAGATTTGGCAGGGTTGGGTTGCGTGAGTCGGTACATCCCACGTCTTCTTCTAGTCCCGTTCCTAGGCATTCTGTGTTTCAACAATGTAAATGTGTTCATTCAATATATACTGAGTTGGGATTGTGTTTAGTACATGAGCTCGATTATCTGCGACTATTGTACCCTCCTCGGCTGCCTCTGTTTACGTAACGGCCGCGTGGGGCGCCACCTCGTCCACCCCTTCCCCGTTCCGATCTGCCTCTCTTGTTTAGGGCGAGCGGGCCTTCGGTGTGTTCGCCGAGGGTCTGGGTCGGGCCCCACCAGAATGTTGCGCTGTTCTCACGTGTGAATGGGCAGATGTACGCCAGGTGTCCGTACAGTTTGCAGATGGGGCAATTGGGGACTTCTCCGCTCTTCCGCATAGGTTTGAAGTGATAGACGTCGAATGAGAACTTGACCGCACGGAGTTTAGAGAGGAATGCCGCTCGTTGCTGGCTTGTTCCTCCTCCAAACGGGCTGAGGTACACCGTGATGAGGGGGTCTTTGACGTGCGGCGTAACGACGGCATGTAGCGATCCAAGGAAGTATGTCGCTCGGAGTGGGAGTGAGCCTTCTCTCGCCTGGGTCATCGCGTCGATGTCTTGCATGAGGTCTTTGCTCTGCGTGATTTCTCTGAAAAGGCCGCCTCGGATGCATGCTTTCTGGTGTTCCGGCTCTTCTTGGCGGCCAGTTTGCCATTCTCCAACTACCCATGACTCTCTGCACTCAGATGCTTGGACGACGTGGAATGCGAGGGTGCTGGTGCATGCAAACGTGCGTTGTTTCTTTATCTTGTTGCGTTGGCTCGCTGTCGGTACTTCGGCGACCAGAATGCTCGCCCCGTGGTATTTGTCGCCTCTGGCCGGTGTTCCGTTGCTTTGCGGTAGCCATACGCGAATAGGGTTGTCGGCTTCCGATACTGCTTGGAGGACGTTGGCAATTTTGTCGGTGAGTGTGGCGTCTCTGTCGCCTGCGTCGATCACCAGAGCTGCATTTGCGGCACTCTCCATCAGGCGGTTGTACATGTCCCCGCCGAGGCTTGTTACAACGAGCATATTTTGGCCTGTTTCATCGCGTTCGATTGCCTCGCGTTGGACCGGGTCGATGTGGGCCATGAGGTTCTCGAGGTCCAAGATGACCTCCGGCCAGGAGCCGGGGTTGCGTTGGCATGCCGGTTTGCCGTCTTTTTTGTTTGGGGGGGCTTGTTGAGCGGGTTGAGTGGCAAAGTGGGGATTGGTACTTGTGCCGATTGGTTCCGCTCCAGCGAACGTCCCGGGGGTGGGTAGGGTGAACGGGGGTTGCGGCTGGGGTGGTCTTGGGCGGTCTAGTGCTCCACCTTCTTGGCCCGCATTGTTGGTGTTGGGCGGGGCGGCTCCTGTTGGTACGGTTGGGGCCGTGTTTGCCGGGTTGAGCGTGTCCGGTGGTTGCGCCCGGTTTTCGAGGGGTGGAGCGGGGTCCATTCGGATGTCTTCGTCGAAGATATTTTGACTGCCTCCACTGTGGGGGGTTCTTTCACCGTCTGTGCCTGCTCTGGGGAAGCGAAGGGGTGGGATTGCTGGCCTGGTGGTGGTTGGGTAGGCGTACTGTTTGCGGCTCTGCGGGGTTTTCCTCTCGCGGCTGTCGCGGTCTGGGTGTCTGAAGATGCCGTCGTCTGGCTTTCCGACTTTTTCTGGGCTGTCGTGTTCTGGCGGAGTGGGCTGGGTTAGCGTTGGTCCCACTGGTACCTTGTCTGCAGACATACGTTCGCCTTTGCAAAGCGACCAGTTGATGGAGGAGGAAGAGGAGGACCACGTGTTGTCACTCATTTAAAATTTTTGAGGTTTGTTTTAGTGGGCTTGCGGAAGGTCTTGGACCTTCGGGGTGCCATCGCTTGGATGGGCCACCTGTTCTAAGTCGTGGCCTTGGCCGCACATTATAATTTCGCGCCTAGCGGATCGCGTTATGCATTGGTACATTGCATTGTCAGGTGTACACTGACTACAGACCCTACAGGTCTCTTCTCCTTGGTACGGAGGGCCTTCTGACTCGGCAGGTGAGCGTACTGTTCACCTCGTGCAGTACTGCCACGGGGGAGACAGCGTTGACGTTTCCACCACCAAGATGGTGGTGGTTTGCGATCAACACAGCCCCCCCCCGCTGTGTACGGTTGTTGCTTGGGACGAATCTGTTGCAATTGGCGCAAGTCAAGGTTGACAACATCATTGAAGCTGTGACTGTTGTTTACCTTCATCGCTCATGGTTCAATATACGGTTGACCCACAAGCATATTTCAAGGTAGCAGCAGACTACGACTGAATGTTGCAGTACACCTCACAATGACAACCAGGTCATCTTTCATGCCGCCAAGCATCCCCATCTCCCCGTAAACGGAGTGCTTCTGGGCAAGGAAGAAGGCAGCACCGTCAGTATTGTCGACGCTATCCCACTTCTTCACCACTGGACCAGTCTGAGTCCCATGATGGAAATAGGTCTGGATCTCGTGCGCAAACTCCCTTTCACTATTGCACAACTGATGCTGTTAGAAATGAAAGGCTGGACGACACGCGGAATCTGCTGGCCTGAGCCTTGTTGGTTATTATCAAGCTTGTGAGCGCGTCGAGGACAAATCGCTGGCCCCTGTCGGTGAACGCGTTGCGTCAAAGCTTCAAGAGGGGTTCAAAAACACCGTAGCTTTCGTAGTACGTCCACAGCGACACATTGCTTCCAACGATTGACATTCTCTAGGTGGATGGCGAAAAAATGGGCTCCGATGAAGCTGCCCTCATACCCTTTCTCCCTCAAGGCACGATATGGCGACCACAATCCGACCAAACAGCCTTCAGTGTTGGCTCGAGCTTCCAATTCACGGCAAAGAACGTGCCACAAAAAGCCTTAGCATTGGTCCGGGAGGAATGGCGGCATGAAGCTTTTGGGGATTTTGATGACCACTTGGAGGATGTTACTATAGGCAAGCTATTCGAAACAATTCCGCAACGCCTAACCCTCCTCCAGATTGGCTGAGAAATAGTACATGCATGCCTTCCGATATCTGAAAATGATCTCATTCCTCTCGCACGTGAGCGTTTGTAACTTGACCCAGACCACCATGCAACGAAATCTGCGGATCCGCGGAAACTTTGTCCAAACACCTGAGCTAGGAGATTTGGGCATTCTGCGCGATCATCTGCTAGGTTCACATGCGCAAAGGTACAAAACAGAAGACTCAACACACAGACAGTGACGGACGACAAGGGCGTAATCGTCATTTTTGAGCCAGCATCTTCGCAATCGGAACTGACATCTTGTTTCACTCTTCCCCGTGGACAGTTCATCATGCCTACTTTCGTGGACACACATCTACACGCCCCGCAATTTCTATATCAAGGCAATGGCCTCCATCTTCCCTTGATGCAATGGCTGGACGAGTATGCCTTTAGAGCTGAAGAGAGATTGGATGGGGATCCTCAGCTCGCCCGCAAGGTTTACGCTCAGCTAGCGCGGCGCTTGATCCAGTTTGGCACCAGCACGGTGCTTTTATTTGGCACAATCAAGGAAGAAACCAAGTATGCTGCTCGCCCTCTTCCGGGTTGGTTTGAACGGTCATAATAGCCTCATCTTGGCTGACGCAATGAAGACTGCCGGCTTGCGGGCCTTCGTTGGTAAGCTCTCCATGGATATGCTTTCTAAACCATCGTACATCGAACCATCGGCCGATGCTTCCATTCGGGCGGCCCAATCCTTTGCAGAAAAATGCATGGCGATGAATTCCAGTTCACACCCTCACGAGCATCTTCTTGAACCCGTCTTGACTCCAAGATTCGTGCCGACGTGTTCTGATGAACTTCTCTCCGGTTTGGGTGGACTTGCAGCTCAGCACAACCTGAAGATACAGAGTCATTTGGCGGAAGCACTTGATCAAGTCGATTTTGTCCGCAAACAACGTGGTGCCGAAGATATTGACATATTTGATCAGGTGCGTTGACTTCAGGTTGAAGTTCAAGCACGAGAGATGTTCATTGAATACTCCCCATATATATAGTACGGCTTATTGACACCGCGCACTGTCCAAGCTCATTGCACATTTCTCAATGCCCCATCGCTCACTCGACTCTCGAACCGTGGAACTGCCATCGCTCACTGTCCCCTCTCCAACTCTTATTTTTCCGCCGAACCATTTCCTCTTCGTGAGGCACTCGATGCCGGAGTTAAGGTCGGATTGGGGACAGATATCGCAGGAGGTTATGCATTGGATATCATGAATGCAATGCGACATGCCGTTTCGGTTTCGAGGATACGAGAGGGGAACCACCAGGTAGCAGAGCGCGAACAACAGGAGGAAACCAAGCAATCTCTAGCAATTAATTGGATAGAGGCGCTTTATCTTGCTACCAAAGGAGGAGCACAGGCTTTGGGTTTGAAGACGGGCGCCTTCACAATCGGAGCTCCTTTCGACGCTCAACAGAGTTCGCTATTTTCCACTTGTTTGCAAATCTAGTTCTGACGTCTCTCAGTTCAGCTTCTTGACTCTGAAGGAAATGGTGTTGGCGCACTTGATTTCTTTGATTTGGAAGATGGAGGTTTGACGATGGAGATGATCGAGAAGTGGTGGTGTGTCGGCGAACGAGGCAATCGGATTGGGATGTGGGTGCAAGGCGCCGAAGTAAATATACCAAAGTATTAACGGCGTCCTATCATCGGACAATCGATTCAGAGAGGGTGATAAGCACGCGTCTTGCACGCACATCCAGCATTGTCACTGCTAACTGCCATGGCAAACGCTAGTTACGACGAAATCATCACCTCCCGTCCCCAATACATGACAGTCAGCATTAGCAACACTATACCTGAGCAGAATAGAGGAGAACCGTGGTACGAAGACGGAAACATTATCCTTATGAACAATGACACAGCATTCAAGGCAGGCTGCTTAACCTTCAGTGGACGATTTCTGAGACTTTGCCAGGTTTTCAAGGGTATGATAGCCCAACATTCGCCAGTCCTGCGACAAAGAATTCAAGTGGAAGCTGCATCTGTGGAACTGATCGAAGGTTGTCCCGCAATCGTTCTCGACGATTCAACCGCGGATCTCGCACATTTTTTGGATGTGATACATGGCTGCGAAAGGTAGGATTCGCTGGACTCGCCCGTTGAGTTGGTGATTATGTGCAGGGCATTCCGACTAGCCACAAAAAATGATTTTTTGAACCTCGTGGGCATTTTGCGTATCGCGACCAAGTACGATGCAAAGATGTTACGCCAACGCGCGCTCCAGCCGCTCAAGAAAGTCTACCCCTCAACATTACCCCAATGGGACGACGCGTTCGAAAGCAACTCATTGCTCTGGGTTCTCGACGCCGTGACCACAATCAACATGGCACGAGAGTTTGATGCACTCTCAATATTACCCGCCGCCTTTGTCTTTCTTGCAAACAGCACAATGGCGCGAGAGGCATTTGGCGTCAGCATTTTCCAGACACAACCCCTCCGGTTTGCTCCAGGTTTAATGCGTGCTGAAGACGTCAAAGTACTGACGTTGATGAAGGAGTACAACCAGCACTCAATAGCACGCACGCTGCGTTTTCTCCGTGACCAAGGCAAAGAGCGGCATTCGCTCTGTCAACGAAGCCTCGAGAGCGCTTGCTGTTCATCTAAATTCACCGGAATGTTCATTGCCTTGTCTGTTCTGGTAGCTACCGCAGAAGCCCCCGTTGGCTATCCCACATTTGTGGTGCGGGTTCATGAGGTTATCAATCGGGAGGATTTTTGCCGCAGCTGCAGAGACAGAGTGGAAGCCGGATTGGATCGTAGAAGACGAGCTTGGTGGAGAGGAGTACCTGAGGCCATTGGATTCGGTGGATGGGATGACGAGCGGCTTATTTAGTTCCCAGTATGTATATAAGTCGTCGAGATTGGTCGTAGACTCAGACGTTGAAATTTGGTGTGTGACAGATTTGTCACGTGGTCGTGACCTGCAGAAAATGAGCGAACAACAAAACGCTCCTGGCCGTGGTGCTGCACCGGGGTCAGCGATACCACCTCCAAAAGAGCAGATGGAATATAGTTGCGCGGGTATGAATCTTCTATCGCGAGGTAGCGCCGCATTCATTTGAGCAGATTGTGGGGCGACGAACGAAATCAAATCTCGTGAGCCAATCCGTTGTCGCGAGTGTGGCCACCGCATAATGTACAAGAAGCGAACGAGGCGAAGTCGGGTGTCCGCTTGTCTCTTATCTTCGTGCTAACGCTCTTTCTCAGTGGTCCAATTTGAAGCTCGATGATCAACAACCATTGTACCTTTAGACCACCCCTTTGCTTATTAATGAGTGGACGGGGGGTTGTAGACTTTTGAGCACGCGACTCATTCCAAAACATTCATATGTTAACTGGACAAAACCGAATGCCAACGGGTGATGATATCTATTCGCGTTTCCTAATCCTTGACGAGTTACTCCATACATAAAAAGGTCAGAAGACTGGCGCGTCTCTTAAGAACAATCTGCCCTCTTCCTTCTTGACCCATCGTGCAACAGCATTGGCAGCACCGACCGCCGCACTCTTTGGCAAGCGTGGAGACAGCGCAATATAGAGCTCGAATGGTTGTGTTATCTGTTAGGAGGATGTCAGCGGACGTGGATCAACCAAAAGATGACTTACCCATCCCATAACACTCTCTTTCTCAGATCGAAGATATTGAAGCTTCAAGGTCGCTTCTTGCCCCGACTTTGCGTGGATGTTGTCGTATATGATTTGATAGAGTGTTATTAGCCTCCGCCGCGCATCCGTGGAATCGTATGGATCCTCCCATGCTGGTGTTGTAATTTGAACCTGGGCCCGACTTTTGTACATGAAGTGTCTCAGCCCAGGGATCCCAAGCTCAGAGACCGAATATTCTGTTTCTCCAGCACGGAATGCGTTCGCAATAACGTCCAGAGTCCCCTCCTTCTCCAATTTGTCTGTCACACCATCACACCAGGCCCGAACGACCTCAAAATCACTCGTTCCCCCGGCACTTATGCACACGAGTCCAATGCCAGAGTCTAACGAGTGCGGGTCGGAGACAGGCCGATGCCGACGAATGGTCGGAGTGTCTGCAACATCTCCTCGCTCGCTGTTGCCGTCTGACGGGGTTGATGGCTGCAATATTTGGAGCCCATCATCCTTGCGGGGGAAGGAGATGTAGGCATTAACAAAGCCGGAGGGATTGAATTTCGGCAGGCAAACCGGTAACCATGATGCTGATGCGGGTGAATTGAGAATCGACGGCGCATGAATGGTGTTCAGTAGAATGTGTATATCTACAGTTTATTTGAGACCAAGGAGCAAAACCTGATCGCAACTCACCAGCAGGATGTATAGAGTGTTTCCGCGGTCTGACGAGGCTAATGACGCGTCCTCTCGCAACAAGTACGACGTAGAGAATGTCTTTCGTCTTTGAGGATGGTACGAGCGCGTCTGCAGCCCGTTTCCTCACAGCCGCTTCTAGTCTTAGGCAATGTAATGATGCAGTTGTCATTGCGAGGTCGAACTCGAGCCGCGATATCAAGGAGGTGAGGAAACCTTCCGCTCCATTCAATAACCGCCGCAAATCAAAGTTAGTTCTCCTTTCAAAAACACGCCGCAGTTGCACAGCCGTGACGATGCTTAAGATTTGGAGATGGAGATATTCGAGATGTGAGCGTGCCTTCCTTGACCAAAATCAGCGCAACTCTGCAAACGCAGTGGACATGCTTACGATCGATTCAGGCTCCCCCCAGGACGAGGCGCAGACGTAGTATAATGGTGAGCGGAGGACAAATGTAATGCGTGTGTTGCCAGCGTTGATGCACTTGATTCTGTCGCCATCGTCGATATAGACCGAAATGAGAGCTTGCATAATGCCAATCATCGAAGTGATGTTTTCCGAGTCTTCCCCTCCCGGTCGGCTTCAGGAGTAAGCGGGGGGCGTAACTTTGGAATGAATGGTGGTCACCTCGTGAAAACTGGTTTGCCAGCATCGGTTAAGATGAAGTATTCCCGAGGGTAATAATGGGACCCTGAGACAGTGAGGAGGGTTCTGTGTTGAAGACAAACATACCTGGCTCGGCTGCAATCTCATGAATCGGGAGATGCTTCCCCTTGCGCCATGAGCGACTGGGAACCATATCTGGAAGGAAGTAAGAATAGGCGAATGAGAGTTTCGTGGCTCAATTGTTTACCTGGTCTGGACGGTTTATGGCTTAGAGTCTTTCGCAGTTGATCCCGCAGAGATTTCTTGCTTGCTTCGTCCGAGTTGTTGACTATGCCCATGACCGTAACATCCTCCCCGTCTACTGTGTCGGCGTCTACATCTTGAACGAGTATTCCTTCATTGACGAGATCCAAGTTGACCACTGAGGAAGCCGTGCTGTCAAGGTTTGTGGGAGGAGATTGGGGCACTGAGGGTATTGACTCTGATGAAGCCACCGTCGATGAGCCTGAGCTGTAGCTGTGTACACGGAGGTTCGACAATGACGGAGATGGTCGTAACGCGGGAGGTATGGCCAGCCGCGATGGTGAGCTACAACAGGTCAGGGTGATTGGTAGAAGACAAGACGCATTTCGGGTATACGCACCGAGCTAATGACGCCGTCCGGGAACTCATGGCGATTTGGAAGAGCAGGTTGTGACTGATGGCCTTGCGCCTACACCCAGTTCACAATAATGGCGTTGCAACGTGGGGAGGTGGGGCCTTACATTTCTTCCGTCAACTATCACCTCTCACTGACAAACGCAGCCTTGGTTCGACGATGGAAATGTCGTACTGGCTACATCGGCTGAAGGGATAGCATTTCGAGTTCATCGTGGAGTTATGGCTCGGTGAGTTGCATGGCTCTAGCTGGCTGGCTAATAGGAAATCCCAGCCATTCAGAGGTATTCGAGTCGATGTTTCTGGTCCCTCAGCCGTCAACGGAGTCTGTCGAAACTTTCGATAACTGTCAAGGTCGGGCTTGAGCAACCAAGTTTGCCCTACCTTGTGCTCATCCGATTGTCTAGTGGTTCGGATGTGGGATGCTCCCCGCCGAGCTTGCGAATCTTATCGTTGCCCTCTACGACGGAGTCAAGTTTCACAATGCATGTCTCGAGGACTGGTTTCATCTCGCTGGAATCCTGCGTCTATCAACCAAGTACTTCGTCAACAAACTGCGAATTCAAGCCATCGAATATCTAGCGCAAACTTGGGCTAATACACTGGCCGGTCATGACCATATGGTTGAAGCAGCTCTTCGCACACCACCCGTTGACGGTCTTACTTACCCTTGGGTTCATCCACTCCATGTGTTAAACCTCGCCAGAGAAGTTAACGTTCGCGTCGTTATCCCGTCCGTCATCTACTTTCTCTCCCTCTATCAACTCGAGGACATCCTTCGCGCTGACCACCCCAAACTCAACAAGATCGACCACCCTTCTCGCCCTTCTTCAACATTTTCACCACACGATATCAAAGATTATACCCTTATGTTCCAAAAACGGCTTGAAGTCATTCTGCACTTCGTGCGCACGTTTTGTGGGACGCGAACACCCACAGCGAAATGCCAATCTACGGAGGCATGCAGTCGTGGCTTTGCCCGCCTTGCATCACGTTTAGGAAGGTCGTGGATTTCCAGAACTGGACCATTGCACTACATGTCGCAGGCGGTAGGGGACCTGGCGGACAAAGCCGAAGTCTGCAAATTATGCCAGAGGGCGTTTGGCGACGATGTTGCTGCTCTGAGGGAGCAGACATGGAACGAGCTTCCGTCAGTTATCGGAATGCCATCATGGGACGAACTGGTTGCGATAGATTTGCATGGCGGTTAATATCTTGATAATAAAGAAAAGAAAGATGCTTGTAAGAAGGGCGCTCGCGTATTCTACGCGTCGCGCTACGGAGTGTGGATACATTAGAGTAGACTGAACCACTCCTTGTCCTTGAAGCCAAATTCCGGTATCTACAACTTGGAGTGCTGCTGGACTGTTCCCGTGACGGCGCTTCAAGTAGCTCACGTAATATATTTCGCCTTCAACATGAACGTTCTCTGGCAGACGCTACGACCCCATGCTGGGCCATCTACCCGACTAACGCGGGCTCTTGCTACCATCACACGGCCGGTCCCAAACCCTACCAGTTGCGCTCCTCTGTCACAGAACGACCAGATGCTCACAAGTCTTTTTCGCTTGCAGCCACCATATCAACACCAGAGTCGTTCTTGAAGGCCATTGGCCGGTCTGCAGAGACCAAGATGAAGAATGCGGAAGAACTGGGGTGGGAAGGGTTCTGGCAGACGAGTGGGGCGTCGCTAAAAGCAGCTGGCGTCTCTGTGCGGGACAGAAGGTGCGTCTTTTTTCATTCCATTGGACTGGTATAATGTGATATATAGGTATATCCTATGGTGTATGGAGAAATTCCGTAGCGGAGAACAGGTTGAAGTCTTTGCACACGAGCCCCCGCCAAAGAAGAAAGTTCGGGGGTAATGCCTCTCTGCATCCACTTGAATTTGAGTTTGAATGCATTCCAGCTGGGGACCAACGGTCCAAAACGGCAAACGCATACGCTCTCGTCGCGACCGAAACAACCCGCCAGAGCTGAAGGAAAAACTGACAGAAAAAGAGGCGAAGGAGAAAAAGGAGAAGAAAAAGGCGAAACGGGAAGCTTTCAGATTGTGGCGAGATGGAATAATATAGAATTACATCCGAGATGGCGAATAAAGGACGAATATAGTATGTGCACTCGTAAACTTATATTTGCCAGGACATGGGCCCTCTACTCTTCGGTGGGGGCCAAAATTTCGCTTACACATTTGAGGTTGGAGTTCTCCAGGTGGCGTTTCAGCGCGTCTCGTCGACTGAACGTCTTGCGACACCCTCCGATTCTCTGCTGGCCAAGATGGGTGTAGATCTCTGCGCCCCTACTGATTCTGGAATAGTGTCTGGCGTCACCGACGAGAACCCCAACGCAACACCAGCCACGATTGGCCTGATCATCTGCCTCGCGCTGGTGGGTTTTGACATGGCGCTTGAAGTCGGGAATGCGCTTGTTATGCTGAATCCACCCACAAACTTGGCATTTGAAGTCGGCATACTCGTCAGACGCCTCGGCCTGTTGAACCTCTGCGAGAGTGGTTTGCCGGTTACGAGATACTGGAGGCGGACGGGCGCGTTTGGCGGGTCGACCAGACTCTGTACTGGTTGACTGGGCTGGAGGATCGGAGAAAGCGCGATATGGGGCAGAAGGAAGACGGGCCGGTGATGAGCTTCGAGCGCGTTTTCGAGGAATCAGCTTGGGCGATGGCATATACTCGTCGTCTGACGCGTCTCCCGTACTCTCGCCATCTGAAAGGGGTTCGTCGTTGAAAACTGGTACTCGTAGACGCGTTGTTGGGGGTGATTTGACGCGTCGAGAAGGCTCCACGCTGATGCCAGACTCAATATGGTTGCTTATTTCAGGAGATTGTTCACGGTGTGGTATGAATCCGGGCTCATCAACTCTGTATGTAACAAAGACGCGTCAGAAACAAGCGAGTGAACAAAGAATTTGGGCACGCACATGACGCAAATCTCACTGCTCAGGTTCATGGGCTCGATATCCGAGTCGTCGTCGCTGTCCGAATCGCTGTCTGAGCCAGTTTCTTCATCATGCAGATGGTCGCGTTCAAGTCGAGTTAACTCAAAGCGAGGTGATGGCGTCGAAAATGAAAACTCTGAGCCGGTTTCTGTCGTCGAGGCACTCCTCGACAGGAAAGGCTGGTCTTCGTCCTCGAAAATGTCGCCAGCTTCTTTGATAATATCGTAGGGATCGTCTTCGTCCGACCGGAGGGCAGCGTAAAGCATGGCGAGAGACTGGCGGCGAGGAACAGCCATGGCGGAGGGAGGTCAAAGAGGTATGAGGTCAAAGAATAAGAGTAAATGACACGCCGTTATATAGACTCAGATCCCTTTCATGTCTTTTTCCGGTTTCTAGTTCAAAATGGGGTCAAACAAGAACAAAGGGTCGATTGTCATCCTTGCGAATTCTCGCTTGCCTTATGCATGGAGACGAAGACAAAAACATCGCCGGCCCTCCCTGGCCAAAGCAACACCGTCTACGATGCAGAATCGTCAATTGTTTTTTGTCAAGACCATGCTAAAAGAACAAGGTTGTGTGGGCTGAACAACATTCGATCGTTTGATGGGTTTGATGACAGCTAAATCCGTCACCACGACTCAAGACCTCATGTTGGGAGCACAAAGGACGCGACGATACACTACGGGCTGGTCATGATGCTTCGTCATGTAGTAGGACATATTCTCGCGTGGAAGTACCGAACTTGATTACTAGAAAGTGGCGTTAGATGCATCGATAACTTGAAGTGTCGTGACCCACCATCGCTGGCCTTCAACTCATAGTACCGCGACACAGGAATGGCTGAACCATTCACAAAGGTGCCATTCGTCGATTCGAGGTCTATGATAAACGGCCTAGGGCAGAAGGGCGATTAAGAACACCAGGCTTGGAAAACTTGGCTAGACTGACTTGATAACGCCTTTGGACGTCCCGAATTCATCTTTTTGTTGGATGAAACGATCTAGAATAGGTGAATACTGGTATTCCGACGAAAGGATGGACGGACACTGAATGACTGCATGCTGCTTGGAACACGACGGGTGGTCGACGGAGATATCAGCCACGATACGGTCTCTCCCGATCAGGTATGCGCTCTGTCGATGAATATGGAGTAGTTCTGAGGGAAAAAAATGAGGGAGTCGTCCAAGAAAAAATCAACCACATACCGACCTGCTCTTCGCCTTTGAACACGTACAATCTCCAGCCTACTATTGGTTTTCGTGCCTCTGGAGGCTCATTGTATTTGAGTACGGTGGAGTCGCCATTAGCAGCCCGCACTGTGTTAGTTTCTGCGGCCAGCAACCCTGATGCCTTGAAATCCGGTTTGGCCTTGCTTCTTGGAGAAAGTGAACGCGAGCCCCGTCGTCGAGGCGAAGCAGAACGTCGTCTTGAGCTGCTTTCATAACGGTCCCTATCTCGATTCCGTTCCCGTTCCCGTTCGCGCTCAGAGTAGCCGTATTGCTCGTCTTCACGTCTTCGCCGATTGGACTCGCGGTCACGCTCTTCTGGATACCGCCGGCTGCCGCCATCACGCCGTCCAGAGTCTCGTTGTCTGTCGTATTCCTGGTCTCGGTAATTGCGTGGTGGTGGCGACCTTCTGCGGTCCATGTTGGGTTGTTGGGGAGCGCAGCACAGCACCGCTTATGTCATACTCGCCATCATGTGATGAGACGCGTTCTCAATCTACAAGAATTTTCTGAACTGTCTGCGTCGATCACTTTAGTCTGGGGGATGTCTCCGGCCTAATCTAAAGGTACCGCCAGTGCGGGGCAGGAAAACACCGTCACAGGTTCCGACCCCGACGCCTAAACAACCCCGCAAGATTTCATCAAAGTGCTCGAGATGCGTCGCGCATGCTATTATTCGGACAAACGGGAAAAATGCCCTAATCACGCCCGACTCTGGGCTCGGACCAGCTTTTACTTCAGGATTACCTTCAGTAAAGCCCGACTCCAAGTCTTGAGGGAAAAACCGTTGGAGAATGATTTTTCCTTCTCTTCCAGTTCTAAATCCTGATTTGGCTTTAGACATGACCGTGGCTTTGCGTCTGAATCACACAGTCATATATACTTGTCTCTTGACCGTGACGAATCTTCAGAACGCGTGTGCTTCAGCGCTCACAGGGGCCCCGAGTCTGAGGAAGATGATACAACGATGATGATGAACAGGCAAGGTTGCCGTTGTAATAATTTGCCAGTGAGCGGGTGCAGTTCACCATCACTTGAGTGAAGGGCAGGAAACTCTTGGAAAATTCCAAGGAAGACCCAGTATGCTTGCTCGCTGATTGGGTTCAGACCCCTGTATCCAATGTTTTGCCGACTTCAACGATGAAGAAATTCTTATTGAAGATGAATTTTGATCAAGTGAAGGCTGATACGCAAATAAATAATAGTTTTGAGCTCATCAGTAGAAGTGTTCATGCTCAAGTCGTGCGTTGGAACTCGATGATCAGCCAGTTTCCAGCCCCCGATATTTATCGGACGCTGCAATGAACCTGACGGACTTCAAGCGGTGTACCTGGCGTATTTCAAGGATGCCGTTTTCTTTAAATTTCGAGCTCCGCGTTACTAGTACTTGCCAGTAATACATTTGATTTCGCTTCATTGGGGATACCTTCGGTCCGACAAACATGGTGTACTCACGTTGCTTCTTGCTACTAGTTGCACATGTCTGCTGGACTTCCAGGAACGTAAGTGCGGCAAAATGATTCAACATGGACGGGCCGGACTACTTATATCAAGGCATAGTCTTGAGGAGTGTAGTGGTCATAAAAAAGTGTGTTACCGTTCACGTTAGGAGGGACTGTCCTGCGGCGTTGATTAAGATCGCTGTCGCGCGTGCAGCAGGAGTCTCCAGACCAAGGCGGACTTCCGCAAGAACGAGGAGTGAGATGATCTAGATTGCAAAGCCTAAGTCAGGGTCGATGCGGGAATTTACTGGGAAAATGGCAGGGCGGAGATAGGCGCAGTGCGGTACCGGTAGTCAAGCCATTCAAGTTCTCGACTTTGCAGAAATCCTCCGGTATACGACAGACCCGGAGTGTGCGATTACAAGCAGGATTGGCTTTCAGAAGTTGCTCCTACTTTTGGTAAGTTGCTCTGGCGGCATCGTGGACAGGTATATATCGGTGCACGGTGTCTTCCTAGTGATTCGCTCGATGAAGGCCCACGGGCCACAACTTGTTCGGGAAGCTATCAGCGCGTCATCCGCTCATCGACCAGTTACCGGTTTTAACCATATTCAATTTGCAACCGCACAACCGAGCCCGTCGTCACGGCCGTCCGCCGAATGAGCCTCCGGCGGAGGCAAGGGGCAGATGCTGAGTGCGAAATCAATCTCCCGCGGCGCCGGCATATTCTGGCATTATTGCAAATTGATGCCTCAAGAAAAAGGCTGCTCTGCTTCAGTGTCGTTGTCCATGTCGCTCACAAGCATTGCGCTGGATAAACAATACAAAATGATTAGCATACAAGCACACTCCACTGAACGTGTTCCCCCAAGTTGAGCGGAAAGACCACCCTCAAGTGCAGAATAGGCTGCCAATGAAAATCCCGTTGTATGGGCCTATTACTCGACGTCAGATGTAGAAAGTCGAGGCACATAAGTATGATATGAACCAAGGTGATTGATAATATTCCCCGAGAAGACAGAGGGAACGGTCTTGATTTGACAGTCTTCGTTAACAGCGTCATCGTTACCTAGATGAAGGTCGGTTGAGAAAGCGAGGCCCTCCAAAGTGCCACTGACCAGGGCACGCAACGATCTTCTGCTTGTCATCATCGACGATATGCTAAACAGCACACGAGGATTAGTTTATTGAGATTCTCCGATCAAATTCATTTACGCACAATCTCGCCTTGTGGATGAGCGAACCCAAGGAAAAGGCCTGGTTCAAACATTGTTAGCTTCTAATCAACCAAAAATAAACTTAACATATTTACCAGGAACAATCGGCACCAGGTCCTACACGAAAGAGAAGCAAATGCAGCGCCAAGTCATCAGATAAAATCCCAACATACCCTCTGGTTGTTCACTCGCTTGAAGTCTGGAACCTGGACAGTGAGGTCCAATGATTTATTCTTCATTCCGATGCAACGAAAAATACCTTGGAGTCAAAGAAACGAACAAAGTCTTGTGTTCCAACACGCGGGGTTCCATATGTGACCGCATTGACCTTGATCTCTGTACGAAGTGAGCCAAGATAAATCCATGAGACTTGATGACTTTGGACCTTCCGGCACTATCAAAAGATGATTTTAAAAAAGTCTATCGGAGGAGCAAAATTTACGGTGAAGGCGCAATGAGAGCGCATCTAGCTCCGCAAGGGCGCCACCGAGGCTGTGGCCAACCTGGATGCCCACTCAAGTACCAATTGGGAGAGGAGAGAAATTATTTTTACCACCGTAACTTGTGTTGCATTCTTAGTCGCGATTAAACGTTGAACTTCGTTGCGGATCTCATCTGCAGTGGTAGCGTGTTCATTGCGGAAACCAGAATGAACCTCTAGCCCTGCTGGCGCGTTAGGGAAGAGTGTCGAGTTTAATTCGCCTTTGAGGAGATTTAAATCCGTGAGGTCTGCCATACTGATGAGAATTTTCAGCTCGGGTAAGTGTAAAGAGAAAAGAAAAGGCACAGCTTCAATGGATCAGTTCCTTGGTGTGCGACTATGACCGAATTGGTCTTGGGATAGAAGCCAACGAAGACTGCCACGATATTAGGCATCAGTGAGATGAGAATGTGTTGGAGACTCACAGAACTGGACAGCATTTCCCATTCCACCAGCCAATGAAACCTAATGGATGTTTGGTTACAGCGGAACATCATATATGGAGTCTGCCGAACCTTGAAATTCGGGTTGGCGTCACAAGCCTCTGACAACATGTTGAACATGGAAATGCATCGCGATAGATAGTCATACCGCCACAGTTCCACGCCATCAGTTTGTCTACAGGACCTACAGAAAGAAGAGGTAAATGCCGAGAACAAAACGGGGAGGATTATCACAATACGCAGCCTAAGAGAATGGTTTGAGGTCAACTTGACGGTAGAAAATGAATACAAACACGAGCAAATTGTGTGAATGAATCGAGATTACTGAGGTCATTAAAGCTGAGGGGTGTAACTTGGGCAGCTCGTGGACGCAGTAGTGGAGCGCCAATAACAGCAGAGACGGCGGTGAAAAGAACGACTCCGAGGAACAGGGGGAACATATCTTATGCCGAAAAAATCGTCCAGACGATTCAGGAGTGAAAGAAAGAAAAGGATGAGAAAGCCAGCCACGCAAGCATCATATAGCAGGCCGATGTTGAGAAGATACGAGGCATGTGTTGCTGATGATCAACCCATTTCAAGTTTAGACAGCGCGTGAAGAAAGTCGATCGACAACAACGAACGACTCCCAGAGCAGTAGGTGGTTGGGGCCGACGACGAGGAGGAAATGGTGAGGAGGTTGTTGAATGATTCGCGCCCACGATTTCACCGGGCCCGCAATGTTGACATTTGATAGGCCGCCGAATGGCAGGTATTCCCTAACGACCACGAGACGTCCAGTGATGACCGATTCGATGCCCTATTAGTATTTCTCGATGCCGATCTCAGTCTCTTAAAGAGTAACTTATTCTGAACTAACACCACAACCATGTATTCCCTCAACCGCGACGAGAGTCACTCGTATCCCGACCCTTCCCAACGGATCTACCCACCTCATCTTCGCTCTTACCCGCCGCCCCCGATTGTTGACGCGCCTTATGACCGCCATTATATGGACTACCGAGCCCTGACCCCAATATCCTCCGCAAGACTTCCAGAAATTTCTCGCATCGATACTCAGCACTACTCTCGACGCGAGGAACACTCTCTCGCAATGGTTCAACCACTGTCAGCTACGTCAGTGGAGATGTCCACAGATTCCGAGCCATGGTCTCCCACACAGCCGGTCCGGCCCAAGAAATCGCGTAGAGAAAAGCCGCATATAGAGCTCGCTCCTGACCAGCCACCAACAACACAGGGTAAGCCTCGAGCGAGGGTTTATGTCGCTTGTCTCCAATGGTGTGTTGTTGCTGTTGTTGTTCTTTGATCACCAACAACGCCCACTAACTCGCCCCCCCTTAGCCGCAATCGTAAAATCCGCTGCGATGGCGCGAAACCCGTCTGCCATAATTGTGGAAAGCGCATAGGAAACAACGAATGCAACTATGATGCTTTGCCAAAACGTCGAGGGCCAGACAAAAACCCAGGCGCTCGGCAACGCATTGCTCGCAAGGATGGTGAGGCCCCACCACCAAGACGGCGTCGAGCTACAGCATCGTCGTCGTCTGATATTCACGATGACCCAACCACTTCGTTCTCATACCCTTCCCCGACGTCATCCAGCGAACATACCCATTCTCCGGAAGAATACATAGTTTCCCCTCGTGAGGTTTCGTACATGAGGTGTGCCTGTCATGGCTTGGCTCAATGTCCCTCTACGCGTGGCTTGGGGCATGCCGTTCCCGGTCCACAGGTAGGTAATCACACCCCCACTCTCACTCCCAAACCTGGCTGATGAGCTGAACTCAGATTACAGTTCCCTATGACGTGAATCCTCCGCCTCCAACCTCTCTCTCTTCACCCTCCTACATTACCAATTCCGACGAACATAACGACGGTTATTCCACCTTGGTTCATGCATATTCTACGCGAGAGTACCCTTCTGAAATTATCTCCTTTTCGACCATCATTAGTGAACCCTCCGTGCAGTTTTCTCGCAAAATATGGTGGGACAACCTACTGTCTCTTTACCTTTCGCCAAACCCGTTTGGCCGTGTCGACCACGTTTCTGATTCGCTGCGGACCCTGGCATCCCAAGGAATTGCAAACGATTTACGCTTCCTCTTCCAAGCTTCCAACTACTGGTTTGCTTTCCTTCATGCACCGACATTCTTTGCAAGTTTTCATGACCCCGTGAAGCGGGAAGAGATGCAGCCCAGTCTCATCTACGCTATTTTAGCCATCTCAACTTTCTGGCAAAGCTCCGAAGTTGGTCTCGGACATCGTGGGCGAGTACGGGCGCTCCGGTTCAGAGAAGAGGTGCCCCTATCTTGTTCCCATGGCATCTCTCTGACTTCTCTTTCTGATCAGGCCCAAAGTGCTCTAGAAGCAAGTTACAATGCTGGACGTGTTGACGACACGCTGGCACAAGCAGCATGGGTCGGTTTACATAACATGACCTCCTGCATTCCACCGACCGATCTCTTTTGCAGATTCTGGCGATGTTCGAAATTTGTGCCCATCCCAACCATACAACCGATCGATCCACGTCTGCCATGGTCATGCTCGATTCGCTTATTCGCTCGTTATCTCTGACAAAGATGGACAAAAACGACCCCAACGCCTCGGTTTTCTATCCTGGGCAAGTTCCTGAAGTTCCGTCACCGCCGCATCATCTCGTAAGGTCTATGGACAACCAGTATGATTATCCCCTGGCAAATCCGTTGCCTAGCAATCGGACTTGCTCATGCTTGTCATTAACCCTCAAAGAGCAATGGGCACAAACCATGGAGGTCGCCCCATTGTGGGCGCAGACTCCGGCATGGAACTCAGAATGGTCGGAGGCAGAGCTCAAGCAAGAGGCTTGTCGTCGACTGTGCTGGAGCGCTATGATTCTTGCGGCGGGCCACAGCAACTACTCGTATACTAGTCGCACAAGAAGTATGGAGCTCTTTATTTCGGATCCTTCGAATGTGAGGTATTATGCTGTGCCTCAATTTGTTCACTCATTTTCTCAGTATGCACTTCTGTTTTCTGGAGAATCCGTCACTCATTCGCCTGCCGCCAAAGACACGGTCTGGGCTCTACACGACCGCGCCTTCTTGCTTTGGCACGCTTGTGTCAGGATGCGTAACAACTCGTTTGCGTCAATGACAGCGAAAGGTCAGTTTGCGATCAGGACCTGGCACGAGGCAGACGCTATCGAGGACGCACTGAATCGGCACACATGCGGGATAGAGCGTTCTTCAATATATCTGGGCAGAGAATACATATTCAAGTGAGTTTCCGCCCCGATTATGCCGAACTGTGTGAATGACTGTGAGTAGCACCCGGATGTGCATCACCTATGAATTCCAGCGCTTCGTTCCCTTGGTGTCGTACGTCGACACCCATTTAACCAAGGCGAGAAGTACTGACGATTGAAAAGAAACAACGCGTCTCAGCTGTTTGACAGGCAAAAGGCAGAAGAGTGGTGTGAGTTCTTTGGCAATCCAGTTGAATATACTCATGTCGGACAAGTATCACACCACGCGATGGTTGCTCAGAGCCTGACTACTAGTCTTCACACCGTCACTGGACTTGAAACGCTCAATCTGTCGCGACGCCCATTCTTTGTCTTCTGGTTCATGGCCCATGTTTCGAGGCAAGCAATAGTCTTCCTCGCCAAAACCGACGATTAACCTGGATAGGTGCTTAACACTTTGGCACACCGATAACTCCTTAACTGTGGCCCTTGATGTATGCAAGAATCTCCTGCCCGGAATTGACTTGTGAGTTTATCCGGAAGATCTCAAGCCCCCCTATTGATTATCGCAGCCTGACCGCGTTATGGCCTTGCACAGAACAGCGCCAACGATACGAAAATCTGAGAGACCGTATCCACGACACCTGTCTTCTTGCGCAAGTCGCACCACCTCCCCCTATCAATCTAACCCTCCCACCCCGACCTGTTGTCGATGAATTTCTGTAGCGCCCTACTTCATGTCTATTCCGTTGGTTTTTGCTGGACTGCGTGGACAGATTTACCCGTGTACTCACCATAAAGATACCTGTATTGTTACCAGCTGTTTATGTCCGTGTACTCGCTATACTGCTCAAATAATAGTGTTGTCAATCGAAGGTCGCCTAATTGGGACAATTGCGTAACTGCTAAATGTCGCAGAGCCAAACCCGTCTTCTTTGTTTCCCGCATTCATGGCTGACTCCGACCCTGGAACTGTTGACTCAGTCCCACTTAGCACAAACATAGAGGCTCCACCAGACACGCTTCAACCGCGTGCCCAGCTCAAACGGACTGCTTCCGCTGCGTCGCTCACCGGTGCGTTGGACCCCAGTAGGAAAAGAATGAAGGAAGAAGGGTCTGAGCACGATTCTCAAAGCTCGGCTGGGGATGCACTCACCGGTGGCAACATTACTGAGGAGCTTGTAGAGCAGCTTACGTTGGAGTTGCAGTGTGGATGCTGTTCCTCTTTGGTATACCGTCCAGTCCTCGTTCACCCATGTCAGCATTTTTTCTGCGGAAGGTATGTCATCCAATGATTCAACTTATCGGCTTTGACTCTTGGAGTAGTTGCTGTGTCTTGTGGATTCGCGTGAGTGCTTGACTTGCCCCTACGATAATTGACCAAGATTTCTTATCCTCAAACAGAACGGCGGCACAAATTGCCCCGCGTGTCGTGGACTTTCAACAACTGTAACGCCATTCAGACCTCTTCAAACCATTCTGGATCTTCTTCTTCGAGCAGCCCCACAGAAGGCAAGAACGGAACGAGAGCGGCAACAGGCAGACGAGATATATTCAGGGACATCAATGCGGGTAAGTAGACTCGCAAATGTTAGACTCCAATCTCATCATCCTAGATCCCAGCACCAAGAGAGCTCTCCCCAGAACCTGATATCAATCCGAGTGATTATGCTCGACCATGCCCTACTTGTTTGCCGGGCAACGCGTATGGATGGAATTGTCCTCAGCCAATTGTCGATCCAAACATCGATCCAGACCATGCATGGCTATTGGATGATGGTTCACCTCCTGGTCATGCTCTATGTGGCAATTGCGAGAATCTGCTCGCCTTAGCCTCGCCGATGACATCGAAATGCGACTTTTGCCAAGTGTCCTTTTGTGGCATCACCGCTCAAGGGCGGTGCGTGGCCACCACACTGTTGTCTCAGCAACTGCACGAGCTTCATGATCTTGGAGACATGATACAGTCAGCCAAAGTTTACGAAGCATTTTGCAGGTCAGTCCAAAATGGCACTCTGTCCACTTCTAATCATGCGCTAGCAATACTGTCGAGGTTGACATTATGCTCGACTATCTCACGACCCAGAGAATGACTCCACGCCATATCTATCAGGATGTATAGCGTTTCTTCATCGTGTGGCATGTTCTCAAGTGCTACAGATTGTGACACATATCCAGGCTCAGCCTCGAGGTTTCCTTCCCTTGGTCGAACAGGAGCTTTTTGTCGATGTCCATCCATTGCCAGCGGGTATCGACCCTGACCCACAAGCACCGCGCAACAAGATCTGCCGAGGATGTGCCGCCGAAGTATTCTTCTACGGACTAAGAGACTGGTTCCTTCGCGAGCGAGCCAAAGGCTTTTTGGAGGAGGCAATTCTAGGCAAGAAAAACTGTGAGAATGGCGCAGAATGCACCCGCCAAGGGGAACTAGGTGTGTATCCGATGAATTTGCTGCGTTTTCACTCATGCTACGATTAGAACATGCACGAGAATGTACGCTCCCCAGTGCCTCTTTTCCAGTTGCTCATGTTTCTAGTTAATCACATGGTTCCATTTGTGGGTTCTCCGAGCCACACCGGAGAGGTCGCTGCTGTGAATCCGCTGCCCGCTTCTGCTCCCCCTGCACCAGAGAACACTTCCGACGACGACGATGAAGAAGAAGCAGATGTCATTCTCAACATGGGGGAAGTCGATCTTTCATTTGAATCGGACGTCCTTCCTACGCCCCCGGCTCAGGCGACTACTATCCCCTCAGCTAGCGGACCAGAAGAAGACCAGGAAATGCTAGACGCATGAATGAACCAAACGACGAACACAACGACCTTTGATTTCGATGTTGCTACTGTATACTAGTATCTATAGTCACTCTAAGTCTCTAACGAAGACCAGCATTTCTTCAATATTTTTTCTATTCTAGAGCGTAATTCAATGAGGAGAGGATCAAATAGACAATTATTCCACACATTGACAGAAAAATGGTTCAAATAAAGTCAAAATTATCGCCCGGAAGATAAGATTAAAAATATCAATAAGAAATTTTTGCCTGAGATACAGTTACAAATACAATTATTCAAGGATTGAGAAATCAACTATCTATAGTCTTCTAATTGTCCTTTTTGTGCTTTTTATTCTTCGAGCTATTTACGCTGAGCAGAGCCTCCAAAATGCCCTCGTTGTGTAAGGCTGCAATGTATTCCTTGATGAAAGGCTCATAGTCGTGTGTGCGTTTAACATGCTCGGTCTACAAACAGCATCAGTTGAGAACTCGGATGTAGGGCAAAGGGGACTTGACGTTGGCTCGATATGATTTGGCAACCTCGTCTTCTAGTGCAACTTTTGCTTTCACAGCACTCTGGACACAGCGTTCCCAGGATTCAATCAGCTCTTGCGGGGACTGGATGCGGAGGAGTTCCATGTCGCGCTCCATGCGACGCGCCCCGAAGTCCGCAGCATAGGTTGGCCCTGGTGCTGCGGAGCCAATAGGAGAGACGAACGCATATTTTGACTGTTCCAAGCGGTTGGGATCGACCTTTCTAAGTTGAGTAAAGAGCTGAAGGGACGAAGAGGAAACTGTATACCAAAGACTCCCAGCTCTCCGGCATCTTTCGTTCGAGAGAGATCTTTTCCCGTTTCAGATACTCCAAAGCATCGCTCGCTTTTTCAAAGTTGCCTTCGACGAGGGCCAGAAGACAAAATCGAATGTTGCTTCCGCCAGCAGCACCTCCATATTTCTGCATCTTCATGCGCAATGCCGGTCGAACGACATCCATCCACGTCTTCTTTTCCTGCTCTGAGGCGTCGTCATCCGGCAGCTCGCCAACTTCCAACGGTCCCGACTTAAGCCCATCTAGCTCCCAGACTTTGCCTTGAGCTGGGACATAGCCAATGAAGTGATAGACTTCCTCTTGTTCTTCGGCTGCAGGTTTAGTTTCCTTCTTTGGCTTTTTTGAGGCTGTTGCGGTGGCGCGCTTGGATACCGGTTTTGTCTTGTTTTTGGCGGCGTCAAGAGTGGTGGTAGCTGCGGAATGGAGGGAGCCTCGAAGATCAGAGGGGCTAAAGCGGGTTAAGCGTCAGTTGGGAGGGAAAATAGACCGCACATACCGGGCAAGGGCTCGATGGGCCGTGCGGATGAATGGAGAGCCAGAAATCGCAAGTCCCTTCATCTATGGAAAGGAGGAATGAGCAGCCAGATAGTAATGCCATGGAGTATATCCACCACAGGCGACATACGCTCCGTGTCCTGCTTGAACATAGCCAGCTCTCCCCCGATCTTCAAGGCCGGACAGTTGAGAGCGATGTTCAACAGTGCCTGAGACGCACATGCGTCGTCACTGAGCTGATTGGCAAACCATACTCTCTCTGCTGCTGGGTCATCGAAGTCTGCCAGTCGATGGGCATCTTTCCGCCAGAGGAAGCAAAACACGAGGCCAAGAGGATTGAGGTGGTCCACCGCCCATGGCTCGATGTCGTAGAGTTCCACAAACTCAGCACCGGTAATTCCCAAGCGTCGTGCCAGAGAGGTGAAAACCGATGGGTCCGACTCAATCACTGCAAACGGCTCGCCCACCAAGTCGTGTTCCATGTAGAGTGAGAATGCACGATCAGTCACACCGTGACCTGCGATGATGTCCACAACCATTTGATTGGTCTCCTCACATACTCTGCACCCAACTTGAAGCGATTGAGAGGCTCTAGCCTAAAAATCACACAGTGTCCCAAAACCATTTGTTAATTATGACTACTCTATCTTCAGAACATGGTAGGTTTACACGCCATGCCCAACTTATGGATTGAGCGTTCAACTCGGATCCCTCCGATTCTAGGCTGCTGCCACAACATTCAGCGGAAACCTTCTCCGAAGATTTGCATCCGAGCGTGGCTTTCGTTGGCAACCGCGACGCTCAAATATGATACTGATTACAGCTGGAACCCGATAAAAAACCGGGGTGGAGACGTCGGTGGTAGAGCGGTACGTATGAGCGGAAAGCGGGCTTGCTTGGTTTGTGGGTGTGTGATTGGTGAAAGTTGATGGAAGAGTCTGGACGCCGTTTTCTTTCTTCTTACAAGCAAGGTCAGAATACGTCTATCAGACGGGAAGTTTGAAGCTTGGGCAACGGTGTTATCGGCGTACAAGGGCCGATGAATGCACTGGTGGCGTTCAAGCAACAATCAGAAATGTGGGTGTGGGCGGCGCCAATAAAAGTTGGTCGTCGTGTGCCGGAGGAATGGTGGCGTTTACAACTACTGATACATCTCGAGTCTTGTGCATTTGAGACTGTCTAAGCCATGGGTTCACGTCAAGGGGCCAGCCGGTCTATCGTCCACACATCCTCCCCATCTGTCTGCCTCGTGTAGAGCACGCGGTCATGTAGCCGCGAAGGTTTACCGCTCCAAAACTCCACCTGGCTATTCCGAGGCGCATTTTAGTAAGTATGGATTCATGAGGCCGGATCGTCACCTTGGTATAACGCGCCATCCACCCCAGAAATCTGGCAGAGGAATATCGTTGGCATCACCAAAGCGAGCCTTGACTTCCTCTAGCCGTTTCTGAACTTCGTCCTCGGTGACCACAGAGCTTTGTGGGCTGGCCCATGCTCCAAGTCTACTGCCAAGGGGTCGGCCATTGAAGTATTGTTCACTCTCCTCCTTTGATACTTTTTCAACGCGGCCAGTGATGCGGACTTGGCGGGAGACCTCGCGCCAGTAGAAGACGAGAGCCGCATTCGGATTGGCCAAGAGTTCGGCCGATTTTCGTGAAGTATAGTTGGTGAAGAAGACGAAGCCTCGTGCGTCGATTTGTTTGAAAAGGACAATTCTGGCAGAGGGAAGGCCATCGGGCGTACAAGTAGAAAGCGACATGGCTTCTGGTTCGTGGACATTGGCCGCTGCTGCTGCTGCAAACCATGTTCGAAACTGATCAAGAGGGGATGGTTGGACGGTGGAAGGTGTAAGATGTTGAACATCGTTGTACTGAGTATGGGGTAGAACCTGAATCGTATCAGGGCTTGGTTGGGCAATAACTGCATCCATCGCTCAAGCTCACTGGCGTCCAAAGAGAAAGGCGGGGAATGTTGAAGAGTGGTGACCGGATTTGGAAAAAACGGTGAATCGATCTTCCAAGTCTCATCGCGGCGTCTTGCGAAAACCTGACAAGACCCTTTTTCGGGGTTCTCAAGATGGATAAGTAGAACCTGGTATTGTAGTAATAATCTACCATCTCAACTTCAAGTACATGAACCAACTTATCAAGTCTGTAAATTTCACTGTCGGTTGTTGCTCCACTTGACTGTTGACTTGCGGTCGACCATCTTGCCGAGAATTGAAGATTACGTTGTGCCTGTAGAATGCGATGCGCGTGGGAGCCATACTAGAAGAATCACATAGACATCATCCATATTGCCCAAACGATCACGGACCTCTCTTCCTTCTCCTCACCCACCAACATTACCCCGGGGTCAACCAGAGTGAACGAGGACTTGTGTCTGGCGCCCTCCAAGCCTCGTACGTCTGCACCGTCAATCCTACCATCCTTTGCGTAAGTAACTCAGGCACCGATAGCAGCAGAACAGGGTTCGTCAATCTCCGGACAACACGCGCACCAGCGTTTTTTCTCCGCCAAGACCTCTCGATCTCCCCTCCTCCCTCTTTCCAACATCGTCTGAGTCGACGACAACGACCAATCTTGCATTGCACTATGCCAGCAGAGTTACATTCCATATACGACCTCACCACCCATTCCAAGGCCACCACTGGCGATGTTCCCCAGAAGCTTGTGGTGCGTACTCGTCCATGATCGCCTCCACTTCATTTTAACTTTTATTCAGGGCGCTTCGACGACGGTGGTTGGTTCGAAGATGTATCTATTCGTGTGTTATATTTGTCAGGTTCTAGCTCACCCACTTATCGTGGTGGTTAGGGTGGTCGCCTCGTAGCTGAACGTAGGATGGTCAACGACCTCTATGTTTTCGATCTCGAAACATATAATTGGGAAAGGATTACGCCCTTTCCTGAAGACGATGTCCCACGAGCCCGATACTTTCACAGCGTTGACACTTGTCTGTTGCCCATCGTATTCTCTTCGATAACACCGTTCACACATCATAGGGAACAATCAACTGATCGTCTTCGGTGGTATGAGCAACGAACCAGATTCGCCCAATCCCGACGAGCTCTGCGTTCTCAATGATGTCCGCTTCTTCGACATCGCCTCTCGTCACTGGCTTCCTCAGTCACGTTTGGCTACTCCAGAGAACCTTATTCCTCGCGCACGTTATGCTCAACTGTCTTCTGTCACGGGAGACCGTCTATTCATCATTGGCGGTCAGGACTTCTACAACACTTGGCTTGACGACATCTGCGTCTACGATCTACTGGCAAAAACTTGGTCTGAGAAACGTGATTACCCCCGACATTGCGGCTCCTACCGCAGTGTTGCCGTCTCCTCAAATATGTGTGTCCGCTTTCCCAAGGAAGAACTCTGGACCTCCAAGTTACCAAACCCACTTGGTCCGAGTGGTTCTCGCTTTCAAACTCCTAATTCCCCCCCAACCGACGACACAACTGGGTCCGAATCGCTTTCGCACCTGCCTTATTCCGCGCCTCCCGACGATGAGCATCCCAGCGACATTTATTTGTATAGCAACTACAACGTGTGTAACAAAACCCTTTTTTCGTTTTTTTTTTCTCTAGTTTGATTTTTAACCTTGTTTAGTTCACTGACGTCAAGAGAGAACTAGAAGTCTTCTCACCACTACCCGATACTGGTTTCACCATTGACGATCGCTCTGCCGCCATGTCGGGCTCCACTTTTCCTCCTGGGCTGCGTTTCCCGACTGGTGCAATCCTTGGCACTCACCTCATCATTGCGGGAATCTATCTGGCACATAGCTATCAATCTTTCTCTATCTGGGTTCTCGACCTACAAACCATGGTTTGGTCTCGCATAGACCCTGGTAAAGCGGTCGAGTCGGGCTCTTGGTTCCGTGGATGTTTATGGCCTGAACAAAACAAATTCCTTATTTTCGGCAATCGGAATGGGAATCTTGTTGACGATTACAACCGACGGCTTCTGAGCTGGGACCACGTTGCTGTGGTCGATTTAGAGGCATTTGGCATCTACCAACCACCTGCTCTCAGACTAGACATTCCTATGCAAGAGCTCGGCCTTTCAGCGCTGGAAGAGGGTGTTTTATCGGACTTTGAAATTGTTTGCGATGACGGACGAAAGATTGGTTGCTCGCGAAAGCTACTGGAAGACAGGTGGCCTTGGTTCAAAGAGCAACGGCTCAAGCTTCTCCAATCTGCGATGAATGCTTTGGAATCGCTACCTTCTTCTCCCATGCACATTCCGCTACCCGACCTCCCTGGTAACGTGCCGGACGACGAGAGACCTGATCCCAGACTCACGCCTCGCGCATTCAACTTGTCCGAACCTTATCCAATCACTCTCGCGCTCTTGCAGTACTTTTACTCCATGGCATTGCTCACGCCACTGCAAACCGCGCCAGCAGTTCTTAGTCAACTGCTCGTGCTCGCGACAAATTACCAAATCACTCATCTCCAGTCGCTAGCAAAACACGCGATGCATCGCGCGCTGTCGAACTCTACCTCGGTTGGGGTGTACGAAGTGGCCACTTTATGCAGCTGTCGCAGTCTGCAGATCCGGTACGTGGTTAAATCTTTGTGTTGCTCCACAGTTTCTGATCGCGTATGCTTTATCTTCCAAATATAGTGCATTGAAAACTGTGATGGTCAGTGGTTCTTCTTCATGCCACCTGCTCGGGCTGACTTCGCCTATGCGTAGTCGTACACACAGAAGAAACCGACGCGAACGAGAAACGACAATGGCGGAGGTGGTGGGGGTGGCCGACCTGATGGTGGTGGTGGCGGTGGCGGTGGCGGCGGCCCGCGGACAAACGGGGGCGGACCGGGGTCTGATTCACAGTTCAACACCCGACCACGCGGAACATCTGATGCGCGTTGGGGAGATACGACCAGAGGCGGCCCATATAGCAACTACCCCGTTGGGACTAGTTATCGGGACGACATTATCGAGGATGCCGACCAGCTGTTCACATTACCCGTTTTCGACAAGTCTGTCCGCCATAAACGCACTGAAAGCGTTGTTTCCATCCGAACGGAGGAAGAAATCCAGGAGCTCATGGCGTTTATGGCCCCTGTTGCACCTACGCCTCCTCGTTCACCTCGTATGAGTGAGCAAATGCTTATGGACCAAATTTACGAGAGCGCTATGTCACATCCTTATGCGCCTTCATTCATATACGAGGACGATGAAGAGGATGAAGAAACAGATGAAGGTTACTACCCGTCGAGTTCACAAGGCTCAGTTTCAATATCCGTGGAGGAGTCCGAATCAGAAGAGGCAGCCGTCAGCGCACCACCAACACCAAGTAGACTTGCCTCGTCCAAGGTTATGGCTTACCATCTTCCCCGCCGCATTGATACTCGCAAAAGTGCTACTCCCTCACTGGTTTCGTCTATCTCTACATCTTCGAGTTCTCATGCTAGTGGGAGTTACTTCGGCCCGCTAACACCGCCACTTTCGCCGCAAGTGTCATCCGCTCATGCTCTTGAGATGATCGAAGAGCAAGAGCAGCACTATGCGGATGAGGAAAGCGACTCATTTGACGTGGACCCCGTTCAATCAATACGATCACACAATCGATCTGACCAGACCCCCACCATCCCATGGTCCGCACCACCCGCCAAAACGCGTTTTGAGTGGGGCTCTCCCGTCGATATGAAAATAACAGAGGTCACCAGGACAGACGAGTTGTCGCGACCGAGGACGATGTCGCCATCCCCATCTGAAACGGAGACAGTCTCTGCTGGTGCCACGGGTGCTCGCCATAGTTTGTCTGGAAATGCCTTTTCGCGGATCTTAGCGCGGAAGTCGACATCTGGACCAATCAGTTCTCCGATGGGCAAGTCTCCGCTCAGCCCTCCCAGCCATCTGTTCCTCGACGAGAAATCGCAACGGGCAGAAGAGAAGCGCTTGAAGAAGGAGGCGGACCGTCTGCGGAAAGAAGAATTGGCGCTCAAGTTGAGGCAGGGAGCGCGCAAAGCCAAGGATGACTCGGACAGGTCTTCGAGTAAATCCAAGGAAAAGTATCTGGAACCCATTGCCATGTACGGTGGTGTGTTCCGCGGCAACCTGACGCTGTAGACTTCATCATCATTTTTATCATCTCATTCTGATCTACTTACTTGCACTCTCTGGAGAACCAACTGACCAAGCTGTATTGTAGTCTGACTCTCGTTCTTTCCCTTCTTTTGCTACACTATCGTTATTGCACATACTAACTAGTATTTATCACTGTATCTGCGCTGTTCAAAAAAACCGTACATAGACTTAAGTATGTACGACTGTAATCCAATTCCGTGCAACATTATTGACAAAAAACTTTTTAAGCGACAAGTTTGGCGTTATCGGTCAAGATCTTGTTTAATCCCTCCCGCTTGTTGCAAGCTTCAAACTTGAAGCTGGCAGCAATTTCATCCAGCTCCTCCGTGCTCTTGCCAATAAAGTGGTCTGCCCACTCCTTCACCAAATACTCGGCAACGAGAATGTTACGAGAAAGCCGAGTGACGCGATCGGACAAGCGCCAGATTGGGTGTGGGTAGAGTGCGCGATTGGGCTCTGGGATCTCATCGAGGATGTGCTGGATGAGAGGCTGATAGATGTGTCTAACTTGTGCGTCATCGGCACCCCAAGCGTCAGTCGCGAGTCGGTGCTTCTTTGCGAGGAATGATTCGAAAATGGTCATATACGGCGTCGTGGTTGCGACATGCACCATTCCTTGGAAGCCTATGTCCTTGTAGAGCCAGATAGACCAACTGCATCTGTCCTGATTATAGAGGTCGAGCTGAGATTTCAAAACTTGGTATCGCGTTGCGTTGATCTCGTCGGTTGCTTCGCCATCATATTGCTTGCGTGCGTAGACTGGGCCCCATTCACCGTTCCAAACACACAGTCCACGTTCATCCATCCATTCGCGTTTCTTCTCGTAGCTCCTTCGCAATCGTCTCAGTTGCGTTTCGTTCGCTACGAACGCTTCCGGTGCGCTGGGGAAGCCAAAGAGAGAATAATCGTGGATCGAGTACGCAGTATTGTCCCAATTCTTGTGTGCGTCACCAAAGCGTGAAAAGTCTGAAGCGAAAGTGTTTCCGTCGAGGAATATGACGTGATCGGGGTCGATAGCGCGAATAGCGGCGTGCAGACGGTCGTAGAAGGCGATGAGGCGTGTGTGGGTTGGATCGGTGGGTTCGTTGAGTGGATTGTAGCCTGCAATCCATTTGTTGTCTTTGTAATGCTCCGCGAGCTTCTCCCACAGCCAAATGGTGCGGTCTTGGAAGTCCTTATGGTTCCAGACTTGGAAATTATTAAGCACCAGATGAGTGCAATATGCGAAATCTTACGGTTCGCAATGTGGCCGCCGCTATTATTATTATATGATAAGATATCTCACAGGGAGTAATAAGATATAAAATAAAAACTCACTGATCAGAGTGCCAGTCTGTGTTCTGACCTAGAAGGAGCACTTGAGTGGATGGGTCAGCCACAGGAAAACATACAAACCTCCTGGCGCAGTATGCAGGTCAAGAATTGTGTAGATATTGTTTTGCGCACAAAGCTCGATAACACGATCGAGATGCTTGAAACCTGACTCCTTCAGCACGCGTGGGTTCATGTCATCTGTACAAGGCAAATGAGGTCTGCTGCAGCAAAAGGCGGTATAAGGCACCTTCGAAGTGATGGTAATTGAACGGCAATCGAATGCAGTTCAGTCCGAGGCTGCTGAAGAACTTCGCGTCGGGGTCTTGGAAGAAATACTCGAGGAATTTGTCGAAGAAAAAGTCGGACTTTTCTTGCCCGATGGTTTGAGCCAATGCCTCACGAATTTGGTATTCACATCCAGGATAGCCTGCAGAGTTATAAGTAGAAGCTGGTGGCCACAGGCAGCTTTACCCCCCTGAGATGAAGTTTTCCATGCTTTGAGAAACCAATAAGTTGACTTGAGTTTGAGAGAGGCCTCAGACAACATACTTCATCCAGCCTCCGAGGCCAGCGCCCCGGAGAACCACTTCATTGCCAGCTTCGTCGACGAGTTTGGTGCCTGAGACTTTGAGGAGAGACATGCTGGAAAAGATATGACCCGAATTCAAGAGTTAAAGTAGGCTGGGAGAGCCGCCGGTCCGAGCCTGTTCCCCCGAGGTTTCGCCCAAAGTCCAAATGGGTGATTATCGCGAGACTGCCACCGTTCTTGGCATATTTCGAGACCGTCTCATGTGTTATTGTTGGACTTGGACCAGTAAACTGGACTTCAAACTGGCTTAAACTGGGTGATCAGGGACAAGCGTTGTGTCACAACGTCACGTGAGTGTGATCGTCTCCTTCAACTCTCGAGACGGAACTCGACGACATGTGGGTACTGACTGGAGAATTTGACTCTGCGCCCGGACAGACCAGTAAATCTTCCAACCCTCATAAGTCTTGATGCTCGACTTATCGTTGTCAGGATCCAAAGTGCTTCGAACTGGGCATACCTACAGGTTAGGCCGCAAAGATGCACCGCTGTCCATTCCATCCAATAAGATCTCGAAGACCCATGGCGAATTCAACGTTGCGAAATTTACCAAAGACCAAGTATCTGACGCGACAACGCGTCCTCGTCTTGAATACGCCAACACCAACCCAAAAGCTAAACCATGCCTTGTGACGCGTGCTGACGGAGATACTGTTTCCATCGACGGGCATGCTACAGGAGAGCTTGAGGACGGCGACTCCATCCAGATTACTTCTGGCCATGCTATCATGTCGGTCGCAATGTTTGTCGCAAGGACTGCGCTTATAGCTGTAGGATTCGGTGGGAGCCAGTCTGTTGCTTCCAACAACCTTCGCGAGCCAATCATGATATTCTTGAAGACTGTGCATTCCTGGGTGCGTCCTTTTTGCATAGCTTGACTCACTAATCCAACTCCTTTTCTCCAGGTATCCATACAACAAACCTTCAAACCCCCCAAGTCACTCATCATCTTGCCCCATCTTACTCCGCTACCCTCCCCATTGCCACCTCTCTCGCCAGCGCTTGCAATCTGGTCAAGCCTGAGTGGCTAATGGAGCTTATCCGCATTAGCAAAGAGACGGCTCTCGGCAATGCGCTTGACTACGCTGCATTACCTCTTGCAAACAAATTCCGCCCGGTATTCGCCTCGACCTTGACCGTCGCACAACAAGCGCCAGGTCTTTGGGAGCCGAACGAGGAACGGCTCAAAATGTTTGCTAATCATACCTTTCTCTGTGCAGGTGAGAAGAAGCGCGAAGTCGAATCTTCTCTCCGTCAACTGCTCGAACGGGCTGGTGGTGAAGTCAGTGTTTTCGACATCTCGGGCGGAACAGAAAAATGGCGAAAGACGCTAAATCGCAACAAGGCCAAGTCACACGGCACTTTGGTCCTGGCCACGAATGCAAAAACCTCTGAGACCGCGGTGGGTAAGGAGGAGTGGAAGAAATTTACGAAGATTGCAAGAGAGTCTGTGTTCTGCTTCCTCAGCTTTTTGCTTCCAGTTCAGACGCTTCGACAGATTTGGACTGCGGTTCGTTTCTAGCGATGATATTGTTCAAGCAGTCATCAGCGTCGATACGGCCCCTCTGATCGCACCACCAGGCGACGAGGAAGAAGATGCTAGAGCAGGTACATCCTGGTCGTATCTTCTCGTTGAATATTTAGATCTTATCACAGATCGCTCGTCATCCCCCCTCCCTTCTGTCGTCCCCAACAGCTTCCCGGGTGAACACGTTGAAAAGTCGCCGGAGCCAGCGCCCAAACGAAAGCCACTCGTCCGTCGAGTCACGCGAGCAGCGTCGCAAGATCCAGAAGTCGTGAACGAGGATCCAGAGATGCCAGCACGCAAGGTTGGCTCAATCATTTTGTTGAATTTTCGTGTGCTTAGGGTTTCAAGGGCTTGATAAGGAGGGCCGGCGAAGCACAGATGCTGACTGGTCTCGATGATCCTTCCTATGTTTTGAGGAATATCGAGAGCGAGAGTTCTAAACCAAAACCGCCTCCTCCCCCCGCCTGCAGAAGAAGACCCAGATGTGAGGAAATCAATTGTCATGCTGTGTGTATTTTAATTGTCCGTGTTAGGCTCCACGACCCCGGCGTAGACAACTTAAACGTCGTGTCGGTGTCGCTGCGGACCCCAACGATCCCGTTGCCCAGTTGCTCCAACAAGGCGCAGCTTCTTTCTTAGTTGGCGCTGCGATCCCGGCAGCTGGCCCCACTACAAACCTCGGCGATGAGCCCCCACTCAAAAAGTTCAAGGCTTTGTTTGAAGAGAGCGGTGGCTTCGGTGATGGCACGCAAAGTATCATCCCCGACGACTCGGGTAGTCTGGATTTCATGTCATCGCTCAACACGCAAACCGAAACTCAGACACAAACCCAAAGTGGTGCAGGGCCATCCAAGCGGAAAACAGGTCGAAGCGGACTGAATGCAGTTGCTGAAGAAGAGGAAGAAAGCCAGAGTCAGGCCCCCATTGGCCGCAGTCTTGGGACCAAACGCAAAGAACGAAGCTTTGACGGCGATGATGCTGAAATGGCGGATGTTGAGGCGGCTTTGGCGGGTTCAAACGGCGAAGGCTCCGCACCACCGGCTAAAAAACGGGCGACCGCTGGAGTAGTGCCTCCTGTGGAGCGCACCGCACAAAGCAACGCAAATCAACAGCCTGTTATTGTTGATAAACCTGGTCCAGCTATGTTAGGCAAGAATGCCTCTGTCGCCGCTACGGCTGGCGCTGCTCCTGGTAAACCTGATAAAGATGCGGCATTTTTGAAAGCTGTCGCCTCAACAAAACGAGGCAAACGAGCTGAAGACGACTTCGATCGCGATTTCAATAATCTCAAGATCTCCAAAGCGGATTTACGAGTGGACGAAGAGGAAAATAGACCAGCGTGGGAACTGTTGGATGATTTCGACGCTGCGAGTGTGGGGAATTTTATGGTCATCGAGGAGTTGGAGGTTTTCAAGGACCGAAGCAAGGACAATGGCGTGCAAGGTGGCATCATTGATGAACGATGGAACAACAAACCAAATTTCAAGAAGTTCAGAAAGGTGTTTAGTCCCAACGTCAAAATTTGCGTCAAGGAGTCTACTTACGAATGTGATCCAGAATCGCTCACTTGTTCATAAAGAGAAGATCAAGCTATATGCAAATGCAGATCAAGGGGGACAGGAAAACGGTAAGCATCTCTCAGGACATTTCACCCTTTTTGACTGGTGACTTACAGCTAATCTTTGGGATGACAATGAAAACATCAAAGTTGAAGCCCATGCAAATTTCGATGATTTGGATGACTTTGGGCCAACCCAGATTCGCAAAACACAGCCAGTTGTGAAGAAGACCACCCAAAAGAAAGAGTCGCAGTCCCAGAAACGCATGGTGCTTGATTCTGACGAGTCTGACGGCGCACCCCCGCCAGCCTCTCGATCGGCGACCCAAACACAGACAAAAAGCAAACCCCCTTCGACTGTTGTTGAGCCTCCTGCAAAACGGACCCGAACTACTCGTACATCGTCAAAGGCACCAGAGGTGAAGCCAGTTGCCCGATTGTTCTTAGATGATTCGGGGGATGAGCAGATCAAGACACTGGACGAAGACTTTGAGATGCAGGATCAGACACAGACTTTGCCCACTCAACCGGCAAGGCGTTCACAAAGAGCGAAGGCAACCGCCAAAAAACCTATCACTATAGACTCGGACGATGACGAAGATGACGATGCAGTCTTTCGTGGCTTTAAAAGATAACGCACATTTGTACCCTGTATTTTTAGTCCAGCTGCGTGAATTCTTGGTGAATTCACACTCCAGTGTGGCACGTGATCATCCACTTTGTGATGAGCGACAACGACGCTTTACTAGCCCTCCGCCAGGCGGTCAAATCCAAGGAAACTATAACATTCGCGAAAGACGGGCAGTCTTGTCAAACCCTCCTCGACGCGACGCATCTCGTTCTCTCTTCCACATGCACACTCCACAAGTCAACACCAACAAGATATCGTCGGCCAGCGGCTCAAGACTTTTTCACACTCGAGGCTCTCTATCTAGCGTGGCAGCTTCAAAATGCGTCCGGTGCGGACTACATGAAACAAGCCCGAGATAGCGGGTTGGCGGTCGGGTTCGTCAGTGTAACGGAGAGGAAGAATGTCGTGGACTGGTTGGAGGGGAGAACAACCGAGAATGAGAGAATAGTACCCCTCACAGGTGCATTCTTTATCTCCGCGTGTTGAAAATCCAATAAACAAGCTCAGACACTAACACACCACCGGGCACGCCTCCTCCTTCCACTAAACCATTGCCTGCGACACCGCACAGGGCCAATGCGGTTGCTTCGACTTCGACGTCCGTAAAACGCCGTTATGTTCCTGACGCAAGAGATGCGGAGGCCGTTAAAAAAATCAAACAGCACGAAGTTGAATTGAGGGACCGCAATTCAGTACTAAGAGGCGGCAAACCCAACGTGTGTTTTTTCCTTTCCTTGTGAACTGTCGTTTAGCTTACTGTGTGCTCATAGAACTTTTCAAACATTCGTCTGGCTTATGCCGACAAACTCAAAAAGATGAAGGAGGCCAGTCGGTCAGGTAGCTCGGCAGCAACTGCGCCAGAAGCTCGCTCCGTGGTCAGAAAACCCCGGAATAACTTCCCTATCATAATGATATCTTCCTCACCTACGGCCCTCATCACGATGCACAATGTCAAAAAGTTCTTACAGGAGTCTACGTGCGTCAATGCTCCATTTTTTTGCGGCATTTGAAAGAACTATTTCAGCTTTGAACCGTCACAGGATGCCCGACAACGAGCGATGTCAGAGGGCAATTCTCGACCAGAGGACATGATTGCCATTTACCGCAAACGAACTACTATCGACACGTCTGGCAAAGAACACGAATCACATGTGCGCTACTTTATCGTCGACAGCGTTGAAGCTTTGGGGAAGTTTGGCCCTGACGCTTGGGAACGTGTTGTGTGCGTTATGACGACTGGCCAAGCATGGCAATTCCGTCCATACAAATGGAACGAGCCCATACAACTCTTCCATCATGGTATGTCAACTTAACCTACTGGCTCTTAGTTGACATGATTTTCTAGTCAAAGGAATCTACTTTTCTTGGTCAAACGACCCACCAAATCCGAAAATCAAGGATTGGAATGTTACTGAGCTCAAGGTGATTGGACAGTCTCATCATCGAATGCACTCAAGATAACCTCGTAGATCGATCCGATGAGACGCCACGTCGACAAGTCAGTCGTCGCTCATTTTTGGAAAATCTTGGACACCTGGACGACGGCGAACAAGCCAGGGCTGATGAGTGGCTAAGATGTAATTGTAGGTGTAATCTTGGTGTGTGTGGTTTGCTATTACTATTAGATGTTCTTTATTGAGCGGGACCCTGCGGACTGCTGCCACGGCATCCAAATTTGAGTCCGACAACTTGCCGGCAACGGTTCGCTTCCGTTTCGAACACCGCTTTTGCGCGTCAATCATTCAGGTAACTTCTTGCGCGCCGATCGTCCGCAAAATTGACTCGGGCGCCTCGAGGCGCAGCTGCACGCTTATAAGCGGACAAGGGGACCGACCGCTTTCTGTTCTTCCCGTCATGACTCAGAAGGTTGAAGATAATGTACCAAAATCGACACCTACGAGCTCACTTCGAGAGGTCAAATTGGGCGTGTGGCGCATCCTTACGGAGAACCAGAAGACGCCCAGTTTCGCTACCCGTTGGGAGAAAATGATAGGATTTATGCCCACACTGCGAATATTTTTTGAAGAGGTGTATTCCATCGAGCCGCGTCAAATGACGTTGATACTTGTGGTCAAAATCTGGTCAAGCCTCGAGGACCTCTTTCTTTTGCATCTCTCAACTCGAATTCTTGCAATCGTAAGTTCATCTCCAGAATTGGGTTCAACCTGTTGCTGACCTCATCAGATTGAAATCGGCTTGAAGGAGGGGGGAAAACCGAATTCTGGGGCCATCATGAGGGCGGTTGCTGCCCGGATGCTACTCGTTGCATTCACCTCATATCTCAACAGCTGGAGGTATGTGCTCAACCATTGCCGCGATTTATTAAGTTGTGCCTCTACAGCCAACGGACTAATTCAGCAGTGGAAAGTCGTGTTCAGCAACATTTTGAGGACAAGATATTCACTGGTTAGGTGGTGCGACCCTCTGTGCCTTGTTCTGATATTTATTACCAGCGAAACTCGAGGCTGACATGCCTGCTACACATGACACCACGGACGATGATGCCATCTCCCCGCACGGCGTTTGGAATACTTTCATGACTGTTGTCAGCGTCGGGACGCTGGTGCTACAAGTTGTCGCCATCTTGGGGTACATCCTCAACCTTTCAACTTCAACGCGGCATGGCCCTATTTTCGTCTTCCTCTGTATTTGCCGACCACTGTTCAAGTCCCTATATCGACAGGATCTATGGAACATGCGTCGGTTTCTTCTCATTTTCGCTCCCCTTTTTCGACTGTTGATACTCATTTTAGCCTTCGTGGTGGAGGCGGATAATGATGATTACGTCCGCCTCCAGGCGTTAAAGAGAATGGGAGAAGACAAATATCGTCAAGATATCATCAGCGGGGATATCGGCGAGTACATTGTCGATGGTACGGAACTGTAATGAACCTTGCAAGGACTAATACGCCAGTCTAGAATATGAACAGGTTCAGAATGGACTTGCCGATACTTCCCTTGAACATCCATTAACTCTATGGGATGAACAATACTCCTGGCTGTCTACCGCGGCACTTGACATGCTTGACAATCTCCCAATGGTGCCTTTCAATCTGTCCTCCCTCTACCACTGCTTAGAACCCGTAGGTTTATTACGCCGCTAGCGCATTCCTAGATCCCGCCAAATTCACATTGTCCAAAATCGCCACGCTCCAGCGGTCAGAATGGACTTTGCGGAATACATTCTCCCAGAGTATCCAAGAGGTTGATTCATTTGCACGGGCCATGACCTTCATAGAACGGCTGTACAAATTTTGTAGTCCACTACCCACGATCAAGGACGGCGTCTTGAAGTATCCTTCCTCCGGGGAGGCGGATCGCGCGGGAATGTCTATCGAGCTAAGGTTGGTTCATGACGCTGAACTGTCTCCAAACAATTCAACTCAACTCAGGAATGTTACATTTTCCTACCCTGGCGGAGAAAAAAATGCCAAAGCTCTTGACGACGTGTCGTTTACAATCAAGTCTGGCCAGCTCGTAGTCCTCGTGGGCTCGAACGGAAGCGGGAAGTCCACCATCGTCAAGCTACTCTCACGCTTGTACGATGTTTCATCTGGCAACATCGTCGTCGACGACAAAAACATCCACGATTATCTTATCGCGGACTTGCGTGCTGCAACGGCTTCATTGACCCAAGACCATCACCTCTATCCCCTCTCCTTAGGCGAAAACATCGGATTAGGGAACCCAGAACTCATGGGAGATGTTGAGGTCATCACTGGAGCCGCTAAGAAAGGTGGGGCCGGTGAGTTTATGGCCAAATTGACGGACGGCTTGGAAACATTGCTCGATCCTCAAGCCGATGCGTATACCATGCACGTTCAAGCATCGGATGGAACCCCCCTTGCAAAAGAAGTCGAAAAAATGCAAAAAAGAGCTGACATCTCAGGCTAGTCTACTATATATTCATGTCTGGTCCGACTCATAGTTTTGACCAGGTGGAGAGCGGCAGAGAGTTGTCGCGTAAGCACCGAATACCTCGTCAATTTTTTTGTTCACCCTTTGCAGGTCCCGTACATTCATGCGATTCACTACTGGTCGAGTCAAGCTCGTTATTGCAGACGAGGGCTCGTCGGCGCTTGACCCAGAAGCTGAATGGGAACTATTCAACAATTTGAGGGTAGAAGTAAGCCTGCATCGCGGCCGTATTTGAGTCAAATTGATGATTTGCCTTCCAGAGAGAGGGCAAAACGATGATATTTGTGACTCATCGTTTCGGGCACCTCACAAAATATGCGGACAATATTCTGTGCGACTTCTACTCATCTTTCAGTCTCGTTGCTGACGCACACCTTAGGTGCATGAAAGAGGGCAAACTAGTGGAGTCTGGAACCCACGAAGAGTTGATGAAACTGAACGGAGAATACACTAAACTCTACGAAATCCAGGCCAAAGCCTTCGAGGACAATAAATTGTAGTACTATCACATTAGAGTATGTTTTACTAAATCGAGGAACGGTGTTTAGTTGTTTGTTCGTGTTTGCCAAAATGATACTCTCGCGTGCACGCTCATCATCATGGCGTCCATTTCTCCATCTCCACCGAAGATTTTCAGAGAAATTACCCAAGCCGGAGGTTGGATATGAGGCGAAGGACTGGAGGGGGCCATGGTTATACCGAACTGTTGGAGTGGGGCATTTTGTGGTCATTCCTCGTTGGTTGCGTCTGAACTCCCGTGTTTCTGACTCTTAAGACGTGTTTCGGGCAGTTGTGATAGCGTATGCTGCGCTCTTCTATGACTGGAATGACGATAAACGAGGAGAACACGTTATGCTGCCTGTGAGTTATTCCACCCGTCCTCCACATACAGTACGCTTCAATGAAATCTAGGTACGGCGATGGCTAGAAACTCAGAAAGCTGCATTCTACAAGCTTTCTCCCTCTGAACAACAATTAGCTGCTGTTGAAGGACAGTCCTCCGCCGTTGAGGCTCCCTCGGACACTCCGGCTACATCAGGGCTCTCAACAGCTGGTCTACCCAAAGGCTTCTTCAAGCCGTATTTCATGGTCAGGTTCATCCAGCCAGATGGACCTGCCGCAACTGCGGTAATATTCTCCGTTCCTTGTAGCCTCTCTAATCCCTCCCTCAGGGCTTGCTTGACGAAGACCTGATTGTCTCCTTCGGCAACATACCAGTACGCGATCTCCCGCCGTTAAGGTATCATGCAATCCTTACTGGTGCGGCCAACAACGATGTAGGTGAGGGCAAATGGAATAGGACGAGTTTTGATTTGGTTGAATAGGCTGTGATACCAGTGGTAGTCGTTCGAGGAGAGCGAGAGATAGAGATCGTCATAAAACCCCAACAAGGCGGGGAGCTAGGGTGCGTTCTTTTATTATCACAAGGGGCTCAATTCTCAGTCGTGTACATGTTAGATGTGAGTTGGAACGGTATCAGCCTGGACAAGTCAAACGATAATTGAGAAATGGAATTTTATTTCTTCAAGAGTCTGCAGCAGCACGCCTCTTCCGTCCTCCTATCAGATAGACCGCTGCACGAACTTCAAGCAACGGATCTCCAGCGGATTCGATGCCAACCACACGCGGCACTGGGTCGTAAATAATCTTCTTCTGCTCCAGCTTATTTTCTTCCACCACTTTATCCAACGAGACAGTACCGAGAACCACACTCTTACGTTCCTTTGACCACTGGACGGTTACGTCATTCGTAGTGTCGCCCTCATCCGCCAACTGCAACACAAGGTTGAATACCACTGGCCCCTTTTCAAGACGGCTCGGAATCTCGTCATAGAGATAGTTGTCGGTCTGTTCTTTGACTTTGGCTTCGTCCAGATAGTGCAACCCCGCTTCGGGGAGGATCGTATACCGCCCATATCTTGATCCACCCTGTTCATTGGTGAATTTGAAGGCATGCAAAGCGTAGTACGCCTCTGTGGCCAAGCTTTCTGCGTTTGGCTTGGGATATTGCACGAAGTACGCTGCTGCGGGGTGGGAAGCGAGAAATTCTGGTACATTTCCATTCCCGACTGCGCGGAAAAAATCCAGAAATTCTTGCCCAGTTCTCACAGGGAATGCCGGTGTCGAATGAGCTACAATATCGGTGTGGACGTGTTCTGCGAGGTTGAACCGGATGGCTAAACCGCGAGGATTTCCATTGGGGTCTGTATCAGGGATCTGAGGAAGTCCAGTTGAGCTGGAGAAACGTGCAGTGACGGGGGTCGTGGTACAATGGAAGTGAGGGGCACTGGAGATCTCGGCTGCTGCTGTAGTTGGTGTGAAACTCCCGGTCAAAAGCAAACCGCGCGCATGCACAGGACGGTAACCAGCATGGGAGCCAAAAATTTGACCAAGCTGCTCGATGATGTCTTCACTGTTCCACTGCTCAACAAGCTGCGATGTGGACAGATGATGTAACCATACCTAAGTGACACCAGCTGAGGGTCAGAGGGTAGAGGCATGTTGGATCAGGTAGCCAGGGGAAGCCAGGGGATTTACGCTGCTCGAAGGCTTTATCTATCTTGATTCAACTTCAGTCTATTCCCCGAACACCGAAAGAAGCCGGTGTCATTTGAAAGCCAATTTAGAGGATGCGATTTGTCTCAGTGGTGCTAGACAAAGAAGATAGATCTGCACAAGCAGGTCTCACACGGGATAGGGATAGGGATAGTTGACTGCACGCCCTAAAATTGAATTACTGATTCCAGGTCCGAATGGCGTATGATTGGAGTCGCCATGATGGTGGAGCTCGACGGTAGTTCGAAGATTACAAGTCTCTCAATGTCAGACTCGAAGATATCTTGAGCAACGCGAATCTTCGTTTATCACCTACCAAAAATGGACACTGGCGTTGAACGAGATGATGATGGCATCACTTCACGTGCAAAATTTTACCCTTGACGGTCATGGCGACTTCGAGCGCGTTACAAGCGTCCCTTGAAGCACACAACGACACCTTCGAGTCTCTGCTGCGGCTTATTCCGGCGAAGTATTACATCCAGCAAGAGCTCTCCGAAGAACAGGTGCGTTGTTTCTACCAACACCACCCCACCTCCTCACCCGATATTTTCGCAGGCAGCCTCCAAATACCAAAAGCACAGCAAAAAGCAGAAGGCGCCTAAACAAGCCGTGAAGGAGGCGTCTAAAAAAGCGCGGCGCGAAAAGGTATATATATCTGCGTTCGTTTTGAAAATCGTTAATTCATCTCTTGTTAGCTTGACCCGGAAAACCACAAGACAGTTGTTGATTTACTCGACGCTTCTGAAACGGTGCACAGTAGCTCGAAGAAGGGCAAAGGGAAGCGGAAAGCAACAACACCATCCTCCGACGATGACTCCGACTCTCCAGCGCTCGCGATGGACGTTGACATTGACCTAGGCGACGAACAGTCTGATGATGATGAAATGGAGGAAGACATTGTGCCCATGCCTCAGTCAGGAGGTATTGGTGAGCTGCGCGATAAGCTCCACGCGAGAATGGCAGCACTTAGACGAGGCGGGGCTGGGCACGGAGACAGAGATGCATTATTAAATGAGCGGAGACTGCAACGTGCGGCAATGCGAGAACGGAGGCGGAAGGAAACTAAGGAGAAAATCCGCAGAGAAGAAGAAGCAAAGGGAAAAGGGAAAAAAGACAAGGAGAAGGAGAAAGCAGTTCAGAGAGACAAGGGGAACACAGCCAAGGTGTGTTATTTCTACTTATGCAGAATATCCATTTACGATCTTGCTCGAAAGACACAACTCTTGGTGCCGGATACTAACGGTCGCAATAAGCCGCCATCGTCTGCCCCAGGCGTTGCTACCGTCGCGTTTTCCTCTATAGCGGGCGCTAGCTCCTCAAAGCAATCACAGAAGCTGAAAACCAATTCAAACCCCACCCACGCCCTGGCCCAAATCGCGTCTCGCAAAGAGAAACTGTCCTCATTACCAGAAGACAAACGAAAAGCCATAGAGGATCGGGAAAAATGGGACAAGGCTGCTGCTCGATTAGAAGGTGTCAAAGTCAGGGACGACGAGGGACGATTAAAAAAGGCGGTCAAGCGGAAGGAGAAGGAAAAGGCAAAAAGCAAGACAGATTGGTATGCTTAGTAGTTTTTCTTACTATTCACATCTCATCTGTCGCACAGGGATCAACGCAAAAAGGATGTCGCTGCCTCCATGGCCGCAAAACAGAAAAAGCGGACGGACAATATCGCTATGCGCAACGAGAAACGCAAAGGTGGCCCGTCGAAGGGGAAGAGCGGGAAATCCCGACCCGGTTTCGAGGGCAAGGCATTTGGGAAGGGCAACAAAGGAAAGAAGCACAAGTAGTTTTCCTTCATTTGTGGGTATCGTCATGCTACATAGGACGGATTTTTCCGACATCAGTACACTTGGAGCGTCAATTTTCCTCTTATTCACCATTGCCGACAAACTCTTCGAACCAACGCAGAACTTCGTAGTGCCATTTTAGGCTGTTTCCGTGCTTTAAAACCCAATGGTTCTCATCCGGGAAGATGACGAGCCGTGTCGGTACTCCCAATCTGCGATTTGTCAGTTTCTGTGTAACAAAGGTGGTCCCATCAATCACTGTTGCAAAGCATGGAATGCTCCGATTGACTCCGTTTCTGCCAGTCGATAGTCCTTGCTTCCATGGATAAGTAGCTGAGGAGTCGACCACTTGTGGACGTAGTTTGACGGGGTCATCTGTTCGAGCAGCTTCTTGCTCTTCTCTTCCCATGGTCTTCCTCCCCATTCGTGGTTGAAGAAATACAGTTCTTCAGTCGAATATCTACGCTTGATCAGTTTTTCTATACCCATCGCGTTACCCGTGTCCTACCCGTTATAAACACTATCGAAGACACCATCATGGCAGACGAGGGCCTAGAGAAGTTCAAGCTTTGGCTGGCCGAGAATCCTGTGGCTCATTACCTTGAAGTTGAAGCCATACTCGGGATGGCCTTGAATCCAGCTGGGCCACCGTGAGATCAATGTTAAACGATGAATGACCTGCTTACTTGATCGCATAACCACCCCAGCTAGCTCCTGCTGCCACAAGGCGGTCGGTGTCGATCTAAAACACGTTGACAAACGTCCCCCCCCCGCTTCTGCCAGATATGTACGTACCTGAGGGTAGGCGTCCAAGATGTATTTCCAACCAGCTATCAGGTCAACGAATGGCTTTCCGCCCCAGTCTTCAGCGATTGCATCGGTGAGTTCTACCAAGTGTCAGGCCATGCGGCTGGGTCATTGAAGCCCGACTGCTCACCTTGACCGAATGTCGTACTGCCGGTAGGGTTGATCATGACGGTGAAGTATCCTTGCTGAGCGAAAACTGCATCTAATGAACATCGCACAAACAAAAGACATGGGGGACTAACTGTTCGGGTTCCAGCGGGTCGACCACTAGAGAAAACAAATGAACCCCGTCAGAAACTAAGAATATGTTGGACTATACCTGATCTTCCCATGCACCTTGTGGCCCACCGTGAATGAGAAGTAACGCGGGCCACTTCTTGTTATCATTCTTGCTGAAGCCCTTGGGCTTCAACACCCAGCCTTGGATGTCTTTATTCAGCGCTCCCTTGAACCAGAACTCTTCGCCCTCATCGAGGGACTTTCCGTCCAGATCATCCGCAGTAAAATGTGACACTTGCTCGACTAATCCCTTGAACTCGACTGCAGAATCGCTGGAAACTAGTTCACTCTCGAAGGAGTTGAGGTCTCTGATGACATAGACGTCGTTGGGGGTTGTGAGCGAATTTCGGGAGAACAGTAGGCGACCATTGGGCAGCGGTTGGACACCAGATACTGCGCCGTTCTTGACCAGGGCAACTGGGGTCTGGTACTTTTGGGCAAAAGTGGCCGAGGAGGACTCTGGGGTTGGTGGGATTGGCAAGGCAAAGAGCTTGACTCGTGCATTGTCTCCTGCAGTGAAGTAGAGAAGTTTGCCATCAAGCGAGAACTAGACAGAGATGAGAAGCAAAACAAGAGAGACAAGAGGATCAAATACAGAAATAGCTTCAGGAGAGCGGTCCCATTTTTCGATCAACGTAAAGCGCACGTTCTTTTTCAGGTCGTAGATGACGATATTTGCCCTGCAAGTCAGTCAGATGAAGTATATCTATCAATGGTGATTTGTGCACTTGTCTGCCTCATAGCCATCTTCGGCAAGCTCGAGCCAGGCTGCTTTGGAACCGTCCGAGTTCAAAACGGGACTGTGGGTCGCGCCTTGCTTTCCGGACGTCAACTCTTTCGGGTTGCCGGGGTCCGACGTGCTAACGAGATAGACCTGTCGGGTGCATAAGAGCCAGTAGCCGGAATCAGGGAAATGTGTCAACATTCTGCTTCGTGTGCCATCCTTGGGGCAAGATTGGATCCTTGGTCGTGTATAAGACGGACGTGCCCGCGACAGAGAAGTCGTCAGTTCCACCAAATGGCTCAACGGGCGAATGCTAAGTGGCATTAGATGGTTGCTAGCTATAAGACAGAATGCATACATGTCCAGTCCCCCTCAATAGGTTGTCAAACGTGGAGCCAAATGACCATTTCTTGTCCGCGCCGCGTTGGAGGGCAACGCTGAATAGTGAAGGTTTCTTCGGGCCTTGCCTAGACAAGTATTAATTTTCGCCTCTGATTGCGCGATTGCCAGACCATGTGTCCCAATGACGTTCATAAGTTTCGTCGTAGACCAGAGCAGTATCGCCGCGTTTCTCCCAAGCCTCGTCGTTCTCTTTGACCTGTCATGTAGTTAGCATTCATTCCAACTCCCTAGAATATCCAACCTTGTTGAGATCGCCGTCTGCATGAACATTGTCTGAAAATACCAGCACTCCACTCGATGCAGAGTACTGGAAGTTGGTGGCGGAGGTGGTGGGGAAGGAACCGATGAGGCTGGCAGCCTCAGATGTGAGTTCAGAAGTCTCGAATTTGAGGTTTAACGCGTAGAGATCCAGTTTTCCGTCAGCTTCCACGGCGTGTGCGAGAGTGCGGCTGTCGAGCCAGAATAACTCGCCACCATTAGGAAGCTACGAATATCAGCCACGATTTCGTGTTTGAGAGCAGAGAACACACAGGAATCTGGAGCGGTTTCGCTGTAGACTCGAGGGGGACGAGGTATACAGACTTGTTATTCCTGCACCAAGTTCAGAACGCGTCAGGAAGGGTGAGGAAATACTTGCTTTCTGTCCTTCAGTGAAAACTTGGCGTAAGTAGACAGTACGATATCTCCTCGCTCGTTGGCAACGCCAGCGCCAGGTCGTCCCATTTGAACGAGCACATCTGGCGAGAAGACATCCGCGCCAGTCTTGAACGCGAATTTGGCGGTCAGGTTTCTTGTGGGAGGGGTCATGGTTGCGAAGGGCGCCTGACTGGAAAGACCCAGCCAGCTTACGAGTGGAAATCGCATGCTCCGAGTGCAAGGCCAACGTGACACTGTGGTGCCTTCTTTTCTGTTGGGTAGACAACTTCCCAGCAGCAATCGTGCTCGGTTCATCCAAAAATAGTTGCAGTAAGAGTCCAACAAAATTGCATTGCCGATGTCTACTGTACATGCTAACGACCGGGATGGCTACGGTAGAGCTTGGAAAGCAAGAAAGATACAGCCTCGGAGAGAAGGATACAGGGCATACGAAAATTCGTTCAACAGATTTTGACTGATCTTATTATACAAGAGACTTCGGTGTCACTTTCCGTGACATCTTGAGTGATCAGCCAATGAGATCGCTTAAATCAAAAGACAATTTTGCTGTTCTTGAATTCCTCGCGCTGCTCCTCACAAGCTCTCAGTCTCCCATCAAGGGCCTTGAAAACTTCCCTATTGAGACAATCCACGACTACACAGACCACCAGACTCCTTGACCCGCAGACTTCTAAACAAACATGACAACCATGACAACCACTCCACTGTCAATATACACCGTAAAACGTAGAGCTTTGTGCTGCAACCATGTATTCAATTACTATGGAAGAATAGCAACACCTTTTCACCTCTGGAGTGTGATACTAGAGTCAAGCATCGACATTTGGGGTGCAGTCATGAAACAGGGCGTCAGTTTCTTACATATGCATGCTTCCTTCAGTATTCCAGCTATATATTCACTAAGTTCCATCTAGGCCACCTTCTCCAAGCTCTTATCTGTTGCACTGGAGTCCAAAAGGTATACCACAACAGTGCAACAATGCGAACTTGCTACTATACATGTCAATGCGTCGGCATTCTGCGGTATCTCAGTATCTGTGCCGCTCTGTGCCGCTCCAAAATCTGGCTAATTTGGCACATGTTGTGGAATGAATGCAAGAAGGGCCGGGAGCTTGCCTTCCTGCAGCAAGAAACACCAAGCTGACACCACAGGAGGTTCCGACAACTGCTTCAAAGAAGAACAGGTCTCCCTCTCCCACTCCTGACATCTGTGGTTCTGATGACAAGATATTGTGCAAGTTTGTTGACAACATTATTACTTCCCTTGGTTCCTATGTTGCACAAGCTGCTCATTCAATGGCCTTTCCTGCTGGCACTTCAGGCCAGTGGTGTGTGGCTATTCAATAATCTGTCTTATCACTCAATTGCAAAGCCTTAAGCACAATGATGATGCCTCACAGTTTCAAACACTGCCTCAACAGCTTGGACCTTGAGTTTGACAAATATGGGGGAAAGCACCGTAATCCTGGTGACGACGGCAACAACAACAGTTCTTCATCCGTTGGCCCTTCTTCCCTATCTCCATCCCAGAGCCTTACATAGACCAAGTATTACTTCAATCAAGTATATTGCAAGGTTTTTACAGAAAATGTAGTCACGGTTGAATAGAGCAACTAAAATCTTTGCAAACAACTCCCCGTGTTATGCCCCGTAGCGTAGCACGGCGGGTTTCTGCTAGTAGGCCTGAAGAAATGCAGTATTTATGAGCGAATCCTAGTCAAAGCAGCAACATCGACGTAAAAGCTAGTTTCTGAATCATTGGATTACTTGAAGAGTGTTCACAATTGTTTGAGGCCTGGAATCGTAATCGTAGTGGCTAGTGGTCGCAACATGAAGACACAGGAAACATGTTACGGGTCACGGCACTTAGGATGGCAAAATCTACAACACTTACCCTGCCTGCGTTGGCTGGTTGTCGCATTGCCCTTGCGCTCGCGACGGACCTCTACGACACCCTCAAGCACAACCACCAACTCGCTTCCCCATTAACCTCCTACCTCAACCGTGTGTCGCGTCATTCTGCTTGGCTCTGCACTGATACGGCAGCATAGTGCAAGAAGGAGTGTTCCTTTTCAAGAATGGAGTAAACCCTTACTCTGGCGGTGTGTTTAGACACGTACGCACGCCGCGATTCGTGTCCAAAATCATAATTCCTCACTGCTCGTAGTCCCCGATTCTCTTGTCGCTCTTCACGACTGTTATACCTACTTCAAGAAGGCTGGCTTCCATTCTCTGGACCCTCTCAGATATCGCAGGAGCGTGGGCACTTGTACAACTGTGGAGAGCACGTCAACGGGCTCCCCAAACCTCCAGGGACGGTCTGGTTGCTGCTGCGTGAGTAGTATTCAAGTCATGCTTGCTGCTACGCTAATCTGCTGTAGATATCTTCTTAATCCCTACCTCTTTCTCCCTACCCTCGCGCTTTCATCCTCCACGTTCGAGAATACCCTTACGCTGTTGTCCCTTATGTTTGCTGCTCAAGGTGCATCTTGCTTCATCTTACCGATGACACGCCATTGAATCCTCCCAAGGAAATGCGTCGCTTGCGCTTGTCTCCGCGGCCATTCTCTTGCACCTATCCTTGCCGTCGATATTATTGTCAGCGCCGTTAATACTACTGTTGTCAAGTTCCAATGGTCCACTATCGCAATTAGCGTCCCCGCGAGCTTTCACGCCCAACGACAAGAAGTGGATAGCTCTCCTTGGCGAATACGTTGCATATGCCGTCTTTCTATCTGTTATATCAACTCTTGTCTCTGGTGGCTTGTCTTGGATACCTCAAACCTGGGGTGCAAAGTAAGAGAACAAACTCAGCTCAAGAAAATAGCTTACGCGAGTTTTAGTATCACCCTCCCGGATCTGACCCCGAACGTTGGTGTTTGGTGGTACTTTTTCACTGAAATGTTCGACCACTTCCGACCGTTTTTCTTGATGGTATTTTCGGTATGCATTTTACTATATCGGAGAGTTGTTGTGACTATCATTCAGGTCCATCTTATCATCTATGTAGCCCCGCTCTGCATAAAGTTCCAGTACGTCAAATAACTCTCCTACCCTCATTCGCTATAATTCAACACCAGATATGACCCACTCTACGCCGCCTTCGTTCTTTTAGGCGTGCTGGGAACATTCAAGGCGTATCCGACCATGGCCGATATAGGGTTATTTGCCAGCATGTTCGCTGTGTTCCCCGAACTCTTTCCCTGTTGGCTGTCTTTCATTTTCTGTCGTCCAACTGATTTTCTTGTAGATCTCCGCCATCCCATCGTGACAATTCTTCTCCATTTACACGCCGCCCTGCTCATGCCACTCTTCCACCATCTGTGGCTCAGTCAAGGCACTGCTAACGCCAACTTTTTCTACGCCACCACCTTGGTGTTTGCCTGTGCCAACGGGGCGGCGCTAACGGACTGTATCTGGGCGGGATTGAGGATAGCAATTGGCGCACCAGAAGAAGGCTTTTCTGTCGTACAAGAATAGTAAACACAGCTCCTTCGCTCCTTATAAGCTAAACATCAAACTACAATGGTATCCACCAGCCGCTACCAGTCAGACAAGTTCCTGCCTACACGATGACGAATTCTGCTCTACCTCCAACCAGGTCTTCGGTTGAGACTGGATGATTCAGCGCTGGTTTTTCGACCATCTGTTGATCGAGTATTTCTTCTTGAACCATAGGACTCCTAGGTTATCTATTAATTAATTGAGGGGTCTGAGCATCTTCAAGCCCCCATTTTCGTCAAGCAAAGTTGGGACATCAACCAAAATAAATCTCGATGAAGAGAGAGGGTCGTGCGGACAGTACTACTGTACCAACAGTGTCACGCCACCAACGAGTTCAACTGAACAATCATGTCTCACCAGATACGTCTCACCTTTGAGGATGGACCGTCTTTCATAGCCAACAAATCGGCAATACCCCACCTCGGTCGTTTCGCAAGCCTGCCATCGCAGTCTCGAGAGATTTATATTCGCCACAACTCCCTTTACAAGAATAGGCTTGGAGACAAACGCCGTTGTCAAACTACCCTAGATAAAGTGCCACTTTGGGCTAAAGATGGCGATGAATTCGAGCCTCTTTACGCGAAAGCTAGAGGCGGCAAGCCGGACGGGCAGTTCTATCTTCGCTTATTTCCGAACATTGATAGAATTCAAACTGTGCGTTGTGGCCTTGCATGTCTCTTAGTCGCACTGTCTCACATCGTTCATAGAATAAGGCTGAGGAGGCTATGGATATGATCAAAAGGGTCATTCGTGACGCTGAATTCCATTCTGACCATCTGCACCATATGGGAGGGAAGATCGTACCTAAACACTACGGTCTGTGGTGGATGGACACAGGACACTGGGCAGGGAGAGTCCTGTTCAGTATCGTTCAATGGTGTGGCATTTCGTTTTCTGAAATTCTCCTCCGTGGGCACGCTACCACATTGAATCGGTAAGGTCTGTCGCGCGATCGAAGTTTCGTTCTAATATGTCCAGGATTGCTGTTGGTCGTATCTATGAACTCCTTCATGACCAAGGCATTATTCATAGCGGATGGATGCATCCATTTGATCAAGTCTTGTTCGATGGAACTTCGATTTCGGCTTTGCGTAGTGCTAGCGTTCGATGCTACATCGTCAACTTTTCTCAGGCAACAGCTGGTCATTCTTGTGGTCGACGGTTGCCCATCCTTCCACTGGGGCCATCATCGATTTCTCAGGAAGATATCGGGTGTGAGGAGATCGTGGGTATGCTATGCATGCTGGACTTTCAAGGCGGACGAAATGATTGCGGTCAGTCATCATATGGACTTTCTTCTGTGTTTTGAGAGGATTCTAGTGCCCGAAACAACGCCAGAATCGGCAGTTGAATGGCACAGGAAATATATGGAACAGCACCCTGACACCAACAATGCACTCGCCCTCATTGCACAACGGGAGAAGTTCTATCCAACTTGGCCAAAACTCTACTTTTCAGGCTACACTCTTCTGGATCCGGGCAGTGAATATCCACAAGTCTCATTCATCGAGGATGCACAACTTAAATCATGAGACTGCCTCCGAACGACAGGAGAGTGCAGCTGAGCCCATGAGCAGCGGCATGGAAGTGAAGAAGAATCGTCCCGAAAATGAGTTGGACGACGGAAGATGTTCGAGGGATTCAGGGAACACGACAAACGTGCTACCGAATAGCCCATGCTTGGCCATCGTTGGGTACGCCTTAAATGCGCCGACTTAGTACACCGAGAAGAACGAAGGAGGCGCACGAATCATGGCGAATGTAGGTAAGAGCGGTGTATTTGACGTACTGTAGAGTGAAATGCACACCAAAAGGAAGAGTAGTCAGAAGTGTGACATTCAATAACGACTGGCTCGAGCCTACTGCATACGCAACGCAACAACGAGAGCTATCGGCTTGCGGGGGCGCTAATTGTGGGTGTTTCGTTGGACTATACGTGATGGTTCAACCCCAAACATCAGTTTACGGATATCTCCAAAATTCGACAATAAAAACACAGGATTGGCGGCGTGTAGAACTCTTTATTCAAGCATCGTTTGCCTATTTACCAGAGTTGTTGAAGACTGCGTCGGGTTAACCACTCCGACTGAGCGCCAGCCTAACTGTGAGTATCCTCTAAGCTGTCAAAAAACTGCGTGTCTGGTCACCAACAACATCCCTGTCGTTGCGCGATCCAAACCTCATCAGCACATCGCTCCATTTGTCTAGGAGCTCAAAGTTCAACATCTATGATAACATTTTGGGAAACAGTTACCTCTGACACGTCAACCTTCAGGTGCCAGACTCGAGGCTGAGATAGCTTTCAATTTCTCTACTACATCTTGAACAATTTCTGTGAGCGATTCAGATACCAGTCGGTAGTTGGTCGCATCGAGCCCACGACGGTCATCGGGTGATGTTTCAGCGTTCCACGGGCCACGCTAAATGGCCGCGACACGGCCGCAGGGCCGCGATTGCACAGCCACACGGCCGCAGGTCGGCCGTACGGACGTGGCTGCCACAGCAGAGTATAGAGCTGAGTGTAGGTTGGTTCAAGGGGACATGTAGTGCTGAAATGAATCAATTACGACTCGTTTTGATGCAGAGAAATGACTTAAGTATTAACATGTCGCGGCGGTACGGCGGCCATGTCGCGGCCCTGCGGCCAACTTCATGTGGCTGTACCTCCATGGCCGCAGCCATCCAAGATTTTGTTGCGGCCCTGCAGCGGCCGGGTCGCGGCCATGCTGCGGCTGTGCTGCGGCCATGTCACAACATCAGTGAGAGGGCCGCTACATCAGTCACACAGCCGCGACCTGAGTCTTTCGTGCTCCTGCTTTGTCGAATATCAACCTTCACGCACCGCAACACTCTCTGGAAGTCCGACAAATTCAATTCATTAATGAATCTGAAAGTCTGGGCCACACTGGCATTTCAATGTAGCCACGTTATTAATGTGCTACCGCGCCCGGCGTGGCGATATCATGATCTCTTAATATTGCACCTCATACAAATCCTGCGCAAATTGCAACCTGCTCTGGTTGATGCCATACTTTGGCCTACTAAATAATTCTATATCCCTGTGGCCAACCTGAAGCACACTCCGAGTCAGGCTGGCACTGGCATGCACACAAACAATGAAACAAGAGGCACTGGGACATTGCCTGGCAGCCACACAGCTGAAGCAAGTATTCTCTTACCATTTGTCATTTGTGTGGCCACTGGCAAGCTTGCGGCCAACTGCAATGGAGCGTGACAGTCGTTGCGGCCATGTCGCGGCCATGGCGCGGCCCTGCGGCGGCTCTGCGGGCGGCTGTGTCGCGGCCATGTCGCGGCTGTCGCGGCCATTTCGTCTAGCCCAGCGTTCCACCGATGAACAGGCAATGGCATTGAGAAAATAGCGTCGATGAACTTGACGGCAAGATGATCTCCTGCTTTCTTGAAGTAAGTCTTGGTGTCCCCAAGCGTGCTAAAGTCATTGCGATCCCACAAATTGAGGCGCGATGCTATCAAATCAAAAGGCTGACTGTCACCATTGTCCCACCGATATTTTGCCAAGCACTCTTGCCATTCGGGTGGGCAGAGTGGATTGTGACGCTGGAATCCTTGTGTCAATGCTTTGAGAAGAACATAAGCAGCAGATTCGACATCATCATGAGGCAGAGGATTCAGTGTCTTTTTGAGAGCGAGTACCGCCATGGTGTCCAGAGTTCCTGTTACTTCTGTACCGGACTGAAGAGGCTCTGACTCGAATATGCGGCCAGTCTCCCAGTCAATCACTAATATTCGCTGCGCAACGGCAAGGAGGTTCCCAGAAGACACATCGCGGTGGATAATGTGCCGCTTGAATGTGTCGAGCAAGGCCAAGAAGATTTCTATAGCAATATCGATGAGTTCTGAGGTCTCCAGCTCTATGAGCTTGCGAGTATCACGAGGCGACTCAAAAGCCATCGCTTCCAGATGTCGGGGAATGAGAGGAGGGAGTGAAAGGGTGCCAGCGGCAGGACGTTCTCGGGAAGTCTTCAGCGACTGTGATCCATGATTGCATGTCGGATAGTGCGACCCAACCGCGGTAAACCAGGCTACCAATTTTGGGACATAATGGGGGCTGTTTGAATCAGAGCAGAGAGCATCCAAGACGATCTTTTCTCTCCATGCATGGTTATCCACAATGAAAGTTAACTTGATGACCCAAATCTTTGTAGGGTCACTGTGAACTCCTTCGAGGACCAACGTTGAACGTCCGAAAGGTCTTGTGCGTAGCTGTGAGAGCCGCCTGCCCGTAAGGTCAATCTCGGGAAATTCGGGGAGATGGATAACATGGGGCATAGCATCACCCAAGGAGAACTCGGGACGTGGTGTCGTGAAGGAGTAAGTAAACAGTGGGCTGAAACCGAGCTCGTATAGTGACGCCCGTTGAAACAGAGCAAGGAGAGCGGAGACAGTGGAAAGCTGTGACCCAAAACAGTCCTCGACAACAGTAAATTCGAGACGATCTTGATTTAGGATGGAGACAAATAATTTTGCCTTCCGGCCTCTCCCGTGGAATGACAAGGTCGGGATATAGAAGCGGGTACTTTGCATCGTCAGCAAGTCAGCGGCATTAGTGATAGCCTGTTGATATTTGCTGATCTGCTCTGAAGCCCCGATGAGAGGGTTTGTTGCGTAGGATGGGGCATCAATCCCTGTGTATTCGATGTTGACAAGCACATTGAAAATTGTTGTGGACTGGGCATGAAAAGGACGAAGTGCCGCATCATATTTACGCCTTTTGACATAGCCTTGTTGGTGTGGCATAAAGTCCCCTTGACTCGGTATGAACTCCATGACCTCTACCTGGGTTGCTGGAAGGGCAGTCTATACTTACGCGATGAGATGATCTGCAAACGTTATGATGGACATGCCTTGGCTAGAGCAGATAGCCAATAAGTGTTCTCGATATACAGCTTGGGATCTAGAAGAACCTTTGGTGAACCTCGATTGTTGGTGGATTCCGCCACAAACGCTGCCATCACCTTCTGCTTGAGCCCACGTTTTCCTGGTAGCACTTTTGAGGCCGTCTGCTTGAGATGGTTGAATCTATCGCAAAACGCTGTTCCACCAAGCTTCTCGAGGATTGCCGGTAGAGTGGAGAAGGTGACATGATTCTCGAAATGTTGACGACAGTATTGTTCGTCCAGTTTTCTTGCAGCATTCAGCTCGGCAGTGGTCACGCTGCCGTGCATGCCAGTCTTCGGGATAGTTGGTAAAGTTTGCGGAAGTATCTGTGTCGGGTCGAGCTCTAAAAGCTGGGACTGGTCCGTAAGGAGGGGTAACGAAGTTTGGGCTGGCAAGGGTCGAGTCTGAAACAGCCATTAATACCAGACATTTGACGCCGTCTGCGACGTTTACTCGCTGGGATGGTGTTCAAGAATCTCTGGCGTTCCTTCGCAGTTCGTTCTTCATAGTCTTTCAATTCGTTCATCGTAGCTGTCAAAGCCCTTACTAATTATGTAACGATCACGCACTTGTTCAGAAAATATGTTCTACAAAAATAGTATATCTCCAAAAATTCGACGATAAAAACACAGGGTATGCCATTCTCTTGTCCGTCGTAAGGTAGATATGCTTAGGGAAACGAACGTGGTGAGCGAGTAATCAATCATAATATAGCAAGAAATCTCCAGTCCATTATCTGTCTGTCCACACACACCAAAACAACTCACGATTCGCTTATGAATCGTGACTCCGCAGGCTCCACTGGTCGAGGGGGACACTCGGGGGTGTAACATAGTCAACCTTGCCAGACCACTGTGGGTTGAAAAGGACCTGCAGCGAATATGTGCCTGCTGGTAAGCTGATGATGAGCACTGTGACGCCGGGGTTCTCTTGGTCGGGAACAGGAGGTTTGACGTCAGAGTCCAGTCGTTTGGCATCACTTTTGGTGAAAGCAGCTCCTGAAGGCGCGTTGAGCATCTGTACTTTCATCGTCTTGTCGTCGATAGTGAGAGTGGCGGATGTTCCTCCATTATCGATGGCAACGGTCGCGTTGGTGTGCATCCTCCACTGGATGGTCTTGTCGGTCGTAACCTCATCTTGGAGTAACACCTGTTTACGTCCATTCAACAAACGCACTCCACGCTTCACACTCGACGCATCGAAGTAGGCCGAGGTCATATCACTGAGTCAATATAAGCCGGAATAAAGCACGGCTAGAAACTGAAATCTCACGTGGTAAAGAACGCGGTCGAGTCCTTCTCAACCTGGAAAACTGTTGTTGGTCCTTGGACTGTCTTGCTGCTATCAAATTTGATTGTTGGCTGGGCCAGTAGGTTCTGATTAGCTTGGTTGATCATGATGGTGTTTTGGCCCTCAGTCATCTTGCGGTAGTACTTCCAGCGGTCCGCGCCTTGTTTATCACCGTCGTTGAAGTAGTTTGGCGAATTGTAATCACCTGAGGGCAGGTAAAGAAAAGAACAATAATATAAATGCAAGTTACGCACCGGAACCAAGCTCTCCTGCCCATCGGGTGCCCATGGCGTCAAGAACGAAATCACCAGCATCGAGATCATTGTGGGTTTGATGATGAAGGTTCTGGCCAGATTTGATTGCGACGTAGAGTGCGTTAATGTCAGTCCAAGTGCTTCGCATGGAACCCCACTGGTCAACACCGTTGTCGAAGAAATGATCAAGGGGCTTTCCAGTCCAGTAGGCACCGGCAACAGTGGGATTGTACCAGAACATGCTCCACGGCTCGGCAGCATCCACTTGGTCACGCTGGAACAGCGAGTATTGGGGCTGGTTGTAGAACGTGGAGTAGAACATCATCGCGTTGGCTGTGGTCGAATATTTGTTGGGACCGTGGTCGCCGAAGTTGAACAGCGAGGTCGGTCCGAAGACATACATGTGGAAGTCTCCGGTCTTGGAGAAGTCCTTGTTCACGTCGAGGAGGCCGTAGTGCGAGCCAGTTGCGGAGAGAAGAGACGCAGACATCTCAGCGTGACCTGTGGTTCCGAAATACTAACAAATGCTCAAAAAACAGCTCGGATACAAGAACGTATCGCTTACCCAGTAGTTGGCTGTTTCCGCCCAAGTGCCATCGGTTGACACTGCTTGAGCACAGGCTTGTTTAGCGTTGTCAACGGTGGTTTGCAACAGTTGCCGTGCGACTCCAGTGGTATCATCTCCGAGAATGGCCAAGGATCCCAGAGTCAATCCGCTGTTGCTGTAGGCGAGTCAGTATATCGACCAACCGTAGTTGTAGATGTTGTCACCAAACACAATTCCTAGCGCGGAAAATCAGCAAATAATTTCAAGATTTGCGGGACAAACCAATTGCCGTTAATGGTATTGGATGGATCGGTGCTTCGCCACCAACCAGCGGGAGTCGTGACTTGTGTTACACCGGGTTGGAGGCCATACTTAATCAAAGCATCCCGGATCTAAGCAGAGGATTGTCAGTGAACGATACTTGTAACGTATGGAGGAAATCACCGTGGTCTTCTGGTCTGCGCTCCACATATCGTACAACCAATCGTATGCGATGCCAAATGCGGCGGATAACTCAGCAGTGTCGAGGAAGTGACCCGCGTTCCATCGATCATCATCGGGGCCGAATTTTGTTGCACCGTTGCCTGCAGCATTTTGTAACTCCTCCCAAGTACGGTCGACCCAGGCAGTGTCCTTGGTCATGCGATAGACATAGGCGAAGGCTTTGATTCTCTGTTTTATTTCGCGGGCGTTGTCGAGAATGCCAGAGTCACCGTCCTTGAAATAGACGACAGGAGGCGCAGCCCTATAGTCTGAGGCATTCTTGAGGATCATGTCGTTCCAAGCTTTCATGTAGGGGTCTTTGGCAATGAGGCCCGGTAACGCGTCCTAAGCCAAGTCAGAGAGGGGAACATGAGGCACAAGAGGGAGATACCCATTTATAGGCAGGAGCAATAAGACGGGGTCGGTCGGTCCTCACAGTGAGGACATCAGGGTTCGATGGCTTGAAAGGATCTTCAGGCCACGAGGCTTTGCTGTTGGCGGCAGAAAGGAATGTGGGGGAGCTGAACGCAGCTGCATTGGTGGCGGAGGGGTAAATGGGAACCATATATAGACTGTTTGTAGCAGTGGGGAAAATGCCAATAGCGTCCTTCGCGCTAGCTGCTGCACTGGGTGCAACACTGGCTGCAGGATCCAGACTACACAGAGGGTTAACTATGTAACCAACTACTACTCGTGGTCGTGGCTCACCTGCTGCCGCCAGTTGACGAGGTTGCTGCGTCTGACGACTTCTTGCTGCGCGTGGCGACAACGGCCCCAACGACGGCACCGGCAATGACGAGGAGGAGGACGGGGATACCAAACTACATAGAAGGTGGGTGAGTGCATCGCTTTGAAGAGAAAAAAAGCGACGGACCTTTATCCAGTTGCTGGTTCGTCGCTTCGAGCGTGTGGCAGGAGTGATATAGCCAGAGCCATTTCCTTGTCCATACATGTTATGAGACGAAGAATTGAGGTGGTCGTAGCTGCCCGACATGGCGGGCACAAGAAAGAGAAGAAACGGCTTGAGCTTCCCGGAGATCAGGAGACGTCACAACAGCCACTGCCAAGCAACCATTTTTGTCGGTCTAGGCATCTGACGACCACACGACTCTTGTCACTCAGCGTCGACAGCCACAGGTTGCAGGGAGACAGATTGAAGCCACTCTGCGTCCACTCCGGACCTAGGAAATTATATATTATGCAGTGAAATGAGTGTTCAACTACTACTACTATACGATCCATGCTCTAATGAGTCCTACCACAATGCACCCCCGCCGACCAGAATAGCAAAACAAAGAGAAAGGAAGGAGGGGAAGTAACCCAGTGAACCGACTACCCGGATAGCACCACTTCCTGTCGGGGTAGCAAATGCTGGAGTCAACCCTGTATCGCTAGCGGGGTAGACCGTGGTATAACCCCCAGCGGTATTGATCGGCGCAACGCCAGTCCCCGAACCTGTAGGATTCGGTAGCGCGCTTACTACCTTTTTCGCGGAATCGACATAAACTTGTCCAGCGGCGTTCAAGTTTCCATTTACATCCAAAAGATCTGAACCCAAATTTAGTTCTTCCGCGTGTGCGGATGAAAGAAGACTAACTGTAGTGTGAGCCGTCCTTGGGTCGCTAAGAGTACCATTAGTGGGCGGATAAGAGCAAGAACATGGCAACACTCACGAAATATCCGAACCAGGCATACCTCTCAACCCAGTCTAGCCCATCGAGCATCGTAATGGTTGAGTTGAGAGTGTTGAGAACGAGCGTATCATTATTGGCAGTTTCAGCATATTCCGTGACCCAAAGTGTGTGATTGGGATATTGGCCATGGAGCTGGTAAAGGTAATCCGTGAAGCCGCCCGTTCCTTCACCATACCTGGCTCACATAAGCAAAACACATCACAACCGAATAGAACACGCACCAATGGAAAGGAATGAAATCAATGGTGCATTTAGAGCATGCCTTCATAAACTCGTCTAGCCAGGGACGGCCAGACGCACCAGACGAGACCGCTGGTCCTCCGAGTCGGACACCATCCGCTTTTAACGGCTCGATATATTGCATCCATAATTGAGCAGCGAAGGTTGCGTTCATATTCGATTGCTCGGCGAAATCAGGCTCGTTAAACCCCTGCAAGAATTCAGTATTGGGTACCGAGCAGAGGCGATAGCCTACTAAGATTGTCTTCGCGCCAAGACCCTTGACGGTGACCGCGAGGTTTTCAATCCCTTCAGCGCCCCATTGCATCGGAATATATTCGATGCCTGAGTTGGCAAGATAGTCGGGTGGATTGAGCGCCCAGTTGTATACCCAGCTCACTACGCTGGCCGTATTATTTGCTTTGAGGATGTCTGCTTTCTATGACCTTATCAGTAAAATGCAGACAAAATGACTCTACAACGCACATTGTCAGCAGCATATGCCAACCCTCTCTTCGACGACTTAGTGGCAGCAGCAGCCACGTCCCGCAGCAAGAAAGCAAGGCAAGAAAGGAGGGACAAGGGGACGAGCATAGCGAAAGGATTGGGAGCGAAGAGGGAACCAGAACCGCATTTCGTCCTGCTTCTATTTGAACGGACGAAAGGCCGACCAGAATAGTTGACGGATGATATAGATGTCAGGTACACGTCTGCCTCGAAGAACATTCAGGTACTTGTTATCAGCGCAAGAACGGCCGGCATGACAAGACTGCGGTAGAATTGAAGGATGTTGTCGGTGATTCGACATGGCAATGGCGGCGCAAACGAACAACAGGCGATGGGTATGCTTGAGTGACGTGGTATATCAAGGAGCATAGACAGACGTCGATCTTGAGAGTACTTCAGCCAAGCTTTTAGCGATTGCAACGCGAGCCACAACTTGGAACACGACGACATGGACCAAGTTCAGAACGAAATACGAACACGTGATACGTTTTGGGCATCTTACAACTGTTTAACCTTTCACCAAAGAGTTATGGCAAAATCGCGGCCCATAGACTGAAAGCATTCTGGAACCACCCGAGACCTGGTGTTGTGAAATACAAGCATCATTGGTTTTATTGGACTGACCCGTTGCTTTGCTACATGGCCATTAACGGTGTCGTCCTCGCAGAATCAAGTCGATGGTGATGGTCGCGAGTGTTGCTGTCTTCGATTGCTCTAGACGGACAAGTACGAGTGGAAGATCGAGTTCAACGGATTGCTGACCACATGACCACTGATTTGCGCTCACTTATGGCTTTCATCAGGAAAATGTCGGGTTTCACTCTCGCCTCGATCCCCTGTGAAGCAGTTGCTGGACATGCTTGAGTCTGCCCATCTTTCGACTGCTGCTATCGCTTTCGCGACATTATACCTCATCTTCTACCGTCTCCAGTCAAGAAAAGTCCATTCCGATGAGCCTCCAATCATAGCCCCTGCAATTCCCTTCGTTGGGCACTTGCTGGGCATGCTTTTCCAGGGTGGCCGATACATCAAGGGCATTGGGTGCGCTTTCGCTGAGCCACATATCCTCAGTGTGCTAACCGAGGTCTAGCATCCGAAACCACGACAAACCCATCTTCACCTTACCAGTTCCTTTCTCCCGCATCTACATTGTTACGGACCCTTCCCTGGCCGCGGCTGTTCAGCGCGCTTCCAGAGTCATGTCTTTCACCGAACTCGTTCCGGATATTACGAAGCGTGTCCTGGGGCTGGATGACACGACGGTCGCCATCGTCCGTCAAAATCTTGACCCAGAACCAGGAGACCCAAGAGGCTTCCTAGCAGACACGCACGACATGATTTACACATATCTTGGTCCAGGAGAGGACCTCAACGAAATGAGCATCGGCGCTGCACGAGAATTGTCCAAGCAGGTCAACGAGTTCGCAGACCAACTTGGAGAAGACACGAAGCAGGTCGATTTGCTTATTTGGGTCCGCCACTTTGTGGCAATTGCAACTGCACAGTTCTTGTACGGCTCGCAAAACCCCCTTGCCCTCCGTTCAGAGCTTGAAGATGCCTTTTGGGACTTTGATCATGGGTTAGGATCGCTGCTTATGGGCGTCGCACCCTCTATCACTGCCCGCAAACCGTATCTTGGTCGAGAAGCCCTTGTACGGGCCTTCATAGAATATATCGACGCTGGTAACCACGAAAAGGACGCAGCCAAGATCATCGCCAACCGTGTCGCGATTACACGACAATACGGATGGACCACCGATGCTGCCGCCCGCTCAGAGGTTTCTTTCCTCTTTGCTGGAATCGTCAATACGGCCACTACCACTTTTTGGAGCGTCTTGCAATTATTTTCCCGTCCAGATTTGCTTGCTGCTGCACGGACGGAGCTAGTTGACTCCGGCGCTGTCGTAGAAGAAGATGGAAAACGGCGAATCAAAATGGACATCATCAAAAACAACTGCCCCATACTTCTCTCCGTATTCCGTGAATGCCTACGCGTTGGGTCGGATAACTACTCGACACGACTGGTAAAGGAAGACACCGTGCTTGCTGGCAAATACTTTTTGCGAGCTGGAAGCGTCGTGCAGATTGCTGGCGGTGTAATGCACGCAAACGCCAATATTTGGGGCTCCGATGCTGAAGCTTTTGACCATCGTCGTTTCCTCAAGGGTGCTCCAACCGTACATCCAGCTGCTTTCCGTGGGTTTGGAGGAGGCAAAACATTGTGCCCTGGTCGACACTTCGCGACAAACGAAATTCTTGCTTTTGTTGCCATGATTGTGTCGACGTTCGAACTGGGACCAGTTGGTGAAAAGACTATCCAGGTACCTGAAAAGGATGATGGCGTTTTACCTGTTCATATCCTCGAGCCAAAGCGGCCTGTAAATGTATCTGTACGCGCGAGAGATCACAAGAGGATCGAGATTGAGTAGCACACAGCTGTAAATTCATCATACGAGATTGTTGGTATGAAGCCCGGATCAGTGTATGACTGTTCGGATCAAAATAGCAACCCATCCCTCTTCCCTCCTTCACGCGTTCGCATGCCGCTCAATATTCCTGGCATATTAGTCCCGCTTCAGCTCATATTTAATCCGCGCATTGCTCTGCCCAACCTAACCGTCAAAGGTGCTACTTTTCCGGCTGAGCACTCGTCATTTACCCTCACCAGCAAGACATTCGCCACCTTGACTTCCCTGCCCTGAAAAAAGCCGGCTATCGTGGCGCTGTATTCGATAAAGACAACTGTCTGGTGTGCCGTCTATTTTGTCTCGTCAACAATGTCTTATGCTGTCCCAAGACCATTCCTCATCGTGACGAACTCGTTCCCGAACTTCAAGTAAGTTTACGACTCACATAATCTATTCACAACTCACAGTTTTCGTTAGGAGGCTTGGGAAGATTGCCGGAGAACCTTCGGCGACGCCAATGTCCTCATTGTAAGCAACTCCGCTGGGAGTAGGTCAGACGCAGGAGGTATCCAGGTACTTATAAGTCTCACCCGCCTTTGCCTTTCATAGATTTTGTAGGCAGAATCTGTTCAGCGCCATCTTCAAGCTCCCGTTCTTTTCCATCGTACCCCAAAGCCGGGGTACTCCTGCATCAAGGCTATCCAGCGATACTTCAGCTCCCTACACAGTCCCATACGGAGCGATGAGCTCATAATCGTCGGCGACCGCATCTTCACCGACGTCGTCATGGCCAATCGACTGCGGAGTCTAAATCGAGAAGCGGAAAGCCTTAAATCCGGGGAGATCAGCAAGACCAACAGTGGTGGCCCTCTAGCGATATGGACGACAGGAGTGTGGAAACGAGAAGCGACACTGATGCGTTGGTGTGAAGCAAAGCTAGTCGATTGGCTTTGTCGGAGTGCAACGAACGAGGCTGAAGAGAATACTGCTTATATCAAGCCTTGGCTACCACCACCAGTCCCGAAACCAAAATGGAAATTTTGGTAGACACCAAGTCGTATCCGCATACATGCTCTCGGGAATACACCAAAGCATTATTAGTGCAGTAGTTACATAGTACCCGCTGACCTCGACGGAAACACAACGGTTGCATCGAACAGCGTCACATTCTTCACAAAACAAGAGTGTGTGTACAAGTTGTCACTTATTCGTACTTGGTTCTCTCCTCGAACTTCTCCAGCAATACAAAATATACTACGTAGGTTATAGTTTGAAAATAATGTTTTCAACATACCATAAAGCTTCGCGCCTGGAGATTAGCTGCCACAGAAGGAGAGCTCACATCCGAAAAACCTACGATGTTGTGAGAGATTCAAGTCGCGCAGATGAGTGAAAAAGTTGAAGCATATTAAGTGGTCGTACATCAGCCATGATGAAGTGCGTTCAGAGTTCGGAAGTAAGGACGTGAAGAAAAACGTGTACAGTCGTGGAGGAAATCGATAGCAGTACGACATGATGCAGATGCGTGAGGGATGCGTAGGATAGTAGTAAAAGGGTACGTGGAGAGTCGTTTCGAGAGCGTGAAAGCAGTGGGTAAATATATAGCGTTTGAACAACAAGTAGGAGGAGAGAGATGAGAGGAAGCACGACACAGATGGAGGGGAGAGAGGAGAGAAGCAAACCAAAGGAGTGTATGATGCGCCGTGTGTGGTCGTCGTCCGGAGTGGATGTCCGGAGAATAAATCAGGTGATAATAGATGAAAGCAGAGATGGTTGGAAAATGCATGCAGTCTTTCACATAGCACGTGAGATTCTCCTCGACACTGTTTTGCCGGGGACGATGGCCTTGAACGCCTTGCGCATCAACGTCATTGTAGAGTTGCCTTCTCGTGGGGACACTGTTCCGGGGCCAGCATAGGTCATGAAACCAAGTTCGTCAACCGAGGCGCTGAGCCGGTTGTCTGCATCTTCACTAGACACTGGAGGGCGCATCGCCCGACGGGCCGAATGAAATGCTCTTTGGTTGCGTTGGGGTACTGCAGACGACGGGCCAACAGTATAAGCGACTGGACCAGCATTGTCTGACTGGTAGCCCTTGCCAACACGTTTGACGCCAGTAGTGGCCATGAGGAATCGGTCATAGACACCTTCCAGACGACGGAGACTTGGCGAGTCAGGGATCGGCGCAGGTTGACCGTTGGCTTTGCGTGCCGGATAAGGTTGGACATGATATGGGGATGAAGTGAGCTCGTCGAAGGATCGCGAGCGATCCACAGCAGTACTGGACCGTTCGTCGTCGTTGTCCTCGCCGAAGGCTTTAGTTGGGGAGGCAACCAAAAGACTACGGTCTAAGACATCTGCCAAACGAGGAGTCGCGAGTCGCGGTGAAGGCAGCAACTCGGTAGCTACACAAAAATGTTAGAAGACATCCAACCTATGTACATAAGAGCACTCACATTTAGCAAGTTCTTTTTCGAGAACTGCGATAGATGTGATCCGTCGTTCAAGCAAATCGCCATGAGACCGGCTCTTCTCCTTCCTTCTCGACGGCGAACCAGTTTCGATATTATCTGTTGTTGCTGGCGCTTCCATCTCTGCACTCATTGTTGCACGTCTTTGTGGTTTTCCTGGAAGTTGGGGTTCTTCCTCTTTCGCAACTGTGCTGTTTGCAGCAACGTCCATTGACGACATGTTGAAAGTCGAGTCGGGGGAGTCCGAGAAAATTTGACTTGCTGCGAGAATCCTTCGAGGTAGTCGAGACGATGACCGATATGAAGGTTGTCGCGCGACGTGCCCAGGTCGGGAAAGTGGAGCTGCAGGAAGCGAGGGCAGCGTTGCTGGCTCATTGGAAGATGAGGCGAAAGTCTGGCGAGCATCTTCAACGACCTCTGATGGTGGGAATGAGTCTAGGAACAGGAGCCAAGATTGAATAGTTAAGGCACTTACGCTCCACATTGCGCATCCATATAGCCATGCGATCTGCTTGGTTGTCGGCGGCAACTCGTTCGTTATGGACGGCATGCCGAACAACCGGTAACGACGATTTGGCTAGGCGATGGGTGAGTACACATATGAAGAAATATCCAGTTACACACCCTCGCGTTCGAGTAACTCATCTTCCCAAGATTCACGTCGCAAGCTCGGAGTCTGACTGGAGGAAATATCTTCCTGTAACTCCTGTGGCAAAGTGCGTGTCGACACATTCCGGCTGGTGGCCTGCCCCAGTGATGTCGTGTTTTTGTAGAATTGCAATGTTTTGTCTATTTCGACGACGTCAAGTCCAATTCGTCGGGTTACACGAACAAGGCACCAACCGAATGATAATTTAATGCTGTGTTTGAAACTTTGGATCGCAAAACTGTTGTTTCGCGACGATGCCACGTTCTCCGGAGATGACACTCTTGGTGCTGGAGCTAAATGACGGTTAGTTGGAGCCAAATATACATGGCATTACATAACATACCAGGAGTGGATGAAGGTGGTGTTGGTAGCATAACTGGTTGATCAGCATCCTTCTGATTTTCTTTGTCGCGTTGGCGTTCTCTTGCAACCAATGCCTTCTGTCTTCTCTCTGATTCCTCCCTTTCCTTTTCTCGTTGAGAATCACGATCCCTTTCAAGCTCATCAAGCCTTTCCATTTCTCGAAGTCGCTCCTTCTCTCGCTCCCATTCACGGACTCGGTCTCGCACTGAGTCACGTTTCCGGTTTGCAGTAAGTTCGGATAACGGTTTGACGCGAATGGTGTCCCGAGATGGCGCTCTTGTGTGTTGGGGGAGATTTTCTCGGGTTCGTCCACTCAACGCAGCGAGCGGTGGTCGTGTTGCGCTGGCAGGAGGTGAAGTTGGTGGTGATGCTTTGATGGGCGAAAGATCTGCGGTTGCAGGAACAGGGACGCGTTTCTGAGTTTTCACTGGAACTAGGTACATATCAAGAATATGTCAAGAATGGATTGAATAAAGAACACACCTCGCGAGCTTGTGACCTTCGGTTGGGACTTGGATTTAGTGAGGCTGCGCTCGAGTCCGGGAGGCGAGAAGCTGTTCTCTTTAGCTCTGGAAGACTGAGGAGAAACGAGCTTCGAGAGATCGTTTTCGAAAACAACTGACGACGTATAACTGGCAGAACGTCCTAAGTTATATGAGTACCGGTGCGCATAAAAACGAGAGAGATCAATCTTACTGTGCAATGTGTTACTGTTACTCTCCTTCATTGCACGCCAGTATGAATCGTTCATGGCGTCCGTGGCATTACACCGAAGGTCGGCATTGGGAGAGATCATCCTGCGTAAAAGTCTCTCCATGCCTTTGCTCATCTTCCAGGTACCGACCCAACGACCTCGAAGCTGTCAACGAGTGTTAGATGTAGACTAATAGCTTGACAAAATCGCGAACCGTACGAGCCCAGTACTTTTCGAGATCTTCTTTGGTTGAGAACTGCTCAGTATCCGAATGTTCGAAGGGAGTACGACCAATGAGTATTTCAAAGAAAGTTATACCCAACGACCAGACGTCGGATTTCCTGGTATCATGGGGCAACCCACGGGCGCGTTCAGGAGAAAGGTACTACATGAAATGAACGCGTTAAACTCATCACAGAAAACACAAAATAACATACCTCCGGCGTCCCATACGACAAATTACTATGGAAAGCTGTACTTGACTTCAGGTCGTACTTCTCTGCGAAGCCAAAGTCGACGAGAACGGGAATGTTCTTGTCAGAAAGCAGGATATTTGCAGGCCTAAAACACGCGTTTAGTTTCTTATTGTCAGCGGGGATCAAGAAAACTGACTTGATGTCGTTGTGGACAACTCCACGTTTATGGAGGAATTCGGTGCCGGAGAGCAGGAAGTGGAACCACTCGCGGGCTTTGGATTCGTCGACCTCCACGGGAATTAGGGTAGGAAGGTATGCCCTATTAGGATCGGTGAGTTGTTGTTTAGACGAGAACGTGACAGGCGTCAACAACTCAAGGAGTGGGATGGCGCGACACGCACATGGTTATCAACGCGTAGGAGGGCGTTATTATGAACGAATGGAAGGGAATGATGGAGGGATGGGGGTCGGTCTTGAATGCGCGGACAATCTTCATTTCGTTCCATCTAAACGCGTAGAAATAGTCAATAGAGTACCAAAGGGAAGGAAAAAATCTCTCACAAAGAACGGACGCGTGCAGCTGTGGTTGAAGTCTTGGATCGATGAACAAGCTTGACAGCTATCTTGGACTCCTGGAGTGTAACGACGCCGTCGTTATTGTTGAGAAGACCATCCTTGGGGCGGCAAAGCCAGACGCTGCCCCAGTTACCAAAGCCTATTTCCTCGATAAACTGTAGTTTCTCTGACAAAACTAAGTAGCGAGTGAGCCGGGTTAAAAGGACGCGAAAAAGATTCTCGAATACCTTGGTCAGAGAGAGAAAACACGTCCGTAGAGCCATCAGCGGAGGCCGGAGGTTGTGGATACTCCATAGTGGTACAAGGCAGGACCAGGTCTGCACCAGGTCCCGAGAAGAAGGGCGTGTGCAGAGGTCAACACGCGAACGCACGTGACTACGAATGGTGTACCTCTTTACGCGATTGTTGCAATCACGTCACCCTGATACACGCCAAATGTATGGATGCAGAAAAAAATATACAAAAAATGTAGATGCTACGAGGAAATTAATCAACCTCCTTCTTTTTTTGCTTTTTTTTTGGGCGGCTCGTCTCCCTCATCACCAGCACTGGTATCCTTCTTCTTAGGCTTGGGTTTTGGACGCTCATCAACATCCATCGCGTCATTATCTTTCGGCTTCTTTGGTTTGGGTTTTGGTCGAGGTTTCTCTGATGCGTCATCCACGTCCATCGCATTATCGTCTTTGGCCTTCGCTTTCTTTTTCTTAGGCGCTGTTTCTCCATTCCCATCTGCCGCGACCTTCTTCTTCTTCTTTTTGGGAGTCTCGCCATCGTCCTTGTGTTTCTTCTTCTTCTTGGCCGCAAACTCGCGATCTCCACTGGCATCAGAGGCGGTTGCTGCACCATCCGAGTCTGAGTCGCTTTCACTCGGTGATCCTGAATCGGAATCTGACGCTTGGAAGTCCTCTATAGCAACAATTTGTTAGCATGTGTCACGCGAGTTGGAAAAATGAACGAACCGTCCTCCGAACTATCTTCGTCGTCATTCTTTGAGCTTCGCACTCTTGGCCGCCGGTCGGAATCGGAGTCTACGCTTTGCACATCGTCATCGTCGTCGTCGTCAACCACGGCCATCAGTTCAGCATCAGGTATAATTTCCTTGACCCGGATTTTCTTGTCCTTCAAGTATTGTTCTGTTGGCTCCAGCTCTTCCTTGTTGATTGAGACAAAGCTATACTCGGGCCCGCTCTTGGTCACAATCTTCATGTCGAATGTGCGGACAGCGCTACCTTGACCAACGCGCGAGAAGGCAACCTGGTGAATGTCCGAGAGTTCGATGAGAACTGGTTGCTTTGAGACGAAGAAAACATATTTTTCAAGCATGAAAAGATCTCCGGGAACCGCCTTCAAGTTGACTTTGATGCAAGAATGGCCATCGCGACTGTGTGAATCGAGTAAGTTTTTAACCACTACGCACGGAATAAGACGCGAACCCTTGGAACTTGCCAGCACCGATGATCTTTTTCTTCGACAGAGCGCGGAAAACAGCAGAGACAACATTGAAAGTTTGTTTGTCGTCATAGCTCTTTTCGAGATTTTCGTACTTGGCTAATTCTTCACTGTGACAGAGCGTAAGTAACGGGCGGCTGAGAGTGAACACAACCAACTCAGTTAGATTAAGTTCAGCCGTCATCTCCTCTTCTTGTGTGAACTGCATCACTAGATAATGGTAACGTGTTTGGCCTTGTCGGATTGGATTGCTAAGACCCATCTGTGCAGTGGATTAAGAATAAGCTAGGAAATGAACGGACACGAACAATGAACAGAACATGTTGCTCGTCTTTGGGAAGGAGGAACAGCCGCGAGATGGTCGAATACACGATTTTGTAGTCGTATGTCTTTCCACGCAAGCGTAAAAAGTCTGGGAACATATCGACATCATATCGACCTCTTGGTGTCAAGACCAGGACTTCGTCAAACGATAGGATGAGGTCGCCAGTAACTTGATTGATGTTGGCGGTCTCCTTGATATTGTCGTGGAAGACTTGCGCCGCACTGACTTCGTCATCATCCTCCGCGTCAGATTTCTGCGATCCGGACGGTGAACCCCTCATCTTGGAAATGGTGCCAGGGACATGAAATCGTATCTCAGTCATCTCGTCACCAACTTGTTTGCCTTGTCTTGAAGGCGGGGAAAATTCAAGTGAAACTTCTGTCCGTCCAGCTATGTTTGAGTTGGCCACATTGCGAAGAGGCAACTCAAAGGCGGTTTTGCCGGACACGAGAAAAGCTAGATCCTGGCCTAGGACGCGATTAGGCGCGTCAATGTCAAACAAACGAGCTACCTTTGAAGTCCGTTTCCCCCCAGTTCCAACCCTTGAACGTCATATCGAGCTCCTCAAGCGTGATGTTGAAATGAGTTTTGAGCAAATCAGTGATTTTTTTGAGATCCTGGAAATGAGGCTGAGGGCATATGCGGTACGGGACTCCGGGCCTACCTCTCGCCTGAAGCCATCGAAAGTCTCGCGTTTGCGATCCTTCATACCGACGCGCAACTGAAAGCCGCGGGCGACGCGTAGCCACTGGACGGACTTGATGTCAGGTGCGGCGATAGCAGTGACTTCGCTATTATCCGCCTTCCAAGCCATTCCGCTAGCAGCGACACGCAGTTCTACCGTTCTTAGTTTTGTTGGTGGTAAAAGACGGAAAACGCACTGCCAGCCTCTGGAGCAAGACCATGGAATATGGGATCAAATTGGGTGGCCATGGCCAAAGTTACCCTCCTCTACAGGCGAGATGGTGGCAAGAGGCAAGGTGGAAGAGTCAAGACACGACCGAACGCGTGCCGCCTTGTCAGCCGAGCTGCACAGCCACACAATCCCGTTCTTCACCTTGCCTTCATTATTGCGATCTTACTACGCCCACGTTCCCGTTACTTCCATCATCAAACCACACAAATCTCAGTATCGCATGGTGGAGTCCCTCGAGGATAAATCCAGGAGTGTACAAGAGCGTACTTTCTGCAAATGGTACCGAAACAATCTGTCGAGTTCGGACACCTTTCGCTTACCGCATCGAAGGCTCAACACAAAGCTTGAAATGGCCGGCTACCCACCAATGACATCCCTGGTCAGAGATCTGTCGGACGGCGTACGCCTGATTCAGCTCATGGTGTGCCAGTTGCTCCGATTATGCAGTGCACTCACTTATTGCTTGGCAGGAAATCATGGGTATGGTTCTAGCTAACCAAAGAATATTATATTCACCTCCCTCAAGGCGATGTCAACCTCGGGAGATACAATAAGTCACCACGCATGCGCGTTCAAAAGGCAGAGAATGTTAGCAAAGCTCTGGACTTTATTACATCCAGAGGTGTGAAACTCATGAACATCGGACCTGAAGGTCGTTCCTTCCACCCGCGAAAACAACTCATTCATTCCTTTCAAGACATTGTGGATGGAAACATCAAGCTCATCCTAGGCATGATTTGGACACTCATCCTACGTTTTACGATTGCGGACATTAGGTTTGTCACCCACACGCACAGCTCGATACATTTGCTCATTGAAGATCCCGAAAGTGAAGAAGGTCTCTCCGCCAAAGACGGTCTCTTACTGTGGTGTCAACGCAAGACAGAACCGTATAAAGAAGTCGATGTCCAAGATTTTTCCCTCAGCTGGTCGGATGGGCTTGCATTGTGCGTCATCCTCTCTTTTCCTTCTCCAAAAATTCAGCTTCACGTGGATCAGATGTGCTCTCATTCATTGCCATCGACCTGATCTATTGGACTACGATAGACTTGACAAGGTAAACCTCTCTCCATCAAGCTTGCATTTTCCACCCAATCACTTGCGTATAGTCAGATCGACATGGGAATACTAGGCTAGCATTCACAGTTGCCGCTCAACATTTAGGCATACCGGTACGATGCCACTTTGTGTTTCTCTGTTTTCCGGGCTAAATTTTCTCCGTCTCTAGCAACTTCTAGAAGTCGAGGACCTTTGCGATGCTTCGCGGCCAGATGAGAAGAGTGTAATGACCTATATCGCCAGCTTCTTCCACGCTTTCTCTTCAATGGGTGCGTTTCCGGTCAACTGGGCGTTCTGTTCGTCATAACATTCCAATAGACCAGGCCGAAACTGTCTCACGACGCGTAGAAAAATTTGCAGAGCTCATGCAATCAGTTTGGGTCTCGCGCAATGACTACGAGAGGCGTGTCCGTCTTGTAGGCAACGTTGAATGCTTTCGAAAAAGTAGCTAACCTTGTTAACAGTTGCTGGTAGCTCTATCAGAGATACAGACGAACTGGGCTGCGAGCGCATTTACTGGCACTTACCCTGATGCAAAACATCATTCAAATGATTTCAACGCGTATAAGCAGACCACGAAGCGGACGTGGGTCGTTGAGAAGCAGGATGTCGCGACACTCTTCGGGAATGTTCAAACCAAGTTACGAACGTATGGCTTGAGGGAGTATGTTCCACCCCCGGAATTGACATTAGCTGAGGTGGATGCTGCATGGACCTCCTTGCTTGCCTCAGAAGCGAGAAGATCGCGGGCGATAAATGCACAAATTAGGCAGTATGCAATTCCTTTCATCCAGTCGTCTTGCTTATCACAGTAGAATCAAGGAGCGATTGCGCAAGTCATTTGCGGACCTTGCCAACGATTTTGAGCATCGGTTGAGGACCATCTCTTCTGCTCTGGCTGCGCTGGAGGGGCCATTAGAAGTACAACAACAACGCGTTGAAGAGATCAAAACGCGACTACCGGCTGTCTCCGAAGATCTTGCCAAGGTTGCGGCTGCAGAAGCAGAATGCAACGCCGCTAATGTGGAAGAAAATGACTACACAGTTTTCACTTGTCAGGATCTCGAGTTCGAGCTCGAATTGGTGGAGCAGAGTATTGCGAAAAAGATGGCCTTCATAGACAACCAGGTTTGAATGTCAACTGTTCGGTGGCCAAGGCTGACAATATACGAAAGATCGTTTCAAGGAACTTGACCAATCTAACGCCAGCACAACTGGAACAATTTGAGAGCACATTTAGATACTTCGACAAAGACGAAACGAACACACTCAGCCAAAGTGAAATGGCCGCAGCGCTTGCTAGTCTTGGGATCGTCTACTCTGTGGGTCCCTAATTCGCTTTTCAAGTCTTTGTTTCAACCTCTTCAAGGACGAAGATTTGGACTTCATTTTCGATCAACTTACAAGCGACTATGGTGCCATAAACTTTGAGGCATTTATTAACCTTTTGGTGACCAACCAACAACACATCTGCGCACACAGTTATATTGACCCCTTGACAGGTGGATATTACGGAGGATCAGACATCTCCCGAACAACTACGGGAGGCTTTCCGTGGTATTGCGGCAGACAAGGTGACACTGAGCGCGGTATTTTCATGACTCCCAATCACTGACTGCGGCCCCCCCCAGCCATATGTTACGGAGCTGGACCTCCGACTACACCATCTACCTGCTGCGTCTATCGAATACTTGAGCGAGGTGATGCCGCGGGCGCAGAAGGATAGCACTGCAGGAGACGCAGAGTACTACGACTATGAGCTATGGCTTGATAATGTGTTTGCATAGAAACTCTATATATAAGGCCCATCGATCTATCTCAGGTCTCGAATCAGGTACAGCCACACACCCTACCTTCCCCCCACCAACTACCGACCATGGTGGGTTCAGTGACCGTCGATTTTCAAGGGGAGCTCATATACTGACTATAGGCCTCCGGCGTTACCGTCAACCCTGACTGTCTGGATCAGTTCTCTGTGTTGAAGCTCAAGAAAACGTTCAAATACATCATCTTCGCGCTCAACAAGGAGAACACAGAAATCGTGGTCGAGAAGACGTCCGCCTCCCAGGACTACGAAGAATTCATTAAAGACCTGCCCGAGACCGAGTGCAGATGGGCGATATACGACCTGGAGTTTGAGAAGGAGGGTGGTGGAAAGCGAAACAAGATCGTATTCTACTCCTGGTGAGCACTCGTGCTAACCTTCATCAACTTGATGTTGAAGCAATATTCAAGGTCGCCCGACGATGCCAAGGTTAGAGCGAAGATGGTGGCAGCTTCGTCGAAAGATGCCTTGCGTCGCTCATTGGTGGGGATCGCGGTTGAAGTTCAGGGCACAGACTTCAGCGAGATTGCCTACGAAGTCGGTACGTCCATCCTTGACTCGCCGATTCGTGCGTTCATAGGCAAACAGTCCTTGACAAAGCCAACAAAGGCGCATGAAACCAGTCTCACCCTACTTGTCCCGTCATGTTAATCTACTTCCGCCTACCCAAACAACCCTGAATGTAGAGCTTGCCTTTCAAGAATGGAGAATGGATGTTTTGTGTTGCGATGCGATTTCGACTAGGTATAAAACAACAGTTCTGTTTACACTATGCCCAGTTATATGGTCCATCTTCGCTCATGCCTCAAAGACAAGGCTCAATCCGACCTGCAAAATCATCAGCAATCATCTTTTCGAGGACCAGCGCCATTACCTTGTGGGCAGCGCCAGAAGGATCAACCTCGTTCAGTTTTTGTGTGTCAACGGCCACACCAAAAGAGGCCTTGATACCAGGACGGAGGGATTGTGTGTAGCCTGAAAACATAAGCCACGGCTACGAATAAAGAGAGGATAACCCACCCAGGCCTAGGACCCCAGAGTTGTTGATCTTGGCCTTGACAAACGCCGCCGAGTCAAGGTAGCTGAAGTACACATTGAAGGGATTCCTTGTTGACTAAGGAAATACTCACGTCTTCGTGCCAACTTCAATGGAAACCGCGCCATTGAATTTGGGGTCATAGATGGCTTTGGCACCAGCCTCGACATCCTTGCTGACACGGTGGTAATAGCTGGCGGAAAATGCCTTGAGGTCATTCAGCGCGTGTAGCGTGACAGCGTATTCGGGAGCGCTGAAGCCGGCAGCAAGTTGGTAGCGGCTGATGCGACCCTCAGTGACATTATACGCGGCCTCGGCACCAACGAGGAAACCGTCTCGTCCGAAAACGGTATCGGCAGTGAAAGTGGGACCCTGTATCCGCTGTGAGCGGGAGCAAGAGAAATAGGAACGGGGAGAAAAAAAACCTTCAGCACATCGAGGGCAGCGCGCGAGTGGATTCCAGACTGCTTGTAGGCACCGTTGATGACAAGAGTCTTCGCGTTGCCCTTGGCCGGCGAAAGAGTCGTGAGGAGATCGACCTTTAGGCCGTTGGCAATCTGATTCTCGACCTCAGCCTGAGCCTTGAGCACATTCGCGGTTGTCCAGGTACCAGTGAACGTCAGCCCTTGCTTCTTGTTCACAAATTTGGCCTCAACGTCGCCGGTGACGACGGACGAGTTGGAGGGCTGGCTGCCGGCCACCTTGAAGGTCACACCCGTGGGTGTCTTGGTCTTGACTTCAAGAGAGTTGCCCAAGATCTGGTAGTCTTTCTGCAGCAAGTCCGTCGAAGACTTGCCCAGGTCCTTAAAAAAAAGTGAGGATGAAAAGGCGTGACAAGGTCAGCAACACACCTTCCAGGACGGAGGAACGGGTTGCGGAAGGGAAGTCATGGCAGGTGGTGGTAAAGAAGAAAGAAATGGTTGGCGTGCTGGCGCGACCAAAATTTCACGATATTCACACGGATCAAAACTGACGAAAACCTTCCGTCTCTCGCCGCACAGACGCATCGACAGTCAACTTACCTGCCGATACGAGCTCAGCAATTAAATTCAAAAGCCTCGAGAATTGAATTGTCTAATTGAGCGATTCAGCTCTCCTCATCGCTCGCGGACTAGGAAACGCCAGGAAATGTGGTGTAATGTCGTCGCAATAATGACGAACGTTGCTATGAGTATAACTTGAACGTGCCCTCTGTTGAATATCGCTGTCCCAGTCGCTCAACCAGAGGTGAATCGCTACCCAAGCAACACTCTACCTTGGAACCACCTCCCACCTAGACTTTGATAGGCTTCAGCGAAACCGCATACTATGGATGCAACTATTTTCAGACTCGGAATCTAAAGCAAATCTGGACAACCCGTAGGCCCATACCTTGCTAGCGTAAAATATCTTCAACCACGAAGCGTATCACCGTGCTCTGGTCGCAATTTGAATCAACGGTGACTATCAACCCGGCGGGCGAGGGATTTCTGGGTTAGAAACTGACCTTCAGGGTTTAGAAACTAGCTTATACACCAACGCTTCACTTTGCGTTGGACCATATCGTGCCAGTGAGCATCTCAATAGTTTTAAATTTGCCCACTGTTCCTTTTGCTCCTGCCAGAATTCTGACCCTGATTGCTGAAAATTGCTTCAGGCCTTCTCCCACCAGAGACTTGCGATACTGTAGCAAGGGCACATCTATGAACAGCAACTTGAACTTGCCCCTTGCTCGCGTCCGCAAAACACGAGCAATCGTGACGACTAACGTGACATACTAGTATCCATTTCACTTCCAACATAGCATCCAACGGTCATCTTTCACGCGATTTGTTACCGTGACGCCCGCAGTAATGGCAGACAGAGTCCGAGTCAACGTTCAGGGAATCCCCCAACCAGCGCTATTCACAGCTTACCGCTATGGCCTCCGTGATACACCATTTGCGCTTCTAACGCCAGACCAGCAAACCCTTCATCTTGCAGAGAACTGGTTTTTCGCCAGCCTCCCAGGCAGCGGTGAGCGGAAGCACGGTTTTCTTGAGGACGCAAGCGGCTGGGGTGTGGAGGACATGTCTCAGATCTACTACGCAAAGGCAAGGGCACTCGATGGCACATACTTCTGCCTCCGATTCATCTTCAACTTCCAACAATCAGTTGAAAATAGAAGGTCTCACAACACTAGGCTATACAAGCGCCTCCTGCACGATGCGCAATTCTCCGTTGGTCATCTTTTGCCAACTCAGGGTCTCTTCACGCCCACCCATTATGGTACATGGATGATGGACACGGGGAATGGGCGGGGATGGTGTTCTTCACTCTGACTCGGTGGTGCGGGGTGCCTTGGACAAATTTGATACAAAAAAAATATAACACGCAAGAAAACAAGTACGAACTTCCGCCGCCTTGTCTTCCTCTTGACCTTTGGCTTATTAGATTCCTGGTTGGTCGTACTTTGGAAGCGTTGCATGACATGGGAGTAGAGTTTACTACTGGGGTCATCACTGGATCGACTCTTCGTCATGTCCTTCTAGACCTGCAAGACCCGGCATTGACCAGTGAGACTCGGCGCACTGGCCACGCTCGTTGCTACATCGTCGGTTTTGGGGACGCAACAATGCACCACTGCAAGCGAATGATTCCAGTTGTCCCTCATCTGCCGCTATTATCCATATCAGAATTCGGCTGCGAAGAGCTTCGAAATTTCTGCTGTTATCTCTATCGCGAGAATCCGCCCACAGACACAAGTACGTTATATTCAACACACAACCCGGTACTCTTATCCAATTTCCAGACGCCTACAAGTTAGTGGAATGGCACCTAGCTTACGCGGAGAAATACGGGCATTATCACAACTCGATGGTCCTGATGGTGCAACGCAAGCTGTTATTCCCTGACCAGCTACCTATCTATCCTGGTATATCAATCGCATTCGAAGACGGAGACGAGACCTACCCCGCTGTCAAAGTATCAGACAGCACTGGGGCTACTCTCGACGTCACCCAGCCGTTGTCACTGGAGGCCGAGTTCTTGCAACGTATCCTCTTCCGATCCCCCTCCGTTCCATAGGATTCCAAAAAGATATTCGTGATACTGCGTGCTGAAGCCTATACAACTCTAGTCACTTAACATCACCTACCCATGCTTTCTTCTGGCTTGCCAGTCTCTTGTCTGCGCAACAATTTGTGAAAAAAAATGCATCGTTGATGCGAAGACAATCGTAGTCCAGCAGCGACGATTATACAACATAAGGCGCGTTCAACAACCTCTCGTTCGGAGAAATGAATGTCGTTGAAATAACTCGATTCGCTGGATGTCCTAATGTACAACTGGACAAAGAAAGCATAATGAATTATCACACCCCCAGTACTTAATAGCCTTAAATTCTATAGGAGAATTCATGTCTGAATCAATGACTCGCACTACGATGAGCTATGCGAACACACCGTGTCTATTGTCAAGACCACGATTTCTTGCGATGGAGAGCATGAAGACAATCGATATTGTTGTTACAGGTAGTTCCGGTAACGGTTCAACCGACCTCAACACGGGTGGGCAGGGGGGTTATCAGGCTTTAAACAAGACTCAAACCATGACCAAATGTTCATGAAGTAGGGGACAAGGCATGATGACGCAGCTGAAACGAAGTTAGCCAAGTATTCCACCGAGCTTGGTGGATCTTGACCAATCGTATTGATATTCAACTGGCAATGGAATCTCTCCAATTAGTATGGCCACAGCTTTAGGTCGAGGGGAGCACCGCAAGACAAGATGGTGGTCGCTGGAAAGAGAGCGCATTCGGATAGACCAGAGACAAGTGGGGAGCAAGGACAATAATAATAGGGCCCGGTCCTTTATTTATTGTATAGCCAATGACAAGTTGATGAGAGTGCAACGGCGGTCGTATCAGGTGGCCAATCTATTTCTTGCTCTTGTACTCTTCGTTCGCTTGCGAGGTCGTTGTCCGTGGTCGGCATTTTTGCGGATTTTGCGTTGCCCAGTGACGTCGACGCACAAGAAGTTTATGCCAATTTGGTCATCGCATTTCTGGACCCGGTGTCCGCTCTTCCTCCAACCACCACCAAAATTATGAACCCACGACGACCCCAACAGCTACAACGCGGTCCTCCGCCAGTGAGTGGTCAAAGTCTTGTCATGCGGTTTTGATCTGGAACTGTTTTTTGGCGAAGAATAACGTGAATGGTTACGCACAAAACGTCGCTTATCCCACCCCCCCTCAAATACAACCACCACCCCCCATCCGCTTCGCTCCCCCCGAGCCAGCGTCCAGCCATGTCTGGTGCCCCACCAGCTCAGCAAGGCAGAGCACCCCCGCCCGCCGTCTTACCCTCGAGGCCAAGTGACGGGCAAAGACGGCCGCAGCAGGCGGACTATTACCCTCAACAACCGCAACCCCAGCAACCCCTTCTCCAACGACAACCCTCCTCACCACAGCCAGACTCGAGGCTACAGCGTCAGCCATCTAGACCAAACCAATACCCTCCCCAGCAGCCAGACCTCCCAGCACCCGCTTTCATGCAAGCTGCCCCATTATTACCCCCATCCGCCTCTTTATCCACCTCGGACTCGTCAGCAACGTTATCCAGCATGCCCTCCTCATTTCGCTCATACAACTCGGAAAGCATGCTCATAAGAGGAAAAGCGGATGACGACCTCGAAAACACTGATGCGTTTTGGCGCCGCTTCAATACCAGTGCAGTCAATGCGCAGCAGCCAGACGCGGAGAAAAGGTGCTCATCCTTTGTTTCAATAAGCTCTTTTTCTGACTATGATGTTAGCTCTTGGCTGGGGAAAAACGAGGGTAAGACCTCGCGCTATTATCGTGTGATGTGGCTAGTCGGCTTCGTCTTCGTAATCGTACGTCCGACTTGCTTATGCTCTGATATATGTTAACTTGTCTGGTATTAGCTTGCTGCTGGTGGTATTGGCATTGGTGTCTTCCTTTCATTCCGTAGCGGCAATTCCAACACACGACCTGGTGCGTTGGGTGGCTCTGCGGACAACACGTCGGCCGGTGGGATAGCTGCTACCCTTGGTGGTGGACAAGCCCCAGCTCAAAGTGTCGCTCCAGCCGCCACCCAGACCGGTCTACACGTCAGCCCGACAAACACGGTCGACTAATAGTACTGGCTCTCAGCCATACCCTTCCTAATACGGGCATCTCATTGTTTGCTGCTTGCCTTGCGCATCGCACGCATTCGGTCACTCCTTTGCACTTTCTCGTCTCTCATTATCCTCACGCATTTTTGGTACATAAACAGACACTCTTCGCGATAACTTATCCCCTCATCCAATAGCTCTAGCTGCCTTTAGCTCTCTCGTCGAGTCCTCCATGTCAATGTAGCATTAGATTCTTCAATCCCGATACAGAATTCATGCACATAGGGCACATCGGCTTTGAGTGTTTGCTTGGGCTCCACTTGCACGCGAAACTTGTCGGACATGTCTCGTCAAGTGATTCCACAGATGCAATGTTTCATGGCGAACAACCACCGACGCTCTTTCAACTACTTTCCGGAGATCAACACTATGGCGAAGGATTGGAAATAAGTACTTCGGAGCGCCGACATTGGAAGAAAATTGAGAAGAATTACTTACTTTTTTAGGATTATTTCAATTGGCGGCTTGATATTTGGTTGTTGGGTAGAGGTTCTTCTGTAGCAGGCCACCCACATCCATGTATCAGGTTCGGTAGCACCATATTACAAACAAACAAACACTCAGTACGTACCTGGCCTTGGCTGCCCTTGGCCTTGACTGATTGCTTGGATAGGCTTGACCGCGCGGCGTCGCATGCATTCACCTTGGCTTTTCTTGTCCTCGATAGCCATGCTGGCGGCGAACCAAGCTGTGCTCTTCGATACATTGACACTCATCCAAAAAATCCAACGCCGTCGTTGACATCGCGTTCCTCCTGGTCCCTTGAGGTCAAGGTCGAACATATGGCACTCGATAAGCAACAAAGACGGAAGAACTCAATTTGCCCGAAATAGAACAAGGACAGCGAGACCTTGTGTGATAGTATATTCAATGTCATTGCCAGCGAAGAGTCCCACTCTTAGACTGAAGGGACAATATCTATTCTCATTCCTTCAATTTCCGGTAGGAATCCTAGTTCTAGCAGCAGCAGTAGCAAAGGCTTCCATTCAAACCAATGATCGCGTCATTGAAGACTACTTATCGAAGGTGAGATGGCGAGACCAACCACGATGGTACGCGGTTGGGTATATTGTTTAAACATCGACTCTCGCCGCGGGGGAACTTTCCGGGAACACCGGTGGCGGAATGGGTTCTCTAAGAAGAGACTGAGGTCGGGAAGGTGGAGGTTCAAGTTAATTTCGGGATACTGCTGGAGCGGGATCCCGCGGCTGGTAACTGAGAAGCAGTGGATTTTATCATCAGAGGACCACAGCGACGGCTTGGATCCCCCGCACATCGCGAGAAGACGATATCCTGGCCATTGGTGGCCGCATCGCGGCGGATTACTAGCTGTTGGCGTTTCGCGAGTAAGGCAATTCGATCCTAAGGCGCACAATGACATCCAGGATCCTCTCGGGATAGCAGAGAATATTTACTAATTTGGGCGAATAATACGCTATGTAGTTGCCCGGACTTCTCAAATAGAGCCAGTGGAAGTTCGAGGTTTCTGTCAGTATGTCTTGTGCGTGGGTTCTTGAAGTACCTCCGCTGCAGCAGGACATTCAGATTCCGATCCATCAATGAGGACCCACAAACGGACAGCCATTTTAAATTCTCAGAACAGATGCTGTGAATCATCGCTCTTTCCAGTGGTACCTAATAAATTGAGACTATAAACAAGAAGCCAAGGGGGGATTACGAAGAAGAGAAGAACGTATGTACAACGAAAATGCAAACGATAGTACCATTACTGGTTGACGGAGCAAGGAAGGTGTGTGGGTAGCGGCAGATTAGAGTGTGTGGGTGCGGTATGCATGTGGAATGTACATCGCGCGAAGGGGGCGGGTATCGTCGGGAAAGAGCGGACGGGACGTGGCCCCAGGAAAGAATATACAGCAGTGTTTGGTTGGTTGTGTTGGTCAGTCTATGCGATAATAAATACCTCTTATAGTGCGCCTTCTGGCTCGAGTCTTGCCATGCGCTTGTTTCGACGGGCATGGCTCGTGATCTGGGGCACTGGGGCCCGTCTCGCCACAGTGTTCGTTGGTTTGACATGCAGAACACTTGTCGCCCCTCCCAATGCGCCTTTGATCGACGTGGGGCCGGAGCCACCCTTCGTGGACGAGAGAGCACGGGTGCCCTCATTGGCACTTCCACCGATGGCGTCTGGTCGATAGTGCGGTTTGGCTTGCTCTGACACGTAGACACCAAGCCCAATGCCTCCAGCAGCTAAGATGATGAGGATGATGCCCACAATCCACACCCAGCGTCTCTGCTTGCTTGTTCCATTTTGAGTCTTCTGGAGCCACTGTGACGGTCCTTTTTCTGAAGGGTCCTTCGCGACCATACTGAATCGACGCCAGAATTGGTCGCCTTTCTCTCCGCGGCCGCGTGTAAGCAAAGTTTCCTCGCTGTCCCCTCGCATGATGAGACCCTTAGTTTCCGAGAAGGAGACAGAGTTGTTAGACTCCATGGTCGCAGTACGTTGAGGACGAGCGAAGACGGGAGTGATGGGGGTCACGGGAGCACCAAGCGGGTGAGGAGAAGACGTCGGTGATGGTGTTCCAATCGGCGGAGGAGCAACAATGCGGAGACCATTCGGATTGTTGTTTCTTCCAGCAAGGGCAGCAGCTGGCTCTGGTTTGGCAACATTGCCATTGGCGTTCATCTGGCTCAGGGCAGCAATCGGGGCAGCATATCCCGGACGAGGAGCAGCAATGGGAGGAGGCGACGAGGGACCTGGCATTGGTTTGCGTTGTTGCTGTTGCTGGGGCTGAGCATATTGTGGGGGAGGGGTCTCCAATCTGTCTTGCTTGGAAGGTGAAGCACCAGTAGCAGCTGCCAAGGCGGCGTTCTTGGACAACGGCTTCTTCGGTGACGAGGCCATTCTGCTGCGTAGCATATCGTCTTCGTCGTCAGAGCTTTCAGCGTCATCCATGTTACCATTCATGAACCCCATTCCAAGACCTTCAATGCCGCTGTTACGGTTTTGGTGGTTGTTGCTGTCGCCGGGGGTGAGGTAATTGTCGTACCTGGCTTAACATTAGAGGGCGAAAAAGGGCAAGTTAGGGCTACATACACATCGTAAGTCGAGTTGCGATCATCGGTAGGTGGCTGTGGTTGCGGAGCTCGACGACGAGGTTGCGGAGAGTTCTCATAGACACTGTCCGGTTCGTCGGTTGCAAAGGGCGGTCTTCCAGCGAGCGGTGGGGCCATTCGTAAAACGAGCGAAGAAGGTGAAAGAATGTAAGTGCCGGGGAGTGCGGCGAGCGGCAAGTCTGGAGACTGGGAGGGAAGGAAGAGGGAGAAGGACGCAAGGAGGAAATTTGATGCGGCATCAAAATCATTCATCCACACATGGCAGCTCTTCTTTCGATCGCGTCTTGTACCAAGGACATCGTTATCACTCAAGTTTCGGGCTGTAAATCTCTATTTTTACGAGGATCCACATTTATTTAACCACGACTAACACAATCTTCTACCAACCTCCTATTAATATCGAGATGCAATAAAAACGCGGGGTGTGATGTCAGAGCGGGTCGATGTTTTTGATCGACTTTCTTCAGCCCTTGCTGCCGACCTATTAGTCTGTTTGTGTTCAGTCAGAAAGTAGGGAATCGCTCTTTACTTTGATGCACATCGCTCGTCTCGAAAGGAAAAGGTATCTTCTACCCCTGCACTCGTCGAACAGGGGAAACGAGGAGTCGGAGGTCCGCTGCCACGTGTACCTAGTTAAATGCGACAGTCAGTTCCTTGATCAGGCGTCTTCCACTAGTTTTCGTAGTACAGTATTTCATTTTCGTGGCAAAGAGAGGTTGAACCGTGCAGATTCGCATTTTGACGGATATGACTGGAACTTGACTCTGGTAGTAGGAATACACCTATAGTGCACCCTAATACCCTCTAGTTAGAGGGATAGAGGGGGGTACTCTCTCCCTCTAACTAGAGGGGGTTAAGCCAGTAGCGGGCACCCCCGCTAAATATGGCTACCAAGGGGGGTCTTGGTAGCGGGGAAAGAGGCCCGGAGGCTGCCATCACCCTCCCGGCTGCCTCCCCGCCCCCGCCTACTGTGCGCGCTGCCTGCCGCCGCCCCCATGGCCTCGGCGTCGTCGTCACGAACGTGACTTATGTCACCGATCGCTGATTGACGTCGCCGCCCGCTGTCGTCGGCCACGGAGCTTCTTGCCCGCCGGTGTCAGGCACCCCGCCGCCACTGTCAAATAGTCCGCCGACGTCGTCCTCGACGTTGCCCTCGATGGTGAGCCCAATTCTTCATCATTTTCCATCAAATAAATTAATTTCTGATCAAACTTGATGATCACAACACAATGGCGGTGTCATCATTGCCATCCACTGATCCCGCCCTCCCCCGATGCCCGCCCGACGCACCCGACGCGCCCCCCCAACACCTCCGGACCCAAAAATGGAAAAGTTGCGGAATGTCACGAAAACCGTCCCAGTACAAACCGCTAATCAATATCTTTATTCGTTTAAGAGATATTAATAAAACTCATTAACTCAATATTGTCATTAACTCAATCATTAATGTTGTTAACTCAATTGTCTGAATTTCACCATATCTCTCTCAATTCTTCATTGATCTCTTTGATCTCAGTGTTCCTTAATTCTTCTAAGGCTCTCAAATGACTCCATCTAGTCTGAGAAGTGGTGATCTAAAGATAGGCTCATGATCAAGCATTAGGTATCCTTGTGTGATACCTGACTATGTCAGTCAGTACTTCATATTTCCAAATGAGCTGAATATATATGGTGCTGACCCATGCTTGTAGTACTCTAATGACCTCAATATCTTTACTACAGCTCTATATTCTATATAAAATTGTCCATAGCAAATTTTGCTATATAGGCCTTGAAGCATTCAAACTTTACCAGATTCTATAGGGGAATGGGTTAGAAGTATCAGAGAACTTCAAGGAACAGTTTTCTATCCAAAAATAGCTTATCATGTTAGGTGAAATTCCAGAAACTCATATGTCACTCCTTCAGGTGTCACAGGTGGCATACCCATATTACTCAGGGATCTGGTCACAGATAAGCTATTGGAAGGCATTGGGCTGTAGAGGGCCTTGTATTAATCATTCAGCATAGCTACATTAGTCTTTAACACCAGTCTTGGGGAAGGTTAGGCTGTACTCTTCAGAAGTGACTGATGTCACACAATGCTATATGGAAGATTCCACTCCTAGGGGGTTTGTTCTATGGTTTAGATGTGGTAGAGAAGTATATTTAGATATCTGGAATGAGTCTTACCTCTATATATGTGTTGTAATCAAGTATGTCAGTGGTTACACCAGAAGGTAGGGTTGGGATACTAGCAGTGAAAGGGACTGTCCGCACCAAAACACTTGCTCAAAATAAATTTCAAGTATGATCTAAGAAATTGGTATAGGCTGTTAGGGGACTTCAAATTAACCTTAACAGGGCTTCAACTGCTGCCATAGCTATACCAGATGTTGTGCAATGTTGTAATCAGTGTTATCTATACTCAATCTAGTACATCTATAGTTCTGGTACTTAGAGGTGTAGAGACAGATCCTCCAGGGCAGTTGTTATGGATCTTCACACCTTCCAGAAAACCCTCTAACCTTCCCTATATCTGCCCTACAGCTTATGATAGGATGTACCCTAGAGCCCCTGTAATGCAGTGTTGTCTGCTGAGGCTGTGAGGCTATAAATCCATAGAATCATTTATATCCACATGCCCTACAAGGATAAAGTTAGATCAGGATTATCCATCTAGTAATCATAAAGATATCAGTCATTTGTTCCATGCCTTGGGTAAAACATACAATTTATCCTACATACAATGGGTATACAATGACTCCTTAGCTTGATACTGTAGATTGTATTCCCCTAGGATATTACCTTCAAGGTGAGCCCCATATTACCCATTTCCACTAAGTATATTTGAAGATACACTCTAAGTTGGGATGGATCATTTTCCAATGATGGGGTCATATAGACCTAATTGGACCATTTTACAGATGGAAACCTCATGAAGAAAGGCTGACTAGTGATAGTTTCAAGCCCACCAATGTTTAGATCAAGCCCTAGCCATTGTGCAGTTGAATTGAGTTAACAACATTAATGATTGAGTTAACAACAATATTGAGTTAATGAGTTTTATTAATATCTCTTGAACGAACAAAGATATTAGGTAGCGGTTTGTACTGGGATCATTTTCCCAACATTCTGCAACTTTTTCATTTTTGAGGGTGGAGGGGTCGGGAGGCATGTCGGGCGTGTCGGGCGGGCATCGGGGGAGGGCGGGATCAGTAGATGACATCAATGACACCGCCATCATGTTGCGATCATTAAGTTTTGTCAGATATCAATTTATTTCATTTGAATTGATGAAGAATTGAGCTCACCATTGAGGGCAACGTCGAGGACGACGACGGCGGACTATTTGACAGTGACAGTGGGGTATTTGACAGCAGCGGGGACGGCTGACGACAGGGCCGACGACAGCGGGCGGCGATCAGCAATGTCAATCAACGATCGATGACACAAGTCACGTTCGTGACGACGATGCCAAGGCCATGGGGGCGGCGGCGGGCAGCGCGCACAGTGGGCAGGGGCGGGGAGGCAGCCGGGAGGGTGATGGCAGCCTCTGGACCTCTTTCCCCGCTACCAAGACCCCTCTTGGTAGCCATATTTAGCGGGGGGTGCCCGGTACTGGCTTAACCCCCTCTAGTTAGAGGGAGAGAGTACCCCCCTCTATCCCTCTAACTAGAGGGTATTAGGGTGCACTATAGGTGTAGGAATACGCCGTAGAAACGAAGATGTGCCAGTGGACATTATTTCCTTGGTTACATAACATGACGGTTGAGTGCAAAGCAAGATTTGATGTCTGTAACGTGATTTGCCATTCCTCTTCTTAGTACTTACGCGTCAACAACGATGACTCAACCCAGCATTCGTGTCGTTGTACGAATACCTCACAATCGTCCTGAAGCCCCCGAGCAAGTGCTGGCCGATCCCCCTCGAGTGCGCAGCAACCTGTCTGCGCTCTACCCGTTTTGATTTCTCAAAACGTTAGATAGAATGGAATTCGGACAAGGCGGATGTGCTTTGGAAAGTGATTGAACGTTCCAGGTCAAAAGATGGAGCTGCTCCAGATTGTGCGGTTCACTGTCAATAAGCGAAGTAATCTAACTAATTTGTAGGGAAAGGCCTGGCTGCTCATCTCGAGGTTCCTCTCCCATACTTGCTCTATCGTGTACATTCTCGGTTTCAAGAGGAGCTCCGTGGAATACAAGATATCTCGGGAGTGTCTAGTCCTTCAATGTTGCAATTTGCCAACAAACCCTTCGAGGATTCACCGACAACGGAGACTACGAGTAGCGTCAAACAACACCCACTCATCTCGCGTGCAGCCAGCCGATTGAATGGCAGTGGGCGTATGTCTCCGTCTGGAACAAGGATAGCAACACCAATTGGGGTTCGAGCTCGCCTGAGTTCTCTCGGAAGCAACTCATCGCGACCTAAGAAGGCAACTTCGTCATCAACATTAACAGTACAAGCTTCCAAAAAGGCAGCGCGGCCCCTAAGTCCTACATCCGGGTCATCAGATGGCACCGATTCCGAAGAAGACGAGAATAAATTGGAAGAGGAGGAGGAAAAGAAAGCGGAGGAACAGGAAACTCTTGATCGAAAGCTGCAAGACCTCCAGCAAATGGTGATGAATGTTGGCTTGGTCAGCGCGCCTTCTCGACCTGGCACATCGATGCACAAGGGAAAAGCTAGAGATGTTCCCCGTGGTCGCATGGGAGCAGCCTCAGCAGTGACCTCGCCAATGAACGGGAGCTTTCGACAAGACAACCGGTCAAGTCCCATGAGCGTCTCCAGCGTGAGCTCAGCACCAGGGTCGATTCCCGACATGCCTTCTCCACCACCCGATTCCCAATCCCATTCACCAATGAGTCGACATCTCTCGCCTAGCAAATCGACAAGTCCACCAACACTTTCGCCTCGTAGTGCCCTTGGACAGTCGCATCGACGGTATAGCGCGTTTACTAGTGACCAGAGCAGCAGTCATGGTTCCGAAGCGTCAACGGGTAGCTTTAGCGATATAAGTGGTAGGTGATTATCTCTTATTCATGGGCATTCTGACGATTCTCTGAGATTTGAATGATGGAAGTCTTTCTGCATCTGCCCTTGAAAGTGCATTATTATCCAACATCAGGAAGAATGGGTCACGGGTGTAGGCGTCTTTCTTTCATGCATATTCTTGCGATTTCTGACATCTGCATTAGTTCGTCGACTTTCAGTCGAACGAGTCGCCTCACACGATAGTTTCGCGGGCACTCCAAATCAAAATGTGTATTACTGAGGAACTACCTGTATCGCACACGCTCGTTCTTCAAGACATTGGTTCATCCGCAGAAAGTGTGAGCATTGTGAAGGAGTATTGAATGGTTAGGGAACAATACTTAATTCCGCGTGATGTAGACTCGGAAAGGATTCAGAGCTTTCGAGGACTTCCGACATTGGAACCATGTTTCGGAAAGCGGACCCACCAATCCTGTCACGTGTGTCCTCACTTCTAGGAACGGACATAGCGGAAGGTGCATCGCACGGGAAGTTAACGAATGCGGGGCTCGGACCACTCTTGTCAATGACTTTTCTCATTTTCGCTGTCACCCGGAAATGGGAATTTGTGGAGCAACTGGCTCAGACAAACTCTGTGCAGAAACAAAAACCTTCCGCATCGGCGAGACATGCCCCGGCCAACGTTATAGAAGGTCCAGTAAGAAGGAGCAAAAACACCAAGACGCTTGCAAGTTAACGTTCGCAGTCATTTCAGCTGCTAGCACGTTGCTATGACCCAATTGTCTCGTGAACCTGCAGTCACCCACTCAATAACTCAGTGTAACCTCTCGATATCTAACAAACTAGCAGTTTGGCGGCGACTTCATTCACCTCTTCCGCCGAAACCCAGCGTCTAACAGTGACTTAGGTTAGCACAGACCGCCCGGCTTGATTCTTCTTCTTCTCAGGGTGCGGGACTCTTCAATACAGCTCCCTCGAGTTGGGTCTCACTTGGAGCATCCATCTAGTAACTTACACTCTCGTATCCTGGGTACCGATTGAACTACCTCAGTTCGCCTGTTCATCGCTGCCACCTCAGTCATCTGCGTCTATTCTCAGCAGATACGCGACGACTAAATTGGATTTCCGCCTGGATTTTCCTCACTACTTAGACATGATGTGTGAAGGCATTAGGTCCCTGCTCTCAACCTGCCATCGTTCTCTCTCTTCATTTCCTTCCGCTCGAGGCGCCTTTTCATTCTTTTATGGAGCAGACTGATGTTTCGGGTAGCGACTTGACCTGGTGGAGGCCTGCACTACCTAGTCGGGGCACAAGTAACTTGCTGTGGAGTTGTCTCCTCACCCTCACGCTCTGTGTTTGGACAGCGGTCCATTTAAACATCCCAGGCGCCGGAGCAAATGCGGGCATGCATCAACGCAAGCGCAAGATATGTTGGGTTTTACAACGCATGGTTGCACCAGAGACCGTCACCTTCACGGCTTGGGATCAGTTCACTACCGCAAGGCGGTTGATCGACCAAAGAGCGAGAATCGAAGGAATCCGTCGTGGGGTGGTTCAACGGCTTGGGCTCAGTAAGGTTAGTCTTGGATGTTTGTTCACTAACCCACCAAAAAAAGAGAGACGACTGGGGTTTGGTCGATGCATTCTATGTCGTCATGGGCGGATATGTGCTCGATCTTAGCGTCAACGACCCCAGTGATCGTTTCCTCCCTTCCGAATTGAAGGAGCTAACGATAACTGCCGATGGCTTCCTCTTGTTGAGCGAGCACTATTCCCACCTCCTCCCAGTACTGTAGTATTTTAATCAGTTCGTCAGTCACGCGTCACACAGGGCTCAAGCCGACGAAAATTTTTCGTCAGTCACGCATATCCGGCAGAAATTGGCCCCAAATTGGTCCATATATGGTAATTTTCCGTCCGATCCGGCGCCTCCGGCGCCGAAATTCCCTAATGGGGAAGGCCTGACGAAAGTTTAAGTTCGTCGCACATGTCACGCAGGTTGGCAGGTGACGAATTGACACCTATAGTGCACCCTAATACCCTCTAGTTAGAGGGATAGAGGGGGGTACTCTCTCCCTCTAACTAGAGGGGGTTAAGCCAGTAGCGGGCACCCCCGCTAAATATGGCTACCAAGGGGGGTCTTGGTAGCGGGGAAAGAGGCCCGGAGGCTGCCATCACCCTCCCGGCTGCCTCCCCGCCCCCGCCTACTGTGCGCGCTGCCTGCCGCCGCCCCCATGGCCTCGGCGTCGTCGTCACGAACGTGACTTATGTCACCGATCGCTGATTGACGTCGCCGCCCGCTGTCGTCGGCCACGGAGCTTCTTGCCCGCCGGTGTCAGGCACCCCGCCGCCACTGTCAAATAGTCCGCCGACGTCGTCCTCGACGTTGCCCTCGATGGTGAGCCCAATTCTTCATCATTTTCCATCAAATAAATTAATTTCTGATCAAACTTGATGATCACAACACAATGGCGGTGTCATCATTGCCATCCACTGATCCCGCCCTCCCCGATGCCCGCCCGACGCACCCGACGCCCCCCAACACCTCCGGACCCAAAAATGGAAAAGTTGCGGAATGTCACGAAAACCGTCCCAGTACAAACCGCTAATCAATATCTTTATTCGTTTAAGAGATATTAATAAAACTCATTAACTCAATATTGTCATTAACTCAATCATTAATGTTGTTAACTCAATTGTCTGAATTTCACCATATCTCTCTCAATTCTTCATTGATCTCTTTGATCTCAGTGTTCCTTAATTCTTCTAAGGCTCTCAAATGACTCCATCTAGTCTGAGAAGTGGTGATCTAAAGATAGGCTCATGATCAAGCATTAGGTATCCTTGTGTGATACCTGACTATGTCAGTCAGTACTTCATATTTCCAAATGAGCTGAATATATATGGTGCTGACCCATGCTTGTAGTACTCTAATGACCTCAATATCTTTACTACAGCTCTATATTCTATATAAAATTGTCCATAGCAAATTTTGCTATATAGGCCTTGAAGCATTCAAACTTTACCAGATTCTATAGGGGAATGGGTTAGAAGTATCAGAGAACTTCAAGGAACAGTTTTCTATCCAAAAATAGCTTATCATGTTAGGTGAAATTCCAGAAACTCATATGTCACTCCTTCAGGTGTCACAGGTGGCATACCCATATTACTCAGGGATCTGGTCACAGATAAGCTATTGGAAGGCATTGGGCTGTAGAGGGCCTTGTATTAATCATTCAGCATAGCTACATTAGTCTTTAACACCAGTCTTGGGGAAGGTTAGGCTGTACTCTTCAGAAGTGACTGATGTCACACAATGCTATATGGAAGATTCCACTCCTAGGGGGTTTGTTCTATGGTTTAGATGTGGTAGAGAAGTATATTTAGATATCTGGAATGAGTCTTACCTCTATATATGTGTTGTAATCAAGTATGTCAGTGGTTACACCAGAAGGTAGGGTTGGGATACTAGCAGTGAAAGGGACTGTCCGCACCAAAACACTTGCTCAAAATAAATTTCAAGTATGATCTAAGAAATTGGTATAGGCTGTTAGGGGACTTCAAATTAACCTTAACAGGGCTTCAACTGCTGCCATAGCTATACCAGATGTTGTGCAATGTTGTAATCAGTGTTATCTATACTCAATCTAGTACATCTATAGTTCTGGTACTTAGAGGTGTAGAGACAGATCCTCCAGGGCAGTTGTTATGGATCTTCACACCTTCCAGAAAACCCTCTAACCTTCCCTATATCTGCCCTACAGCTTATGATAGGATGTACCCTAGAGCCCCTGTAATGCAGTGTTGTCTGCTGAGGCTGTGAGGCTATAAATCCATAGAATCATTTATATCCACATGCCCTACAAGGATAAAGTTAGATCAGGATTATCCATCTAGTAATCATAAAGATATCAGTCATTTGTTCCATGCCTTGGGTAAAACATACAATTTATCCTACATACAATGGGTATACAATGACTCCTTAGCTTGATACTGTAGATTGTATTCCCCTAGGATATTACCTTCAAGGTGAGCCCCATATTACCCATTTCCACTAAGTATATTTGAAGATACACTCTAAGTTGGGATGGATCATTTTCCAATGATGGGGTCATATAGACCTAATTGGACCATTTTACAGATGGAAACCTCATGAAGAAAGGCTGACTAGTGATAGTTTCAAGCCCACCAATGTTTAGATCAAGCCCTAGCCATTGTGCAGTTGAATTGAGTTAACAACATTAATGATTGAGTTAACAACAATATTGAGTTAATGAGTTTTATTAATATCTCTTGAACGAACAAAGATATTAGGTAGCGGTTTGTACTGGGATCATTTTCCCAACATTCTGCAACTTTTTCATTTTTGAGGGTGGAGGGGTCGGGAGGCATGTCGGGCGTGTCGGGCGGGCATCGGGGGAGGGCGGGATCAGTAGATGACATCAATGACACCGCCATCATGTTGCGATCATTAAGTTTTGTCAGATATCAATTTATTTCATTTGAATTGATGAAGAATTGAGCTCACCATTGAGGGCAACGTCGAGGACGACGACGGCGGACTATTTGACAGTGACAGTGGGGTATTTGACAGCAGCGGGGACGGCTGACGACAGGGCCGACGACAGCGGGCGGCGATCAGCAATGTCAATCAACGATCGATGACACAAGTCACGTTCGTGACGACGATGCCAAGGCCATGGGGGCGGCGGCGGGCAGCGCGCACAGTGGGCAGGGGCGGGGAGGCAGCCGGGAGGGTGATGGCAGCCTCTGGACCTCTTTCCCCGCTACCAAGACCCCTCTTGGTAGCCATATTTAGCGGGGGTGCCCGGTACTGGCTTAACCCCCTCTAGTTAGAGGGAGAGAGTACCCCCCTCTATCCCTCTAACTAGAGGGTATTAGGGTGCACTATAGGTGCGAATTGATTAAAATAGTACAGTAGTACACAGGGTCGACATCCAGGACAAGAGCAAAGCCGGCCTTGTTGCAAAAATCATAATCATTGTGCTGCGTGGTTCTCTCAGTCGTCTGAATCAATTTTTTCAATCAAAATCTTCCGACGAGCCTGCTCGAAGTTGTGACATTCGGATACTCTATATTCGCGCTCCTCACCACTTCCCTATGGTTTCGCAAACCGATGGATGTCGCACGCCCCACTCGCATCTCTGTCCAAGAGGATCCCAGATGGCGAGAAGTTTGCGCTGACATGTATATGTGCAGCTCCCTTAGTGGCCAGATGGCAGCGTTAGCGAATGAACAAGACGAAGAAAAGCTCGCGGAATATATGAAGGCTCGGTCTGAAGCTGAATGGATACGCGTCAATACCATTGACAATCCCTCTCAACAAAGTTTCAAACGTCCCACTGGCAATCGCTCAGGCGTCGTCTCACTTGACGTCTCTCCCAAACACCCACTCAAAGTGGCCATGGAGCACCGCTCTAACACTCCGCTCAGTGTGTTTCGCCATAGTCGTCATAATGCAGGATCAGCACTGCTAGATTCGGATGGGCCCGAGCAGAATCTTGTCTACACTGGCCTATCATTCAGTCCGTCTTGCGCTGCAACTTGGAAGAACACTCCGCTCAGGGAGCTCCCCGGTTTACAGCTCACGTTGAGCCGTTTCGATATACGCCGATGGCAGCTAGCTTGGAACGCAATGCGGGCCAACAAGTCTTTGCAATTCGAGCCCAAAGAATATTTGGTCACTCGCGCCTCCAATGTCCCCAACGCGCCTTCCTGGGAGGGTAGCCCATACGCCCGAATTCTGGCTTTCGTCTTCGCTGAAGCCATTTTTGCAGTCATTTTCGGTACCCTTGGTTGGAAGTTCGCCTCCCGCCCTGCATGGGTGCGAAATGTATGGGTTGGGCTTTCCGGTGTCAGTATCCTCGCCTGTCACGGTCTTTTGTTTCTTGTCTCTGGTGGTTCGATGCATTGGACCAAGATTAAATGGGCCTTGACGGTGATTGCGACGATCCAGTTTCCCGTCCGCGTCTGTCTGGTCATGTTGGCCGTTTGGAACATCGGGTTCCTTCCTGACGGCGTCTACCAAGTGCCTCAATGGTCGTATTATTTTCCACATGTTTGCTGAAGACATTTGAGTTGTTGGACCAGAATAGCATGATGTACTGTACGGAGAGCTAATGTACTCGTGGATCTACCATCGGGATAAATGGGGCATCGATCGAGACCGTCCAGTCTAAACACAAGGAACGAGAGTAATTTTCGTTGCCTTCCAAGTTCCCACCCTGCGGGCTCTGACAAAAAGACGGATAACAGTTGCTGTGAACTGCATCTAACCCAGACCGCAGAGTCAACGCAAATCCTGAAACACTGAACGTTGGCGCCTATTTCCATCAGAACTCTCAAGTCTTAAAAAGCATCGACAAAGAAAATTGCATTGGAGGTAGTAGCGATATGGTAAAGCAAATGACTGGCAAGTGGAATCTAAAAGAAGGTGGTCAGTATAAGAATGAGAGGACGACGGAGGAAGAAGAAGAAAGTCAGAATTGCAGAAGGAGAATCATCAAGTGGACAAGTCCAATATGACTGTTGAGCTTGATAATGTGATATGTTGTTCATCAAGGAGAGAGCCTCAGAAGGCCAGGCAAGAGAGCAAGTACTCACCAGAAGTTTGCATCGTCGTGGTGAAAAGGAAAAAAAGTGATGACCGTGACAGTCACATTTGCTACTACGTCACGTTTACGGATCGGCTCCGTCAATGTCGACCTCCAAGCCTCCACCGACCAAGTCGCGGAAGGAGCGCGAGCGGGAGAAGAAGGAGCGCCAGTCACAAGCTGCCGCGACCGCCGTGCCGACCCCAACTGAACGCCTGAAGATCGTGGTCCGCCGCTTACCACCCAACTTGCCAGAGGAAGTGTTCTGGTCCAGCGTCCAAGAATGGGTCACCGACGATACTACCTCATGGAAGATGTTTTACCCTGGCAAGCTGCGTAAACGGTACATATCCCACCCCTTCGAGCGCCCGAATCATCAGAGAGTAACCACATCGCCCAAAGCCTGAACAAGGAGAGCATCTCCTCCCGCGCGTATATTCTATTCAAAACCGAAGAACAACTCGCCCAGTTCGCCAGAGACTACGATGGCCATCTCTTCCGCGACAAGGCTGGTGCGTTTGGGTATCATCGCTCTCGCTTTTGCTATGTCTAAACACATCTAGGAAACGAGGCTTATGCGGTAGTGGAGTTTGCTCCGTACCAGAAAGTGGCTTCTGAGAAGAAGAAGGTTGATGCCCGCAGTGGCACTATCGATAAAGGTGTGCTCATGTTTTACGAGCTCTAGCACTATTCAACGTTGGTAGATGAGGACTATATGTCGTTCCTCGAGTCTCTCAAACCTCCAGAAGGTGGCACTGAAACTTCGTCACTGGAGGCCCTCAGTCAGTGCAAGCAGATCCATATTTTAGGTCTCCGATTTAACCATTATCTAGTTGCCGCCAGTCAACCTCCCCCACCTCCCAAGACGACCCCTCTTCTCGAAGCTCTTAAGGCGGAGAAAGCCGCACAGAAAGAGAAGGAAGCTGCCGCCCGCCAGATCGCTCAACAGAAGCGCGAAGAACTGAAGAAGAAGAATGCTGTCCAGGCACAGGCGAACGGTGCACCGCTCAGCAAGAAGGCTGCGAAAAAAGCGGCAGCAGCAGCACAAGCAGCCCAAGGGTCATCCACCAACAAGTCGGGCTCAAGTGTGACCGCTGGACCTTCACAGCAAAAACCCACTCAACAACAAGGTCCCGCCAACAATAAACAACAACAACCACCCAAGGTAGCCAAGGGTCCCAAGACAGTAGCAGCACCACAACCTCCACCTTCTACACCCGCTGCCAACGGAAGTGGTCAGCCTCCAATTGTGATCAACGACTCTGCCGCCCCCAAAACGGACTCGTCCCGTGATCGGCATCGGACTCGCATCGCGCCAATTTGAAGCAGCACTAAGCGGTGCTGGCGTTGCACCTGGAGAACGTAAATCACGTCGAGAAAGGGAACGGGAACGAGTAGCGGCCACTTCCACAGCAGCAGCTGTACCTACATCAACTGCAGAAGAAGGTCCTTCCAGTCCGAAGAAGGAGAAACATGTCCGCCGCAAGGGGAGTGATGCCGGAGTAGCTGTATCGCCCGTCGTGCCCGGAAGCTCTACTTCATCCGTTCCAGCCCCAGTTATCATCCATCGTATCGACGGTGATGTCCAAATCCAACCACAACCACAACCACAGCAGCCCCCACAAGCTGGATTGATCTCCGTCAATATCCATGCCCTCACGAATAACAATAGTCGTGGGAGCGGTCGACGCGGTGGCCGAGGTGGTGGACCAATTCGCGGACGAGGCGGAAACGTTGTTGGAAATCGAGTCCATGGAGGGGGCTAGTCATCTCCTCTGAGCTGCCTTTCACAACTCAAAGTCGAACACGACTCCTGACAGCATCTGCAACCTCGATGATGATGACGTTACAACTTTCCGTCCCAACAACCCAGGCGGTTACAGCCGCATTTTGCGCCAGCAGTCGGGACGACAAAATGCTCGTGCCAATGCCTGCCTGCGCTTTTCCCCTGACCGCTTTTCGCTCTATTGCTTTCACGCCACAAGAACACAGTGAACAGAGGTTGTTCTTAGACATTCAATTAGCTGGTACATACAGTTGTGTGTAAAATCGTGCTATCGTATCGTATAAAAAACAGACGTACTTGTCTAACTTTATGCAAAATTCAAAAGTACTTGTCCCAAAACGCTGTAGATCCGTTGGTTGGCGCAACTTTGTCCACACCCAACAACCGCATGACTAAACTGTAGATTTGCACATTCTCGAACGGCTCCATCACATACGTGTCGGCAGACGTTGAATGCCAGCCTTTGTTAGGTCGCGATAAACCGAAAATGCGCTTCAAGTGACTTGAGCGACCTTGATGAAGAACTTTGACGACAGAAGAGAACGGTCCGTGGGCAACAAACATCGCCTGCATGGAATGTGCGGTATTGTCATAGCCGTGGTTCTGTTATCAAGAATCACTGTCAGCCTCCGAGAGAAACAAGAGTAAATATGACTCACGCCTTTGCTCATCCCCACATCACCCTCCTTCTTCGATGTCAAGACATAACCGATCTTGGGGACCACGTAAATCGGGGCAATGCGCTCATTGTTTGCAAAATGCCATCTTTTCGGCATCTCCGCCTTCGTGAACACCTCGAATTTCCGACCGCCATTCTTGGCCGACTCGGCACGTAAGAGCTCGAGATTGTGGGATACGTTGGCCGAGGCAGAGAACCGCAGACCCATTGCTGGCCAGCCGTCTTCGTGTTCTATCGAGGCGTAACCAGACGAGCCGAGAATATCGTCCATGTAGATGAGCTCTGGATGGCTTGTGTCCGTCATACCATGATCAGAAACGAACACGATGTCGACGATTTCGGTCAGGTTACGGGCCACAAGGGCATTATGGAGGTCTTTTGCGAAGATATCAACTTGTGCGAGGGTTTTCTAGATATTCAAGTTAGGGAAATCATGCCAAGTGATAATCGACTGCATACGTTCACGAGCGCAGACATTGGTCCTGCTTTGTGACCAGCTTGGTCTAGAGAGGGCTCGTATGCTGGATGAAGGCTCAGATGGTAATTGAAAGTTGCTTCCAAAAACAACTGACCCATAAGGAGTTGTGGTCGGGTTTCTAGAGGTAAATCAATCCACGCAAGAAGTTGGTCCAGCTTCTCCGCGAGAGGTACTTTGTCCTGTACTAATGATCAAATTGATTGAAATCCACTTATTGGTCCAGACCTTCCAGGGAACAAAATATGTTGAGCTTGCGCTAGAGGTAGTCTTGGGTGGACCCGGCCTGATTGGTCAGGCCCATATACTTCTAATACACTCTCTCGACGCACCACATCAGGTTAGCTGTGATGATCTTGGCCTTTCCAGCAGTCTCCCACATCTAGTTCTTCTGATCAGTAGAAGTAACCTATCAAATGAAAGGTCGTACTGGTTCGCCTAGCCACCATGTCGGATTCCAAACAGACGAGATTTGATTGTAGTGGAATTCAGAGTTGGAGATCGGGTCCCAGAAATTCTGGAAATATGAAGAAGATAAGGGATGGTTGGGACAAAATAACTGAGCGCACATTGCCAACAATTCCATGCGATTCGGCGTATAGACCAGTCCTTAGTGCTGTGAGCGTGAAGGTATACACGAGAGTAGAAGGTCCCGCACATTAATGCCCAATGATTTCTTTGGAACAAATTAATTATATCAGTTGGGGCGGGGAACCCTACACGGCGAGCTTACGGGAAAGTTAGAGTCTAACGAAAACACTTAGTGTTACATCGGCAAACACAACGAGAACCCACAGGAAAGATAGGTATGAGAGATTTGGCTCGGAGTCCCTGTTTGCTGATATCGAGAAGGTGTGGGGTTAGACCTCGGTCGAGGTAGTCTGCCCTATTGGATTTACGTATTGTCAGTTGGCCAAAAACGAGGCACTTGAGTTTAGACGCGTCAGCTAGAGGAGCTCACCGGAGCCCGTCGATGGAGACTATCAGCACCGTCCGCTTGAAGTCGTGCGTTCCATTGGACCGCAAACCGTCGCCGTGGAAGAGTAAGTTTGGGTGAGTGTCTTCTGGACGGTGGTTGTTCCGGTTGGTGAGGAGAAATGTGCGCGCCGTTACGCCAGTGATGAGTAGGAACATGAGCGCGACGGCAGAAAATATAATTTTCTTGCGAGACCAGCCACGGTCTGTGTCGAGGTCGTCAAGTTCGGGCTCTGTTTTCCAGTCTTCCTCGGCGGGATTGAAAGCATCTTCAGTGTTGGACAAGAGCCCTTTGCGTTCTTCTTTGTCCGACTTTCTAAGAGGTTTATAAGAGGCAGAGCGAGCTGAGCCTGAGGAGCTCATGGTCGGAGTCGAGAGCAAGCCTAATTGAATTTGAGACTCGGAGCGTGACCGCAAATCCATTTCCTCTCAACTTCCATCCGTCAGTAAGTCCAAGCTGTCTTCTTCTCGTGCTGGGTCTTAGCCATACGAATAGTGGATACATTACGCGCCTCGACATCATCCCTGCCCAATGGTGCACCACAAACTGCGTCAACATCGACACCTGGTGTTTCTCCAGAACTCGAACAGACTTTGTCCTTGCTCTCTTCACACCGTGCTGTCCTCGGCTACATACTCATCAGCCGCGGACATCCCGTGAGCATAGTCCGACATGCAGGCGTCGTCTTCGATGGCGAGCAGGGAAAGAAATATGCTGCAGCGATTGGCAAGATCGTAGAGAGCGTTCAATCGGGGCTGGAGGAGGTTCACCCTGGCGAAGGAGAATCGGTGCGCTCCTGTCAATTGGAATATTCTTTGTGATTATGACACTAAGTGCAGGAGGACTTGCGATTTCTCAGAATTCGGACAAAACGGCATGAAATAATGATTTCGCCTGGTGCGTGGTTTTCTGGCGCGAGTCGGCTTTTATCTGGCTCACCAGGACTTTCATTAGACGACAGATATCTTCTCGCCGTACTGCACGACCCCTCAACATGAGGTTTTCATCCGTCGTCTTCGCATTTCTCTGTACATCTATGGGACTATCTGTATCTACGACTTTGACAACCCGCAAACACTCTAAGGGGTTCACTTCGCTCGTCGTGGGACATGAATCATTAAGCCGTAAATCGCAGCCCAACCAAGACATAAACAGCTATTTTATAACTGGACCACCTTGCGTACAGGTGCATACTTGTCGCAAGTATTCTCGAAAATCGTGTCAATATCAATGCTTACTACTCCTCGATAATTCGCAAATGAGTTCCAAGTCAGTGAAGCGAAGACACCTGGTTCTACGCTAAACCTCAGCTCGCGCGACATTATTTCGGCCAATTCTTGACCAAGTTTCTAGCCCATATGCCAATCTTGAAGTCGCCCTGGTCCGATGGTATCTCGACCATTGCAAGATGTTCTAAACTCTGTCGCAGTATTGGGAGTTGAGCCTATAAGAAACAGTCAAGGCCAGAGACAACTCAACCAAGTTAGAGGGACCGACCTGGATTGCCTTTGCGACATCTGATGACATGTATGCAATCTCGTGCAACGAGTCTGAAAGTGCTTTCAAGTCCTAAAAGGTATTTGCTTCAGCTGACGAAACCAGAAAATAGAAATAAAAACATACATCCCGAGTAAGGGTCCTTTTCCCCTTGGCGACTACTTGAATTTGAGAAATCCATCTCCGGGCTTGATCATTCATTGCTTGCACAATGTCGACTGCTTCCTTCTCCCCATATTCACTCCCTTCCTCCATCTCAATAAATTCTTCACCACGGAGGGGGTCTCCAAGTCCAAACCATGCCTCCAACCTTTGCAGATACTCAGCAGCTGGGGCCCGTTGTGGTCGAATATATGAGAACCACAGTGCCTCCTTAGACCCTTCTTGTTTGTCCCTATTTGCTGCTTTGTGTATTTCTTGCAGGAATATATTTCCTCCATCCACACCTATAGACAGACCACCTCGAATTGCACCCACTGGAGCTGGTTCAATCTCCAGAAGCTCTTTCAATGATTGCCCCAAGTCGCTTGGTGTTTCTGCTCGTTGGCCAGGTGGCTGATAAGTTTTCCTGAACTGAGTGGTCCGCCCAAGAGTTTTTCTGGGAGATGGGAGAAGCAAGAGTTCATCATCTGTACTGAGTGCCATCCAGGTCTCCTTGGTAGTTCCCATATTATAGCCTATGAGATCAATGCTGCTGGAGCGGGAACGAGACCTTGCATGCATTGGGGAGATAGGATAGGAGATGTGGGCTGAAGCAGATATCACCATAGAGGAGGTTGACAGTGAAGGCAGAGAAGCAGGAGCCATTACTTTTCCATTGGGCACAGATTGAGTGATCACCAGCTGTGAAGAGCTAGCTGACATATCCAAGTTTACAGCTCGAAAAGAGAGATTCAAGTCCTGCTGGTGTAAGGGAAGCATTAATATAAATATGTCAGACTTGAGAGAGAGAGAGAGAGAGAGAGAGAAAATTGAAATATAAAATGTAGAAAGGAAAAGTTCAAGTTTTGAGGTGAAAGATATGGCATATTACAATGCAAGATGTAGCAAGAAGGTAGAATTGAAAGAGACTCATACCTTCAAAGTGGAAATGTAATAAGGCTTTAACCTGTTTCTATTAGTGTGGCCACTTTGTTGAATAGTGGTTATAAAGGAGTATGTGACTCTTAAGTCACTGTTGATCTAAATCACATCGATAGTGGCTAGCCCTAGGAAGCTCCTGCCAAGGATAGGATAGAAAAGAGTTTTAGGCCAAATTTATGGAATCCTCTTTTTAAGGGCCAAATCTAACCAAATCATTGAGACACAGTAAGCAGCTCTTTCCTATAAATGATGTTTACTGAATTTGACCTCAAGTGCTGACATGACTGACAAATCCAGCCATGTTTAGTAAACAATATCAGCCATCTATGCTGCAGGCCAGAAAACTACCATTTTAGACAATACCATAATGCTCTGAAACTATTTTTTACAGCTAGAAAAATGTTTTTTAAGGTCAAAAATGTTATGGATAATGTCAGACTGCAGGTCGGGCCATGCAAGGTCTTCTCCTAAGAATGCGCGCCCAGAACAGAACAGACGGATCGTCGGGCCCACGAGTACGGCGAGCGGAGTAGATTGAAACCGAAAGGGCCCGTTAACTCGGTCCCTTGTGCGGTCGGTAGTCGAGGGTTCGAATCGGGTCGTGTTGGGCCCGATGAGTCAGTGGTTCCTCCTTGTACGGAGAGAAGTAGTTCTTCAGATGATCTAAGCGATAGAGTACATGGTACACTATCGCGCATTATATATGCGGGTCCGCAAAGGGGTGATCGGACACCCTGGCCTCTCCTGCCTCTCCTCGCCCCCCGTTCCTGGCCGTAGAGGGGACGATCGTACATCCCTTGCAGGCCAAGCGCTACTCCTAACCTTCTAGCACTCCTCCCCAGTCCCCCTGGTGTCGAGTTGGGCTCGGCAACGGCTCAACACATCGTTCTCGGTCACGTGCTTCCCACGTGTGCGTTCCTCCTACTGGGGCACATGTTCCCGTCGTCACGTGCTGCGTGTTGCGGGCCCACGATGGCCCGACACCAGCGCCGGAGCAGATGGGCCGGGTCTTATCCGTGACAGATAAGACCCAGCCCATTTGCTTGGGTGCTGGTGCCAGGCCACTGAGGGCTCAGGACATGCAGCACTGTGACCAAGAATATCATGTTGAGCCTGATACTAAGCCTAACACGGGGCAACAGGGGATTGGGAGAAATGCTAGAAGGATTAAGAGTGGCACCTAGACCGGACAAGATATACAATAATATTACAATCGTTACCTCTACAGCCAGGGACAGGAACAAGGGAAGGAGCAGAAGAGGTTAGGGTGTCTGATTACCCTCAGTGGGGCCATATATATAAGGTGTGATAGTGTACCTATGTACTTTATCACTTAGATCATCTATTGTACTACTTCTCTCTATACAAGAAGGTGCCAACAACGCATTGGGCCCATTCGACTTGACTCTGACCCTGCCTGCTTCACTTGTGGGCCTAACAGACTGTCTGTTCTGTTCTGGGTATATGTTTCTAAGAAGGGCCCAAGTCCCCCGATGCCTGACCCAAAGCCTGACAGGCCCAGCACCAGTCCTACCTCAGAGGATGGGCTGGGTCTTATCCATAATGCTGGCATTGTATCTGTTCTGCCCTGGGTGTATGTGATTATTGAAGCAGCCCTACATAGCTCAACCCAAAGCCTGACATGGCTTACCTTAACTTGTCAAGTAGCATCCTCTGAATTGGTGTTGTTTGTGACAAAAACTCATTTAGGAACATCAAATATTTTGGCTGTAAAAATCTTTTTCCACTAGCCACGTAAGCAGTTTTACGCTGAAAAAACTAATAAACTAATAAACAATTTAAAACAAATAAACAAGGTTACAGCTGTTACCTATATTGATGAGAATGGCAAAAAAATGTATGCCTTCGTAAAAAAAATGGACCGGAGATATGTCGATCGTTTAGAGTACCCGAGACATCGCTTCCTCTGTTGCAGGCAAGTTTTTCTCAGCGAAGTGCTCGACAAATGGACGGCCTGAGCTATGTACGATGAAGTTGGCGACTGGTGGCAGGCTGCCGACTTGCCCAACTCTTCCCTTTCCCGACTCCCGAGAACTTCCACTGAGCTCAACTCATTCGGAAGATCAGAACACTTGAACAGGAACTTCCGTCGTCATGTAGCCTGTTTCCCAGAGCCATCGAGCCCTCTCCTTGAAGTCCTTGCTGATGGTTAGACCATAGTAGGCAGACAACGACGCGCAAATGAATACGGGCTGCGAAGTGGGTTGCAAGCTTGTTAACTTTAGGCAATGCCGCTACGCGACGTCTCGGGTACTCGAAAGGATCGACATATCTCCGGTACATTTTTTTTTACAAACAAGTATATTTTTTTGCCATTCTCATCAATATAGGTAACAGCTGTAATTTCAAACTACAAGTTTTACCACAAACTTTATTTACTTAGCAGAATATTTTTGAATCACAATAGTGATTTGGCTTAGGTATCACATGTCACTAACTAAGTTAAAGGCTCACCAGAAAAGAATCTGCTAACCTTACTTTGATGTGATATTTGAGAAGTATGAAAATTTCACTCCAGATTATGTTTTAATTAGTTCTTAGTGACCTGGAATTTAGAAATGTCCAAAATTGTCTTTTTAGAGTTCTGTAAGGGCAACCCCGGAAGGCCTGAGATCAAGGTCCTAGCAGGGGAGGATCCAAAGCGTGAACATTGGTAAGCAAATACAAATGAAGCTGACCTAGCAGGGGAGGATCCAAAGAGAAGAAACTCTAAGGGTCCGCCTGCTAGGTAGCTGACTATATACTGCTTGTCCGTAGCTGCCGCTGTCGGGCACAGAAGGCTTGGGCGGCGTCGCAGGCAAGGTCCCAGGGCGACCGTCGGGAGGGCGTTGACGGATCGGTGATTGTGCGGGCGAGATGGAGGGCCGGACCGGAGTCGGAACCGGAGTCGGACCGGAATCGGGCGCGTCTCCGGGCCGAAAGGGAGGTTCCCCTGACATCACCCCCCCCTTTGAATGCGGCGTCCCGACGCATAGACCGGAACGGAATCGAGTCGAAGGTCGCGGAGGCGATGTGTCGTGGCTTGCCAGGGTACTTACGATAGAACTCCGCAATTTTCTCCGGGGCGAAGACGCGGTCGAAGCGGACCCATTGGTCGTGCGATGCGTCGTAGCCTTTCCATCTGACGAAGTAGTTCAGCCGTTTATACCTCACCCTTGCGTCCAGGATTTCCTCTACTTCCCACTCCGGGACTCCGTCCTCGAGGTCCGGAGGGGGCTGGTCATAGCCAGGGCGTCCGTCGAAGGGGTCGTCCTGGGCGAGCTCGAGCTTGACGATGGGGAAGACCGGGTGGAGCTTCGAGTAGCACGGAGGGAGGTCGAGCTTGTAGGCACCTTTGCTGATCTCCGCGACTATCTTGAACGGTCCGAGGCGGCGATGGGAGAACTTTTCCGAGGGGCGAGTCGTCCTGATGTCAGAGGCATCCAGCCAAACACGGTCGCCAACCTTAAACTCCGGAGACGGACTCCGTCTCCGGTTGTAGTAGTGCTTGTACTCCTCTTTGGCCTTTGTGAGCGCGGCCTTGGCTTCAGCAACACCAGTGGCGATCCGGTCGCGGAACTCGTTCACCGACTCCATGGCGGAACGGACTCCGGGTTCGAAGCCCATGCGCGGGAGCCGTCCCGTGTCCGTCATGAAGGGGACCTGCTGCGTGGAGGAGTGAACATGGTTGTTGTAGGCGAACTCCGCAGCCGGAATCAGCTCATCCCAGTCGTCCTGCTGATAGTTGGTGAAGATCCGCAAGTACTGCTCCAACTCTTGGTTGACGCGCTCTGTCTGACCGTCTGTCTGCGGGTGGTACGCGGTGGACGTGGCGGGCTTGATGCCGATTAGACGCCAAAGTTCTCGGGTGAAGTCCGCGATGAACTGCGAGCCGCGGTCGGAGACGTACTTCTCCGGAGTCCCATGGTGCCGCCAGACATTCCGGTAGTAGAGGCGGGCTGCCCCTACTACATCGACCGTCGTATGACACTCCGAGAAGTGGGCGCGCTTTCCGAGGGTGTCAACGACGACCATGATCGCGTCGTACCCATGGGCTTCGGGAAGCTCTACGATGAAGTCGACGGAGACGGTATGCCAGCGTTCCGGGGGCGTTTCCGTGGGGTGCAGCTCTCTGTGGGGCAGTCTCCGGAGTGCCTTGGTGCGACAGCACAAGTCACAGGTCGCAACATACCGGCCGATATGGCGAGACATCTGAGGCCACCAGTAGTTCCGGGAGACCAACTCCAAGGTCTTGAAACGACCTGCGTGTCCGGCGACTCGGGTGTCATGGCAGAGCTCGATGATGCGTCTCCGGAGGTCCTTGTCCTTTGGTACAACGATCTTTCCTCGGAAATGGAGAAGACCGCCGGAGACGGCCCACTCGTCAGACCGCGAGGAGCGGGGGCCTCGAGCTTGACCTTGGACCTTAAGAAGTTGCCGGGCCGCTAGTGCGACGGGCTCCTCCAGGTCAGGCTCACCGGAGAGGGCATCACGGATGTCGCGGAGGAGTTCAGAGCCGGGACCGGAAACGGAAACGCCCTCGAGTGCGCGGACGTGGAAGAGTTCAGGCCGCAGAAGGACGACATCGGAGTTGTCGGAATCGACTCCATGGTCGGGTCTCCGGGAGAGGGCGTCAGGTCGACCCATATCGCGGCCAGGCTTGTGGTGCAGCGTGAAGTCAAACCGGGAGAGGTACAGGGACCACCGGGCCTGTCTCCGGTTGAGGTGCTGCGTCTTCCTGAAGTACTCCAAATTCTTATGGTCAGTCCAAATCTCGACAGGGTGCGCGGCGCCCTCGAGGAAGTGTCTATACTCCTCGAGTGCGCGGATGATCGCAAGCATCTCCTTGTCGTGGATTTCGTAGTTGCGCTGGACATCATTTAAGCTTTTGGAATAGAATGCTACAGGGTGCCACTTCCCGTCCGGGGCAGATTGTGAAAGAACCGCCCCCGTCGCATAATCAGAGCTGTCCGCCTCAAGTCGGAAAGGCCGTGCGTCGTCCGGAATCGCCAGGACCGGTTCCGAGGTGACCGTGTCCTTGATCGCTTGGAACGCGGAGGCCTCCGCGTCGCCCCAAGTCCATTGCTGGTCCTTCTTGGTGAGCACGAAAAGAGGGCGCGCAAGGGTTGAGAAGTCCCGGATGAACCTGCGGTAGAAATTAGCGAACCCAAGGAACTGCTGAATGTCCTTCTTGTTTTCCGGAGTCGGCCAAGCGGAGACGCCTGCGACCTTGACGGGGTCCATTTCGACGTGGTTGTGGGAGATGATGACTCCGAGGTACTCGATTGACGATTTTTCAAAGTCGCACTTCTCCGCTCGAAGGTACAACTTGTGCTCCCGGAGTCGCCGTAAGACCTCCTGGACAATCTGCCGGTGTTTCCGGAGGTCGGAGTGGGCAATCAGGATGTCATCAAGGTAGATCATGACGTCTCCGGAGAGGATAAGGTTCTGAAAAATGTCATTCATCATCGTTTGGAACGTCGCGGGAGAGTTTGTCAGGCCGAAATACATCACCAAGGGCTCGAACAGGCCTCGGTTAGTCCGGAAAGCCGCTTTCCACTCGTCACCTTCCTTGATCCGGACGTTGTTGAAGCCCCAACGGACGTCGAGTTTGGTGAAGTAATGAGCGCCTTTGAGCCGGTTGATGAGGTCGTTGATCAGCGGAAGGGGGTACCGGTTTTTGACAGTCATCGCGTTGAGAGCACGGTAGTCCTGGACGAAGCGGAGTCCGCCGTCCTTCTTCTTGACGAAGAAGACCGGAGACGCCATCGGAGACTTGGAGGGGCGAATCCGGCCCGTCGAAAGCCCTTCCTCGATGAACGCGTCGAGCTCGCGTTGCTCGAGGGGCAAGATGGGGTACACCTTGCAGTTGGTGGGCTTAGCGTCGGGGACAAGCTCAATGGCGTGGTCCCAGGCTCTCCGCTCCGGTAGTGTGTCGAAGGACTCCTTGTTGAAGACGTCCTGGAACTCCTTAGCCCAGTCTGGGATCTCGGAGGGCGGTGGGGCGGAGTTCATGGCGAAGGCTTCGGCCAGACGCTGTGAGACGGTGCTACCTGCGCGTATCTCCTCTGAGGGACGGAACGAGGTGTAGAAGATGCGGTCACCATCTTCGAGCTGGTCGTCTTCGTCGTCGTCGTCGGAGTCCGGCATCAGATCAGGCAGGCCGGAGTCGTCACCGGAGACGGAATCGTCTCCGTCCTCAGGGCCAGAGAGGTCCATAATGCAAACCGAGGGGAACGGGCCGGAGCGGAGACGCTTCTGAAGCAACCGGAGTCGCCGCGGCTCGGTCCGTTCGACGCGCTCTTCCTCACGGCAGGTCGAGCAATTGCGGGGGCACCGTGTCATCTTGACCTCCTTGGTTTCCCAATTGATCTCTGGGTTATATTTCCGCAACCAGGAGTACCCCAGGATGAGGTCTTGCTTGCCAAGATGGGTGATGGCCAGTTGAACTCGTTCGGCATGGCCCTTGTAGCGCAGGACCAAGTCCGCGATCTGTTTGATGGAGCCAGCGTCATTGGGGGTGCCATCGACATTGAAAACCGGAATCGGCTGATCGAGGGTGCGGACCGGAATGCCATTCCGAGCAACATAGTTCGTGTCAATGAAGTCAGAGGTGGCACCACAGTCGACAAGCCCAGAGAGCGAGAGCTGGGGCGCGCTGGTAGTGGACTCGAGCTCCAACGGGAGGTGGAGGGAGTTCGCCCCAGGGGCAGCGGCAACGGTGTACTGCTTGGGCAGTTTCTTTTCCCAGCCAGTGAGGCGGCGAAGGACGATGACCGGAGTCCCGGGCGGAGTCGGAGACGGGGTCGAGGCGGGGGCAGGAGAGGGTGTGTCTTTCGTTTCGGGCTCATTGTAGGGCAAGGAACTGCATTCATCATACAAAGAGGCAAAACGATTTATAGACGCGAACGAGGGCACACCAGTCACTCGTCGCGGGGGACAAAATCCTCTCCGGCCATCGACTCCGCTGCCGTCTCCGGCAGGGCAGCTGTGTCCGTGTAGCGGGCGATCAACTCCGCTAGCATCTCGTCACCAAGTTGTTGGATCACCTCGTCGAGGATGTCCATCGAGCGGACATCGGCGGGGAGGGGGCAATCCCGGGCGAGATGGTTTGGGTCGCCGCACCTAAAGCAGGCGCGACGAGGGGCACCCCAAGCCCTGGTGCGATCCAACTCCATAGGGACGGGAGCTGGAGGCGCCGGAGCGGGGGCGCGGGCCGCGGGTGGCACGACCGGAGCCACCGGGCGGAAGGGGGCCGGAGCCGGGATGCGGTTGACCGGAAACGGAGTCCGAATCAGACCGCCAGGCGTCTTGGGGGCGGCTGACTTGATCAGCTTGGCCCGGACCAGGGCCTCGTATTGACGGAAGGCCCAGGTACGCCAGCTAAGGTAATCCCGGAGGTCCGGGGGGTCGTTCGAGGACGTGATTCCGTTGTTGATCAAGGGGTCAAGTCCGTGGCGGAACTTGGTCACCTTGACCAGTGCGTCTTCGAATCCGGCGAGGTCCATCAGGTCCTCGAAGTCGTCGGTGTACTGGTAGACATCCTTTGTACCCATGTGATAGGCGGAAGTCTCCAGCTTGGAGAGAGCATGATCTTGCTCGTTCTCCTCGACGAACCGGAGTCGAAACTCAGAAACGAACGAGCCCCAGGACGGAAACGGAAACGGGGCTTTGCTTCCATGGCGCTCCGCCCATTGCTGAGCGGGTCCTTCTGCCATAAACGACATGGCATAGCGGACAGCCTTTTCCTCGCTCGCCTCTCCGTTGACCACGAAGGCCTCAGGGGCAAGGCGGGCGTAGGTGCGGACCGCGTAAAGGAACGCCGGCCGTTTCCGGTCGCCGTTGAAGGTGAACGGGGGTTTGGTCGCAAGACCAATTTTGAGGCGAGGTTGATGTCGCCAAAAAGGGCTTCGGAGTCGCCCTGGACCGGAGTCGGAGTCGGAATCGACGTCTCCGGCGAAGGTGTTTGGGGTCCGCCAGCATTATTAGCGGCGGCAGCGGCAGTGGAAGCCTGGTTGGTGAGTAAAGCAAGGAGTTAGGCTATCGATTTTCGCCTCGAGTGAGTCCAGCCGGGCGTCTGCGGTAGGAGTGACTCCGGACGGCATGACGGGTGCGGGGACCACAGGAGTAGAGGAGGAGGGGACAAGTGGCAGGGGCGGTGACGAGGGCGGAACGGACTCGTACTCCGAGCCTGAGTCAGCGCCGAACCTGGCAATCTTGTCTGGTTGATCCCGTAAGAGTTTCTTCTGCTGTAAGGGCAACCCCGGAGGCCTGAGATCAAGGTCCTAGCAGGGGAGGATCCAAAGCGTGAACATTGGTAAGCGAATACAAATGAAGCTGACCTAGCAGGGGAGGATCCAAAGAGAAGAAACTCTAAGGGTCCGCCTGCTAGGTAGCTGACTATATACTGCTTGTCCGTCGCTGCCGCTGTCGGGCACAGAAGGCTTGGGCGGCGTCGCAGGCGAGGTCCCAGGGCGACCGTCGGGAGGGCGTTGACGGATCGGTGATTGTGCGGGCGAGATGGAGGGCCGGACCGGAGTCGGAACCGGAGTCGGACCGGAATCGGGCGCGTCTCCGGGCCGAAAGGGAGGTTCCCCTGACAAGTTCAAAAATCTCAACTATCAGATTAGATTATCCTGACTCCATATGTGCACACTGTGCACATAAGTCACAGATGCTTTCAGCCGAATCATCCACATTACAGTCAAGTCCACAGATCAAGAGTATAATCGGTGCAGAGAGTCCATATCTACACTACAAGCCCCAAGGTTTCCATCCTGACCGTCTCGGTGACGCGAGCGATACACATTGTTCTACACAAACTCGGCCATAGGCATTTTCGACCATTTACCTGGTCCACGACAAACAAACTGATGACTATAAATCGCTCAGAATTGTCGCTGCACGGAAGTCAGAGAGCGAGGTGTCAGTACTCAAACATGTAGAGTCCCAATCCGATGCGCAAGAGGAAGGAAGCAATCATGTTGCGCAAATGGAGATACCTGCACTTACATTGTCTGCGAAGCAATTGGTACTAGCCTCAATGAGCACGTCGCCATTTGGTTTTGGGAAAGCAAATCCTTACCAAAAGGCATGGCTAGCCGACTATTTGGACAAGTTGCCTTGGGCGTGCATCTCCCTCTCCACATGTTCCAGAATATCTTGTTCCAACCCGCCTCGACGAAGCAAAGTTGATTAGACGCTGCTTAATGAGTCCCCATGTTGAAATTTACGACTTCAGCTAATCAAGTATCGCTGGTATGACTGACCGAGCCACCATGGAAAGGGACATCTGGGCGCTCGCCGTGCTCTGCTGTATGTCATTCTCCGGCGGCGTTGGTTTTTTTTTTATGGCAGCGCATCTCTGTTAAACAACTCCAAACACAACCCAGATGCCATATCGAAAGAAGATAGTGCGGAAACTGGGCAAATTCCCAGAGCCGATGTGGTCGAGCCGGGCGGAGTTCGACGATGGCAGTGTTGCCGGAGGGATGGTAGGACGGGCGACGTCGACGACTTCACAGCCCTGGACACATTGCTGAGGTCAATGCTGCATTATGATGCAAGCAGTCGAGTGGCTGCTGAAAGTTGTGGCGAGTGGATGGGTGGAGCGGTATTGTCTGAATCGCCCGCAGATGGGGACAAAAAAGACTTTTGAGGTTGAGTACACCGAGGTCTGATACTGCGTCGATTACGGAGGATTCAATGAGTGTTTTGTGTCCTTGAGACTTGAGTTTTTGTTTGAGTGTGTTTGAGTGAGTTCAAGTTGCTCAAATGATGTCATCACATTCCTCTTTCGGCGCCTGTCTTCTCTCCATCTTCCAACGACCTAACGAGCGCCTTGATAGGTACCCTACGAAGGAAATATGTCTCTGCTAGACAAATTCAGGAAGGGCGCGCAGAAGGCGGGCATACAAGCGACGGCATTCGCCCAAACCAGCGGAAATAAGATTGCGAGTGGGTCCAGAGACCTGGTGCAGGGCTTCAGCCTTCCAGGAGAAGCTGAGAAGGCAGCTAAGATTCTGGATAGCTTCTTAGGCACGTCTCTAACGTCTTCTGTCGTCATCTGTGCTGACTGTATAATGTAGCGGACCCTGACCGACCCGAGTCCGCACTCAACGCCATACCAAAAGCTGTTTTGCAGTCCGCTCGGGGTGCGTCTCAACGCTCTGCATATACTCTACAGCTTTCTTATTCTCACAATCTAGGTCTCGCTATATTCCAAATTCTGAAAGCCGGCTTCGTATTTTCCGGCAAAGCGGGCTCAGGCATTGTCATTGCCCGACTTCCAGATGGCTCATGGTCTGCGCCGTCATGTATAGCGACTGGCGGTGTCGGCTGGGGACTCCAAATTGGCGCCGACATCACGGACTTCGTTATCGTGCTCCGCAATGAGGACGCTGTCCGTGCCTTTTCACAGGGCGGCAATTTCACAATTGGCGGTAATGTGAGCGCGACGGCTGGGCCAATTGGAACTGGTGGCAGCGTAGAATCCGCCATTGCGACAGCGCCGACACCAATGTTCTCTTACTCGAAGTCTAAGGGTGTGTGCTTTCTTCTCTTTCATTATATATTCTCAAAGCTTTCTCCAGGCTTGTTTGCGGGGCTTTCGCTGGAGGGAACGGTACTCATCGAGCGCAAAGACGCCAACCGCGATTTCTACGGTTCTCCAGTGCCTGCAAGGGATATTCTCGGTGGCCGAGTACCACCTCCTGAGGTTGCGTCTAGGTTATATGAGGTTATCGAGGCAGCAGAGGGCCTTGATGAGACTGGGTTGCCGCAACAAGCATATGTACCAAACGCAGATGGAGGCCATGATCACATGGTATTTGACGCGGACGGCCACTGAAGTGACTAAGGATACACAAACGTGGTTTTCTTCTGTATGATAATCCAGCATCTGTAACAAGTGGGTTCAAGATAAGAGAGGATATGAGAAGCGGTGACTGTCACGGTGACTCATCCTCATCCACACCTCCAAGTCGCAATGCCGAAGCTCAAGCTATCATTTTTACTCGTTGCAATTCAACGGTGCTATGGTCTCTCTCCGCGTTTATATCAAGCCCAACAATCCTGGAAAACCTTTTTCTTGGTCAATATATAATCTTGTCGCGGTGAGAACTCTGTTCGCCATGCAACTGAGGTCAACGAGACTCGTACAACAAATTCTACGCGATCTAGGAACTAGAAGGAGCCCTCGACACAAGAAATCTTTAGTCTGGTTCACGTTAGACGCTCTTCTGGGGCGCTAACGACATGGCTGCCTGGTATCTGCTTAAATGCAAGCGACTTCAACCGAGATGTCCTGCACCTCGTCTGTGTCGTCCGCAAAGGGTTCAAAAGGGCTTTGTCGATTTATTGGTGCACTGCAAAAGCTGTCAGATACCTCCCTCCCCGTATGAGTCCCGTGGGTTTATTATTTCTTCGTGCCTCGAGGTTTGCACAGGATTGATCGATTTCCCTTTCTGGTGACTGGCAGTGTTGTTGGTTGGCGCACTTTTTCTTGGCGGGGCGCAGGCGCAGGGCGCGTCTCCGTATGGGAAGGAAAAGGCGCCTGGGTATATATATACGGCCTCTGCTCTTTCCATCGATTCTTCATTCCCCCAATGTCCAGCTCTTCTGCCGCACCCTCCTCTCAGCCCAAAAAACATCACTGTCTTAACTGCGACGCTTCTTTCTCCACCAACAGCCACTTGCGCCGCCATGAACGAACCCATACGGGCCAGAGGAACCACAAATGCCCTTACTGTGAAGCAACCTCGGCGCGACAAGACAATCTGAACGCGCAGTCGGGTGCTTTTCTTCTTGTCTGGTCGTCGCTGACAACAATGATCACAGTATTCAGTCGGTTCACATCAATCCGCATCCCCGCCAACCGAGAGGCAGCGGCAGTCGTCGACGGGGGAGAAGCGTCGATCCGGGCTCACCAGTCGACTCGTCATCGTCCGGGAGTCCGATCTCAGCTGGCAATAGCCCTCAGATGATGATCCCTTCTCCCCTTCCGCTAGTGCCCGCTCCATATTTCCCAGGCTCAACTGCATATTCAAGTCCGGCTGCTCCCACTCCTGTCACCCCATATGGCTATCGCCAACAACATGGCTCGTACGTCCCACAAGGGCATCAAGCTGGGTCATCTTCCGTTTATGCCAACCCCAATTCTCCTTACGGCAATCCGGCCCACCCCCAAACCGCATCGTACGCGCCTACTGCTCCCCCTCCGATGTACGGCAATCCGAACACCAGCTATGGCCACAACAACGTTAACAGCACTTCTGGATACACCTCTGGCACTCCATACTACCCACCGCCTCCATAGATGCTTCCCAACATGACTCACCCCTAACAACCAACCACCGCTCGTCCGATTTCTAGTAAACATCTGTCATTGCGCCCCATTTCTCTCTGATTTGGTCACTGTAACACTCCAACCCCTACTTTCTAGTATTTACTGCCATCTTGTATCCACACACACATTCTCTCCACTCGCGACAACAAATGCCTATCCATATAATGTAACCCCGAACATAACCCCTCGTATCATCCTAGCTGATTGCGCTCCAAATTCTCGGTGTCGGCTCAAAAGGTAATCTCCGAGGCTCGGAATCGCTCCGTTGATCCGCGCAGAATCTAGTCCCGGTGGGCGCAGTATCAACAGCAGTCAACAGCCAGATTGGCACTTCAAGTTGAGCCCTATCCTGCTATCACTGCTCCGCCATGGTGATGTACGTGCTGTGAATACGATCGGCGGCTGTCTCTCTCTCATTTATTATTATATGAACTCCGTTGCTTGACATCGCTGGCGCTAACAACCATTCGAATCTGCCACGATTGTACATAGTGGTGTTGGCTAGCGCTTGTGCCATCATGAAGGTGAACAGTCAGAGATCGTTCATCATTGACAAAGTTAGTCGACAAAAGTTTCATTCACAAGAGGAAAACACAAGGGAAAACAGAAACGAACCTCGAGCTATCCGCAATTTGTACTGCTAATGGATGTAGTAAGTGTCTCCCGTTTAGCCGAGTGAAGAACAAATTTCAACAAAATGATCAAATATGCCTGCGACATGAGTGCTTTCCTCTTCCGTATCGAAGCGTTCAAGCACCCACCCCATCCATGCAGCGATAATTTTGATTCGTTCGTTTCTCATGAACCAACCAGCGTGGCCAAGTTTGTGGGAAAAAGTATATCGTCCGTTTGTTGAAACAGTGTTGAAACAGTCTCAACCAGCAATGGGCGATTATAACACGAGATTTACCCAGTCCTGCGAGATGCAAAATCAACCCAGCCATGTTCTGGGTGATTCATAATCGAGGAGAAACTAATAGACGGCTTCAACAAAAGAGTTTGTATGTGAGTGAGTTACAAAGTGGTCTGATGAGTACAAAATGCAGTGACAACAAGCAAGTGCGACAAGAATTAGGTAGTGGGAGGTGGGGGTTGTGTAGACGATGCCGGTACTGGTCTCCGTATTTGTACCGGTTTGGATCCAGCGGCCGGGCCTTCAGCTTTTAGCCGTTTGGCTAATGAAGAGCCTGACGAATCGTCGGACCCCACGCTTTCTTCTCGGGGTCGCTTGGCAGCACCCGCAATAGAAAGCCCTTCGGGAGTGTTTGCACTTGTCGAAGCGGCAGCAGCGTTGGTGGAAGCAACAATAGCCCGAGCAGCTCCTGCTGCCGCTCCGCCCCGGCCCGGAGCCACGGTCCGACCACGAGTGCCTCTTGCAGCAACGGCCCCCCCCTTGGAGCTGCTCCACCCCGGTTAGCAGCAGGCGCCGCTGAAGTTGAAGCAACAGGTGCTGTAGGTGCTGTTGTTGAGGGAACAGAAGTAGCAGTTGACAGAGTTGTTGGTGAAACGGTAATCGGTGAATCGGCAGGGATGATGCCCTTTTCTCGATAAGACTGTAGCAAAGTCTCGAGATCCTTGACTTTTTTCTGCGATTTGACTAGTTGAGAGTCTTTTAGTTTCGCTTTGGCATTAGCTTCTTGCCGTCCACGATCCACAGCCGCGTTGATCTCCTCCTTGCGAGCAGCGGCCAACGACTCATCGTGCTTGGCAATCGCCTCCTTAATTAACGCGTCAACATTAGGCGCAGTTCCAGTTGCCCCGGCATTCTCCATCCTAGCAGCTTGAACAGCCGCCTGCATTTCAGTCTTGATCAAGTCCACAGCGGCCTTCAACTCAGCAGCGTGTTTCGACGACAGAGTCTCTTCCAATGCCTTCAACTCCGCCGTGTGCTTCTGGACAAGTTCTTCGGAGAGGGTGGCATCGGTCGTTGCAGGTTGCATTTCACTCTTGGTTTGGGCAATGGCAGCGGCGACTGCAGCATTCTTCTCCTCTGTGAACTTGGTCTTCTCCCGGGCCAAAGCCTGAGCACGCTGGAGCAGACTGTTATGCCTTTGGTCCGCTTCCTGAACTGATATCAGACCAACTTGCAGTAAATGGACAATATACATTCCTTAATCTTGGCTTCGGCAGCAGCGCGGTCCGTTTTCTCCTTCTCTAACGCAGTTTTGAGCTGCTCCACGTCAGGGGATATAGACGCAACACCAGCGTTTGCAGTTAAGGTGGCCTTTTCGTTTCGTAGGCCTTCCAATTCAGTATTCAACCGCAACTAAAGGATGATCAGTAGGCTAATGAGTCTGGAGTAATATTGCGCACGATTGTGGCCGCATCGTCTGACGATGTCACAGGCTCTTGAGAGGCTGCTGGTGTTGGAGCAGCCTTCAATGCTTCAACCTCAGCAGTCAACGAAGTGACTTGGGCCATCAAATCACTCTTCTCCGTTTGTAGTGTCGAGCGTGCTTGGTTTGCTTGACCCATGCGTTCCTTGAAGTTAGCGTTTATCCTGAGTTGGTGCTCTTTGTGAGTGCGAAGACTGCTCTCCAGGTCTCCGATCTGCAACGCTTGAGAAAAGTTGTTAGACAGGGAAAGAAAAAAAAACTCACCCGTTTGGTCGATGCTTCCAAGTTTTGTGCTTGTGAGCTTTCGATTTCCACCTTTGCCTTCTCTGCATCAGCAAGTTGAGCCTTTAGTCGCTCGGCCTCATCCTTGAGCGCTTGCATTTCTGCCGGATCGACACGATCATACTTGGATTTGATTCAGCGCATCATAGTTGGAGGGACCTCATCACGCACCTTGACCAGAAGTTGAGAATTGCGCTCCTGCCACCTGCGGTTCTCATCCTCCATCCGCTTAATTTGAGCGTCTCGCGCTTCAAGTTCCGCCTTGTAGGCGCGGTTCTCTTCTTTGAGAGGAGCATTCTCGCCCATGAAAGTCTTGAGCTTAGTCTCTAGTTCTCGGGCTTTCTTGGCATTATTCTCCGACTCGACACGCAAAGTAGCGTTGCTCTCGCGCAGAACATTGATTTGATTCGTCCGCTCGAGGAGTTCAGCGTGTTGAGCCTCCGAGGCCGCTGCTTCGACCGCCCGTTCACGTTCCTGAAAATATAAGAAACCTAAAATGCACCACAAAATCAGCGCTACCTCGGACAAAGTCGCCCGCACATCCTTGAGCGATTGGTTAAGATGCTCGTTCTGCGCCTTCAACCTCGTTGACTCCTGCTTGGTGACATTCAGTTGAAGTTCCACAATCTCTTTCTCGTGGCGCAGATAAGTCACAACGGAACGGAGTTCAGCCAGCTTAGTGTCTGCGTCCTCAGTCGAAGTATCCCTTTCAGCAGGTGCTGAGGCAGACGAATCAGCGGCTGCCTGGCGGATACGACTAGCTTGTGAAGTGACACTCTCAAGATGTTGATGAAGCACTGAATTCTGCGATGTCAGTTCCTGGCAGCTATAGCGTCTATATTAGCGTCAGCTTCCAACATAACGAACAACTTGCCGTCGATTAAGGTCAGAAAGTTCCTTGTCCAAAGTCTCCTTTTGCAACCCCCAGCTACTTTCGGATGACGCCAGTTTGACTTGTGCGGTTTCAGCAGCTGTTTGGCGTTCACGGGCTGTTGTCTGAGCTGTAGCAAGTTGCTCCTTCAAACTGTCGACCAGCTTGAACGAATCTCCATGTGCGATTACTTCCTGACGATATTTCGCTTCCGCAGCCTTGGCACGATCTTCAAGTTCTCGGATCTGATGCTCACGAGAGCTGCGGTCATTGGCGGAAGTCTGTTCAGAAGAACTGATTTCGGCGATGGTGTCCTCGAGCACTTTCTTGTCTTCCTTCCAAGCTTTGCGTTCTTCCTCCGTCGTTTTCAAGAGCTCATTATACTTGGCGGTAAATTGTGCGAGATCCTGTTGGACTGCCTTCAATCGCTCTTGGATGGAATCGTACTCGGACTAGCAGTTCATCAGCTTTTGTTTAGCCTTCGGAGACGCTCCAAACCTCGTGTCTCGCGATCTGGGCTTCAGTAGATGCCTTGTATTCGTCATATGTCGCGTTAAGACTGTTTAATGCCTCCTCGTTTGCCTCGGATATTTGACGGAATTGCTCGACATGATTGCGGGCATTGGCCAAGTCGACTTCAGCAATCTTCAGGGCCGATCTAAAAATTTCGTTGGAAATCACAGGTTTTCGGTGAACAAGAAATTGTACCTTAGTTCCGCGACTTCAGCTTCCAGTTGTTGTTCGCGTGGCAAATCCTGATCCATAGCTTGGGTGATACCAGTCACTGTGCTCGAGCGACGTTCATAGACTGAAAGTTTTTCTTCGCTGCCCTTCAACAGTCGTGTAAGCTCTTCCACGCGCTGTTCGAGATGTGTTTTGCTTGTCTCGGCTCCGACAAGGGACTCTCGGGTTTTGGCGAATTCTTGAGTCTACGCATAACATAAAATATCAATATATGATTATAGAATGAGGTCAGGTCAGGCTTACGAGCTTATCAAGGCGAACTTGCAACTCCTTCATCTCAAGCTCTTTCTGCAGAGAGAGGTGTCGGACCGATTCACGTTCCTTTGTGAGTTGATGCCGGAGATCCTGACTAAAGAATTTCAGCAGCCAACTCACGATAACTGCGAAAGGTTTACTTTTGTGTCTCGAGCATTTGCAGCTGATTTTCCAGGCGTCGTCGATCGTTTTCGCCGGACCTCTCCAAGTCATTATGCATCTTTTGAACGTTACCCATTAAGTCAGACAGATGCGACCGCTCCAACGCAAGAGTTTTATTCTCGTCGACAAGCCGGCCTTGGACAGTCTGTAGGACGGGTCATTGTTCGAGTCATAGGAGCATAGGATCAAGTATCCAACCTCCCATATTTTCTTCTCAGCGCGAAGATTGGCACACTCATTCCTCAGTTGTTCGATCCGGGCGTTCGCGGTTTGTAGATCCTCAGTTACACGACTGCACTCAATGTCGAGTCTGGTCCATTGGTCGAAAAGTTGCTGATTGCGCTTCGTAAGATCGTCAACTTCACGAGAACGGACGGAAGATAAATCCTCAGTCATTCGATGTCGTTCTAAGAGAAATTAATTCCAGAGAATGAAACGCTAGATGACACACCGTTCAACAGATCATTCTTGGCGCTGGCTTTGGCCAATGCGGCACTAAGTTGACCAACCTCCCGTTGCGACGCGATCAAGTCTTCCCGTAAACGAACAGAATCGACACCCATTTCGGTGCGATAGGCTTCAAATTCGCTCTGGACATCGGCCAGCTCCTTTGCCAAGTCTCCGGATGTTGGAGGTAAGTTGTTGCTGTCGAACCCATTGATCTCGGAGTGGATGCCGTTTGTGCTAGATCCACCCCGTTCAGTACGAGCGAGCAGAGCCTTATACGTGTCGCGTTCTTTGACGTAGGCTTTAATGATGTTTTCGCTGCTGGTTTTTTGACGTTCCAGCTGTTCAGCCAACTCTTGCATTGCTTCATGTGCCTCGCGAATTGCTTCCCCTTGTTCTCTCTCGATCGCTTCTCGATACTCCTTCTCTTCATTCTCCATCTTGTCGCCCAACTCCCGAACGACTCTGAGGAGTTTTTGGTTCTGGGCTTGGAGCTCTGGGATGGACCTATACAGAACAAGTTGATCGGTGATGACATGACCAATCGTCTCTGAGGCCATAGGTTCGAGGGCTTCAAGTTCAAGGTCAGATGGAAGAGACGTATTGTCGCGTCGGCCAATTTCACGCAACAAATGTTGGACTTGACGACCAAGGTCTGTGAGCTGCTGTTGGAGAACTTCATTCTCTCGAATGGATGCAGAGAACTTCTGGGAACTGTCCTGGGCTTGCTTCGCTTGGGTGTCGCGATCGGATATGGCTTGAGACAATTGAGAAGCTAGATGAGACGCTTCGGACTGGAGGCGTTCATATTCCGCGCGTTGTTGAGTGATGATAGGGGCCTAGAAAGGCTCAAGAAATGGCGATGAAAAAAAAAAACAGCGACGTACTCGTTCCTCGATTTGGGATAGAACTGCGGATAGAGTTTGGTCCATGCGGTCGTACTCAGTACATTTCTTGGCGTAGTCTTCCTGCAAACGGACATAGTCGGTGTAGACTTCGGTGAATGTTTTGCCACTCTTTTGTGCTTTGCTAACCATGGCCACCGTTGGACTAATGTTGACAATACCGTCGTTCAAGATGTCTGCTGCTCTTGGGGCAGGGAGATCGCCTCTACCCATTCGCTCCACCACTTCTTCAAGTTGGTCGACCCTCTTTTCTGCCTCTCCTCGAGCTACGCGTTCCATCCTGAGTTCTTCTTTGAGCGCAGCCTCGCGTCGATCTGCCTTGTCGTTAACCATTGCCATTTGATCTTCGATTCCATCGACAACCTCTTGAGTCCTGGCCTCGCGTGCCTGCATTGCCGCGACGAGCCTATTCAAGTGACTGGCCTCAGCGGCATAGTTGGATTCTTGTTCGGCAAGCTGCCCAGTGAGGTCTTGTACTCTAGTGAGCGCTTGGGTGAGCTGATGGGATTGGGCCGTATGCGCAGACTGTAATGATTTGAGAGTGGCTTGGGTAGTGGCGTGGGTTTGCGTTAAAGCATCGAAATTGGCTTGTAAGGTGACCAGCTCAGCATGTTTGGTCCGACGCTGTTTGGAGTATTCTTCTGACTTGGCCAGCAACTCCGCATTTGCGCGTTCAGCCTCAGATTGGGATAAAGCAAGTTGTTGACTCAATGAGTCGAGTTTGAACTTCGCTCGCATTAGACTCCAAAAGATCGTGAACGTATTGGGCATACCTTGACTGATGTTTCCGAAGACCGAAGTTCCCGCAATTGACTTTCCAGCGTTTGGTGTTCCTGTCGTGCCTCCTTGAGGTTGGCACGAAGGGTGTGAACTTCCTCTATTGCGCGTTAGATAGTGAAGAAGACGCGTGTACATGTCTCACCTTCCCTCTGACTACTATCCTGTTTGAGACGGCTAATGACGCCCACGAGGTCGCGTTTTTCTCGTTCCGTGTCATCAAGCTTATGTCTCAAATTTTCCACTTCGGTAGAAGAGGACGACTGCGACGTGGACAGCGTTGAAATCTGTGCCGATAAAGCGGCTTTCGCAGATGCTATAAAGACAATCAACAAAGGGGAGTTGTAGTTTTGGGATGGCGACACACCAAGTTCATCCCGTTCCTGCTTCACTTGCGCCAACTCGCGTTGCGAATGCTCTGTAGAGCCCTCTAACTGCCTCGAAATGCTCTCTTTGTCTTGCAGGGCCTGGTCCAACTCGACCTCCATCCTCTCCACCGTGGCCTGGTCTTCGTCTCGTTGTCGGACTGCGGCATCGAGGTCGGCTGCCAACTGAGCGAGGCGACGATACAGCGCCACTATTCCGTCATTACTTTGAGATTCAAGGCTTGCTTCAGGCAAGAGGGCGGAAAGCGCATCGACATCCAGGTCTTCAGGAATAGAAATAAGGAGAGTGTCCTTAGCGGCGCCAGGAGAAGAATGTTCGCCTTCTTCTGCGAGACCAGATGCCTTGCTTTTCCGACGAGTCTTCGCAGACATCGTCGCCGAATTATTGTTGAGTGCGACGCGACTCACAAGTTTGAAGTCAGTCACAAACACAAGGAAGAAGTGGCGATGCAGTGAGTTGTCTGTGTTTGGCAGCAGTGCTGATCGGATCAGACGGCCAATCTCAAATTTGCGCAACTAAAAAAATCTCGTATCAACACTATAGACGTGCTACCTCTGGATTCGCATGTCGCCAGTCCATTGCCTTTAACAACGCATACACGCTATGGAATTCTATCAGCTGACAGGCAAATAAGTAATTAAAGTCTAATAGGACGAACATGGTCAAGGTTGGTGCTGGGATGCCTAGTCGTCTGGCTTCACGCAGGGGATAGCTAGGAGATTATGAGAATATTGAAACGTAAGAAATGTGAGTAAATACCCGATAATGCTCTCAACCTCTGTCGGTTTCTTGGCCATTGCATCAACCAACATGGAGCTTTTGGCACCTTTCAAGGTCTGATATCTGGTCATAACATCCTGCAGTGTGTCCTCCGGAATTTCGAGACCTTTGGCCTTCCCTATTTCGATGGTCTCCTCGAATACTGACCGCGCGACGGAGACTGCTTCGCTCGAAGTCTGAATGAAATCACTTGTCCGCATGAGTGAAAGCGCAGTCAATGAATTCCTGTTGAATGCAGTCAGGACTCAGAATGCTTGAATCTCACTGAGGTAATATACCAAGCTGCGTTCCTGTGCACGGATTAGTCTGTTCCAGGCACTGGTAAACTTCGCCCACCAGATTAATTTAATCCATCGCTCTGCCCTGATATCTTCTTTCACAACAATCGTTGCTTTAGACTTGAGCAGAATATCCACCAGACCGTCGCGGTCTTTTCTTTGTCGTTCTTGCGACAATTTGTCTGTCCAATCTACTCCTACTCCTAAATTGTCGGTCCGCGTGAACATTTCCACGACGCCTTCCGCGATATTTACAGCCCCGGTCCATCCCTGATTAGTTTTCAATGTACAACGATATTTCGGAGTTAAGACCCACCACTGAAGTGATAATTGTTGTCTGAGGAAATAATTTATGCAACCCTTCTTCCTCTCCAAACCCGTTTTGAATCAGCAAAATAGTTGTTGTAGGTCCAATTACTGGTTTGAGTAGTTCCCCAATGAAGGCTTCGCATCCAAGATCGCCTTGTTGGCACAGATGACTATCAATTTGTTAGGATGCACCTCAGGTCCTCAGCATCAAACCATAAGAAAAAATGCGTCCAGATTGAGCAGCCTGGTCGCAGTTTGTATAGACTTGGTCAAGAAAATCGCCATTTGAGGTTCAGAGATCCATCGTTCGGTTTATGGCGCACCGGCATCGAAACGGATTCCGTCGTGGTTTCCGAACTTGTGTGTTCTTATGCTGAGCCCCTGTGAGGGTCGTACAGCCTGAGGCACGTGGGACTTGGAAGTCGAAAGTGACCTGCCTTTTCTCTAATGACTGCCGCATTCGATCGAGCGACAACGCTGACGCGGACATGTTTTCCAGCTGGAATTTATGAGAAATTTATTACAATATGTTTTTGAATGTGGGCGCACTCTGCAGGAGGAAAGCGTAGACAGATCCAACCCTAGACCAAGTACTTAGAGAATTTGCAAGGCCGACGCTAACCGTTGCCTTACGAGCCAAGTCCAAATATCAGCACGTCGAGCATGCAGTCCAGAGTGGTGATGGGCGGCGCAGAAGCAAGCGTTGTCTCACGCTTTCAATACTTGGATTGAAGCAATGCCAAATAGTAATATTATACGCCGTGCCGAGCACAACACCCGATAGAGCACTGGCAATGAATGGGGGCTTGAATCTATGTACTCGATAATAAACTTTGGGTTGCATCCGCGTTCTCATCATCAAGTTCCTCCGCATCTCGTCTCCTCCGTTTGGAATTTTCGCCCTCAAATAATGTTCCAATCTCCTCCAACCCTAATCCTGCGGTCTCTGGCAGGAATAACCACGCCCAAAGAGCCATAACGAAGCAACATCCGCTAAATACGAGGAATGTGCCATAGCGAATCGAATGGAGCAGGATAGGCGTCAGTTTAGATATTGTCAATGAAAATAGCCTGTGAAACAGTTTAGCGCGGATTAGCCCAGACTACACGCGCATACCAGCTGACTCCAATCGAGACTGACATGATCGTTGTCCTCAGATGGTTTGGGGCGACTTCTCCCGCAACGACCCAAGGCATGGGACCCCAACCGACATTGTAGAAAATTGCATAAAAGTAGACGGTGCTGATGGAAAAATAGCCGAGTGTGCTGGGGGCGGATTCTCCGGGATGCTCGGTTGGTGGATGTAGAGAACTATATATTCCCATCCAAGCCATCATCGCACTTTGTCCTAAACCGCCAACGATAAGAGATTTGCGGCGTCCAAAGGTCTCTACGGCAAGAGCCAGAACAGTCGCAACGGAGATAACCTAAGTTCGTTGTCAGACAGCCGTTCCTGAAGGCAAAGGCACACGCCTTGACGACCCCATATACGCCTATAGTCGGTGTCCATAAGTTCACAATGGGCACAAGCGAGGACATACCAGTTGCGAAGAGCTCTGATGTCGTCTCCCCAATGCCTAGATTAGCAAATATGATTGGAGAATAATAGTTTATTGCATTGGTCCCAGTTACCTATAATGAAGTCAGCTTGAACAAAATGTCTAATGAGCAGCTCACTTGCTGGAAAAACATCACCAATGGTGGGATGCCGCACCGTACTAACAAGCTCCGCGACTCCGTAACTGCTATCACTTGTTCAGCAAATGAAAGGTGCGTTCTCCCCGCAAAGTCGGCCTTGACCTCACGCATCATCTCAGCAACAGCGTCCTCATTGGCGTTGAGATTGTTGAGATAAGCAAAAGTGTCAGCTGCTTGAGAATACTTCTCGTTCTCGATTAGATATCGTGGAGATTCAGGTTGCATGGGAGTAAGCAGCAGGAACAGTACCCCCGGCACAATCCTGTCGCCATGTTCATAGAGGTTTATCAAAATGAACATGGCCTTACTGCATCGCAAACGGTATGCGCCATTGTCTTTCCGTTGGCTGAATGTTCTTCGAGGCGAAATAGTTCACCCAAACTAGACGCCGTGAACCCAGGTGAAATGAAGGAAAGTGACGAACAAGAAAGCATGATTCCAATGTTGTTCGCCAGCTGAATGAGACCCGTACACCTCCCACGAATGGTGCGCGGGGTCGACTCAGACAGATATGAGGGGACCAGGGCAGTCACCATTCCCACACCAACACCGCCCACAAAGCTAATACGACCTTCAGAAGATGGATTAGATGTGAATGAGTGCTTACCGCCCCACATAAAGCAATGGCAGGGCATATTCTCTGCTTGGACCAAGACCGACGACGACTTGTATCGCACTTCCGACGACAAAGATGAATCCTGAAGCAAGAAGGCAAGGCTTGCGACCATAACGGCTTGAGAATGGACTTATGCCGATGGCGCCAATACTGAAACAGGTTCATTCACAGATAGACACCAGAGAACTTGCCCCATACAAGCATCCGACTTGCAAAACCGCGACAATATTGCCAGAGATGGAGGCTCTCTCGCTTGGGGACATTTTATCAAGGCCGAAGTATTTCTGAAAGGACTCTAGAGCCAGGACACCACCAATAAGGCCGCTATTGGCAAGTTAAACTGAATTCAGGCTTTAGGTATATCATTACATATCATAGCCGAAGAAAACGCTGCCCATGGCGACAGCGAATGCAAGAAAGTAGGCATTGCGGTATTCCCTGATTTCGTCTAGTTGAGCCTTGAGGACCATCTACATGAAGGGAGAGTGAGAGAACGTGCCGTGGCAGGTCCGTTGTTGACGGTCCGATTTGAGTTCAACTTGAGTGACAGACCAATTTTGTTGTTCCCTAACCACTACGATGCCGGATCCCAAAGCTTCGTCTGGGCTCGTTGAGAGTCCAGAAAATATTCCTCCGCCGCAACTTGGCCCAGCATCAACAGGAAACCTTATTACGGACTCTTTCCGAGTGAGAAATTCGTTCAATGGCTTTCAAAACTTGGCTCATTTCGGCTAGTAAAGAGTGCATTTCACATCGGCGAAGTACCTTGCGCACGGAACAGCTTACTGAGCGGTATTGCGAGTGGTGTAGGCATTGGAATCATCCGAGGGATTTCCGTCAGTGAGTATAGCTTTTAAGAGCACCCAAATTTGCAGTTCACATCTGGAAGATCCCGTCGTTGCGGGAAACTGGGCGATGGGGACTTTTGCATTGGTCTCAACAGTCTCTTGGTGCGTCATCCGTCTTGCAGCCCATGAGACACTGAACTACTTTAGGATGATGTGCGTCAACAAAATCGAGAATGAGCAACAAGTGACGCGAAAAGCGATCCAGGGACTGCCTAAACAGCTTGGACTCAAGAAGGAAGAGAGTTCTAAAGAATGAGATTCAACTTGACATATTTTTCAACTCCAATCCTCTGCATTCTGCCATATTTCTGGGTCCCATTTCTCGACAAGGACAGGATCATCCTGATTATGAGAGTGAGGAGTGGTTCGGTCTGCGATATGATGACGCGCCTTGTACTTGAGTTGAAACTCAGTGAACCCATTTCGAAGGATTAATACCTCTTGCTCTCCATGTTGGGCTGGAATATTTAGATTCTGACGGATTTCCTCATATATCTGTTGACTCTGGCGTAAGTTTGCAAGAATACGGAAGGATCGTACCCGTGCCGCCTTTGGCCCACTATACGATTGTGTCAGCTCCATACTAGTCCATAGCTCAACTCAAGCGGGACAACGGCACACCGGACTTGCGATAATGCACAATGGAATACCATAGTCCCAATTTCCTTGGATTTTTGTGCCAGATCGTAAACACCAACAGAAAACTCTCGCGAAGGAATATTTCTAGCATTCTACCCTTCGTTCAGCCAGAGTAATGTGGATGGAAAACTTACCGTTATATTTCCGCCGACAAAGTCGTCATCGCGCACATCTACGACGAGATAGTCGACCCCGGAGTTCTTGCCTTCGGTCTTAATCAAGGTCGCCAAATCCTATCAACTCCGAAATCGGAAGCTGCGGGGGCCAAGCGTATCGCAACATACTTCGCTGGAGATGTATTTGACCATATGAGCTCGTCGTGATGAAGAGAGGGAGCGTGCGACTTGGACAAATCGTGACCGCGACAGAGAAAAGGGTGCCATCCTGTGTCATCCCTGTCACACCTCGATGAGCAGTTAACTGTACTGCAGGGGATATGTACTTTTATCTAGACAGATGGGATTTCGGGTCATAATTAAGGTTCGAAAAAGATGCCCCAAGTGGATCGTAGAAGGGATCTGTTGCATTTATAGCCATGCACCAATGTGAATGTTAAAAAAAACACTTGCAATAGCCCAGCAGCCATAATCGAGCACATCAAGGTTTAGAAGAAGACGCGGACAGTCACGATCCACATGACTTGTTACAGGGACCCACAACAAATTCGAGCGAAAGGGTTCTCTGGGAGTTGACTAAATGATTATTGAATTATGGCGAATGCTACGCAATACGAGGCTAACGAATTTACAACTACAAGGTACACTTCGGAGCTCGTCCCATTGTCCTTTATGACCCTCAACCTCCCTTAATGCACATCTGGTAGCAAAACATGGCCAATGAGATAGGGCGTGACCATCCCCGCCGCTATTAGCAACACACGCATGGACGGAGTCAAGTCTTTGCTCGTTGTCGGACCCACTTCTTCAGGAGGATGCGAATGTGAGACGGGCTGGAGGACCGTGGCAACATAGAGAAAGGTTCCGCCCTATAGATATGTTAGAGATGCCACGAGAAACAAGCGTCAGACCTACTGAGAGCAGGAGTGCGATGCCAGTCCAGCCTGCCTGTGTCGAACCAGCCGAGAAGAGCGAGAGGAAGAGATAGGAAAGAATGGCACCGACAGGTGTAGAAGCGGCAAATACAGCGAGGTGGTTACGGCAGTCTGGTCGTGGAAGGGAGGTGTTCAACAATGCAGTTGTTAACGCAAGAGACGTTGGGGCTACATCCCATAAGGAATCGACATACGGAAGTTGATGAAAAACTCACCTTTATGGATTATAAGTGCAAGAAAAACAATAAAAGAGAGGTCGCGGTGGCTGTCAGAGGTAGAGTCGGGCTTCGAAATGGAGCTGACGCCCAAAGCCAGCCCATCTGCCAAAGCGTGCACAACCAAACCGAAAGTCAATGGATACGCGCGTGCTCTACTCAATCTCGCATCCTCGGAAACCATATCGACTTGCATAAAACCCGCGCCAGGAGGCTCTGGAGCCCCAGGCTCAAGTTCCTCGCCCAGGTCGGCGTCAAATTCGACGGTACTCGGTCCTGTTCGGGCGTGAATCGGGAGAGGAATGTCGTTTCCATGGTGGGAATGAGCCCCTGGAGCGATAAGCTGCTCAACAAACAGCATGAAAGTGAAGCCAGCAAGCAGAGAAAGCGCGACTTGGTCGGTGGGCAGTCGGGAAGTAGGATGGGCTTCAGCAAGCGTGTCTATCCCCTCTGGAATAATGATTCCTAGTGCTGTCCCAACGAGAATCCCTTAGTTTGCTTGTCAGCGAGGGACGAAGCCGGCTCAACAAACGAAATACCAGAGCCAAAGGTGGAGAAACGTGAAATATGGTGTTCTGCAAACGATGTTCGTTGAGAGGGGCGAGCAGAACGCTTGCTACGCACTTGAGAGAGTAAACGAGAGAGGTATCATCCCGCACAGAAACGAGGCGGCGCCGAGGAGGACCGACATTACGATGAGGGCGAACATGGTCGTGTTGGTGACACGTTTGGGGTCACAACATTTTCTCTAAAGATTATTTCTGGAAGAACTATGTACTGGTACAAAAAAAAGTTACAAAACCCTTGATACTATGACTATCTGCAGGTCGTCCTCCTCTGAATCATCCGAGTCGTCACTATTGTACCCCAGTCCTAGGCTTGCCATCTGGTTGAGCTTATTGCGTTCCATCGCTGCCGTCCACTTGAGATGCTGGTGGCGCAGTACTTGGATACGAAGCGGGTCAAGATAATGCGGGTAACGGGCGCCGTGTACGTTGGCAACTACCTGCTGTCTCATTGCGCGCCGTTCTTGTGGCGAGCAAGGATCACTTGGAGGAGGTGGAGGGGGTTCGCTTCGCTGGACAACTTTGAGTAAATATGAGTAGATTAGGGCGAAGAACACCGACCAGGCCAGCCAGCGCTCGACACAACACGGTAGACACAGCAGAGAAGTAAAGATTATTCTCAGAGACGTCCGGGTCGCCGTCCAGGACGTCTCGAGCAGCGCAAAAAAATATCCATAGGCCATATAGAGCCATTTGGAGCTAATAATGGTTCCACACTGGTCTTCTTTAGCGGGTGAGATGCAAGTTAGTGCACATACTGCTCAGAGGTCATCGCACGGAAGACCACTTCCTCAATTAGATCACGGTGAGCAGGTCTTAAGAGTGAGTCATAGTCGTCAAGCATTACGTTGCGCTTGGGGGTCGTTGCAGGGTCGTATCGGTAGCTGGACAAGGTCGCCGACATTACGGGTCGTAACGGGTCGTCAGTTGTTCCACGCGAGGGGGAATTGAGGTCCCAGAAAGTATGGCATATATAGGGCCGGATCTGAGGGAGGTTTGACATTTCTTGCCATTGAGGAGGTTGGAGTGCCTGAATTCATTACCCGATTGTCTGAGGTCTACCTCGCGTGTCCACAGTGAACTTGATCGGAAGGTTTACGTTGGTGTCAATGGCTAGGAGGAGAGTCATTTGTGGCTCAAGGTGATGCTACCGAAAATGCGAGGCTCAATATCTCCATTGAACAAAACCATTATCAGAGGCTTGCAGGAGACCGGTCACCGGAGGTAAACTCTGGCTATAAGACTTGCGGGCGGATAAAATGCGGGTGACGGTAGAACAACGGATGAGGAGGTTTTGTCCAGGATTCAATGAGCACGTGTTGACTTTGTCTCAGACTCTCATCTCGGCCCGCTGCTCGCGCGCTGTGCGCCAACATGGGAAAGAGTGCGAAGTTGCACAAACGAACTGTACGCGCCGTTTGACGTTTGTAACCCCAGCTTATCAAATTTCACCCACTAGCAGAAAAAGACTGCTAAAACCGCATCAAATCCTGGCGCTACAGTCGTCAATAAGCCCCATGCTCAAGCGCAGACAGCGAAGAAAAAGGCCGTCTTAAAGCAAGGCCAGAAGTCCAAGGCATCCACGAGTCACGTTCTGGGCGGGGCAGACTACGTCGATCTCATGATGGGTAGTCGTAAACGCGCTCGTGAAGAGGCAGCCAGATTACCCCAAGACACTGAGTAGTCATTGGGTTGATTCAGCTCTCCCTGTTCTTCTATGGTACAAATAAACAGTACAACCCCACCATTTTGAATGTTTCAACTATCGCTAAAAGATGAAGAAGATTGAAGATAGCTGACTGGAAAGGCATCAAGCCAATTCCAACTCTGGTATATTCTATCGTACAATTACGTCTCCCAGACTAGCCCCGCCTTGACTGCGAGCAATTCCCTGACCATCGAGTCCATCGGAAGCCCTTGGTGTGCCAATCGCAATCCCGCTTCCATAGTTGTCGTCTCCTGGACCCAGATTGAGGTATGACTCTGGCACCCCTTTGATAGCAACAGCAGCAGAGTTGTTGCGCGAAATTGGCGAAATGCCTTGTGGCAAGTCTGGCCGGGTGCTCACCCGACCAGTTCCCCGAGTTGGGATGAGCCGAGCAGCGGCAGGTTTGGCGACATCGAATGTGGTAGTGGTCCCGGCTGTTGAAGGTTGGGGTGTACGCTTCGTATATGCAGATGGGGCCGTTGACGAGTTGCGATGAACAGTCGCGATTTGGAGTATGTTTTGGATGTCGACCGTGTTCATAGACAATCTGCTGTCAGAGCCTGCGCTGTTACGTCGCATAGCTGCTTCTGACTCAGGCTCCATCACTCCAGGGCTTCGTTGGTCTTCGGGAACAAACTGGTTCCAAGAAGATATGCTGGTGCGGACACTAACATTTCCGTCGTCAGTCATCGCGGACCTCCTCCATTTGTCGTTGGTGTAGATTGGATCGCGAATAACACCACCCCCGCCGAAGGAGCTGCTGATAGACCCCCGTTGCTCAATGAGATCGGCGTCACTCTTCTCGTCTGCGTTCGAATACCAAGTCTGAGTAGTTGGCATCCTCTTTTCGGCATCTGATGATGGCCATCGTCGGTTCAGGAGAGCAGGATCAAAAAGCAAGCTAGAGGCTCGTCTTCGTCGCCTGCGGACGCGCAAGAAATACCATAAAAGTAGCATGATTGCAAACACCAAAAGGGCGGCTCCGATTGCTATCCCAATAACAGCACCCCTGGAAGATGATTCAGGTTGCGAGCCACATTTATAACGTTCCTTCTTACTTGGGCAATCCTGTTTGGGTGACTGCACCATCGGCACTGGAATTTTGAGACTTGCCGTCATTATTGCTATCATTACCGTTGTTGTTCCTGTTAGATGCCAAGCAGTCCTTTGAGCTTCCCGAGTCGCCTGAAACTGCAAAAACAAGTGAGGAAGCCTAAAAAAATGCAATGACACAAAGAGAGAAAACGTACCAGTCATGAGAGCTGTTGTTACTAATTTGTTGGTTGCGGGATCGTTGAAGAGTAGGGCTACTTCATTGCCACGATTACTAGTCATGGTATACCGAGCCAAACCGTTGGCAGCGGACGAGGGGAGGAGTGTAGCTCTTCCATTTGGCTGGAAAGCGGTGATACTTGGGGGCCTCGTTGCGAACGCAACAGAGAAGCTCTCGCATTGACCGATGGAAGATGGTATTTCGAAAAGGTTGAGGGTGGAGACGGTGAGGGACGAAAGGCAAGTATTGGACCCTGTAGTAATATTCGGCGGTAGTACTCTTGTGACATCGGACACCTTGGAAGCTGGGCCATCTGGATTGTCGAGGGTCGCGATGAAGGTGGTATCTGCTGGCAGGGGAATGAAAGAAAGCGCTATGCCTGTCGAGTTGGACGACCCAGGGGGGATGGGAATTTGTATTGGGATGGCATTATTGACCAGAGGAAGGATAGTGAGAGTAGTTGGTACCGAGTGATTGCTGGAATCAGTCCCCGAAAACGAGATGGTGACTGGTGAGCATTGAACGATTGGGGAGAACTTGAATTTGAACGAGCCCTGGACGACCTGCGGACCCAGCGCTACCAGCACGGCCAAAGTAAAGGCAGACTTGAACATGAAATAAGGCAAAGACCCGGCCCTATGTCATGAGCAAGGTGAACGCCTGCGTGCGCACAAGGTGGACTAGCCACACAGAGATGGTCGTAGTCAGTAGGAGACGACTACAACTTTCAGTATGTCATCTTGGCATGTCATTGATGAAATCAAATCAATTTTTCTGGTTGCAAGCTTGTTCAAGAGTCTGGATGAGTGGTTACAAAGAAGACGGTCCAGACAGCGGTTCATGCAAGAGAGATACACAGCGTTGTCCTAAAATACGCGTCAAAACGCGTGATTGGCGCTCGAAATGAGTTCCGATTTAGATTCTGAACTCGCAGCATCCATCAATTCCAGGCTTGGTAACTACTTCCATGTTCCGGCCACTGTCTCGACGCCTCCACCGTCGCTGCACTCACAGTCTGGGCTACCTACCCAATTCTACATCCCCCATTGTTCCAACACTCACCTTCTTCAACTCTGTGACCGGTTCAGATGCTAAAATTCCAACATTCCGCGTTCTCGACGGCATCGGCAAGCCTGTAGACGGTGCTCAATTACCTGAGGTATTTGTATTCTCCCTCTCGATGGCCGCAGTAACTCAACCGGGTCATTCAGATCGACGAAGCATTCGCTAGAAGATTGTACGAGAAGATGCAACTTCTCCCCACCCTTGACAGTGTGCTCTATAACGTCCAGCGTCAGGGCAAGATCAGCTTCCATGTCTGTCTTTGGTTTACCACCAGTTTGTGAATACTGAATATTGCTAAGTAGATGACCTCTGTACGTACTGTTTCGGTCTGGGGGCGCGAACTCTGACAGTTCACTCGAAAGTATGGAGAGGAGGGCACAATCATCGGTGCTGCTGCTGCACTCGAGATGGATGACGAGTAAGTCACGAATCGGTCAGCTAGTTATCATACTAACAACCGGCTAGAGTCCTAGGTATTTCAAGTCAGAATGCACAGGTAGACGACATGTTTATCATACATATGCGCAGGTCAATACCGAGAAATGGGTGTTCTTCTTTGGCGTGGATTCAGTTTGGACAACGTCATGGCTCAATGCTTCGGCAACCAAGAAGACACCTCGGGGAAAGGCCGCCAAATGCCTGTTGTAAGGTCAAAGAATTCTCGTTACCGGCCCTACTCACGCGTCCACAGCACTTTGGTTCACCAAAGCACCACTTTCACACAATCTCTTCGCCTCTAGCCACACAAATTCCGCAAGCAGCTGGAGTCGGATATGCCTTGAAGCGTTCTCCAGATCGGCGTGGTCGAAATATCGCTGCGTGTTTCTTCGGAGAAGGTGCTGCCTCTGAAGGCGGTGAGTCTCTTTTGTAAAAAATAAAAATTATTTCCCAAATAATAATCAAAATAGATTTCCACGCTGGTATGCTGTTAGCATCGACGATTCCTTCTCCTACATTATTCATTGCACGAAATAACGGCTTCGCAATCAGCACACCCAGTTCAGAACAGTACTATGGCGACGGGATCGCCAGTCGGGGACCAGGATATGGTATCGATACAGTTCGAGTGGACGGAAACGACGTGTTAGCAGTTCTTTCTGCCGTTCGTGAAGCGCGCAGACGAACTCTTGAACAAGGACGAGCCGTTTTGGTGGAGGCCATGAGTTACCGGTCAGCATTTTCCTGTTTTTTATGTCTCCTTTTGATCCATTTTCAGTGTCGGTCACCATAGCACCTCCGACGACTCTTTTGCCTACCGTCAACGCTCAGAAGTTGAAGATCGCAAACGCATTGACAATCCCATCGTCCGTTTCCGTCTGTTCATGGAGTCTCAGGGGTGGTGGAACGCCGAAGAGGAGGAGACCCTCAAGGCGCGTCTGAAAGCTGACGTCATGAAAGCGTTCAAACGCGCCGATGCCCTGCCTCGCTGGGAATTGAGCGAGCTGTTCACAGACGTGTATGGAGGCGAAGAGCCATGGAACATCGTGTGTCTTTTACGATTCGACTTGGGTCATGTCTGATTCTGTTGCAGAAGGAGCAGCGTGAAGAGCTGAAAGCCTTGTTAAAGAAATACGGGGCAACTTGGGAACCCTGGAAAGCTGAACTAGGGAAGTTCAAGAACAAAGGAGCCGATTTGCTGGGGTGAAGGCGAGCCATCATAACTGTACATTGTGTAACTCTTACCTGCAGCAATCCTAAACTGGGAGTCGCTTGATGAACTTCAACGGAGTGATAGTTTGGGACCATGTTATACTACCCATCGAGCAAATAAGCCAACTTATTAATCATTGGAGTCTACAGAGTCATTCGTACCCGACCCCGCATCCATTGAGCCATCTGAATTACTTCCATCATCGTCCTCTTCCAATTCGTCATATTTTTCTTCCATGTACTCGACCTTGCAGTTCTCCACGAGCTCATCCAGTACCTTGTCCCTCTCTTTCCCGGGTCCGGGTGACCACCGCACAACGAAGCGAGGTAGAGGCACATGGTTTGCGCAACTGCACTTGAAGCCCGACCGAAAGGCTATCAGGTCCCTCAACTTCGTGCCATCCAATCCGAACAGCCGCACTTCCTTTAGATGAGGGAAGATCGGGATCCGGCGTCGCTGGCGTTTGCAACTACAACCTGAGTCTTCGTCTTCGTCCTCGTCCGAAACCACAGTTGCCTCGAACAAGATATCGAGCAACACGTGACGTGGACTGATCGCAGAGAAATCGAGCTCGAGGACGCGTAAAGCGGAAGCCGCACGGATGAGCTTGGCCAATATCTCCGCTTGACATTCGAGCGCTGCAATCCGGAGGGTGTGAAGCCCCGCCAGTTGGATGGGGGGACACTCTGACTCCTCCGTCAAGAGTTGCATGGCGCTGGTGTAGTCTTGATCTGGGAGGTCCATCGACAGAGTGGTAAGGTGGGGGAGGTCAAGCGTTTTGAGCATCGTTGTCAAGTGCTCAGGATCAAGGTCCGTAAGCGAAAGCTCTTCTAGTGTAGGGACGGAAATCCGACTATCGGGTGATTTAGATGCCACACGCGGGCCAGAATAGTGTAGCAGCAGTCGACGAAGACGAGGAGACTCTCTGAGCATCGCATCCCAGACATCGAATGGTGGTCTGATGTTGTCCGGATGCAAAGCGAGCTCCAGCGCGTCGAGTTGCTTCAGGTACGGCGAGTGTGCCCATGGCAAGTTGACGCCAATGAGTGACACATTCTTCAGCGAAGGGAGCACGTTATTGAATATCATGACCGGGTCGCGGTAGGTTGCGATGTAGAGGTTATGGGCCGTTCGGTAGTCCTCAAAGTGGTACAGCTGCAGCGTCTCCAGCCTGGGGGCAGGCCCACATGTAGACAAAGCTTGCCGGGCAATAAGTTTGCATTCGTCTGCGCGGACCTGTAAACAGTGTGAGAATCGATTCCAAACCTCGTGCGGTACAAGCTCCTGAAATAATCTTTGCCTCGATAGTGGTCATGGCTGCAGCACCAACCTTGAGATGAAATGCTCTCCACCGCGCAACATGAGGCGTTATTAATTCGAATATTGTCCGCATCTCTTCGCGACATAGGGTTACTCTAGCTGGTTTCAGTACTATTTGCCTCGCCCACGACAGAACAAATTACCCAGGAATGTGTTCCTCCGGCGAAACGGTGTCCACCAGAATATCAAGTGGATAACTGACGGCAAGCCGGTTAGTCTACAACTTCTCTTCCTGCGCTCAAAAAGAACTTACTTTGGCGAAGCCCTGCTGAGGAATGCCTCAGCCCTTGTGATATGGACTGGTTCACGGAAATGCAGCGATGTCCACAGAGAAGAAGTTCGGATTGCAATTTGCCGCCAATGCTGGCAAACTTGCGAGGAGATTAACTGGAAGTCAGCCGACGCAGTAGAGCAGTAGTCTTCATCTGGTCGAAGAAGGAATGGAGAGTCGCTGTACTGGTCAGCAGCGCCTAAAACAAATATGCGTGCAATGAGCTCGACGGGGAGGGAATGGATGGTCATAGCTGGTAACGAAACCATGGTCGTGGGATGGAGCAGGCTCGGCTTTAGCCTTGTATTCTTGTTACTTAAGGTACGCTGCTATGATCGACTCCGAATGCCGAGGCAGCAGAATGCTCTGCGTGTTGGGAGAAGCTAGTCGGACGCTACCTCCACATTATGTCCCCTACAAAAGATTTGCCATGTCCAGCTGGAATTTTTGGTGTGCCATTCCGATTTGCCACTGATCTACGAGAAAATTCCAGTTAGCCCGATTCCATAGATCTGGAATCTGAAATCTTCCTTGACGCGTTACTGCCGCCACCAACTTCCGATTCCGTCGCCAGTTTCCCCACAGTGTGCAGACTGCAAGTATCGATGATGCCGTACATTGTAACTGGTTGTCGTCTACTGTTCAGAATTTTTATGAACGGCTTCAAGCAAACCTTCCATCTCGTTTCCACCTCGCGGCCAGCCTATTCTTCAGTTCTCCAGGGATGCCACAGTCAGTCTTGAGAGGGCCGCAATGCGATTAACCGGCTCCTGCGTGGTCTGTCCCGAGACAGCTTCTTTAGGTAAAAGATGCAAGGTCGCCATGCCTTGGGCCGCCACACTCAAAAAAAAGCACCTTGCGGAGCGAAGGCTACATATGCCAAGTGGGGAAGACACTGATTTCATGAACCGTCAGTTTCGCTGAGCCTATTAGCGTATATTGGCAGCAGTACGGTACAAACCACTCGAAGTGGCGTTTAACAATATTGTACCTGCGCAAGGTTATCCCTCGAAGGAAATGCAAAAAAAGCGCACTTAATTAGCCTTTCCAGTTGTACAACACTCTCTCTCACTCATGGACAGATCCTTTGATACTACTTTGAGCGGTTTCGAACTTGTTCGTATGCACGAATGATATCTTTGGAGTCGTCAGGACTCATTTCCAGCGTCCGCATGGCGTTTCCGAGCGAGTTACGGCTAACGATGAGGTTTCCCTCTTCAGTGGTCGGCGTTTCATAGACGGAGTCTAGCTCCATAAGCGATTGTGGTACAATCTTGCCGGTCTTCAACAAGCCGTCTATATAGCGAGCGCCTTGTAAAGCTTAAAGGCATTAGTTACTGGCACTTCTCGCGCCGCAAGCAGAGGGAAATACCTTGATAGTGCGACCATGCTCTCCAAGCGCAGAAAAAGAAGGGGATATTACTGCGTTGGCGTGATGGTGAAAAAATTCTTGAGTCCATGACGAAAACATACATACGGAATGACGGCTTCAAAGAAAAGCAACATTAGCCTCAGCCACAGCGTCAGTAAATGAAGCGGCATACGAATGATAACGAATGGCGCCGTTAACGGCGCGATCAGAAGATAGGTCCAAAAGCCTTTGCTGTGTATTGGGATTCGGTTCTGGATAAAAGCTTGGAGGTTGGAGATGGCTTCTGGCGCCGAAGTGACTTTCGGCGCGTAAAGTAACGGAATCTAGCAGCCTGTTAGCACACTACTGTAATGCATTTTGACCGGTCTCCACCTTTAACTGAGCCAAAGCTGCTTCCGCCTCTTCTCGTTCTACGCCGACCAACCCACTCGGCGGTTTCGTTGGCGGTGCGTGTTCGACGTCTATGCGCTTCAATACTCCCTCCTCGAAATCTAAGCGATCCAAGAATCGTTCGCCGAATTCAAACACTCTAAACTAGAGCAAGCTCAAAACATATGCGTTCAAAGGACTGTCAACCTACGCGCACTGTTCCAGGTTTAGCCTGTCCCCATGACGTCCATGTCGAATCGACCTTGTAAACAGCCCATTTTACGATACCCTCCCGCGGAAGCCAGCCTGATTTCGGCGGTTCGATATGTGGTGGAGGCGGTGGCCGTTGCATTCGTAAGCTATAGTATGTTATTGGTGGTCGGCCACGAGTGAGAGGAAGAGCAGCAATACGCATGGAACCCCAACGGGAGGTCATGGTGGAGAGAGCAAACAAAAAATGAGGTTATGTCATTGATGGCGATGATTCTCAAAATATACAATAAAAATTAGACGACCGATAGGTAGCATTAGAAAAGTAGTTTTGGGTATGCCTGCCTAGCTTGCGAATTGTAAAATTCCCTGGTTTCGTTCGGGGTCAGACATCCGTTGTACTCGCACGGTTGGTCCTGGAGCGATGTTGTTCATATCTTGCGGAGTGATTAGAATATACTGCTTCTTGTCCGAGCTATTAGCGGTGTCGATCTAATCGCAAATGAGTAGCTGGTCTCGAGTTCAACAGCCAACATACCATCATTTTCATACTAATCCGTCGGTTGACAGCGTCCATGAACACATCGAACTCATCTAGCAAGCGATTTAACCCCGTGCAAACTGTTCAAGTTTGTAACAACGTACCAAGGCATCTAATCGGGCAGCCAATCGACTCCCAGAGCGAGAGCAACAAACATATGGTCGAGAAGGACTTCTCGCCTCCACTCAGAGACCGTGGGTCCTTATCGCGACTAGCTCCTTGAGTCGCCGCCTGATCGTCAGTTTGAACCTTGAGCTGGAGTGTTTCCTTGTCGTGGTCGAACATGACCTTGCCGTAGTAACCACGCTGTGACAGGTGCAAACTAAAGACAATCTTGCAGCGAAGAGCGATATGACGCCGGAATTCCTGCCATCGAGCCAAGCGAGCATTCAGTGACTCTTTGAGAGCCTATAACTGTGCTAAATACCAAAATAGCAAGATAAAAGAGTGCGTACCTTGTTTAGTGTCATCATTTGCTTAAGATCACTATCGGCCTTCTCAAGTCGATCCTTGGCCTTGTTGACCTCGACTGTCATCTCTTCGACCGTTGCACCTTGTCTATAATGGTGTCAGTCAAAGGGGAGTCGTTACAAGGAAGAGTCGCACTGTTTTTCGCGATCTTGCAAAGCCGCTTGGACAGAATGAAGATTTCTCTGGACTATTTCTGGAGAGCGCCGAGTTTCAACGCGCTCACAATACTGTTCTGCTTTAGCAGTCCATTGCTAGAAAGTATATAAGCGACCATAGTTCAACATTAGAACTGAGAGCAAACCTTAAACTCCTCCACTACCACTTCAGCTGCTTCTTTGGCTGTATCGACGCTTTTTGTTTCCTCCGTCAATTTCTTCTCCCAGTGAAAAACATCCTTATTCAGCACAGTGCGATTGTCGACCGCCCTCATGATTTTCTCCTGTAGAAAAATCAGCGGGGCGACAGGCGCGGCAGTGGTTGTATCACTTTGGCTGCTTGTTTCACGGTGTCAAACTCGTTTATCTCGTGCTGGATCTTGTCCTTCTCCGTCGTGAGTTTGATATTTTCTGCGTCGAGTTCGTTCCTCCGTGGCGCGATGGCCTCCGCCTGTTTGAGAAGGGTTGCTCTCTCTCCTTGCGATATCTGGTTGCGATGGCCTCGGTTTGGTGGTGACGAGAATGACAAGACAACACACCTCCATTGCACCTTGAATGGCTCCCATATGTATTGGGATGTCGGCGTTAAGCTCATTCTGCAATTGAGTTGCACGAGTCCGAGCTCTGTGTCGACGCTCGTCTACTTCCCGTTGTTGACGCTGGAGGATGTGTTAGTGATGGATCAAAATCTCGGAGCATCAGCAAACGTTGAGATGGTCAACCTCCTTCCGAAGAGTGGTCCATTGAGCAGTGAGGTTCTTGACCGACATTGTTGCTGTCTGATAATCGGCCTCGTGTTGGGCCTTTTGTTCGCGGTATTGTCTGGGTTGATAAACGGATTAATGAGTGAAATGCGCGGGAGAGGAACCCTGACTGGATTTCGAGAGTAGCTTGAGCAGCAAGCAACATGGGATTAACTTGCCCACCGCCAGCGGGAACTGAAGATTCTCCTCCCTCTCTAAATAAGCCATATCAGCAAGAAACAGTATAGGGGGACAATATTGACGCACTTCCAGCGAACTAGATTGAACCCATCCTTGGTCCACGCATAACCATGGCCAAGATCACGAAGCGTCTGCTCTCCTTCTTTGCGATTGGGGGCTAGGACGCGACTCTCAATAGACATCTTGTTTATCAATATGCGTAAGACATGGGGGTTATCGATCTGGCATATAACATTCAGCAAGAAAAGGCTTCAATGTAAGAGGATTGACCTCAAGAGCACGAAGAACGGTCAGAACACCGTCAGGAGGTTCCCCGTGACGATAATCGAAGAGATCGGGTGAAAACGTGTGGATAACCGTCTGAGGACTACACAACGCACCACGTCAGGTACAATTGAGTAGGTTGAACCGCACATGCACGCACTTTTTTGCATCTTGAAGAATTTTCTTCAGAGTGCTCAAGTCGCGGGGATGTGTAACCGCGAAAGAGGTCAATTGCTGGCCAAGCTGCTGACGCAAAAGTTGTCCGTATTCGGGTTTGAGGAGTTTCACATGTATCCCAAGCGGGCCAAGAGGCTTCTGACCCTGCCAGCGAGTCTGTTCGATTCGTTGAATGACTTCCTTGATATTGTTCCCATAGGCAGCATAGCGATCGCTTTCAGCTTTCTCGCAATTCTGGATGGCGCTATCGCACTGCATAATTTGTCCTCGCAAGTCGTTGGCTTTACGCTCAGCCATGTTGCCCTCCTTCTTGAGCTGACCGAGTTGTGTATCCGCATCGCTTATCTTTTGACGAATTTGCTCGAGCTCGTTCTCAGCAGCGGTCTGTTGTTCACGCGCTTTAATGATTTTGTCCTGCGTTTCCTGGCGCGCTGATTCGGTATCCGCCTGCAGTCGCTTCATTTCTGCATCGATCTGGTCCTGGTAGCCCTTGATAGTTGAGTCGACTTGTGCTATTTCTCGATTGATGCCCTTCATCTCCTCCTAAGTACAGAGAACGATTGAGTTGGGCAAAGCGGATCAATACGGAGACGGACATGGAATCGACGGAGCTCTTCTCCATTCGTGCGAATCTTTGCCTGAACCTCTTTCTTTTTAGTCTGAAGATGATCAGGACTGCCGATCGCATCATGCTCCTCTTCGAGGGCAATCATTGCCTCGTCAATCTCCTCTAGCTTACCCTAGAGTACAGCGTAGGTCAAACAAAGCAAGAAAAATCGTAGAATCCCCGAACCTTTGCAAGCTTGAGGTTCTCTTGGATTTTAGGAAGACGACGCTCCTGTTTGGCAACTTCATCTTGCTTGCCTTCCATCTCTGCTTGTTTCGTGTTGACATGTGCCCAGGCAAGCTCCTTCTTGAGTTCGTCTACTTTGCGAGCTTGATCACGAGCTTTCGTAGCTTCTTGGAATCGAGCTGTGGCCTCTTTGAGATTGGCCTTAAGATCTGGGATTGCCTCCTTCTTTTGGACGAGGACACGGCTTGTGGCACTGACGTTTGCGAGGCAAGCAGTGTACTCGTCTGAAAGCTGCGAAAGCTGGGTTCCACGAAGGAAAAACTATCTTGTGTTAGGTAATCCGCCAAGATGAATGGCAAATACGGTACCTTGTATTTATCTCCAGGAGAGGAAGCGCTAAGAAACTGCCTCGCCGAGTCTGTCCATTGAATATTAAGAGGTCCAAATAAGATGAAAGTGGGGTTGAACCTTGGGTCAGCACATTCATGGGATTGTCGACCTGGATGTTCATGTGGTCACAGATGGCCGCAAGCTCTTCCTTCTTCGTGCTGATAACGCGTCCATCCTTGCTCTTGATTTTCCAGGAGCTGTTCCCTTCTTTCGTGAAGCGACGATTGATAACAATGGATTTCCCATATTCTTTGGGTTTGTATGCCTCTTCGCCCTGGTTCTTGAGCACAATCGTGACTTCGGCAGCACTGTCCAACAACTTGAGAAGAAGCAGCCGCAGAAACGAGTGGCTTACTTCTGCCCTTCACGAATGAACGACTTAAGACCACTCCCACGACCGGTCGAAGCAGCCTTTCCGCCCAGCGCAACAGTGATGCCGGTCAATACAGCACTCTTGCCACCTTGCCGGTGGTGAATGTGAAGAACTTTTTGAAAAAAAAATGAAGCAACTTACTGCCATTATGACCTATACAGCTGGATGAGCACAGGAAAACACTTTTTCTTTGTGAAAAATTACATACCGATAATGAAATTCATCTGGGGCCCGAAGCTGAAAGTCAAGCGTTGGTGACACATGAACTGGTGAAGCTCAATGCCCTCAATGATTCCGAATTCTGCGACGCCCTAAAGAATAGCTTAACAGAGTCCCGCGAGCCAGGAAGTATGTAGCGACTTACGCCAGCAGTCTTCTGTTTGCTTTCGTAGTTGGCACGGATAGAGGCCCCAAATTGCTCTTCGAACTCGCGATCCGCTTCCCCAGAAGCTCCTTCATCATCATCCTGGTCCTCCTCAGATTCAGATTCGTCTTTGCGACGCGCCTTGCTTTTGGCGCCGCGTTTGTTGGGAGCAGGAGCAGGTGACTCATCATCACTTTCGTCGGTACGAGCGCGTTTTGAGGCCGGAGTGCCATCTACTGAAGGGGCTTCGTCATCACTATCCACCGCTGCTCTGCGTTTGGGCATTTTGAGATGGTCGTTCGGCGCAAGTCGCGTTACGTTGATAGCACGTGCATGGTCACAAAATCAATAGCCCCTATCTTTGACCATCCATTCCCAAATTTACTAATTTTTGGTAACTACTTCAGGTGCTTCTTAATGAACGCTAAAGACGTATCGAAAGCACCGTTTTTGGCGGCCACCTGTACAGGATCGGACTGGACATGCCAAGAGTTAGCAGCAGAGCAATCACTTCGAGGAAGCATACCGCATTGGCGCGAACCTGGGACCATTCAATTATTGTGCAAGACGAAAGGTAGAATGCAACTAACCGCAAAGCCGTGACCAACGCCGTTGAATTGACGTCTCAAATACCCCGGTGGATACTGGCCATCGTCAAGAACCGAATCTGTCTCAACAGCAAGTGCAGGCGTAAAACCGGTGTCAAGCTCTGCGTTGTTAATCTCGATAGGAACATGCGATTGCGCCTTGACGACCTCGAAGTCGATGGGTACATCCAGAGAGGAAGGGCTAAAGAGTTCAGTTTGTGGTCGCCTCACAAATGAGAATTGTCTTACTGCGCCGTGGTTCCTACAGTCACTGTGTTGTTCTGCACCAGTCGAACAGTGTATAAGCCTGTCAATGTTTGATGGAATGAACGGTCGTGGTCGGAAAAAAAGCGAACCCCCAAAGCAGTAGCCCGTTACAGCGATTTGTTTGACGCCACGTGATTTCAAAGCATTGACAACGGCGAGTAGCGGTGGGGTAGTTTGTGCTTCCCCATGGTTAACGGCCCATGCAGTAATATTCCCAAGCCCATCCGGAGGCAATGCGTCTCCATTTAGATAATCTGGAGCAAATGTCTGACAAGGACAATTTCAGCCTTTGTAAGCATGTAAGTATATAAGCAAGAACTTGAACGTACTGCGAACCCGGCTGCGGCCCACTGATCTGCCTTTTGCCTTGGTCAATGATAGCATTAGAACCCGCAACCGGATACAAACCAAGACCTCGAGACTCATGAGTCGATTACTCCATACCCTCAAACAACACTCACCAGATTGTCCGGAGAGGGAAGACCAAAGACATCCGTCAACAAAAGTACAGCGATCTTGGGGTCGAATTTCTTTTTGGGCAGCGTGACGTAGGTCAAGACACCGTTAATAGTGACATTCTTGCCAAGCGGTTGGACACCAGCAGCAACTTGGGATGGAAGATGGCTCTCGAATCCAAGTTGGGGAACAACGGCGGCGTAAACGGCCGAAAGGACGGACAGCAAAACGATGGGGAGCATCTTGAATGTCGAGAAGACTCAGAAAGAAGCAGCAACATGGGGTCCGAGCTTTATACGAGCAAAGCGAAACTCCCACAATCGGCTCGATGACGAACAATTTCTCCTGGGAGACAGATGGCCCAAACAAGTCGGGTCAATAGCATGCCTCTTTGCGCCGATGGCCCGGCAGAATCGTGAGCAGTATTATTTGATAGAATTGCGCTAGTTGTACACATGGTTGTGGGTAGTCAGTGCCCCGGTAGTCTACTGTCTCGATGTTAAAATTGTGGTTGAACCCACCAAGAATATACCAAGCACACACCTTTACAATTCGTCTCTCTTTGCTCGCTGCTTTGGTTCCTGCACATCGACCCTACCAACTGCTGTGAAAGCTTCCATTATTTCCGTACGGGCCGCTTCAGAAGACTCCCATTGGGCCTTGGGAATGCTGACGAGCTGCACGTCAGCCATTGCGCCAACTTGCCCCACATATGCTGCCGCCGGATGTATTTGAGCAAGCGTTGAGGGTGTTTGCAAGTATGATGAAGATGGGGGGAGAGTTAAAGCCAGGTAAGTGTGCGCGGCATAGTTCAAGTTGAGTGCCATCTGAGTAACTCAGTAAGGAGCAAGTTGTAATGAAGTGTGACGTCAGGCCTCAGGCTATTGGGAGAGTGCGAAAAGGTTGGGATCTTACACTACTACTAAACGTCGACTCCAATCGTACAGTAGAATATACATAGTCCTCCCTCATGATCATACCGAAAAAAACCTCAATCACACCTGCTCATGGCCTGCGGGAATATTTCTCCGCATAGCATGGGCCGCATGTTCATGATGGGCGCGAGCAGTAGCATTTCTGGTGCTCAAGTTAGATGATTCGAGGGAGGAAAAGAGGCTTCAGAGCCAAAGACGCACGGCTTGTTAACGGGGCTTTCGTCACCGGAATAAAGGAAAATGTCGTAAAAGGCGCAGCCGAATTGAGCGCCGAAAATGGGGGCGAGGACGGGACACCAGAGCCTAGAGATGATAAGATGTACGGCCACTGTTGCAGAATCCATCCCAATACCAGTAATGACTGCGAAGGAAATTGATCAGTATCACGTGGCGAGGACAAGAACAGATACGGACTTCCGGTATGTGTAAACGGCTCTTCCATAGCCCGCCATTGAAGTGAAGAGTCTTCGAAGAAGGATCAGCAACATGATACGCTCCAATCCCACCAGCTAGCCTACCTGGGACCTAAATCACGCGCAGGGTTGATGGCATAACCAGTTTCCATGCCAAGCGAGGCGCCAATGCCCAAAATGAGGACGAACAGGAACTGATCATCGAGTTTGAGCGTTGGGTCAAAGGTCTACGTGAAGAAACCCTACAAGAGGCGCGAGACCACTGGGAGGCGGAAGGTTGTTGCTGTCTCCGACAGCAAGGACCATGACCAAAAGAACTGCAGTAGCCAAAAACTCGGAGAAGAAACACGAGACATTCGTCATGTATGGGAGCTGGGGAAAAAGGTCATTATTCATCACACGCGGCGCAAGGGGATCGCATACCGCGTAAGTAGAAAAGAGGCTAGCGGTGCTAAGGGTTCGGATGTCATCGCCGCCTTCAAATGCGCTCTGAATCGGCTGAGTGGGATCTTAGAACGGAAGACTGAACATACGATCTGTAGTGCATTTAAGAAATGGCACAGAATAGACAGCAAAAACATACGCCATGATAATAATTCGCGTAAACGAGTGCTGCGCCAACCAGGCCGCCCATAGTTTGAGCAAAGATGTAGCCCTATCAGATATCAAGACCAAAAGAGGCAGAAATAGGTTATCACTATACCGGAACTTTCTTCCAAGGGAAACCGCGCCATGTTGCCAGTGCCAGGGTGACGGCTGGGTTAATGTGTCCTCCTGGGAGACGGTTTAATACCGATTCAGGCCGCCAAACAAGGAACAAATTCACCAGAATAGCCCCCGGAGACCCACACACCCATCGCTGTTCCGACTCCCCATCCTACGTTGATAGATCTGCCAACGGTGAGCTAATAATACCCAAAGGAATGATAAGATTACGCACAGATATTCCTAATAGCGTGATTAGATGCGTCATTGAGGGTCGGAGCCAGAGAAAGAACGACGTACACCTCTGCCGCTTGAAGCAACAGCCGTCGAGGTGGCCAACACAACTTGACAGTCGACTCCAGTGCCAAATATGACGAGGATACAGACACCTAGAAATTCGGCCCTGAAGGCATGTTAAGATGGACAACTTGAAAAGAAGAAATCATCTCACATGTATTCTCTCAGTATCAAGCTGTGGAAGTAACCTTGAGTGAGAGAAAACGATGTTAAGACGAAGCTAACCGATATTTTGACCACCAGTTGGGATGGATGGTGACGACGCCGTCGCCAGTATACGACTCAAGGTGCTCGATATGGTCCTCTTTGGTGGACGAGCCATGAGCGGATATAGCATCGGGGGCCTTGCTCATCGACATGGTGCAGAGAAGAAGAGTTGGAGCGAACGGGGCGAGCGCTTCGGGGAAGTTTCAAGGTGGTGCATATTTATATAAGCTGTGGTGGGAGAAGGATAACTCCTCCGCGTGATACAGTCAGCCTAATAACGTTGGAAATGGACATTGACGGCCTGGGCGTGCCAATTCGCTGAGCCGGCCTTATGATCTTTACGAGAGTCCCTTGAAGTGCATGATACAGAAGAATCGAAACGAGGTCGTGTTATAGACTTTTATGCGAAGCTGTCAAAACAGCGATGGCGGCCGTCACCAAAAAAGAAGTAGCCCGATATACGACCCAGAGTATGCGGCCAAATCCAAAATAAAAGCCATACGCTGTAGATAGCGAGCAAGCCCAGTACCAACGCGATTTCCTTTTGCAGTGTGGGGTAACGACGATCTTGGCGGATCAGACAAAAACTCTGGGCGATCTTGAACAAGAGGTCCGAGGTCTAGTGACAGATGAAAATTGAACGACGTCAAACGTGGCTCCGGAACCTCGACCCTCGCCAAACGTACCTTGAAGCGTGGCAAGAAGGTCCAGTTCATGTCGGTTATCTGGCTTAGCATTATTGCCGGGCCAAGTGGAAAGAAACCTTGCAGTGTCCTCTTCGAGAAATGAGCCCACACGACGGGGAGAATATCCGACCCACCTTGAAACATCTGACCTGCCGCGGCGTACAATTCACGGGTTTTCGAAATTTATCTATTGGAGATGGGACATCTATCTGGCGAGGCTGTTGTTTTCGACTCAGGTACCGGGATAAAAAAATGGAGACAGCGTCAGTGGGTCCAACCAGCTGACGACATTTGATTTTGGATGAATCTTGGATTTGGGGCGAAGGCAGGACCGCGGTGAGCCGCCGGAGGTTGGAGAGTGCCGTGAGTCGCTATCTAGGCATTTTGATGAGCGTCCGCGTCAGAATTCTCGTTCCAGAAGAAGGAGGATAGGATAATATCAAGTTCGGAGGGTCGGCCCTGCTCACCAAATGTAGAACCTCCAACTCACAGTTGGCTACCAAACGCTTCCGGATCTTGTGGCAGCTTGGCGGCCATCTCGTTCGATTATAAGCGCAAGCGGCCAGCAGACGCACTTCCCGAGTTGCCATCAGGTGAAGTGTTCGACAAGACGGCGCGATTCAATCCTCGAGGTATCGGCAAGTGTTCCGCTGTACACCCGCCAGTCCTTCTTCCAACGCACACCGCGATCGTTAGCGGATTCAAACCAGTCGCCTGGCCTAAGCCGTGTGAACCCTGGGTTGTCCCGTGGTCAGCATCACACCTGCGCGAAGCAGCTGTGGGTAAGATTGAGTTGCATCTGGAAAGAGATATCAGCAGAAGAAAACTTGCACGAGGAAATACTCGCTCGTGGAAGACCATAATCAGGCCGGCAGCAAGCGAGGTTGCTGGCTCGTGGTCCTGGTGGTGTTCAGTTGAGAAGTGTCGTGGCCATCACACCGGCACGTGCTATACTGCCTCTTTCAGCCAGAACGCCTCTGTCTAGATGAGGCAGTTCCAGGAGCTGCGATCGAGGAGATGGTGGGTCCAGAAGGTTCGTTGGCGTGAGATTGACTCCCTACATACTCCGATAAATGTCCTAATGTACTCAGTAAAGGCATCTCCGGCCCGGGCCGCCCCATCGACCAGTAGCCGGGAAAACGTCGGTTGCGAGAAAATTACTCGTCGCAGGTCGCATTTGCGGTTTGTTTGGGCTAGTCTAAAAGCGACTCTCATACCCCTAATCGCCAACGCCAAATCGACCCCCCTTTCTCAGCAGCCCACAAAACGGGTAATACATCTTCATCCTCCCTTAGCTGAAGGCTGACGAATGGACTGGAGAAGCGCCTGGAATCTGAAAATAGACTTTGAATCCTAGAATTCGTGTCTGCTAACACAGGCTCGCCGTTGTCAAGAGCCCAAGCACGGAGACGACAGTCGCCACCAGCAGCAAATAGGAAACGCCCCGAGGTATCGACAACTGCGCCCTACACCACGATCAGCAACTAAATCGATACTGTAATAAAACTGTACTAATTGGGTAGAGACTGAACCAACGTGGCCCAAGTATGTTATAACTGGTGCTGAGTGTGGTCGGAGAAATCTTGTGTCCATCATGCCTAGCTTGAAAAAGGTGAACAGCCAGACATTAGTGGCTGTCAGCGACGAACCCTGCCATCCATATAACCCACAACGAGCCCGCTTGAAGTGCCAGCGTGAATGGGATAAATGAACGTCGTTGTGCTCGCTTGTTGCGCCGATGAACGTGCACCTGAAGATGACCAGAGTGCTGTACTTTCTGTCACAATATTCGACGCGGGCTTGGTCGTTGCGATCCGCGTATCGAAGCGGAGAACCGTCCCGCCTCGTGTGCCAGACCAAATTAACCACTTGAATAGAAGGTCAAAACCCCGCTGGGATCCTTGAGAAGACGATACTTCGTGTGACGCAACAGAGAAGACGTCGCTTCCGGTTGCGAGATTACGGACAGCATTTCCGTGGTCCAAGTTGGCGAGATATGCGACGTTTCGCGCGGCACCTAGAACATCATGGGCACAAGATCTCAAAGCACTAGTTAACTGCGAACCAAGCGACAAGGAAGAGCCTTCTAAACTGGCGCAGCGAACGTCATACACATTGGATAAAGTCAATATAGACATCCGGCTATGCTTGCAGTTAGCTAAAAATCGAGGAAAAAAAAAAAATAATACTCAGGATCATCTTGAATGCAAACTTTTGTTTTGGGGGCAAACGATACGGCCACGCAGCGTGATTGGCTCGTGCAGATAGTGGAGATCTGGTGAGAGCAAGGTTGAGCAATATTCAAACATGGTAACAAGCTGACGTGCCTCGCATTTCGGTGCTGGACAAATATCGCCTGTCCAAGGCGCAGCCGCCTCCAGTTCATAATCATCCTGGTATGGTTGAAAATCTCTTGACCAGAGCCACCCAGATGTATCCCCAAGAAATTGTCGGGTGGAGCCAAGCTAATGAGTTATGAGTCGGACAATGTTCTATCGGCCAACACTAAACGGACACAAAAGGCTGAGATGGGGGAATCCACGTTGGAATGCTCAGGACGGCCAATTTGTGTGCTCGGGAAACGGGCTTGGAGGACGGTTCTGGGATTGGTTTTGAGAGAGGTTCGCCTAGGTTCGCCAAACTGCGAGTAAATATGACGAACCGCGCTTTTCGTTTCCTGCTCGCAAAGCTTGGTAAGCTCGCCGTGTTTCGTCCAAAAGAGCTGAAACTCCTGCGCGGCGCTATAGGCAGGCTTTGAATAGGTGTTGGTAGAGTCGGAAGATCCGCCACTATGGGTGCGATCGGTCGCTGAGAACCAACAGGAAAGTATCGATTGCGCTCTGCATCAAAATAGAAACCAGGAAGATCGAGAGGCATTCACTGATATCCAGTGCAATAGGGGGAGGGCAGACCACTCGACTGAAAAGAGGTCAAAATTTGTGTTGGAGAAACAGCAGAAAGAACATTGCGTCACGTCGTAACTTTTCTTTTCTTCTTCTTCCATCCGTACCACACGCTATCAAAGCATTTGAGGAGAGTCCCGACTTGAAACATCGCGGTTTTGTCCTCAAAACGCGCTCAGCTCGGAATCTAGCTCGATCGTCATTAGCAATCTTTTAACGGCGCACTAGCTTTTTCCTTCCAACACACCAGCGTGCAATGAAAGCTCTTGTGAATTTAAAGGCTAATGACAAGATATGATTTAATACGTACACCGGAAAATGACAAGAGCTACTCCTCAATGTCAAGCCATTTCCTTCAAACACAAACAACGACGTCAACGTTGCTGACGACCACGATATAACCTCAAGCTTGGACGACTCCCCACTCATTTCCTATGCCTAAACGCCGTCTTTCCTTGCACTCCATTTTCTCCCCAGAAGGATCCGCGAGCGCATCCAAACATCCGAAAAGCTCCCCTTATTCACACAACACACAACATGACGCTGCTTCCGTCAACAGTCTTGTGGATTCCGATACAGAATCCTTTCTCCTCGATGAAGACCCATTTGCTGATTTGTCGGCTGGTCCAGAATTACAACCATTATCCAATGCTCCTGAGTCGACCTCAGCTTCCACAATCAAACAACGCGCAACAGGTTCGCATCCTTCTTTGAGCACACTGGTAAGGAAAAACATCGCTGCCCCGCATGTAAGTCGCTGGCCCAGCATTATTCTCAGGTTCTCACTAGTTTAGATACCCCATGGCCACGTTGGCGCCAACCTTCCAGCAGAACCGTGGGATATTGCTCCAGCACCAGAACGCCCGCTCACTATACGCTCTATATCTGCTCCAACATCATCTTTACAATCAAGACCGGAAATTCTGCAGTCTCGATCCCTACCGAAACTTTTTGGTGACCAGGAGATCTGTTATGACAGGTCTCGACCATCGAAACCCTTACCTATCCAAACTCGACGCTTTCCTTCACCTCGATACGAATACCAGCATCCAATGCAGTCAATGGTGAGTCTTTGTTACGCCCAATGTCACTGAAGTTCCACTTAATACCATCTAGTCTGCAGACCCCGTTATGCCACTTGTTCCCCCAACTATCAACCCCTTTCCTATCCTTCCTGAGGTCGTCCCCTCTGAACCACTCTCTCTCCTCCTTTCTCAAACACTGCCAGTAAACTCTGACCAAAGCGAGGGCGAGGACGAGCTTGAGTTGCATCGTCTTGGCATTGGATTCGAGTGCCGTCAGACATTCGAGCCTGCGCTTGCGCGCAATGCATCAAAAAAACTGAAGCTGTCTCCGATTGTACTTCCTTGCCATAAACGAGGGCATAGAAGGACAAACGCTTTCCCACAACTTGACATCTCTTTGCCGTCAGTGCATCCTGATGTCGAAACCTCACCCGGCTCAACGACTTGTTTCGATCAAGAGTGGCCGACGGCATCGTTGATGTGCGATACATCCACAACATGCTCTCCCCCAAGTTCGTGGTCCGGCCACGAGAACGACTCTTCCATCTCTGACGATGTGCATCTTCCGTCGATCACAAAGTCACGCTCCGATTGTGGACATGACTTTACCGGCTCCCCTCGTCGCATCGTCAGTCGCAAGCCGTCTTACGAACTCGGGAAGGCGCCCGCACGTCAACGCAGCAGATTGAGAGATCTGGTATGGCGTCGTAAGACTCCGAACGGCGAACCCCAGGTCCCACTTGTTCGTCGACTCTTCTCGGGACCTACTTAGACAATCTGACTGCCAGATCTATACACTCTAGGTGTTGTGTCTACTGTAATACCTATAACCCAGTGTTACCCGTAGAGTAGCCGTTCAACTCGAAATTCGTGACGTCTGGTCACGTTGTGTGCCGCTTACTTAGCCTTCGGTCCTTACGCCGAATTCAACAACCTACACTGGCATCAACGATGAAAGCGCCAAGTCAACGGCAGGTCTGATTGCGGAGGGATTGTTGGTTTTTGAGGAGGTTGGTCGGTGTGGACTCTGTGTCACTTGACGTTGATCGCGTGCTAATAGCATCTCAGCTGCGCTCACAGAAAATGCGGTTGTACTTAGCAACGACAAGAGTCGACCGATGCTACTCCACTCGTTTCTTCGCAAGCTCAAAGCTGGCGGGTCACCCGATGTTCTGTACATATGGCCTTGTCCTAGGCAGTTCCGCGGTTGGCCTGTTGAAAACTCGGCGCTCTTTAGGGCATTGGTGGAAACTCGGCGCCTGTGAGTGCGGCGCAGTCTGGATTTGTGATACTCGAATATCTTCTGCATAACGACGGAATTCAGTTGTCGACGGCGACACTTCGGAACCTCTGGTCATCGGTGATGCTCCTCCGCGTGAACGCTCATCATCCGACTCGAAGAAGCGGTGGTTGTGGTGTTTCCCATTTTGGGGCATGCATATACGCGTGTTGCTGCCAAACTGACTGGCAAGCTCGATGGTATATAAGGAAATATTCATGGAAGCGCCTTGGACGATCCGAGCCCCCTTCAACCATGAAGCAATCCGTTGGACTCTTATCGCTTGTTTCCGCCATCGCACCGGTCCTTGCTGGGACCTATTCGCGCACTCAAAATATTGTCGGAACTGGCTTCTACAACGCGTTTGAGTTCGAAGCTATTGGTGACCCTACACAAGGCAGAGTGTATGCCCTTCATCTGACCTATCCAGTTGCGATTGCTGACAAATTGCAGTAACTATGTCGATAGAGCCACGGCACAGGCTCAGAACCTAACATTCGCCTCAGCCGACAAGTTCGTCCTTCGCACAGACGCCACAACAGTCATCGGCGACGGCAGTCCGGTGGGGAGGAACTCTGTTCGTATCAGAACAACAGCTACATATACCACCCATGTTGCCGTCTTCGATATTCAGCACATGCCTCAGGGCTGTGGGTTCGTTGTGTTCAGTCGCGAGCCTACCCAGTCGCTGATACGCACCGAAGCACGTGGCCCGCCGTTTGGGAAACTGACGAGGACAGCTGGCCTAGAGGGGTACGTTTACTTCTATGCGTTTGTGGGCTTTCAATGACGCTTTTCAGGGGGAAGTAGATATTCTTGAGGTGACGTCATGTCTCCAGGTTATCTTATCGAAACCTCATTCTGTACTTATCAGGGTGTCAACGATCAAGGCCCCAATCAAATAACGCTGCATACATCTCCAGGTTGCACGATGCCCGCATCTCGAGACCAAACTGGGTATGTTTTGTGGGACCAAATATATATATCTTCGGCCGCTAACCGACCATTAGGACAAGTTTACAACTAGACTGCGACACGAATGTGAACAACAACGTCGGCTGTGGAGTAAACGCTGTTGTCCCAACCAGCTATGGCCCCACATTCAATGCTAATGGGGGAGGTTGGTATGCAGTCGAAAGAACGAACTCATTCATAAACGTAACTTCATTCCGTCATTCTCAAAGTTCGTGCTGATGTTGGTGCAAGGTTTGGTTCTGGTCGAGGTCTGCTGGAAATGTCCCTGCTGATGTCGCCCAAGGCGGCTCAAGCGTGGACACATCTACCTGGGTATACCTCTTAGTCCAAATGCTGTCCACGCCTGACTGTTTCAAAAGGGAACACCAACTGCCAACTTCCCCTCCACAAGCTGTAATATTCCGGAATTCTTCTCGCCCAATAACATCATCATCAATCTTACCTTATGTTCGTGCCGGTGCATCATCATGCGTTGAAGTTGCTTAAGCATTATTTTCCAGGCGGTGACTGGGCTGGCTCCGTTTACCCAGCTTCGGGATGCCCAGGGACTTGCAACGGTCAGTGAAATCATTTCGTTGTCCGTCCCAATGCTAAGACAAGACTAGAATTCGTCGACAAGAATCCCACCGCACTGGCGGCGGCGTATTTCGAGTTCAACTCTATTAACGTTTATCAGTAAAGGAAGCCCATTCAAGTGTATCCAGTAGGCTACGTAGTAGACCATGTATATAATTTAAAATCGCATCATTACTCAGGCCATCAGTGGAATTTTGTTCCGAGCCACATCATGTCCGACTCAGACCATCCAGAGACTCTCGATGACTCTTTGAGTCTACACTCTCTCGCTTCCTCCCTCCCCCTCGATACCGACCGATCAGTGTCTTTCTCAGATACCAGCCCTAGTATCATGATGACGGTCCCACCCCATCTTCGCCGCAAGGGCGCAGCATTTCTCAGGTTGGAGGAAAGCCAAGATGAGCTCGTCAATACGAAAGTACGCAATGCGGTTCGGGCGCATGCCGCGTTGAAGAAGCAACTCGAAGAAGATGTCGCGTTGGAGACGGCGAGCGTTCAAGTTGAGAGCACTGGCAGTCACGCGCGCATGGTGGAGGACTGACACTGTGTGTATACGAGCACTAGTACTAGGGTGAAACCAAAATACTATTAGTACCAGTTACATCTCCCTCTGTAAAGTGACCTATCGTTCCACGTTTTGCTCAATCCTGGCCTAATCATACAGACTGATACATAAGCCCCAGAAAATGATACATCTTCTAGGTCGAATTTTAGTCGGATCTATGTTTTTTACATTAGAACTGGAAGACACTGGCACACCACACTCCACAGATACTAAAGTCACGGTCTGACTGACTGACTCGGAGCTCATGTGCATATACATAGTAGGCAACTAATCAAATGTTTGTCCATTGTCAATGGGCTAGGTAGACAATAGTGTTCCAAGAGTCATTTGCCGTGACTCTGACTAATCTGAATCTTGTCAAAACCCATATCTTCATTGCCAACCTATCGAGGTGTTCAATCTCAGTGCAATTTGTAGTGTCAGTGTAGTGGAGGTATCTTTTGGTAGTAAACTGGGACAATAGCAAGCCGTGTGGGTCTGTATTTAGAGGTTGGAACTTCCTTTATCCCGCCTAGCTCAATCGGATAGAGCGTCAGACTTTTACAGACCCTTGTTTAAGGCATCTGAAGGCTGCGAGTTCGACCCTCGCGGTGGGCTATGATAGTATAGTGGCTTTGGCCATAGATTTTTCTTTCTTTCTTTTCCTTGTCCATCGTGTGACCGCGGCAACGACATCATTAATATTGACGCATTCGAGCCAACCAGCGTAACGAATCTATCCTTGGCATCGAAAAATCACACCTTCCGGATCTTTGGCTAGTTGACTATTTCCCGACGGACTCAATCGTCGCTACGCAGATGTGTGTTTGAGTCACGGCTTGGCCGTGTGGCGATCCAATCGACTGCGTGCCATGTCGTATCCTTCTTGGGAGAAGGCATTTAGTTCAACTCAATAGCAGTTTGCGGGATGATATCTAAATCGTGATGCCCAGCAGAAATAGCACGCAAGAATGAGACCAAGATCCAAGAAAAAAAAATTCCCTGCTACACGACTGAAGCATGTAGATTGTACGTGAATACAATTTGGCAAAAGAGAGAGGTGCGCCTAGCGTTTAGTCCTTCTTCTCAATGTCCAATCCCCCAAGATTCCCAGCGATGAAAACGGCCAAGCGACAGACGGACTGCTCTCACAGCAGGAGACCAGCGAAGAGGCCAGCCGCGCAAGCGACGATGCCAGCCAAACTGGCACGGCTCATCGAGGCGGCGTTTGGTGGAGGAGTTCCGGATGCACCCGGGGGGGTAGATCCAGATTGAGAGGCCCCAGCAGCGCCGCCGGCCCCGCCAGCGGGAGCACTGGCACCGCCACCGGGGGCACCCGCACCACCACTTGCGCCACCAGCAGTGCTACCAAGCGCCATTGCCTTCGCTTGGTAAGCCTCGAAGCTCTTCTCCCCGGGTTTGGCATTCACGGCGAAGACCATGCCCTGTGGGAATACATTAATGCGCTGAAACTTGTGGGGAAAAGCGAACGCGCCTTGTTGCAGTGGGACACGGGGTTGGTTTGGGAGCAGAAGAACCAGAGAGCTGCGGAGGCATTGTTGACGGTGAAGCTCCATTCAGGGATGGCTTTCGCATCGGCCGCAACGGGCTGGAAGCCCGACGAGATACCCTCAATCGGGGTCGCCTGGCGGGTACAGGGGTCGGCAAAGGTGGACTGAACGACGCTCTGGAAAGAAGCATGTCAATAAAGACGTTGACAACCGTAGACAGGCGACGTACGTGGTTCTTGGACAAGCTAAAAGAAGAAGAAAAAGTCGAGTTAGAAAGAGACGAAGGGTCGAGTGAAGACGACGCACAATTGGAAGGAAATAGTGTCGCCTTCAGCAGCAGTTACGCTGTTCGGAGTGAAAGTCAAGGCCTGTTGGTCGCCGACCTTGACCACAATGTTGGCCGCAGACGCGACAGAGACGAGGGAAGCAGCAGCGGCAAGTGTGGAGAAACGCATGGTGTTTGTTGAAAGGGTGTAAAGGCGGAGAGCGCTGCTCTGACCGGTTTCGAAAAGGTGAAAGGGGGAGGGAAAGTGGAAAAAAACGCCGAGCCCGACCGGCTCTTATCTGGTTGATGAATGAAATCACGTGCTGTTATTGATGTTGCCATTGGATACAACCCTTTGTGTGGATCTGGATTCTCTGAGCCAATTGCGCGCCAATTACGGCGCGCATCATAAAGACAGCGACGACCATCCATTAGGATTTATCGAGTACAATACGGTCCTCTGGATACTTCACAGAGGCCGCAAGTACGTGGATCGGCAAACCTTGGGCTTGGCGAACCTCCTCCGACATCGGAACGAATGTGGACAGCAATGTAGCTGCCACAGCATCCGCCGTGAAGGACGAGTTGGTCAACCTGAGCCAAGTTGAGGCAAATTTGAGGTTGACGTGGAAATCAGTGTTCAACAATCAGACACCACGCAGGCAAACATCTGAGAAAGTTACAAATCAACAGTGCCCAAGCTACTTACTGCTTCTCGTCGTCCACATATACCTTCTCTGAACTCCCCCTCATAACCCGAATCAAATCCGGTGCGTCGGTATGCTTCTCCCCATCCAGTACTTCATCGATCTCCTCCAACGTCTTGCCCTTTGTTTCGACCCAGTACCACAGAACGAATGGTATTTCCAGCAAGTTCCATGCGGCGTTTATGATGTACATTTTCCATCCAATTGCTGCAAGCGCGATTGGGAATGAGAATACGGCCATCAAGCTTTTAAGGGTGAGTTCACGCGAAAAAATCAACAATCATCAACTCACGCAGTCCCATTGAGAGCAAGTTGGAGCACGCCCATCCCGTTGGCCCGAATCGCGTAGTTCAGCACTTCTGGGGGATAGACATAGAGAAGCGGTGTCCACCCAAAGCTGTAAGCTCCCATGAACAAGAAGATGCACGCGACCGTCGCATATATCCCTGCGTTATTCGTCGAGTTACCATATGCTGGGTGCTTCTTAGTAACGCTATCGACAGAACAAAGCACGCACTCTTCGTCAAACCTCCAACAAGAAAGAGGAATACCGTAAGTGTCGTTATGCTGATAACAGCTGTTGGCTTTCGTCCCAACCGTTCGACATAGTATGTGCCAACCAGAGAGCAGACGAGACAGAATGCGTTGAGAATGATATTCTAGGCAGATATCAATTTGTGGCTTATTCTTTGTGATCGTCCATACAATTTGGAGTTGGGTTGTTTGGTTTGTTATGCCTGCATTGTCGAGCATCTGGCCCAGATAATATGACACTATAACGTTCCCTGTAGCATCGTGAGATGTTGCGGAAGCGTCAAACCAAGATAGTCACCTGCAACAGTGCTAAACACAGCTACCGATGTGCAGAGGACGACACGTTTCCTCGCAGAAGGAGTCTTGACCATCTGCTTGAGAGACAACGGTCGGGGTAGACTCTTTTCGAATTCCAGTGTGTCAATGATTTCCTTGTATTGTGTCAACACGACCGGATCACTGACGTCCCCGTCCGCATGTGTAAGAGCGACAACCTTCAAGGCTTCCTCTGTTCGACCATGGTATGCAAGCCATCGAGGCGACTCGGGAATGAAGGGTAGAATAAGGATGCACATAATGCTGAAAGCGCCTTGAACGACCGAAGGTATTCGCCATGCCCATGTGGACTGCATAAACGACGTTCCATATGTCACTCCAGCCGCGATAAGACCGCCAACCTAGCCTTGCGTCAGAAAAATATTGCTAGGCCCAAGGACTCGCACATAATAAGCGTCGTTGAATATACCCAGCCCCCAGGCACGCCATTTCATTGGAAGCGTCTCCGCAAGGTAGGCCGGGCCGGTGAGGGCACTTGCTGTTGTGCCAAATCCGATGAGAATACGTGCCGCCACGAACATTGCTATATTCTGGGCAGCCGTTTGCAGAATCACCGCAACAAGGGTGATGACAGCAGCCCAGAAGAGCGCTGGCCGACGACCAAGAATGTCGGTCACCTTGTTGAACGAAACTCCCGCAAGGATGCCCCCGATCCACACTGATGCAGTGTTGAGCGAGGTCGTGACTGTGTTGAGCTCAAAGTAGTCCGTGTAAGATGAGAGAATATTCAGTCCGTTTCTGTGCCATCGTCAATGCTTTTCAAGGCGGCCTATCTCAGCGACGCACATCATAGAACCATCGTAGCCAAAAGTCTTTGCCCCATATTATTTGACTTCTCAGCGTTGGGAGAGGGCGTACCGTGGATGTGATAAGCGAACACCCAACCAGGAGCGCGCAAATCAAGGCAGACGAGTGCGGCACCCTGTTCTGAACGGGGAAAGGCAGAATCGTGCCAGAAAAAGCTCGCATAGTCGTCGAGGGAGCTGGGGAGAAAAGGCTGCCATTCCTGAGAAAAAGATCTAGGTTCTCTCTGGTTTATCGTGGTCTTTCTTTAGAGAGCTTCGATTCAGACGGGAGCAAGGGTCGGCAAGTCACGTGGCCATGATTTATTTCTGGATGATACCAAAATTGACCGCCATTTCTGTGGCATATTGCTCGATATAATGTGTTGGAAGTGCACTTGCACTTGTACAATTACTGGTACATCAATGTTTTCCTATCCTGCTTACATAGGCTCTTCTCCAACGTTGAGCATCCACCACCCAGAACGCGGCTGCAACGTATCGCTTCCTGCGCCGACCACGGTTGCTCCTACATGACCAGCAATAAGCTCAGTTTTCATCTTCACCTGCCGCTCCTGGTCGAAACAGAGCATGTTCACCCGCGCAGTCGACGCCGGGACCGTTGGTGAGATGAGTGGAAACCGGACGCCCCCCAAAACAAGAGGGACTTGATCTTTCTGGAGTCTCCCTTGCATATTCCGGAACGTTTTCGGAGTACCCATATCATAAATACGTTTGCCTTGCTCGTCCCAGAAGCAGAACGTCGTCAGCCATCCAGAAAGTGTCTTGATAGTCCTAGAGCCAAACCTCCCTGCCTGTTGGACGGCACGCATCCAAAAGTCTTTGCTTCCCTGAGCTTCAGGATGGTCAAAGCACTCAAGAATATGGTGGACCACAATCGTGAGAAGCGCTCCCCATTCGGCGGCCTCGGCCCCATACATCCCCAATCTCCCAACCCGACGTAAAATCTCTTCCCAATCAGTGCGCTCTCCTAGTAACGTCACAGAGGGAAAACCACAACCCATGCGCATGACGAATTTGAAGTATTGTTTCGTTGTCGCCATCATCGTGAGGGAGGCAGTCGCAGTGTCATTTGACGTCGTTGTGGTGAATTTTGGCAGGAACCACTCTGCGAGTTCCTTGTCAACCAGTTGCTCTTGCATCCGGTCAACGAAGAGACGGGCGAACAGGCCAGGAGGGAGGTCATTGAAACTATGAGGTGTAATGTCCAACACGACTTCTGTTTTACCCTCGTGGGCCACAAACTACGATGTGTTGGAAACCAAACTATTGAGTGAAAACGGTGCTCACAAGATGTCGCAGCTCTTCCGCGTGTCCCACAACAAAGAAGCTTAATTGCGTCAAGATAGCCTGCCAAAGGTCATCAGGCCTGGAAATGTTCAAGTTCATGCGTGATTTCCAATGTATGGCGTTGTACTCACCGAATCACTAGATGTAAGTCTTGTTGGAATGCGCGCATGACGCAATGAACAAAGCCGCCGCCGTAGACAACCACAGTGTCCTCGTCATTGAAGGAGGATGAGACGATGGGACGGGTTTCGGTGACTACTGGCTGTTGCCACAGCTGAGCCATTTGCACTCCATACTGAGGATGTTGTTCAAAGTACCCCTCTGACTCCCCGTCCTTCGAGTTTTTCCAAGCAGTCGATGCGGCACTGAGGATTTCACGCGAAGATGTGAAAGCCACGTCGGTGTTGGTCCCAACAATCTCCGGCTGGGGCTTCACTACAACAGGCATCGTGAAAATCGGAGGTCAGCTGGATCCAAGATGGGGGTTAAGGCGAAATGAGTTTGAATGGCCGTCATGGTTAAGGAGGGAGTCAAGCTGGTTGATCGCATCAAATATCTATGTATTACATCAACCACCAGGTTTATCTTCTTCAACACCAACTTCCTCGTCTTTCGCTTGGATATCAGTCTCCTCCAACGGGCCCTGCTCGCCAATGCGGATTCGGTGCATGAACATCGCAGATAGTAAGGCAAGGCCAGCAACAGGCACGCCTAACACGAATACGACCTTCAAGCTCCCAGTGTATGCCCTAACTATTCCAGGAATGAGTGCACTAGGCACTCTTTGGTCGGTGTAAATGGACGTCGGAGAGTCACGGATAATGGAAACAATGTCTGCGGGTGCCGCCGGCGCGTTCGTGTTGATGTTGGTCGAAAGTGTGGACGATAAGACAGGCGTAGCGACAGCCAGACCGATTGTGCCTCCCAGCAACTGGAAGAGCGTAGCGAGGGAAGTAGCTTGCCCGATCAATTGTATAGTTTTGGGCGAGTTGAACTCAAATCTGTATGGGGGTTGGACAACGATAAGGAGACAGGAAAACCCAAGGAACGAACTGCAGAGCAAGCAAAGCGGTTTGCATTCCAGTGCCGACGCCGAGGCCAACTATGAGCTGGAGCACTACTAGCTCAGGAGTTGATGTAGAGACGTCGATCGTAAAAAAGTACTCCGGAGCCGACGGCCACAAATATCGGAGACAGGACAAGAAGATGCCAACTGACGAGGGTCAGTCAAGCAGGTATACGATAGCTCAAAACGGACTAGAATTTCATCCATGAAATGATCTGAGCCGCGCCAAGAATAGCGACAGAAACTCCAATGAGGAAAGGCAGCAAATCCACCCCCGATTTGATAGCGCTATGCTCACGAGCGGCTTGATAGTATATGGGAATGTACTGAAACGATTAGAGCCGCCTAAGATGGCCACGAAAAAAAACATACGAAAGAGAACAGCAGGAAGCAAAAACGCAGAAGGAAAGTGTAGAGCATCATGGCGTAGCTGTTGAATGTTAAAAGAAGACATCAAGCTAGAAAGAAAAATGTCTACATGGACAATGAGTGGAAGATGGCGGTTGGGCTCATCGCTTTGTCACCGAGACGCTTTTCCCAGACGATTAGGGCGGCAGTCAGAAGGACCGCCAGAACCAGACACTGTTTTTATGTTTTAGTCGGCAGAAAGGACACTCATAATAGAAGAACCCTGACAATGATGACGGCCTTGTCGTTCCAGGGTTTTTGGTTGCCGCCCCATTGTAATGCCAGCACCAATGTTGTCAACGCGGACGATATCAACAGAACACCAATGAAATCCATCTCGGATACCTGGCGGAGAAGGTCTGGCCAAGAGCGTTTGGTGGGATCAGCGCCAATTGGCGGTGACGATTCAAGAAGGAAAAATACGCCGACAAGCGAGACAAAGCCAACTGGAAGATTGATGAAGAAGCACCATCTTGGAGCGCATGAGGGTTCTATGTTAAACGATGACTTGTTACCCACCTCCAGCTCAAGTTTGACGTGAAAGCACCACCGATAATCGAGCCGAGCACAACGGAAATTTGGAAGACGGCTCCGAAGATACCGAATAGTCGTGGGCGGTCTTCCAATCTCGTGACCTGGTACATAACTTGGAACATCGCAACCCCTGCTTTCGCTCAATCTATCGCCCCAAGAACGTAGAAGTTCCACTCACATATGCCTGCTGCACCCAGCCCACTGACAGTGCGACCAGCTATTAGATGGTTCATGTTCTGCCCGACTCCGCAGACGAGGGAGCCAAGCTGAAAGATGACAATAGAGATGAACAGCATCCACTTGGCAGAGAATATGCGGAGCAGTTGTCCATATGGCAGAAGGAATACAGCCTGTGCGAGCAGGAACGAGGTTGAAACCCATCCTTGCAACGTAAAGGCATCGAAATCCTGAGGAGCATTGAGTAAGCGAAGCAGATATACTGGTGTTGTGGATACGAACGGATGCAATGCGCGGAAGGGCCGTCGCTAGAAGACAATTCAAGCGCTGCATGCACAAGTTAGACATACACACCTAAGATTGTCTGGTCTAATGCCATTACCAGCACAGACAGTAACCTGCAAATATTGAGTTGGGAGTACGAGAAAATTTTTCCAAAATTACATCGCAGTGAATGCGACAGCCAGTCGTCGCCCAGTGAGAATGGTCATATTCAAGTTCTGCGTCGGCTGTTCGCCTTCAACAACATTGGAGGGAGTAGTGGAGGTCTCCATAAGGTGCGGGTTGTATCTGGGAGACTATTTGCCGGCTCCTGGTACTTAAAGGCTGAACAAACAAAAAAGTCCGGTTCCGATTCTGACTGGGTTGATGATGCCGCGACCAAGTCGAAGCGAGGCGTGGTAAATCAAAGTGGAACAACTAATCTCATGGGTCGAGTCGTACTGGCCTAGGGTTCAAATCGGGTCCGGTTCAGAAGTTCTCGTACCAGACGAAACACTGTGTTTGGCTCTTGATAGAAAAGCACTGCGTTTCTTCCGTTTGCTTCCCGATCTGTGGCCCGGGGGGCTCTGAGTCAAGACTCTTGCAGTCTCCGAAGTATGTCCCGTATACATCGTGGTGGCTGGAGTGGAACAAGGTAAAAGTTACACTAGTGTTACACTTGGCACGCAAGATTGATGCCGAAAGCAAACTTGAAGAACCTTTGCATCCGACCACCATGAAAGAGACCATCGGAGCGTTCCCCTCAAAGCCAGCCGCATACGCGACTGCATACCGTCTGTCCTATTCGAGCCTCCTCGGGCGAAATTTTTTCTGAAAACAACTGCAAAGCTGGCTGACCCCTTGAGATTGTGGGGAATGCTTAGCTACATTCGGCTTATCTGGGATACGGATGGCTCCATGCGGCGAACTACTAATAATAGCCTGAGCGGGGTTATTCTTAATGGACTTCAAGTCCGACATCCACTTGCCGTTGCATTCGTTCTGCCATGTCCTCGACCTCGCTGAATGACAAGGAGAAAAATCCAAGCCCAGAGCACGAGACAACAGAGGCCTCTCTGGATAATGCTTTCATCAAACGATTCCCATTCGTGGGTCGGGTGCTCAGCCGGCTGTTTGCTAGTGGGGTTGAAGCGAGGGGCGTCGAAAGAGTCCCAGAGGATGAACGAGAAGTCAAGAATATGTGGAACAAGTCCGTTGCTATCCTTTCAGCTTCCCGTCAACTGCTGACCGTCATTGTCGGTAGTTTGCTCATGTGGTGGTTCGCAGTCCGTTTGTGCTTGATCTTGAAGGCAAACCATCTCTTAGGTCTGTCAACACGGTCCTCACCACACTCCCCATTGGTGTTCTGGCCCAAGAATTCTTTTTTCTCACTCTCCCGTGCGTACTCAACGTACTCAACCGTCTGTCAATCATTCTGTATTGATTTTTTCTCTTCTTTTAGGCACGCAATTGCGACCATCTTCTGCTTCACCGCTCTCGGGGCCGTTCTCACATCCTTCATCTCCACTTTGGGCCCACGAACTGGCCTCCGTACTATGATCATAACACGTTACAGTTCAGGCTACATCGGCTGCACCATCTATTCCATTCTCAATATACTCACTCAGTAAGTCTCGTTCACTTCAAACGAAACGCTTCGACCGATGCAACATGTAGACTTGGCTTTTCTGTAACCGCCGTCATTTTGGGCGGGCAAACACTCGCTTCCATCAACCCGGGCACCCTACCGCTGGTCGCAGGGGTAGTGATCGTCGGGATATGTAGCCTAGTCCCTTGTTTTATCGGTGAGATATTCGCTAGTCGCAGAGCATGTAGTCTGGAACTCAGTCTAGGTTACAACATGGTTCATCACTACGAGCGTTATGCTTGGATGGTGCTTTTTGTCGTTATGATCATGCTCCTTGGCCTAGGTGCGCACGCCGGCTACGATATAGACGCACAGAAACCTTTTGAGGATAAAGGAAGAGCTCTTTCTTCTGATATCCTCAGTTTTGGTGGTATCGTCTTTGGCTCGGTGGCTGGGGTGGGTCTTGTTGCATTCTATTCAAGAACTATTGACACAGCAATCATAGTGGGCGCCTGTCGCTGCGGACTACAACTGCAGACTTCCAGTCAATACATCCACCGTTAAAGTCTTCACTCTGACTTTCTTTGGCTTGTTCATCCCCATCGCGTTTGTTGAAATTCTGGGAGCTCTCCTCATGACCATAACGAGTGAGGCATATACTGAAGCTTTCAAAAACGGCGGTACTGGAGGTCTTCTCGGTCAACTTCTCTCTCCGTGGCATGGCTTTGGCAAGTTCATTCTTTTCCTCTTAGCATTCTCCGTGATGTGTGTCCCCTCTCTGCCAGTTCTTGATCAACTTACACTTCCCTAGTGCCAACAACGTCCCCAACACTTACTCTGCAGCACTCTCCATCCAAGCACTCGGGCGTCCGTTCGCCAAAGTTCCGAGATTCCTGTGGACTTTGATCATTTTCATTGCCTACACCGTCGCGGGTGTTGCTGGTCGCGAGCATTTTGCCGAAATCCTTTCCAATTTCCTCGCTATCCTCTCTTACTGGACCGCCTTCTTCATCGTCATCGTTGCCGAGGAACACTTCCTGTTCCGGCGCCCTGGGGGTAAACTTGGAGGGTACAATTTAGACGACTGGGATGCGCCGTCCAAGCTTCCCCTGGGCATTGCGGGGGTGTCGGCGGGCTGTTGTGGGGTAGCGGGGGCTGTGGTCGGGATGGCAGAGGTTTGGTACACTGGCCCAATTGGTGTCAAGGCTGGAGCAGAGTTCGGTGCCGATCTTGGGTTTGAGGTGCGAGTTTTCTAAGCCGACCATTCCTTCCATTCTAAACCAGGTGATGTAGCTTGCTGCCGCATTTGCAGGCGTAACATTCCCTCTCTTCAGATGGATTGAGATACGTTATACCGGGCGGTAGCATCGTGGCGTTGTACATATTTCTCCAGATTACCTTGATCCGGCTTATACTCTTGCTCAAATATGTTCACGACCAGTTGCGACCCATCTTCCCAAACGGCTTCCGCATACTCTTGCTCCTTCGGATGCTGTGCATTTGAGAAACCCATATCCAGGTCATAGAAGCATTCAAAGTTTCGAGTTTGAGATTCTGACCACCAGTCTGCCTACAATACGAGGTACAGATTCCAGTCCGGAAAAATCACAATATGCACAAATATTATTATTAATAACGTAGATTTTGAAATACAAACGATGTTGTTCCAATAATTAAGCTTCCTCGCCTTCTTTCCCATCGACTGCGGGTGTGTCGTCCGTCGTAGGGCCTGCCTTCTCACCGTTGCACATAACCGACCCAGAGCCTCCAGCTGGCTCAGTTTTCTCATTCACGTCCGTCGGCGTCCCCTCCGAGTCTCTGATAGGTTTGGCGTTAGGCAAAGACTCCATCCAAGCCGCTATCTGAACCAAAAACTCGGGTTTTTCTGCGTAGGCCTGGTGCGAAGCAGTCCGATTCTTGTAGGGCCGTATGAGGGTCCTGCGGCGTAACAGGTTCGCCCATTCACGTTCTCCTACCAGCGCAATGGCGTGTAGCATCATCGCTCGATACTTCACTTGTTCAGGAAGCAACTCTTCGTTCGCCAAGTCGAGGAAATTCTTCCCGATCTCCACCCGATTTCTCACTATCGCGATCTCATTCTCTATATCCGTCATTTCGAGGGTGAGTTGCGTGAAGAGAGCCTGCATGGAAGTCGCGTATGTTGGCGAGCCCCTTGTCATTTCCACTCTTTGCGCATGACCAATTGTACAGGCGAGTTGCATGTCCGCTAGGTTTATTCGCTCCTCGAGAGCGAATATCTCCGGATCTGCGCAAATCGCCGTGAGATCACGAGTAGTTGATTTGTTACGCTCTGTGGGCTGCGTCTAGAATGGAGTTGGAGATAGAGGCTAGCCACGTACTTCTGCGCGGCCCGGGTGGGATAGTACCGGAGCTTCGGGGTTGTCGACCTCCAGCAAAATCCAAGTTAGAGTCTCGGTCGAGCAAAAAACGCCGCAATGTTTCTAGTTGGAGCTGATGAGGAAGGGAGACGCGGAAAGAAAATGCAAGTATGTACGGTCAATGCGATAGTTCCAACGCTGAAGTTTCGCGGTCGCGTTCAATGCATCCTCATATTCACGCTCCAAACGAATGTCGTCGTAGTTCAATTTAACGACCGTCTTGTAACTGCTGCGGAGACGACGAGCGAGGTCTTCGATGCGAGCGAGCGAGGGGGGGTGGCTGGGCCATGGTAAAGAGCGCTTTTGCACGTGAGGGTGGCGCCGCGGAATGGGTCAGGATGGGTCTCAGTCTCAGGTTGGGCCGGAGAAACAGATCATTTTGGTTGAAGATTGACAAGAACCGAGTGTAGACGATAAATGGAGACATATTTATCGACCTGGAAGGACATTGAGGATAAGTATACGCACTGGAGGGGAGATGGTCTGGGGAGAGGGAATGAAGGAGTATTTGATCGTTCTGATTCAATCGATCAGCAATGCTTTGATCTTGATGGTATGCGTGATGGTGTCACAACCACCGACTCTTTCTCTTAAACCACCATCTTTCAACCACTACCGCAGTATCATCATGAGTATGTCCGCAGCTCTTTTACTGTACTGTACTGGACTAACTATTCTCGACACTATGTTACCCTGCCCCAGTGGCCCTTGGCCGCCACTCACCACCACTCTGCACTGTTGGAACGTTTTCGACCAGGCGATAACTGGGCTCCTCGAGTCATCATCTTCGCCGACAAGGCTGTCACGAGTCCATGCAGTGAGAGCAGGGACGGATGGGCAGGCCATGCCATGCTGTGCATCTTTTGAAAGTCGAAAATGTCTGCACGGGTAGGATGTGGCCTCTGACTCTTCCGTGCGACTGCCTTGTACCAGCTCACAAGACCGAGGGGGTTCGCTCTTGGTACATTATACCTGAACCTTTACCGAAGACGTCCGCGTCACGACGGGATCCTTGAAAGCGTTGGGTGGTGGCTCGTCGGGGTTTCAGGTTTGACCCTTCACTTCTTCGACATGTTAGTTGTTTTGTACCTCGTGTCTGTTTGCTTCAAAATGTATCTTGCTTCGTGATTCCCAATTGCTCTCAGCTAAGACGTCGTCGGCTAATCTGTGATGTGAATCGTATCCTCCTTTGCAACTCTCATCATCTTCCTCGAGTGTGCTTATAATATTCTGCTCTGAGTCTACTGCAAACTTACTTCCGCTGGATCGCAAATGTACCAAAGCGGAGAACTCTCCGAATACTCACGATTGAAGTTTGGAATCTGTCGATATGAACGATTCAACAAACACAACCTTCTCTCAGCTTCCTACACTCGCCGGGTCTCGGACTCCCATTCAACCAGGAACCCTCTGACCGGCTCACGGGACTCCGCTCACAAATACATCCCAATTGCCATTTCCCAGGGTAGAGCGTCTTGGCTTAGTCCACAACATGTCTGCTGTGAGTGGCCTGTCCATCCCCCTCTCATCCAGTCATGAACGCAACTGCAGTCTGTCTCATCCACCAGCGCCCCGTACTCCGAGCTCCCCGCTGCAAACGTCAAGTTGTTCGAAGCAAAGGCCCGCAAAGGTTGTTCTCACGAGTAGAGGTCGTCGGTTTTACTAAATATATCGCGCTATTGTAGGTGCGACGTTCGATGAGATCGCCAAGGCGGTCGGGAAGGACGAAATCTGGGTCGCCGCAGCGTTCTACGGCCAGGTAGGCTATTTTATACGTACCATGAATATTAAACAGTTATAATCATGAAGGCGAAATTTGCGCCGGAGGACCTGCAGAAGGTGTCCGAGTTCCTGGGACTCGAGCAGGCGTCGCTCGATGCTGAACTTGGTGCACACTGGTGGCCTAACCGGGGACTCGGCCCGATGCCGCCGACCGACCCGGTTTTGTATCGGCTATACGAGGTGCGTTGGGCTGTGTACGGTGCCTTTTTTTCGTGGGATTGAGTAGGAATATAGGCGGTGCTGGTCTATGGACATGCCATCAAGGCCGTCGTTCATGAGAAGGTATTTTGGTTCCCACTGCCACCATCCATGCTTCTGAAAGGCGCTTAGTTTGGGGATGGAATTATGAGCATGATCGACTGCACTGTACGTTGTTCCTCGCTGTTGAGTTTTCTTACCAATGTGTTGTCGCTCAGGTCACCGTAGCGAAGAAGGAACATCCTAAGGGAGACCGTGTTGTGCTTACTTTCGAGTACGTGTCCGTTGTCGTGATTTTATACCAGCTAACAGGGTCTGCAGTGGCAAGTTCCTCCCGTACGCAAAGTGGTAGTTTTTGAATTGTGTAAATTTTGTACTCGATAAGATATGTATCACCGGATCGACCGGCAATCTTTTTCCGTGTTTACTTCTGCCCACCATGCCTCTTCTCCAATCCTACCTTTCGCTCGTGCGGATCCACCCGATTTCCACCATATCCAACAGCGTCTTTGGCGCCCTTTGTATGCTGTCTGCCATCCCATTTCTCGGCATCCCGTTTCCCAGTAGAGCAGCGGCAGAGTACTATGCGACCAAGAACCACTGGATTGCAGAGAACTACGGCGTCACGCCCCGACAGGCGGGGTATTTTGGCGCGGTGGTCAGGACGGGGGTCGGGCTTGGGGTGATTTATCCAACGACAAGACCGCTGGCGCTGGCGCTGAATGCTGCGATCGTTGTGAGGGGGACGGCGCTGGCGTGGCGCGACGGGAGGCCGATGCTGCCCCAGTATGGAATGTTAGCCACCATGGCTTGGTGTGCGCTAACGACGTGGAAGGGATGGTGAAGAGAGAATATGTTGACTGGTAGACAGCGGAAGCAAATTTATCATCTCAACCACCATGTCCGTCTGTGCCGACTGCTTCAAAGGTACCTTTATATAACTGTAATTACCTTCTACTAACTTCTACCAAGGTGTTAGACACGAAGGAGAACCAGAAGGAATGCGTCATCGGCGTTATCTGTGCTTAGACTGACTATGTCCAGGTGTGGAGAAGACCATCGGAGGCGTAAAATGCTACGTCGCCACCCCCAGTGTCCACTATCCCCAAGACAAGGCAATTCTCTTCCTTTCTGACGCGTTTGGCCTTGCCCTCTCCAACAACAAGGTGAGCCCACAGCCAAGAATGTCTTTACATTTCTCAACAGGAGATCTATAGCTCCTCGCAGACGACTTTGCTCGGAATGGCTTCCATGTACGTCTTCCTTGACCTCCCCTTTCGTCTGACGAGCCTATTCAACAAGACCATCGTCCCTGACCTCTTCGATGGAAACCCTGCCCCTACTGACGCGTTCGATCCCAAGCCTGAAGGTGTCGCGCCGTTCGACTTTATGAGCTGGCTTGGGCAGCATGGACGCGAAGTAACACGTCCGATCATCGACAAAGTTGTCAAGGCGCTCAAGGAGGAGGGCATCACCAAGTTCGCTGCGCCTGGATATTGCTTTGGCGGTATGTGCTCATTTTTTGAGTTCACCCCCGCTCTGAATCACCAACTCCAGCCCGCTATGTCGTCGACCTCGCTTTCGAGAACATAGTACACGTCGCTGCGATTTCCCACCCGTCCCTGCTCGCCATTCCCGATGATCTACATGTACTCGGCATTCTTCTCATCCAGCCTTTCTTTAATCATGGCCTAGAAATATAAAACTGACTCTCAGGCCCCGTTGTTGATCAACAACTGCACCACGGACCACGTCTTCCCCGTCTCAGCCGGTGAACAGGCTGACGCGATACTGGGACACGGAAACTTCACACCCGGCTACAAGCGTGTTTTCTTCGAAGGGTGCACTCATGGTTTTGCGGTCCGGGGCGACCTGAGTGATCCCAAGGTCAAAGCCGGCAAGGAGGGTGCATTCAAGAGCTGCGTCGAGTGGTTCAACGCCCATTTGTGAGAGAGTTGTATTATACGTTGTACATACAAGTAATATCCCAGTAGAACCCCCATCCGAGTTTAAGCCCTTCCGGTATGAGAGCAGTTTTTAGCTCAGTGATCCAAGTCGAGGACGATGTATGGTTTCTCCGGAGGGAGTTTTTCAGTGGTCCAATGTGCTTTCGCTCCATACTCTACATCCGTAATCGGATGAGTTGTTTGGTCGTTACGAAGAAAAGCGGCCAGTTCGACGGCCGCGAAGATGACCAACGTGAATCCAGTTGTGACCCTCAAAACATCAGCGTAGGTCAACGAGGCGATGGCGCTCTGCAGGGGAGCGAGGTCGACGGTGACTGCCAGGGGCAAAACGAGTCGTGATAATATTGTCTGGGATGATGCGAGTTCACAGGGAGTCGGGGTGGGCAATGCCAGGGGGAAGAAGAGGCTGAGGTACAGCCAGATGCAATGTAGGAGACCGACGGTGATGAGGCAAGAGAGTAGGATTGTCACGAATAGGTCGCGGAGGAGGACAGCACAGACTAGCCACGAATTTGGCGGTCGAGTCCTAACTGCCGTCTTCATGGTGTGCAGTAGAAGACTGGCAGGCCTAGGGGATTCCGAGATGCGAAAGGAGCAGCTTCATATAGCCTTCCGGCGAAATTAATCCCGCGTGCCGCCCCTCCAGGTTATTCTTGACGCGGAAGGCCTTGTTTGCTTCGTTGGGTCGTACAAATGCCGCGGTCTCATGCAACGATTATTCCCGCTTCTCAAACCGAAAATTCGCCGTCTAAACCTCGAAGTGGAGCAAGCTTGAACAACATAAACTTTAGGTTGTCGACCGTGGCTCGACAAGCCCATCATCGGTTGGTTGCAGCATGAATCGCAGAAGTCCAGATATCTCGGCATGCAGCTTCTCTGTTGTGGTTGATGTCAGATTGGGAAAACTCCCACAAAATGTGGGTTGACGCACTTGCTCGGGAAAGAGCTTGGATGTACTCTTCGTTCGCCACGGTCATCTCTTCGTCGAGGGTTTGTAACCGTTTGGCCTGGCAGAATATCGGACGACAAAGCCTCCTTCACAATGCCACACACCTGGTCAGCTTCCGGCTCTGGCTGTGGGAGAGACTGTATGAGGTATTCCACCTGTTTCGCCTTCACCATTAGGTCTTCCACCAGCTCCTTCTTATTCGCTGAACATAGATTTTGAATAACAAGACATATAAAATTAGAAAACAACGACAGACCATCGAATACGTCTGGCTGGTCATATTTCTCTGGCTTCCGCTCCTTGGTAATGGGAATCTGCTCGCTGACTTGCACGAAGTTGGCGCGGGAGGTGAGGTAGACGACGGTGCGGGACATGATTGTGAGCAGCTGTTGGATTTCATCTTGCAGTTGGGTTATGCGGTCCATGTGTGAGAGTTCCTCCAGCATGCTGAGAGGAAATCAGCCGCGCGTTGTTGTTCGCTTCCAAGTTCGAAGGCAAGGAAAGGCCAAGCGCGAAATGTCACACGTGTCACATAGAAACTGTCCTTCTTCCGAGAATGCCGAAACCGCCAAAAACGAAGCCCCTCGCGCCACTATCCATAGACCTCGCGGCTCGTGTGCCGCCAGAGCTACATGACTATGTCATTGATTTTTTACATGACCACCGACCCTCCATGTGCTCCTGTTCTCTCGTCTGCAAAGCCTGGCTGTCCTCTAGCCGATACCATCTCTTCCGAAATTCCACTCTACGGGTCACTCGCTGGAATTTTGAGAAATTTCTTCATTTTTCCTCCGCAAATGGAATACACGAGCACATCGGACGCCTTGATCTCGAGAGCCATATCATCGACGAAGTATTCCACCACAGCGAACCAACGTTGCAGTTCAACAACGACTTGAAGCGATTCGTCAATCTCCCTGCGGTTCATTACCTCCGTCTGCACTACCACCACGATGTATTCGCCTCGACAATCGGAAAGGCGATTACCGAGAACTTTGGGAATATAAAGGAGCTCGAATTCAGCTCTGTCCACATCGATTCGTTTGGCACCATCTTGGAGATATGTCAGACACTGCCTAGTCTCCGCAGGCTTGCTCTTTGCGGGTTACTTTTGATCGGCGACGAAGAGGATTCGCGCGAGGTTTTGATGGCGAAAGTCGCTGCATACCCCAACCTTCCCAATCTGACTGACTTCGTATTCGAAGCCCATCGGGGAAACGAAAATGTTCTCCGCTGGCTCTCGGCTCAACGCGGCCTTCGCCTCCTTGCAATCTCCAGACTTGCCACACGTGCCGAACGCAGCGTGTTTGCAGAGATTATCAAGGCAGTTGGTCCTCAGCTTACCCATTTGTTTTTGGGGCCCACAAATGCAGGTGAATAAACCCTTCGGGCTTTTTGTTAACGGACATTCTACTGACCATCCAAAGCAGTGGACCTTATCACAGCAACCAATCTGCAGACACTCGAGCTAAGGAACATAACGATTGCCGCGCCGGGGACCGAGTCAGTCGTCAACTACGTTTTCCCCACTCTCTCATCGCTGCTCGGACGTCGAGCCCCACCCGCGACTCTTCGAACACTAGTCTTGAACATCAATGTGGAATTTCAAACGGATATCGACACTATTCAATGGGACGAAATAGCTCCTCTGCTAGCTAGCGCAGACAGTCTGCGTCGCGTAGATGTTGGTGTTTCCCGACACAAAAAATCGCTGCAGGGAGTTATTTGCGACCAGAAGCTGCCCGCTCCCCGCCCATATTCTATTCGGGTGTCAGACTCTGATCCAAAGCGCAACCGGTTTTCTCTCGTGAACTGTTCCAGCACAAGTGCATAGTAGTTCTCATTATTCCATACTTATACCACCTACTCAACTTGTTTAATTATTTAATGCTTGCCGGTGGCTGCCGCTGGGCTGCCGATAACTTTCCATGCCGGAGTGATGACGTGTGCTGAGTTTGTCGCATTTGCCAAAATTGATTCGCTGATTCTTGCTCTTCCCCTCCACCATGCTGCGTCTTGGGCTCTCGTCGTTGCGCCCAACGGGCCCTTCTGTCTCCCGTGCGGCCCATACGAATATACGAAACTTCTCTTCCATTCGACCCAATATTCTCCAGGCCTTGCAGAAACAGCGACAAGCCTTTAGCTCTGCTTTCAAAGCTCCTCGATACACCACCATGGTGGAAACCAGCCGGCCGATATCATGGCGTCGAGTTGCCCTCATTGCGGGTGGTGTTGCCGGCACCGTCATCGTACTCGAAAGTGCCCTAAACCGCGAAACACGCTCTGGCCTCACCAACGCAGAGCGGTCGCTGCTCAATTCAACATTCATGTATACTGGGGCGGGATTGACGATTACAGCAGCGGCTGCGCGGGCCATGTTCACATCTGGCGTCGTTTACCGCATCATGGCGGCCAATCCATGGGTCGTGATGGGTGCCAGTCTCGCAGGAGGAATTGGCTCCATGATGGGTGTATTCTACACGCCACCAGAGAGCACTGTTCCCAAACATCTATTCTGGCTTGTGCGTACTCTTTTTTTTCTCAGAATGTTTAAGAGGTAACACGTTCTGTAGACCTTCAATGCCTTCCAGGCTGCCACACTCGCTCCTCTCTTCTTCTTCAGCCCCGCGATCCTTGCTCGCGCGGGTCTATATACTCTCGGTGTCGTCGGCTCTCTCTCATACGTTGGCGCCACCGCCGCAAACGACAAATACCTTATGCTCGGTGGACCTCTCCTGGCTGGTGTGACCGTGGTGGCCCTCAGCGGGCTTGCTCCCCTTGTGCTCCCTGCAACTTCTCTCCGCGCCCTGGCAATTACCGAGTCGATTTATTTGTACGGTGGCCTTGCCGTATTCGGTGGATTCGTGCTCTATGAGTATGTGACATTCCGACTTGCCGTCAATATATTCTGACTCGACTCCCTCAGCACACAAAAAGATCCTCATGCACGCACGTATGGCTGAGCAAGGTATCATGAAGCGCGACCCTATGAGGGAGTCGATTGGGCTCCAGCTAGATGCCATCAATATTTTGTATGTCCTCATTTGTCCGCCAGATGCTCTTTACTTAGCATCACCAGTGTTCGTCTTGTCCAGATCCTCGCGATGAACCAGGGAAAGCGCAAGTAAACCCTTTGATTCCAAGTAAAATACTGTATCCAACGCATGTCTGTGTATATCACCACCTAAAGACCTCCTCTGCTCCTGTTGGCTGCCCTTTCCTCCTTCAACGTCGAGATCTCCTTGAGGTCAACAACTTTGAAGGGCCAGCTGAACCAGTTACCCCCAGACCGCATATTTGACAGGCCTATGTCCTGCAAAAGTTGGTCGGTATACTGTGGCCATCTGCAGCGGGGGGTTAATAAGCTGGGTGAGCTGGGATCTCCGCTTACGTCCAAAATGCAATTAGGCTGCTATACGACTCGTTGACACTGTTGAGGCTGAGTAAGTTGTTTCATGCATATGGACAATGAACGCACTGCAACCAATCTGGGTACCGCAGATGCATCCACGCTTCGTCTGTTTTCGCGACCTCGTCGGCTTCCTCGGGTGTTGCAGGGACCCGCAGGCTTGGCTCGTTGAGAAAGTAGGACGAGATCCAATGGGCCACCACCTCCCATGTGTAGCCGATGTTTGTCGTAAACTGCAAGTTTGTTTCAACAACAACGAAAAATGGATAACTGCATACCACAGCGCCGTTGATCGCAAAGTCCCTCCGAGCAATATTCTTGCTCGGAACAATGCCTTGATAGATATGCGTGGCCCGTCCGAATTTCTCGGCAGCCGGACGGGCTTGCGGTTTGGCGCCAACCAAGCGGTGGGGGAAAAGAGTAGCTTCACTCTCTTCGTCGCCCGGAAATTTCAGCATCGTCGGGGCCATCCCAAGACTCTTTGCTGTTTGCTCTACGCTTTTGATGAGCGAGGAGTTTGATGAAGCATGGACCATACCATCAAACAGACTGGCCCAGGACGACTGGTACCCCGTCGCGAGGAGCAATATATCCGCAGGGATGCTGCGCCAGTCTGTAGTCACAACTGACACGCCGTCCTTTCCAAACCCTTGCAGCCGAGCGGGTACGACCACCTGTATCTTACCTTGTTGGACAAGCGCATGGAACCCGGTGGCGGACGGGACGCCTTCGTCGTTAACGCTGGTGCTCCAGAAGAGCGGGTGGAAGTGCTCGGGGCGGAGTGGGCCCCGGGAGAAGGGCGTTATGCCGGCAGCGAAAAGCTGTACTGGGAGTCAGCGAGCTAGCTGATGGTGCGACAGGCTTTTACAGAGGCGTATTTGAGCAGGACCCAGAATATCCATACGAGGCAGCTGCCCAGCCACGTGGTGTGGAAGAAGCGCTCCAGCCGGGTGTGGAGCACTCGGTGTCCGGCCATAATAGACAGCAATCTGTAGAGAAGTATTGGATTTCATGGTTATACTTACATAGAGAGCACCGGCCTGCTCTTGCGAATGAACGGCGGAAGCGTCGACGGGCTTGCTAAGAATGCGTCGGTTTTTTCGAAAACCACAGTCACATCGCAGCCCCTGTTGGCCAAACAGGCGGCCATACTTGTGTCGATTGAGAAAATGTGCAAAGTGGAAAGATAAGGGACACACTCTTGAGCAGACTTTCCCCCTCCCACGATAACAATGCTCTTTGTTTTTTGCTCGATTTCCGGTAGTCTGGCGGCGAAGTGTTTCGAGTGAATCACCTTCCCTTTGAAGTTCGCGCTCCGCGCAGCGGACTCGGAAAGAGCCTCGGGAATTTTTGGTGTGTCGCATCCCTAGCCAACGGTAAGATTTCAGCCTTCCTGAACATACTAAAGACTGGTTTACCCCGGTACAGAGGACAATCCGCGAAAATTGCAAGGTCTCTTGCTGCTTGGTAGAGACACTCTCGACGGTGACGAACCATTGCGAGGCCGCATCATCCCGCCGGATACTGAGTACTTCGACTTGATACCGAATGTGTCCGTCGAGCATTTGGCTGGCAAAATTTTGCATGTAAACACGCATGTCCTCTCCGGTGACGCGGCCCGACGCGGTTGCAGGCATTTCTAGCCCAGTGAAGTGGTATTCGCCGTGAACACTAAAAGGAGACATTCGAGCAGCTAGGAGGAGAAGAGAGAGACATACTTGTTGATTTGCAAGTCGGGATAGACTCGAGCTGAGGACCACACCCCGCCTGGGGTACTGTCCCGCGACAGGATTTGCACGTCTGAGAATCCGTCCTGGATAAGAGTGTGGGCAGTTATCAAGGCGGATGGGCCCGAGCCAATGATTCCGACACTGTCAGTGGCCATGTTTTGGGATGTTTTGGTGGAAGGAGGCATTTATACCAAATTTCTGCATATCAGGCCCGGTGTCATTTTTTGCGGCCTATGATCTGAATCCAATCGGAACGCAGACAAGAGACCATTCATATTCGGAGACATTGATGAAGGTTGGAATGAAAAAAGAAACACGGCCACGTGATCAATAAGTATGTCGCTATCGTCTACAAGTAACACCTGGAGTATGTGGGGGGAGGCAGAGAGCACGGCCAGTTTCCTCTCGCTATCGAAGCCTCCCATTCCGGAGCATGAGAACGGTACAGATCCATCCCGGCACGCGCATTCTCCGCCTGACAAGTTCTCGTCAAGCGGGACTGTGGAAGAAAGAAGGGTACCACATACTGGGTCAATTAGTCCCTCTCCACAGCGCCGTCGCATGAGTTGCCAGCAAAGCGTCTGTAAGCCGATTACCTGATTGGGGGTACGGAGCGCGTTTCGGAACGGCTGCGAAAGAAGAAGACGGATGAGCCTGTCAAAGATGTGGATTTGTTGACACCGGTAGAACCCACCTGATACAGAGCGACATCCCGCGTAGCCACAGCAGGATGCGGAATACCGAGCACTGGAAGTACATGTAAATGACGGACAGAATAGCGAGAAGGCATATGAGAGAACCCGAGAGATGTTCCCATATAGAATGCCCAACCACGATTTTGCCACGGAACAGCTTGGCCAAAGTGCTTTGCAAGACGTTGAAGGGGATCGGATCCTCTGAAGTGGGCTTCAAGTTTGAAAACATGTCAGAACTGGAACAAACTATAAACGTACTGGAGGAAAGATGCCAAGCAGTGATCCCAGTTTGGGCTGCCCGATAGTCCACAACTGGAACCGTTGGTGCAACAAACTTATCCAGTATAGTCTCGCCCTGGCCGAATTTCAACTCCAAGAAGTTGAGAGACGGAACCAGACCTGAAAATTGACCACTGAAAAAAAAATCGCGGGTAAGCGTGGAGGGACAAGAAATATGGTCTAGCACACACCTACGATGCGCCTATCAACACCGTTAGCTTGGAAAGAATTTCTAAACAAGCGCATACGCGACCATAGACGTCGTTCCACCCGGCCCAACACCGACGCAGACAGTGGAGAGCGAAAGGATGTGTTCTGGTGCAGGAAAGTGAGCCATAGGAGAAGAAAATGTTGGATTGACGGCTGTTTAAGGACCCCCTGGAGCCTTTTAACAGTTTCGTTGATGTGTCGCGCCTGCGCACGGGCGGGGATAGTTCCTGCTATTAGTCGGGTGCGACGCGGATGAGCATACCATCGAATGAAGAGACATGTATGGGCCCAGTCGGACATCTGTCTTCGTTAAGCTAGAAAGACAGAAAGGAATATTTTCCCCAGGGGTCATGCAAGCGCTGGCCAATAATCGCTTCAGACGAGAATGTTTGAGGTTCATCAGGTTTTGCGCAATGGATCACGAAAAGTTCGGGTGTGGGTGCAAGTAAGGTTGTGGACGACGACATCACAAATCAATTTGTGGTCGTATTTACGTACTTTTCCTTCTTCTGCAACCGTAATCTAACTGCCATTGCTTTAGCCTCCAATCTTTTCCATCGCTCTCTAGATCTGTGTCGTCCATTCTGACTCTGAGGGAAATACTCTCGATAAGTCCTCCGCATCAGAATTTCACTCTGGTTGACTGGAGGGTCCGGGAACAACAACGCTTCTTCTGCTGCACGAAGTCGCCCATAGATATAAAGCCTCCCTTCAATAAGAGCATACTCCGCCACCCGATGTCGAACGTTTTCATCTTCGACATTAGGGCCCCATCGAGTTTGAACTTGATGAGAGTGTGCCAAGCTATGGTCCCACATTTCTGTCTGCCGAACAGTGCTGAGCAGGACCATAAGAGTTTTGGGTGACGGGTACAAGTTGGGATGGATCGTTAACATCTCGTCGAGTTTCCTGCGAGCTGGATAGAAATCACGCAAGCCGCGCTTCCTCGCTTCATGCGCGATGAGCGCGTTAATGATGAGCATGCAACATCCAACCCATTTCTCGTCGATGTGGTGCGGTAATGAGCGGAGGTATCGTGTTGCCAGTGTCATTGCGGCGTCATGTTCGTCCATCAGCAGCATCGACCGGACGATAACCAGGGCAGGGTGCGCAAAGTCTCGAATGTTGGAGGAGTGGCATATGGAGCATTAGCATCCGAAAATGGGTTTCTTGGGCGGGAGATGCTGCGCTTCCAGGCCGTTTCATGTCCTTCAAAAATTCCAGCCACAAATCCAAGGGAATCGGGTCATGCGCCGCTTTGACTCGGTCCCAAGCGGTTCCCATTTGTTCATTCGCAGCAGATATCGCGTTTGAGCTTTTCTGTCTCAGAGTCGTGGGGAATCTGGTCGGCCAACATGGAGTCGAAGGAGTTGTGCGCTCCCATATGCTACGTTTCAGATTGCCAGTGAAAATAAGGAGGTTGTACGACTGGATAGAGCGGAGTCCTCCTTTATGAAGCTCATGGTAGTCTAGTAGGATCGGAAGTGAACCCGTCTGAGGGACAGCTAACAGGCGAATCGGGTTTGAGCGCGGGCAATTGTGGAGGGGTGGTGGCCTAGAAAGACCGGAGAGTGTTTAGACGACAAGAGAGCAGTTAGAGACAATTTACATGCGGGGACGCGGGCGAAGAAAATGGCGGGGACCTGGCAACCCTACTGGTCGCATGCATGGGCCAGTCAAAAAATTCTCGGTCACTTGATTATGAATCGTCATCTTCTCCTCCGCCGTGCTGGCCAAATTCGCTTCAAGGCAACCATTCCTCCATGACAGCCTCAGGCAGGCTTGGCCAGCATTCCCCATACACTTCGAGAACTGCTTTCTGAACGCCAACAACCTGGCCCAAATGCCCCACCAGCTAAACGTGACTAATTTTTTTTACCTCTTGCTCAGTTTGTCTTTACTTCCAGAAAAGCATTGTACTAATCCTAGTCTCTCCGCTGTTTATATGAATGCAAGTCGAGAGATACTTTGATCCAAAACCAAAGAAACGACAACAAGCAATACACAACCGGCTCCTCAGTCTTCGGGCCACAAAGGTCACCTTGTTCACCAATTCAACCGCCGTAGTTGCATACCTTCGAAGTTCGCCGTCATGCTCCCACCTGACCTCTACCGACATATGCGAGCTGATGAAGTCTGTGGCTTGTTGGAGGAGCACAGTGTCCTCCAGACCTGCTTGTTTGGCTACAAGAGGTTTGTGCTATAACATACCAGCTCTCACAAATCAGTCAGGAAGAAGACAAGGAGATAGAGGCAGCGGAAAAGATTGAGGATTCGGCGGTGCTATCAGACACCTTCGCTTACGATGAATGCACTACGTGAGTAAAAATCGTCCGTCGGACGTCATGAGCGCTGATCGCCTCCAGCGGAGCGCTGAACTCCAGCGGCTGTCGCTTTTTTATTTCAGTAGTGTATAAATACCTCGCATTGAAACATGGATAACCTCACCTCTACTCCATGGCCTCCCCTTCATTCCCCCAGCCTCACACGCCATCCGATGGGCAGCTCGAACGAGATACCGACTTGCTGATTCAAAACTTTCTTCCTCCACCTGGTCCACCTCCTGCTTACGCTGCACCGTCTCTCCCTCTCCCCTTTTGTGTCCCTCAAATCGCACCGTCATACGAAGCACCGTTTGCCAGGGGCTTTAACCCTGCAATCAACGCTGTGGGCGTCCCACAAGATGAATTCCTCGCTTTCATGTTAGCTTTAGCCACCCCCTGCACTCTCTACCTGAAAATATATCTGTAGTGATGGCCTCAATAATGCGATAACTGCTAGTCCCCCTCTTCGTGTCGTTGACGTTGCCGGTATGTTGTTTGTTTTGTCCAAGTTACTTTGCCTCTGATTACTTCGCAGGTAAAGTCATTGGGTTCATGTAAGAACGGCCTATATACAAGTCTCGCAAAGTGATGCTTAACAAACTATCTCTTAGCCCATATCATTGGACGATAATTGCGGGTGCAGTCATGCAAACGGTTGCCCAAACAGGAATGCATATCCTGTCGAAAACTTTGACAGACCGCTATCTGCGGGCCGCTAACGAACGGATTTTCCACCCTCGAAATTTATCTGTGCGCCTCTGTACCAGTGCTGCCATGCAAGAGATCGTAAAGCATAGTGGGAATGGAGCAGGGCCTTCGACACTCGACAAAATCGGACGTGGAGTCGGAACAGTCTTATTGCACGCGCCAATCCCCTTTTCCAGTCGCATCGTCCGCTCCATCGCTGACAGGCCTCCAAAAGTGCCACCTTCAATCAGCTCAGTGGGAGACGGCCAGTACATGACCTTGTCGACTCAGCGTAGACTTGCTGCCCTTGAAGGCCACGCTCTTCCAGTCAACTTCGAAGTGCCCCCTCCAGCCAAGCCCGCCGATATCATGGGCTCAATCAACCAGTTCGGTGTCAAGTTTGACACCTGGCGGACCAACAGGAAGGAGAGCAGAATCGAAAGCCGTCGTCGCGAACTAGCGCGAGTCAATTCAGCCCTTCAGCAGCTGGGCATCAATCCTGGACAGGTGCAAGGGCCAATCCAGGCAGGCGGCAGTACCCAATATCTCGATTGGAGAGACCGGCGTGAAGTTCGGAGGGCTGCACGCCGAGAACGCCGGCGGGAGCGACACGGGCCCGGCTTGATCGGCAGCTTGATCGGGCCGAAGGAGAGCCGTCTTGAGCGACGAGTGAAGAACGCCGACTTGCTCGAGCACTGGGCAGCGGACAAGGTGCTTTGGGTCGTCATCATGAACAAGGATTTGGGTAAGTGGCTGTTGGCGATGCTCCTTTCCATGCTGATGACAAACACCATAGACAAGACGATTGGCGGATTACAACATGCAGATGGCAAGGAAAATATGGAGCGCGTTGATGCTGAGACGTGGAAGAATCAAGTTTTGAAGGAGAAGGAGGAATTGGACGCCGAGTCAAGCGATAGTGAGAGTGAAGATGAAGATGAAGCCGACCGCAAACATTGACTGTTGGATTTCGGGGTTGGGCAAATAAAAGGCCAGATTACAGTGGTATTATAGCAATTTTTAGGAAAAAGAATGCCAACCTTCCACAGTAATAGATCTGCTGGCAACACATGACTTAAGGCCTCCAACTCTACGTCGGATTTATATCTGATCAGGGTCCGAGAAGAAGGGTTCACCACAAATATTTTAGATTGACGTCTTGGATGGGAATCGCGAAGCAAGATACAAGTTCAAGCGGACAAACACAAGGTACAAAACAACTACTATGTCGAAGAAGTGAAGGGTCAAACCTGAAACCCCGACGAGCCACCACCCAACGCTTTCAAGGATCCCGTCGTGACGCGGACGTCTTCGGTAAAGGTTCAGGTAGATGTACCAAGAGCGAACCCCCCTCGATCTTGTGAGCTGGTACAAGGCAGTCGCACGGAAGAGTCGGAGGCCACATCCTACCCGTGCAGACATTTTCGACTTTCAAAAGATGCACAGCATGGCATGGCCTGCCCATCCGTCCCTGCTCTCACTGCATGGGCTCGTGACAGCCTTGTCGGCGAAGATGATGACTCGAGGAGCCCAGTTATCGCCCGGTTAAACGGTTTAAAACGCTTGTGTTGTGATCACTGTAGCGAGTGGCGACAGAGAGAATCGACAGGCTGGCAGCCTAGATGATGTTGTGGGTGAAGGAAGAGGTACGGCATAGTCAGTTAACGACAAGAGATAGATCACCGGCACTCAGGATGATATTGCGAGGGCCCTGGGTACAGTGGCAGGTGGTGGTGCAAGTGGTGGTTCAAGAGAAACAGTGAGATGTGTGACACCGTAGTTGATCGATCGATTTCTCCTCCCATAACCTGGATTCTCATGGGCACTCGACCTTTCGTTGACACTGGCATCCTTATCTTACGGTTCAGCGCTATAGAAATATCTGATGCTACAGGCTGGAGTGGCATATGCATCCCATTTCATTCCACGATAACCTCATCTAAATCTTATCTTATCTTGCCGAAAATCGGGTATATTCGCAAGTCCAGTACAGATACATAATTAAACAAAAATCACCCAGAGAAACGTGTCGCAGTGTCTTATTTGGCAGTAAACTGAAAGGCAGTCAGTTTTCTAGCATAAAATAGTCAAAAGCGAAAAACTAACGTAGACGCAGTCGTCGAAGGAGCCATGTTGTGCAATGGGGCCGACGACAGGCGCATGGTTCGTGCTCGTGTTGATAGAGCACATCCTGTAGAATCCCACGGGCACGCCGGTGCTGACAAATGCAATGGCCTCGCCGTTCTCAGCAGCAGAATCGACGCCCTTGAAGAAGAAGAATTTGGTTGGATCTGTCGGTAAGATCTGATCCAGACTCTGAATTTTCTCCATAACTATGTGGGTATGACCTCGGATTTCGCCTTTCTTATTCAGCGTTTGGGGTGCTGAGAAATAGGTCTTCTGCGCGTTGGTGAATAAGCCAGTCTCGAAGTTGCGGATGTTCAGCGACGCGTTGAATGGAACATTGGCGTTGATGACGTCCGTATTCTTGGGGAAGTTGAACTTGGCGGAAGGCATCTTGTCGGCAGAGGGAATCAGCCCCATCGGAGTCGGGTTGCACGACCCTTCGCGGATTTGTTGGCCATTGGTGAGCTTGACACCGGGCAGTGTAAGCTTGCAGAAGTTAATCCAGTTGTTGGTAGTCGTTTGGGAGGCAGTTTGCCCGGCTACAGGTGGGTTCTGTCCGTTGTCGGCAAAGTTGTTGCAAATAACGTCCTTCTCAAGTGCTGTTGATGACATCAGCGGCGAGCGAAACTGAAGGGAACAGACCCACTGAGAGACTTTTGGGCATCTTGGTTGGTCTGGGTGGCCGCGTTATTGTTCCCCTTGCTCTGATTCTGCCCATTGCCAGCTTTCGGCGGCTGCTTTCCTCCCTGCTGCTTCTTCCCGCCCTGCTGCTTCTTCCCCTGTTGCTTCTTCCCGCCCTGTTGTTTTTTTCCACCTTGTTGTTTCTTTCCGCCCTGCTGCTTCCGTCCCTTCCCCTGTTTCCCGCCCTTCTTCTGCCCTCCCTTTTTCTTGTTCTGTTGGCCTCCTTGTTTCTTCTTCTCGTTCTGATTCTGACGAGCACTGATTATACCACGGGCAAGCTCCGAGTCATGAAAATCTCCGTCGATGCAATCTAGGCAGCCAGTTCCCCGTGGAGTAATGGGGGTCGCCGACGAGCAGAGCGCGACGATGAGAGAGAAGAGAACAGCAATAGAACGTGGGTGCATCGTGATTTCGTTGTTGTGATCAGGAAAATGAGAGGCTGGCGGTCGAGAGATGACACCAGGTCAAAACTTGCAATGAAAGGGAAAAAAGGGTAAAGAGCAGACGATCTCAGATCGCACAGAAGAAGGAAAAGACCCAAGTGGGACGTAGGGAAAGAAGGAAAGAAAATAAGCGCTCCCATGGCCGCTTGCATATAAATACATCTCGGTGTTCCGTGGTAAGTCTTGGCAGCACGGCTGACCCCAGACACAGAGTGAACACATCGACTTTCAGTTGTGAATGATCCCCGGAGGCGGTGATGGTACTAGTACTGCCAGCGGTCCGATGATAGATAGATGAAACCAGAGAATGTTGGCACAAAATATAGGCAAGTCCATGTGTCGCTTGACGACCACGAGGACCCACTCGCGGGATGTGATTTGCGTTGTGTGAGACGGGACGCTGACCCGAAAAAGGGATGAAAAAAACCGACAGCCCATCCCACTCAGTTTCCAGTTTGTAGTTGAAAGACCAATTTGGGCTCGCGTTGGAATGTTGAGTGGCTTGTAAAGCTTGGAAGGACAGACGATCGGCAGTAGGAAAGTCAAAGGGCATCGGGCATCCGACCTCGCTTGAAGACTCGAAACGCGGAGAACACGGCCACATTGGCTTCGAGTATTGAATGCGATGCAGGCAAATGTGTTGTGAGTATGATGAAAAAATCGACGTTTCTCGTTGGTTTCCCGTTTTGAGCCTCTTTTAGTCGACCGCAGCAGGATAGACTGGTGGAGGAAAGTAGGAGTTCGTGAGAGAGAGCATAATGATAAGTGATCACTACAATAGAATTACCTACGCGCTGGTGAGGTGTAAGTATACTTACAAAGGAATATGGTACCAACGCTAAGACTACAGAAAACAAAAAAATGGAACCAAGAAATGAAATAGACATAGTTACTTGATGTCAGCCAACTCTCCTCCAGCCGCCCGGGCTACTCCAGTCAACATCTTGTCCATCTGGGCCTCAGCATCGGTCTGCTTCTTTTGGGCTCGTACTCGAGCGGCGCCACTGTTTTCTTCGCCATCGTCATCGTCTCCAGGCTGTCCATGCTGAGCAACCATGAACTCTGCAACAAACTTGGCAACCGCCTTCTCGCCAACTTCGCTGGCTGCTCGTGGACCCCATCGCCATTCGTAAGTAATACCAGCTTCCTCATCTGCGGCAGCCACTCGCCCACGTTTCCCTTTGTTTGTCGCCTTTTTACCATCAGCTCCGGCACCAACTTGGGCACGGTCGATGTAGCCTTGTCGCATGAGTTGGGTTAGATAATTGTCTAGAGTGAGGGCATTTCCGGGGTGTGTCGAAGCAGCGGTAAACGGGATGTTGGTGGTGCCCGATAGGTTGAGGCGTTTGAGCATAACGCGAAGCTCCTCTGTTCCGAGCAGCACATAAATAAAAGCGGAAAGTAGAACTGCATCGACTCACGATCACCAACAACCCGTCCGCTCACGAGAATTAGCGCCAGAATCACGTAGAGAATACCCAATGGCGCTAATTGGTCCCCTTTGCTCCAAGCCAGCATCGTGCCATAGTTCTTGGCGCTGTATTGCTCTTCCTCGTCGTCTTCTGAAGGTGCGTCCTCAGCTTCATCTTCTAGTATCTCCTCATGCGTGACCGCCATGGCCTCGATGAGTTCATCGGAAAGCGTAGAACGGAGAATATATGTCTTGGAGCCCGCGGCAGCAGCTATGGGACATTGGGTGACTTTGATTCGCTGCCAATGACCATGAAACTGACCTTTCCTCTTGACACCCGCTGCGTTGCGTGCCTCCTCACCATCGTTAAGTTTTTCCTTGTCTGGATCAAGTTCTGCCCTTGTTCTTAGCTCTACAAGCCGCATCCCAAGGATATTTTGAAGGATATCTTGGGCCGCAGCAAAAACGCGTGCAAATGCTCTGGTATTAGAACCAAGAACTGAAAGCAGGCTTAAGACAACTACCAGCAGTTCCAAAAGCGCGACTTACCTTTCTTCGAAATCTCTTCACGCCGCAGGGGCATTCGCCTATGCTCGTTAAACATTGCTAAACGGACAAGCTCGTGGACCATCCGCTTCTCGTCCTAAAAGGCAGCATGAGACGGTTGCCAGGACAAATGACTATGCTCACATTTTGACCGTCATCGAGCTCTTGGTCGACCTCCATATTATCGTCGTCTTCCTGGTCGTCATCTTGCTCATCTTCGGACTCTTCCGCAGGCCGCTGCTTCTGAGAGCGTCTTGGCTGGCTAGCCTGCGCTTGGGATGCCTTGGGAGCCTTCTGCGACCGCGTTGTTGAGCCGCGTGCCATTTGTCGAAGGAAGAGAGTCACGGTGTGACGGGTGGCGATTGATCCCACAAACTTTCAACCATGCAACCAAATTCCTCGCTCCACGGACGTTGTAACTCTCCCTCCATGACTACATGATTTTACCTTGACCTCTCTTCACGATAGAGGCTATGCGCTGCTGTCTCGTTTTGTTGGAGACTGACGCACGTGAGCGCCCTCATATCTAATCTACAACTGATCGGACACTCATCTGGAACCTGGGCGACGGGAGAGCCCCTACCGCTTCTCTCGTCGCACCAGGTATGACTCCTATTTCTGTTTACTTATCCATGTATTAACCTACCGCTTCTCTCGTCGCACCAGACTGAATACATCATAATCTGTATATTCATTCACAGGTTATGGGCCCCGGCTGAAATCTGCGCAACAACAACTTGATTCAGCCCTCGTAAACTCCTAGCTAACACACACGATTAACACCAACCCGCCGTCGACAAAACTTCCCAACTTCTACCGATTCTAGCTCACATACAACCACGTTTCCATACCAGCACCTATTCATGTCATCAGCAGACAGCGAGAAAGAGTGGCGAGCCCTCAAGCTCACCCCTATAACTGAGAGCAGCGATGGCTCCAACAACTATGCAGAGTTTCGAACAAAGTCTAAGTGCAAACTAGATGCTGCCGGTTACTGGAAATACATCGACGGCGAAGATTACAACCCACCAGTGATACCAAAGCTCATCCCAAGTCAATCTTTTACTGGTCTTGACGCAAATGGAGACGAGACCACCATAACAACACGCGGCAACGAGGTGGAAGTGAATGTCGCAAAGAAAGCCGCTGAAGCTTGGTTAGTTCAGGACAAAAGAGCGCTGTCCATTATCGTCGAAGCAACCCCTGTCCCGAAACTCTATGCTGTAGAAGATTGCAAATCAGCACGAGAGGCTTGGATAGCACTAAAGGATGCATACGAACCCACGAATACGCTTCACGGCAATCACATTGAAAGGCGAAATCTCTTCATACATGTGCGGGACGAAGAATCCGATTTCCTGGCGAGTTACGATGCAAGAAAAGTACCTGCAACTCCGACGAGCCGACCCCGATATGATGCCCGACCATGAATTTGCGAAGTGTTTGGTGACGAACATGCTGCAAGACGAGAAGTGGCAGTACTGCCGAGACTCCCTCCTACAAGAGATGACGACCAGTGAGAAAGTAGGGAAGCCCATGAGCTCAGCAGCAGTCGTCACTCGCTTGCGGCAAGAGGAGACGAACAAGAAAGTTCCTATTCCGACTTCGGGGTCTAGCACGGAGCCCGAGAACAGCGCTGTACCAAGCGCATCATTAGCACAACCAGTTAACCAGACGCAGCGAAGATTCGACCGCACAAACCAACGAAATGACCGCCGACCTGCCCCTTATGACCGTCGCCGAGGACCAGCTGCTGGTCCAAATGCCCCCTACTCCCAGTCCAACCGGCTCTTCTGCGAGAATGTCGAGTGTGGTAATCCCATTGGCCACTCGCAAGCCGACTGTGTCGCTTACAAAGGGGGAAAAGAGGGTCAGTATCCACCAAATTATCGTGGCAACAAGGACATTCACCTGCCGCCGGACCAAAGGACCGCTGAGCGAAGACGTCAAGCCCGAATTTCCCACCATGCGAGGCAGCAAACAGGTGGAGGTGATCGATTTGCGGGAATGGTGGAAACGACAGTTTGTTGGAACAGGACGGCTCGGGGGAACTCGCTCGGGACGGGCCACTCGAGGAGAAGCAGATGGCGGGAAGAGAACAGGTTTATTAGGAGACTATATGACGCTTATATACCTACACAGGGGCTACGGTCTGGGCAGTAACCGGTGAACAACGCGGTACGCTCCGCATTTCAACACTCCCACTGAGCGTGACGCGCTGTGAGCTCCTTGTATTCCATATGCATACTAAGCTCCCACTGGTGCAAAGCTCCACCACCCAGGACTGCAGCATACCAAGTTGACGGCGGGGGGGGAACAAGTCCGGAAGCAAAGCAAGAGTTCGATTCCAGTCCATCGAGAGATTTATCATATCCAGCGCCATATGCGAACTCCAGTCGCTTTCGAGTCCGTCGGGACGTACGGCATGCTCGGCGCATCCGCAGTGGTCGGTTCGGGTACGGGGCCCATCGCAATCCCTCGGCGGGTCGATGGGTACAGAAACAATTCCAAGACGGGGACTTGCGGCGCTACCGGGCGCCGGAGAGGTCCGGCCGAAAGATCCGGGTTCCGGGGGGTGCCTTGCAGCATTACCGGGTTCGAGCGGGGTATCGGGGGTCCAAGAGCGATCGGACGGCGTGTGATCGGGCGGGCGAAACAGTAGGGCGGCGGGTCAGGGTCCTTTAGCTAGGGACGGCAAGGGGTACGGTGAGGCAGCGGCCTGAATGCAGGTTTACGCGGGGGATGACTACCGAGGTCGGGGGTTGCAGAGCTTGCGGGCGGCGTGGCAGCGCAGTAGACCGAGGCATACTCGGGCCGCGACAGACGTTGTTGCAGTTGTTGCCATCGAGGGCTCCAGCGACAGCAGGGTACGACTCGGAGGGCCGGTGATTAACGGCGGGGGGGTTACAGGAGCGGCGCAGGCAGGGCTGTCGAGGCTTTCGGGGCCCATAACCTGTTGGAACAGGACGGCTCGGGGGAACTCGCTCGGGACGGGCCACTCGAGGAGAAGCAGATGGCGGGAAGAGAACAGGTTTATTAGGAGACTATATGACGCTTATATACCTACACAGGGGCTACGGTCTGGGCAGTAACCGGTGAACAACGCGGTACGCTCCGCATTTCAACACAGTTGACAGTGAAGAGGAGGCCCTTGAGGTCCTTGGGAACGAGACTGTCGGCGTAGACTATGCCTTCTTCAGTGGACCGTTGGAGATCGAGGACGATGAAGAAGAACTTGAAGGTGACGTCTGGGTGAACGCCGTCAGTGTAGAGACGACAGACGCGTCGTCGACACGCACACCGACAATATATACCACGATACGGGCGCCTCCCGACATGTCTTCAACAACAAGTCGTTGTTTCGGGGATACAAGACCTTTCGCAACCCGGTGAACGTTTTTGGTTTCGGTACCAACCTGACTACACAAGCCTTAGGAAAGGGGGGCATCGTACTGGAAGGTACTCACACTGGCGACAAAAGATTCTCCATCAGCAATGTCCTCCACATCCCCACTGCACGTTGCAACCTCATTTCGGGGGCACAGTTGGATGTGAAGGGCGTCCAAACGGAGACGGGGGGGGGACGAATCCAGTACTTCAACGCTGAAGAAGAGTTCCCGTTTGCCTCGGGGGAGATTGTTGGAGGACTATACAAGATGAATGTTAGAGCGGAAGTTCCTGACGAAACCCCCGCGGAGGCAAATCTAGTCGAAAATGTCGACAATTCGACAAAAACTCCCGCGGGACCTGATTTGGGCCCAGATCTCATCAACGCGACAACGCCATCCGTCATGGCGGTACTTGGGACCAACAACGAAGAAGGGGCCAAGCAGGCGGTTTTTTCCACCGTCTAATGGGCCACCTCGACGTAAAAGGGCTCCAGAAAACGACACACGGTCTCCCTATCGACTCTACCAACATTCCTAATTGCCGGGTGTGTGCTCTAGCTAACATCAAACGACTGAAATTTCCCTCCAAAGCCTCAAACCGCGCTGAGCGCGTATTATTCCGCATCCATTCTGACATCTGTGGTCCTTTTCCCACCGGCTACGGTGGATTCAAGTATTTTATTACATTCACCGACGACTTCCGCCGTTTCGCATCTGTCTATTTTCTCAAGACCAAGGACGAGGCTCTCAAGTGTTTCAACGAGTACCGAATTGCCGCCGAAAATCTACTAGGAGTCAAAATCGTCTTCCTCCGAATAGACAACGCCTCAGAGCTTGTCAACGGCCAATTCAAGGAGTACTGTCTCCAAAATGGCATCTCCTACGAAAAATCCGTCCCCGACGCATCCCCGCAAAACGGTGTAGCGGAGCGTCTCAACCAAACTATCCAGAATATGACGCGTGCAATGCTCATCGATTCCTCACTCACCCACTGGTTCTGGCCATTGGCTGTCCAAGCTTGCGTGCACATCAAGAACCGCGTGCCTCATGCAGCAAACAACGACGGATCGACTCCTTTCGAAAGCTGGTTTAAGCACAAGCCTAATCTCTCCCACCTACGACCCTTCGGAGCACTCGTCACTGCGCGAAAGACAAATTCAACCGAGCAAATGAAATTTCTGGCAAGGGGCGAGGAGGGGCGTTTTGTGGGGTATGCGCGAGACTCCAAGGGTTACTTGATTTGGTTTCCCAACGCCAAAACGATTCGGCCGCGGCGAGACGTCGAGTTCCACGGCTTTCCCGAAAACAATCCATCGACCCCGATGTCTGCCAACGGAGAATTGTGGGAGGATGTGCCTTCAGAGATTGAAGAGCATTTCCGAGATCGAGAACCCTGTGCGCCCAAGGTGGTCGAAAGACCTACCTTCGAGCAACCGCTATCAAGCGAATCTGCCTCAGAGCATACGTACGTCGCACCGTTAACGGTGACGCAACACATTTTAACCTGTTTAACCAGGCGTCCCTCCACATTGGATGAGACAACTTTACAAAGAAGCGCGACACCCGAGTATGTGATAACACATGGGTTTATGCAGCTGACAAAAGTACAGGCCCGTAAAACGGATCCTTGACGAAGTAACAAAAGACATACACAACGAGTCAAGATACTCGAATATGTGCGTTAACGCACCAAGGATTCGTTAACGAATACCTAATTATACTTCCAGCGAGGATGTTCCAATGCCAGATGCTGAGCGATTGCCTGATGAACAGCCCATCGATGACACACCCCTCGCACAACGGAAGACGCCCAGAGTCCGCCGTGTTCCCGCCCGGCTCATAATCGAGCACGCGACATTGGACGAAGGGGGGGAGGACTTCATATTATCAGAAGATTACATTCTATCCGCCCTACTGTCGGGTGATGAACTCGAAATCGAGTGCGAACCGGCAGACCTTCCCGATCTAGCGCAAGCAATCGAGAAATCCGAAAGAATATACTCAACGCTCACGAAACCCATTGACGATCCGGACGCCAAAGATCCAAACTCCATACCGGAGGCCCGAGCCTCAATGTACTGGCCGCAATGGCTCATTGCCATCTTCGAAGAATTGGAATCTCTAAAGGCGAAAGGAGTATATGTCGAAGTCGAGGAACTTCCGCATGGTCGCAAAGCGGTCGCCTGCAAGTGGGTGTTGCACATAAAGCGCGACAGAGACGGACGCATCTCAAGGTTCAAAGCAAGGTTGGTCGCGAAGGGGTTCACTCAAATCCCGGGTCAAGACTACAATTACACCTTCGCTCCTGTCGCCCGCTGGGAATCCATCCGCTTCGTGCTCACGCTCGCCGCCATGAACGACATGGTCTTGCGCCAAGTTGACATCAAGACCGCCTTCTTGAACGGCCCATTAGATGAAGAAATCTATATGCGGAAACCGGAAATAGCAGGTCCTGGATTCTGGAGACTGCTTAAAGGACTGTACGGGCTGAAACAAGCGGGACGACAATGGTACCTCGAACTAAACTCGCGCCTTGAGCTTATTGGCTTCAAACGGGTGGAATCGGACTGGAGCGTCTACATCCGAAGACAACACGATGCACTCACAATCATAACGACAAGTGTCGATGATATGCTCATTGCTTCATCATCGCAAGCCGAGTCCGATGCGGTTGTTGCAGCGCTTGCAGCTCAATTCGAGATAACCGACAACGGCGAGCCAAACTTGCACTTAGGGTGTACCGTGGAGCGAGATCGAGCCAACAAGACAATCCATTTGCACCAAAAGTCGTTCACTGAAACCATTCTACGCGATTTCGGGTTCGAGAAGAGCAACTCCGTCCAAACTCCCATGGATCCAAGTACCCGACTTGTGGCCGCAACTGATGAGGAAGTCGCGAAAGCAAGAGATTTTCCTTATGCAGCAATAGTTGGCAGATGCATGTACCTGTCGACATGTACTCGCCCAGACATTTCCTACACGGTGCGCGAACTGGCTCGATTTATGGCACGCTACGGCCCTGCACATGTGACCGCAGCAAAGCACCTGCTCCGGTATCTTCGCGGGACAACATCACACGGAGTTCGTTTGGGTGGCCTGAAACAACCAACGCCCACGATCACTGCCCTTAGTGACTCGGATTGGGGAATGGGAGATGATCGCAAGTCAATTTCAGGCTTCGTGATACTCATGGGTGATTCACCAGTCTCCTGGAGCTCGAAACAGCAAGCAGTTGTGGCATTGTCGTCATGCGAGGCCGAATACTTGGCGACCACACACTGTGCTAAGGACATACTCTGGTTTCGCAACATCCTGGAAGAACTTGGATTCCCGCAGGAACAACCAACGTCACTATTTTGCGACAACCAAGGAACTGTCGCCTGTACTCACGATCCACACGCCCATTCGAAAATGAAGCACATTGCTATACGGGAGCATTTCATTCGCGACTGCGTTTTACACCGATGGATCGACGTGATGCACATCGCTGGCAACGAAAATATCGCCGATCTCTTCACAAAACCATTGCACCGCCTGATGCATTCGCGATGGGTGAAACTTCTACGACTGGACGCGCGTCAAGGGGGGGTGTTGGAGACTGACGCACGTGAGCGCCCTCATATCTAATCTACAACTGATCGGACACTCATCTGGAACCTGGGCGACGGGAGAGCCCCTACCGCTTCTCTCGTCGCACCAGACTGAATACATCATAATCTGTATATTCATTCACACGTTTGTCAGACCTGGCTTTCCTAAACCAGAGACTCTCTTCCAAAGGTCGACGGTGCGGGTCTCTGGCTCGAATCTTGACAGACTCCTTCAATCGTATCCGAATAGCCAACTTAACCGCTACATCGTACGCCTTGTCATTGAGATTCACATCATCGACGAGCGATTCGTTCCAGGTGCCAAACCAGCTTTGCAGTTCAACACGAATCCCCAACGATTTGTGCAGCTTCCTGCAGTCAGTTATTTGTGTCTATGCAAATACAACTCTTCTTTTGGCAACAGCATCATTACAAACTTTGGCAATATCAAAGAGCTCGAGCTGCATTTTATCGAAGTTGGCTTGTTGGGTGCTGCTTTGGCGATCCGCAAGTCATTACCGAATCTTCGTCGTCTTTCTTCTTGCGCCCTATTTTCTGCTGAGGATAAGCAGGACAACCTCCATGCAACACTGGAATTCTCTTTGCTTCCCAATCTCACCGACCTCGTCGTGGATCCCTCAACCTATGAAGGAGACTGGCTCTTTTGCGTTGGCTCTCGTCTCAGACCGGACTTACGTTTCCTCGCATTGTCAGAACCTATTGGGATTAAGCTTTTCGCGGAAGCTTTAAGCAGAATTGGCCCCCAACTCGCACATCTACATATACCTCGGTTCAGCCTTCTCGGATATGCGTTACTTGACACAATGTTTGCGTTTCAGCGATGAACCGTTCAAGATCAGTCAATCTCCACAGACTGCAGTTGCGCAGTATCTCAGTCAGGAGTTTCCATCCTTCCAAACACTCTCTGTTCAACTACGTTCTACCGACACTCTCCTCGCTTGTGGACTGACAAACTCCGCTAGCAAGCCTTGAGAGGCTCATGCATGAAATTTACGTCCAGCCCCCTCCTCGAAATTGACTGGTTGCCATGGGACAAGATTGACCAGACTACAAGTCTAATCAGCGTGGACTTCCTCTTTCCTAATCACAAACTTGAAGATATATCACACCAGGCCATAAGCGACCAAAAACTGTCGCTTCCGCACTCATATTCCACCCGCATGCTCGATCCTAATCTAAGACGAGTCGAATTCTCCTTGATTGGCTGCTCTCCGACTAGCGTACGACAAGTATTTTGTGCTCTCAGCCGTCCCATAAATTTTGATGAAATGCACGTGATGTGACGATAACAGGCGCTTGTCGACATTTGCTTTCTGCACTCATTTCACCAAGATTGTCGACGTACTGCTCTGCGTAAAATCTTTCATTCCTCATTGAGAGATAGGTCTAATGCCCGTCGTCATCAAACCCCAACCTGAGGTGGTAGGAAAGAACGCAGACGTCACATTCACCTCTGCTCGCGATATCCTCAGCGCGGCGTCGACTGCTTGGGTCGGCAGCAAGGATATAATGGCAAAAGGATACTTCAAAGAGCTTCCTAGGTGGGGTATTGTGCTTGCTAACTCAAACAAGCCAATCGTCGAAGAGAAGCGCCCAATTATATCATCATCTTTCAGCGCCAACCTGGAGCCGATCGCTGTTTACGGTGGCGGCTTTTCGCAGAGCATCATACGCGCATTTGAGCAGGACTTGCACCTGGTCATCCGGTGAGTTGACCCTCAAGTTGTTGAATTGCCCGGAATGATATAGACAAATATTAATGTTTCTTATCAGACCTGACGACCTGTGGCAGGCTATTTTGACCCAGTTCAGCTTTTTTGTGGTTGCTCATGCGGAAGAACTCCGCCATTTCGTGAGTTTTTCTAATTGTCGTGTTTGGTTGACCTGCAACGTTTCAACTAACAATCGACATCGCAGTTTGTTGCTCATCAAGGAAAGAAAGAAGTTATGCTGGACATCCGACCTCTCAGCATGGAAGATCTACCCCCTGGTCTTTTTGCCCGTCTGATGGTCAATAAAATGCAGGAACAAATTGTCGACAAAGAACTTTCTGATTGGTTTCTCCCCAACTTTACGACGACGACCCAAACTGACATCGCTACTGCCTCTCTCACGATGATGGCCACCATGAAGCAGTACTTCAAATTTGTGATGCGTGGCGGCTGCGGATTTCCTTCGGTGACTCTACTGGGGGAACGCGCTGATTGGGAAAACATTTTGCATCGCGTCAATAAACTCGACATGTATGGCTCCGAAACGGCCGAATGGGGGTCGCTTCTTACCGTCGTTTTGCAACACATTCTCCACTGTTTCGACCACCCTGACAGCCAAGAGAGCAAAGATTTTTGGATGTGTGCGGTTCATCAGGCAGGAAGGCTTGGCTCTGGGGACGCAGTAGAATCGATTTCTGGATGGTTGACCGCGCTTTGCTTCTGGGATGAGGATGGCCGGCGCCTTGTGGATCTTGCTGGCTCAACCGTGTCCGCCTCCCTCAAAGCTGTCCTCGGGCCTGGCCAAGTACCACTGGTCCTCGGCGGGCTCCAATTCCCTCTCATCCTGCCTAGAATCCCGACGGCAGCTGTGAGAGTCAACATGTCGTATCAGGACTATGCAAGAAGTGTTCAAGTTGACATGGAGCTCATTGCAGGCAACGCAGGCGCTGAAATAAAGGGAGAAGACTGTGATACGCTTCAGCCACGCTCCGGTTGGTGGATGCTGAAAGACAAAGAGGAGCCTCTGACAGCCTGAACACAAAATGGCACGATGTCACTATCTTTTGTGTCATGTGCCTCTGGACTCAAGTTCCTATGCTGAGGATTTGAAAGTGTACGATACTAAATCAATCGATTATTTAAAATGATAGAACAGAGTATATAGTGGTCAAGCAAGTCAGCCACAAGTTGATTGACCACACAATACTTGATCAGACTTCCGAGTCACTGTTTCGTGAGTTGAATCGGAAGGCGGGATTCTCCTGGTCCAAAAACGCCCACACGGCTTGCTGTTTCCATCCTTTCCCTTTCCACTCGCTGAGATCCACCGGAAAAGTACCATTACGAGCAAAGAGCGGAAGCAGCGATCCGTCATGAGCAAGGACGACGAAGACATCCGGGTTGCCGTCAAACAAAGTAAGCCTGTCGGCCGACTCCTGCGCTTGAACGTGATCGGCATTCCATTGTCCTTCGGCAATGCGTAGAAGCGGTCTCGTTTGTCCAGCGAGGTCAAATTCATCGTGGTTACTAGTAACTGAATTCGACGCGAAGTGCTCTACCGAGATGGATTTCCGGGACTGCTCCAAGAGGAAGCCTGGACAGGGATAGTGCGAGTGGAGGAGCTTAGTGGGACGAAGGACACCAGCATGATGGCAGGAGTCGCCGCCCATTAGAACAAAATTTGTCGGTGTTACACGAGCAAGACCGGCGATATGACCGAGTTGGTGCTGTCAGCGTCTCAGGGAAAGTAGTAGAGAGACAAGAACTAGCGCTCACCCCCGGAACATCGAGGAGATAAAAACTCCCGTCACCAAAGTAATCATGGGCCTTGAAGTCTCCAATCTTCGTTTCGAAGTCGATTTTTATAATCTTACGCCCACTGTCCGACTGGCGATCAGAGAAAAAGATTGCAGGGAACGATGGATAGGTACACACGCAATGTCACTAGGCAACAGTGTGCTTGCGGGATTCTCTTTGTGCGTTTCCAAGGACATTTCCTTGCTAACGATCAGGTCGGTCGACGATGGGAACCTTGACATGTCTCCCGAATGGTCGACATGCGAGTGACTAGACGATCGATTCAGTGTTACTTCGGATTGTCTAAACAAAACGGTCTACCTCCAAATAGCGGCTTGGATGCTGTTCTTGCTGATACCACTTGCTTCGATCAAATCCACAATGTCGGCATCAGTTTTGGGAAACAGTGCCTGGAACATCTCCACGACCGCTGGTGCACAGTTCTCCACGTCCTTTCGAGGACCCAAATCAAATAGAAGACGAGCTTTGGTTGAAGCATGTTCAACTAAGAATGCAAAAACAGGCGCGGCAAGATGTTCGTGGCCCGGTAAAATCTTGTCCAAGACGAAGCTGGCCGGCACCTTGACCTTGGGATGGTCACCGGGGGGAATGAGGTCGAACACCTTGACCGAGACGGTCGATGATGAGGGGGGTATTCCAAGGTCGAGATAGGATGACATATCGCCGAATTTTCGTGAGACCGGCGAGACCTCGCATTTAAATACTGAGCGTTATGATTTGCCATGAAATCGGGGATTGACATAGCTCGTATGAGTAAGTTGCAAGAATACGTTTCAAATCAACAGTGTGTTTTGTCTGCAACGAGAACTCGAATGGCCGGAATATGCGGATTTTCAACTTGTTTAAAGTTGTTTTCAACTGAGCCAATTGATGTTAACGTCGCTCGACAACAAGCCTCAAAGTAGTGAATAGCCCCATAGACAGATGTGCGCTTATGAGGCCTTGATCAGAGCTCTTCGCAGTTGGGGCAACTTACTAGGGTCTTCTTGAGGTCTTGGTCAAGAGCCAGTCACGAGCAAGTCCCGATTTAGAAACTTTCCGGCCTTTTGACGACGATGTCTTCGATAGACAATCCAGACGCCCTCGTGCTCTCTGACGACCCTCTTCACGTAGCTCAACTCTAATAATCCCATCTCTCCAATTCTTACCCGCTCCTCAGCCCGCCAACCTCATACCTGAACTATGTCGCAACTTTTATCAGGTCGGCAAACTGCAAATCATGCCTTGATCCAAGCTCGAACTCTCCAAGCTAGGATGGGTCACCGGGACTGGAGGGGGGATTAGCATTCGGATAGGGTTCGCAGGCTCGTTGGATGCTTTCGACATTTAATCGTGATTCTAGCAACACCGTCTACATCGCGCCTTCTGGCGTGCAGAAAGAACGAATCCTCCCTGAGCATATCTTTGTTCTCCCGTTTCCTCAAGTCGCGCCTTCGCCCCATACCGACCGCGTCTTCCTCCGCCGTCCCGCTCAAAATCTGAAAGAGTCGGCTTGCACACCGTTATTTTGGAATGCATTTGATCTTCGAGACGCTGGCAGTTGCATCCATACCCACTCCCAGCATGCGGTTATGGCAACCCTCCTCTGGCCAGGCTCAACCTTCTCTGTTTCTCATCAGGCAAGTCGATGTGTTCTCAGTCTGCATTGCGACTGATTGCGCAATCTATGTAGGAGGTCAGCATGCAGCCCCTGACAAGCGACTCCGCAATAACACGCTTGCATTAGATGATCAAAGGCGTCCGTATTGGTGGTGTAGGGCGAGCCCTGTCATACCTCGATACTCTCCAAGTCCCCATCATTGAAAATACTCCCAATGAGGAAGACCTCAAAGATAGTATGGCAGAGGCGATGAAGCAGTACCCTGATGCGGCAGGGGTTCTTGTGCGCAGACACGGCGTCTATGTTTGGGGTATGGCCGAAAAAGCTAGCGAGTTGTATCCTTTTCTCATCTTTACTTAGGGTCAGACTGGGAGAAGGCTAAGACGCAAGCAGAAGTACGAGGTCACAATCATATTCCTTGCGCCTCCGACTCACCCCTTCACTAGTGCCTCGATTATCTGTTCGAGATCGCGGTCAAGATGAAGCTGGCTGGTCTAGAAACAGTCTTGAATAAGTAGAAAAATAGAACAGTCCCAACTCCGTCATTCCAGTGATCGTTATTCCGCAAGTACACATACACACCCATGATACCATGGTTTCCATCCATTTGAGCCCCCAAATTATCAGCTTTCCAATATTCCAACACTCCTCCACCTCTCCCACAATGCGCCAACACCCACTGGCGCGCCAGGCTCTCCGCGGATGTCACGCTCTTCGAATAGGCCGTATGTCTGCCCAAATGCCAGGAAATGCGCAAACATGGAGTTGAAGTGGGGTTCGGCGCGGAGATGGAGGATGTCAGGGAAGTGGGCGTGGTAGAGGTGCGCAAATACGCGTAAAAGTTGGACGTAGATTTGCTTGACTGTGCCAACAAAGGCTTCGGGGTTGAATGGCTGGCCTAATTAGAGTAGCATGAGCGTAAGAGACCAACGATGGGCGAGCGATAAACGCACTGGACTTGGTAGGGAAGGTATTCTCGTCGTTGAGCAAATTTTGCACGGTCGACATGACGGAGTCGATGTAGGTCGGCGCGGAAAGCGACACTCGTTTGCGATCTTGCAACCAGGTATAGTTTAGTCTGCGGCCACGCTTCAATTTCCGGGTCTAAAGTAGAGAAGGGCAGGACTCACGACGGGCCACCCGACATTGTGGGGCACGATTGCTGTGTGCAACACTCGGTCAACACGCCGTAGAACTCATTCAAGTTAGTGTAGAAGTCGAACACTAGCAACCGACCATCAGCACGGAGTGGATAAGGAAAGAAGTAAAAAATGTGTGACCGTTAACCGCCACCCACTCGTTTGGATCAACATACTTGGGTTGTACTACGATGGTCTTGAAGTTTCCTTTGACGAGAGCAGCGTCACAGAAAGGCCGCGAGAGGTATAGTGGTTTCGGCCCAGAGGCAACACTAGGTGAGGATGGTTCTGAGCCGAACGAGTCTTTGCGTGTCAGTCCACCTCCCGTTGGGGTGGGCGAGCGTTTCTGGCGTGGGGGAGCCCTGTTTCTACATGTGCATTAGCTGGGAAACGAGAAAGAGGAGGGAAGATGGACTTGAAGAAGTTGGACATGACCGCAAGAAGCAAGAGACGATGGCGACCAAATATTGATCGACAACGCAATCTTGACTTTCATTCTGGAAGTTCTCTAAGACCCGAGCGCAGCTCGAGTTGTCCTGATTAGATTTTAACGATTTACTAGACTGCTAAACTGCGAGGATTCCCATTCCCTTCCACCGCTCCCATAACGCTCCAATACCCACAGCCGAAGACGACGAGCCTTTGAGATCCTTCATCTCCAGTAGCTCAAACTCGGCGCCAAAAGCCAGAAAATGGGCGAACAACGAATTGAAGTGGGGTTCAGACCGCAGATGCAGTATTTGAGCGAAATGAGCATGGTATATGTGAGCAAAGACGCGTAAGAGCTGGCGATATATGTGTTTTACGGTGGACGGAAAGGACGGCGGAAAGTCTTGACCAGACTTTGTCGGGAAGACGTTGTCGTCGTCGAGCATGTTTTGAACCCAGGTTAGCACATAATCAATATAGGTGCCAGCAGGCAGATGGACATGCTTGCGGTCTTGATTGATCCAAGTGTAATTTAATCTGGGCAACAATAACATGAGGAGAGAGAAGGCTGGCGGCCAGAAGCGAAACGCACGTTGTCCCAGCTGACATGGTCGGGCAAGTGTGTTGGGTACAAAACTCAGTAAGAACTCCATAAAATTCGTTGAGATTGGTATAGAAGTCGAAGACTGGTTGAGTATAAGCCATTTGAGAGCAATATATCAGGACAAATAGGCGTACTAAACACACACAAACTTGGTGAGCAATTGCTTCGTAAGAAAGTGACGAGAAGCGCACCTGTTGACGGCGACCCACTCCATGATGTCGACGTACTTGGGTAACATGACAATTGTTTTGAAGTTGCCTTTCACAAGTGCAGCCTCGACAAAGGGACTACAGAGGTAGAGAGGCTTCTGGGCAGGGGGTCCCATCTGCTTGGAGTTTGTATTGGCGACGGTGGGAGACTGTGTCTCCGCTGGAAACGTCGTGGATGTCGGGGTCATTGAGCGCTTGGGATTGCGCGGTGCCCGGGTCATCGACCGTCTGCAAATGCGGGGTAAGAAGCACACAACATGGTGTTTGCGAGGGAGTTGCTGACCCGATCGAGTTGAAGAAAGACATGTTGGGAGATGCCCAACGCCCGATTCAAAAGGTCGGAAAGAGCGCCGAGGGAGTCTCCCGCAGTCGGCGAAGGAGAAAGGGAGAGGAGAAGGAGCCTGAGATCATCACAGCACGTGCTAGCAGAAAGTTTACAGCAACGTCGATGTTTCGTGTGCCTGGGTCAAGACGTAAAAATGGCAATTATTTGGACTTCGTCGAAAGCATATCCCTCCACAAGATGCAGTTGTGTGCTCTCATTGGCTCGATACAGCCCACGTCAAAATTTTCCTGGCAAATGGCGGTACCGACGAGCACATTCAGGAAAGCCGACTGCCAGACTCAGCTTCGCGAACTCTTGGCAAATCGCCACATGTTACTGTGTTCAGTTCCCAGGCACCGGTGCCTGAAAGCGACGAGGCGCTACGAAGAAACGACTACCAAGGAATATCTCCATCTTTGTTGAAGAAAACTCCAGTTCTGCCCTCCTTCTCTAATGCTGTCTGGACAATGATTTTACACCCGTCTGACGGCGCCATCGTTCCAGCGTAGTTATTGATCGCCGTTGCGTTGAATCCTGTAGCGCTTAATGTTTGCAGTCAAGACATTCTCCACAAACCTGGACAAATCGACACCACACGGATACCAGACCCCCTCTTCTCTTCCTCTCGAGCCCAAACAACCGTCAAATTGTTCACGGCGCTCTTGCTTGAGCTATAGGCTGGCGCCATCGCTATGGGCAGTTTTGCGATCAGCTCCATCGACCCCATGCGAGAGGAGATGTTTAAAATTGCGCCGCCATTGTTCATAATAGGACGAATAGCGCTTGTGAGTGCTGCCGTGCCAAATACATTCACATCGAATGTCTCCTTCATCAGATCTGTCGTTTCGAGTCCGACTGCAGCACTATTTGGTCCCATACCGTTTCGTCAGCGGTAACAAAAGCAGATCAGCGATGACCCAACTTGTTGATCAACACGTCCAACCCTTCCATGTTATTTTCCTTCAGATATGTAGCGACGAACACAGATGCGTTGGCGATGGAAATCGCGTCAGTGATGTCGAGTTGCACCGGGACCACCAAAGACAATGGATGGATAGTAGAGCTAAATCCCGCAATAGCGTCTTGGGCTGCAGTCAGTTTTCGCGACCCTATACCGATTTGAATTTGCTAGATGGGAGGATATGACTGATAAGCAATTGCATACCCATAAACACCACAACATCCGGAGTCATTGCGATTTGGTGGACGGTGTGCATACCAAGCCCTGGGTCGGGATTGCCTTCCGGCTAGCCTCTAGTTGCTTATCGGCCTCACCTTGATTGGCTCCAGATACCAGAAAGCTGCGTCGACTTGGAATGTTTGTGGTCATGGGAGAAAGCGGAGGATAAAGATCTTTTGGTTAGATAAACAACTCCCAATTTAACAGAACATTTCCACGGTTCGATTGGGACTTCACTTTTTCCCCAACCCTCACCGAAGTTGTCCTATGTATTTACTATGAAGATAAGTATATATTGGCCAAAAAATTGAGTTTCAAGTCTGGGAAAATACTTGATTGATGTCTATTATAATTATTGATATCGAGTGAGGTGTTCATCTACAATGCGCCCGCCACCAAGTTTTCAAGACTCGCCCGCTCCCAGCGAGCCTCCGTGATGACGAAAGGCTCGGGGACCTTTACATCAGGAGTACCAAGTATCATATCTGCAACCGCCTTGCCGGCGAGGAAGGCGTGGGCCATGCCTTCGCCCGAGTAACCGGCGGCAATCCACTCGCCAGGTGCTGTCACGTCGGACTTCTTCGGCTCTGCGCGATCAGTGAGCGCGGCAGGTATCCGGCCGATCCAAGGCCGGAAATCGGCCGAGAGGCCGAGAATACCCGTCCAGACCTTCAGCACGCGGCCAGGGTTGAGCTCGTCTGACTCGGGCTTGTCGGGACGACCTTCCGGACCCCAGTGCTTGCCAAAGTACATGCTCAGCGCGCCACTCAGATAGCCGCCAAGAGTGAGATCAACTGGCTTGTGATCGTCCGCAACGCCGAGTTCTGGCAGGACAGTGGTAATGGAAGACGCATCGAGGCCACCGCCAAACATGAACTCTCCGTTGGAAGCCGGGAATTTGCCGCCAGGAATGGAAGCAGAGGCCGGAAGCTGTTGGGTGAGATAGTTGTAGGTGCTTGCGCCGGAGATGGTGAATGAACGTGTGCCCGCCCAGGAGTTGTTGGCCTGTGGGTTTGGAGAGTTGACTGGGAACGCGCCCATATTAGTGCCGGGACGATGGGCAGTCATATGGCCCCGGATAGGGATGACCTTGCCACGCAATTTAGGGAGAAGATGGGATGCCCAGCCGTTGGTCGCATGGACAACATTCTGCGTGCGAATCGTCCCTCTGGAGGTCTTGATGCTGTAGCCAGAAGCGTCAGATGTGATCTCGAGGGCGGGAGTGTTTGTAAAGAGCTGGAAGCTAAAAAGCACTCAATATTTAGTCCAACGATAGATGATTGAGGACTCACGTCTGAGAATGCTTGGAAAGAAGGTAGGACAGAACGCTCGTGACATAGCGGTAAGGGTGCAGGGCACCAGCAGTAGTGGTGATGGCGCCAGCAACAGTTTCGGGCGACACTTGAATTGACTAAAAACGAATTAGCACAACACCAGCGTGGCTAGTGAAAGAATTCACGTCAAGGTTATCGACGATTCGCCAAATCGGCCTTTGTTCGGGGAAGTCCTGCAAGTAGGCCTCGAGGTTGGCTTTGCCAGTGTTGAATTCCTCCTGGTCAAGATAGAGATCGAAGGTGTCGACTTTGCGGCACTGACTGTCTGCGCCGACGTCGACAGCTTTACAGACATTCAGGAACGCGTCGATATGGGAAAAGCGAAAGTTAATGATTTGCTTTGCGACATCGATACCATATGCTTCCTTCAGGTCTGAATAGTCGTTGTAGAGATTGGGAGTTATGTGACCGCCATTCCTGATGAGTTAGATTAGCTTCAAGACAGGTTGAAAAGAAGCTTGGGCATACCTAGCAGTCGCACCCGAGGTCGCATCTCTAGCTTCCAACATTACAATTCGCAACTGCTTTTTGGCAGAGGATTCAAGGAGAGTATGAACCACAGCTAAGCCAGTGACGCCGCTTCCAATGACAACAACATCCGAGTCTTGTGGCAAAGGATCGTCCTTGCCATGTTGTGAGATCGGAGACACAGGAATAGTCCAGTAAGGCGTCATCGGTTGAGCGACGGGAATGCCAGGCGAAGTCGCGATACGATTCGTGACCTCCTGATATTCCCTCTTGACCTCATCGATGATGGTGTCGAGGACAGCAGAACTAACAACGGCGGTGTGGACGGCGAGAAGAAGTAGAGAGAATGTGGCCCTCATGGTGAATCGAGGAATGGATAGAAAGGTCAGGGTGAAGGGAGTTTATATACTTGTGCATGGTATCCGAGGCGATGGATACGAGTTTCTTGGTGCTGCGCTTCCAGACTGCAAGTTTGGACCGACAAGGGTCACCATTGATGACGAGCACGATATCCTTTGTCATCATCTGATCCGCATTCCGCGACATCTCCTCACCCTACAGCAGTCCACGAGCAGTCCTCAGAGAAAACCAGTTTCACATGGTCATAAGTATGGACTGCGCATAGATCCTTTATGCCGTTGTTATGCAGGTGTCGTAGTTCGATATGGATTCCCTGAACGTAAAAGCGTAGCTCGATCGTGCATCCTTTGCCGCCTTTCACGACATCAGCGCACTGAACGAGATCGTCGTACCAAAAAGCTAAACGCCGATTTGCCCGCGTACAACCAGTTCCTGCGGACTGCGCAGTAGTGGGCCGAGTCGGGGTAATAATTTGGCTTGCTTACCTCATCATTTGTCTCTGACATTCAATCATCATCAAGGCGATTAACATCGTTTGGACAATTCAAGTCCAAGTTGGGAAGAGTTTCGGTTGCAAGATGCTTTAGTCCCATGATTTCTGGGAAGTCGTGCCTTTCGACATCGACAGAGCTGAGGGATGCGAATGTCGGACCAGTCTGGAATCTGGACTGGACTCGCTGGGCGATGCGCAGTATGAATCCTTGATGGTGACGAGCTCGAGGCGCGGCTGCGAATTGAGTGAGACCATACGGTGCAAAATGTGTACGAGATCAGCAACAAACAGACAAATGCGACCCTGAGTTCCCGTGCAGTACCGAAGACCGACGATGAATATCCTTGCGAACTTTGCATCTTCATGGTGACATTCGATTGCAACAATTTCAAGGTCAAACCGAGATCAGGGAGTGCAAATGCATCGATTAGGCGATCAAATTTACAATTCTTCTTCCTCTTGTTTCTTCAAGTCGAATTTTCAAGTAAGTAGGCACAGTAAACTCAACGATTGCGACATCTTGCGACGGGCCAGTTAGACGATTAGAGTACAAACAGGTTCAACGCACCCAATTTAGCAACGACTTTCAAGAAGCGGATCTTTCCGTAGAATCTCGCGCTCTGTGGTAAGTAGCCCTTTTGCGACAATTTTGGGCAACGCTTCTCGAAAGGCCTGAAATATTGCTTCGCAGTCCTTTTTCTTCGCATTCTCGGGGTCGCAGATGACCCATTTTACGGCGGTAACATTACAATGCTGCGTGAATGTGTCGTCGAGTGTTTTCATGAGCTCAGTGGGAAGGGGACCGGGACAATGCTTGGAGCGGGATAAATCCAGGAAAACCTGGACTGTAACGCAAGTGAGGGCGGGGCTTTTCGATGCAGGGAAAATGGTGGCAAGGACGAGAGGGATAAGCCATTTGGGCTCGAAATAGCCTTTTTTGTAGTCTTTCTCGACGCGAACCAATAGGTGGGTGAGCTTGGGTAATGGACCCGGTAACCCTATCTTTACTTCTAATGTTGGTTCATACTCTAAAACGTGGATGATCAGCACTAAAAAGACTCGAGGGATTTCACTTCAACACACCTGTCCAATCGTCTGGCATGTACTCGTTGTATGCGATGCTTTCAATGGTCGCCTTGGTAAGACACAACAATGCATAGAAGGCTTGGAGCACGTAGACTTTAGGGTCGACTTCGATGGAAATATGCTTAAGGCCTTTTATATAGCCTTCGAACTCGGGGAGGAGAAGAGTCGTAATAGATGTCGGATATTTTGGCGCACGGAAGTTGACGATCGAATTTGGCGTTGTTGGAGCTTCTGAAGGCGTATCCTGGGAATGACTCGGAGGTCCCACAGTTCTGAGATACAGAGTGGGTGCTGCGTTGTAAATGAGGTGCATATCTGACACCGGGATATTCGGAAATGCTTCAACTACAAGTCGACGGGTAGCGCCACGAGGACGAGAAGAAAGCCACGAAAGAATGATGGGAGCCCCTCCTGAGTGGAAAGGTTTGGTGAAGGAAGACATGGTCCCAATGAGGCAGACCTCCCGCACTGATGTCAACTGACCGAGAACCTCCTTCATCGTGTCCGAAAAAACTTCGCGTTCCGCTTCAAACTCGACCATGAGTTGAACAACATATGATACGAGGTGAGGAGACGCGCGAAAGTGTTTGGCGATGTCTTTCCAGTGCATATATCTTCCTCCCCTACCGCTCGTTTTTGTCGTAACCTTGAGTAGTCGATGGAGACGCTGTTGACATGGCTGGCGGAAGGGAGAAGCGACAAGGGAGCATCTTTCGAGGGAAGAACGGCTGGGAATTTCCGCAACTATGAGGTTAATGAGTTCGGGTGGAATGTGGACCATGAAGTTGCGAGCAAAAGTGTTGGTCTCGTGACTTCACTGCATGACTTGGATGATGACAACAAAATCGCGATAACGTGACTGAAGTTACAGGATGTGATGCCAAGCGACATACTGTAAAGTGTCTGACTTGAAAGTGTACTTGGCACAAGGCATTGTTCTGGTTCAGTAACTTCAGTTTTAGTTGCTACACAATCAGAATCGTCGCAGTGCCCTTGGTCTGCCGTTGATTTGTTGTTGAAACCTAAGAGTTCATCATTGTTCCAATAGGTAATCGCTGGGCGGCAGCCTGCCAGCCTTATTTTTATGCAAGTAAGTCTTGTATTCGCATAGTAGGTCGTCGGATACTTTCCAGACCCTCACATAACCAATGGTGACATCCAGTCAAGAAATTATAAGGTTCATTCGCCTTCCACTTTTCAATGAAGCCGCAGATTTTAGGACATATCATTGGATGCCGCTGAGCCCCGAGCCTGAGATGCCAGGCCATAACTAGCGGCAAACCGCGCATCTTCTTCTTCCTGCAATCGCCGGGCGAGAAGAAAATCATCGTCTTCTTGACGTTGGATGGCCGACTTTACATCCGGGTCCTCGTTCAAGTCATCCACGAGCTCGAACTCGCTCCCTTCCCAGTCCGACCCGTCTGCAGAGAGCTCCCACTCCTCCGAGACCACCGAAAAAGCGTCTTCATCAAGCGCGATGACCCGCGCCGGAGCACGAACCATCTCAAAACCCTTCGCTGCCCCTGCAAGAACGCAATATCAGTGCTGTGATCCTGTGTGAAAGTATCACCGACCCTTGAGTTTCCGCCTTCCTTCTACGTACCGTGCCATCTCCAGTATGTCTATCTCCCGCCTACTCTGCCCAACCTCAACGCCATCCTCGTTCAGCAGCTTGGCTGGAACAACGTGGTTCGACTCGTGCACGCCCAACACGGAATCGTTCGAGTCACGCGAGCGACGCTCAAAGCCGTCAACCTGGGAAGGGCAAAGGAAAGAGTGCGAGTTCCACTGGAAGCCATCGCGCCGTCCAGGGTTGCGTTGGTAGCGTGTATCGCTTAGGGCATGGTAACTCTCCTTCTGTAATGCAAGGTCAGGAAGAGATAGGCATCCTAAAGGAGGGAGACCAACAGGGAATTTGCGGACACGCATAGGTTTGAGTAGTTGAGGAAGCTCTCTTCAAGGCGGCTCGGTTGTGACCTTTGAGGGGTTGAAAAGTTGCGGACTAACCGGTGCCTTAGATATATGTCACTAGGGTCATGACTCGAACTTGAAAGATGTCCAAGTAATGTTGCGGGAGAGCACAATCAATAATTTGTGACTCGGAAAGCAGCGCTGAAGAAGTACATGTCAGATATCCAACTCTGATATTCGTTCACGTTCCTCTCTAGGAATGATAGGACCCAGGTCTACGACAGTATAGAATTGGAATGTCTTCGTTTCTGGGGCCTTGGATGCACCGGCTTTCGAGGGGCTCCCTCGTCCATCACGGTCCCCGTCGTTAGATTCCGACGGCGCAGGGTCATCCGCCCGATATGTATAAGACACTAGCATGTTGAACTGAATTCATGTCAATCGCAACTCTTTTGGTTGACTCTGACGAGGTCATGCTCACCTTGACATTCCCTCGAGCCTCCTTTCCAATCACCACTTCGCCTCCGACCACAGTCATGTTAGCTTTCTTCTCAAGCACTCCAACGGTCTTCGATCGACTTGTCGCGTTTGCCCCGCTTCTTGAATCTCCGCCCGGACGTTCTCGCTCCCTCCCTGGTAACCGCCCTGCAACACCAAACTCGTCATCGTCGTCCAATCCGAAGATTTCATCGTCTTCATCATCTTCATATTCCCAAGCTTCCGCAAATGCGGCGATGACAAACGAGTTGCTCGGTAACGACACAGCGAATGGCGGCCGACGGGACTTTTCCGGAGATGCACGCCCTGAAGACGATTGGGGAGCAGTTGGAACATGAACTCGCTGCACCGTTAACCGTACAGTAATGGGATCATAGAGTGGATTTGTTAGAGCAAGATGAAACGAATAGGTTTTGCCGGCATGCATTCCCCCCGCTATACGGTCGTCTTCTGGAGGAGCTGTCGCAGTAGACTTGGCCAGTGACCGACGGGCAGTTTCTGCAACAGCTGCTTGTTGGTGGGGAAGGGCAGCAGTGATGGCTGGGAGGTAGGTTGCAGCAACAAGCTTGATCTTGTACCGAACGGATTGCGCTTTTTGTTCTGGTTTTATGAGAATATGCGCACATGCTGGACAACGTTTCGAGCGCTTCGAGTGAAGAGGTATCCGTAATGGCTTCAAATCACTAGAGAAGCATTAGCACAACCGGATAACACGACCCAGAAGTTTAACTCACCTAGTCCGCAGCGACATTGCCCAGCTTGACCCCCACCGCTGCTCCAGATTAGCGATTTCGCTCAGGTTCTCCAGATGCCGCATATGCTCTACATCAACTTCCCCGCCACCCGTTCCGTGAGCGCTTGCCGTTGTGATATCCACGCGGCTTCGATATTCAGGCATCTCATCGTTGTTTGCGGACTTGTCTTTCTTAACGCTTGACCCAGGTCCACCCCGCTGACTTCGTCCAAGAGGATTGTATTTGCCAACACCGGGAATGTCACGCGCAAGAGCGGCAGAGGCGGCAGCTGTTATCGAGTTAGTCCGCGCTCGAGCGGTACTGGTGGTAGGGTGGGCAGCAGAAGGACCGGTAGATGATGACAGAGCAGTTGCTGCTCTGATAACAGGCTCAAAGTGCTCTTTCAGTCGCTCGAATTCCAGCGATTCAGGGGCGGAGTCTTCATATTTCTGCAGCTGCGCTATATAGTTGGTAAGTACAAAGGACGAAACATGCAACGGAACGTGCCTGCGAGCCCAGTCGGTTTCTCGAATGTGATCCCCACCTCTGCTGAGTCCCAGCGACAATGATTACAGTATAGAAAGAACGGAGGCTCGCCAACAGCGTTGATCTGGACGGGGGCCATTCCGTCTCCAGCGTCTGGTGGGTCGGAAGGAACTACAGCAAGAGTATTGCGACAATTTGGGCACATGAAGCAATTTCGGGCACATCTATGAGCGCACTAGTTCAGATGATGATTCTAGAATAAGAAGAGCAAACCTGTTCTTCTCAGCTCGGACGCTGGCGCTTGGTACCTCGAAGAGGCAGTTGGGACAATAGTACCCGCTGACCTCGACGGAAACACAACGATTGCATCGAACAGCATCACATTCTTCACAAAAGAAGAGTGTGTGTAATGGATGGAAACTGTGGGAGGAGGAGGGAAGGTGGGGAGGAGGAGGCAGTGTAGATTGAGAGAGGCAAGGACAATGGTAATGGACGGAAGCCATACGACGCGTTTGGTTGTGACACATCGTGGGCGTGACAAGATGTCACAGTACTTGGTTCTCTCCTGTTCTCTCCTCGAACCAGCAATACAAAATACTACGTTCTCCTGGATAACCCACAGAGACAAGAAAAATGCCACATATTCTCTCTCTTCCCAATGAGCTTGTTGGAGAAATATTCGCTGCCACGATGCCCAGTTTGAATCCCTCCTACCCCTTTCCGAATATTCGACCTGAAAAACACTCACCGCCGATGCTGCTCACAGAAATCTGCCGTCACTGGAGAGCTGTCGCTCTCAATACCTCTGCTCTATGGCAATCGCTAGATGGACGAAGCAGCCATTGGTGGTTAGTCAAGGAAGAACCACTAATTGGTCTCTGGCTCGAGAGGGCTAGGGGCAGACCAATTCTCCTTAGCCTGGGCGCTGTATCGTCCTCTAACCTAATGTCTCTCTTGGACCGATTCAGAACCATATCTCACCTTTATATCGGCCTGATATCGGATACGCCTGCACCCTTGGACGATGCTTTCGACGGCATCCTGCCACTTCCGGCTCTTCAAACGTTGCGTATTGAGCATTGGCCATCCAAGCCGTTTTGGAAGTCGGTACACCTTCCAAATCTCTGTTCGCTCGCAGTACAAGCTCCTCCGCGCCATGGGTTCTGCTCCGATTTTCTCACCCGAACGGTTTATCGCTCCGTCAGGACCCGGGAAGCTCCACCAAAGGGTGATTCAAAAATTTGGGTTTTTGAGGCCCAAAAATCGCGATTTCCTTGTCCAAAAAATGGGTTTTTGAGACAAAAAATCTGCAAACCTTCTTCAAAATATGGGTTTTTTAGGCCCCGGGGAGGTTCACAGGAAAGTTTTAGACTGACATGTGCACCAGCGTCTGACCGAGTACCAGATGCCTTTTGGGAGGGAAATCGCCCCAAAGAGTGTTAGTTCAAAGGTAAAAGCGGCGCAAGACACTTTTTGACACCTGCAAGAATTACCATTTTTAGCAAGTGTCACACGGTGACATGTCACAATCCTTCTTCAAAAATGGGTTTTTGGGGCCCAAAAAAAATGGGTTTTTGAGGCCAAAATCCGGAAATTTTTTGAATCACCCTTTGGTGGAGCTTCCCGGGTCCTGCTCCGTCTTCAGCGAAAAGCTGACCAGCTTGTGCATTTCCCTGTGTAACGATCCAAACTTCCTTTTAGTCGAATTGCTATGCGCCCTCCCTGCTGTCAAAGCTCTCAAAATCAAAGAGTTTCGATCCCGTAGCAGTCGATCGCCGCGACGTCGAGGAAAGCCAATTCCAAAACCTGCCATCAGCGTTCTCCTCAACAAAGATGTTCTTCCGCGGCTCGAGCAACTTGACATACAAAGTAATCTGATTCCAGAAACAACTGCATCGTTTCTTCAGATCCTTCAGTTTCGATCCTTACTTGACGCTCCTTTAAAGCACGTACATCTGGCTCTACAATATAGCCGCGCCCCCAGCAAGACGGTTTATCGCGAAGAAGCATTTTTCCTGAAGACGAGCGAGCGTGCGGAGTTGGAGACATTGAAAACCCAAGGATTAACCATGACCATCGCAATACTACGATCTTGACTTGTGTTAACCAGACAGTATTAGACCAATGATCTACCTACTGGTGCTATATAGCACTGACAGCATTTGCACAGACATCAGGATCAGAGTATGAATGCCTTAACCCCGTCAAGACCCCGTTATAATGGGAGCAAACCGCTAGCACCACACAAACATGGAAGATTTGGTGCGACGCGAAGAAGTAATCGAATCTTCCTGGGGCCCAACGCTCAGGAATCCGATTCGCACTATGAATCAAGATATTAGCCCCAGACAACATATTGAAAGCTCAACTGACTAGAGCAAACCCCCTCCGATGTACAAAGCACCGGACAACAGAATCCATCTCACGCCATGCTCCACCAAAATCGAATACAAGCCTTCGTGCAGGACGCCATGCAATGCTGGGATGACGCCAGAAAGACCTAGCCCTATGAATACTGCTGTCCTCGCGCCTCTGTGGGTTGGTCGAGAATATTGCGGATTGAGGACGATATAAGCAGCACCTGCGACCGCGGGTAAGAAGCGGCCGATGGAATCACAGAAATGTACCCATTCCGATAGCGGTTAATAAGAGCAAGTAGAAAGCCTTGACACGAGGATAGCAAAAGAAACCAAAATGTACGGCTGGGTAGAATGAGCCTATTTCGTTTCAGCTCCAGTGTAATCACATGATGAAGGCATACCAACTGTGAGGAAGACTATACCAGAGTAATCGAGAGCAAGGCACTGGGCGGATACCTAATAGGCAATTAGTTGGCCATACTTAATCAGATACAGCGAGGTTATTATAGCTTACTGACCTCCTTAGAATGACAAGCAGCGGTATGAAACGTCGCGCTAATTGAGAGGCAAAATATTGCCGAGGCAAGAAATATTCCGAGCATGAGCGAGTCCATCCAGGTGGTCGGGTATTGTTTCAAATGAACCTCTTGGAAAGTGGCCAGGAAGTAGACGAAAAGTAAAGCTCCGGCGAGGTGAGTATGGATATTCACTAGCGCATTGTCTGATTTTCTGCTGCGGACCAATAATTATGCGGAAACTTGCCCGTCTCGTTATGCAAGTCTGCGACCGCCAGTGAGATGGAGATTAGCCGCCACAGAAGGAGAGCTCACATCCGAAAACCGATATCATACAGCCGGTCCACCGATTCTGGATTCTGCGATAGCCACCGACAATCCACTCGTTGTCTTGAGCCCAGGCCGGAAGTTCGTGGAATGTGATTGTCGTAGTTGAGCTTCGCAGCTTATGTACTGGACCTGGAGTAGAGCCAGAGTTTCTTCGGAGACGCATCGTCGACTGGACACGTCCACCTCACCAGTAAAAGTAGAAGGAAAAGATTATGCCATCAACCACTTGGTCGGAAAGACCACTGGCCATCGTTGTGTGACACTGCTTGTGACGGCGTCAAATGTGCTTGGTCTTGGCTCCCAACCTGAACTCAGAAAAACGCAACCGGTTACAAATAACAAGACGACACCCTTTCATTTCATTCAAACTACATACGTTTAAACGATACCAAGTGTTCGAACTCGCTTTACACGTCTTCTTCAACAGAGTTGTATCTGCAAAACATTCAAGCTCCAAATTGCACATACGACGGTAGGACGCACCCTGAGCGGCCACGAGCCTCAAAGTTGACAGCGGCACGAGATCCTTGCTTTATTCCATTGTAGCCAGATCTGGATGACATTCCCTTCAACTTTCTTGAAGAACTGTGGCAAAGGAGGGCATCACCTGCCGCGTTCTTCGATCTCGATTCCGTTATAACTATGCTCTTCGTGTCAGTTACTCGATTACTACGCAGCCTTGCGAATACGAACCCGGAGCGGCCACGCGCCGCGATTTCTCTGCGATGAACATATCAGATAAAGCACGATTCTGAATCCAAGGTCAACTTGCTCTTCACGAGCTTCCTGCTTGACTCCATTGTAACCAGATCTGTCCGCATTCAAGTCGTTACATTGTCAATCGTCAATCTGACAGCGTACCTTCCACGTTCTTCAATGTTGACACCATTATAGCTGCTGACCGTCAAATCCTCATGTTCGAACCCAGCTCGAGCACGTACCCCGAACGGCCTCGCGCCGCGAGCTCTCTGTCAATGTGGTGAGTGGGCAGAAGCGGAGGGATACAAAAAACCTACCCAGCAGGAGCAGCAATGGCGACGGCAGAGAACAAGGCAACCACCGCTGTGATAAGGAGCGTTTGGAGGGCGCGAACCATGATAGAAAGTTGTACTTGGTGGTTTGTGCTGGAGAGAGTTGTTGAGAGACGAAGATGCGAGTTGCTGGCTTTTATGCGTCCAGCTCGCTGCATTCGCACCACCTGAACACTTTCACAACTGAGCAGCATCAAAGGTCTTGAACCTCGTCCCATATTCAACGGCGGCGACTACGTCTTCCCCGCTCAGCGCTCAGGCCGCATCAAGCTGCATATACTCTCGACCGTGACGTCGCTTTGCGCCGTGAGTTTCTTTTTTATACCAGCATTCAATCTTTCCTACTGAGTGCAGATTCCTTTAGTTCAAGCTTTTCACACAAATACAATATGCGAGATGGAGTCTGGCACCATGACCTCACAGGCAGCACTGCCAGCGACCTCGGTACATAGCAAATCACTCGACTCTACGACCGCGATAATACCTGTCCCACAATTCAAAAACGCGCCTTCTATCAATTTCCTCCAATTCAGAAACTTACCTGCGTCTCCCACCAACAGTCGCCTTCTTTCTGGACTTTTCTATGTATTCCAGCGATGAATCGAGACCCAACTGTGCATTCCCTTCCACCCTACATCATCCGTGTTCAGCGTAGTAAGTATCTGTTAGGAACAACACTTGGAGCGCTTTCAATTGGCTTGACAACACAACATCAGCAAAAAACTTATGTCCTTTCAGAACTCATTCTCGACTTGCATTGCTGACACGTGCAGATGCAGATAAGATAAATGATAAGATGCACATGATTACGGGTATTATATGTACAAAAATGCTTGTTGATTTGCCTCATGAACGGATCATCTCCACGTATCGTTGACCACTACATAGACGGATCAGCTTCTAATGCGCTCGTTGGCTAGGCACATACCTAATGTCCCATTCGCGGGTGACGAAACTGAGTTGTTTGGATCCGACTCCCAGGCGGTGAGGACACCGTTTGTCTTGCGGATATATTTGTACTCGAAGTTGGTCGATGCGGGAACAGTCAATGTGACTTGGAACTCTATCAGCGCCGGACAACAGTGGATCGTAACAACTCACTGGTCCACGTCGGGTAGTTGGCCGACGACAAGAGGAGGGCATTGTCGGGGCTCCAGTTTTGCAACGGGTCGATGGAGCCAGTGATGTAGATGCTCTCTCCAGGTACGGTCGTCGCAAGAACGTTGAAGGTCATGTTAGCGGTGGGCACGGGCGGGCCCGGCTTGCAGACCTTGGGAACCTTGAGCCCTTTAGCGCCCCAGCTGGCTGGAGAGACACCGTCGCGGGCTGCGAACACAGTCAAAGCCGCTGCATACGACCACGTGAGATCAACGGCAGACAATGGAGCCTATTGAGATGTTAGATTCAAGAGTGTAGGTAATACGGACTGGACTAACACCAGTGGCTCTGTCAAACTGTTCGGCCAGGCCGCCATTCGCAGGTGTGTATTTGGCATGGATAGCAAGCGTATCGTCCGCAAAGGTCTTGATAGCGGCAGTGAGCTTCTTGTATGTCGAGCTTGTGCACCCGTATGTGCCGACGGTAACCGAAGACAGGAACTGACGGAAGAAAGGCAGGGAGATGGATGTAACTTTAAGCGACTCCTGAGCTTTCCAAACGATGAGGGCATCGTAGAGCTGTTCGGCAACGACAGCAGTTGTTAGGTACCATGGCTTTAGGACGACATCAGTTTAGTCGAGCAAGCAGCAAACAATTTAACAAAACTGACGTTGCCTCCGAAGTAGACATCTTCCGGGTATCTTCCAGTCGCAACGGCGGCATTGGGGGCAATGCCTTTGTTGATAGCATAGATATCACGGAATGAGTCAACATAGACTTTGAGGCTGGCCAGCGCTTTGTCTGAGCAAGGCTGGAAAGTTGCTGCGTCACATCCAGCAGCAGGATCAAAGGTGTGGACTGATGCCAAAGCCGTGTTTGCGTCCTTTCCGGAGCGACCACCCCTAGTGTTGGCAGTGATGTAACCACCAGTCGGATTCCAGTACGACTGCAGGAAACAGAGGGCGTTGTCCGCTTGCGTGATGTAAGCTGAAGCGTTCTGGCCCAGTGCCTTTGCCAAGGCCGCACCCTCGCGAAGAGACCGATGTTGAACAGCAGTTGTGAAGAAAGAAGATGCAGAAACCTCTTCCCATAGGTCGAACTGTTATAAGGTTAGTACAAATAACTGTGGAGGAGAGGGTCACGCACCCCAGTCGAGTTCCAGTTTGCGACCACGTAGTCGAGATCGAGCTTTATGGCTGGCCAAAGGTTCTTGACGACATTCGCCGTGCTGGAAGTCTTGCGAAGCCAATTGGCATATGCTATCATCGCTGTTGAGCGAAGTGCTGGACCATCTAGACGTATAAGGTGAGCCACAGGACGGTAAACCGGGATATTTTTGCCATACCCCGTTGAGGTCTGCCCCAAGGCTCCGTGAAAGCGGTCAGGTCGATGTTGAACTACATCGCATTGATGATGATGATGCTTCAAGTCAATGGGAGAGCATACCTTAGGCTCACCCAAACCACCTGTGGTGACAGTCCCACTTGGATTTGACACCTGTTGAAGTGTCTTCTCCGCTGCGACAAAGTCTTGAATGCGGCCCAGGAGGCTCTTGTCTTTCCCGCTCGTGAACTGGTCAATGATGACCTTGAAGACCAACGACGAATCGCGGACCCATGTGTACAGGTAGTTTGGATCCGACGTGCTAGGACTAGCGATGACGACACCGGCCTGGGGTAAACATAAGCGCTCATCCTAACATCTAAACAACAGTGAGCACACCTTCGCGCCTGCCGCCTTTGCGCCTTTTGGCCCAATGTTGGCCAACAACCCAGCCTTGGCAATTGGTGACTCTTTTGCGACATACGAGTCGACAGCAGAGGGCTTCGCCAATGCCGCTCCATAGAGAGCCAACGCCGAAACGAGGAGCACACGCATTCTGGTCCGAGCGAGTTGGGTGCGAGTGTAAGAATAAGCGGCCCAGAAGGCTTCCTTATATACGTCTGCCATGGCCCGAGACGTTTGAGGATCGTGAATGTGGGGATTTGATCTCCACGCGAGAATGTCGTCTGGGGCAGCGTGGCTGGCTGTTCTCGTGACCGTTGGTCGATGTCGATCATATGTGGCGATGCATGGAAAGACGGCGAAGAAAGAAGCACGGACGGCGTTCTGTGTTCCGCTTCTTCTCCCGACGATGAGCCGTGGACACGTCTCTTCGTGTTGAGCTCGTCGAGCGCGAGGTGGTTCCAAACGAGCCCAAGATTACTGGCAACGGTGGAAGATCTGTCCAAGGTTGAAACCCTTCACATGTTGTGATGTCACCCGTAATCCCAAGCAAATTGTAAGCGAGGCTCGGCAGAGTTGATCTGGAGCCCCTGAATTCAAAGTGTTTTCCCAAATCGCCACAAAATTAGTTCCTTACAGCGCTGACTCTCTGTCTCTTACTGGTAGATAACTACTGCATCGTATCATATCGATACTTATAGCCGGCAACCTGATGAACAGCTTCCCACATATTTGCGTGTTGGAACGAACAGGAAGACTTGTGCACGAGTTCAAGGCAAGTCTATTGTTTGCATTCGAAGATGATAGGCTTCCCTAGTTTCCGGGAGCGCGCTGAGTAAATGGGTATCGGCGCTGTGGAGCATGGTAGCGAGGTCAGCTCTATGAACCTAGAAACTGGTCAGATCTATTCCAGATTTAAGAATGGCGTGCAAGTATAAAACTTGGAGGCGACACGATGACTTTGGTCAGACTACAATTTGTTGACTCTCAAATACTTACCACCAATCATGGTTCACACTCTTGCTGCTCTGATCGCCATTGTACTCGTTGCCAGCGTCGCAGTGGGGGCTCCTGCAGGGTAGGTTCTCCAAGTTTGACCTTGGGCCACGTTACTTAGATGAAACAGGAAAGTGATTGCTGCTCGCGGTCGTGGAGGGTATGGCCCGGCCATGTGTCCTTGTTATTTCCACAGCCGTTAACTAGCTATAACGGAGTGAACATCGAAGAACGCGGACGGTACTTTTGTCAGCTCGTCGATGTTGCAAGTTATCTGACCAGTGGCAAAGCGGAGGATACAATGGGGTCAAGACGGGAGTCCGCAACGTTGGCAATGAGTACTGGGAGTGTTGATACGTCAGATTGATTACTGATGCAGGTATAGGATCATCGAGGAGCGCGGCCGTGGAGGGTACAGCCGTTTTCGTCGTTCGGAAGAATGCTAATTCTTGGGCTTCAGATACAACTCTGTGAACGCGAATAACTGAGCACACGAGAGTTACCAAATCGTTGTACATATTCAAAGTTTGAAGCAGTTCTGTTATATTGACTCTGAATCGATCTTGCCTCTGATTCATACTCAATACCAGTGAGGCACCATTCTTAGCCAGTCGCCATAGCGTGGATGAAGACGGTGAGTGGGACGAGAACGCAATCATCCCTAAATTCGCCGTTTTTAGATGATTATTATAAGAGACAGAGATGGACTGACAAAAAGAAAACAGCCTGAGAATCCAGGCTGCAATGCCTACAACTTCTCAGGTACCTCAAACCTGTGGCCCTGGCTCGCCCAATGCCTTTCTATTTCGATGAACCGATCCACGGCATCAAGTATCGTCTCGCGCCAGGTCTTGAATGCCGAAATTGGATACCCAAACGACTCCTCGACTGGAGTCAGATCCACATCTATCTGATAGCTGGGCCAGCGAGGAACGGTCTCCGGATCGGCGAGGCGCGCGCGGAGTTCAGGTCTTTCATCGTGAATGAACTTGATAGCATCGCGGAAGTCGGTTTGTTCGGGTGATGCAATGGCAACTCGACGAGGGCGGGTTTCATTAGCTGTAGGAGCAGCAAGAGCAGCGATGTGGATACGGGCGACATCTCGAACATCAATGGTCCCCGGAAAAGTCTGGTAGACTTTGTTGTCTGGACGAAGGAGCTGATAGATATAGGCGTCAGATGAAAATGCTAGAGTAGAACCTTCCGGAGTTGGGACGATGGACTCGAAACCAGGTGCAAGTGGGCCAAATATCCAGGGTGGATTGACTGAGTGAAGATGAGAAGCTGCAAGACCATAACTATACGAGGGAAATGTACAGATCGTAACGTCCATCTCAGGGTGTTCTTTTGCGTATTGAAGAATGGCTTGTTCACTGAACTTCTTCTCGCCAATGTACACGTCGACTAGATTTCCTTGCAGAGCCTCCTCTCTGGTCAATGAGACCCAATCTATGTAACCATGAGCAATTTGGTTCTCAAAAGATCGTCATGGACCCGCCATCTGGCCCGTATTGATTTTCCGGAAAGCTGGCTATACTGCCTGTTGCAACAACTTTATATATTCTGGCTTTGGTTGCGGCGCGAAGGATGTTTAGTGAGCCGTCAATGGCAGTCCTGAAAGCAGCAATGCTATCTGCGCGACCCGGAAGTGGGGCTGCAGTATGAATTATTGCGCCGACGCCTTTGAAAACCTCCGTCAAATCAGCAGTCGCGATGTCGATGATCTCAACGGCTTCAAATTGCTGGTAAGAGGAAAATGCCTCATTGAGAAGCGAGAGCTTCTGGCCACGAGCGGAGCTGAAAGATAGGTTGGATTGACTTTCAGACATCTTAGTAACCACGCACCCTCGCACTGGATATCCCGCTTTGAGAAGCTCATGCACCACTACAGATCCCAGGTATCCCGATGCACCAGTGACCTGCATAAGAGGATCATCAGTCGTCAATTTTGAGATCCACAAGGGTAGCTAACTCACGAAGACCAAGGGTTTCGAGGACATTGTCAACAGTTGATGAGGGAGTCCCAAGTATACTTCACGACGTGGCACTTATACCGGGTGCTTAAGAAGAGCGATGGACCTTGACATCTTCTGTCGGTTCCTAACTAACGCTGACAAGACGCTGGCAAATGTCATTGGGGCGCTGAATCTTCAATTGCTCGTGAAACAAGCGGGATGGAGCTCAGGCTTTTAGCGCTGGAGTCGAGCCTCACGATGAGGTCAAATTGAGAAATGTGTTGAGTCCATGTGCGCTTCGTTTGACAGCAGTCCGCTCTTTTCGCTAGTCGACACCGACATACGCCGCAATGGTGGTACAGAATAGATTCGGGTTGACAGGAAAAATAAGTGAAAATAAAGGAGTCACGGCGTGACAATTGAAAGTCAGCGTGACAATTGAAGATCACGCCCCTGACTCACCTCTACAACGACTCGAGTTGAAGCTGCAAGATTCGAAGTGAAGGCTGTAGGTACGTACGTATTCTAGTAAGGTAACTTCTCAGGTACCTCAAACTTGTGGCCCTTGCTCGTCCAGTACTTTTCTAACTCAATGAAACGATCCACTGCATCAAGTATTGTCTCGCGCCACGTCTTGAACCCCGAAATTGGATACCCGAATGACTTTTCGACTGGCGTCAAGTCCACATCTATCTTATAGGTCGGCCAACGCGGGACCGATTCCGGATCAGCAAGACGGTCTCTGAGCTCGGGGCGTTCATCATAGATGAACTTGATGGCGTCGCGGAAGTCGGTTTGCTCTGGTGAGGCGAGGGCCACGCGACGGGGACGCGTTCCATTGGGTGTCGGAGCGGAAATAGCAGCAATATGGATACGGGCAACATCTCGAACGTCAATAGTCCCTGGGAAAGTGTAATAGACCTTGTTGTCCGAGCGAAGGAGCTGGTAGACATAAGCGGCGGTGGAGAACGCTGGGGTTGAGCCTTCGGGAGTTGGAACGATGGACTCGAAGCCAGGTGCAACTGGGCCAAATATCCAGGGTGGGTTGACTGAGTGAACTTTAGAAGTAGTAATGCAACACTGGAGAAAGGAAGGCATACAAATAGTAATATCCATCTCAGGATGTTCGTCTGCGTATTGAAGAATGGCTTGTTCACCAAACTTTTTCTCTCCGACGTATAATGTGAATGCATTTCCCTGCAGGGCCTCTTCTCGAGTCAACGCAACCCAATCTGTTAATCCATGAGCCTCAGTTTTGAACTTGTTGTGGTCAACTGACCATCCGCGCCATATTTATCTTGAGGAAAACTGACTATCGTGCCAGTCGCGACAACTTTGCGTATTCCGGCGGTGTTCGCTGCACGCAGAATATTCAGAGAACCGTCTATGGCGGTTTTAAAAGCCGTGACACTATCTGCGCGACCGGGAATTGGGGCTGCGGTGTGTATTATTGCGCCCACGCCTTTGAAAACTTCGGTATAATCAGCTGTCGCGATGTCGTCGATCTCGACAGCTTCAAACTGTTGATAACTTGCGAAAGCTTCTTTGAGAAGCGCGAATTTTCGTCCACGAGCGGAACTAAAACCATGAATTGGAATTGTTTAGACGCTGGAGAAAAATACACACCCTCGCACTGGATACCCTGCTTTAAGCAGCTCATGCACTACGACAGATCCGAGGTATCCGGATGCACCAGTAACCTATACGGTCGAGTTGTCAAACTCGCGAGCCTGAGAGCGGTTGCCGAGAGACTCACGAAAACCAAGGGCTTTGAAGACATCGACAGAGGCAAGTTTGGACTCCGCAGCGGAGATTTCGTGCGGGATACTTTATATACGCTGGAGTGTAAGAAAGGCCGCGGATGCCAGTGGGCCTTGTCATGAGGATCGCCCTAGGGTTACTAACGCTGACAAAACGCTGAGTGAGGCTTTCAAAGCGTCAATTGCTAATAGACTGAGTGTTCTGGAATCTGGAATCTGGAAGTTGAACATTCGCTTCGACTTACGGTAAACAGAGCATAAGCTACCATGACTTGCTCACCACCAGAAGGACAGTAGCGCGTGTGCGTGCAATAGAGAGTCCAATGAGCATCGCGACGGGATGGGCCAAGATCAGAGGAAGATGTTGGGGGTGCGCTTCTGTGCCAGTGGCTGGCGCTTGGCAGTAGGTTCGACCGTGCTGTGATAACGGCCTTCCCTTCGAGACTTGCGACATTGAGATATTGAAAACTAGTCGAAGCCTTGACCAAATGTGTCAAAATGAGTTATACATAGCTATGATGTGACACTCATTGTCGAATATTTCGGATTTCGACGAAACCAAAACGGGAACACAACAGTACGAGAATGCTCTAACGAAAATGGCAGATACATGATAAGCCAGTGCGTTTTCGGCGACCGTCAGTTGACCATAACGACTGTAATGTTATTCAGCTCCAACACGGGCGCCGGTCCAGCCTGCCAGTGTCCAATCTATGAGCCACACAGTTCATTCATGTAACAGCAGCGCATACCCCGATGAGATGAAGCCGCGCAACAGCGAGCTGCGCCCGTCCCGAGACAAAGAAGTTTTCAGTTGATGGCGCCGTCAACGTGAAGTTTTCATAACGCCCTCCACCCGTCTCGAGCGGAATCGTCGGGTTGAACAGCCCGGTATAAATGCAGTCGCCCAGCTGGCCCTGTGGTGAAGGGCACGTTACGCTGGAGGAGGTAGGACACGATAACAGACAAATGACCATGCCGACTTCGGTTGAACTGAGCAGTCCATTCTGTACATAGTCATGAGCGGTTCGTTGAAGCAAGCGGATTAGCTTCCTACATTGCGGATAACTTGCACTGTGAATGTGCCTCCAAGCTTGATATGGGCGCCTGCTACTGGCGCGCCAATGCGACTGCTTTGCCCCATAACAGAGGTTGCAGCACCAAGGGTGGTAACGAGGATCGAGAAACCCAACTTCATAGTGAGATTGTCGCTTACCCTCCGACCGGTGGAGCTATATATGCATTCTCGAGGTGAGACCAGTGCTGATTAGTTTGCATAACAATTGCGAAGAATGCTTTTCACGTCAGATTTTTAGCACATTCGACCAAAACGAGAAATTCAGAAAGCAACTTGACGTCCAGCGCGTTTGCTAGAGGCTGTCAAATATGCATAGGCACGCCGCGGCCAGTTCGTCCGTTTGATTCAGAAATTGATACAACTAGAAATATACTTCTCATATGTCCTCGACTGCGGGCAGCTAAGCTCCAAACGCATGGAAGAAGTCCTGGCTTTCATGACCCTCCTTCATCTTCACAATCGACGTTGCAAACCCATGTGTTCGTCCTTCGGCCTGGCGGTTGTACAGGTAGTGTTGAGCGTACTGCGGAGCTAACCGCGTTTCAGCCAGAGATGCTTGTTCGCCTATCCAGACATAAATAGTTGGCGATGCTCCGTTGAAAGAGCAATCCAGAAGGAATGCATCGGCAGAAGAGAGGGATTGCCTCGTCGCAGGCTCGATATTCTCGAAGGCAACTTTCCCAGAGGCATCGGAGACGCGGAATAGATGTGGCCTTGGGGCAACACCAGGAAGAGGCGGCGCAGGTGCAACATGGACATCCTCTCCAAACGCTGCAAGGAATTTGGAGGCACCGGATGTTCCTTCGTCTGCAACTTCCGATGAGCGAGTACTAGATGATGACAAGGCAAGTCGCACCGAAGACCTCAACATCGCAATGGCCCTGTCGGGGCTCAACAAGGCTTTGAGAAAATTCAGCAGCCTTGAATTTCTCTTTTCCGGCACTAGAGGAATAAGCACGAGAAGGACAAGCTTTATGGGTTATCCCGTACCTTGTCTTAGTATTGAATTGCCACACATGTGTACCCTTGTCCAGCACGTAGACATCGCCCTCGACAATGTTTGATGCTTTCGGAGCTATTTCGCGCACAACAAGATTGTTGTGGGTGCCTGATTTGAAGAGCTTGATGAGGTAGAGTTTATGAAGATTCAAGGGTGGAGCCTCAGAAACGTGGTGGAAGCCAGTGGCAACGCCTCCACGCACACAGACAAAGCGAGGGAAGTATGAGAGGAAACGATCGGATTCGTAGCCTTGCACTTCGCGATATTGAACCGGTACGCCATGTAGGTCTTGCTGAAGTCAGATAGCCTGATGATATGTATAGCAAAAGCGCACTCACGGTCATCGAGCTCGACAGTTTTGTAAGCAGCGGTGCCAGCTTCATCTTGAGTGGTGTCCTCGCCCAGCCAGAAATGGAGGTCGAACGAGAAGCTCTTAGCATCTGGGGTTGTCTTGTAGGTCTAAAAGAGGTTGCTTGAGAAATAAAACGGGATCCTGATGGTGAATGGCACACGTTGAGGACAATATAGGAGTCGCCATCATAGAACGACCCCAATTTGTTCTTGGGCCATTCAACGACCTTGAACTTCTCAATCCGCCAAATCTGAAGGCCCTCAGAAGTCCCCGCGGTTGCCCAAGCTGGCTCTTCGTCGCCAGCGGCTTCACGAACGCGCTTTTCGAGCTAGTTCCAACATTTTAACATTCGAACTCAACTCCGACTCTTTGCTTACATCGGAGCCCAACAACGCAATATTAGAATCCTTAATGTCGTATGTGGTCGGTTTCGTGAGGTGGGCCATGGTGGAGAGGAATGAAGGTGAGCGACATTGTAATCAGCGCCGAAGAGTCATTCCACGTGACGTCGACAAGCAGTTTCAATAGTTGGGATTGATCATGATTCAACTATGGTATGCGTTGTGCTTTGATTGGCTTGACTCCCGGGTCAAGCTTATAAGCTTACACATCGATGTCTATGCGTGATACAGCAAATACGTTTGAGCTATCAGCTCGATATGCACGTCAAGCAAGAGCAGTTTTGGGAGTTGGTGAGTTCGTTTATTCCGATGGCGCTTTCTTTGGTCTACCTCTACTTCTCCGTGAGGAGTTTGGTGTTGTTGGTTCAGGTTTTTTTATGACTTTGGCAAGATTGCGTTCTTCCGGCGGGAGATACGACATCCCAAGCTCAGAAAGCACCTCCTCCTCTGTGTCTGAGCGGACCAATTCCCAAAAACCATTCCCATTACCAGGTTCAGATTCAATTGTGTCGATATTGTCCCCATTACGGTTCCAGCGCCATAGTCCAAACTCGTTCAGATGCAGGCCAGCTTTTGATGCGCGCAGGCGAAGTTGGCGGTTGAATTCGGTATCACCCGTGAACGCAAGGAGCGCCGCGCCACGAGATTTTTGAGCGACCATACTGGATGTCCATTGATCAATCGATTCTCGAAAGAGACGGAGATAACTCACTTGATATCCAGCCGACGATACGAGCCTTCTCCGGCCTTGATAGCAGCGAGTCGTCGTTGCCATTGCATAGACCTATCGCTATTGGATGTTACCGCCTCGGGAATCCGCACAATTCCCTGCCATTTCAAGTCTCCAGCGGAGAGAGTTGCCGCAAGCAGACCACGGTCAGTGAGCGGAGGGAGAAAGTTGGTCTTGAGGAGCGGACGCGCGGATTTGGGAGGGGCACCACGTTTCTGTGCGGTTTGGGGGAAAGGTACATGAACGTGGTCCGGGTGAAGGATGATGAGGTCAATATCTGAGGAGTCCTGCGACCCTCGACGGCTGGGCAACGAAGTCAATTTCCCGTAGATTTGGATAAGTGTGCATACTAGCTGCCTCCAAGGATAACTTCGTATTTGGGAGGCACAGCGTCACGAATGAACTGCTATAAAGCCTTCAATCGTTTTAACCATCAAAAGTCGACAAAAAGCACACCACAACCGTTTCTGCCTCTGACCGGGATACTCGAGAAAGTTTGCGGAAATACTGAACGCCAATTTGTTGTTGCTTGGTCAGCAGTGCGAGGAACCGTGGCGTCGTCTGAAGTTGTTTAATTGTGGTGCACCCTGCCTCGACAAGGACTTTGGCCTTTGCTACCCTGAGCAAGTCGTCAAGGTGAGGAGATATATGGATCGAGGAAAAGACGAACCCAATGCCGGGAATCTGTTCCAGCTCTGACCGGGCCAATTGAGCTTTCTTCACGGCCTGAACAGCTCGTTCATCGACCTTCGTAGACAAACCCGACTTCCGAGCCGGCTCTGTTTCGCCCAAGAATTCTCTAATCCTACGAAGAATACCCGGACCAACACCTTTCAGCTACGATAGTCAGAGTCGCTTTCCAAAGCTCGCAGCGGGCTCACCGATTTCACCTCGTCTGCAGACTGTATAGGATAGTCCAACTCGCTAATGACGTTAATGGCGCTCGTGAATGCTCTGACTTTGAACGGGTTCTTGTCTGGATTCTGTGTCTCTTCGTCCTTGTCTACATGACCGGTATTGTTGGTTCCAAATCTTTGTAGGAGGAAGCTGAAAACATACCTACCAGCTCTCAGCATCTCGAGGACTGCCTGGTTGGGCCCGGCGGTCGAGTAGACACGAAATGGTAGCGAAAGTCGGCAGCGACTGCCGCATGCTAGTCGTTGCATGGAGAAAAACTTCAAGAGTGAAATGCGGTCACGCGATTGATATGATCACGACGCGTGGTCGAAAAAACAAGCATATCATATTCCTGCACGCAGAAACTACTGAATCTCATCCGGAGAGTACGGCTCCTCATAGTTCAAGACTCCTTTACGGCGCTGCATTTCGTCCACGGCATAGGGCTCCTTGTAGAAAATCGGTCCATTGCGACGCTCAATCTCATCGGGTGAGTAGGGCTCCTCATAGTTGAGAGGGCCTTTCGGGGCTCGCTTAGCAGCAGCTATAAACAGTAAACGTTATCAGACTCGTTGATCTGCGCCGGGAAACAGGATTCCACCAACCATTGCCAGCTTTGGCGGGAGCACCATTGACAAGAACGATGCAAGCACCACTGAGAAGAGCAGCAAAGCACCAGTCGAAGCGCATTGGGTTAAGTGTTGCGTGAGATGTGATGGGAATGAAAAAATGTGTTCGGGACACAAGTAGAAGTAAACCTCCCTTTTATACCTTTTGCTGCGAACCTGGACCGCAACAGTAAGAGAGAAATAATTGCATCAAATGAAAACGCCGTTGATCATCTTCCCTCAAATGAAACCACAAACAAGTTTGGTTCGGCTCGGGCTCGGAACCTCATCGCAGTGGCTCCACCGTCGAGGCATTGGTAAAATAGGCTTCAAGTCAATAATGTTTCACAGCGGCGTCCTCTAGTTCCTTTCACAACCCCAAGATCAAGTTCGATACTCCTTTCGCCGGCCCGCATATCCATTTAGAATCAAGCCAATTGCATCAATTCAAAGCCTACGGCCACCCAAAGAATTTAGCCCCCGAGGCAGCCGATGAAGGAAACAGAAACTTACCAAGCGGAGGCATCGAGAATACCTGCTCGAACTGCAACCGGCACCCAACACAATCATCCCCGAATGCCAACTCGACTGTAATCTCCGTCTGTCCGAGGCAGGGAAAGCGCGGGGTCGGCGGCTTCAGCTCTTGTCCGTCGAGATAACTGCGACCTTCCTGATCGGCATGGCTAGTGAAATTGAGCGTACCGAGGAGCGATATGCGATGTGGTTTAGTATTCCACGAGACACCGCTTTTGGACAGATCTAGATTCGGAGAACGTGTGGCTTCGACAAGCCACACTTGGATGGCCGTCATGTCTCCTCTTGCAGAATAGCTCTTGTTTCCTGCCGATAGCTCGGCCCGTGGAGAGACCCAGCCAGTGAGGTAACAAGTTGGCCAGTTGCTCTTCGTTTTCCAGCGGTATATCATCGAGTCCTGCGAAAGTTCCAGTCAGCCTGTGCCGAGAATTGCGAAGAAAACCAATTACAGTTTGACTGAGAACGACAGAGCTACTTGGACGATAGAACTTGTTGGGCTCTTCTGCACTAACACGAATGAACAAAGCAGGAAACACCATTTGAGGAACTGGCTCAGAATGAGCAAGTAGTAGGTTATGATCATACAAAACGCACATTTGAATCGGTTCTTCCGCATAATTTCGTGACCCTGTAGTAAGTTTGGCGAAGGAGTTACATTTTCGAAATGGGTTTCCACATTTTTGGCCCCCAAAAGGGTCTGCTGGTGCACAGGGGGGCCGAACAGCACGTCGATGTGGATAGCAAGCGATAGCAGAACGGTCAACATGGTAATGGAGAGGCCACAAAAGACCAAACGAGGACGGCTTCGCTTCTCAATACGTTTTGTGTCGACGTCTTCGTCGAGCATGAGAGGAGTATATTCCGCCATGCGTAGTCGAGAGTGAGTGGAGGAGTATTGGGGCTATTCACGTAGAGCTATGCTCTGCTCTAATCATAGACTCGGAGGACCGTTGTCGGGGATCATCAACATTATTATGTGCAAGACGCCGCTTTCACCCCTTGATATATCGGAGAGATCAAAGGACAGGTTCAAGTTAGTCCCGCAGATATCGACGTTGCGGGCAGCACCACCGGCATATCCCGGGAGTGAATGAAGCGCCAGCCATAAACCTCGGGATATGTTAGACCTTCGGTACCTCGACGAGATGAAGTTACCTGTCTTCAAGATTCCCTTTGGAGCTCTAGAAATCGCCCTGGCAGGCTTATTCTTCAGTTTCGTTCTCAATTTGTCCACAATATGGCAGCTCCATCAACGAGTGCAGCGATGCAGTGTAGATTCCGGGTCCTCAATGGTAGACGATAGTTCGTTCAGTATGTTCGAAGGTCGAGGCTTGGTTTGTTGCTCATGATAGCCCCAGCTTACAAGGGTGACGACTACCCTCATCAGCTCCCACTCGCCATTCCTTCCATCTTGTCGTCGAGGACAGCAAAAGATATGGGTTGTCCGACTTGAATGCGTATGCCGACTGGAGAACGACCGACTTGTTTCCCCGAAGTAACGGGTTTGTACATTTAGGACCCCAAGGTTAGCTCTGTTTCAATGCCATATTTTTGACGTTTGCTGACTGGAGCTACATAGGAAGAACATTCGGTGAGTGTTTTCAAATTGTAATCTTCAGAGATGCAGACAGATCGAGCAGGAGTCGCAATGTTCCACCAAATGCATTGTCTCCAGCGAATCCGCAACGCTATCGTGCAAGGAGACCCCGGACACCACACACGACATTGCCTCAATCTACTCCGTCAGGCAGTTCTCTGCGCTAGTGACACCACACTTGACCCAATGAATGTGGAAAGAGGCACGGATGGTTTAGGGGTCGTCCACGTTTGTCGAGATTGGCGCAAGGTCTACGAGTTTGTGGAGAGGAACCAGTTGGAGAATGTCAATGACACGAAGGGGTGGTAGTTCAAAGAATTCTGGCATGCAATGTCGTTGCGGTGCGTGGGCGAGTGAGAGTTTACGGTATATGTTCATTCCATCCCAACCCTTGGAAGCTTGGCCTCACTTCGAAGCTTGAAGGCGGAAGAACTGGGATGTTGCTGGTCAAAGGACGGGTGTGACGAAAAGAAAGAGGGTCACGTGTGACAAAATCTGTTGACTCTAGATCTAAACTTTGTCTAAACTACTCTAAATCAGAAACCCGAAAATTTACAAACCAAACCTACAAACGCTCCATGATTCCACTTGACGAATGCCAGCAAGAGCTGGAAGGTTCCGCTGACTGTCGTCCTATGCGAAGGGGGTGGATAAGCTGACCAACACTTGCCCTTGACATGCTGCCAAAGCTTCAGTCAGCAACGGCCCGACTCCCGCAACTAGCTCAGAAATGCATATAAAAGACGACTTTCGCGTCCACAGAGAACATCAAATTCCTTTCTTTTCCATCCCAATGTCTGCAAAAGCCTCTTGTTTTTGTGAGTACTAGTCTCTCCAAGTGACTGTCTGAGATCAACAATTGATTTATCTACTCAGGTCACTGGTGCCTCTGGATATCTCGGCTCTGTTGTCGTCAACGAACTCCTCGAAGCAGGCTACCCAGTCAGAGGGTATGGCCATCTCCCCCAGTGAAACCATCGTCTTGCTAATGCACAACATAGAGCCGCTCGTGGCCGCAAAGTTGCAGCCATCAAAGAAGCTTTTGCTAAATACCCATCGTTTGAAGCTGTTGAAATCGCCGATGTCGCAACTGCTGACTACACCGATATACTGGCTGGCGTCGGCGCCATTATCCACACCGCAGCCCCACTCCCTGGCCGTGTTGAAGGCGAAGCGGCGTTTACAAGTGCTATCGATGGGTCTTTGAACATTCTCCGCGCTGCCAATAAGGCTGGAATATCCAGAGTCGTGGTCACAGGCTCTACAGTGTCGTTCCCGGAGAACAAATTTGGCCCAGATGGTCAGTAAATCTCCACACAAAAAGCGGGTAATTCTTAGAACTACTAGATTGGGTTGCTGTGACCAAAGAAGAGGCACTCAAAGGAAGCGCTATTGAGCTTTACGTCGCCGAAAAAAAATATAGCGAGCAAGCCATCCTCGAGTTCGCGAAAGAACATGCGCAAATGGATATCACAATCTGTAAGTGTTTTGTCGTCCCACAAGATCTCCATTCTCATTATTGTGTCAAGTCAACCCGCCATGGATTTTTGGTCCCCTTGCTCCAGGATTTGAATCGCTCATTCCCACTCCTAATGGCGCATACGCATCTTTCTCTGCGAATGGTTTCGTATATCAGCTCCTTCGCGCGGACAATACAAGCTACCATTATTCTCCCGGAACAATAGACGTGCGTGATGTTGCTCGCATCCACATCGCAGCACTCTCTCCCCCTCACGCCCAATGGCACTCGACCCCGTCGTCTTGCGATTGTCTCCCCTTACCAGACCGACTTCCGAGATGCCATCAAATATATTCAGGATGAGCGTCCAGAACTTAGCAATCGTCTTGCTGATCCTGAGACTGTACCCCGCTGGTCGACTTATAAGCTCGATGTGGACTTGTCGCCGATAGAAGAGTTCTTTGGATATCCCATTTCGGCGTTCAAGACCTGGCGGGAAACCATTCTTGATACTATCGATCGGTTCATCGAAATAGAGAATAATTGGAGGGGTGCAGGTTACGAGTTTGAAGTTCCAAAGCAGCCACCGATGTGATTTTAATCGTAGCTTGCAAAATGAAATCTACATTTGCAGAAAAGATTTGCTTGCTGAGCGTGACGTCACCAACGTGACCGGTGACATTTCGCTTTCCTCTTTCGCGCTGACCTAGACGCGTCGAAAATGACGGATACTCAGAATCCAATGACGGCCCAGCTGCTTGAACAGTTGCAACGCGCGGCAATTGGAGTCACCAATGCAAATATATACCAAAGCACAGCAGCTAACGCGACTGCGTACCAAAAATTGACATGGGCCCCATCGACAACATCTTCAGCGCCAACGAGAACGGGCTCTGCCGCGCCGCAAATTTCCCAAAGACAAACCAGGGCACGAGCTAGAGGAGGAGGAACGGGGACATCTACCCCAGCGCAAATTAACCCACTCCACCTCCCATACTTTCCCCAACCACAAGTCCAGGTCCAGGTCCAGCCACCACCGCCACCACCTCCACCCCAACCGTCGTATCCTCCACCGAACCCAATCCCCACCCGAACTCAAGCGTACTATTCCAGTTACTCGTCACGGATGCGGACGGGAACTTCTCTACTCATGCAACCAATTATCACTCCCGGAGCACCCCAAGCAGGCAGCTCGACTAGTCTCCTCACTAGTCGTACCTCACGTCGCGGGGGAGTTGCTATCAACTATGCTGATCCGGGGTCGGGAGACGACATACCCGATGCTGGGGCTGGTGTGGATTCGGAAGACTCTGATTTCGTCAACGATAATGGCGAGGCCACTATCGCACCACGTCCAGCTGGCAGGTTAAAAACGGCGGGTAGAACGCGAGGAGTGGCGTCTGGAATGTCAGTGTTCAACCCATCGACAGGCGTTACAACGATCCAGCCCAGCGCGTCACCATTACCTCAGTTATTGTTGCGACCCGAAAAGGAAGAACTTGACCAGAGTTATCTTGGGGTGGTACCTCCATCGCGGTTTATTTCGTCGAGAAATGCACCGATGACAGCACATTCATATCTGTGTGTGGCTAACATCTTATTTGACTGTGAAAACAACTCATCCCTGATCTAGTGCTCCACATTGGCTCGAGAAAGCTGCCTCGCGTACTCTCGCCCCAGTTCCCATCCGTGTCGAACTTGAGACAGAAACGCACCGAATACGTGACTGCTTCGTATGGGACATCAACGACGACCTAATATCACCCGAATCCTTTGCGCAAATATTCTGTATGGACCTTGAGCTGCCTTCCGAGCTTATCGACACCGTGACAAACCAAATAAAAGCCCAGCTAGAAGAGCATGAAGCTATCGCACGGCTGGACATCATCAACGAAGATTTCGACCAAACGGAGGGCGACGATCTGGCGGAATGTCGGGTCATTCTCAGTGTCAGTCTTACGATCCTGCGCTTTCATTATAGAAATAAACCTCGCAACAGATCGATGTTCAGATCGGGAACCACCACCTTGTTGACCACATCGAGTGGGACCTGCTTTCGCCATTGACTCCTGAAGCCTTTGCCACGACCCTCTGTCGTGAACTAGGGCTGTCTGGCGAAGCGGTTCCACTAGTCTCGCATGCCGTTCACGAGGAGATCCTCAAGCATAAAAAAGACTGTGTTGAGTGGGGTGTCGTCGACAACTCTGGGTATGGCGTACGAGACAAGACTGGTCTTGGTCTCGGCTCTGTCGGCCGAGCGAAAGGCGGGCCGAAAGTGCTTGAGAGTGTGTGGCGGGATTGGCAGGAAGCGGACGAGTTAAGGACACGGTTCGAGGTGCTGTCGGCCGAGGAGGTGGAGAGGAGAGAAGTGGAGAGGGAGAGGGCGAGTAGGAGAATGCGGAGAGAGACATCCAAGTTCCAGAGTGCCAGGACTGGATATGGCAGGAGGACGAGGTTCGGCTGAAGCATGTATCGTGTTTTTTTTTGTAAGTACGCGGCGACAACCTGTATCCTTAGCTAAGACACTCTGCTCGGTTATCTTAAGAATCCATGCAAGAGAAAGGAAAACAATGCAGCGAATACGTATCGTAACCTCAGTCAAGCAGTTCACGTGATCGCGTTCGGACAGGGGTTGTAGTTGTGATTTTCTGTTCCATCGAGCTCCCAATTTATCCTACACGGAGAGGCAGTGAAAATTGGTTGTCATAAATTCATTAGATTGAAGTACAGTTTCAGTCATGATTTCCCTTTACGTTTACCGGCAGCTCGCCTCGTCTCAGTCTTGCTCCTCGTCCTGCCACTGTTGCCTCCATCGACAGTGGAAGGTTCTTTCCGAGTATGCTGACGTTGCGATCTCCGCAATTTTTGTGAGCCTGTGTCCGGTGCAACGGCTGGCTGGGTCAAATTTGAAGGGCCCGCTTGTTGTGATTGCTGCTGCAGTCGACTAGAACTTCGCACTCTTGACTTGAGCTTTGCCGGCGGTTCTTCATCTCCGGACGCCTCCAAGTTTTCAGGCCAAGCAATATTTGTTGGTGCTGTTGTCAACCCATTCTCTGGGGAAGCGCGGCGGCGTCGAGTCCGTTCGGGCGGCCTCGATGAACCTGGAACAGGGGCTGGCGACTCTACATCCATCTCCGCGTTGTCAAGTAATGCGAGATCAGTTTTGGGCTGAGCTTGATGATTAATAGTTTGCAGGCTCCCAGACGGGCCTGGTCCGAAACTTCGCATATCGTCAACTTCCTGAGATAGAACCCAGAGTCCCGGACTCTCGGATTCAACTTGCTCCACCACATCATCATTCTCACGTTGCTTTTTCACAAATCCTTCATCTTTCCTGGACGACGTATCTGGTCAATGCAAGAAGATGGTCGACATAGAGCACATACACTGGTTCCTTCCCAGCGAGTTCCGCGATCTCAGCTTCGACTTGCTCCATTAGAATGTTGTTCGAGTTGGTGTCGGACTGCTCGTTGATGGGTGCTTCATCTTTGCTAGAAGCTGAGTCAAAACAGAGAAAATGCTTGTCATGATTGACGTACGCTTTGCCCTTCCCCTTGTCGTGGGACGCGGACGCAGTTGGTTTATCACGAGAGAGATAATATTTGACCCCACAGGTAGGTTTCGGTGCTTTCTTAGTCTTTCCCTTCCCTTTGCCGCGTTTGGCCGGCTGGTTCGGCTGCCAACGAGGAGGAGGACGAGGATCGCCAACTTTACCGACACTCTCGGGTCGAACATCTATGATACTGTCACCTTCGTTCAACTTGGATCGCATAAATGCGAAGAAGTCGTCGCGGAGCTGCTCGCTGTTTGCAAGGCGTGCAAGATGGAACATGATGACGCTAGCAAATTCTACTGCTTTGTCAGCGGACATTGAAGTGTCGCCAAGCCTGCTCGTTGAGGTTGGATCGGAAGAAGGAAAGGTAGGGAGGCACGGTGAGATGAAGAGTGTGTTGGGGTGTAAGGCGTCTTTGACGACAAAGAAAGCATGGTCATCGCTTGAACCCATCGCAAAACAGGCACCCTTGGTATTTGAGAGCTGTGTCCAAATCTGCACGACAGGCTGCGTGGGAGCGTCAATATTGTGATCAACCGTCGGGTACTCGAAGTCAAAATGGAAACCCTGCGCGTGTGGGTTGGCTTCACGAAGTTCGTGTAGCGATTCCAAGTCTAGATGCAGGAGTTGGGAGATGAACAGGGCGGCGATGGATAGTATGGTTTTGATTTCTATCAGAAATAGGCCGATTTGGAGATCAGTGTAGGCATAGGTGGGGCCAAGTCCGGCAGCGACGCCTTTATGACAACAAAAAGTCGAAGGAAGTTCCGGATGAATTTTTTTGAGGGCTTCGACCACAGGATGAGCTTGTCCTGCTCGAACCCGATACTCGACGTCAGCTTCAGAACGAACAATCCAAACTGAATTGGCGCAAAGGGGACCGGCGCCCATTTGTCGCACATCATCCGGGGACAGTCGGATGCTCGACAAGTCTCCGTTGTGTCCTTGCAGGGACATGAACTCCACAATCCACGCATGGAGTTGAGGCACATAAACTAGATGTTTGAGGTCTTCCGATACTCTGCGTTCAACCTCGCGAGGAGATCGTGGTGAAGCCTGGCTCGTCATCATGGACGTCGCTTGAATCAGCCGGGGAGTCGTTAAAAAATCCAAGAGATTATCGGCATCAGCAAGAGAGTCAAGATCGTATAGGGAGGGTTCTGCAGGAGGAAGGTGATCGACCATTGCCTCCAGAGCGGTACTAGCTACATTTTTGTGGGGCGGCGTTGACGATTGGAGGGGAGAAAAAGAGGGGTCGGGTTCATCAATGTCGATTTGGCGGTTTAAAAGGCCCAAATCAAGGAGTCCAACGGGGTCAAAGTGCAGAAAGGCTTGGGCACCCAAGGGAGTTTGTGGCTCTGAGGGAAGGGTTTGTGGAGAGGTGGCTGCCATCTAGTTCGTGAGCTTTTCGAGGTGAGTAGCACTCACCCGATAAAGAGTCGCACGTCCCAAGCGCAATACTGTACTTACTGCTGTTGAAAGTCTATTGAGAGCAAGTTCCAAGCCGCTCAAAGCGTCGCATCTTGTTCAGAGCCGGTTCAAAGCGCCTTCTGCACGTTATCGATCTGCGTCAACAGTTTGTCAATGGTCACGCGACTGTGACATGTCACAGTCAAGCTGCTTTTAAATAACTCGCGACTCCCCCTTTGAACCACAAAGAACCACACATGCGCTCCCTGAAGGTGACTTTTGAGGACCACTCGTCTTTCCCTGCCATTCCTCTCCAACTCCCTCGGCAAACCGGTTTCTTCCAAACAATGCCATCCAACGTCGACGAAATCAGTATTCAACCTGGAGCGCTCTACAGGAATCGCTTAGGGGATGGTCGGCGCTGTCACACTACCCTAGACAGAGTTCGTCAGTGGGGGCGCGATCATGACGAGTTCGAGCCAATCTATGCTGAGGCGCGAAGCACTGACGGGAACATACACTTTTACCTACGACTACTCCCCAACGCGCAACATGCCACGCAGGTATGTTCATACGAATCAACTTAGCTCTATACTGACGACATCCAGGACCGCTCACTGCAATCCTTCGCCATGTATGAGAAGGCTGTTTGCGATGCGGAATTCCATGCAAACCATCTCCGAGCTATCAGAGGACACATTATACCCCGACATTATGGGATGTGGTTCATGGACACGGGGAGTTGGGCCGGACTGGTGCTATTCACTATCGTTCAATGGTGTGGCGTTCCTTACAGGGACCTGATTCGACAAAAAGAAGACAGCGAAGAGCTTCGGTGAGCCTATCAGTGTTAAACAACCATAGATAGTGTTTACCAGTCTGTCCAGAATTCTCGTTGGTCGCACTTACGAGCAGCTGCACGACTACGGGGTCGTCCATGCTCCTGGCGGCGACCCGACCAGGGACCCATTCGCCAAAGTCATGTTCGATGTTGCTAACCGCAAATCCAATGGGGGCTTGAGATGCTACGTTATAGACTTTTCGGAAGCCCAGGCTGGCCATTACTGTCAGCGCAAACTCCCGATCCTCCCGCTCGGGACTTTCATACCCTCGAGGCAGGTCGGCTGTCGGGAAGTTGGAGGATTGTTGTGTCTTTTGGATTTCAGCAATTACGCGGAACGTGACGATACTGGTAGGCTTGTGTTATCGTTGACTTCAAGTCCTTCTCAAGTTTCAACAGAGACCCCGGCACAGGAAGCTTTGGAGTGGCACACGCAGTACCACAATCACCATCCCGGAGTCGATAACGCATTAGCGCTTGTTGCGCAACGGGCTAAAATGTATGCCCCTTGGCCTGAGGTATACAAAGGAAGTTACAAACTGGTCAACCCAGAGAGCGATTACCCTGAAGTCGTCCCGGTGCCCGATGGACCTCCGCCAATCAAACGAATGCCCATAAACCCCACAAGAAAGCTCAGCTCGGGCTCTGATTCGAGTGATAGCCAATAATACTGGCTGAATCTTCACCTTGTACTATATCTTTACTGGCCCCGCCTCGACATGTCATCTCGCTATCTACCATCGTCACTTTATGCATGTATCCTTATCCATTGACCCCAAAATTTCACGTTTGCTCAAGAGTCAAGAATTTCGAGAGTGTTGGATCTGACTATAATTGCCAGCTAGCTATGACGAGGCCCGAGCTATAGCTAGCGATAGATAAGGTAGCGAGCGATGCGTGTGAAGTGGGCCAAATGTTTATGATCTCTGAGTTCCATGCATCATGATCGTGACTTTTGCGTCACGCTCACTTCAAGTTTGCGCTGACGGCGACGCGTCAAATTCGACGCGTCTTGCTTTTCCACTCTGCCGCGTTTCGAGCCCATAAACCATGGTCCAATATTACGCGGACGGCGCCCAGTTGCCCAACGCCGGCGTCGTAGCACCATACCGACCAGATTTCAACTTCAGCCAATTCCTGGTGCAACCCATACCGCGCGAGAACTACAACCTCCCGCTCAAGACCCGCAACATGCAAAATGCCAACATCGAGGCACACAACACGACATCTTGCAACGCTACTCAGGAGGCTGAAGATGACAAGCGAGGGACGCGAGATGTTGGCCCACCACTAAGCCTTTCTTTGCCTACACGTCCGACGAGATACACGAATATGCCGAAGATGAAGCTCTTTACAAGACTCTCAAAGAACAGGGCCCCGTCCCACTGATCTTCGCGCGACTCGTCGCCAATTTCAAACGACAATTGTCGGACGCAAAAGCCGCGGCACCCTCTCTCGAAGGATCTTTCGTTGGCAAGGCGGATGGACTTCGGACAAGACATGGCATCATCCCAGAGTCTATCATCGTGGCTGCGTCCCTTGGTTCCCCACCTCCACTCTTCACATTGACTCAGCGCCGCCTCGACGAGTTTAGCAAAGCACCCTCTTCTGTCCCAGTCCGTAACGTGCACCACCCAAAACTCGGCAACCGCCTCACCCAAACTTTTGACTCGGAGACCTTCATGAAGAATATTGGACTGCATACCACCTTCAAAACCGTCGAGGCTTTTCCTCTCGGTTTCGGCAACCTATTGTAATGCTTCGAAACACTGAAAATCATCGCGACCTACTTGGCTGGAAAGAACCCCCCACCCACATCCATTGCAACACACGTCTGCGACCACATCGACTGGATTCAAACTGAACTGCCCAACTACGGCGCCCATATCGACGAGTGGCTGCCCTGGTCTTGGTCCAGATTGATGGAGATGTTTTCAGCTAACTGCAGACACCAGGAGATAGAATACAACATATTCCGCGAGCTCTACAAAAACAGGATTGCAAACAAGTGTTCCCCAGCAGTGCCGCAAACCAAATGCCACGCCCCAGACCGTGTTTATCCCAAGGAAAGAAGATAACTTTCGACTTTGCATCGAAAGTGGCAGAACTGGTGAGTGTAAAGCCATTCCTCCTTCTCCCTTTCCCCTTTCTCTTTTCTTCTTGATGGGTACCCGGACACAAACGTCAGCTTAGCGCTTAGCGCACGAAGACGTCAGCCTAGCTTTTGAGCACGAAGTCGCCGACCTAGCTTTTGAGCACGAAGTCGCCGACCTAGCCTTTGAGCACGAAGTCGCCGACATAGCCTTCGAGCACGAAATATGTTGTTTCGCATTACATCGCACGAAGATCTCGCCTACAACACTATATATAAGAAGCAAGAAGAAAATTTGCTCACCAGATCATCACAGATCGCAAACCTACCTCCCGGTTCCCGAGCCTGCACATCTGACATTGAAGCTTTTCACCACACCGTCCAGTTCACCAGATGTAGTACAACACATTATATTTCTCTCTTCTTATCTTTTCGTTCCGCATTGCTCCGGTAGGGTGACCAACCAGCGTCGTCAGCCGCGCTACTCGCTTTGGAGCAATGCTCCTCTTGGGTGGTCCGTCACGGACCACCCAAGAGGCTACATCGATTCATTCAGACCCATCTATACGATCAATAGTGGTCTTGCATCCCACGCTGCTGTTGCGACTGGTCGGTACCCAGAAGACTTCTACATGGGTGGAAACGTTAGTACGTTTTATCATTTCAGCTTCCAACAACCTTAAATCAACTTGGTCACTAAATCAGCCATGGTATCTTACCACGGCCGCAGTCGCAGAGCAACTCTATGACGCACTCATCGTGTGGCAAGCGCAAGGCTCGCTCAGCATCACGACAACCTCACTCGCGTTCTTCCAGCAGTTCATGCCGACCGCGAATACCGGAACTTTTGCCTCGACTACGACTACCTATGCAACTCTGACTAGCGCCGTCAAATCGTTCGCTGATGGATTCATTAATGTCATTGCCAGATATACGGTGTGTTGTGTCTGCTTGGTAGTCAAGTTGCTGATACTTCGTCAGCCGAGCGGGGGCGGACTGTCGGAACAATATAGCAAGAGCAATGGGTGTGCGTATATTCTTGCCTTGGAGAACGTTTGTTTAAGTCAGAGCAGCACCAGTTTCTGCATCAGACCTGACATGGTCGTATGCCTCTGTCCTGTCCGCGTTTTCAGCCCGTGCTGGGACAAGACCTGCTAGTTGGGGCGCCTCTGGGCTCACGGTTCCTCCATCGTGCCAAACAAGCCCCGGAACTCAGCCCGCATGGGTCGCGGTGACATTCAACGTTGTTGCGACGACTTTTTTTGGAGGTTAGCATTTTATGCGTTTTCTCGATGTCGGTTGATAGCCTACAGAAAACATCTATATCACGGGGAACACCGATGGACTGCAGAACTGGGAAACGGATACCGCGGCTCTGCTTTCGTCGGTCAACTATCCCACTTGGAGCAGTAGGTGCCTGGTGGTATTTTGGTTCATGTCTGATTTCGTCCAGTTACGATCAATGTCCCTGCATCGACAGACATTCAGTACAAGTACATACGCAAGGTCAACGGGGTATTTGAGTCCTGGGAATCTGACCCGAACAACGAGTTCATGTCGCCGAAGAGCGGTACATTGGTCAGGAACGACCAATGGCGGTAAGGTTGGGTCCCAAACAGAATATACATGTCTATACCACATTGCTTAACCCAGATTTGTCTTCAAAAACTGCACCATCTCGTCAAAATAGTGCCCATACCGCTCCTCCGCGTCTGGCACATAGTCAAACGAGTGGTCGACCCCTTCGACAACACGGAGCGTGACTGGGACACCGGCCCGCTCCAGCAGCGCACCCATGACGCGTGATTCGGCACACGGAACGGCGGTGTCCAGCGCGCCATGCCACAAATATGTCGGGGGGAAGTCGCGCGAAATGTTGAACTGGGGTATGATCACGTGTTGGTCGCCGGGGACGAGTCCAGAGGCCAAAACCGCGTCGTGGAGCGCAAGCGCGTCGGATTCTGCCGGGTACTCTGCGAGGAGCGGCCGGAGAGATGCAGAGAGGCTGGGGCTGTGGAGGCCGGTGCAGTAGTCGAGCATTGTGCCAAGCTGTTGATACAAGCGGGAGAGCGGCATGCGGGGGTTGGCGGGCCAACCGGGAGTGGGGGAGTCCGCGGGGAGGTAGGCCAATTCGGATTCAGTGGTTATTGTCGTGTCGGAGAGATAGCCTGGGTAGAGGAGGTGGGCGAATTTGGCAGGATCGAGCAGCTCGCGTCCACGCGAAAATATTGCGGTTTTGGGAGTGAGGACATGGGCAGACTGGAAAGTTGAGTTGGATAAAGAGAAACGGGGGGAAAAGCTACGCACGAAAGCGTTGCCCAACATCGCGTATATCCCCAACACGGCTTTTGGCCTTGGAACGGCGTGGATTGCGGCGAGATAGGCGCAAGTCCCGCCTGCGCTAGTCCCAGCGACACCAATCCGCTCTGCATCAACTCCAAACAACTGCCCACTCTCTGCTCTGAATGATAAGTCCTTCTTGGACAAGAATGTGAAGATGTCTTTGACGTCATCGCCAATGTCGTGCAGGGTCGCCTGAGGAAAGAGCCGATAGGCAGCCGAGATAAAAACGATGCCCGATGCGGCCAGTCTTGCTGTTTGTTGTTAGAAGATGATGCAAGACTGGAGAAAACGAACTGGTTAGCCAGGTGGGGAACCAGCTTGTCCTAGTTCCGACCGTGAGGCCGCCACCGTGGAAGTAGATGAGCGCTGGTAACCGTTGACCGGGGATCAGGTCTTTGGGAGGGTAGACGTTGAGGTAGATTGGGTGGGAGCCGACAGTCTTGTAGCAGACGTCAATGCAGTCCATCGTGGCGAAGAGCAAGAAAAGCTTGTTCCGATTCGAAACATGGGTGTAGAGGATCAAGTCGTTGCAGGGATCAAACCAAGACAATTGACTGGTAAAGGTTACAACAACATATCACCAAGAGCGAGCGATTGTACATAGTATCGTCGAAAAAGTCCTTTAGCCTTTCGCACAAACGCGTTTATGCTCCTCCCAGTCCTTCCGCTGGTGGTCCAAGGAGCAGTATTTGACCAAACGGCATTTGCTGCACATCTTGGTTACCACCTTGGCCTCGACACTGCTCTCCGACCCTTCTGTACTCCCGTCTGGTAGTCGTTTCTCCAACGCATAACCATCTGAATCGAACGAGACGTCACAATCGATCCAATTACACATCTGCTTGCGTTTGACCCGCTTGCCGTACCGTCCCCCTCGTTTGATGTCAAGGACCTGAGCGTTTTCGACACCCCGTCTGGGGAAACGAATGATCTCACAGTCGTCAGTGCAGCAGGGGTTGAGACAGCCCGTGGGATAGTCAAAGAAAAGGTCTGCACTGGGGACATAGGAGCGGTGGGTGAAGATGATCTGGGAATAAGACGTGGGTTGGTTGGAGAACAAGATGATAAACCGTGGGCGCTTCTCGTAAAGGAGGGCTCGGAAGGTGAGGTCAATCTGTGGGAAGCACGGGGTTCGTCGTTGGCGGGCGAGGGTGTGGGATATTCGCATGTGCTCGTATTGGATCTGTTGCTCTATACTGGGCTTGCAAGTCCGGCCAAAGGTGTTTCGACAAATGAGCTTGAAGAAGGCGGTTACGTCGTCCATTTCCTGGCGCTTGAGATCGGTGACGATGATGTATATTTCGTCGCAGCCAGCATCGTGCATTCCCCGAAGAAGCATGAGTTCTGGGAGCTTTGTGATGCTGTTAGTCTTGGCCGTATCACACAAAGAACAACAAACTCACCATGGTGAAGACAATGGGCATTCCATTACGCTCCTGCATAGAACGATGGTGAAAGAGATGGGTAGTCCAAGTTCGATCGAGGGGGATGAGACGGCCAGTGTCCACTGTCCGACAGAAGATGTTCTCAGGCACAAAGTCGCCCTTATTCCACACAATACTCTGCTGATCATGGCCAGTCTGCTTTCTCTCCCTCGCATCTCTGAACCACTCGTAGTAAACATCTCCATGCCCATATCCCCGGTGTTCCAGCCAACGGTCGATGAGGAGATCCGTTGAGTCGTGAGACAAGGTAGTTTGCACCAGCTCAGACAGCGACAGCCGTGGTGGTGCGAAGAGCGAGTAGTAATGTGGGCGGGGAGGCATGGCTAGGTGAGACCGCGATCGTAGTGGTGGTTCAAAGCAAGTCGCGTTGTTTAGTCTTCCCATTTCAGGCAACCGGTGCCTTGTGTTTGACTCCCATGTCCGAACCCCCCTCAACAGCTTCGGCATATCTATTCAGCGATCGTTTGTACAGCTGGACACTCTAGATCTATAGTATGGGTTGACTGCTTCTTTCTTCGGGCGTTATAACATCAAGATGCGCAATCTGACGTTCTTGTCGACAACAATGGCAAGGAACTCCCCAACAAACTACGTTCCCCGCTCTGGGGACAACTACATACCGGATGCCTTTCCGAAATCCATTTCAAGTGCTCGCTCTTAGCTCCTTCCCAAACTGACGGCATGCTCGCTATGTTGGAACAAGATGTATCACCTGGCCGTATCATCACATTTGTGTTGTTTCTCACCAACTGCGTTTTTACAACCCCATAGGGTACGAGCTGGGTCAGAGTTCCTCAATCATATCTAATTGAGTCTTGACATCGAGCACGACACTGGATGAAGCGAATTCATATCTGATATCTTCATGCTGGGCTTTGCCTTTTGGGAAGCTTTACAGTCTTTGGTCATCCAATGTACTTGCTCCATCGACTTCTCTGGCAACAGAATATCGTCCTGCTTCAGTCTACGACTAATATATTGGCCATGTCGACCGCTTTCCAGTCATCGCGACAGCGTCGTTTCGTTTTCGCAACTTTTTCGACAGAATTATATCTATCTATTGTGCTCAGTTCAAAAGCGGCCAGTCACTGGTAGGGAAGTAAGTAACTGCAAAGAGAATTGCTTCGACTTGCAACCGACTCTTTTTTCTTGCCAATCACTTTGAACGAAAGGTTGCGAACAGATTCATGATCCAGAACACACCTACACATCGTTTAGTATGAACAATGACCGGTCGCAGTGCAGTGAGAGGGTCCAGAGCGAAGTTTGTGCCTAGTTGAACTTCCTGCGTAAATACATATTTCCCGTGTTTTCAACTTTTTATGGTGTACCTTGGCAACCGCCGGCCTCTGATTGATCTGGCTGATCAAGAAAAGTCTGCTTACCGCTTGTCACTTCCTCGGAGTCCCTCCAATAATGTCCCTCGACGCTGACGCCGCCCAACCCGTTCCCGACGTTCATTCCATGCTTGCCACCACCGAGGATGACGATGCGGACACAGCTTCCCAACGCTCCATTTCCCTTTCATCACCCGCGGTCTCGCCACGGAATTCACTTTCGAATCGAGCATCGCATCCATATACGCTCGACACCGACCTCAGCTCTGAGCCGGATGACGCGAGCATGTATACCCATGACGTCCCATTAGAGAGCCCCAACACGTCGGTTGCACCGTCAGTCATTGACGAGCCAAAGGACGTTCCAACATACCCGCCTTCCCCGCCGCGTGACGATACCGCCTCAATAGCATCTGTGGCCTCGGGCTCGTCGCGAAAGGCTAGGCCGGAGTCGATGATCGTTCTCCCCAGCGACATTCCTCTCATTCTTGGTATTGCTCTAGTCGATTTCAACCACATTGTGAGCACTCATTTCTGACACACATTCTCCGCTCATTCCTCTCAGGTCGGTCCGAAAATAGAGTGGTCAAAGGGCGAGATACTCGACGACGACGAGGTGTCCAAGATTCTTCCCTTCCTGGCTCTTCCAGACGGAGCCCACCTGGTATGTCTCAATTGGCAACTGCTATCTATCTGCCATGAGTAATCTGTCTACAGAGCGCTGAGGACTACTCATACTTCCACCTCGTTCCCAGTGGTCCCAAGCCGACAACCATCTTTGGCATCTCATGCAACCAACAAATCGCCTCGTCAGCGCTGCTTGCCAAGATGCCCGATGTGACACGCTCGACAGTCCAGAAGGCCGTTGTCGTTCTCGCCTCCAAACCCATTTTCGGGCCCATACGGTCCGTTGACGTGTTCTACCGTTGCTCAAAGTGTGACTCGTATTACAGCGACAAACTGGGCGTGGTTACGACCGCGTTGTTCAATCAACGAGACTTTAGCGACCTCGGAATTCTAGATGACTTCGCTAACTCGCTCGAGGGGTCCGTCCGCAGCCAGCTCACGGAGAGCGGGCTCTACATTGGCACCAACCTCCGCGAACTCGTCCACACTTTCCGACAACGAACTCTTGTTTTGGTTAAGGCACTCATGCTGCAAAGAAGGGTGCGTCTGACGTTACGTATTCTTTTCATTGCCTGAGCTTGGTATAGATTATGTTTTACGGACACCCAGTCGAGCGGTTATGTACCTACCAATATTCCTTGGTGTCGCTCCTTCCGGGACTTCTCCAAACCCTTGATGACTGTGGCTCTCCCCCGCTCGCTGCCCGTGCGCCAACACTGTCGCAGCCCACAACACTGCGAACGTCCGACCGCAAGAGTATGATGGCGTATACAGGTCTTCCGCTAGACATATTTGGCAAGGACGCTTTTTTCCAGCCTTATCTGCCGCTTCAACAGCTCGATGTCGCCGCGGAGACCAAGAGCTGGCTGTGCGGGAGTACCAACTCGATTGTTACGCAGCGGAAAGAGATTGAGCTGTTTGTCCATGTGAGCGTTTGTTTTTCAAATTGATTTGCCCAAGACTCTGATTGGCGGTAGACGGAAACGGGCAATCTCGAGTTCAGGGATCCGAAGCTCGAGCGGCTCATCGCACTGACGCCAGCAGACCGCAAGTGGATGGACGACATAGTGAAGGATGTGAATGAGGGCTGGAACGACGAAGAGGGTCGGCCATTAAACATGACGTATGTCAAGCATTATGACAAACAACATCTCTCTCTGACTGCATTGTGGAAGTAGATTCAAGGGCAGCGACGACTATCTCCGAACCAAATTCGAGGAATACATTTCAGCCGCGTTGTCCACCGTGCGGTACCGGGACTTCGTCGCCAAGGGACAAGGAAATGGCGTGTTGAGCGGAACAGGAAACGACGCAAACTCTGCAGAAGACTTCAATCCGTTGTGGATTTCTGAGTTCAAACATACGAACGCATACGAAGTTTTTGAGCGGACGACCGACCCATGTCTTTTCGACATTGTGGAACCGCGTCATCCTTGTAACGAGAAACCCTCAGTCGTGGCGGATATTGGACTTCGTTTGTCGGAGGGCATCCAGGAGTTGAAGATTGAACAGCAATTGGCACCTGCTCGCGAAGCCATGGCCAGAACGATTAGTGCTGGGTCCACAAACTTGTTCAACGCCTTCCAAGGGGTTAAGGAACGCTGGAACACCCAAAGGGAGTCGATATCTATTGCCGCCAGTGATGCTGTCAAACGAGCGAGCACGCCAATTGAAACACCTCCTCCGGTCAAGAAGGAAGATCTTCCGCCACAGACTGCTCGTCCGTTACTGCTAGCACGTTCGTCAACAATTGATAACAGCGGACCCACGCCATCACCGCCACCAAAATCTACTTGGGGCTCTTTTTTCTCTTCGAAACTATCCAACTTTGGGAAACGAGACAGTGCGGAGATGCCACCTCCAATTGTGACCACTCCCCCGCCTATCCCGGCCGATAGCCCTCACGCAACTGCTCCGTCATTCTTGGGCCGCTTTTCTCCCTCTGCCATCGCTTCGCCAAGTGTCTTCCCTCCAACACCTTTAGATCTTGCACCCAAGACTGCCATGCCTATCTCGTCAGCCACGTTGAATGCGACACCGACGAATACTTCACCGACCCAAATGCGCTCGTTGTCATTGCTGACACCGAAAGCTGCAGAGTCGCTGGTTGTGCCTCCTGCCACCATCGCCATTCCAGTACCACCGCCACCGGAGGAAGAATCGACTTTTGTTGTCGCCGAGACTGTCCCCATTGAGGAGCCAGTAGCGAAAAGTGGTATTGAGAAAGATGAGGATGACGAGCCGACTGTTGCTGTGGTTTTATGATCATGACTTGAAGCATTGTCCATGCATGTTGGTATTTATTTGCGAGTGCTGTGCTTGCGAGCGCTGTGCTTGCGTGCATGTTATCCTTATGTCGCATGGTTTTTTGATGGGTTGTTGCAGGCGACAAGTACTTTCTTACGATACAGCTATTTTGCGTAGAATTGAGGAATTTTGTTCCATAATGGCTCTTTGGCTAGCATTTGTGGACCCACAAGTACAGTCACGTGATCTGATTTCTCTTTACCAAGGACTCTCACTCCGATCTATGAGCTCGCCGTCGAAGAAGGTATATCTGCCGCTCGCCAAGCTCGAGAACTGCGCAAAATGTGGATCTACGAAGAATCCACGTTTGTGTGCTGCCTGCAACGAGGTGGAAGAACTCGATTGTGGTAGCCGCTTCTAAGCTGTATTCTATAGCGCACGTATTGCTCCCCCACTTGCCAAAAAGAAGACTGGCCGGTGCATAAGACTGCCTGTGGTAACTGCCTAGTTTCCGTATAATGCGAGCCAGTGATCAAGCTCAATAGGCAAGACGGACAAACTTCAGCTAGATGTCTTCTATCCGTTCATCGCAGCCCTCGCCGATTCGGCGCATGTTCATAACGCCAAGCCACAGCATCCGGCCTTGAGACGAGTCATTATCAACGCACCAAACCCAGACACCCGCCCCGTTGGCTTTCCAGACGGGTCCGCTGCACGGCTTGTGATGTTGGGAGAGAAGCTTGAGCACGATTCGCTGATAGGCTCCCGGACGTGGTTTCCCATGGCCCTCACGGACAAGACGCGGAGCAAGCTGTTCCGTCGAATTTCGCGTGAGGGACAGGTGCTGCCTATTCTCATGGCGATCTGCCTTACGTTGCTCACGGAAATCTACACCACAACAGCGGGCCCGGGTTCAGGGGACTCTGGGCCGCGTAGGAGGCTACGTCTGGCCTACAAGTCGTCGCCGATTGCGGATTTCGGCATCGTTTCTGGCGCGGCAGACGTAAAAAACCAGGATAAACTCGCGTATTGGGATGTCGCTGACCCAGATATGCCGCTTTTCAAAGGCCAAGACCCAAACGACCACTACTGGCTGTATTTCACGACCACACGCGGAGAGACGGTGACTATCGACTGCGCGATGTTTACCTTCAACATGTGTCTATGCGCCAATGTCGAGCCTTACCTGACGCAGTACACACCAGGACTACTATTCGCCCCGGTATATTATCATGAACGCAAGATGGAGGAGACAACTCCAGGTTTATATACCGAACGAACGAGGGTTTCCGTTTTGCGTAACACAGACCTTCACCGTGTGGTAGAGCGCTCGCTGAGTGGGTACAACGACCCAGAAATCGACCTCGTCCGCGACTTTATGCAGAATCTAGCGCGGAGAGAGATATTGGAGGAAGAGATTGACTTTTTGTTTCCGCTTGTTATTGTGCAGCGCTTGGCTCTGGCTACGGTGATTAAGCAGCGCGCATGGGAGGGGTGGCCGAAGCAAGGACCGGTGATTGGTATTGAACAGGACCCGGGAGAGTTTGTGGACAACGGGCTGGACGATGACGAGGGGTGGGCCAAGTACTTGAGGAAGTTCAAGAAGAGCAAGAAGGCTGGTGCGGGGAAGGAGGAGCTGAATGAGGCATTTAGGAAGTGGCAAAGAAAGCATATGAAGAAAGGCCAGTGACAGTAGCAGCTTTGAATTGTTTGCGAGAAGATAGTCTCGCTTGCAATCCTTTCTTCTGACCCGTGAAGACTAGCGAGAAGACGAGACAAGCTTTTGGCACCGTGAGAACGGAGACTCCCTCATGTCCGAAATGTCGATGAGTGCGGATTTCAAGGTCCATCTGCCTCTTGCGAAGCTCGAGAGCTGCGCAAAATGCAAGTCCACGAAGACGCTACGGTTGTGCTCCGCGTGCAACGAGGTCGGATGAATCAGCTTCGGGGAAATTTCTGAGACGCTTGGTGCAGCGCACGTATTGCTCTCCAACATGCCAGAAGCAGGATTGGGCTGATCATAAAACCTTCTGCGGTAAGCAAGCTCTCTAACTATCCGCTCAAATAACGAAGAAAATACTCAGGCAAAACGGATCGTCTTGATCTCAACATCTTTTATCCGCTCATTGGGTGTCTGGTCGAAATGGGCCATCTGAGAAAGCCTCAGACACATCCCGCGCTCCGACAATCTATTCTGAATGCGCCAAATCCAGGGAGTTTGCCAACACGCCTCCCCGACGGCTCAGCGGCCAACTTGGTGCATCTTGGCAACAGACTGGCTGGCCCGCACCAAGCGGGCAGCGCGATATGGTTTTCGCAGGCGCTCGACCAGAATGTACGGCTCAAATTCATGGACCGCGTCAAACGCGAAGGCCACGTTTTGCCCATCCTCATGGCGACCAGTCTCGCGCTGTTGTCCGAAATTTACACAACGCCTACGTCAAACGAGAAGAAGTCTCTGCGGGCCCGGCTGGCATATAGGTCCTCCCCAATTGCAGACTTTGGTATTGCTTCTGGGGCGGCCAAAGTCACTGCTCCGGACAGACTTGCATACCGTGACAAGTCGACCAACCCTAGTTTTGCTGGAATTCGCTATGGACAAGATCCAAACGATCATTATTGGCTGTACTTCACAACGATCCGCGGGGAGACGGTAACGCTGGACTGTGGAATGTACACGTTCAATATGTGCCAGATGGTCAGCACGAAGCCGTACTCCACTCATTCGATGCTCCCGCCGGAATTGCCATGGGTGCCTGCTTTCTTCCGCGAGCGCGACATGGACCGCACCACGCCAGATATGTATGTCGAGCGGAGGAGGATGTCCGTCCTCAGAAATCCTGCCCTGCAAACTGTGGTCCACATCGCCGGAACTGCGACAACCTACGACGAGGCCCAAGCCAGTATCATCTGTTCCTTTATGGAAACACTTGCGCGTCGGAAAATATCGCGGGAAGAACGCGAATTTGTGCTGTCTTTAACGACCCAAGCCCGCAATGAGCTGAAGACGGTGTTAAATGGACGGAGTTGGGCGAGTTGGCCCAAAGTTCCGGCAACCACGGTGGAGATGGACCCGGACGAGCTTATGGAGGATATGATGGACGACGATGCGGCGTGGGCAGAGTACCTCAAAGGGTACAAGAAGAATAAAAAGGCGGGTATGGACGAAACTCAGTTGGATCAAGCGTATAGGGTGTGGTCTGCGGAGCAGAAGGGTCGGCAGCCTTTATGGGCGTCCGTCATGTGAATAAATCATTTCTCCTCTATATTCTGGTACCGACACAAAAGAGACGGAACTGCAAGAGACTGTGGGTGTAATTCCAAGGCACAACTAGAACTGAAAAATACTCTTGTCTCCTTCTGAATGGCGTCAGTCCATTGTTCCTATGGTTTGTCTGGTCCTCTCCATGCAGGTGCCAACCAATATCCTGTCCATTACACCACCGTCCCTTGTGAAGATAGACTCTAAAGCACGTTTAAACTTTCGCTCACGACTCTTCTGCCTTCACCGCTAGCATCTCTGCAGTCCTTGAGGTTTCGCTCACGATCATCCATCAACATGCCCGTAGTACCCACGCAATTGCGATCACAGCCGATGCTTCTCAAGATTGCCGTGCTCTCGGAGATCGCTAATAAGCATTGCACACAGACGACGTTAGGTATTATCAATAAGCGGGTTCGGAGGAGGTTCTACGTGCTGGGCATGACCTGGACAAATCTGAGTGTTAATGATATACGATGCAAAGTACATAACAGACCTGGTGCTCCGTACAGAAGGAGACCAAAAAGCTCCCGCCGTGACATCTGAATCTTGTTGGTAGGATGATGTGCTTCTCTGAGCAATAACTCATACTCGGATGGAGTGATCCCTGGCACCACGTTTGGTTCAGGCTGCATCGGCGGCGAGTTGATGTCAGACTCTGTGCGCTCAGCATCGCGATCGGGAATGGGCAATGTGGTTGTGGGCTTTGTTTGGGCAGGTGTTATGATCATCGAAGGATCAAGCGCCAATTTGACATCGTTATGGAGGTCTGGATGAGGGGCAAAGTAAATAGCCTCCAGCAAAGTATCAAAGGTAACGTCCAAGCCTCGGAGGCAAGTACGGTGTGACATTGTATCTCCAGGACGCTGACGAGTGGAAGACATGAACGCTTTCACTTTCGATGCTGCGTTGACGAGGACGGCAAACAGGGAAAGTTGGTCATAGTCTTCGCGTTTGGTTTTGAGACAGAGTTCGAGGGGCTTGTTGGAGCCGGATTCGCAAAGAACTGGCATGTATTCAGCAGCACCAACAGCGTAATTGCGCCAAGTGTTGACCTGCCCTGTGGGCTCGAGATGGCGTTCAGATGGGGGTATCGCTTGGACTGCTCGACCGCTTGGACACGGGCCACGGGAGTGGATGATAAGGACGCGCCATTTTAATTGAGAAATGTCAAGCGGGAATTCTCCGTACTGGTATGACTGAGTAAAGAGGTCACAGCTCGAACAGAGCACATACGGGTAGGTTCCTTTTGGCACCAGAATCTTGGGCGTAACGAAAACCCCAATCTTTATTGCATTGCCATAGCTTGTCGGTTATCTGGTCAATAACTTCCGCAGTAGGAATAATCGCAAAAGAACCGTATGCGAGGCCAGTGTGCCACTCAGTCGAAAGCAGCATAAGGTTGCATCTCGCGTCGAGGCTGAAGTTCGCTTGTCGATTGAACTCGAGTTGGGCTTCCTAGACAGGCTGTTAATGTGTGGTAGCTGAACAAAGGTGGACCTATGTACAATGGATTCAGACTCCTTTACATTCTTCACATATTCTTTGGTGTGCCCATGCGGGACAGATCGTAGCGTGTTTATGAGATGGGCACCTTGCAGCCAGTCACCAGGTTGGCCCGTGACGAAACATCGTCGGTCTGTCGCAAGGAGCTTCCGGAGGATGCGTTCGTTTTGGAGCATCTCATCGTCCTCTTGTTGTCTGTCTGATTCTCCTGTCGACTCCGTTTTTCCAATGCTACCGTCAAAGAGGGGGTTAAGAGGAAGAGTCGCTGGAGGAAGGACGACTCCATATTGGCCATTTCGCTCTGCCTTCAAAGTCGGCCAGAGTTGTCGTGGCATTAGGAGGAGTTTGATCAGTTGTTTCTGCCATCAAAGTTATGGATTGAATATGTCATCCCTTCGACACCCTGAGTACTGCTTCACAATTCAAGCTCTTGCTCCCGTTGTCCGTGTTGTATCCCAATTTGCTCCCAGAACTTGCATGAACCTGGATGAACCGACTATGTTGACAGGCGGTGCACGTTACCGTGACAGGTCTGGACTCTTCTCATCTCTTGATCTGATAATCGTCGGCCCATTGATACGGCTCAGAAGGCGTGCTCCCGCACAGACACGCAAGCGACCGGTTGTCGCCTTACCTTTCCTTTTTCGTCACTCCTTGACCTCCAACCACCACCATGTCCGTCATCGACCTCTCCCAGCCTTTGTCCGATGTTCTCCGGGAAGGCACCAAGAAAGCCCACGAGGAGGTCGAGGTCAGCCCTGCGGCGTCTGCGATGCTCAAGGGAGAGCTGGCCAAGGAGGAATACGTCCGCTTTCTCATGATGTTATGGCACATTTACGAGTCCGTTTTATTTTCTTTGCGCCCCTCGTCGTCGCCATGCTGACTACAACGGTAACAGCACCTTTGAACGGGGTCTCGAGCGCCACCAGAACCACCCCGTCCTCGAACCGACATACAACCCAACCCTCCTCGCTCGCGCCCCCCACCTCTCGGCTGACATTGCCCATCTGCTGGGCGTTACCGAGTCGCAGTGGAAGTCCCACCGAATACACGCCCAATTAACGGCCAATGGGACACTGCCACCGGCATTGGCGACATATACCGCGCGGATTCAAGAGATTGCGGACTCGTCTGACCCGTCGGCGCTCTTGGCACATGCCTATGTTCGATACCTCGGTGATCTTAGCGGTGGACAGACCATTCAGCGCGCCTTAGCCAAGGCCTACGGCTTAACAATGGGAGGGGCGGGTTTGTCATTCTACTCATTCAAAGAACTGCACTCTTCGAAACCTGCAAGCATTGGGGAAATGAAGAAGATCAAAGACTGGTTTAGGGCTGGGATGAACAAAGGCGCTGGGGATAATATGGACGTCAAGGGTGCGCCATTTTCTCTCTCGCTTCATGCTCCATAATGACTGTCAAATAGCTGCGGTCATGGAGGAGGCCTCCCGCGTGTTCGAATTTACGGGCACGATATTCAAGGAGGTCGATCGCCACCGTGCAGATGCCAAGTCCCGCGTTGTCTTTGAGAATAAAGATGACGAGCCCAGAAGCTACCCGCTCGCCAGCGTCATTTCTGTCATCCTTGCCATCTGTGTCGCGCATTTCGCGCTGACTGTCTTCGGATTTACTGGCGAGCGCGGCTACGAGAAACTGGTCATGGTCGAGGAGTGGCTGGCGGGTCTCGGTGGTGTTCGCAAGCCAGAGTAACCGCCTTATTAGACGCCTCCACGCAATCGAACGGTATCTATTTCCACATTCCTGCCTAGACTACTCTGGCTCCTTGTACACTGCTTATTCGTAATCGCATTGCTTTCAGCGGATTTAGATTCAATGCCTCCGAAAACCTCGACTCTCCACGTAGTGCCGGGTCTTCGGCTTTTTCCAGTTGGCGAACCGTGGTTAGCATCGCGCTATGGCTGGTTTGCATCTATTCTGGGAATATTTCCCTCGCATCCGCGTGTCTGAACGCGTCATTCATGATGTTTGGGACAGTTTGGCCCACATCTTGGTGTTGGTGCTGCCTGAAGTGCTCTATTATGTTTACAGACTGTGTTTTGCGATCAAGCGGTCCCGTGATTTATAGATTTTTGTATATGTACTTGACTCGCGGCCGATGTAGCTCTGGAGGATCACGATTCCGTAAACTCTCTGTCCAAGTATTCTAGCGGAAAGACCGGGACATGACATCGATGGTCCAACCTCATCCAATCAATGTTCGTTCCGCTTCAAATCGACTACACAAATGGTTTTTAACCAAGAAATACACAGAAATGTACGGGGTACGGTATATATGCCGGGTCGTGGTTAAAACAGAGGCACCCGCTCCATTTTTTTCGCTGTCATCAATGCTAAGTGCGATTAGTTAGCTCATAATGTTAGTCTTTTTGTGAGCTGCAGTCCATCCCAGCTGCCCGTCTGTGCTGGTATGTGTAGGGTGGATGCCTGGTCATACCCTCTGCGTCTTGAGCCGCTTCACCTGAGTCATGCGCGTGACCCAGAAGCACGCGCCGCCGACAAACATCGCGACGCCAGAGAACACAATGGGCCGCGTCCAGTGGAAGTGGTCAGTTAGCAAAGCACCCTGGATGGGGGCAGAGCCGAGCGAGCCAAAGCTGCTTAGCGCAAGGGCCAAGCCAATTCGCGCGCTGACAAACGGGGTCAGAAAACGAGGTGAAAGAGAGAAAGGAGATAGACGGACCCGACTTCGTCGTCGCTCCTTGCGAGGGTGGAGAGCACGGCGAACGCTAATGATAGCCCTGCAATGCGGCGTGAGAGCAGGCCATATAGTTTACTTGTGACGCACAAGCACCAGAAAGAGCGCCGTATAGTACGCTGACGACAACTAACGACGCGCGGTCATGGCTATGTTAACTGCTTAGTTGTACGTAGTTGACGGGGAAGAAAGCAAGACGCACACTCCAAGAACCGCGAGAATGACCCCGCCCGTCATCAATCCACATGGGATCTGGATGTTATACGAGCCGTAGACATCTGCAAGATGGTTGCCCAAGACACGGCCAAATGCACTAGCGCCGTTGAGAATTGCAATGGAGTAGAACGCAAGGTTGCTGTCGACGGAATGCTGGACCGCGAACAGCTGCAGGTAAATCACAGGGAAATAGAAGCCCAAGGTGCTGATCAACGCGCTGGAAGAACATTAAAACGCTTCACATTAATGAAAACAGAGCCCTTCACCCAATAACCGCGAAGGAATACCCCAGATCGAAGAAGCTCTTCAGATTCGCTGGCTTCTTTTGGCGAGGAGGCAGACGCGTCCTCATTAACGCGTTTCCGATCAGGAGAAATCCAAGGACGATGTATCCCGTGGCACGGACAGTGCTCGCAAAGCCAATTTTGGGGAGGAGGTGGTTGATCACTTGAATGGGATTAGTGTGTATCCCTGAGAAAAGTCGGGATACTCACTGATTGGAAAGATGGTAGCACCAGTCGAACTTCCGCTCAAGCTACAAGCAGTTAAAAATAGCCCAATGTAAACGGTAAACACACCCAATTCCGGCCGCCAGTGCCCTCCGTTTCCGGAAATGGTGAACGTTGATTGAGACAGTTGGGACGAAAGTGAGGCCAAGTCCGATTCCCATACCGATTCCTTGACTGAGGAATATTTGGTAGTACTGGTGCTGTTTCGCCAACGACAACATGAACACGCTGGCATCTGATGAGCTTGGCTGGGACAGAGTAGATGAAAACACACGAGAAGACGAAGATAAGGCCTCCAAGTATCTCCACCAAGTGAAACTTGCCGCTATCGAACATTTTGCCAGAGACGACGCCGACGAGGAAGGGCATCATGAGCTGAACGCTGCCGATCCATCTGCGGAAATTGTTCGGCTAAGCGGTTTGACGCGCCGGATTGAATGAAGACAGACATACGCAATGCTGCTCGGTGTATGGTTTGACAAGTATTCACGCGTGTAGTAGTCTTTTGAAGGTTAGATGTGATCCCATGTCCGTAGATTGTACCTTGGTAGACACCAAAACTGTACAGGTAGCCGAATGTCGCGAACAGGACGAACCAACTGTGTTTTTGAGCGAGGCACGAATTGAATGAGCAAGCAACTCACGCCCCAGCGACGGTTAGCCATGCCTTGACGCCTCCGTCTGGCACTTGCACACCGGACGACTCCGGCTCCTCTGACCCCGACTCAACAACAATCAAGTCGTCCTTGGTGTTGTAGGACATTCTTGACGGGCCCTCCTCCGATCCGCGATTTATACTGCTGTTGTTGGGGTCCAGTAGCGTCGAGTCTCTCTCGGTTGGAGGGTCGTCGTTCATGCAAGAGAAGGAGAAAGTTGACAAGGAGTGGGGGAGTGGGAGCGGCCACGGACGAAAGAAGCGAGCGGTAACCGACTACCGGGCAGCTGGTTGGTTGGTGGAAGAAAAGAAAGCCCGGGTGTAAGTGCATCCCGCGGTCGGCATTTCTTTTTTCGTCATGACGGCGAGACTTCGAGCGAGCTAATCGCAGTCACTCCCATCTGGCAGCATCTGCTGCCATGATGGCTTTTACATTAGAAGAAGTCTTCTGCAGTGGAGTAGTGTGTAAGTTGTGGGATGAGCTTGTGTATTGCTGAGAAGGATTCCGAGGAGTTTGCGGCAGCTCTAGGCACTACCAGCAAACAAAAAAAGACAGCAACATTGACCCTTGAGTTGAATTATTTGTGGAGCAAGATGCGACATCGGCCGCGTCAGCAGTCCACAAGGCATGAACCTGTCTTCTATATTCGGTCGGACAGTCTATCACGGTCGGAGGAAGAGAAGATGACGGAGAAAGGTAAGGAAGATGGTTGTTTGAATGGCCAGCCGGTGTTGCGGCGTGAGACGCCGAGTCGGCATACCCATACGCACCACAAGATGATAAGCGCCCACACAAGCACATGTGGTCGCTCACTCTCAGGCTGGCCTGGAGGTTATGGCCTCATCTCCCATCACAATGGTCAAATGGATTAACACAAAAATACTTCGCAGCCCGCGAGTACAGTAAACACATATCGCCCATGCGAAAGAGAATATGTTGGTAATAATAATAGCAGAGAGTAGTCCGTGTCCGTGGGTCATGCTAGAAAAACGAGAGGACGGCAAACAACCAAATGCAACGACAACGGAAAAAACGCAATTAGCGACGTGGTCCTTCAAACGGATTGTGGTAGGGCACGTGCTCGGTGGGGGGGTCATAAGGGCGGTCTGGGTTGTAGGTAGGTGGATGGACGCCGTAAGGTTGAGTTTGTTGATACATTGGCTGCGTTTGGTACATCGGAGGGGCACCGCCGCCTGGCGCGGCTCCAGGCAGATGGAGTGGCTTGTAGGAACCTTTCGACGATCTCCGTCTGCGGATGATGAAGACCCCAAGGAGAATGAGAGCAAAACCGATGACGATGCCAGCAGCAATGAGGTAATAGATCGTGCGGTTAGTATCGGTACTGTTGTTGTCTTTCTTATTCGAGTCGTTGGCCGCAAAACTCGTCGTCGTGTCGATGCCGCCGAGACGGGTGCGGACAAAGTCAGCGTGAGCCTTGGCAGGGTTGGTGATGGAAAGGAATTGGATGTAGGGGTCGGCCTTCTTATCTTTGCTGTCGGCAATAAAGTCACCAAAGTCGATCAAGGTGTAGACGTTTCTCACTAGGAGAATGATGAGCAAGAAAAAAGAAAGAAAGATGCATTGGACATACAGAAGGCCATTCCGAAGATCATGTCGAAAGTTGGGTTCTTGCCAGTGTCGAAGGAGACGGGCTGGAACAGCCCCAGACACGCGTTCTTTCCACCAGCCGTCTTGCGAGGGCTGAGGCCGAACACTTTCGGATCGCTGCATCAACAGTAAGTTCCGCCGCTTCCGATCGGTGTCTTGGCTTACATGGACGAGTCCATTGGGTGGACGGGGTAACCGATGCCGCCGAATTTGAGCGTCACATTCACTTCCTGGGTGCAAGGCAGGTACCAGATTTTACCGACGGCAGGATCATTGACGAGCGACGAATCAGGGAACCGGCTGTACAACGACTTGGCAACAGCACTATTCAAGGGCGGGATGAGTGTTTGATAGGGATGACTGTGTAAACTCACGCTGGCACCTGTGGCAGAGAGAACCCGGTATCGATAATAACAGTGGCCTGTTTCTTGTTCGATGTCGAGCTGACCTGGGTAACGACAGGGATGGGGTTGCCGTCAGGGCCAATAAAGCCAAGCGGATCCAGCAGAACTTGGAAGTGTTGGTTGGCAGAGTTGGCCAGCGAGACTTCAGTGACTTTAAGCTTCGGTGCATCGAGAATGGCTGAGAGGTTGGTGTTGTTCTGGACCGTGAGTACCTCACCAACGGTAAGGTCACCACGGAACGAGCCTGATGGGTCTGGAAAGGGGCTTTAGCATCGTTCAACCATAGACAAAGACGTTATACCATTCAAACGGCCAAGGAGGAAGGTGATATAGTTGGGGGTAGCAGTGTTTTGCAGGAAGATGTTATCGAGCACTGTGTGACCAGTGTGCTCGTCGGCCGCAGCTTCGAAAGCTTGGTGAATAACGGATCCCTCAGAGGGTCCGAGGCCAATAAGGCCTTGACCAACCGGGTGGTCTTTGTCGGGAACGACTTGAACTACGGAGAACAATTAGAGCCATGACGTATCGAGAACAAAAAGCGGCGCACTAAAAGCCTGCTTGGGGATGGTGTACCCCGCAAATCCAACTGAAGCGAGTTGGACTGGGCCAGAAGCGCCACCGGAAGCGTAGTTGATCGTTGCAGCTTTGCCAGTGGAAGTGCCAGAGGCAACAGTGCCAGCCACCCATAGATCTGAGCTGGAGACATTTTAAGCGTAAAGAAGACAAGATGTAGACGATTGTGGCTCACCTTCCGGTGTCAATTAGAACCTCGAATGGAGCACCACCTATGGTGATGTTCGTTGAGTACTGCAGGTCGGCAGAATTGTCAACTGGCGAGGAGCCAGAAAGAGTTGACCGTGGCACGCGGCCACGGAGCTCAGGCGGGATTCGGCGCCCTATAAAGCTAACTCGTGTCGCGCATGAGAGGTCAGCAAGAAGAGCGAGTGCGAGGAGGGGAGTAGGTTGTTTTAAAAGCATGGCGGAGAAGGAGAAATGAAAGGGGGGAAGGAGAGAAATATATCTGCGCACAGCTTACACAGCCAAGAGCTGCATTTTTGATGGGAGATCAAAATCAAACGCAAGGACCATTATTGGCAAAAAATAATTGTCACAGAAAGTATAGGGAAAACGACCACTCTGTTGCAAAACGGGAGTAAGTATTCGTTGCAGGCGCTCTTTTCTTTCGAGCTGTAAGATGCCTCAGTAAGAACGTGCCTGCGACCCGTCGTCAGCGCCAAGCTGACATTTGGCGCTCATCAATACTGCGGCTGGTGATCTAACCCAAGTCGTGGGCTCAACGCAAGCTCAACGTTTGCTTGTTCGAACCAATGAATCATGCACAGAGCATGTAGGATGCCCAATCCTCTAGAGTATACGCTCTCGAGGAAATAAGGAACGAATATTCAGAGGTTGAGGGGTAAGATCAAATGAGACTAGAAATACATGAATCTACGTTTCGCAAAGTTCTAGCTACACTCTGATCGAGGCGAAGTCTTAGGCCGGTGAAAACTGGTGGAAAGTGGTCAAAACAGCCAAGACGCGCCAAGTTCAAAGCTGCACCGCTACGGTAACTTGACACTACTTACTTAGACAGTCGGAGAGCATTGCCGCCCCTCACGTGTCAGATCAATTTCGGCATTTCTTCTGGACATCATCCACCACGGCCAACTTGGTCGCTATGCGCTCTCTTCTACCACTCTCTCTTTTCCTAACCGTCCTTGACGTGCTACACACTGTCCGCGCTGTGGTTCCCTTCGAGGTTATCACCAGCAACAATCCACCAGCTCATCGACTCGGTCGTCGCGCCGTCCCCATATCAAACAATGGCAATGCAGCCTATATGGCTAATATAACACTGGGAGGAGTGGGTGTCTCTGTCATCCTCGACACGGGAAGGTGTGAAATGAATAGAATTCCGTGGTCTGGCCGTAACTCCTCACAGTTCGGACTTATGGGTCTCTTTCCCTGGCACTCCTCCGACAACGACCGATACGGGCAAGTCGATCTCGCTAAATTATGCTGTCGGTTCTGCATCTGGTACGCTATGTCGTACTTCTATACCGCTCTGAAATTAACCTTGGTTACAGGGACAATCCACAAGGCGGAACTCAAGTTCGACAACTACACTGTGCCAGATCAGGCCTTTCGTGCGTAATCCCCTCCTCATTCAACCGCTTCTTGACTTGGGATGCAGTCCAAGTCGCAGATTCCAGCTCCTTTTCCACCAATTCCGCCTTCAACGGTATGGAAATGTGCTGTTGACCTTGTAGACTCACTTATCATGACCCAGGTCTTGTCGGACTTGGTCCTAGTGACGGCTCAGCTATACTCGACAAGATTAAAGGCAACGCTGGCGAGACAATGCTTAGTCGTATCTTCCAGCAGAATAAGACTTCTTCAAACTACATTACTTTCCTTCTTGATCGCAAGAATGACCCTAGCGCGGTCAGTTTACCCATTTGGCTTCTTCCTAATGTCTCAATAGTTTCTAGTCATTTACTGGACAATTTACTATCGCAGAGACAGTGAAGGGACTGGAGAACATCACCAGCCAGACGAAGTTGAACGTCGAAACTGTCCATCGCCTGTTAGATGATCGTGAGTTGAGCTCGCGATCTCCTTTTCTTGGTTGAGCTTTCTTTAGAACAGCACTGGCAAGCAATCACCGACAAGGATTCAGTCATTGGACCTGACGGGACCACCCTTGCGATTAAATCTATTGTGCCGAAAGCTCCCAAGGGCCAACTTGTTGCTGTCTTCGACTCTGGTTTTACCTTCAGTCAAGTACCGCGTGAACTCTCGGATGCTATCTATGGACGTGTTCAAGGTGCTGTTTATGACGCTAAAAATGAATGGTGGACTGTCCCATGTGCCCAAGAACTCAATGTAACCTTCCATTTCGGAGGCGTCGCGTTTCCTAGTACGTCCAGTGCGTCTCCAATTGAAGGACACTCACCATCGATTTAGTGCACCCCCTTGACGTTGTTGATGACAACTTCAAGATTTTAGATACGGCCGGGAATCGTGTGTGCATCGGGGCCGTGCGTTATCTTCTCTTTCTCTATGTTCGCTGCTCAGATATATTCTCCAGTTCCAGCCGATTACCAGTGCTTTCAGTTTGTTCGGCAATTTCGATATGATCATGGGCATGACTTTCTGTGCGTATCCCGTCTTTCTCTCCGCAATATCACTCTTGCTTATACTTGATAGTGCGAAGTAGAGAGTTTATCGGCTTACCTTTGCCAATGTTGACCTACGTTTACAGATGCATATACCTTGATGGATTACGGTGAATGGATTGAACGCACATCCAATGACCGGGGCGATCCCTTCATGCAATTACTTCCTCTTACGAACCGCGCGACCGCCCATGCGGATTTTGTCAAAGTTCGTCTCAACGGTGTGGACACGACTGGCTCTAGCCAGTTTGCTCTTTTGCCCGCTTCACAGCAGCAACACTCACCTGTCTCTGCTGAGGAGAAGAAGAAGAAATACGAGGAGATGATCCTCAGTCGATGGCCTTATATCGTCACAGGCTCTCTTGTTGGGTTTATCTTGCTGGTCGGATTCATTATCTGGCGGTGTTGCTGCAGGAATCGGCGAGCGAAGAAGAAGGCCAGCGCTAAGGGCTTCTTTGAGCCTAAGAGCGAGACATATCTGCCGTTGCAAGTCCACGGACAGGGCTCTCCGCCAGCGACATCATCACCATACCAGCACCACCAGCAAGAGTCGCAACAGAGCCTGAATAGTCAGCAAGCTGCCTACAATCACAACCCACAATACTCCCAACAAAACTTTCACCAGCCCCCACCGAGTCAGTACTACCAGCAAGGGTATCCACAGCAGGGATATCAGCAACAAGGGTACCAGCAGCAGCAGCAGGGCTATGGGTATGCCAGTTGAAGAGGTGGACGACGCGAAGTCGGGACTGCTGTGCAGTTCCGAGTTGGTAGAGACCAGTCAAGTAGCATACGTGTATTTCATAATTTATCTCATCGCATTGCTCTGCACGTCGTTAGTTCTTTCTTCAAATTCAATTCAAGCATTTCTATTGGAAGTATCGGCCCGAACGGCCCAATCCTGGAATGTTTTGCCTACTAGCCAGACAAATGGGTCAACGAAGGATGCTACATAGAACGAAGTTACAGCTCAATCGCAACACGAAAGTCACACCCAGCGGCCTTCAATACTGTAAGCTTGTGGCTTGGATCTTTCAACGTGATAACTCGGAAAAAGTGGGATATTTTAGTCGTCAAGTGTGTAGTAAGCGTACCTTCTGAATCGCTCCCACCTGCATGGACTTCGGGGTTACTATCCCCCAAGCAGTCCTTGGCTTCACCACCCTTGACTTGCGTCTGTCGAACGACGTGAACTCACGGTCACAACACCTGTTGCTTCTTCCCGCCTACATTGCCGCACTCTCAGCATGCTTTCTGCTCATTTGCGTGGTCCTTCCTCCTCGAAACCTGTTCAAGCGCGTCCAAACAGACGTTTCGGACACTCAGATTCGTATTGGAATTGGTGAAATTTGGGCATGGCGCCTGGCCAGAGTAGTCGGATGTCTTGCTTTAGTAGGTGTGTCAATATCAGCCACCTATGACGAGCTGCAAGAGGACAAGAAGGCCCCGCCAGTGGGTCCCTCTGATTTTGAATGGTGGACTCGTTTGGCACTGCTGAACGGCCCATATGTGCGTGCCCAACCACTTGAATGAATTAGAACTTGTTCTCACCGACAGCTTTCAGGTTTATGCTCTATCTCTCTCCCTCCCAACACTCAGTCCAAAGCACTATCGGCAGAACCTCGTCCGCCATGCAAATCTGGTGCTGTTCGCGGCGTTTGTCGTCTACGCCTGCCGCGATTTGCTGCCTCTTGCGACTTTCACGCTCAGTCCTCTCGACCACGGTCCCAAAATGGCAGCCAAGATTGCTTTGGTGTCTTTCACCGGTGTCGTTGTCCCCTTATTCACCCCACGGCTGTACATTCCCGTTGACCCGAAGGTGCGTTGATTCTGAGGTTGACGATGCTTTCTTTTTTCATGACGACGGAACAGAATCCGCAAGCTGTTATCAATCCTGAACAAACCGCATCTATAATCAGTTTTGCGCTATACTTTTTCCTTGACCAGATAACCTTGTCTGCGTATCGCCAGTCGGGCCTCCCAGAAGAAGAACTATATGCGTTGTGCGATACAGACCGCGCGATATATCTGAAGGAGCGAAGCTTCAAGGTAAAGTCACATCTTTGAACGTTGTACTTTTTTTCACATATTCCAGCATCTCGAAGTCTTTTCTGGCGCCAAGCAGCGCTACTTGTTCTTCGGGCTTATGCGCATCTTCTGGAAAGAATTTTGTGTTCTTACCGTCCTCATCGTATTCCGTTCCCTCGCCAATTACTCTGGCCCTTTTGCGATGAACCGATTACTTGAGTATGTTCCTACCAACGCTTGTCACCTCCAGTTCAATAATGCTCCTTAGATATATCGAAACTCGTGATCAGGTCGATGGACACATCATGCGTCCCTGGGTTTGGATTGCGTTGGTTGGCCTTGGGCCTATTTACGGTGCGTCTGCTTGCATAGCTACGACGTACTTCCTCAAAGTTTTCCAGGCTCCCTGGCTTTTCAACTGTACATCTTTATCAACGTGAAGCAGCATTACTTCTCTCTCCGTGGATCGTTGCCTGAACTCACTTATCACTCAGACGCGAACTCTTGTACGGACGGAATCCATAGTCACTCAACTCGTTCTTGCGCATAGGTCCGCCAACTGTTCGTTGTTGGCATGGATTCGGAGGTTGACCCCATTTCCAGCTTGCGTATTCGCGTCAAGGCAGAAACTTCTAACGAGCAAAAGAAAGACCCGATATCTTCAAGTGATGCATCGACTTCTTCTCGAACAGATCGCGAGACGGTAGCTGCAGAGGACGATGCCTCCAGTTCGCAGCAAGATGAAACTGAGTCGACTGCTGTGCAACCCAGCTCTGCAAGCGCCAAATCTACGAAGAGCACAGGCACCGGTAGCTTGAAAAAGCCCGCGGAACGCCCAGGGGAGGAAAAGAAAGCTCAAGGCAGCATGGTAGGCAAAATCAACAATCTGGTGACTACTGATCTGTATGTCTCTCATTATTTCTGTGTCGATGAGCATCTGCTCATTTCTCTGCAGGGCCAATATTGGTAAATCCATTCGTTTGCCGAGAACGATCATGTGACTGCTTTGTCCCAGTCGAAAGTCGCGACTTCCTCGTGTTACTCGTTTACAACCCTGTTCAAATCATGCTCGGGATCTACTTCTTATATGTGTTGCTGGACTGGGCTGTGTGGGTCGGCGTAGCCTCGATCATTCTGCTCGCACCGCTCCCCGGATACAGTATGTTTTTCGATTCAACTGATTGTGCGTTTCATGGAGATGATAATAGTGGCCAAGTTGGTGCAAAATATACAGAAGGAGCGACTAAAAAGGACGGATGAGCGGGTCTCAAGTGTTAGCGAGGGTAATACTTGAGACTGGTCAAACTTCTCTCGAAAGCTTTTCTAACTTGACGTCCAGCTGTCAACGTCTTGAGAATGGTATTACGCTGCGATCGTACTACTTGATTGCTTATCAGTGCGTGCTAGGTCAAGCTTTTCGGTTGGGAGACAAAGATGAATAAGAGGATTGTCGATAAGGTTTGCATTGACTTTTGTTGTAAATAGGTATTGATCAGTTGCAGAGAGACACGGAACTCGTTTGGATCCGGAGACGTCGACTGTTAGACCTCGCAAGCAATCTAGTTAAGTAAGCCATTCCCTCCTTCTATTTCAGCCGAACTGGCCGTGCTCAACTTGGATGTACAGTTTCCTCATTCCGGTGTGTAATGGCACTACTCGTCCAATTGATAACCAAAATAACGTTTAGGTTATCACGATGGTGGTGACATATGGAACCTAGTACGTGTTTGCCCTTTCAGTTGCACCACACTAAACACTGGCAGTGTAAGTTCATCGTGCTGTGTTCTTATCATCATGAAACTGAGACAGTTCAGACACTCATCATGGGACAGCCTCTAACTGCGTCCAAAGTTTTCAGTGTTTGTTCTTGTCAATCATCTAAGTCTAGTGTCCTAACGTTTGGTCAAGAGCATGACAATCTTCGATTTCCTACGGTGAGTTTCTCAATGATTTACAGTAATTTGAAGTTGATCGATATGTAAGGGATAATATTGCCATGGTCTGCTTGTTTGTTGGCCAATCAATGTGCTGACGCTCCATAGATCACTGGTTGGATCAACAACTTGATGACTGGGAAAGTATCTCTAGATCGTGTTGATGACTTTTTGAAGAAGGTAAGGCCGAGAAAGGAGATCTTGCTAATTTACTCATCTTCATTCTCCAGACCGAACTTCTCGACACCTATAACACCAAAGATATACTGGTGTTGCCTACAGATCCTGCATCCCATGCACAAATTGGCTTCCGCAATGCGACATTTTCGTGGGCAACGGAAGATGATGAGCAGCACTCACGGTCAAGGCGGCAGTTCCGGCTCAAAATCGCTGATGAAGTCCTGTTCAAGCGTGGCAAGATCAACCTGGTGGTCGGGCCGACGGGATCCGGTGCGGTGTTTGAACGTATCGTAGTAGGGATCATCATTATTGACACGGCTGATCACAGGCAAAACGTCTCTGCTGATGGCCCTTCTCGGTATGATTCTATATAGACTGACTAGATAACATTAAACCTTATACATAGGTGAAATGCATTTTATCCCATCTTCTCCCACCTCGTGGTTCAATCTGCCTCGCGATGGAGGTGTTGCCTATGCTGCACAAGAATCATGGGTCCTCAATGAGACGATTCGCGACAATATCACCTTCGACACACCGTACGATAAGGAACGATATGCCAAGGTGTTATACCAGTGCGCATTGGAACAAGACTTGGTGCTGTTTCATGCGGGTGACCAAACGGAGGTCGGGGAGAAAGGTGTGCTCAAAGTTGACATCACAATGCTGCTGTTGACGCACGTCCAGGACTGACACTGTCTGGCGGGCAAAAGGCTCGTCTTACCCTTGCGCGAGCTGTGGTTGGTTGATTTTGCAAGACCCATATCTAGGTTTTATTGACGATCCACAGTACTCCAAAGCCGAAATTCTACTTCTTGATGATGTTTTGGCAGCTCTTGAGTGGGTCTGCGTTAATCAGCTCAGTTTCTTCCGTGATCTGACCAAAACACACAGTGTCCATACCGCACAACACATCGTCGAGAATCTCTTTGCTGGCGACCTCATCGAGAATCGCACTGTCATTCTCGTCACACATAATATTGCGCTAACGAAACCAATTGCCGACTTTATCGTTACTTTTGACGCTGACGGTTGTATTCAAGCACAGGGGACTGTCTCAGAGATAACCAAGCGCGCCTCTGTAGCAGCTCAAATCCACGAGGAGCAGAGGAATATTCACAAGCAACAGCAGGTGGTTGACCTCAAAATGCCAGGCGACACCAAACCCAATTTGACCGATGGGAAGTTGATTCTCGCGGAAGAGATACAGGTCGGTCATGTCAATGCTTCCGCTCGTATGTGTCATCATTATCGTTTCCGGGGCCTGTTAACCGGTGTTTCTTAGTGAAAATGTACCTTGTTGGCATGGGTGGAAAGCATCCCGTCATGTTCTTTGTGTTTTTCTACAGTGGGCTGTTTATCAACCAGGCACTGACGACTTTGCGGACATGGATGCTTGGGTGGTGGGCAAAGCAGTATGATGATAGGCCTGCCAACGAAGTCGACATTGTCTTGTGAGCTCTTTTCGGATGTGTGGTACACGCACTGCTAACATGTCACAGAAACCTTTCTCTGTTTAGTGCGCATGTTCGCTGCGATTGTGAATTATGGAGACTAATAGACGACTAGCTGCTGTTGCATTTGCATCCACTGCTGCGATGGCTATTGTTTTTGTCCTCCTGGTGTTTGGACAACTACGAGCATCAAAGGTGGTCCACCAGGATTTGATTCATTCTATCCTTGCTGCTCCCTTACGGCAAGTAGCCATTTCTACAAGTCATAACTAAATACTCACCATCGCGTCCAGGTGGTTAGATATCACCCCCGTCTCTCGCATCATTGCACGAGTGACGAACGACATCCGGGCAGTAGACGATGCAATCCCCAACCAACTGTGGCCCCTCACTAGCCTGCTCGTCTCCATGGTAGTACGATTCGGCTCAATCGTGTTATACGCTCCGGTGTTTTTCTTCCCTGGAGTCGCAATTGGGGCTGTCGGTGCTTGGATTGGCCAGATCTACATTGCCGGGCAGCTTCCTGTGAAGCGCTTAATGTCAAATACGCGCGCTCCAGTTGTCGCTCAGTATGTTTGTCTCTAAGACAGACCTTGGATCTAACGGAGACTCGTTAGCTTTGGGGCAGCAATCTCAGGATTAGTGTCCATCCGTGCTTTTGGCGCTGAGGAGAAGTTTAAACAGGAGTCTCTCATCAAGATAGACCGATACACTCGTGCAGCGCGCAATTTCTATAACTTGAATAGGTCGGTTCTTACTGGTGTTCTTCAGTTGTCATTTGCTCATCGCGGTCACGTGATGATTAGATGGGTCTCAATTCGCGTGGACATTCTAGGGGCACTCTTCTCCGCCGGGCTTGCCGCGTATCTCGTATACATTAAGCCGGCATCAGCAGGAGATGCAGGCTTCCTCATCAACATGGCGGTCACGTTTACTCAAATGTTGCTCTGGGTTGTGAGTCTGCGTCCTGTGTTTCTACGAGGCCTCAATCCTTTCCCAGGTCCGCTTTCTAAACCAGTTTGAAGTTGAAGGCAATAGTCTTGAGCGAATTCAGAGCTATATCGAGATAGATCACGAGAAACCAGCCACCCTGGAGGGCAAACCGCCTGCATATTGGCCGAGTAGTGGAGAACTCGTTGTCGAAAATCTCACGGCGAGGTACTCTGAGGATGGACCGGCGGTTCTTAAGGGGATTACCTTTCACGTCAAGGCGGGGGAGCGGATCGGTATTGGTATGTGTGTCGATGTTGTTTGCGGGTCTTATGGTTGACTTTCCAAAGTTGGACGGACGGGCTCTGGGAAGGTAACGACTTGAGCTGAACGCACGAAATGCGGCTGATGATGATGACTAGAGCTCTCTAACGCTGTCATTATTGCGATGCATACCAACTGAAGGTTCCGTTCGTTACGATGGCCTCGAGACGTCGAGCATGAACCTCGATGCCCTCCGCACAAGTATCACAATCATCCCGCAGGTGGTATGTTGCTGGTACATTTGCGTTAACGTTGTGGGACTCTCATCATCACTTTTCATGATTATAACCAGCCTGAGCTCCTCAGCGGGACGCTCCGTTCGAACCTTGATCCCTTTGGACAATACGATGATGCCGAGCTCAACTATGCTCTCCGTGCTGCCGGGCTGTTCTCTCTCCAGAGTGAAACAGACGAAGGACGCATTACACTGGATAGTACTATTGCTGCGGGTGGCAGCAATCTGAGCGTAGGGCAAAGACAAATTTTCGCATTGGCAAGGTATGCGGATCCTGCTCTCAGCTCGGTCTATTCACGTCGTGGTCGTAGGGCAATTGTGAGGAAGAGTAAAATTTTGATCCTGGATGAAGGTATCGTTTGTGATCTTTTCTTGTTCTTTTCTGACAACTCATTGAGCTACTTCGGCAATTGGTGCGGAATTGAATGGACATTGTATTTCAATGTTGTCTAATGTCTTGTGGTGAACTTGCAGACTACAAAACGGGTGACTCGAGCGCTTGTTATTGAAGTTGTTGTCTCATCATTGCTGGCAGATTCAATCATCCAAGCCTCTTTGCGCCGAGAGCTCAGTAAAGACGTCAGCTTGCTCACTGTAGCACATCGGCTCCAAACCATCATGGATGCGGACAAGATCGTGAGTCGTCATGTTTCCCGTTTCGAGTCACTGACGGAACCGTCAGTTGGTGTTGGATGCAGGAAACATCGTGAGTTTTGTCAGTAACTGTGGCTCGGACATTCAATCTTTTCAGGTGGAATTTGACAGTCCGAAAGAGCTTCTGAAGATCCGAGGTGGAAAGCTACGTGCGCTCGTTGAAGAGTCGGGGGACAGGGATGCATTATATGCCATGGCTGGTGCTACACGATCAAAGGAATAGAGAGACTCAGACTCACACCTCCACGCCATTGAATGTCTCCGTAAATACTTCAAAGTTCCCTGGCCCACTGCCAGGTCTGCTATAGACCGCAAATACGACTCTCTTGAACCGCCCCGCAAACTCTGGCTCGAGTAATATGTCGCGCATTTGCGTAGCAACGACTCGTGGGGGACATCCATATGCCCCACAGCCCATCGCACCCAGAACGAGGTACTCTTGTCCATTGCGACCTGCGATTCGATATATAAGCCGTATCTTTTCTTGCAGAAAGACGAGTGTCTCGGGTTTGGCAAAAGCAGTTTTGTCGGCCATCAACTCAGGCCGCGCGGGCGCTGCGACAGTGATTACACTGACAACTCGCCTTTCAGCGTTAGCTAGCTCAACACATTCATGGTCGAGATCATCCCGGAAAATAACGACGCCTGACGAGAACACGCCGGCGACACAGCCGGGACCGAGGTTCGGCCACGGGTAGTACTCTTTCTTGAGTGTGATGTAGAGAGTCGAACTGTAACACAGCGCTTCCTCTTGCGTCGTCGTGAGAAGCTGTAGCCACGGTCCCGCGGGGAGAATGTCGCTGGCGAGGTTGAGCACCGCAACTTTGCCTTTCGGGTCATCTGCGAGAAGTTTTCGGGAGAGCGTGAATGCGTCCGAGTTGACTATCTCGACGGGATGCGCCGATTTGAGGTTATCGGGAAGCGGGTCAAGGGGTGGAAGCTGGGAATTGATGAAAGTAGAGTCGGCTGAGGCGCCCTGGTGCTTATGGTCGGCAACAATGGATGGTGAACGATCAATTGTATCGCGAGCAAGGCGTCGACGGGCTTCCTTGTCCAGCGTCATGGTGGTTGGGAAACAACTCCCAAATCAAATGTGACTGATGCTGAGTTGAGTGAAGAGCAATAAGTTCAAATCTTTACATGCAATGACTACGTCGCATAATAAAATTGTCAACTTTCACTCTATGCGAGCGGGCAAAGGTTTGGGTCCTAACCGCGGTTAGAACTGAGTATTATTGTGGTTGGAGGCGTACCGGGCAGCAGACCCAAACAACGGGTCCAGGACCAAAATGAAGCTCTTCAGAAAGAGCTGAGACCGTCACGGGTGGAGCCTCACAGCGGGCGGTACGGGGAGGGCAGGTCCCCCCAACGACGATCTCTGACTAGCGAGTTTTGTTAGAGCATGGCTCAACAAGAAGGAAATCGCGAACGCATCCGGGCTTGAGCCTTGCTAAGACATTGCCTGGCATGAGGGACAAAAGGACAGAGGAGAAGTAGAGTGCCAATGCTTTAGTTCGCATCATGAGTTGCATTTAGGCCCCCCTCGTTGCCTGGCTTATATCCTCCGACCACTGGTCTCTCCCGTGGCCAAGATAGCTCCCGTCATTAAGTGAGGCCAGCGTTGTGCGCGCTGATTCCCGTTGACCCAGGTAGTTTTATGTGTCAGTGTTCATGGCAGTGTTCCGCATTCTTGAAAGGTTCAAGTTAGAGATAAAGAGGACTCGGACTCGTCGGCATACGAATTATAGAGTATGTACAGCCAGGATATAAATCGAACCGGCGTGCTGCATAAAAACTTTGACAGAAAGCAAAGACGGAGGTGAGCATGAGACCCGGACGCGATCCCGTGCTCTGACGTGGCGTGTCAGTGATGTATTCGTGACGTCATCAACACTCCCTCTACTTATAAGAACCACTCGTTCGTCGTTTGCAGCTCCAACATACCAATGTCTACCCAACTCCCATCCACTTACGATCCTGCGATGCCGATGATGGAGGAGCCAACGAGGACTACGACCGCTCAACCATCTGGTAAGTCGGGCAAAGCTAAACTTCGATGCTGCGTCTCTGACGGGCACTCCGACGCAGCTGCTAGTGAAATGCCCACTCATTCTGACATGGACGGACACCCGCCCATTGTTCCATTCAAAGAACGCGTAATAGGTAAGGGACTATAGGTTCACCCTATTCACATACTGAACATGGTCCAGGTGTCGCGAAGGTTTGTTGAACCTGAAATGACGCTGCCTTCCCTCTGAACTAATATGCACTCTCGCTACAGAAAACGCGGGGCACTGTGAGCAATCTTGCCTTTGTACAGATATTTGCAGAGAGCTGACTGTTGCTTTTTACTTTCTACAGCTATTAGCAAAGGTACGCTCAGGTTTTATCCTCAGCTTCATAATTCTGAGGACATTTGTAATAGCCCGAACTGAAGGAACATGGAGAAAAGATCCTCCAAGGGGAAGCCAGTGTTTACGATGTCCACGAACCTCCCGCGCGCACCGAATGAACGAACGACCTACGAAGAATTCGCCCATAATTAATGTAAAACTCGATGTATTTCTTGCACTGTTGAAACGATTGCATACCCTCGTCCATCAAATTTATCCTGATCGGCGCAATGGCCGAGATGCCGATCTGTGACTCACTTCGTCGCCTTTCCTCTTGATATCATGCCAGTGCCGGTCGTGCTGGCTCTTCCCCCGTACCCAGGCGACAGGTATGTGCTTTCTCATAGAAGAGTACCGGCATAGCTAACATCGTCAGCAGAATCGGAATACCTTCTTACACGGCTCAGCCCTCGCTTGGCGAAGAAAGCTTGTCGCGTTCCGCAACAGGACACGCTCCTCCCAGTGGGGAACATGTCACCTCTTCTGGAAAAATCTCGTTAACCTTCAAAAACCAGTTTCCGGATGTGCTTGTTCCCACATTTGCCCCCAATGAACTCATCTCAGGCACGATCCGAGTGCAGTCACCAGAAAGTGTTACCGAGGTTGTCTTGAAGGTACAACCAAGTCTCTTTGGCTTTCGAAATCATTTACTAAACTATCTCGCTATCAGGTTGCCGGGCGAATGGACTTGGCCGGGATACACGGTACCCGCCGACAAGAATTGGTCCGAGAATCTTACACTGTCTGGCACAACAACCTACGCCACATGTGCCCTCCTTCGATTCCTTTCTCTTTCATTTTCCCTTCGACTTTCACAGAGGAAGAATCTGGCGCCTCTTGTGCGCTTCCGCCCTCAATACTCGTCAAGCCGTCCGAACGACCATTTCTATACATAAAGTGCTCGTATTCCATGTCTGTTGTGGTTAGTACGGCTATTCACCCTAGATTCTCGCTATGGAGAGGGGAAAAAATGTAGGTTCTTACCGAAATAATAACATTGTTGCTGACTTGGTTCCCAGACTCGATGTCCCAGTTCATATTCATCCGAGAGCCTGCCCTTTGCGGCCCATCATGCCCAATCCAAGTCTCTTGGCCACCGTCAAATCGGCACCCGAAGAATGGCATCAAGTCCTCTGCACCCTTGGACCTAAAGTGCTCAGTCGTGGTATTCATTGTAGCGTATGTCACTTTCCAGACTCGTCAACAGCTTACTGACGATGCACAGCTTTTTATACCTTCTTCACAAACTTATGGGCTGCAGGATATCATCTCATTTCATCTTCAAGTCAACGGCCCTGTTAATATGCTACGCCGACTTGTCACAACTGAACGAGCCACTTCACCCACACCTTCATCGCCATCTTCCCCGAGTTCTCCTTCCTTTCGGTCTAGGTCACCTCGCATTCCAGCTCAATCTGCTCCAACGCACCCCATCCGTGTCTACCTTCTTCGACAGATTAATCTGGTTGTTCGAGGAGAGCACATAACTCGAAATATCCCACTCGGGGAGGGTGTGCTGACTACCCTACCGCCACCTATAAGCAGCGTCGCCCCAACAAATAGTGCACAGATCGACTGGGGTGGAGAAATCAGTGTGAAAACTGACGTAGATCGTTGGGATAACGACGGTAGTTGCAAAGGCGTTTTGATTGAGAGTATCAGCACTTTTGACTCCGGGCCGTTGTGGTTGAAAGTAAGATTTACTGCTATAATTCGATGGAGAGTGAGGTTCACGATTGAACAGGATTTTATTGTCGTTTCTATACCCCAGTGGGATGTCGAGCATCGGCACTCGATTACATTTGTCAGCGACACCTGGATTGATGATGTGGGACCAGGGGATCGCGTGCGGTGAAAGACCTGCCTTATTTTCTTGTCACTTTTCTTACTGTAGTGTAAAATCTTAAAAGAGTTGTTGTCGGCTCAACAATCTCGAATTCATTCAAAGAGGTCACATTGAAGGTCACAAAGCTGGTCTGCTTCAATGCGCCTTGTGTCGAACAGCAAATGCCTTTTGTACAAATAACATTCGAAGACCAACTCGCTTCAACTGGCAAATCCTCCTTTCAAGCTGGCCGACTGCGATTACCTCAGCATGACGCCCAGTTTCGACCCATTCCAACAGATGTGGAGGAACTTCGCATCTCACGCAACGCGCTTTACAAGAATCGAATTGGAGATGGTAGTCGCTGCCGTATAGATCTAGAGGAGCTCTGTGAATGGGGGCGAGAAGGTGACGAATTCGAGCCGATATATGTCGAAGCTTGCGCGACCAACGGAATGCGATTCTACCTGCGCCTCTTTCTTAACGCTCAAAACTCCTTGCATGTGAGTAACTTGTTTCGTACCAGATAACTTCTCATCATGTCTTCAGGATCGCTCTTTTGAAACGTATGAGATGTACGAGAAGGTTGTTCGCGACGCCAAATTCCATTCACTCCATTTGGGACCTGTGGAAGGGCACATCGTACCCCGTCATCACGGACTTTGGCTAATGGACACTGGTTTATGGGCAGGGCGGGTTATCTTCACCATTCTCCAATGGTGTGGCTTGCCGTACGCAGAAATCATCCGTGAAAAGCAAGACAGTGAAATGATCAAGTTAGTACCACAAAGCTCCTATTGACACACAAAAGTCTAACACAACGCAGGGTTTTCGTTGGTCGCGCTTACGAGCTCCTTCACGACTATGGGGTCGTTCACGGCGGAGACGACGATCCATTCGACAAGGTCATGTTCGATTTAGACCATCACGAGGCCACTGGCATCCTCAAATGTTACATTGCCGGATTTTCTGAGGCGCAATCGGGTCATATCTGCAAACGCAAGGTCCCAATTCTACCACTTGGGTGTTTCGTCCCGTCAAAAACTGTCGGTTGTCGCGAAATTGGCGGAATACTTTGCATTTTACACTTCAGCGTGGATCGACCAGATGGTTCAGACGGTGGGGTGCGGTTATTTTTTGGAATGTTACTGATCAGATTGCTCACAGAAACGACGGTGGAAGTTGCACTCAAGTGGCATAAGAAGTACCGCAAGGAGCATCCTGGCGTCAGCAATGTTCTCGCGCTTTACGCCCAAAGGGCTAAGCTTTACTCTAAGTGGCCACCGCTCTATTATGGCGCTTACGAGCTCGTCGACCCCGACAATGCATACCCCCAAGTTGTCCCAGTCTATGGCGACAGGATGCCCAGTTCGAGTACAAATGACAGTCATTGATGGGCTGCACCGTGCTATCTAGTTGTGTGCATCCTCTACTATTAGTATAACACCCATATAACGTTAAATAATCAACTATCAGTAGAACTGACTCGGAGACTTGAGTTATGTTATGTTAGTTGTGGCATCACTGGGACACCGCTTCTCCTTTTTTGGCCTTTGGATGACCACACCAGGTTCAACGACAAACGCGCCGCTGAGGCGCCATCATCAACATTACTAGTATATATATTCACTCAGGTAGACAGGCTGGGGGATCGTATGCGATGACGGAGTTGTACTTCCCTTATGTTAGTTTCCTAGTATTGTAACAGTTGCCTAATTTATAGGCCGAGTGTCTACTATCTATGCCTTCCCTTTGCCTTTTGAACGTTGATCACTCCCCTTTGTCATCAGCTTCTTTCTCCCCGTAGCACTGGTGCTGCTATTGCTGGTAGATCGAACGGAGACAGGAAGTCGTGGTTTTCGGGGCCGCAACTTGTGTCGTTGGTTCAAGTCCGGATGAGTTGACGTCGAAGAGCCTGCCACTGTTGCGGGGAGCACTGGAGCTACATCAGGCTGCTTTAGCGCCGAGCTTCGTTTCGCACGCTTCTTCGGTCGTTGTTCTTCATCGAAAACTCCTTCTGATTGAACGACATTGCCTGTTCCACTCAAAGATCCGCTAGCCGGAGCCTCAGGATCGTAAGAACTGTATCTGTCCCTTTTTGAGATTGAGAGTTCAGGATCAGCATGCGCGGGCAACGCTGATGCTGGTAGTAAGGAAGCGATGTCAACATTGTTTGTAGTCTGAAGCGATTGCAGTGAGGAATCGTCAACGGGAGCAAGGAAATGTCGATCCTTCGTCATTGCCATGACCATCTCGATCTTTTCCAGCCCCAATGAAACTTCTGGACTAATGGAAGACTCATCAGTTGGAAAGAGTGGAATGAGCTATACAAGATACGCACGCTTTCCCCTTCCCCTTGTCCGTATTCTTGGAGTTACGCTCTGGCATATGCCTCTTCCCATCGCCGGGGTAATAGTACTTAACACCAGCGAGCATCTTCCCATCAACATCCCTCCAACTTGCGGCTGAGCCGTCGGGTCCCTGGCTGTCGCCGAGCGCCGGCCTATCTCGTTCCGAAGTCGCTGTTGCAAACTGGTTGACATCATCAGGACCAACGTGCAGAAGACCATCTCTTGCTACAAGTCTCTTCGCAAATCGTTCGAAGAACTCGGCCCGGAGTTCGGCGTCGTTGGCGAGGAGTGCGGTATAGAACATAACAACACTCGCAAATTTCGTGGTATCCGCGTCAGACTGAGATACTTCCAAGTCTTCATGACCCGTTAACGATGGGAAGCTCCGTAAGCAAGGAGATATATAGAGTCGGTCGCTGAATACCGGATCTTTCACCACGAAGAATGTGTATTCGTCACTAGAGCCCATAGCGAAATATGCACTTGGTGTATTAGAAAGCTGCGTCCAAAGCTGAACTACTGGCTGTGTAGGACTGTCGATGAGGTGGGAAAGGGAGGGGTATTCAAAATCGAATACGAAGCCAGACGAGTTTGGATGTTTCCTTGTTAATTCATCCAGCGTGGTCTGACTTAGGCGGAGCAAGAGAAGGATAAAGTTTCCGGCAATAGAGAGCAATGTCTTGACTTCGATGAGGAATACAGCGATCTGCAAATCGGTGTAGGCGTAAGTCGGGCCCGGGCCGGCAGCAGTTCCTTTGTGACAGCAGAAATCAGAGGACAGCCAGGCACAGACCTTTTTCATAGCTTCAACCACTGAATGAGCTAGGCCGGCTCGGACTCGATACTCCACATCGGCTTCAGAGCGCACAATTGGGCACGAGTTCGCGCAGCGCAGCCCCGCGTTCATTTGATCCAAATCATCCTTGGTGAGCTCGATGGCCATCAAATTCTCCCTGCGCTTTTCTACCATGAATTCGACAATCCATGAGGGGAGGTCGGGAACATAGACAAGTTGTTCAAGGCGATGGGGCACATTGCATTCGACCTGACGGGGAGGTCGCGAAGAGACTTGGCCAGTGATTTCGGAGAACGCCTTGACTATGCGAGTGGTGGTGAGATAGTCGAAAAGATTCCGGACATTGGCGAAAGAGGGGAGATGGTAGAAAGAGGTTTGTGTGACAAAATTGGATTCATCAACCGACGCCAGATCTGGCAGTGGGAGAGAGCTGTCGAAATGAGCGTCGACTCCAGGCGAAACTGGGAGTTGGGGCCGGGGAGTTGAACGCATGACTAGATTGAAGGAGGGTTCATTGTCGTCCCACGGATCAGGACTTGAGCGCTGCGCGGGCACATCATTTTCCTGATCATCAAGATCACCTCCAAAGTCGAGGGAAAACACAGGAAAATCGCCGTCCTGATCTATTGGTCTACGAGCACTGACAGCACGCGCCTGGAGAGTGTCCTGGATAAGTTTCCGAAAAGTTTCGATGGTGGATAGGTCGCTGGTTTCAAGGATACTTTGCAGCGTAAGCAGGTCTTGCGAAGTGGATTCGTCTACTGGGAATGTCATCGTCAAGCTGTTGGTTAGTGCCGCAACGACCGACCTTATATGAACATCAGGTTCAAAGCGCAAGGATTAGACAGCCTTGAAGTTCTCTGCAGCCAATTCAGCTGAGTTTAAACAACTTAGAGGTGATATACCCACAGCCCAAGCGCCAGCGCATTACAAGTGTCAAGTGTTCCAAGCGTTGTGCAGATCAAGCAATGCTTGGGACTGGACAGCGAATTGAAGTGCTGGGTTTGCAGTCTCGTCGTTGTCCCACTCCATTCGTCGCTTTGACTCCTCAGGAATTTGGGGTCCCGGTTTACGAGCTGAGGGTAGGCTCCAGTGACGTGACGGTCACAAAGTTGCTTTTAAGTAAACACAACCACAGTTTTGACCGCCACCTTGCCGCCACCCGACGCTCATGCCACAAATAACCATCTCATTCGAAGGCTCGGATTTTCGCGCTCGTCGATGGAAAATTCCTCAACATACTGGCTACTTTGAGCCGATCCCGCCTAATGAGGCCGAACTTTATGTTCAGGCTGATGCAATCTATAAAAACCGTCTTGGGGACAATCGACGGCGGCGTGCAACGCTAGCTGAACTACGTGTTTGGGGAGCCACTCACGACGAATTCGAGCCCGTGTATGCGCAAGCGCAAAGTCGTAATGGCAGCACGCGCTTTTGCTTGCGACTAATACCTAACTCGGAGCATGCCACCCAGGTATGTTGTGCATGCCAAGAAATAAGGGAGCTTCTCGCTCATTGCTTGCAGGAATTATCATCAGAAATCTTACAGCGCTACAAGCGACTCCTTCGCGATGCCAAGTTTCACTCGACACATTTACGAACTGCCGGAGGCTACCTAGTTCCGCGACATTATGGGATATGGCTCATGGATACGGGCAACTGGGCGGGAAAGGTCATCGTCAGCATTACTCAATGGTGTGGTATAGCCTTCTCAGAGCTTGTGTTTCACCAGAAAGATACCGAAGCAGTGAAGTGAGCAGGACGTCTCTAATGTGTGCTGGTTCTGATTCCTTGCGAGGATTGCAATAGGTCGCACGTACGAACAACTCCACGACTACGGGGTTGTTCATCTTGGTGACCGAGAAACTCGCCCATTCGACAAGATTATGTTCGATGTTTCCCAACAGCGAACCACGGGCAGTCCCAAATGCTATCTGGTCGATTTTTCCGAGGCAACGGCAAGCCATATTTGCGAGCGCAGAGTGCCTATGCTGCCTATAGGCTCTTTTATCACCTCAAGGACAATTGGCTGTCGGGAAATCGGGGGTTTGATGTGCTCTCTCGACTTCAGCATCGACACGCCTGGTTATCGTGGTAAGTTTGTTTTAGACGCTTACAGTTCTCGATTGACGCCTAATAGGAAACCCCGTGCAAACTGCTTTGGAGTGGCACACTTCTTATCGCCAGAAGCACCCGGATGCCAGCAATATCTTTGCACTATACGCCCAACGTGCTAAATTTTACGCGCGGTGGCCCAAGCTCTACAATTTGGGCTACGATATAGTTGACCCAAGCAGTGATTACCCACAGGTTATCCGTCGTCAGAAAGGCGCAGGAACTACTTTGGCCGATATCAGAACTCCCAGGATCACCAATTACAGCTCAAATTCCAGTAGCAGCAGCAGCGATGATCCATGATGATAACTCGGACGAATCGTTTGTGATTTTCTTCATCACCTTCTGCCCGAGTTGTGCGCATACTTATAGCAAATGGACATGGACATGTACCGATACCTAATACCGATTCAGATGTGTACTCTGAGGCTCTAAAGTAACAACCAACCTGAATATGCTCTCGGTCGTTGAAGAGTCTGAATGAGTTGAATCGTGATCTCTTACTCAGCCCGAGTCTGCCCGAGTCACCGTGACGCTTCCCCTTTTTGCCTTAACAATGATGGCCTCACCAGACTCAACGACAGACGCGCCCCCGACGCGCCATCCTCAATACTATATTTCCGATGGAAACACTGTTCTTCGTATCGAAAATACCCTCTTCAAAGTACGTATCTAGATGCCTTACCTGCAAGAGCGTCATGATTGCAGGTTCATAGGTCAATGCTCTGTAAAGACAAGTCTACGTTCGACCATATGTTTTCGCTCGAGTCGTATACATACGACACAACTGCCGACTCCGCCATGAATGGACCACAAGAAGGGGAGAGCGATGAGAATCCAATCCTGCTTTTGGGAGACCGCGCAGATGAATTCAGCGCACTGATGTGGTCGTTGTATAGTCTGTGGGTGGAACTTGTCGTGTGCCGCGTTTTTTCTGAAACCTTCCAGACCGGCTGACATAGCAGTTTCGATGGGCATGCAAGCCAACGACGCACAGCTGATCAACCTGGCGCGGATTGCCCATAAATACCAATTTCGCTCGACAGAGGCTTGGGCCCTGGCAGCGCTAACGACCTATCACTCCAATTCCACCGGGACACCGAATGTACACAACCTTATCGAGATTACCGAGCTCGCTGCTCTATGCGAATACAAAGCTCTCCTTAACGCTGCCGTTGTTAAGTGGAAACGTCTGCTTAACGAAGGCCGCGCGGTTGCATTCGCCATCGACGTCGCCGAGCGACTCAACCTACGAACACTTATGGGACATGCTTATTACTCTATGATGCTCAAGGGGCGCGAGGTTTGGGATTCAGACACCCAGTTGCAGAGGCGGCAACGAGTCCGACTCCTGTCCGGTCACTACAACCTCTCCAAGGTTTGCGAGGAACTCCCCGACTCCCCACCCCGTCTCACTCACGACCACGCATGCATACGGAAAGGTCGTTGTCGAGGCGCCTTCGCGGCGTTATGGAAGATAATCCTCACGCCCAAGGACGGGTATCTGGGTGTTACTGGGCATGCGATGAAGGTGCAAACCGTGGACCTGGTCAAGAAAGTGACGTTAGCGGACAACATTATCAAAGCTCTTTCAGAGGGCAGCATTCATGTCGACTTGCCACCGGAGAATGGGGAGATTTATGAAAAGTGCATGTCAAATGCCGTCCAGGCGGCGCAGGATAAAGTAAAAGAAGTACAAGAACACCTCGTCCTTTGGTTTTCAGACGTCGTGTAACAGTGTGTGTGTGGTATACGCAGGTTTTCCATGGACTAGAGGCATTTGCCGTTGTCAGCAGTCCGATCAAATTCTGTTAACCACCGGCCCGAGCCAGCCAGATGACCTTGAAAACTCCCAAGCTTGGAGCTAACCACCATGTCGATGCTGAAGGTTCAAGGGACTAAATTTGTCGATGAAGGCGGAAAGGAAGTCATCCTGCGAGGGGCGGGGCTCGGCGGTTGGATGAAGTAGGTCCTATCAGGTTGCCTGACCAGCGCTTATGTCTTCATGATAGTATGGAGAACTTCATCTCGGGTGGGTTGATCGGTGTCTGAAGCATATTTCCGACCTCGTCGGGTGTTAGGCTATCCTGGATGCGAATACCAAATCCGAGAAGCACTTGCGGCCACCATCGGACAGGAAAAGTCTGATTTCTTTTTCGATAAAGTGGACTATCCGTTTCACGCCGCATGTAGTTCAAACTTATCATGAACCACAGTTCTTGGAGTACTTCTTCATGGACGCCGATGCCAAGTTTTTCAGCACTCTTGGATTGAATTGTATTCGTTTGCCGTTCAACTATCATCATTTTGAAGGTACAGTGTCGTCTAACTCGTTGGTTTCAACACGCTCATTGTTTGCAGATGATATGAATCCTCGTGTACTAAAGGAGTCTGGCTTCAAGCACCTTGACCGCGTCATCGAGCTGTGTGCCGCCCACAACATCTACACCATCCTTGACCTCCATACCGTCCCAGGGGGGCAGAACGTTGGCTGGCACTCGGACCACGGCGGACATCTCGCAAACTGTTCGTCCTGAACCGAACAAATATCATCTGCCACTGATTTTTCGTGTAGTCTGGAAACATAAGGATTTCCAGGACCGCACGGTCTGGCTCTGGGAGCAACTTGCTGCACATTACAAGGGAAACAAATGGATTGCCGGGTACAACCCGCTCAATGAGCCGACGGATCCGAGCCACAGACAATTCATCGAGTTTTACCACAGAATATTTGCCACCATCAGGGCTATTGACCAGGATCATATCATCTTCTTCGACGGAAATACCTGGGCGCAAGATTTCACTGCTTTTGGGGACGCTTATAAGCGATGGGACAACACGGCATACTCGATCCATGACTATTCACCCTTTGGATTCCCGGCAGCACACGAGCTATATAGTGGGACCCCGGAGCAGCGGGAGAGGATGCAGAAGACCTACGAGCGAAAGCGCGAGTGGCTGGACGAAAGGGGACTGTGTGTGTGGAATGGAGAATGGGGACCCGTCTATGCGAGGAAGGAGTATGATGGGGAAAAGACGGAGGAAATTAATCGAGTGAGATTTAAAGTGCTTGGGGATCAGTTGGAGATGTATGGAAAGGTACATCGTATGTGGATTTTGCGAAATGAAATATTGACGCCGACAGGATTGCCTGAGCTGGTCCATCTGGCTATACAAGGACATCGGGCTGCAAGGTTCAAGTTCCGTTTTACTAGAGGAAAGCTATCTGAAAGCAGTTAGGAATGGTCCACGTCTCCCAATCGACACCCTACATCACTCTCTTCCGTGACTTTCTCTCCAAAAAGCATCGCCTCGCGGTGGACCAGTGGGGCTCCGACGACACTCACGTCCGGCAAATCTACGCGCCACTCATCGAGCACTTGCGGAACGAAATCCCCGAAGAGAACCGTGAGATCTACCCACATCCGGCATACCGCTTGGGTGACCGCGCTGCGCTGTTGTCGCGCAACATTCTCCTGAGCGAGTATCTCGTGAAGGAATGGGCAGACCATTTCATTGGCAAGACGCAAGAAGAGCTGGACAAGATTGCGGCAAGCTTCAAGTTCGAGGGGTGCGAAAAGAGGGACGAGTTGAATCGTGTCCTGATGGAGTCCCGGTGAAAAGTGTGAAATAGCGGGATAGTGTAGAGCATTGGCATGCCATTATCTTGCGACCATATGCTATTGTTACACGTTAATACTCTGCAGGAAGGCTACCGCTTCCTTGACTCTGATTACTTAGCCTTGGAATTCCTCATTTGTCGCGCTCACGTGCCGCCCGTGATTAAAATAGCTTCCTCGTGTCACTTCCAGCATTCCCTACTCCGAGACTATTGCCCAGGCGGAAACCTCATCGGATGCAGCCCTGAAATCACTTATAGGAAAATAGAATACCGGAAGTAACACTTCGCCGGCGAGGCTGCGGAGGCCAACCTTATCAGCATGGACCGGTGTCGAGTTTATCCCATGCGATGGTCAAGCACGAAGAATATGCGGCCTTCCGGGCATCTGCAACACTCGAAGGAAGCCGATTCAGAACTTGAATTGAGTTCAACTGTGAGGGCAACGACTACTCAAGTAGATTGAATGGTAGATCGAGTTCATCCTCAGAGCATACGCCGTGTACTGCGGCCTAGATTTAGGGTCACTAACCGGGTCCGTGGTAGCTTTGGTCGAAAGATTGCGGATAGACGTAACGTCCCGATAGAATTTAGAAAGAGACTTGAAAGATTCGCCGCTATGAGAGTGTGATGAGTGCTTGCCAGTGGATTGCTTGTTGCTGGTTGTGGGATTGTTTCGACTGTCAACCAAGTTGATCTGTCGCATAGATTTGGTGGTGCGAGGGGGACTACGTACATAGTACTCCGGCGTCGCGGTCTTCATTCGACGGACTCGGGATGTTTCAAGTTCACGATGTTGGAGGAATGCACATGGCTTCCCAGAGGCTTCTTCAACAGGAAGACGTGAAAAACCGGCATCGGAGTCGTGTGAATGAAGTAGCGGTTTATTGAAGGAAAGATCTTGTTGCTTTGACCGTATTTGAGACTTGCACTTTCCGCACAGGCGAGTCTGGAAGCTGATGGTTCTCTTATTGAGTTTCCGATAGAGTTGCGAGTTGAATGCCGCTGTCAAAATCGAGCGCGTGGCTCTTGGAGGCAGCAGTTCTTCCAGTTCTTTGATGACCGAAGCGATGTTTCCGGGGACTCGAAGTTCACGCCGAGAGCAATGTGCTGGCTGTATCATGTTGCCGCTCCGCCAGTGTAGACTGCCGCCAAAACTGCTAGCCGGCAGTGCGTCCCAAGACTTCCAGGAGACCGAACCTTTCCGCGATTAGAGACGATCTTCGAGCTTATGACCATGGTATTTGCCTAGAATGCAATTTTGTTTTGACATATCCGCATTTCCTGGCACTCGCCTTCCGAATTCCGCCAGTGGCAGATCGCGAGTTCGCAACCCCATTGCCCCAACTTGTAAATTTCTAGCAATCACTGCCAATCAGACACCGAAATCGTGCATAAGTATCGTCAAAACGCTGTGTCTTGTCAAGAGCCTGAGAGTCGTTCAAGTCGATTTTTTTCTCGACCCACATACATCACTGATAAAGACAAGGCTTCAATTGAATTTGTTAGCAGGTCACATCATTCGAGGCCAAAAGTGGAAATACCCTCCGTTGGAAGCCGAGAGATGTATTGCTGCAAGATAGCCAGGAGGGCGAGTTGAAAGTGTGCGAGGAACGAGGCAGCGCTCACGAGGGACCTGAAACTTGAATTAACTCTTGAACTTGACAGAGCTGACTCGATGATGATGATTCTCCATCTGAAAAAGACATTGCCTCCGTATTGAACCTTAAAGATTGTCGGTACCGTAATACTCACGGCGATTGCGGGACCAGAGGGCGAGCGTTGTAAGCTTTTTGTCAGCAAAGTGGGTGTTTTGAGACGCACGGATATTTTACGTGTGATGGATGAGACGATGGAAGTCACACCTCTCTTTCTTTCGTCCGTCACTTGGAGTACATTCGATACATCTTGAAAACCGCTCCAACTCGTCCCCGATGGCTTATCGTCTCTAAAAAACCCATTTGGATTGAAAATTCACGACTTGCACCCAGCCTGTTAGCCTGTCTCGAGTCACAAGCAGACTGCGATGGTGTTCATCCCTTTGGCGCTCTCTCGGGTGTAGGCATGCCCCGTTACAAATATTGCCACTCTCCCCGGTGCTTCCGGTTGAGTCCGACCCACGGCGGACATCATTTGCGAGGCGCCGTTCTTTCTTCCAATGCCATCCTTTGAATGACTGGCCGCGGCTGCGTCCCGCTTTGCTAAAAATTTATAAGCACATGCATTCGCGGAGACGAATGATTGTCAACGACCTACCGTCTCTTCGTTAGGGAATGGTCGCTTTATAAACCCAACGGATCGTCCCCCTAATCTCACTATGACCAACGAACCAGGACCAAGTATCTTTACATTCGAGCTTCAAGGCAGCAAGCCCAAGGCCTGCGTGAACTGCAGGTATGTCATTTTCAATATTGGAACAACGCGATAATATCTAAACTAGGCGTCGTAAGATTGCACGTTGCCTTCCAACTTCCCAGAGCTTTGTCTCATCGGTTCGGCTTAGAAATGCGACGGAGAGCGACCAAAATGCGGACCATGTTCGCGCTCAATGGGCTTTCAAGACTGCGAGTATGTGGAGGAAGGGCCGACAAAGACAGAGCAACTTGAAGGTGAGCCATATCGATGCAAATATCTTTTTTAAAATATTCAGCATATTGACCAGAGCAAATTGCTGTCCTGGAAGCACGCATTGAAGAACTAGAAAAACCCCGGGAATTAAGGGCTTCGGGCACCTTTCAAAGCCCTGTAGTCGGCGGCCGTCGTGCAGCATCCCTTCCGGCTCTGTCTCGTGGCGGATCGCCTCGATTGGTTTATTCAACACTCTCTTGTAAGCGTTCTCATCTGCAGAACCGATTTTACCCTCACTATATCTCAGATTCCGAAATCCCATCACCTACCACCATGCCGACTGTTTCGGGGGTGAGTCCATTCATTCGGACAATTTGCGTCTCCAAATTCTGTTGGAAACCCAGGGAATACCTCTACCTGAACTTGAATCTCTGTGAGCCCATCCATTATCTACATGATCATATTGCTTAACATCGATCAGTGTTCACAACTTTCTACAACATTGCACTCTCTTTGGTTTTTTTCTCCACATCCGAAATTTCGCGGAAGCTGCCTTGGGCCGTAGCGGACCTCGTCCTTTACCCGCTTTGCTGCATGCGGTCCACCTTTGGGCAATACATCTATCTGGAAACGAAGAGCTTGTTGCCAACTACGAGGCTCAATACCTCTCCCGGACTTTGAGATCGGCCGTTGGAGCGCTTTCCACCGCGTCGAACAATATTCTACACGCTATCCAGGCAGAGGTACTCATATCCCAATACTTCTTCCGTACAACACGCTTTCTCGAAGGCAAATATCACCTCAGTGCCGCTGTTTCTTTGGTGCTCTCATCGGGTCTTCACCGACTTCGGTCTGCAGAAGTGGCGGCAGGCAACCGTGGGTTTTTGAGCGCTGCACCTCAAACTCGTTCGCCTACCGTGGACCCATTAGATGATATGGAACGCGTCGCAGCCTTCTGGACTGTGCTGACGATGAATAACTGCTGGACAACTGCGGATGGATCTCCCTCAAATCTGGCATATACGAGCTCTGGGTCTGATGCTAGAATCGATACTCCATGGCCTGTTGATCCAGTTAAGGCAATTAAGGTCTCAATGCCTCCCAGTTTAATCTATTTGCAGAATTCCGGGGTCGTCGAGCTCGAATTGAGCTTTGGTACAGTCAATGCATTCCTGGCCAACGTGCCAGACACGGCGACATCAATCCCTGCACTACATTCAAAGTCTGCAATCCTTTTCGAACGGGCTTCGCGTTTAGTGGATACATATCGACCAGGTAGACTGAAAGTTTCTCTTAAAGTGTCCTCAATCTAATCATGTTTGCATCGAGATCTGAACCCTAGTCAGTTGGCTGAGTTTTATGACTCCTTCAATAGCCTGGAGGCCCTGATTCATGGTTTTCTTTCCAAGCTCCCTGAGCCGAATTCGACCACAACTATGCATACTGCCCGCGAAGTCTTCTTGATTCATTCTCTTTCACGCGTCGCGCTAATCCAGCTACACAATCCTTTCGTCGATGTTGCCGGAAACAGTCACATTGCTCGTCGTCAAGCCCTTGATGCAGCGCGTGGGATAGTTGCAATTTTGACGTTGATTCTGCCCAATGACTTCGTCTTTGTTGATCCAATTACTGGTGTGAGTTTCCCGACATCAGCTCCTCTGGTGCAACTATTCACTTCTCTGTCGTTCCAGACTCTATTCATGGCCACTGCCCAAGTTTTCATAGGAGAACTTGACCGATATCGCCGTTCTCAAGCTGTTGGGCAAGTTTGGGATGGAGACATGGACGAGCAGCATCTAATGGATGCCGTTGAGATCGTTCTTGCCACGATGAACATATTCGCTCCAACTTGTCGACTGATGAGTAAGCTTTAGGGCCGAGAGCTTTGATTGTCGTTGACGCGACGCCTTTGAATTGTAGATTCTCAACTCCAAATAATGCATCGAGCGTACCACTCGGTGTCTTCTCGCCCTTAATACCGCTTGCCATTGGCCCTTTATGTTCTTCCCATCGTCCCAAGTACTCTACTTATCTTTCTAACTTGATATCTCGAAAAGTAGCTCGCCATGTTTTACAGTATTTCCACCTATTTCCACACCTAATTCCAGTGCTCACGATTATACTTATCGTCTCAAAGCTGTGAATGCTCGACTATATCTCAATGCTCAGTGGGTTTTCTTGACACGGAAGAGAATGCCGAACGTGGAAGAAGTCGCACATGTCTGTTCCGGACGACCACAACGACAGTCACTTACCTGCGCCGAGAATATTTACAATTGGATCCTCCTCGCGGTCGTTGTTTACGGGAGGCACTTGGAAGCGACTGAATTCGAATCAGCTTCGAGCCCCGACCTTCTTCAAGTTTCTTCTGATCCACGCGTCGTAATCCCTCTTGTCTCGCCCCAGTCGATGAATTATTTCGTGCCCTCCTAGCGCTCGGCAATCGCCTCGCCGTGATATCCATAAATCCAGGACCCTAACAGACCGCCCTCTTTTTCTCCCAATCCACAATGCCTGCCCTCGTCTACCCTGAACTCAAGCCGTGGACGCACGCCAAGGAGACGACGACCGAGCTCGATTATGCGCCTCTCGCTGTGCTTGATTTTGCCAAGTGGGACTTGCCTGGTGGAAAGGAGGAGTTGGCAAAGGAGCTGAACGAAGCCGCCCACTCGATGGGTTTCTGGACAATTATCAACCCTGGCATCCCCGAAGAGGCTCTTGACGCACAGTTCGCGCTGGCTAACACATTCTTCTCGCTGCCTCAGGAGGAGAAGGAGGAGGTCACCTTCATTGCTGGAGAGTAGGTTGCTTCTTTTCGCGAAGGAATAGCATTTGACCTGTCATTCGTAGGAGTTGCTGGGGATACCGACCCCCGGGAACTATCAAGGGGACAGAGTACAAGGAGAACATTGAGATGGTGCGTGTACTTGGACCTCTTCTGCTTCTCCAACTGACGCGTTTCAAGGTAAATCTACACAAATTCACTGAGGGCACGAACTACCCGCGACATGCTTTCATGAAGCGCTACGAGCCCTTGATCACCTCATTCCAAAAGCTGGTCCATGAAGCAGTTATCACCAAGATCTTCATTCTCTTTGCGATCATGCTGGAGCTGCCTGAGAATCACTTCACAGACATGCATAAGTTTGAGAAAGCGAGCGACGACCATGTCCGATTCGTGAGTTGAAAATCGGTCTCTCAGGTGGATGCTCAACAATGCAGATCAAATATCGAACACGAACAATCGACGAGGACAAGGCGGTCAACGACCAGTGGATGGCCGGCCATACTGGTGGGTTTAACTCCTTTGGTCTCGGGCTCCTTCCGATTCCACGCACCCGCAGATTTCGGCTCAATCACACTCTTGTTCCCGCAACCCATTGCCGCGTATGCTCCAACTTCTCCCGCCCCTACAAACCGCCGACGTTTATCTTAGACTTCAAGTCCGCACACCGGAAGAGGAGTGGAAATGGGTTAAATACGTCCCGGGTGGAATTGTTTGCAATGCTGCAGACTTAATCTCCATGATGACCAAGGTATTTCGTCTTTGACTCTTTCTTCACCGTCTGAACGATGCAAGGGCTATGTCAAATCCGCGATTCATCGGGTGATGCGGCCTCCACCTGACCAAGCCCATCTCGACCGACTCGGGATGTTCTTCTTCGTCCGCCCGACCAACGATGTTCTCATCAAGCCGGGTTTCAGCCCTGTTCTGAAACGCGAGGGCCTCTGGACTAAGGAAGACGAGGAGTTCAAGGACGAAGATGCTGCAACTTGCGGAGGTATGTCTTCTTTCTTGTTGGTGAACTGAGGCTGAGGGAATGGCAGAATTTGTGCTTGCGCGGATGCAGAACTTCAACCTCAGTCGGACGAAGGATCTGAAGGAGAAGGAGGTATTGAAAGTCAAGAACTGGGAGGTGTTGAACAAATATACATAGAACCAAACTGTTACAGTACCTTAAAATCATCTTGTCTGTCCTCCAGACGCGTTGGCCGTCGGCATCGTGACCGTGTGCTTGTGACACACTTTTCTTTCCGTTTGCTCTTTTTTGTTGCGAAAGCAGTTAGTCCCGCCCGACACTGCTGTCTGAAAGTCATGGCTTCCATGCTACAAAGGAGCTTACTGCGCCCGGCCACTCGGAGGTACTTTCTTATGCCAAAATTTTGTTTGGATGATCTAAAATTTCAATTAGTGCAATCCTTGGACCTTTGGCACGCCCAAGATTGCTGTCGACCCTTATTTCCCAGCACAGAATCATAGTAGGCACTTGTCCAGCTGCAGGTAATGACTAACTAGACAAGAAACCAGTAGCTGACACGCGATGGCGCGGTTTACGCTGGAATTCCACCAATTCCACATTCCTTCCCGAAGCACCTTTACCACCCGTGAACGACCTTCCCATCGAAACTCTGACGGATGCAGTGGCCGCTATTCCACCGCTGCAGCAAGGCGACTTGGCTGCACTGGGACTGTGTAATTGGACGCCGGCGGGAATGGTCCAATATTCTTTTGAGGCCGTCCATCTCGTGACTGGGCTCCCGTGGTTCTGGACGTTTGTCGCTGCTACTCTCTTCTGGCGTGTCACGCTTTTCCCCTTCGCCGTTGCTGGCATGCAAAATGCCTCCCGGATGAAACCAATCCAACCACTGATGAGGGTGCAAGCGGAGAAGATGAATGCTGCTCGGCAGGCCGGAGATGTTGCTGGCATGCAACAAGCATCGTTGGAGCTGGCCCAGATTCGAAAGAGTGCTGGGGTGACGACAGCGGGGATGATGGTCCCGCCGTTGGTCCAGTTGCCCATTTCTCTGGGCATGTTTATTGGGATCAAAAGTATGTGCGAGTTGCCTGTTATCCAGCTCGCCCAGAGTGGATTTGCCTGGTTGCCGGACTTGACTCAACCTTCGCCATATTATATATTGCCAATTATACTGGCAGCGAGCGGCAACGGGCTCATTATGGTGTGTCATTTCTTCTGTCTCCTCTCAAAATTTGACCCAGTCTTGTAGCTGAGCTCGCGCGATGCCGACTTGTCTAACGCGACCATTGCTCATCTCATGAACGTTTTGCGAATGGTGAGCTTTGTCGCGATCCCCTTCATGGGAAGTCTTCCCTCGGGCGTTCTCGTCTCTCTCGTCGTCACCTCTTTGGCTTCGATGGGACAGGCGCTTCTCCTACGGCTCTCGGCTGTCCGCGCTTTCTTTGGAATTGCACCATTGGATCCTAGCACCAGGTCCCAGCTGCCTACGCTTCGCGAATCACTGAAATATTACTTGCCGCCAAAATAGAGTAGAATATGCACCGTGTATTATAGCCACACTTAATGTTGACCCCTTGCACAAATAATCATTGTCTGCGGGCCGTGACACGTGACCTTCCCGCCTTTCTTCCTCTCGTCATGCTTGCTGCGCCGTCGCCAACGTCGACGCCAGTCCCTGAGGAAGAGGAGTACTACTCATCGTGGTCCCTCTTTCTTGTATGTCTACTTCTCATTCTCTCGCTATGGACAAGCTACTATCTCCAAATAAAACGCATACGCGCAGTTCATGAGACGGGCGTATCGATTATTGCTGGAATGGTAGTGGGGCTCGTGGTTAGGCTGGCGCCGGGGAGTATGATTAAGGAGATGCTGGTGAGTTTGAAGTACTTTTCCCGCAATCCAAGTTTTTGGCCAGCAATGCGGTTGTCGTCACTCCACTTGGACTCTTTTTTGCTGACGACACTCTCCAGACGTTTAAGCACACACTATTCTTCAACCTCCTTCTCCCACCAATAATCCTCAACTCCGGCTATGAGCTCAAGCAAGAGAACTTCTTCCGCAATTTTGGCTCGATCCTCACTTTCGCCTTTCTTGGCACGTTTATATCGGCAGTCGGCGTCGGGTGCGTGTTTACATTTCGTGTGTGGAACACGACTGATCACTTACAGAACAGGATTCTCGTGTATGTTTACTCGTTCCTGGGACTTGAGTCACTAGAATTTGGCCTTGTCGAATGTCTCAAGTTTGGTTCTACACTCTCTGCCACTGACCCGGTGACTATCCTCGCCATATTCAATCAGTATAAAGTGGATCCAAAACTTTATACTGTTATATTTGGAGAGAGTCTGTTGAACGATGCTGTCAGTATCGTCATGTACGAGTGCGTCACCACCTTTCTTCTCGCGTTGTAGAGACTCATATGCTACCCAGGACACTGACGCAGTTTCACGGCACAGAAGAGATTTTCATCAGCTCGATCTTCAAAGGCATCGGAATTTTCTTGCTGTCCTTCAGCGTGTCGATGGCGTTGGGTGTGGTCTTTGGACTTGGAATGTCACTCCTTCTCAAACACTCTGCCCTCCATCTCTATCCCTCTATCGAATCCTGCCTCGTTGCCCTTTGCGCGTATACGTGCTACTTCTTCTCCAATGGCTTGTCCATGTCTGGAATCGTCTCCCTTCTCTTCTGTGGGATTACCCTCAAACACTACGCCTACCACACGATGTCCCGTCGCACCCAGCGCGCAACAAAATACATCTTCTCGACTCTCGCCCAGATTTCGGAAAACTTTATTTTCATCTACCTCGGAATCGCGCTTTTCACCTCTGCCCCAACCAACGAGCGTGTTACGAGCTATGTGAAGCCCATTTTCATTACGATCACCACGGTCGCAGTCATCTTCACCCGCTATGCGGCAGTATTCCCGTTGTCGGAAGCGATCAACTTTTTCCACCGCCATGTTCGGGGCCAAAGACAGGAAGAGCTACCGCACTCGTACCAAATGATGCTCTTTTGGGCCGGTCTTCGAGGCGCTGTGGGAGTTGCACTTGCCGCTGGATTTACTGGCGAGAACGCCCCAACGTTGAGAATGACAGTGCTCGTTGTGGTCGTTTTGACAGTATTACTGTTTGGTGGGACGACTGCGAGGATGCTTGAAGTGTTGGGCATTCGGACCGGCGTCGAAGACGAGGCAGCGAGCAGCAGTGACGAAGAAGACCACGGACCCATGCGGTCTGGAGGGAGAAGGGGTCCTGGACGGTGGAGTCGTTTTGTTGACGAGGATCCAAGTTATCTCGCGAGACCATTTGTGGGCACTCGATATGCGTACAATCATCACCAACAGGAACAGCCGTATTCAACAGAACACGGAAATGGGGCTACACCGACCGGTGGTGCGGCTCAAGCTGCGAGGGGCGGAGTGTTTTCTTCTGCCTCGTCGGACTCTTACGATTCTGATGGAGAGGTATTGCCACTTGCGACAGCAGCACCTGCAGCAACAGGCAATGGATCCGCCCAGACTCCTCGTGCTCCTGTGGCTGGAGAAGATGGGAAATGGTTCCAGGCGTTGGATGAGCGATATCTTTTACCGCTATTCTCGAATGCCACGGCCAGTCGGACATTCCACGCACGGAGAGCACGGAGGACAGCTTCTGGGCACGCGGTTGGGAGTGCGGGTGTAAGCGCGGTTGGGACTCCAGCAGGAAGCGACGACGAGGGCGGGGCAGATGTGGAGTTTGATGATGGTGAGGTCGAGTTGGGCGTCCCGCTTGATCAGCGACGGCCGCGACCTCAACAGATCCAAACGCAGGGCGGGGCAGCGGGTTCGTTGGAGGAGAGCAGGATGGAGAGGGGGTTGGCATCGCCCATGTTGAGGTCGAATTCGAGTGGGGAAAGGGTAGATTTGGAGATGCGTTGATTGTATTCATACGTTATTTTTTTCCCCTCCTTCCCGTTGTAGATATCAATACGTAGAGTGATTAATACGAGTCGAGGCTACACCTACATGGTGGCGACCACATTGGCCGTGACAATCGTCGGAAAATTTGAAGTTTTGAGGCCAAAACAATCCAAAACACCTCAAGTTGAAGCCTGAAACCTTGCAGAAACCTGTAGTCTTGATAGAAAATTATACTCAACCTGGGAGATCCATAGTTAACACCTCCTTGCTAAGCCTTGCTGTAACTGTTGGAGCACTGGCGGAAGAAAAATCGTCCCCGTGTAACAAAGTTCAACGGATTCTGAATCAGAGTTAGAGTAAAGGGCAGAGAGTGCCATTATGGGTGGATTTCTGAGGCCGAAATCCTGGAATTTCTCAACCATGAGTGTGGGCTGGAACTGGAAAATTTGTTCATGTCGACAGGAAAACGCGATGGGTCATAGCTTCTCACGCGCCGACATCGTTGATCGACAACGACAATTAGCGCTCCGCTGTCGACATGTCCATTGTCCAATCTCACCAAGTGACACCAACTCGACGCCAACTCTCCAACATTGCGAGTTCAAGCTGTCTATAACTCGGCCTCACACCTTGCATGCAGCAACTTAATAAGGCGCCCTGATCAGCGCAGGCGAAAATCTTCGAAAACCGGTGTTCCGGTTTCGAGTTTCATGGAGAACAGATTGGCGCTGACGCTCGAACGGAGCGCCCATCTTCACAAGTATATACGACCAGTACAGCACCGATCCCCTTCCTCAAGGGCCCTCTCTCTCTCTCTACTCCCGCCCCCGTCATAGGCGATGACCTCCAACCTTACCACAACGCTATCCGCCACCAACTGGTCTACACAAGGCTGGAACCCTTTCTACTTTGAATTCCCGGACCGGAATCCGTGCTTTGGGTTAAAAGATGTTGCACAGTGTTCAGGGAATACGACGGACGTCACAGCGACGATGCTCCAGTTCCTTAATCTCACCGACTTCAACAAATATTTCGATGCGTATTGCTTGAATCCCCCAGACGACTCGTGTGCCTTTGGGTTCTGCCCCAATCCCGATGTACGTCGAGTCTGATTCATTACACCATTAGAGCTGATGGACCATAGGTTGCGTCGCCAACGGTGCGGTATTCGAGTGGGTATTATTCGCATCGGATGACGAGTTACTCACTCAGATTTTTTTCTTGATACAGCATATTTCACCACCGTCATGTCGGCAGTCTTGGTGTTGTACCTTCCGGAAGAGGTGGCTTCAACAGTGCGTTACAATGTCTACCTAATTTTCTCGGGAATGACCCCTTTCCCCCAAGTTTTTCTCCCAACTTCTCAATGTCTACTCCCTCATCATCGCCGCTCTTATTGCTGTGGCCAAAAGAAACCTAACCAAGCCACATACCGCTGTAGCGCTGGGCCTTGCATGCTCTCCACTAAGCGCCTACCTCATCATCTATGTTATCCGATCGTTATTTGGAGGTCTTACACGGCTACACAGCGTGTTTGGGAAAGGGATGTGGCTGCCGCGGCTTGCAGTCTTGATGCTCGTGCCCGTCTGGATTACCCTTCTGATCCTGACCTCCGTTCCCAACGGCTCGTGGCGGTTCCAACAGACCGCCTGCGACGCCATTGTCGCCAACCACCATATCCTGCAGACCTTCTTTGAACCCTTCCTCATACTCTCCCAATACTTCGCACCCTTCACGGGAACCGTGTTCGGGATATGGTTTATTACATGGGCGGTGGCGATTTACTTGCGCAGGAATGATATCTGGAAGTCCGGCAAGGGTAGATTTCCTCTCCTAAGGATGTGGTGCGTATTTCTTGGCCTCGCTGCCCGCCAAGCTCCGCAGTGAACAATTCGCTTAGGCGCAAGGTTGTGGACCACTACCCGTTCATCCAGTTCTGCACCGTCATTGCCATCCCGCATATCGCTTGGATCATCAACATAGAGATGGGTGTAGCGGTTATTCTTACCCGGGAGTCGTTCTCCTACACGTATGGCCAGGTAAGTTGCTGTATCTCTCTCATTTCCCGACCCAAACTTGATTCGTCAGATGCTGGCCCTTCTCGTCACCATCCCACCCATCATCCAACTCGTACAGCTTACCCCAAGGTTATTCTGGTGGTTTGTTGATCTAACGTGGGTGCGCTTCGTGAGCTTTCGACGGAATAAACCACGACACAATCCGCCTTTGGATCGGCGGAGTACAAACGAGTCAACCGATGCTGGTGGGGAGTACAGCGAGCTGCAGGACACGCTTCCACTTGTCGAGCCAAAACACCGTGTGTCGTTTTCCCAAGACGACGCCGCGAAATCCAGGGGGGTGCCATGATTTCTTGTTCTTTTCGTTTTTTGTATTAGGTGGGAAATAGATTCAATTGTTCGCTGTCGTTTGAGCTTTGCTAGTGCCCCAAGGCGGACGCGGCGAACTGAAGAATGCGATAAATGAAGTCACGCGATCATGTCTGATCGTCACGGCAAATCCGAATACGTCACGTCAAATTTCCGAATATGGGCGATCCGAGTGATGGAGAAAACGTCAACTCTGCTGCGTGTTGCACCGTCTGCTTCCACCACATACTATCCTCTCGCGAATCAGTTGGAACCTTTAGATATTCGGATTCCTTCGACAAGATGACTCGAAGGTTTGCCTCAGATACCTCCGGAAAACTTTTGTCCCAAGTTTCAACGTTCAATGTGGGTGGAGTGAGTCACTTTCGTTGTGCTTAGTGAGCCAAGTTACCCTCAAGGTACCCCGCATCCGTCTATATATAGAGGGGTAATGTCAAGGAGCGACATTGATTTTGAGCTCCCCCCTTTCTCATGACGATGGCCTCTTCAAGTTCCTCGTCGTTCTCGCACTCTTCACCGGCAGAATCTGCGGCTCTCCCGCTGTATTCACCGTCGCAGCCTTCACCATGCTACTCGATGGACCCAGCCCATGACGAGACTATTCTCGACGTTTCCCCGTATCTTCGCTCAACGCGTCTATTACCGACAGGGGTCTTCACCAAAGTCTGCGGGTCTGCGACGGTTGTGCTGCTCAACCAGGAAGCGGGCACCCGTATCCCCTCATATAGGCGGCGAGGCCTGGTCAAAGGGATGTTAATGCTCTGCCCAGAGAGCACAAGTGCTATCGCCCAAATTACACTGAAGGTGCGGAGACCCGATCGCGCCTTGGCTAAGAAAGCCGCTCAACAGAAATTCAAACTTGAGTATAAGGCCAATAAATGGCAAACACGAGTACTTGTATTATTATAAACAGGACAAACTTCAGTAAAAAACCGTAGCCCACTTAGCCTCATCTACGGATGCCCACCAAGCGCGATCCATCTGCACAGAGTTGTACTGCAGCAACCCCCAGTAGAACTCTCCGAATTGCGTTGGAATCACGACAAAATCTAGCGCCACACCAGCTTTCCGAGCGAGGAAATCCGAATCATGAACAAACCCAGACTGTAGCCCGAACAAGGGTTTAGACCGGTCCGCTACCAACACTTCAATGCAGGGCGCCAGGGCGCGACCTGCCGATAGTCAAACACCAATACAACATCTCCGCTTGAGTGTTGATCCAAAGCCATGGCAGCTTGACCGTATTCTTGCGATTTGCGCCGACAATATCGTAACGTACCTGCAAATGGACGACAAGCAGTGAGTCATCAATCAGCATACAAAAACATAGACTCACGCACAGTCCAGACTGGTCATTAGGGACCCCACCGCGTTCAAAAAGAAAGATGTCATTGAAGTAGGCTTCACTCTGCAGACCTATCGGACCTTCTCGCCTGAGTTAGGTCCTCACTACAAATGTGAAGTGGTGTTGCGAAGCTTGGTAAACCTTGACGGGACATTTTCCAAAGTGAAATTGAATTTTTTTCGAGACAGACGACTCACCACTGCTGGTAGCAAGTCGCAGCAGCTAAACGAGCCGCATTGAAGCGCAAAGTCCACGAAGTCTCAAGCGCAAAAGCTGAGGAAAAACGCTGGAAGCGGATGCGAAGAAACGCTAACCCGATAGCTGCGCGTTTTACTGGTAAAGGGAAGGGGAAGGAGTTGGCCGTCGACAGCGAGTCTGACGAAGGGCAACCAGCGACGAGAATGAAGCTTGAAGGGGCCAGAAGGGCTGCATTTGATTCAGAATGTACAGAAAACTGATTGATATTCTTATACTTACAATACCCAATGTCGTTGAATTGTGCGCAGCACGGATAGATTGAAGGAAAGGTGAAGAGAAGGAACGGCGAGTAAAGCTGAAATGCAGGAAAGAAAGATTCGAAGTGACGTGGGACGGTTACATAATCTGCTGAGGTAACATCCTTGGACAGCAATACGACTAAGTCGGAAAACCCTTCAATTTCGAGTCACAAAAAAAGCTGTAGGGTTAGGGTTGAGACTACAAATTTCATTACAAAAATAGAATCTCTCAAGGGGAAAGATCGAGGTCGTGAAACGCGGACGACAGATATTGATAGACGATTACATAAGTACTCGTAATTTAGCTCCAAGGGCGACTTGAGCTGACCACCTCCGATGCTGGCGCGTCGACGAACAAGCTAATTAATATTGCTTCCACTATCTGGCCGCCGCCGGGGTCCACTTCGCCACAGCCCTGTCCCGAGTCGATTAATTTCAGCTGTGAGTTCCCAGAGGTCTTCCAGCAGGGTGACTACCAGCACCCGCTGCCGCCCTCATATACCGCTCGCTTTCCGGGGTTCCCGTCTCTCTATGCGAAGGCGACGTACAATTTGGCCATATCGATTGTGAAGGACCGGAAATTGGGATTTCTACCGAAGACCAAAGTGTGCGTGACTATCCTCGGAAGAAAATAAAAGGCTTAATTTTTCCAGGATATATGTTCCACTAGATTATGTCGTCGAGAACTCGCCCCCTCGTGGTGTAACACACACGCCACAATCTGAGTTCATGTCAACCATAAAATATATGCCAGAGGAATGGCATCAGTCGTCTTTCACCATGAACACCCGATGCGATTCGGAGTTCTTGCCGATTCATTGTCAGGTATTCGTACCGTCTGTGCGAATATTTGGCATTGAAGATACGATTCCGGTGCATATACAACTCTCTGGAACCCTCGCTTCCCTGAGAGAGCTTGTAGATCCTCGCACTATGGCAGATGCTCCATCAAGTCCAACATCGCCTACCACTCCAACCTCACCACCATCACCATCTTCGCCCTCCAATGGTGGACCCGTACGTGTTTATCTGACACGAATGGTCACTGTCGACCATTTGCGGAAATTCACCTACCGTGTCCAGCGGACCGGGACCAATGGCCTCGTCCGCCCGATGCCGCCACAAGCGGACTTCAATTGTGACTGTGTCACAACATGCAGCAGCTGTGCGTCGTCTATCGTCGTACTCGACTGGGCGGCAGAAATACGTTGCGACCCGAAACAGGTGGAGGTCGGTGGGTTTCATGTCGGCTTGCTAAGCGTCAAGGTTCGTGTGACTCTGATCCACGCACGGATAAATGACATTGACTTCCTTCACCTGCAGGATTTCATCGTTGTAGAGCTGGCACCACCGAGCCCTCGATGCTCGCCATTGATCGGTGTGCAGTCGGCAATTCCGATAAGATTTGTCACGCAATCCTACATGGAGTCTTCGTAGCCACTTAAATGATTTTCTGAGCTGAAATCCTATTCTACATGTACAATAATCCCTCGGATACCAATGTATACACAGTCGAACACGGTCAAATACCTCCTTATTCTTCTCACGTGATCGCGATTTGCCGGACTCCGAGTCGCCGGACGTGACAAGCGTGACACTCGGTAGTATCGTTTGCCCGCCATGCTCTTCCAGTCCCTCTTCGCGGCGACCCTTCTCACTTCTGCATTCGGTCAAGACTATTCTGCCGCTCATAATACCACGCCAATAGTCGGGACTTGGTCATCAGGAACGCAACGCGTAGTCCCGGGCCCAGTGCGTTAAATTACCCCTTCCTCTACTTAAGCTTGTTAACGTTGCTCTCGCAAGGGCTTCGCGAATCCCGCCCAAGAAACTTTTACTTATCCCCCTACCGCGGGAGTTGGCTTTTCCTTGTAAGAAATGTCTTGCCGGGTGTCGTTATCGTTGCCTAACTGGCTTTCCCAGCTCTGACGATGGCTGGTATGAACTTGCACGGTACCGCTACGTCGCCAACGGTGTGTGACCCGTCGTGCTCTCATGAAATTCTTCTTAACTCGTCATGTCGCAGGCTCGCATCCTGAATGCATCGTCGGCACTCTCGTCTGGGCTCACGGCAACTACAATCTCCTCGACAATGGCTCCATCATCCTCAATCCCATAGGCGACGGCTACCAACAGGTGCAATCGCCATGCAACAAGGACAACTCCAACTTCCTTCAAAACTATAACCTCACGGAGCTCTTCGTTTCGTGGCGCATTTACACGGACCGTACATTTGGGCCAAAGCTGCATCTGTACCAGTGGGATGGCTCGCCTGTGGCGCCGCTTTTCCGACTGTCAGAAACGCCGAATATGTTGCCCAAGCAGAAACTGAGGAATAATGAGGCCCATACGGTCACTTCGACGAGCGACGGGTTGATCACGGTCCAAACAGTTGTGTCCCGAGCATCACAGAACAAGAAGCGACATTCGGAGGCGACAGCGAGAGGGTGGCAGTTCTGGAGGTGGTAGTTTCCATTCGTTTTGGTATTTCGCGCAGCTACAGTCTCTTTAATTACTCATGGATATTAATGGTTAGATTTTTCCAGGCCAACTTGTTTATAACTAGCCTCTCTCCTCCACGAGCCTCTTCAACTGCTCTAACTCCCTCTCCTTTTCTATCAACCTCAGTTTCCATTTATCTTCATCAGCCAGAAGATTCCGCTGTGCATCTTCGAGCCTGTCAGCCTCCTCTCTTTCCATTTGTTGCGTAAACTCCGGAGTACCGCCTCTGCTTGCTGCCAGTCCCTGCATATGGGCCAGATGGAACGGGACAGGCTTCCTGCGAATCTTGACGAGCGGCGTGGGAGGATGTTTCGTGAGCGTGTCCAGAAACGTGTTGAACGGCTCGTTGAAGACTAACTCGTCATATTGCCAACTATGCACCGGACCAAGCTTGACCGCGACATCGAGGGGTGGGATTTCGGGCTCGCCGGGTGCTGGCCAGGGATGCAGCTTCAGGTGGTGGTAGAACGTGATAGGCTTCTCTGCGGCGTCGGCGACGAATGTTATCTTGATTTGGATCTCGAATTCACCCCAGCTGCAGCGAGTTAGAAGAAACAGAGCGGGTAAAAGCAACCGCGACGCGTACCCAGTCTCCGTCACCTCAAAAGGCGGTCTGTCAATATCTACAATGTGATTAGTTCAGTCCAGACAAAGTGAGGATCATAGCACGTACTTCGCACTGGGTTTGCATACGTTTCGTGCAACTTGAACGTCACCCGTTTGATGAAGTACCCCAAGTCGTCCGCTCCGCCCACCATTGTGCTCTCTGGGTCTTGGTCAGCGGCGGTGGCGGCGCTTCGGACCGCGACAGTCCATGTATGCGTGTGGTCTGGCGCAGTCGCAGCAAGTTGTTCGCGTTGTTTGGGCGTAAGCACCGACGCAACGTTGCCATAGATGATCGGACGGTGAATACTCAGGTTCTGGACTCAGGTATGAGACAAAAGCAACCAACGAAAGACAGTGAGCAAACCCGACTTTCATTCGTTCGCGTGGCACGGACATGATGGAAGTGAGAGGCAGGCTGGGAACGGTCACATGATGATTCACACCAGCATTTATTACAAAAGAGATATTTATGTAGGACCATAAGTAAGTGCTCATAAGGGATACTACAGTAACGAATCGAGAGAAGTGCCAATGTAGACTTCGACGCCATTTATTTGTAGCTGTCGATAGCCGGAAAGAGACGCAAATGGTAGTCGCAAACTGGCCAGTTCAGTTAACTTGACCACGAAGCTGAGGAAGTCCAGACAATGAACAACCCCTGCCTGCGCAAGCACATTCCTGTTTAACGCGGCCTGGGCAACAAGTTCGAGCACCGATGTGAGCGTGGCTTGATTAGCCAGCGTAAGCTCATCATAACCAATAGCGAGTTTTCTTAGACGCGGAAGGAACGTCTCTCGCGCCGCTAATCCACTGAAGAAAGCTTGCGCAAAAGGTAATGTCGGACAAGAGAGGCTCAAGTCCTCTAGCCAGCGCAATGAAGGTAAGATCTCCTGGCAAACATCCAAGCACTCGTGGGGGAAGCCAACTAGGTTGACATGCATTGTGGCGAGCGGAGGGATATCCGAGCGGCGCATAAATGCTCGCAAGGTGCGCTCTTCCAATTCCTCTGTCTTTAACGTGTCGAGTTTGGGCAGGGTGAGAAAGTGGAGTAAATGGAGAGTCTCTTGACGATCTAACCGTTCTTGCTCCATGACAGTGAGTCGTTGGAGATTGTGATGAATCAGCTTGTCGCGTGCTGGATCTCTATGGTCTTCGAGGCCAAGAGTGACATCCAATGATACAAGATTTGGGATGAGGCGTAGCACTTCGAGCACTTCATCCAGAAAATAGTCGTAACATTGAAAGTCAGTGAGTTGCTGCCAAGGAAGAGTTATGTTCGCGGGTAGGATTTGGTCAACATGGACCTGGGTCAACTGCGAAGTGTCAACGAAGACGTCTTTGAGGTCCACCGGTTCCGCATAGATTTCATCCTCCTCGTCCTCGACGGTGATTTCCAATTCTCTCAGAAAACGCATTTTGAGTGGGAATGATTTGAGGAGTGCAAGGTTTCTCGCAGTGAGGGTAAGGGATAAGGAGGAGATGTGATGTGCATGTCGCTGCAAGCTGGTCATGAACTCTGGGAGGTCCACACGGGCCAAATCACCGCCCAGGACGATTTTCAGCGCGCTTCCGCGATTCGGGCGAAACCAGGTTTCTAGGAGCTCGCGTAGCTCCTGATCATCCCATTCACCTAAACACAGTCGTAACGAACGCCAGAGCGCAGGAGTCGAGGCCGCGATGTGGGCCCACGTCCGACAAACGCGGGTCAGAAGCAGCGGCGCTTCATATATATCGGCCCACGAATCCTCCGGGAGGCAATGGACAAAGATTTCCGATGTTAATTCAGGTGGGAGGGTTAGGATGGGATAAACTGCTAGTTGAGAGAGCTTGGACTGCACTGCGAAGCGCGATACTTCTAAGTCATAGAGCACTCGTCGTTGTAGATCGATTTGTTGGTTTATTTGGTGGAGTTCAGCACGGAGAGCGGAGGTGGCCATCGAAGTCGAAGGCCGACCTTGTGTCTTACTTTTGACATGCCAGTGGTCACGGCCTGGTCACAATGACATATAAAAATTTATAGCTGCATTGATCCTGCAGAGCACCAGTACACTACCATTCATATCAGCAGACCGTCGCCTATCGCAGCCTCTCTCATGACTTCAAGCTCTGTCCATGAGGGAAGCTCATAGATCATCGGCAGGTCGTTCCAAAAGTTCATCCTTGCCTCGTTGTGCTTCTGTTTGAGCTCAAATCTACATCGGGTACACGCATGACCAAGGTATTGCCATTGCTCGTAGTCCCAAAACTGAAGCGGCAATCGTTGGCAATCGCGGCACTGGTCGTTTGCTTCGTATAGCGCATTCAGGATAGCGAAGGTGCATTCTTGAGGCGATGTGGGGCATTGCTTGGGAACCTCGGGGTCACCTAGTTCACGAACAATATCCCAGGTCGCCCCCATTTGCTCTTCGGACCCGCGCAAAAAAGCTCCCTGGTCTTGCGTGCTCAACTGGTAGATCTTGCCGTCGGCGGCGCGGAACGGGCCGGTCCCCACAATTTTAAATTCCGTCGATAGATGATAAAAGCTGGTGGGCAATGTCCAGGTCGCTTCTACCTCCCTGGCGAGTAGGATGCAGGAGATGTAGAACTCGGGGCCCATCGACTCGGGTTTGGTCCAGGAGATTATATTCGACGGGTTCTCGTCTGCCTTCTGTGTCGTATATTGAGCAAAGTCCCAGCTTTCGAGGCTGGTCACGAAATATGAGCTGAAGTGTACGAGTGCACGCTTGTGGATAGAGTCGACAGCATATTTTTGTCCAAGCCGAAGGCAGCCACGGAGAACTTCGTAGGTCGTGCGCGCGGGAAAGGGCAGGAAGAAGCTGTCAGTGAGTGGTCAGCAGCGTGAAGCATCTTCGTAGATCGGCGACTCACTCTACAATGAACAATGCTTTTAGAAAGGGAGTCACTTCCTCTGCATCATCATGGAGTTTCACCAGAGGCAGGCCCTCTACCGTCTCTGCTTCAGCTGGCTGTGGGAACCCCAGCATGTCGTGAAAAACTGGCGAATTTCGTGCCATCGTGCCTCGATATACTTTATACTGAGTGGCCCCTGCTTGGAGGACGATGTTTCCGTCTTCGAACCATAACTCTTCGCAGCGGTGTGTTGTGGAATCGACTTCCATGGAGTTCTTGTGATGATGGTTAGAAGTAAGCCGAGTGACCGACTATTGTCCTTATCATATCGCTTATGTCAGTCAGTCGTTCTGGTCCGTGTTTATGATTTGAATATCAAGGATACAAGAGTCGCAGTTAAATTCGAGTTCGTTTGAGTCCTTGGTCAACCAATCCAGCTAATCAGTTGGCTTCTGCGTCCGTGAAGGGTGTGGTCGCAAGTCCAACCTGACTATTCGTGGTATCATAAACCGAATAGAAACGTTGAAGGAATCCGAATCCGTCTAGAGGGTAGATTAGCGTGAATAGTTCAAGGCAAAAAACCACGAACTGATGAAATCGAGACCCTGACCACTTGGACTGCCTAGATCAGCAGTAATGAGATAGATCTTATCCTCCTCGCCTCCAAGGGTCGAGTTCAATGAGCGAGGCCAGATTTGTGCATTTGGCGTCAGTTCAAAAATGGTCTTCGAACGTTAAGCCGCTTTCATGAGAAGAATATCAAAAGTCGTACCCCTCCAACTTCGAAGAACAGACTCTGGAGGTCCTCAAATTGACTTTCGGTGAGTGTCAGCAGACCGGTGGTGCTAGAGCAGTTTAGACTCGAGATGGTGAGCAGCGAAGAGGCGGTCTTACTTGTCAAGTTTTGCGCCAGTTGCTTGTTGGTACGCCTGGAAGGCATCCGTCGCCAGGAGAAGTAGTGTGGTTCCGGTATCAACCTTGGAGATGTGAAACGAGTGGACAATCAGCAGGAATCATCGTACTATACCAGCCGTAGAGCTCAAAATAGTTGAATCGTTGCCGTACCTTCAAGTTGGCTCAGTAATTTTCTTTAAGGAGCAATAAACCTATACGTGATACTCTGGTCAATTCCCCAATATCTGAGCGTTGGTTAGTCGGGAAATCAATCAAAAAAACCCAAGATCTTACTGGCTAGCGGGCGAAGTCGAGGTAATGGGCACAAAAGTGACATCTCCAGTGGTCTTGGCTGTGTCCACCCCGCCGAAGTCGAGCTCGCCATTCACAACAGCGTCAGTAGAAGCGGAAGGGACGTAAGAAATCCCAATAGACTCCGTTGCAATGGTTCCTTGAGCAAAGAGATTGTCCGTGACAGTAGGAACGCTTGATACACCGCTGACAGTAGTGCTAGTGAGATCGACTGGGCCAATGCTACCATATACGTAAGTTAAGCCAAGGCAAGATAGATTAGGCGCACCCCAAGATTCCATCCACATCGTCGAAGCCTTGCGCAGTAGATGCAACACCTATTGACTGGTTCTCGATAACGAGGGTTGGAGACAGAGTGACTTGATCGGTATCTGCGGCGGCGGCAGCTTAAGCAACATTGTTTGCAGAAGGGAACGGTGGATTGTACATTCGGTGCCGCTGAACTAGAAAAAGGAAATCAGTCAAAAGGTTGAATACGAGTTCTAACTATAAATACTGACCGACCCAGAGCCATAGCTAACGTTCTAGAGACTTGTGATACTTATTCCTACTCTGGGAGAATGATACATACGACTGCCTTGCGAGTATCCTGAACGCCTCCCGTCAGTGAGATGAATGTCATGCGGAGAATAACACACACCGTGCTCGTAGAGGTGGGGGTGTACTTCTTGCCAGCCCCAATCCAAGTATTGGAACTTCCTGTCATGAGAAGTAGTGAGTTTTGATCAACCATTCGTCTCGAGTAACGCACCAGTGTCAATGAGTAGAGTATAATCTGTCGCAGGAGACCCAACCCCGACACTGATGGTGTAGGTCACGGCTACAATCCTCCTGAGCCGTTCAGAAGGAAGAGACAGTTGCGAACCAAACCTGCGTCGGTGACATCGACCGAATCGGAGCCATCCGAGCTGGCGCCGGTGGCGGCACCTCCTCCCCCATGGCCATGACGGTGGCGGTCCTTCGCTTTGTGGAAAGCAGCAGGTCCATGGGGAGAGAGGCCGGCCAGCAACTTCTGCGCGCGGGCTCGGTCCTTTGCGAGAATGTCTTGCGCACCACTGGATGCAACACGCGCGGAGAAAGGAGCAGAGAACATTGGAGGGTTGGTTGGATCCTGAGAAGCGTGGGCCACTTTATACTCCTCCAAGGCCTGTGGCTGGCGTCATATCAGGGTTCTGTTCGGACGGCGTCATTCGAGTTGTCTGGAACACGCATGATAATTTTGGGGGGAGAGATAGCTGTAAATAACCTTTGGCATAAAATTAGCCGTATCCAATCTGAGGAAGAACGAAAACCTGGACTATCGGTCAAAACCCAAAGTGGTTGACTCGCATGGGTCAGGGTGCTTGGATGTTACTGTAGACGTCGAACTGGCAGCAGGTATTGAAGTGGGAGTTAGTGAAGGCCACTATGTAGACTGCAGAAGCTCGCCCACACTCCAAGTCATCGTGCATCATAGTTAGAAGAAGCAAGTGCCGAATTTGGATTTGTTGACGTCAAGAACGCGATCACGTGAGTGACTGATTTATGGTCCGCTATTCAAAGCTACCATGAATTCTCCAAACCTTGCCGATATATTACAGCTAGGCCTCAGCTCAGGCTTCAACAAAATCGCGTTCATCCTGATCCTATCAACAACCAACCCAGGTATTTATTAGTATTATGCAGAGTAGAGGCCTCGGAATAATCAACACCAAGGACACCCTGTTACTGCTCAAAACGCACCACACTTGAATATTTTGTGGAAAACCACTTTGACCAGTCGGTGATTAGATGCGTCCTGTCGAGGAGAAGTTTCGTCGAGCAGAAGTAATGTGCGATATCAGGACCCTCGTCCAATGTGTTGTGCCTCGAGATCTCTGCCAATCCAATGCAGCGAAGCTATGGTGTTGGGCAATGTGATGCTTTGACAAGTCGAGGTTTTCATTTTAATTTCTTGGAGGTGATTATTATCCCAAATGCCCAGATAAGCAGAATCATACCATTCTGGGAGTGATGATTTTCAAGTCGCATATGAGAGAAACACGAGATTTTACTTCCCCACGATTCATGGATCGTCTATGAAAATCAGCCTTCTAATGTCTCTATTGGCCTGTGTCTATGCTGCTCAGTCTTTCCGCCTGGCAAAAAACGTGCACATGGGCAAGACCAGGGACGCTTTGCAGCCGCTAAGTTTCGTGAGCGCTAATCCAATGGAAGATATGATTACGAACGGGAGGATTAACGAACCACGCCGTTTCCTAGTCCTCTTCCTTCCACTTGGAGAGGACATACGCATGCACGGGAGCGCCAGCCTTCCTCACCAGCGCTGGTTCTTCTTTCGTCCCAGATTCCGACACGATCATCTTTTCCCGCGTGACGCCCCAGTCGCTAGTCCTCCAATGGCGGTGGTGGAATCGATGAGCCGGTGAAGCCCCAGAGGCCGTCTTGGTCAATGCGGGCTTGGATAGATGGATCGATCAAGCTAGGATGAAAAATGGGAATTTTAGTCCAGACAAGTGTATGGGTAACCGAAGCCGGAACGGAGTATGGCCAGTCGTTCGTGATGACACTGAGATATTCACTAGGCATGCTCGGAGAGAGATAGGGAGGTGAAAGGCTGGTAGCGGTTGACTGAAGGTCTGTCAGTGCAGTCGCAATGGAAGGTATGTCGTCTTGCGGAAAGGGCGGACCGAGCAACGAAAGCGTATCTGGCATGCCCCATTGCAAGCGACGATTGACGAGATAATTGACTATTCTTGCAACGCCGATGTGAGTGCCTGGCTTATAGTGTTCAGGTTCACGCACCCATTGAGCCATGTTCTATCTTTATTCCTGCCACCCAAAGATTATAGCGCTGCTGCAGAGCCTTGTGGCGTTTGAGCAGTCCAAGGTCACCGGAATTAACAAAGGCGCGAAGCTGTTCCCATGTAAATTGTGCAGGGTAGTGAACTCTCAGTTCTTCTCGAGTGGGAGGGCCAGTTCCGATAGGCACAGCAACGACCGTCTTCGCTGCGGTCATCAGCAAACCAAGCGCGTCACACCGCGTCACACCGTTCTCAACACCCTTCGACCACGATAAGCAGATGGCGGCCTACAACGGGCAGAAGATGTTCTATTTTGAAAGCCTTACCAACCAGGCACTGGGATGCGCCTTCCAGTTCGAGAAAGCCCTATATAAGTGATTGAGGCCAACGTAGATGCATGAGCAACTGCATTGTGCAAGCGAGTCTTCTCGATGACCCAGAAAACTCTTGTATTCGTAAGTATTCTAACCACTCCACAAGCGGAAAACCTCATCTAGAAGTGCTAGGTTACTGGCGCGTCGGGATTTCTTGGCTCAGTTGTAGTTCATGAGCTGCTTCAAGCCGGCTATGCAGTTCGAGCGTTGGTTCCCTTCTTACTGTTCAAGGATAAGTCCGCTGAAATTTGATAGGTCGGCTCGAGGAGCCAAGGTTCCCCTTCTCCAGCAGGCCTTTGCTCAATACCCGCAATTTGAAGCCGTCGAAATTGCCGACCTCAGGACCGCGGATTACACTGAAGCTTTTCAGGGAGTGAATGCTATTATCCACACAGCAGCTCCCGTCGCTGGTCGGGTTGGTTTTGACAGCGAACTGGCTTTTAACAGTGCTATTGATGGATCGCTTCGTATACTCCGCGACGCAAGTAAGGCTGGAATCAAGAAGGTCGTTGTAACTGGGTCGATAGTCACGTTTCCTAACGGCTCGTATGGCTCTAATGGTCAGTGATGTCAGTGAATTCTATTGCAGCTCATACTAACACTTGTAGATTGGGTTGGCGTGACGAAGGAGGAGGCCGTCAAGGGTAGCCTGTTCGATATCTACATTGCAGAGAAGAAGTTTGGGGAGCAAGCAGTCCTCGAATATGCCGAGCAGAATCCTGACATGGACATCACTATTTGTTTGCTTTTTGCATCTTCTGTCGAGCTGTTCTGACATTAGCTCAGTCTGCCCCACTTGGATCTTTGGGCCTCTTTCACCTGGCTTCGAGTCCATCGTGCCTTCTCCTGAAGGTGCTTTTGCAGCCTTTTCCACCAACGGTTTTGTCTACCAACTGCTCCGCTCGGATAACAAAAACTACCATTACTTTCCTGGCTCCATTGATGTGCGAGATGTGGCACGTATTCACATCACTGGCCTCACCGCACCCACTCCGAATGGCTCTCGTCCCCGTCGGGTTCCAATCGTCTCCCCATACCAGACCGACTTTCGCGAAGCCATACACATTATTCACGACGAACGACCTCAGCTGAGGGAGCGTCTTGCCCATCCAGATACAGTACCTCGTTGGACAACGTACAAATGCGATGTGGACTTGGACGCGCTCGAGAAATACTTTGGCTATCCGCTATCTGCGTTCAAAACCTGGCGTGAGACGATTCTTGACGGAGTAGATCGGTTCATCGAAATAGAGAACTATTGGAAGGGCAAGGGATTTGAGTTCGAGGTGCCTGTTGAACCGCCGGTGTAAAGACAAAGATTCGAGAAGTACTCACAGTTGTACTACATATCCATACTTGTTTTTTTTACTCTAGGTCGAGTCGTCGTCACGTGTGAATGTCACAAAATGACTGGTTTCATCTGCTAGCACTTCCACGGCCTTTCGAGCGCTCACCTGGGAGACAATTTTTTCGGCTTACCGTAATACTGAACCACGTCCGGATCCTGCTTGACTGTTTTGGCCACTTGCAAAGCGACTCGGAGCGCGTGAGCAACTTCAAGTTGGACAATATCGCGAGACAACCATGACACACTCCCTTTTCGCAACCACTCGATGTCTGTGGCTATAGGCAAACAGAGCAGTGAGTTGTCATCGTCAATTAAGCTGTGTCTCCTCTCATCTCACATAAAGCTCCGTTGCATGGTGAATCATGCAACCTGAATTCGACATATAGCACATAAACCACGCGCTCATCTCGCATATGCATTTGCGACCACATCACCGAGGCGTGTCACCGTGTCGCATGGCTCGAAGTGATCTGCATCGTCCATTCTCCCACCTTCCGGAGGGTCCAGAGGCCAGAAAATAAATGGTTCTGGACGTCTGCGACGACATGGCCAAGAAGATCTACCTCCGCTGCGGACTACCCCGCATTTAAGAAGTGCGGGGTAGAGAAGGGTTAGAGAGGCAGGACGGATTTGACCGCTTCGGCAGATGTTCCCGAAATAACTCTCAGACTCGATGGCGGGTGCCAATTCTATCAAGGGACCCATGATTCTCTCATGAATGGGCCGACAGCAACATCTCGCAACTACCTCCGACGAGCCTTCTTTTAAAAAGAGATGTTGCCAGTCGTGGTCTTTACACCGAGGTTCCCCATACTCTCCTCAGGCAGCCCGGCACGCAATGCTCCTCTCAAGGGCTCTCATTCCTCTTGCGTTGGCCTTCCTGACTGCCGGAGCTTCCATCGAGTCCCGCGCCAGTGCACCCAAGGTTACACTCGACAGCGGGGTGTTCACAGGCAAGGTCGGCTCTTCAAACACACAGAGCTTCCTCGGAATCCCCTTCGCACAACCTCCGTGTGTGACCATTCTAGTTGTCCGCTCGTTAATGATGCTCAACTTTCACCCTAGTGTCGGGCAACTGCGATTCCAACTCCCACAGCCGATCCCAGCGTATAACGGAACACATACAGTCACCTCCTTTGGACCCGGCTGTCCACAGCAGGCATTCAAACTACCGATTGTCGATGGGCTACCGCAAGAGGTCTTGGATTATATAACGAACACGGCGTATGGTATTATATTCCCATCGGATGAAGATTGTAAGTCTTTGTCCTTGCGGAATAATATGCAAAGTTGGTTGACTTGCAATTGTAGGCCTGACTATCAATGTGATCAAGCCAAATACCGCAACTTCGTCGTCCAAGCTCCCTGTTGTCGCCGTTCGCATAGGCTTCTCCTGATCTTTCGTTTAGCTGAATGCAATCTAGTGGATATTCGGTGGTGGTTTTGAGCTGGGGAGCCCTGCGATGTACGACGGAACGGCTATCGTTGAACGCTCGATCTCCATGGGCGAACCCGTTGTCTACGTGTCGATGAATTATCGCGTGTCAGCTTTTGGCTTCCTTGCAAGCAAAGAAGTACGCGCCGCAGGTATCGGTAATCTTGGCCTGCAAGACCGTATGTTCTCCCTCCACTTTTTGCCCCCCTGTCTGATTTGTAAGAAAGAACGGCAAGCGCTGCGCTGGATCCAGAAATACATTGGTGCTTTCGGAGGCGACCCGACAAAGGTCACAATGTGTGTTGCTTTCCGCGTGTGTGAAGTGTTGTTCAACTTGGTTTAGCTGGGGCGAATCCGCAGGTGCCATCTCCGTCGCGTTGCAAATGATCGCCAACAACGGCAACAACGAGGGGCTGTTCCGCGCCGGCTTCATGGAATCGGGCTCACCTATTCCAACCGGCCCTCTCGAAAGCGGACAGAAATGTTTGTGCCGAGATATTCGTCTGTCAGCCTCATTAATATTGACATGCATCAGACTACGATGCCATCGTTAAGCAAGTTGGCTGTTCAAGTGCCGCAGACACTCTTGCTTGCCTACGGACAGTCCCATATGCAACACTCAAAGCAGCACAGGACGCTTCACCCGGTATTTTTGCCTACCAGGTGATATCCCAACCGTTTGAGAATGCAGGCTCATGTTTTCTAACAGTCACTCGCACTCGCATGGCTGCCTCGGGAAGACGGCGTTTTCTTGACCGACAACCCACAACGGCTCGTGCAACAAGGCAAGGTCGCGAATGTCCCCTTTGTCACCGGCGACTGCGATGATGAAGGCACACTGTTTTCGCTATCGACGCTCAACATCACGTAGGTTTCCGCCTCTCCATAATATTATTGCTAAACCTTTATTCTGCACAGGACGGACTCACAGTTCATCAACTGGGTCCACTCCAACTGGGTCCCGCAAGCAACAACCGCGCAAGCTAATACCTTTTCGTCGCTGTATCCTTCCTCACTCAGCGACGGGTCGCCTTTCGACACGAGCATTCTTAATGGACTCACGTCGCAGTTCAAGCGTATTGCTGCCTTCCAGGGAGATGGCGTGTTCCAGGCTCCCAGACGATTTTTCCAGCAGTCGCAGTCAGGCAAACAGAAGCAGTGGGGTTTCCGTCAGTATTTTCTCGTCCCATTGAATGCCCTATTGAACTCCCGTATTTCCAGTGAGCAAGCGTCTCAAAGCCGTTCCCTTCCTCGGCTCGTTCCACGCCTCGGACATCCTCAACGTCTACTTCGACGGCGAGCTGACCGACTATCTCATCAATTTCGCCACCAGCCTCAACCCGAACGGACAGACGGTGCCGAACTGGCCGGCGTACACGACCGCAACGCCGAATCTGATGACATTCCTCGATGGGCTGTTCCCAACCACGATCACACAGGACACCTACCGCGCAGACGCAATGGCGTTCTTGACGAACATGACGCTTCAATTCCCGCTTTGAGTGGGTGTTGTATTGTAAAACACTTATGTACCACTTATGTATGAATATCTGAGCTCACAAAATCGCGTCCAAGTTGGAACTTAATTCAGATCAGTGACGTAACAACTTGAAAAAAACCTTCTGCAGTTCCTACCACTTTCAATTTGGCATCGGAACTCTGGGAAGGCGGAACTCAGGCTGGCAGGAGTCTCGGGAGCGTACTCCACACCCTGCGCATATTCAGCTCGTCGCTGACATCGAGGCCGCCTCCAAGCTTTTATAGCTTACAAGAGAATATGAACTCTTTGCCGCATTTTCTTTTCGATTATCCTGGGTTTTAGGCGTTCTTAATAACCGGAATACTCCTCTGCTGACAGTGCCTCCAAATACTAAACAGATACTTGAATTTGTCTTCTGTTACTACTAGTAATAATCAACTTGAATACTATTAACTACCATGGCTCTGCTGCGGGACCGCAATGACTGAGAGTGACATATTATGTGGAGGTCGAGCCGATCAGCTACTCGGGAGTCGGCCTTATGCACTTCAAGTTCATAGCCGAGCGATCGCTGATGACTATGTACTTTTCGCTTACATAGTGTCTATAGTTGCTCAAAATCCTGCATACCGTGCGCACTGCACAGTAGCTTCACGAATAGTGCAGCTAGCGGATCAGCCATTGCCACGATTCGGCTCAGTGACCGTGACGATCATCGTGATTGCCGTACGGCGTGACAAGCACAATCTCTCTCTCCGAACTACATCGGCACTCTTGCATGCATCGGCACAGTCGAGTATGGGTGGGCATAAAAGGCCCCTCTGGTCTTTACTATTACCATCCAGCCTTTCTGCCCTCATAAATGGACGCTTTCGGCTTACGCAAACATGCTCTACTCTGTGTGCAACTGCAGCGCTACGGTGGTAGTATACCCAGGCTTTCCCTCAATTGCTCGCTTTCTAACTGCGACTGCTTCCTCACCCAGATGCTGTTTCCTCCATCAACCAATGGTCACGTATCGCGTCCCGCTACTCAGAGCTCACCATGGCGGACTACGAGCTCATCGACTCTGTTTACACCACCGCGCAGGATGAGCTGCTTGTCCAGCTAAAGTCTCTCAACAACTTGCACGGTGCACCGCCTGCTGACACGGAGACACGTATCGAACACGAATTGCACACTATTTTGCAGAATGGCCTCGATCTTGTTCACCACCTACTTCTCTTTACGGTCGCCCCGTCCGCCCAGTCGCGGTTCTGGACATACAATATGTATGCACTCTTACCACTCCTTGACTCGGACATGAACTTAGACTTACCGTCAGGCTCGGTCGCTTTCACTTGCGCCGCGGGAGGCTTGCAAGCGGAGAGGAACGCGCACATCACAAGCAGCGAGCCCTTGAGGCCTTGATTGCGGCCATGTGGCCAGTGCTGAAAGAATCCGAGCTCTGGGTGAGCCCTCCGCACCCCGCCCATGTCCAGCTTGTCGCTGACATCGACGCTGCTATTGAACTGTAATTTTAAAAACAAAAAACGCATGATACTTGGTCGTACAATCTTCTATGTGTGTCTTAACCAGCCCAAATCCGTCATCGACCACTTTCGCCACACGCAAACGTCTCAATCGGTCTGAGGACATGTTGAGCCGCCGTGCGTTGGTTCATCACAAGTCACTGATCATATCAGCGTGACCAACGTGTTTGGCCACCCACTGTTTTGGAACCCTTACAAGCCCTTGCAAGGATGTTACAACACCTTGCAGACCTCGCAACCTCCTACAACGACCTCTGTCAAGCCGGGGCCACATGTCCGCTGACACACAATGGTCTACACGAACGTCCACCATCACCGCCGCCCGCCGCAGAATGGACGACTCCCGCGTCCGCGCCGTGCTCTGCATGCGATTACAGCGCTTCAGTGGTACTCAAACTTTACTTCTACCTCCTTCTCTCTTTTTCTAAAATATTTTTTTTGCCGCCAGATGCCGTCCACCTCATCACTCCCTGGTCGCTCTCCGTGGCCGCGTCGAAGGAGCTGTCGGCAGACGACTACGCCCTCATTCAGTCCGCATACACAGCCGCAATAACCCTTTCTTTGCGTCAGAAAAGCGAGCTCAAGCGGCTGGATGCTACCCTGGCTGCGACGCCCAGCGCGCGGGACATGATGACAATTGTCGACTACGAACTGCATACGCTTTTGCGGGATGGAAGCAGCTTGGTACAACAACTCCTGGTATCTTCAGTAACGCCTGAGGCGCAGTGCTGGGCATACAGCATGTACGTTCTCAAATTTTTCGATGGTTGACTTTTTGCACGTGACCAACAAACAATATTGACAGGTTGGGACGATTCCACCTTCTCAGCGGCTTGCTCACAAACGGAGGGGAACGTACTTACCACAAGGAGTGGGCCCTTGGAGCATTCATTGAGGCGCTACATTTTGCGAAGGAGCTCTGGGAGAACCCTGCATTTCCTGCTTATGCTCAACTTGTTGCCGACATTGAAGGTGCCCTCAAGCTGTAGTTCTTTTGCAAAAAAATGTACATTATTATCTCCTGGGCTACACAATCCAATTTACATTTACTGTCTCTCTCTCAGCGTGGGCGTACCAAAATCCACCGACCCTCGACACCTTCCTTCTTCGCTACGTTTCCTTTGCTCTGCTCGCTCTCAAGCCAACGGTCAAGCGCATCCGAACTCAGGTTGAGTTGTTGTAATGATTCCTCAAGCCCAGACACATCCTCGTCCACTTTTGGTGAACGTAAAAGTAAGGAATGCAGTAACCACGCCTTGGTGTCCGAACTTGAATCTGTCTGCGATGATGCGGAAATCGAAATCTCGCGATAGACCGTTCTGATAGTCCGCCACGCCGTTTCGCGCGCCTTCACGCGGAGCGCCTCGACAAGGTGGACAACAGCCTTCTTCGCGAGTGGGTCCGACATGGCCATTGGTAACTTGAGAAAACTAACACCGCTGAGTTGATCGGCTTTTGTGTAGTTGCCAGCGCGCAGGTATCGAGCCAGCTGGTTTACCCAGCGTCGCTCGGGGCAGTCGAATGGGAAGCACGTGAGCGGAACAGCTTGGAGGGCGGTATGAAATGCGGTTTGGGAAGGGTATGATGTTACAAGATGTTGGAGGAGGCAGATGAGAGTGAGGGCCTCAGGTGACGATACTGAAGCCGGGGTGGTCGAGAGGTACGAAATGACGATAGGAACAACGGCAGAAATGTGGCGAGCCGAGTCAAACAGGACGGAGAGATAGAGTGAAGTCGAGTAGACTATTGAGGGATTAACTACATATGCCTGGAAGAGGGCAGATAAACCCACCATCGTCGCTGAATTTGTCTGAACGCTTGGAGGCTATGATTCCTTCACGAAGTTTGCCTAGACATAATTGAGAACGAGATGCTCGCCGTGTCTACATGCACTCACGAAAAAGTATCAGTAGATTCTCTTGAGATTCAATTCGCTGGCGAGTCTCGTTTGCACCTTCGTCTTCTTTATGAGGATATTTCTTCCAAAACGCATCAAGCTAGTAGACTCAGATCAGATAGCAATACTAGTAGGCGAGCTGACGAACCTTCCCCTGGATATATTCTCGATAGGCTTCCTGCATGTCCCAGTCCTTCAGACTACACGCTGAATCCATAAGTGACGGCTTCACATCCAAACAGAAGTTGCGCACTCGTCTCCATCGCGCTCGATCCCACCGCTTCGACTGACAGACGCGACGAGGTCCATACGTCTGCCCGGACTCGAGTTTGGCGTCATGGGCATTCGCGACGGTGTTCTTGGCGGCACAGCGAGAAGGTCAGGTGACGGCGTAGAGCGGGGAGTCTGAGGTGCAGGTGCATGTTGGGGCACGGACAAGAAGTTGGAACTTTTAGAGTTATTTGAGGTCGATGCGTCGCGTCCACGTCCCCGACCACCCCGACTGGCGTTTCTGACACCGCCGCGGCCACGTGCACTGGGCGTTGGCGTGGTTGGCCCGTCGGAGCGCCACCGCGACGCAGAGGCCATCGTGAGGCGGAACCAAAAGCGGATTCGCACGTGACCGTCAGAATCGATCTCGTTCACCACCACGCACCATCCATGACTTCCAAGGCCAGCGGCGGTGGAAACAGCGGCGGCGGGGGAGGCGGAAATGGCTATGCAGGTGCTCCCAAGTCCGTGTTTACCTTTTACTTACGGCTGGCTGCTAACTGCAATTCGAGGTACATTAACGACTTTAGCAAGGCTCTTGCAGGTGAAGTCCGGGTACTCCTTGCTGAAGTTGGACAGTTGAGAGATGAGCGACGCGCTCTGCAATAGTCAGCCTTCGCTCCAAGTGCAAGTCCTACACACTAAAACAAACGTCAGCGAGATCGCGGAGCTCATGAGCGCCAAGTCGAAGCACGGTGAAGGCGGCGAATACATGCCTGAATGGCGTCCCACAGTACGTTGCTTGCTGCTGTTTGTCTTTCATTACATCTGAAGCTTCCTTTTCACAGCCAGAAGAACCCGCACCTCCCCCACCCGAAGAGCCCGGCCCCGCAGCAGCCCGTCCTGGTTGGCGTGTGGTGAATAAACGACGCGACAGAGCGCTCAAGGCCCAAGCAATGCGGCCACCATCGCCCAACTCCGTCCCTCCACTCGAGCCACCAAAGCCGAATGTCCCTGCTTGGGCTCAATGGCGGCGTATGACTTGTTTCGTTCTTCCAAAGCCGATATCTGACCCAACACAATAGCCAGCACGGCCTTTTCCCCAGCGCCAGTCCCAGGCACAGTTGCTGCCCCGCTTCCCAGTGCTCCTCCCCCAAGATCGGGAATATTCGGTGTGTTTTCCTCGTGTCTTTCCGACAGAAACATGCTAAATATAGCCAGGTCCCCCAACGCCTCCGCCAAAGTAGTCCCTTTGTCTATCGGCGCTTATGCCAGCATCCAACGGCTACAACCAATGGGTCTTCGTTCTCTTTGTTGTCAGAGCGACGAATGTCACATTCAGTAGAACGCGCTTCTCGATTGTACACCAAGCTTTCTCTAAACAAAAAATGTAATTCTATTGTACTACGAGAACCACCGCCAGTTTGCGAACCAAAGAATGGCCAGAAGGAGGGACGGAAGAATCACTTGGACTGGTCGTAACCGTTTCGCCTTTAGAGTGAGTGACGAAGGCGGACCATTGGCACCTGCGGCATCGATGGCGGCAATTTCCTCCTCCGTCAGAGATGCTAGCAAGGTGTGAGTGCTAGGCAAATTGTGGTACAAACACGAACGGAGATCTCCAACGGCAAGATACTCCTCCATGTGTGCCTTGCTTGAACTTGTCCTTGGATAGTCGTCAGGAATCATCAAAGCAAAATTAGAGACAACACGCACGTAACAACAATGACTCCCTTGCTCTTCACCCAAAGGAAGATAACCTGTGTCGGACTAATACCAAGACGCTTCGCGGCCGCCGCAACGGGTGCATCGACTGGGCCACCCGGATACCGCGTAATGGGCGCAAGCGAGCTATAGGCAGCCGTGACAATCTTATGTTTCGCAGAAAACTCGAGGAGGGGCTTGAGTTGCGTGTAGTTGTACGGGCTGAAGCTAATTTGGTTCACGGACGGCAGGACGCGGGCGATCTTGACGAGCGATTGGAGTTGGGGGAGGTCGAAGTTGCTGACGCCGATGCTCCTGCAATACGGGAATTGAACGACTGTAACTAAAAAGATGATAGAACGCACTTTGTGAGCCCACTCGCTTTGGCCTGCTCAAAGCCGCGCCAGACGGACTCGACGTCGGAGACAAGGCGAGGAGAATGGATCAGGTAGAGGTCGAGATAATTTATTTTGAGCTGCCATTCGTGAGTGGGTGCTGAGCGGAGAGCATAGCCGAATACCTTCTCTAAACTCTCCTTGAGTGCGTCCTGAGCGTCGCCACGCCAATACTTCGAGGTGATGTACAATTCAGAGCGCGCAAGCCCGCTCTCGTATATCGCCTTCCCCATCGTAGCTTTAAGGCTTCAGCTGGGCGGGGGGCGAGAATATAGACAGACAGACTTTCGGTTCCATAGACTGGAGAGTGTTATTCGGCAACATAGAGTATTGCCAACACATACTTTGGGCCGTATCCAAATGCTCGAAGCCAGCCTCCAGCGCCAAAGTGACGATGCCGGAGACGTCCTTGCCTTTGTTCACCGAGCCTGTCTAAAGATCAGCAAACGTTCCTCCACCCACTTCCCGTTGACGAACCCGTCCCGAACGCGATAGTCGGAATCTATACCCCCAGCACTTCAGCCGAGTATGTAGACGGTGAAGAGCAGCCACCCACCTCGTTCCCGTCGTTGAGCTTCGCGTTTGCAAACGGCATGGTGGTAGTAAGCAGGACGTGCTAGCTGATGCAAATTTCGTGCGAGATGGTGTGCGTGTCAAATCAAGTCCAAAAAACATCAACTAAAGCATTGTCCATGTCTCTGCCTGAGGGTCGAAGATATGCCAGTCGTTGTTGGGCGCTTAACGCGAGATGAGGGAAGAAGGAGACTGTCCTCAATCAGATCATACCTCGTTATATTTTGGGACATAATCGTGATATTCAGTGTTTTACAAACAACAACGTAGGTAGATGTGGTCCTTGACTGTTAGTTTGTACAACTTGGTACAGCTCGGATAAGCTCGGGAACACCCCGATGGATAAATAAATTTGGCCGTTGCCACCAGTGCGCCGCATTGCGCCGGCCAGGAATGAGTCGACAAGCTTATGCGCTCTTGTAGCCGTACACTGGCCCGCCATCCTCCCGAAGGGTCACTTTAGTCATCGCGATGTTGAGAGTGCCGGTTTGCGTTTGGCCATTCGTGCCGTTGTATCCGCCGCGGGAGGTCACCGCTCCGTTCGAGTCACTCAGCGACGCATTGAGCGCGCGCAGGGTTTGTCGTGAGTTGAGCGAAGCGAGAAGGGAGTTGGCAAAGACTGGAGCATGGAGGGTAAGCGGCGAACAGGGAAAGAAGAGGATCAGGAAAACAAACGTACGACGCGCTTTGACGAACTGGATGCCAACCCAGACAACTATGTCAACTCAGCAAGTCACTCGAAATTGAATCAGAAAAGGACATACAGTTAGTTCTCTCCACCTGGTAAAAAGCCAGTGTCAAGACGCTGAAGATGCTGGTAATCAGCCCCGTCTCTGTAAAGAATGAGCGGACATAACAGGGTGGGCAGAGATTTACCAATGGTCCACATGATGAGCTTATCAACTAACGCACTGGTTCTCTGAAAGCCTTTCGACCGGCTGGAAAGCAACAACAGGACGAGTGAAAGGGTGATGACATTGTCGTTTATCAGATTGACGATCCAGGGTGTGAGCAGTAGCCAGCCATATTGATTGAGGAACGAGGGGATGTTCTTTGCCCCAATGGCAAGTGTCGTCGCAGCGATGGAGCCCACCAGGTAAGCCCCGCCCGTGATCCATAGTAAGAGGGGAATGATACGGACGAAACGGTTGCTTGCGAGACTCCATATACGGAAGGCAAAGAAGGACTGCACTAAAAACCAGTGAGCATCAGAGGAAATATAGGACAAGGGATCCGCATACCCAAGGTCGTGATAATCGCGCCAAGAACAACCGACAACGCCAAACTAACAGGCATCTTTCCCAGTAGACTTCTAGGATTCCCGTAGTTGATGACAGCATAGAAATAATTTGCATGCCCAATGGAAGCCGCATGAGCGAACTCGAACATCCTGCTCAAGGTGGTGAGCCACGCAGGGGCCATAAACGTCTGAGAGCTCACCAGACGAAAGCCACCATTCCCTTCAAGGTCCACGGGTCATCTGGGAATCGCCCGTAGTACAGATATGCTTGAACGGTCGTTATTCCGAAAAGGACGTATGAGCAGAGAGTCCCGATGAGAAGAGCGCCTAGAAATCATTCAGTGCAGTTACAAGTGGGATTGCGGTTCATTGCGTACCAACGGTCGGCGCGGCATCGAAGTGCGCCAGTGGATTCGGAGCAGCGGACATTGCTGGAAGCGGGAAATGAACGGGAACTGCGAAGAAAAGACCGGAGGGTTAGGCCGGGAAAGACGAAGCCATAGACACCCTTCCGGCCATGGGTTATAAGTCCAAGATTGGCCCATCAGTAATCCGATAAAAAGATGGCATCTGTGGATCTAGACTGGTGCCATGTGAGATTTACCGTTTACGCTGTGTCCTTCGATTGATGCGTGGAGACGGAGCATGCATGATACAGCCAAGTTGGAGCCAAGTCCCTTTTGCCATCATAAGTGAGCAGGCCGTCGCAGGCCATCGAGCAACTTGCGAGCAACACAGGTGTCAGTTGCCGATGAGATTTGTCTTGTGGAAGGTCGATGTTTCTCAATGTTTTCTCCGGGGCAAGCCAGCGGGAAGCCCAGGGCGTCCGGGCGGCAAACGGCGAACGGCGAACATAAACAGCGAAGCACGCTGAGATTGGCTAAGAACTTTGGTATGGGGTAACTACAGGATTCATATTATAGGCGAGGCGCATTATGATGACGACGGTAGAGGCGGGGTCGAAGGAAATCAAAACCATTTCGATGACGTTGCTCCTCCGCCTTCTTTTATGGGCAACGCGGCAGAAGCAGCAGGATAAGTATATGATCTTGATGAAGATGCCACTGGCAGTAAGTAACCCAAGTACTTGTGTTGGCCTCTGTCCCAACTCCGGAGCGATGGTTCGGCAGTAAGTAGTTTCGTTTGAGCACTTGCGCGATGAGATATGGTGAAGCGGAGTAACAGAAAGGTAGCAATTCTTGTTGACATAGGACGTGGAGCTGCGTTGTTCGAAATGGTTCGAAGTGAAGATCGGGGGAGCTGCGAAGAGAAGAAGAGAAGATACCAAATCAAAATATGCTGGGAAGCTGGCATTGCGTTTTCCGAAATGTTAGTTGCAGTTTCACAGTCTGGGGGGCATCGCCGTTGCATGTTTCGGCGAGCGGATAGACTCCTGCCAGCAGGGTTCAAGGTGAAGAAAGTGGTCCTGAATCGGTACTATGATGCTTTGCGGTGCTTCTTGAGCTTGAATCCCACTTGCGGGTTTTGGTTTCCGCCTTGCGTTGTCGACGAGGAAGTTCATCGGAATGGAGGGAGGTGCAAAGAATCACAACGATGACGATGACCCAGAATCAGTCAAATTTTGGGAAAATCATTCGGTTTCACTGCAAATCAATTGCACAGCCGCATCGTGCGGACTTTGCGTGAACCATAGCTTCCGCCGCCCGGGACAAGACTGGGGCTCGCGTTGCAGAAAGCTCGCGCAAGTTCAATTATTAACCGTTTAAGCTAGCGCCATGTCAAAAATGGCCCTGGTTCTTCCGCGCTGCGTCGTTTGACCCCAAGCAATCTAGATCCAACCATCACTCTGCCTTCTTCCGCCCTCATAAAGTCGTTCGTCAACTCTTACGGGCACAACAAGTGCCGGGGCACAATCGAATCATGCAGCCCTTGTTTTTCTCCCTTCTCCTTGCCACAGTGGTTGCCAGTCTATCGACGTTCAGCATTCCGCAGACAGTCTTTGACGACCTCGTCCTGTACACGAAATACTCGTCTGCCGCTTATATGCTGTACTGTCCTCGACCGCTGGGTAACCATTTGATTCGGACCGTATGCCCATCGCTTCTTCAGCTACTGGCGCGAGCTCACTGACATCTGGTGGTTTCTTAACAGTTCGGGTTTTTCAACACGCATGCTTTTATTGCCCGAGATGACGCACGTCAAGAGCTGGTGGTGGTTTACCGTGGTACCGATAGCATGAAGGATGCGTTCACCGGTATGTGATTTGCTTCCGTTAGACGCCATGAACCCATCCATCCGTAGATGCTGAGATTCTCCTCCTGCCAATCGAAAAAGACTTGGCTGGAGTCAAGGCGCATCGTGGATTTCGCAACGCCCACAACAGCATTTCCGAGGATGTACTGGCTACGGTCGCCGCACAACTGCAGAAATTCCCTAGATATAGTTTGGTCGTCACTGGTCATAGTCTCGGTGGCGCCGTCGCCTCTCTTGCCGCCCCCTTTTTGAAAAGAGGCTTGAACGACACACTCGGTCTCAAACCAAAGATCAGGCTCTTTACTTTCGGTAAGCCCAGCCCGGTTATCGACGCGTCCAATCAACTCACGGTGGTCAGGCCAGCCCCGCGTCGGGAATCCCGAGTTTGTGCATTATGTTGAGGAGCACATTGGCGTTGAGAACATATTTCGTGCTGTGCATAGGTCCGGTATGGCCCACTTCCATTACTCTGGACTGCAGACAACTTTCACAGATTATATACCCAAGATTCCGCGACTCTTCGTCGGTTACCAGCACTTGTGAGTCGTCTATCTCACCAAAGTTAGGATAACTGACATTATTTTACTGGCAGCGCAACAGAATACTGGCAGTTTGAGACATGGCCGCCTACGCCTGACGATGTAACACGTTGCGTCAGTGGCGAAGACCCCTCCTGTAGTGCTTCGACTGGCTCTGGACTTCCTTTCCCCGATCTGGTTTCCCACGGCCTCTACTTTGGTCAAGGTCCGTTTGTTTGTTTTTTCTTTCTTTCTTGAAAACGATCGAGTTTATACTGAAAGTTGAATCCACAGTCATGGTACCACCGAACCCTGGACTCTGCATCGGAATTTAGTTTCCTTCGGCGTAGAAGCGCCTCCTTCAACTCGTTGTCTTGAAAGCTGTTGTAATTCCATTGATGCAATCGAACTTTTATCATCACTGATACCTCATCTCATCAAGTACTCAGTCAGCCATCCTTCGTCGTTCCAACCAAATTCGTTCAGCGGCCGCATATATCTGAATGGCGCGTTGAAGTCAAACCGCGGGTATGACCCAGCTCGTCGATGTCAATGTCCACCACGGCTTCCTCAAAGCATACAACAACGTCGCAAAGGGCGTAATCGCTACGGTTACTGGTAATACATCGACCCGCTTCTTTTCATGCAGCCTCACGAGAGTGTCAGACGTTGTGTAAGCGGCGAGGACACGACATGCAGCGCTTCGATTCGTTCGTTATTCTGTCGCTTTCTCAATACGACTCACAGCATTCTTCAACAACCGGCGGCATCAACCCTCCACACACATTGTACTTCGGCCAGCGTGAGTCGTTTTGTCATTCTCCGCGAAGGATTCTAATGTGCTCGTGCTAGCGATGGCGTTGAATCCGCTTCTTTGCAAGTGATTTGTGTATTTCTTGAAGAGGTCGTGTTCTTGCTGTGCCGTTGTCTGTTAAAATGTCTCAGTTTCACGTCCTGGTGCTCATAAAATGTCTTTACCTGCTTTTGTGTCGTCGCATTGCTTACTGCAGACGATTCCAATTCCCACTAAGATATATTAGCTACACTTCAATTGGGGGAAAGGGTTAACCTGTGTTCCGCAGGAACTTCGCTGGAGCTCAGATCTGCAAGAAGGATGAGTGCTTTAGACAAAATTGGCTACTACGAACCATTCTGCACGATTTGATCGATCGTCTCATTTGCACCGATCGCCTGTAGTGCCATGAATAATTCTGGATCCCACAATAGTGGGTCAATATCTAGCTCTGAATGCGTTGGTAATCGTCCCAGATCTTCTGTCCGTAGTGGCATGTAAAACTGATTGTCGATGGCGGGAAATGTGGTATTGTTTGCATCGAATGAAGGCTCTTCGTCGCCGTCTCTCGAACGCTTGAGTGAGGCAGGCATCTTTCCAACTTCAAGCATCCCCTCCAGAATGTCCACCAGCCGACCAGCCGTTTGCCATCTGATTAGATTGCGTCAGATCCCAACCAATCATGGGTATATTTATGGGTTACCGTGGTTCATACGTCCGGAGTACATTGAGACAACGCAGGATATTCTCGTCCACCGTCGCGCGCGAGCGAGAGAACCCGCACATGAGCAGCACAGTGGCAGAATCAAACATTGCTGACTGAATTCAGGATTAGTCCTCGTGTTGTTCACCAAAGAACAGCGGTTACTGAGACGTGTGGAAGCCAAAGGAGACCTGGACCGTTTTTGCATTGAATTTCCATGACATGGCCACATGAGCGTGCGGCGTTCCAGCAAATTGTCAGCGAAGGGAAGGAGTTCTATCATAGTGTGAGTTCCAGACGACCACAAGAATAGTACAATCAGACCGCTGATAACGACGGGCTTTTAGGTTGTATGAACGGGCGATGTAGATGGATTTGCGCTACCAACCAGCCGGTCAGTTACAGTATCTGCCTTTCAATTTGGTAGAGGAGATTCACTATGCTGTGGAGATGATCAATAACCTGATGCCACTGGGGAAGGTGAACAACAAACATAGTACAACGTGTAGAGGGTGGCGGATTGATTCATGCGTATCGGGTTTGGCTGGCTCGGATCCCATCGCACTACTCAGGATAAGAAACCCATCCATTCTATTGACACAGTGGAATACTTGCAGTCTTGGGGTATAGAATCGACCCATTGATTGAGTGCAGAGCTGTACCGTGGCGCTTAGCAGAAGCAAACGCCAATGATAGTACCCACTCAAGCCCAGCGACCATTTGTTGACGACGTTGCAGATCCTTCGTACCATGCTATTAGGAGTATGAGGAACGGTGTCAGTCCAAGGGCAGAACGCCATACGATTGCATTATGAATTTGCGATTGGATGTCGAGTAATTTTATGAGCGAGGTATTATAGGGGCGAACAATTGGATCTTCCCCTTCCATCGGTACTGGGTAGTCGAGGTCGACACTAGGAATATTAGATAGTGCAGCATAATCATCTCAAAAAGCAACCCACTGCGTCCAACAAGCCCCCCGAGGACGTCCCAGCAAAGTGCTCATGACTGCGTCGGAGCAAAGCAGCAACCAAAAGACTCGTTTGTAAAGCTCCGCGTGGACGGTGTCTCCGTTGGACCGCATTTTCTTGTGCGCACCGACGTCAGTGGCCATTCGTAGGCCTGCGCCAACAGTCGTCCAGCACACCTCCGGTGTTGACGAGGCCCCAAGATAGAGAGACGCTAACTGGTGAGATAAGACAAAATATGTAAAATAGAGCATGATCACAAACACTAATGAGCTGAAGTTCGTATAATGTCGCGCAGGTCACAAAACTTGTTGGTATAGCGCGGACCTGACTCCACCATCGCCAGCCAGCGCTGCCAAGGTCGCCCGTCTCTTCAAGTAGTACTCGAGGGTCGTCCGAGAGCTTTGCTCCGATGGCACAGACAGCAAGCACAACAGATCCAAATTTTTGGTCAACGAGATGCAGTCCGGCAGAAACAGCACGATGGAAGGTGGGAGCGTGCAAAAGAGAAACAACCGGATTGACGTGCAGAAAATAAAGCTTAACGAGCGAGTCGAAAAGGTCGGGCTCCGGAAATATCTGTGGCACGTAGATTTCAAACGGTACTTCCCACTAAAGCGGGTGAAACAGGTCCCGGATGTCACGAGGAAAATACATACATGTTTGACTCCCCAGAACTGCGGACGAGCCCATTGGATTTGAGGCGGTATATTCTGGCCAGTTGCGTCCACTTTCGCCTGGATCAGTGCTTTAACGAAGTTGATGCTACTCGACCGCCCGTAAAAACGATCTGTTGCGACGTTCCGAGCGAGTTGGCGCAGCCGATATGGTACTTTCTCGTCCAACAAGACTCCATCGTCGTCATCACTGTCGATCGAATTCCCGCTCTCGTCGGTGGGTCCACTCATGTCTGTCGTTCCGGAAGATGATTCAGGAGATGGGTATGGCTGTGAGGACGCGCTTTCATGTGCTGAAAGTGTGGTCTTGATACTGAAGGCTTCTTCTAACCTCCTCGCGTATTGGGCAATTGCAAAGAGGACCTGATAATTTCCGGCTGCGTACTCCTGAGAACCTGACAGGATGGCAGATATGTGCTCTTGCGCTGAGCGGGGAGGAATAACAGTTGTCGGAAGCTTCGCGTTGGTCGAAAACACGTTAGTTTTGTGTTAAGACTAAGAAAACCAAGGGAGTCACACACCGGTTTGGGTGGTGGCGGTAAATAGGCATGGGTGCATTCAGACCCAAAAGTGATGCAGTTAGAACACCGTCTGCCCGGCATCTCTGCACTGTCACCTAGAAATTGTTCAAGTCTCGGGCGGAGAGGTCGGCGAAATGCAATACATCGAGCTGCCGTTCTGCGGTCAAGCAACGTCAATGACGATATACACAACCGACTTACCTTTTTGCCTCCGGCAGATGTCGCAGGCATTCGGAAGCCTCCGGCGCTTTGTCTTAGGAACACGAGGGCTTGTTTCAGCAGCTAGAGGAGATGACCGGGCTTTCTGTAGGGGAGACTGGTTAGCCGACATGGTGGACGGGGGAAAGACAAGAGATGTCAATTGTCGGATGAATCGCCGCGGCCGTTACGTGGTTCCAATGACCAAGCTGATTTGTTGCGTTGCTCACAAGTTGATCAGACACTTCGTTACGCCACTGGACCAGCGAAGATCGACCATACTCGCAATTACTGAAAGATTTACAGACCCTTCATTCAATCGACTGTTCGGGATCGAGGAACGGCGTTACTGTTCAAAGGGGAAGTAATAGAGTGGAGCGATAAGATGGAGAGCTATGTAGAGGGACGGAGATGTATCGCGATCGTTATGTAACAGCAAGCGATGAAGCTTTCTTGTCTTTTTTCCGTTTCTTTTTCTTCTGCAACGAGCCATCTATGTCATTTTTTCCAGGTATGGGTAGCGAGCCATCTCCAACGTCGTCAGAATCTCGGGTTCGTTTTTTATTCTCTGCAGCGTCCCGCGGAGGTAGGGATGGTGGATCCACATCGATTTCTTGTGATGGTACAACGAGAATAGGATCAGAGAGAACGGCGCGATATGTTTGGCGTGTTTCTAAGAAGTATTTCAGTCTATCATTGTCCAAGGTTGTCGAGTGTTACTAACGTGCACGTAGAACCAGAGCTTTGGGCACCTTCGTCGAAGCAGCCTGTGCAACGTCTTGAGCAACGCCGAGAAGCGTTATTCTAATTGGAAATCAGTGAAGTTTGGGCTTCAATAAAAACCCACAGGTTAGCCGCATCTTTTGGCGCCCGCAAATCAGCCTCCGCGACGACTCCCCCGCTAACAAGGATGCCCTTCCCCTTCGTTATGCGTATAATCTCTTTCCCGTTCGTCCACCAGTTTCGCTTTGCTGGCACTCCCTTGTCGGCGGCCCCGGCTTCCACCATAATCGCATCGTGTTCACCACCCAACGCCCCCACATAGCTGATCTCGAAAACCACACCATTTTTCAATGCCCCACGAACCAGCGTATGCCTCATGCGAAAATCCATACGGAGAGTCAACGGTACTGCGATTATATGCGCAGTAACTGGGGACGCGACGGTATGCGTCAAACAAGCGAGGGAAAAAGTGTTTTGTGAGGTCGGCATGAGTGCAATCAAGTCGTATGGCTTGAAAATATGTGCATTGACAAGCGTGAGTCCCATTGATTTCTCGCTCTCTTGGTCAAGGACAATCGTGAGTCGTTTGAGAAAAACAATCCCTTGACGGGGTTTGAGTTTGGCTAGCAGAGGTTCAAGAGTATTTGCATGTGTTTGAGGATGAACAGATGAAGCCACCGTTTGGTTGAACGCTATTACGGTGTATCCTACTGCGACAATGGGCATTAGAAACGAGATATAGATGAACTCACAATGAACGAGCACATCGACACGTGTCTCGATGGCAGCTATCTGTCCTGGGGAGTACACAACATCAACGGGAACGTATGGTTGTTTCCCTTTGTTCTTTTTGTTGGCAGTCGACACAGGTTGTGGGAAGTGAATAGGGACGTTGAGGTCAAAATACATCACGCTGACAAATGGTTAGCTTGCCGAGGACACTCATCTCCTTCGGCAGCACATACGAACGCAATTACTCAGCCCTTCTTTGAACGTGGGCCACTTGCTCTTCAAATAAACACCACGAATGCCCGCTGCAGGCAAGGAGGATAGGCCACGCAAGAAACCAGGCAGAGTGTAAGCTTGATCAAACCCGGATCACTTTCTCACTTGCTTTAGTCCGACTTCCTGTGCAGAATGCCGACGTCTCAAGCTGCGTTGCGACAAGAATGTAAGAACTATCACTACACTCAACTTTTGCTCGATCTCTCCAGGTTCCTTGTGGTAAATGTGTGTCGAGGTAATGTTGCAGCCTTTTTGCGTGCACTTCGTTGATTCATTGTAGAGGGTGTGGTCCTATATGCCCCGACGGTGTGTCTACACAGCTCATTGGAGGAAGTGTAGATTAATTGTGTCTTGAACGTCCAGGTCAATTGGCTTCTGGTGCGTCCAATCGTCTTACACTATGTAACAACACTAAACCCATTCAAGGGAAGGGCCACCGTCTCGTTCTCGCTAACACAGAAGAGCTCCATGATCGCATTGAAATTCTTACCTCTCGCATTCGTGAACTCGAGAATGGACTACGCGCGCTGAATGAATCTTGCACCGAGCGTCCACACCCTCTTCTTAGCGCTGAACTTCTCCAAATAAAACACTCCTACACAGCGCACCATCGCGAAAACTTGGGTCAATCTCGTGACAGCCAAACGGCCTCCTCCTCTTCCGACTCCCCGGGTTCAGATAGAGGCACCACCGACTCTTCCGTTGGTCGAGGGGAGGAAGAAAACCTCATAGATGCTTTTGGGACTCTTACTGTTGGTCCCCATGGTGATTCGAGTTTTATTGGGCAAACAGCTCGAACCGAGGTCAGATTTATCAGAGTTATGTGTCTGACTGAGGCGTCTATAGTATCTTGTGTCCGCACACTCCAAACCCTTGACCAAGACTAATCCAGCCTCATTCCCCACCACAACTCCAAGGCTCCCCAAACGTATTACCGACCTTTCTTTCCCAGACTGCGAGGTTACAGACAGTGACTTGGCGAGCGAAGTATTTGGGTTTTTACCCCCACTCAGTGAAGCCATTCGACTCTGCGACATCTATTTCGAGCATGGGGCGTATCTGTGTGTTCCCTCGACTTTAGTCTCCAGCTTTTGATAACCTTTAGCTCATTTACTCTGCAACGAACTGAACTTTTGGATGATGTTTTAGATGCTGTATATCGTGCTGGGTGTGTTGCCTGCTATATAGAGCATATTGATGCCTAATATCGCGTTCCAGGTCTTTCGCCATGATGCGAACTCATCACTCGCTATCCCTCCTCTTCTCGGTCTTCTCGATCGCCACTCTCTTCGACTCTGATCAAGAAGCATATTCGGTCCAAGCCCAAGAATTTCACTATTTGGCGCGTGCGGCACTTGCTCTGTCTTCTCCTGTGCGGCATACGACCCTTGCGGCAGTTCAGTCACTGGTTCGTTCTGCTGTCCGTTTTCGCAGGTACCTCTTCTCATTATTTTTTAACCTATAGCTACACATGGCACATTATGTCGATCTCAGTGACTGGGAAGGAGATACCGCAAGCACAAACGCTGCGTGGCTTTATATGGGTACCGCCATCAGGTTATCCTTCGGGGTATGTTTATCCTATTGACGGACCTACATTCTGATGCATGACTCAGCTTGGGCTGCGTTAGTGAAGCTGTCCCATCCCATCCTCACAAGCATCCTCACATACTTTCATATTAGATCTTAACAGTAGCCGTTGGAAGCTCACCGAAGAGGCTTCTCAAAGACGAAGTCGATTGTTTTGGCAACTCTTCATCAACGATACATGGATGGTTTGACTTCATACCAGAACCGCTTTGCCGGTCGCTGACCACTTTTGTGTGATAGAGTTTCTCATTAGGCCGTCCTGCAACGATCTCGACAGGCACTATCGACTGTCCTCCCCCTGCTGACCCTCCAGAAGTTACAATGGAAGATAATGGAAAGGGCGGAACTTGTAAGCTCGGTTTATTCTCCGTTTAGAGGGCTTATCTTGTTGCTGTTGTAGATTTCTCGTGGTGTTGCAAGTATAGCGTGCTCATGCACAATGTTGTGTCATCTGCCTTTGGAGTCAAACCACCAGCTTACAACACTATCCTCGAACTTGATCGCAAGGTTCGCGATTTCTTCATTCCCACCGCTCTTCGCCCTACGTGCGGGGTGGAACATCCGCCAGTGCCGAACCATGTATACCTACAGCGCTTCTTAGTGCTACAAATGAAGGAAACCAGTAGGTTTTCTATATCTGATCTTAGATACTTTGTCTGACTCCCTCAACTCATAGCTCTCTTGAATCTTCATCGTGCATATTTTGGCCAAGCACTTACGGAAAAACCAGACGATTTGGCTAGCCATCGGTTCATTCCGTCGGTCATGGCTACTTACCGTTCTGCTTGGAGGCTTATTCGTGGGCTGGTGATTTTATGGCGGGACAATCGCCATCTGCTTACAAGAATGGGTGCTGTTTGGTCACCTGCGTTGTCCGCCGGCGTAAACTGCTCCATCATCATTGTGACCTAGTATTGTATTGACCGTCTTTCAGATTGTCATGTGCATGTTACTTGTTCGTTCGCCTACCTCCAAAATGGCAGCGTCTTCGATGGAGGAGTTGGACGCGCTGGCAACCCTGTTTCAAGATGCTTCTAACACATGTCGGTTTGCCGCACAGATGCTGGTATGATTTTCTTTCCTCGACATCATCAAAGATTCTAAACTAGATTGACAGCAACCGGTGCTTATCCTACATCGTAAGGCTCAACAAGCGCTCGATGCGAGTGTCCCTCATCTCAATCCTGAAAACCCATGTAATGTTACTCCTGCTGATCTCGATCGACTTGGTGGAAGGACGCATCTGATTGCAGCTCCTCCGAGCGGTATATTAGCACCAAGTCCATCCAACTCTTCCGCTCACAGTCCGACGACCGGCTCTCGATCAACTCCAAGAGACCTTGCCAGTATTGCAGACGGTACACCCAATTCTAACAACACCGACGAAGACATCGTGATGCACCCTTCAATTGCGGAAGACATGAGGAGCTTTGATTTGGGCGAGCCGTCGTTGTTCTATGGTGCAACGTTCCCTCCCCCAGAAGAATTGGGTGGTGTGCCCTTTAATGGTCTGACGTTCACGACACCACCACCTCAGGCAGGGTTCGGGAGTGGATTTGGGATGGGTTTCCAAGGATACGGGGCTGCCCCACCAGTGGTGTTGGATGCGACTTGGCAAAGCTTTGTAGAGCAGCTTGGCTTTTGAAGATTTGTATCTACCTCACGCATGTTGTATATAATAATCGACTGTAATCCGCTTGCGCTGTAGAAATGAGAATTACCATCGTCACGTGATTGTAACTGTTTCCTCTGCTGACCATCAACATCAAACTCGAGCACTTGTAAAGGCTACTAAAGCATGGAATATGCAGTGCTCGTCGCCGGCTTTTAGTGAAGATTAATACTTGTAAACAAACATTAGCACGCGCCGGGGCCGAGGTGAGTTTGCCCATCTTCAAGTTCGTCATCCCAAACCGTTAACTGAGCCTCTCATTTAGAGCTTCTTATCGGCAACAGTCAACCAGACGTGCTGAGAATCGATTAAATCACTGCTAGCCAATGCCGTTTTAAAACAAGTCTGTTTCTTCATCGCACTTGTGCTCCGTATAAGTAACTTGCGAGTCGCTATCATCGATTGCTTTGGGTGGCTTGAGAACAGGGAAAGCATGGTTACATCCCTTGGCTCGAGATCCGCTACTTTGGTCAGTTCATGAAACGATTCTGGTTCCGTGTGGGGACTGACATCGCCCCATGCACCGACCTAGCTTAGAAGCGCGGCTTCCCTGCTGCTGATTGGAGCCCGGGCCACGCTATTCGGGCGATGGTCCCGTATGTGTCCCTCAGAACGGAGCCATAAAACCCTTCGCGTTTGCTGCGATATAATTGTCGTTTTCAACAGCTTCCTGTTGAAATGCATCTGTCGCTTGTCTCTCTCGCCTTAGCACTTGCGACGAGCGTGGCTGGCCTCTCGCCTCGCAGCATATCCAACGAACTCTACGACAACTTTGTGCAATACACCAAGTATTCCTCGGCAACATACCAGCCTGTCTGTTCGAAGCCACTCGGCAACCAATTAATACGATCTGTATGCTGCCTCTCTCCGCGACATAGCGATAGTTTTTCCGAATACTTTGCAGTTCGAGTTCAATAATACTCGTAGCTTCATCGTGCGCGATGATGTCCGCAAAGAAATCGTAGTTGCGTTCCGTGGCACCTGGAGTCTGGCGGACGTTATCACCGGTATATGCAAACTCCTTCCTCCTCCATATCTTAGTATGCTTACCAAATGAAAGATCTCGAGATTCTCCTTACGCCGCTCGTTTCGCCTGGTCTGGTTCAGGCTGTGGACGTCGACGTCCACTGGGGCTTTCTCGACGCCTACAACGATGTTGCCAAGGACATCCTTTCCATAATCACCTCACAACTCTCGACTCGCCAGTATCGTTTGGTCGTGACTGGACATAGTCTTGGGGGCTCAGTCGCCTCCATTGCTGCCGTGTCGCTCAAGACCGCCTTTCCACATACCGACCTCAAGTTATTTACCTTTGGTCATTCATGGTATGGTTTGAGTTGGAGATTGCGTTCTGATTGTGTTTTAGGCCAGCCTCGTGTGGGGAATTCAGAATTTGCGACGTATGTGGAGGATCTCCTTGGGACAGAGAACATCTTTCGGGCTGTCCATACATTTGGTCCGTGCCTCTCTGAAGCGGGTTTACTAGCTCTAACGTAATACCAAGATGGTGTTCCTACTATCATCCCACAGGCTTTAGGATATCAACACTTGTATGCTTTCCTGAATTGCTGCAAGACTTCACTGATTGACTCGAATGTCTCTCCTCAGTGCAACGGAATATTGGCAATATCTCGACCCAATCCCTCCCACGCAGCCCAGCGACAGTGTTACACGTTGTGTCGGCAGAGAAGACCCAGCTTGCAGCAACTCTCTTAGTCAGCGCTCTAGTATTCTCTTCACTATCCTTGCTCAACTGTTTTCAGTATCCACGGGCATCAACGTGGCTCATCCCGTGTACTTTGGCCAGGGTCAGTTTAGTTCATTGTCCTTCTTCGCAAGCAAGCCTGACGTGTCCATGTTAGTCATGGCAATCGACCCGACGCTTTGCATCTGAGACCGTGTCTGCCGTGGCGAGGTGTTGAAGTTGTACTTTATTCTCAGGTTTTCGACACATGTAGAAATAGCAAGCGTAATCACGATGACGTACACCTGCGCTCTTTCGATGTTCCACCCACCTCCCACTGGAAGCTCAAGTTCACATGCAGACACCACACCAAGCGAGACGTTGCTGAAGCGCAAGCGCTCTGATAGCCAGTCCACTCTTGCCGGCTCTCCGGGAAAGTTTCAAGTCCTTGAAGGCGATCGAGAAACAGCAACGTCGAGGTATCGCGATGAGAACTATTATCTGGAAGATGGGAGCTGCATTATTCTGGTTCAGGACACCCTCTTCAATGTGTGTTATGCTTTCATTACGTGCTGCGCATTGTACTGACAGGAGGCCAAGGTGCACCGAACAATGTTGTCCAAGGGTGCGTTGGCTATATTGGGGCTGGCTGGCAACGATTAAAGTACCACAAGATAACTCCCTGTTCTCATCCATGTTCTCTCTGCCGCAGGGGCAGCACGAGGCGGAAGGCCGCTCCGACGACAATCCTATCGTCTTGATGGACGACACTGTCGCTGAATTCCGACACTTTCTTTGGGCATTATACGCGCTGTAAGCCTCTTCCGTGTCTTGAAAAGAAAGGCTAATCCAATCACAGACCACTAGAGCTGCGGGTTGTTCATTCCGAATCTGCAGACCTCACCCAGCTAATGGGCATCGCGCGGATTGCGAACAAGTACTCCTTCAAGAGCATCGAGACCTGGAGTCTGGACGCGATCCAGGAATACGTGAACCACAAGCCGTCTCCCATCATCACTTCTATTCCACCGCCTCATACCTACGTGTTCTCTGCGAGCTCTCCAGAGGGAAACAATGCCCCACGCCAACTGACACAACTGATACGCCTCGCACAACTATGTGGCCACGATAAGCTGCTCAGCACGATGGTGTCGCTGCTGCGGCAGTTGATGAGCTCGTCGTTGCAGTATGCGTATCTGGCGATGACGCTGGCAGACGAATTGGATCTGAGGGTGTTGAGAGGCGCTGCATACCTGGAGGTCATGCAGAAAGCTGTGGTAGTCAAGCGGACAAAAATAGACCCCATAAAGCGCAGACCGGCAACGATGATAGCTGGACCGAGTGTGGCTCAGTCGACGGACGATTTAGATTCTGCGACAGAAGAAGCGAACGAAGGCGACGTGGACGAGGAGGGTCGGCTGGTGGTTACTCGAGCGCAACAACTCAGGCTGTTATCGGGCTACTACCGACTCACGAAAACTTGGGAGCGACTGCGAATCACGCCGCCGCATTTTGACCATGCCCCGAGCTGTTCAGCGACATGGCATCAGCATGGATGTACCCAGAGTTGGCTCGAGTTTTGGAAGGACAAGACAAGGGGTGATGCAGTGCTCTCTTTAGGTTTGGCGGACGTGTTGGGGCGGCTGAGGCAGGTGCAGAGGGACTACGATAGGTGGGGAAGTGCAACTTACATGCACCATGATTGTCGAATGGCGGCGAAGAGGAGCATCACGGAAGTGCTGAAGCGTGTAGAGGAGGCATTGCCTGATTTTTTCTCGGAAGCGGATGATTGAGGTTACACTATGCTACAACAGGAACAAGTACAATCTAAATTGGGGGTCAATTGAACTATCTGCGACTTTTCCCCTTAGCTCTTGTCCTTTTAGCAGCACGCGGTGGTGGTGGTGAAGGGGGGTCATTGTTGGTGTCGTGGAGAGATGTGTCGAAGCGGAGTGGACCGTGGTTCCATGGTCCAAGGGTTGTTGTGCCACTTGCGTTAGTGGTGAGCATCATGCCTTGCATGAGGGCGTCGATGTCGGTAGGAATAGTGTAGTCTTCTAACCCGGCTTGAGAACCACGGAGCAGCGCTTGCTCAAACAACTCGTCATCTTCAAGCTCGGCGATCTTGGCACGCAGGTTGCGCAAGATCCGCTCGAAGAGAACTATGAAGTATAAGGTCAAGTCTCTCAGCTGCTTGAGGTGACAGACACACTTCGTTCCTCTATAGCAGTGGTTGGTCGTGTAATCAACGGATCAATATTCGCCAGCTCTTCTTCACGCGTTGCCCGGCCCAGCTCGAGACGGTCGTTCCACTTCCGCTCGAAGGCCCATTGGTCAAGTTGCCCTTCGCTGTCCGACAAGCTGGTTTGGTCGGGGCCGTGAATGCTGCCCACCGAGCTTATCGGCGAAGGCTCGCGGATGACAGGGTCGGCGTATTCGGGATTGTTTTGGACTCGGGCCATGGTGGGTAAGAGCAAGAGACTATCAAACGGCGCGTCACGAAAACGCGTCAACGACTTGTCAGCAAACGTGACTCCTTTCCCACTCAATGATTTTCTCCACCTCCGCGTGGGACCTTGGGCCAATTTCGATCCTTTAGCACCTTTATGCCAGCTTTGGTTTGTTGTCGGAGGACTCGTTGAGCAAAGTGAAGTTTCCTAGCAGTTCTCTTCCTGTCCCATCATATCTACCGAGCTTGCGATTCCCGCTGCTCACGACGCATCTCCATTCATCACACTTTTCCGTATCTCTGCATCATTTGAATTCATTTCTTACCGGGACCGCCATCATCTAACGAGTCAGCCGTTGATACAAAAAAAGTACATTCACTTTGCAACCTCACAACCCTCTTACTGATCCATGGCTTTTCTTTGCCCTTCCAGCGTCTTCGACTTGAGCGACGCTTGTGTGCGTAGCTCATGGGCAGTCATCCTACCGTTCGCGGTTGCGGTTCTTTTCGCCGTCTCCGCGCTGCCCGTACCCCCTTCCTTCCACCCTCACCGCTCCGTTCTCCAAATTTCTAACCCTTCATGAGGCGGAGGTAGTTGTGGATGTTCAGATACATACCGAGGATATTGAGGTCGAGCCAGCCTCGCTCTGGCGCGCGCGCATCTTCGCCTTCGTTGGCGTCCTCCAAACTCTCGCCTGGAGCGGCCTGGCCTTTGTTGTTTTCAACCAGAAGGATGAACCCACGACAACCAGCCTGATTCAATTGGGATTCCTTGCAGGCTCGTGGCTCTACACTGCCGTCCGGAGTATCGCGTCGCCACCACAGACCGCGCCTTACGACCTGTTTGTCATTTATACCCTCCAGGCGATTGGAGCCGCCGTCGTTCTCGGTGGTCTACTCTTCGACAATGCATTCGGAGGAGCGTCGTTGCCGTCACAGGGCATTCTTGTTGGTCTGGGTGTTTACGCAGCTATGACGGCGGTCATGCTGTATCTGGTGGTGGAAATGCCTATGAACATTCCCTCTACGCGTGTGGACAAGACTGACATCGTGCATTTCTTTGTTTCTTCTTCGGACAAGCAACTGTTCTGACTTGCTATAGGGAAAAACTGTCTCTCCTGAGGACTACACCACGATATCTCAGTGGATGACATTCAGCTGGGTATACCCGCTGGTCAAAAAGGTCTGTGAATATGAACTTATACCTTCTATTCATGTCCTAACCGCTCATCCGCAGGGAACACACAATACACTGAACGAGATAGATGTTTGGAACATGAGCCCGACCATGCAATCGTTGCCAGTTTTCGTCAAGTTCCAGACCATCTAGTGCGTTGCAATTATTCTCCCTTGGCTTCTTGTGCTTTATTGACAATCAACAAGTCGAAGCACCCTTCTGCGTCGTGTGATCGCGGCCAACTCTTTTGACATCATGTGAGTCCAAATCGCTTTTCAATTTTGTCTCTCTCATCCTCGGTGGCAGCATTGATTTTATTGTCACTATCTTGGGGATCTTCTTCGAATATGCTGGACCATTTCTGCTCAAACAGCTCCTCGACGTTCTGGAACAAAAGAATCCGTCGCCCAGAGATAAAGCCCTTGCGCATCTACTGGCCGCGTTGATGTTTGTTTCTGCACTATTGAGGGGAGAGTGCAATCTTCAACATCTATGGTTCAGCAGGCGGACAACAGCGCGTGTCCGGTCCCAGCTTATGGCAGCGATTTACGACAAGGCGCTAAAAAGAAAGGACTTCAGCGGAGTCGTCAAAGAAAAGGAGAAAGATGATGGCAAAACAAAGGCCGAATCCGCTGGGAAGGAAGAGGAGAAAGCCAAATCGAGCGCAGGTAATGCCTGGTTTCTCTCTCTCTCTCTGGCTCTGGTAACAAGTTCCAAGATGTCGGTAAAATCGTGAACCTCATGTCCTCCGACGCAGAAGATCTCTCGTTTATTGCGTCTGTGCGTATTTCTAATTTCATCGGACTCCTCTCATTCTACCTGCCTTCAGTCAATCTACATGCTTTATGGCGCACCATTCGAAGTTGCCATTGGCTCTGTTTTCCTATACCAACTTCTTGTGCGTTGCGATTCAGTCATTCCCCGCCTGGGCTGAGAAATTCAGGGTTGGAGTGCATTCGCGGGCTTTGTTCCCCTGTTCGCTATTATGCCCATCAACAGGCTCCTCACCGCCGTCACCGTCAAACTTTATGAGGGCAAAAAGAAGGCTGCAGATAAGCGGATGGCGCTGGTAGACGAACTGATTGCAGCTGTCAAGTTTATCAAGTTCTTCGCGTGGGAGGATCGGTGGACGGAACGTGTCATGGAAGCAAGGGAGGAGGAGATGGGCTTTATGGTGCAGCGTCAGCATCCTTGTCTTTTCGTTTGATTCTCGTTCAACCTTCTTGCAGAACGGCTCTACACGACTATTTTCAATGGGTACTCGCGACTTCAAAACTCATCTGGGTTTACTCAATGACATTTATAGAGTATGGAACTTTGGACCACTGGCGCATTCGCTTGTGTCGTTTGCTGTTTATGTGTACCTGGGCAACGAATTGACTGTTGCAAAGGCCTTCACGGTTCATATTTTTCTGATCTTTCTTTTCCTGTTTGACCCATTTTCAGGCCCTGGCTATTTTTTCTAGCATCCGGTGAGTGATTTTATTGGCAAAAGCTGGACTATATGCTGATTGAATGCCAATAGAAACCCGCTCAATAGTGTGTAGCACACTTGTAAGATACCCATAACTTAACCTTGTGCAGTTGTCCCAACATACATCGTCCATCTACTCCGGGTGAGTCTACGCTTCTCGTTCAAGTTTATTTTCAACTCACGTGCGAGGTTAGAGTGCTGTGGCGCTGAAGCGGATAGCAAATTTCCTCGAAGAAGACGAGGTTACTGAGCAAGGTGAATGCGTCTGTTCATGGGATAACAAATCACTAATCCTGCCAAAAGTTTCCACCATAAAGCAAGACTTCGCGGCAGCAACGATTGTTCACCAGGGTCTGGGTCTTGAAAATGCGACCCTCGAGTGGAATCAAGTCAAAGAAGATGACAAGACGACCACTGCAGCCAGCGTCCCCAAATCCGCCGCCTCAAGCGTTGCAGATGTTTCCACCCTCGCCGACTCTGAGATTCGCGACCATCATTTCGAATTGAAGAATATCTCTGTATTGTTCCCAGAGAACAAGTTGTCTGTCATTACTGGCCCGACAGCAAGTGGGAAAACCGCTCTTTTGGTCAGTCGTTTGTTATCAGATCTGCTTGAATTGATCAACGATAGATGGCACTAATGGGTGAAATGAGCCTTCTTCCTGGAGGTCGTATCATCATGGCCAAGGACTCGACGGTGGACGAGCATGGGCATACACACGGCATTGCATATGCAGCCCAAACTCCTTGGTTGCAGCATCGGGTCTGTAATAGTGCTTCTCCATCTGCCTTGCCTCATCCATTTCATTTGTCATTCAGTCAATCAAGGACAACATCCTTTTCGGTTCTCCTATGGAAGAAGCTCGCTACAAGGAAGTTGTCCGTTGCTGTGCCTTGCAACCTGACTTTGAGGTGTTGGAGGATGGAGATTTAACCGAAATTGGAGTGAAGGGAGTTTCGTTGTCAGGCGGCCAAAAGGCAAGAGTTGCACTTGCTCGGGCTGTAAGTACCATCCAACATCTGTTGGCCTTTGGTGATCAACTAAAACAACTAGGTATACTCGAGGAAAAGATATGTTTTGCTCGATGATCCTCTCAGCGCTGTGGTGAGTGGATCGAAAATAGCACAGCTTGATAACAGTCGATTCAGGACAGCCATACCTCGCGATTCCTCTATGAAAATTGTTTGCGAGGCCCGTTGTTGGCTACCCGGACGGTGGTATGACAATCTCCAACTCTGCTCTACTCCTCTAATCAGACGAAAGGTACTTGTAACGCATCACCTTGAGCTTGTTCTTCCTGCGGCACACCATCTTATCCGCATGCTCGATGGTCGAATTGACGCGCAAGGCACTGTTGGTGAACTACGCTCCCAAGGTGTTCTCGAAGATATCAAACACGAAGCAGCGGCCGAAGCGGAGAAAGAGGAACAAGCCATTGTTGCGGAAGCTGTTGATGCAACCGCAGATACCACAGCAGAGCCCAAGAAACCGCGCAAGCTTGTTGAAGACGAACATCGAGGTTTGCATCACCCTCATTTTGCTTGTCGTATTCTGACAGGTAACAGAGGTCGGGACGGTGAAATGGAGTGTCTACCAGGCGTATCTCCTCGCCTCAGGCTATTGGGTCTGGATTTTGCTTGCCGCCTTAGCCACAATGCAGAACGTTCAACGCGTCAGCGAAAAGTTGTGGTTCAAGTTCTGGGCCGCTGGTTACGACGCAGCCCCGAATATGCATATGATGCAAACCCAGAGCGCATATGACGGTGCAGCCCAGGTTTTCCTTCTCCCTTCAGGCAATTCTGCCGTGCACGTGACTTCGCTTCCCAATGCGGCAACACACCCCCTATTTTATATCGGCGTCTATACAGCCATTGGAGTCGCTGGGGTAGCCTTACAACTTCTAGGGGGGTGGGTTCAGTACACCGGTGCTCTTGCAGCCTCGCGCGTTCTGTTCAAGTGGATATGCTTCTCATCTCAAATTGTTGAAGCTAATTGAGTTTTCCAGGAAGCTTCTTTTCACTGTTACACGAGCTACCTTCAGGTTGTTAACTACAATGTAAGACGTCTCGATACACGCTGATATGTTATAGATTCCATGACACGACGCCTCAGGGTAAGGAAGCCTGAGCGTGTTTTCGAATCCTGTCATTCTAATCTTAGTCTAGGAAGGATCCTTAACCGATTCAGCAAAGATTTCAACACCATCGACGGAGAGTTGTCTGGATCACTGTATGCGGTAACATCGTCGCTGTCAGCTTTCTTCGTCTCTATCATCACAGTCGCGTCAGTATGTTTTTCTTTCTCATTGCACGAGGCTGACTGCGGGCGAACAGAATTGTTATACCTCCCTTCCTCCTCCCAGCCACCTTCCTTTCTATCGGATATTGGTGGCTTGCGAATGGTTATCTCAGCACTGGACGAGATCTGCGTCGCATGGAATCGAATAGCCGTTCACCAATCTTTTCGGACTTTGGCGAGCTTCTTTCCGGCTTGGTCACCGTTCGCGGTATGCCATACCACTCGGTATCATACCCGTCTGATATATTTATTAGCCTTTTCGGCTGAGAAGCGTTTCATGCAAGGCCTGCACCAGCGCATTGACGAAATGGCCAAGACGTGGTATGCCTTTTGGTATGTTCATAGCTGTGTTGAGTTCGAAGAGCGTGTGTCGATGTGGTTCTAGGATGAGCAGCCGCTGGTTGTTGATCAATTTCGATGTCCTTGGTGCGTGATCATATTGCATCCCGCTTTCGCACGCAGAGCTAATAGTTTTCTAGGTGGTGTTGTATGCCATATAAATACGTGTATTTACCGGGAGATAATCTTCACTTATAGGCCGTCTATTTGACGACACTATTCACAATTCTCGTCGTCGACGATGCGGGTCTTGCAGGTCTTGCGATAACGGTTAGTTTCATGCACCTTTCGGACAATTAGACTGATTATTCTCCAGTCTGCTCTTACATTCAGTGACAGCGTTTACTGGACTTGTCGCTTCTGGACAGAATTGGAGCTGAATCTCAAGTTCGTCCACAGTCAATCAGCCTCGTTTTCTATCCTGAACTAATCGCTTCAAGTTCTGTTGAACGCATCTCCGAGTATCTTGACCTTCCGCAAGAACCCCCGGCGATTGTCGAGTCAAATCGACCACCAGCATACTGGCCATCGAGCTCTGCGAACGACTCTCTTGTTGTCGCGGAGGATGTTCATTTGAAGTATGCGCCCGACCTTCCCTCGGTTTTGCATGGCGTTTCGTTCAAACTGAAGGCCGGAGAGCGAATTGGTCTAGTTGGAAGGACAGGTAAGTTACACTTGGCTACATTCTTCATTCAGTCTCAATATTTTAACAGGAAGTGGCAAATCTACGCTTGCGATGAGCTTATTGCGTTTTGTAAGTACATATCCTTACGGTCCAGCACGATCTGACTCACTTCGGTATGAAGGTGGATCCATCGAGCGGTTGGTAGAACATTTCGTTGCCGCATTCTGGCTCAATTTTTTTTTTGCAATAGGTAAAATTGTTGTTGATGGGGTGGATATCTCCAAGATTGGTATATACGGTAAGTTTGGCTAAACGAGTCGATATAACTTGCTAAGCCTGTTTTGATAGATCTCCGTTCGCGAATGGTATGGACCCACGAATAATTCTCGTGACTGATATTGTGTGAAGACATTTATTCCTCAAGACGCTACCTTGTTCTCTGGAACATTGCGAGATAACTTGGATCCATTCGGTAGGTCTTGTTAGTCTGGACATAACCGTCGAGCTGATGACCAGGTTAGGGGATCACGAAGACAGTGTCTGCATCGATGTCCTTCGTCGCGTCCACCTTTTGACGCGGGGCGACACTCCTTTGCAAGGGCAATCTCGTGTTGCGTCCACCGCCGGCTCCCGCGAAGTCTCCCGTCCCGCTTCTCTTCACGAGCACGCGGACAACTCGGAAACACTCTCCACCACCCTGACCAGTGTAGATGGCAAGCCGACAACGCTCTCGCTTGACACGCAGGTCTCCGCCGGTGGCTCCAACTTCTCCCAGGGGCAGCGGCAGCTCATCGCGATGGCGCGCGCGCTTTTGCGGCGCTCTGCCATCGTCGTCATGGACGAGGCCACGAGCAGCGTCGATTTCGAAACGGATGCGAAGATCCAGCAGACGATCAGGGAGGAGTTTGCCGGCTCTTTGCTCATCACTGGTGCGGTCCTCTTTCTATGTTTTGACCGGCAGAAAGAATTGAATGCTTGGCGCAGTTGCTCATCGCCTCAAGACGATCATCGACTACGACCGCGTTATGGTGCTGGACAAGGGCAAGATCGTCGAATTCGACCGGCCGTCGAGTCTTATTCAGAGAGAGAGTTCGGTGTTCCGAGGGATGTGCGTCAAGAGCGGCACGTTTGCGGAGTTGGAGGCTGCAGCGAAGAGAGCCTTTGAGGCGCATGGATGAGTGAACGATTACTGGCATGTTGTAGGGTTGGTATCTAATATCAACAATGCCCGTGAACAATGGCTTGGAACTCAAGGGGAGCGATCCCAATCTTGGGCATATGATGCAGGATTACAGAGCCTTAAGTATCCTGCTGTTGACCTCTTCCACCACCACCACGGCTTCCAACTTCCCCCCATTCTGCCTGCCGTCAAAGGGGGCCTTAGGTCTTCTACCACTTCAGATGCATCTTCAAGCAGCATACCCGCCCCTGCGACTCAACAGTAACCGGTTGTGAACTTGTGATCAGAACAGGAACTATTCGGCGGAAAGAGAGGGTCCCCAGATGCGTCCTCTGTTCTTTTTCGCTGCGAGAGAGCGCCAATAAACTCGCTCAAGCATATGGTGAATCACAGAATCGTGACAGTCAGCACATACCAGCCCGGCAAGAAGGGGCCCTTCCGACTGTTTGATGAGCTTGAAGATATCCCACAAGCAACGAGGTGCTTTACTTGGGAATGAGTTAGATGAGTTGGGCAGAGGTGTCCAATGTTGATACCGGGCCCCGGCAAGTGGCGCGGTCGCACAGTCGGGAGCGCGAGCAGAGGGCCTCAAGTGTCCATGTATTGTGTCTGGATAGTGTATAGATTCTTTAGTACACTATTTCCTAAGCTAGCTGCTGTTAACTTGAATTTGATATTTTCAAATCAATTTATGGCAACTCTTTACATAGTATCCTGTAGGATGGTCCTCTGATTTATCATAGATATGTATATGTATCCTACAGGATGGACTCGGAAATATATATGATATATCCTACAGGACCGTCATCTGCACAGAATTGGGAACATATACGCCGCTCAATACATGTATATATATGGTATTAGGTTCAAGTTTGTATGTACTTACGCCGCTCAATTACATACGAAGTTCGATCCTGCCCCAAATTCTCAAGTCTCATGATATCGATATTTGTTCTCAGCAACTGGTCGCGACTCGCCGATCAAATAAGTAACACCCACCATATATGGAGTTTGCTGGCTTGTGCAGCTGTCAAGCAAGCTCAAGTTACACCGCGATACGGCGCTGCCCGTGTGTGTGTGGCGCTGAGCTTGAATGAAATCCAGGTCCAAACAAAGATGAGCAAGCACCTGGCTGCTCCCGCGTGTGGTACAAAAGCCGCCAAAGGGCCACGGCGGCCTTATCCGCGCAGCCATGTCTCCGCCTGCAATGCCAGACTACGTGCTCGATCCCGACGCCGTCCTCAAAGATGCCAATGTCAAGTGGAGATACGGCAAAGTCCCCGACTACGGCAGGACGCGCGCCGACTACCAACGCAGTAAGCCAACTCGATTCTCGTCGTTCAGACTTACTTTAGCGCTATCATCCAGCCAAGACAAAAAGCCACGAGCCCGGCAGCGTCGCCTCCATCGTCGAGAACCTCGTCAAGAACTGGGAAATCGAGCAGTCGTACAAGCTCGATCTCGCCGACTGGCGCACCATAGATCCCGCCAACTACAGCTTCTCCGTCAACGGTGGGCCAGAAATGTCCGCAGCGCACATGCTTGAAGTGGGCTCGTACAACGGGCTGCTTGCCCCGAACGCCTTCTATGGGCCGGCGCAAAACGACTTCAGGTCCAGCCATGTGACGTTCAAAGCGATGATGCCGACGTTTGCATGGGAGGTGCTCGAAGTGTACAGCGGTCCGCCGCACGTCGCGTTCCGCTGGCGCCACTGGGGCCAGATGAAGAACGACTATTCCGGCATCAACGAGTGGGTCCAAGTTGTTGGCCCGGGACAATTGTGCTGATACCTCGATAGGCAGGGCGAGCGCGTTAAGATCAAGGCTCATGGCGGACAACTCGACATAGAGGGCGTAACAGTCGCACTCGTGAGCAGCGACTTCAAGCTGCAGAAAATCGAAACTTGGTATGACCCGAACGAGATGTTTCGTCAGATGGGGAGTTGTCCGATGGCGTCCAGAAGTGAGAGCAAGTTGTAGCTTCAGATACTCAATGGCAAATGTTGTGGAAAGACGATTGAGTTGAAACGAAACGTGATCGTGATTGATTGTGACCGCTGATTGTGACCGCTGTCACATCTTTCGGCTCCCCCAAATTTCTTTTTGTTTTTCTGGTCAACTCAATGCCATCCCTGCACAGTTTGCCACTGCGCCGTCCTACTTTAGAGCCCAGGAACAGTCTAGAAACCTGCTTGGTGAGCTGCGGCTTTGTCCGGGCATCTTGCAGCAGGCTTACCAACCTCAGTAAGCCGTGGATTCCCAAGCGGTTGCAAACCGCTCAGTCAGCAAGCCAACACCCAATAATGGCTCTACACCGCGCTTAGGGTATATAACCCATCGTGGACGATGACCATCGACCAACAACCCGCATTTCCTCGATTCAAAAGCCAAAAAGAAGAAACGTCATGTCGACCTCTGTCAAACCACTCGTCTTCGTGAGTTCTTCGCCCCAAGTGGCGCTGGCTTCATGCTCATGGTCGTGTTCCAGGTCACCGGTGCTTCCGGATTTCTCGGCTCTGTCGTCGTCAACGAGCTGCTGCAAGCGGGCTACCCAGTTAGAGGGTAAGAACTTGTCTTCGATAATAGCCTCATATAACTGAATCACACAGTGCTGCCCGTGGGCGGAAGGTAGCCGCCATACGAGAAGCCTTTGCGAAGTACCCGCAATTCGAGGCTGTCGAGATCCCCGACCTCGCGACTGCTGACTACACTGACGCGCTCGCGGGTGTTGGCGCCATCATCCACACCGCCGCGCCGATTCCTGGGCGCGCCGATAGCGAGACGGCTTTCCGAAGCGCTGTTGATGGCTCACTCAACATTCTCCGCGCGGCAAACAGCGCTGGGATCCGCAAAGTGGTCGTCACTGGCTCCACCGTCACGTTCCCCGAGGACTCGTTTGGTGCAGATGGTGAGTCGACTGCCAACGCACAGTAAGAATCTCATCCGCGATAATAGACTGGGTGGCTGTGACCAAAGAGCAAGCTCTTGAAGGAAACCCCTTCTTGCTGTACATCGCAGAGAAGAAGTTCAGCGAACAAGCCATCCTCAAATACGCTAGCGAGAACCCGGAGATGGATATTACAATTTGTGAGTTGTCTATCCCTTTTTTTCGTTTCTCATAGGCTCCATTCAGTCAACCCACCCTGGATTTTCGGCCCTCTCGCACCAGGCTTCGAGTCCATTGTGCCCACGCCCGAGGGTGCCTTTGCCGCGTTTTCCACGGATGGCTTCGTCTACCAGCTGCTCCGCGCAGACAACAAGAACTACCACTACTCCCCGGGCACAATCGACGTCAGGGATGTCGCCCGCATCCACATCGCCGCCCTCTCCGCTCCCACCCCGAATGGCTCGCGTCCTCGCCGGGTTCCCATTCTCTCGCCATACCAGACCGACTTCCGCGAGGCCATCCAGTTCATCTACGCCGAGCGGCCCGAGCTGAGAGCGCGGCTCGCCGATCCGGAGACCGTTCCGCGCTGGCCCACGTACAAACGGGAGGTCGACTTGACGCCGGTGGAGAAGTCGTTTGGATTCCCCGTCTCGGCGTTCAAGACGTGGCGCGAAACGATCCTTGACGCAGTCGACCGCTTCATCGAAATCGAAAACAACTGGAAGAGCAAGGGCCTCGCGTTCGAGGTGCCCACGGAGCCACCAATGTAAAATTAAAGTACTTGCAGAGAAACGCTTAGTGTGTGAGGCTTATACTACCTAGAATGTAATAATTCCATCAACTCGTCGAAGGCGTTGAGATCTTGAGAAGTGCCGCGGCGTCATGTGACCGCTTGTGTGACGCGCTTGGTTTACTGATGACCGCAGCGGAGACGGTCGTTGCTGTGCCTATCGGAACTGGCCCTCCCACTCGAGAAGAACTGAGAGTTCACTACCCTGCACAATTTACATGGGAACAGCTTCGCGCCTTTGTTAATTCCGGTGACCTTGGACTGCTCAAACGCCACAAGGCTCTCCAACAGCGCTATAATCTTTGGGTGGCAGGAATAAAGACAGAACATGGCTCGATGGGTGCGTGAACCTGAACACTATAAGCCAGGCACTCACATCGGCGTTGCAAGAATAGTCAATTATCTCGTCAATCGTCGCTTGCAATGGGGCATGCCAGATACGCTTTCGCTGCTCGGTCCGCCCTTTCCGCAAGACGGCATACCTTCCGTTGCGACTTCCGCTGCATTGACAGACCTGCAGTCAACCGCTACCGGCCTTTCACCTCCCTATCTCTCTATGAGCACGCCGGGTGAATATCTCAGTGTCATCACGAACGACTGGCCGTACTCCGTTCCGGCTTCGGTTACCCATACACTTGTCTGGACTAAAATTCCCATTTTCCATCCCAGCTTGATTGATCCCTCTATCCAAGCCCGCATTGACCAAGACGGCCTCTGGGGCTTCACCGGCTCATCGATTCCACCACCGCCATTGGAGGACTGTCTCGAGGCTTTGAGCGACTGGGGCGTCACGCGGGAAAAGATGATTGTGTCGGAATCTGGGACTGAAGAAGAAGAAGCGCTGGTGAAGAAGGCCGGTGCTCCTGTGCATGCATATGTCCTCTCCAAGTGGAAGGAAGAGGACTGGGAAACGGCGTGGTTCGTTAATCCTCCCGTTCGTAATCCTGTCTTCCATTCGATTAGCGCTCACGAAACTTAGCGGCTGCAAAGCGTCCCTGGTCTTGCCCATGTCCACGTTTTTGCCAGACGGAAAGACTGAGCAGCATAGACACAGGCTAATAGAGACATTAGAAGGCTGATTTTCATAGACGATCCATGAATCGTGGGACAGTGAAATCTCTGATATCTTGAAAACCATCACTCCCAGAGAGATCGACTGCTCCCAGAAGTGATTCGATTTATTTGGGCATTTGGAATAATGAAAAGATGGATAATGATGGCCCACAAGAAAACCTCGACTTGTCTGCTAGTATTCACTTCAAGTTGAACTTGTTCAGCATATCCTTTAGATTGATAACGTTGTGGACTCGGAGGGTCGGCGTCAAAGACTTCAAACTGGAAACATTACAGCTCTACGTATATGCGAGTGGTCCTACTTTTGGGCTACACTCGTTCTATGCTTGCGCCATGCGCTCACCGTGAGACCCGGCTCCTGGGCCTCCTTCGCAATCCCTTCACGATATTCGATGCCGACACGCTGCAGGACCGGGCTCTGCGAGAACGGCACGAGGGGAACATCGTCGTGCGCCAGAAGAAAGTAAAACAACCCGAGACGGTCATAAACACGCTGATCCTCCGGGGGTTGGACGACGCTGCGTCGAGGAATTACATTATTTACACTCTGTCCACGATGAATGATTGCTCACCGATGAAGAGTTGCTTTATAATATCCACCAGATAAAAACTCCATGCAATCCCCTAAATTGATCACCATGGCGTTCTCGATGTGCCTGACCCAACGCCATTTGCCGTCCTTTCCGAGGAACTGCAGGGCGGTGACGGGCTGGCTGTAGAGCACTGTGATCGAGCCGATGTCTACAGATCCAGGACTTCAAGTCAGACGTCATAACACAGTGTACGGATGCGTCTACTCGCCGGTATGTCCCTTAAGCCACACGTTCTTGGCTTTCTGCTCGTCTTCTTGTGATCGCCGGTAGCTACAAATATCAGGGAGAAGTTCTTCCAAAAACACACCATACTATTTCATAAATCGGACTGTTGGGAAATTAAGATTGGCTCAGGGTGGCAGACTCGACACGGACCATACGTCTCGGAAGGAGACTCGAACGGGTGTATGTCGACAAGCGTGTCCTCCGGCAGCTCGAGACCCTTGGCAAGCATTCGGAGGATGGGGTGGATGACGTCAAAATGTGTGTGGCGAGCCAAGGCCTCAATTTCCGGAAGAAATGGACGCAATGCTTCAGGGTGCTCCCGCAACGTTACCTGGTGGTTAACTGGAATCACGAAAAGCCGGGCGGAATAACGCGTGAGATATGCAACTTACTGCCGAAGATCTCGATTTGGTCTTTGACGCCGTTGTCGATGTTCTTGATGAGTAGCAGTTAAGAAATCGCGAGAGACAGTCGAAGCCAGCATACCCAATATTGGCGTGGTTTGTAGCCCTGAAAAGACCCAGTCGTCTTCAAGTTGGACGAGTATTTTTGCTTCTGCTCCTCGGAAACACCCGTAAACGCAAGGTTTGCGATGTCGAACATCCGTGCCGTCTGGCCAGAAAAGATCAATGAAGGACTAACAATACGGAGGATATCTAACCTGCTCTGCGGTCCAACCGTGGTTGATGACATAGAAGAATCCCTGGTTGTGCATCGCGTCACATACTTTCTTCGTCAATTCTGCCTGGCTATCCGGGTCTGAGGCTTTCGAGAGGTCGATGACAGCCAAGTCCGCCCAATCCACTGCGGAACGTCAAAGATGCTCCACTGCCCAATTGAAGAAGACCCACGATCTTCATTGGTTACGGGAGGTGGAGAAAACGTGGCAAGCTGGGGTCGAATAATGCTAGGCATGGTGGGTGTCGTCTAGGTTGGAGACAGGTTTTTGAGTGAAAGCAGACGTATAATCTCTCGTTCTCAGATTCGTCGATCGGGAGTCGCGCAAATGATGCTGGACAACAAAAGACGTTCTTCGGCAATACAGATAACGGTTCTTATTACATTGATTTCTTCTGCACCTGCATTATGGTTAATAAGCGAGAAATATATAAAGAAGACGCTCGACCTCAGTACCCCCCGACTCCCGCGGCAGTCTTCAATTGAAATGTTGCACTAACACGCCCTGGACCGTTTCCTCCTCAATCTTCCCGCCTGGAGCCGCTGTCAACCGACTCTGTCCATATGCACTCGTCCTGCTTTTGCGCCAGGCTTCCATCGTGATCACAGACCCACCAGAGTCTTGTGGAATGCCTTGGCGGTTCTCGGTACCGACACGTTCCAGGACTGGGCTCTTTTGAACCGGTATAAGAGGAGTGTCATCGTGAGCCATGGCGAAGTAGAAAATTCCCAGCCGCTCGCGAAGACGTTGGTCTTCGGGCGGCTGAACAACGCTGCGTCATGATTGAGGTCGCTGGGGCATTCATTGTAGTCCACGTACCGGTGGATGGTCGCTTTGTAGTAACCGCCGGAGAGAAACTCCATCGCATCTCCAATGTTGATGACCATGGCGTTCTCAATATGCTTGATCCAGCGCCATTTTCCGTCCCTTCCAAGAATCTGAAGCGCAGATATCGGCTGACTATAGAGAATCGTAACAGTACCAATGTCTTTACATAGGTAGTCAGAAAATGGGCGACGGCTTCGGTATATAGTGCCCACCCGTATGACCCTTGAGCCAAACATTATTGGTCTTTTCCTCCTCTTCAATAGTCCGAGGGTAACTGGTATTGGTTTAGCCGTCATCTTGAGAGATGAAAACGGGTCAAACTATTTCATGAATCTGACTGGTGGAGATTTCAGTTGCGCGTGAAGAAACAAAAGTGGAATCGCACTGTAGGTCTCCGAAACGGACTTGAACTGATGAAGATCTACAAATGTCTCTTCTTCCAGCTCAAGGCCTTGAGCAAGCATGCGCAGAATAGGATGGAGAATGTCGAAATGTGTATGCCGAGCCAAGGCATCGAGCTCAGGGAGGAATGGACGAAGAGCCTCAGGCTGCTCCCGGAGCGTAACATCACGATTTACTAGTGAGAGTTGTAGATTGTTGGAGAGAGAGAGAAAGGAAGAACAAACTGTTGAATGTGTCAATTTGGTCATTGATACCGTTGTCAATATGCTATTCCGGGACTGAGGGAAATGGCCTGTTCTTCGCAAGAAACGCACCCAATATTGGCGGGGCTTGTATCCTTGAAACGAGCCGGTCGTCTTCATCGTGGCCGCGTAAGCCTGTTTATCCTTTGCAGAGACACCACTGAAAGCAAACTCAGCAATGTCGAACGCCCTCGCGGTCTACCTGTAATAAGCCTGTGTTTTCACAAAAGAAGAAGAAAGAATTGAACCTGCTCGGGAGTCCAGCCATGGTTGACAACGTAGAAGAATCCCTGCGTCCGCATCGCTTCACAGACTTGTGCCGTCAATTCTGCACGGCCATCCGGGTCTGCAGCCTTGGAGAGATCGACGACAGCCAAATCTGCCCAGTCCACTGTGATATTGATCATCGTCTATTCGATACACCCAGCACGGTGCGGCGTTTACGGGCTTGTTTGGTCGTTGGAGGAACGGTGCGCGTGGCAAGATGGGGGCGAATAATGCTCGGCATGGAGGATGTAGTGAGAAAGACGGGAGTAAGTGACGGCTTATGAGAGATCTCTGGTCATGGGGGTTCGTGAGCGATAAGTCTTGATGCTGAGCTGCGAGTGAGAGTGGTCGGCGCTAAAATAAACAGCAGAAGTTGTCCAAGATGGCATTCGGCATGGAACGGGGGTGGTGGTGACAGCCTGAGTCACACTTGTCACACTTTGGCGCCTTTCGCTGCGGCGCGCCTAAACAGCGTCTTGACTAAATCTGAATCATCTTCGTGCCTTTAAAAGCCATCCACTCCTGCGCCGATAGCAACATCTCCCGCTGCCCCTCATGTCGAAAAGCAACTCCGGTTCCCCGTCACCCGAAGTGCGCAAGCTTGCCGACTTGATTGCTTCAGACAAATGCAACAAGATTGTGCTCATGGTATGTTGACATGCATACCTGCAGGCTGTTTACCTATTGCCTCGTGAAGCTCGGCGCTGGTACGCTAGCTCAGTCTGGGCGCTGTTCCCTCTAAAGCCAATTCAGGTGTGAGCACTTCTGCGGGTATCCCTGATTTCCGTTCTCCAGAGACAGGTTAGGTTTGTCGAGGCTGTTTGTTTGGCGCTTATACTGCTTCAGGTCTCTACGTATGCGGCTGGACGAACTCAAGAGCGTTTACTTATCATCCATAGGCAAATCTTGCTAGATTGCGACTGCCATACCCCGAGGCCGTTTTCGATATTGGTTTCTTCCGGAAGAACCCTGAGCCCTGTCGCGTTCTCTCTTGAGTATGATCTTTCCCCATACTTATCTCATTTGCAGTCTATACACTCGCCCATGAACTCTATCCAGGCAAATTCCGTCCAACAATTACCCATTCCTTCATTCGTTTGCTGGCGCAACGCAATCTTCTTCACATGTGCTTCACGCAGAATATTGACACACTTGAACGTCGGGCCGGTGTCCCGGACGAGAAGATCATCGAGGCCCACGGCAGTTTTGCGACACAACGCTGTATCGAATGTCACCGACCATACGACGACGACAAAATGAAGGCCAAGGTGCTCGCCAAAGAAACGCCCAGATGCGAACGAAAAAGCTGTGGCGGCCTCATCAAACCAGATATCGTCTTTTTTGGGGAAAGTCTTCCGGATGATTTCATCGCCGCGATACCGAAGGTTGCTCAAGCGGATCTGCTTATCGTCATGGGCACATCGATGACAGTACATCCATTTGCTGGGCTTGCGGAACGGACTACGTCGGCATGCCCACGAGTCTTGATTAACTTGGAGCGTGTTGGAAATATCGGGAGGCGGCCCAAAGACACTGTCCTTTTGGGAAAGTGTGATGAGGTCGTGCTCGAGCTATGCAAGGCACTTGGATGGGAGAAGGAGCTAATGAAGTTGTGGGCAAAAACAGAAATCAAAGAAGTCGGCTATATTGTGCCAGACGAGGTCGACGAGACCGACTTCAATGAGCCAGAAGCAAAGGTGGAAGTGAAGACGGAGAATCTCGTTGAAACCATCACCGAGGCAATTGGACGGCAATTGAACATAGATGAGAGGGACGAACACTCTGAAAAGGCCACCAATTCGCCAAAGAAAGTCGCAGATGAAGCCGAAGGGGTCCAACTTGAACAGAAGGATCCGGAGGGGGTGGCGAAACTTGAGGCGGAGACAGTTCCTAAAACTGAAGAGGAGAAAGAACCTAAATTGTAAAATATTTACCTGAGCTATGCTTATTTGTAAAATTTTGCCGAAAGAAGCCACTTCCACAGATTCGCGAGCCTAATTAGAAATTTCCTCTTTTGGTCATCTGGCCAAGATGAAAACGTGTTCTTGTTTGAGCACATTTGAGAGCTGGTTACATGAACTGAATAGAGTAAAGGCCCCGAATTAGGTAGACGTGTATGCCCTCATATATCATGATCAACTGAGTAAGACTACATACATAGGTGCTCAGCGGCGGGAAGTCGGGCCTAGTTGAATACTACGTGATTGTTGACACTCGTAGGCCAGATTAGTAGGTTATAGGCGCGTGAGGAATGCGCTGGAACGCGCTGAGTGGCTACGTGTTGCGGCGCAGAGGGACGCGTCATCCACTCGGAGAGGCTGTGCAGCGCTTTCTGCAGGAGTCATCGTAAAGAGTGACGGTCACCTGCGTGACACTCTTGTCTCCTCCTTCCACTACAGCCTTTTCTCTGGCGCAGTCTCTGCTCCAGCGAACCTGTGAGTTCTTATCCTCAACCATAACCCCAACTTTGTTGTGCTTGTCGTCGTCGTCTCGCGAGCGCGATCTCACATATACCCACCTACCTACCTACCCATATCAGCCACACAAGGGCGATGAACAAGGAATCTTCGCGTTCCTCTTGGATCTCTGCTGCGGGACCTTCTGCAGCAAGTCCCCACAGCAATGAATGGCGCTCGTCGCCCATGCTGTCTTCAGCGGCCGGCGACGACAACGAACAGTTTGAGCAGCCGCTGACTATCCATGGCAGAACAACAGAGCCCACTTCAACCCATCCAAACAACACCATTTCCTTCCCAAAGGATACGAGCGCATCGTCAAAGAGCCAGGATAACCCTTCCTCGGCTGGTTTCCGTCCACCGTCACCGGCCCCTCGTTTCAATGGCTTTTCTCAGAATGCTGCGATGAACACCAAGAGTTTGCCGCCGGCGCCGCCGCGGACGACCATGCCCGATTTTAATACAATCTGCAACAACTATCTCGCCATGTTGCATACATCTCCTGAGCAACAACAACAAGCTTTGCAGGCTGTCGCTGAGCTGGCTGGTACCAGTCCTCTATCCTCTAGCCAGGGTTTCACTTCTGACATATCCACATTAGCATCTCCAGAGTACCAGAGCCTTGGCAACTACTTCCCTCACTCGTATGAGAGCCAGCCTCTGTTTGGCGATGACCCCATGAACGCCGACATGAGCACCGACATGGACTATCTTACGTCTCCTCAACTCGATGAGCTTGCTACCAGCCCTATGGATACACCGTATAGCGCTTTCATGCCTACTCCGTCACTCGATATGGTTGGCGAGTTTGAGGAACCGGCTATTCTAACAGAAATGGAGAACGAATTGGCTGATCAGCTACTTTCCTGGCCTGAGGATGGCGGTGATGCGGTACCAACAACTGACAAACTTCCGACGCCGCCTCCCACTCTCCCTCTAGACCAGATGTACACGTTGAGCCCAAGCGAGCCAACAATAGACTTGTTCAACTCGCCTCTTCCTCCCCTCACTCCAACCCCCTCAGCTTCACCTTCTATTCCCGCCTCTCCTCCTCGTCGTCGTCCCCGCACCATTGCCAACGCTACTGGGACCCGCAAAAACATGACAACCCAAGCAATGATACCATACGATGCCCCAACCCAGACGCGGACCTACAAGACTGTTAGCGCTACATCGCGAAAAGCTGTTCCAGCTGGGTTCCTTCGTTCCAAGAAGCGGAATCGTTCCACTGCGTTTGGTGACGATGACCATGACGACGGCCGCCCAGCATCTCCGACTCCAAGCGAGGTCGAGCTCATTGAGCACAAGCGAAGACAAAACACGCTTGCGGCGAGGAAGAGCCGGAAACTCAAGTTGGAAACCCAAAAAAGGCTTGAGCAAACAGTGGCAGATCTCGAGGATCAGGTTTTGACATGGAAAACTCGTGCTTGTGCGGCACGAGATTTGCTGAACGCCAATGGCGTTCCTTTCCAGTTCGACGAGGCGGATTAATTGGGTGTATGAAACCCAATTTGTTGTGTGCCCAACAATCTTCGGCGTCTCCCACAAACCCCAACTCCCCACCCACTTGTCGAGCGCCGTCGTATCCTGTCCACTCACCCCCCCCTACTTATTACTTACTTTGTGTACGTCGTTGTAGCTGTAGATGGACATGCCTTTGTACTGACCCGTTTGGGTCAAACCTCATACCATATTTCGCGAGTGCGAATTCAACAATAGCAAGTGCCTGGTCTTGAGTTAAAGAAGAAGTTAAACATATATAAGATTCCAATCCGAGCCTGAACCGCAATGTCGTCGCTTGTCCAGTAGTCTGTTTGTGTGTACATGTCTCAATAGGAAGTCATGTGATGTGTGGCCACCCTTCTCAGAAATAGTCAAGAATGAATGGTGGTTCGTCGAGCTCCGACCCCGAGGCTGAAAACTTGAATGCACGAATCCACGCGCCGCTGGGGGCATGGCCCGGTGACATGGATAGGGTTGACCTCGACGGCGAACGTCTCTCCGCATCCGAAAAAGCATTCGTCCATACCACAAAAGACAACGAACGCGTGTTCAAATACTTCTACAACCTTACCAACCAGCCCATGACCCACCTAGCTACGCGCGAGCTGCGTATGATGCTGCTCGCTGGTGAAGACATTTCCGTAAAAGTCGAGGGTCGAGTGTTCACCTTTAGAGGCGACCTTGAAGGGTTCGTCATGCCACGCGAAAGTACACTTGACCTGGGATCTCCCAAGGCCACGAAGCGTCGCTGGATAGAGCAGCTGCAAAAACTCGTGTCCAATATGCACGACAAGGGCATCCTCCACGGCGACATCAAGCCCGCAAACATTCTTGTGACAGGCAATGGGGAACTTGTCTTCTGCGACTGGGCGGCTGCACAATTCAAAGCGGAAGCAAAAGCTCCAAACGAGGGGACAACCGCATACCAGAGCCCATGGAGATGTCGCCAGTACGAGCTTCCGCTTTGTGAATCCGGTGCGTTTTTGTGTTCTCATTACTAGTACCGTCAAACTGAACCACAACAGACGACCTGTACGCCCTCGGCATATCAATCTGGGAAATTTGGGTGGGCCTACCGCCGTTTGATTCAGAGAAGTTGAAAGACTTTGAATATTCACTTGACCATGAGATCGCCGATGGACTCAAGCCTGACCTTGCTGCCGTCGACGACGAGGATGTTCGCGGCTTGATAGAAATGTACTTAAATTCACAGCCATAATGTGATATGATGCTAGTGGGCGTCGTTTCTTCTCTTAGATGCAGTCAGTACCAGATCAAATAAGCAGAACGCGAAGGTGTTGTTGACTTCCAAGTGCTGGAATAGTGGTTTAAAGGCTTAATTGCTCGGCCATAACTTGAAGCGTTGGCGCGCCATAGATAGTGGACGCCAAATATAGAATTTACAGTGAGTCATATGATAGCCTCCACAACTCTGTTATTGGTACATTACCCACGACGACCCAAGTTTTGAATGGAATCTGTTAACTGGTAGGTAACCATTAAGCCAGTGCTACCAGTTAACATAACATTTAATCTGACCCACATGGGTTGGAGTTAAACTGTTAAACCCTGGGTTCAAGAAGCCTTTTTCTTCACCTTTTAAACCTTTTATTGTGGTTGATAAGATAAGACAAGGAGGATATAAGATGGTGATTGGATCATCAGATCTTGATGCTGATGTTGATTGACAGTGTGGAGTTGGATACAAGGCAGACAGCATGTCACTGCAGGAGTTCGGGAATAAACGGCCCCCGTTTCAATCGATTATATGGCTAAAATCAATGTACCAAAAAAAGTTTTTTTTTATACCTCTATTTGTGCCCAAAAAGGTTCACTTATATGATCCAGGGCCCTGATATATGTTATATAAGGGCATATTCACCATATCAGTGCATTTTTTTGGCACAAATACAAAACAAATTCTTTTTTTGATACATTGATTTTAGGTGTATAATTGATTGAAACGGGCGCCGTTTATTCCTTAACTCCCGCAGTGTGTAAAGGCATGACTAAAGTATGATGTCATTGCCTCTCGTATTAGGCATGGTAAACATATGGTAGTAGTGTATATAAGTAGAGTAGATTTCATCTTGTACCCAGTCTTCAAATTCCATCATCTTTACGATATCTTTTCATGGTGCTTCAACCACATCTCACTGGGCATGTTTAGGCACGACATTGCACTTGACTTTGACTTTTGTAGTACCACAGCACTGTATGGTTGAGAGGGCTGTGGGCTGTGGGCTGTAGGAGACAAGGAGGGGAGCTGGCGATTTCACACTGGGGGGCGGGGTTAAACGAATCACGCTACACAGGGCTACCAGCCTGTATTATAGTAGTGTTCAATACATCACATTACATCCCATTTCATTTCAGTATTCCCAAAGCAAGTGCCATTCGGAATGTTATCAAACAGGACAGTTTTATTGTTGTACACATTCAGTCTCAATTCATGCCTTGGAATCACTGGATTTTAGGACAAAAATTTGATCAAATGCGACAAAGTGAGACACAATGAATATCACTACTGTCCCATTCTGCGGGAGTGAAACATAACGCATCACTGTTCTGGTGTTTCGTTGCAGTCAGTTGAAACAGGTGACCCGTAACGGTTCTTCTGTTTCACAGCTAAACTGAGTCACTTTTTTTTTTTTTTTGAGTTTAAAATAAGTTAAAATTAAGTATGAAAAAGATCATTGCATTCTACAAGTAAACTACTTATCGGATTCCCCGAACTGCACAGATTCAAGTGTGCTCACATCTTCAGTAGGTTCTGCAGACTCCAACCCATTCACATCTTCAGCTGCACGGTATAAAGAGCCTCCAGCTTCTGTTGACACTGGCTCTCTGAATGTTGCAGCAATAACCTCTGCCAAAGGTATATCTGCGTCGTCGTTTGCATAGCCATCAAATTCAGCTTCTTGAATATCAAGACGATGCTCAGCATTCGTGATAACGCGATCGAAGTTTGGCGGCGCCACATCGCTTGCGGATCTCCTCGGCAAGTGTCGGGTCCGAGCCAAGATAGCTCAGCAGTGCAGTCTCGCTAGCTTCACCGTGGAGACATTTTTCAGAGAGATCCCATTCCGTATTGGGGATTTTACACCGATGCCAGCTCTAAAAATCAGGTTCAGATACAAAGGAGTATGAAATGCAAAAGGACTCACTTTTTTAATGAGCGTGCGTCCCTGGGAAGATGAAAGGTATTGAAACAAATCAACAACAGGCTGGACGACGCTATCCCGAAGCTCGCCGATCTTGTTCGGGAAGTGCACATCAGGTGGCGCAATACCCTGAGCAATGAGCTTGCGGGCATGGTCGACAAGAAAGGCCTGAGCCTTCTGTTTAAGAAAGTGTTTGATGGGGCGATTTAATCCAACGTCACAGGGCTGGGCGATGGGTGTGCATCCGCCGGGGACATAGATCAAGATGATAAAGGGGGCTTCGTTGAAGACAAAAGTCCGGAATTCAGTACCAGTGTGTACCGGATAGATATCAATGTAGACCACCATCTTTTGGTCTGGTCGTAGACCATCTTCAGAAATCACAGCTTTCCGCCATGGCTCAAGAGTGTCAAGGACCCAGATTTTCATCGTGTAGAAGGTGGAGTAGTGGCTGTTTTGTTTCTCGCTCTTGGCTGAGGTGAACAGAATTCCTGATTTCTTAGCTTCCGACATTCCTAAGGCAGCGGCGCTAGGAAGACTTCGATCGGTTTGGCCATTGAAGATGACCTGGAATGGCAGCACATCTCTGTGCTGGGTGACCGTGACCATCAATGTGTAAGCACGTTTCTCATCTTTCGCTGCAATATCGACTTGCTTCCCACCAGTATCGTGGAATGTGCGGTTGCTTGCAGGTACGAGGACAACACCGGTCTGGTCCGCATTTATGACAAGCTGTAGATTCCCGTCAGTATGGTTAGCAAGCCGAAGAAACTGCTATCACCTTCGATGGGATTTTTTCAGCCTTGATTGCAAAGCGGAGACGGAAGAAAGTGCGGAGGAGCTGCTGAGCAGCATCTTCTGGTATCTTGTGAGCCGCGCGTGTTCCTGCTCGAGAAGACCAATTCATAACGCTTGCCAATAGGTCCTGTGTAAACTTTTCCGAGCACTTGAAGCCACGTTCAAGCAACTGAGGTGCAGAAGCTTCAACTTCCGCTCGTATCACTGCCTGGGCGATGGGTACATTCACTGGGGCCTTGGAGTCGCGGATAGAACGCAAGGTGGTGGAGATAGCATCGATGACACAAGGATATGGGGTGAGCATCCCAGCACGACCAGTGCCCTGGATGAATTTGTGAGACTGAGCTCTTTCTAGTGTCTTTGCCGTCCATTCATTAGTACCCTTCTCTCGGTACCGGGACAGAGTGCCTGGATGCAGCTTCGCAAAACGCCCATCCGGAAAGCTTCGCTGGAGCTGTCGAATTGCTGGTCATAACTCCCAGTTGCTGCGACGGACAGCACGGTCAATATCATTCCAAAGTGCAGGGTGGAACCAATTGGTTTCTTTGGGCTTCGCCGCCTCCGTGATGCCACCCCGGGAACCATCTCTTCCCTTCTGCCATCCATCTCGGGTCAGGACTCTTGACATGACCGCCGAGTCAATCATGGTAGCTGGGCGCTCAGCGGCAACCTGAGCTCCCTTCATAAGCACTTTGGCTGCATCAACAACATGGCCACCATCTTGCTCCCGCTCCTCTCGTTTCCGCTTGCGCAAGTTCTGTTGTCGAATTGTAGCCAGCGCTCTTGCTCGCTCCTTGGCCACCAACTTCTTGTTTTCTTCCACAGCCACGATCTCATCTCGCTTCTCCAACCACTTCTCCCGCTCTTTGGCCTGGTAATGGGCTTTTGCTTCGGCTGTATCCCAAGCTTGCTTGAATCCAAACTGAAGAAGCGAGCCTTGCGCGTTGGCACCCACTTTTGGCTTGACATTCGACGTTGAAGGAGTGGGTGCATTGGATCGGGTTTGGGCATGGGAAGCAAGGGAAGCGGTCTTTTGCGCAGCTTCTTCGATCAGAGGAAGGGTAGGACGAGTAGGAGGGACACGACTAGTGTCAGAGTCCTCGTCATCCGATATGCAGGTGATAATGCGAAGCTTTTTTTCGAGCTGGAGCTTTATCGTCTGAGTCAGATAGTTCAATGGGATCACTCGGGGCAAGCGATAAAGATGTCGAAGGAGTGATGGGTGGAGGTGGACGGTTCAAGACAGTAGGTGTTGAGGAAGGCTGGCGAAAACTTGGACGGCATCTTAGCACCAGAGTCTTTTGCGGCATCGACAAGCCGTCCTAGCCATGCTGATGCCCATGCTTCGTGGTCTTTTGAATCCATTTGCTTGAAGATCTTCCCCAAGAATGGAATGAGAGTCAAGACTCCTCTTCCCCGCTCTCGAAACCGGATAATGCCACCATTTTGATAGAGCTTGAATGCCACCTCCAGAGCACGGCTTGCGGCCGCAAAAACCCCACCCGTCCTCAACAATCTCCGGGTCAAGGTGGAATTGCAAGGTGTCTGGATCGTCTGTGGCTAGCTCGGGAAGCGTCGTCGGGAGATGTTGGAGTAGATCTTCAAGGTGCCTGACACAATTCAGGATATCGCGCGGGGGACCTGTCGATGGCTTTGAGATGTTTGCTTTGCTGATATGTCGACGCGTCATTGAGTATTTTTGCAGGGTAAGTAGGGAAATGGAACTTTCAGTAGCTAGTATGAATTTATAGCAGCCCGGTTTGTCTTCAAAGTCAAAGCACATTTTAAAAATTACTATACGAAGGTGACAATGTTTCAAGGAATCAAAGTGCATGATGCATAACGAGCCAACTGTTTCCTGTTGCAGTTGGCTCGCGCAGCGTGACGGCCAGCACTACGTTTCACTCCTGCAGAATGGGACAGTATTTTGGTCTTATTCTATACCATTTGGGCCCACCCATTTCTTACTGGGCCTCAAGTTGCATGTGAGCTGTGCACGATGCTGCTGGCTGCCAAGGACAACTTTGTGAGAGTGAAAGCCTGCTGCCAATTGTAAGGGCAACCCTGGAGACTCCGACGAAAAGCCTAGCAGGGGAGGATCCAAAGCGTGAATAAGACTACAGGAAATACACGGAGGGACCGACCTAGCAGGGGAGGATCCAAAGAGAAGAAACTCTAAGGGTCCGCCTGCTAGGGCGCCAACTATATACTGGTCGTCCGTAACTGCCGACGTAGAGCGCAGAAGGCCTGAGCGGGC